AAGGATATCCGGATAGGACACCCTTGATTTCGGACCTCTGGCGAATCTAGAAAAGATATCAAAAATCGGTGAGCGCGATTCGATTAATCGTACAAAATGACATGTGGAACCAAATTTTCATCACCCATCTTTTAGTTTTCAGTTTTAAACATCCTGTTTCAAGCTTTTTGGTCATGGAAATTTTCTTTTCATAAAAATTAGAAGAAAGTGGCTTTTTTTGAGTTCAATATTGAATAAATTATCTTTTTATAATGAAATTTATTGAACATTAGAGGTCCTCTGTAATACAGAAAACTTGAAGAGATTTCGAAAAAAAGTTTATCAGAGTCAAAAAAAGACGATTTTTGTGATGGATTAATATTAATAAAATGGCTATTATGATGAAACTTCGGTTCCATAGGTAATTCTTTACGCTCAATCGGATGGCTTTAACAGATTTTTTTGATATATTTTTCTGCATTCGCCGAAAAAGTCCATAATCGAGGGTGGTCCTATTCTTATTGGACGCAGTGTACCAGATATAATATCTGTTCATATAAAAAAATTAAAGGGACCCTGAAAATCATGTGATTGTTTAACAAAAAAATATGTTTTTTATTTTTAACAAAAAAATCGTATAAAGTGAAAAAAAGCAACTATAAAACTTCAGCTATGATACGCCGAATTTTTCGACACGATGATGGTCAAAAAGAAAGAGGTTCCTCCACCCTGGTTCGAAATATGCGAATAAAAAGTAATTTTTGATTATTTTTTTATCTTTGAAAAAAAAGTTTTTTTAGATGAGAGCGATGGAACGTTTGCTGCGTAACGTCCCAAGCCATCGATTCGCCAGCCCTTATTGAAGACTTTTTTTCCGAGGCTAATGGATGAATCAAGGAAGAAATTGTGTTCAACACTATCGAGAATCTGCTAGCGCAACTGTACACATCTTTATATTGTTGAAAACCCACTTGCAAGAATATGAACATCATAATTTCATGTAGTTTTTCTGAAAAAGTCGAGACTATACTGGAAATCGTTATGCGCGATCAATTATTCAAGTTACTTGTAATTATATTTTTACCTAGTCCTTACCAGGTAACTACGCAGGCACTTGTTTGCAAGTTGAGTTGCAACATTTTTTTAGTTGATAGACCTGGATAGGGATGCTTGAAAACAAAAAAAGTTTATCTACTGGGTTTCAAAATTTGCAGAAAAATAGGCTCACTAAACTGCACAGAAAAGACTTGAAAAAAATACTTTTTATAATACTACTTTTTCATTAGATTGAACAAGTATCAGAACTCTTGCAAGTGGAAATTTTTTATTGTATGGCATGATGTATTTTTGATATTTCTGCGTTTCGAAATTGTTCCATGTTTCACTTTTTTTTTCACTGTTTCTGAACTTCTGGGTCTTCTGAATCTTACTATTTTTGCAAAAAACCCCCCGGTTGTTTTATTACTGGAAATAATTCGAGTCATTGTAATTATTAAACATAGCTTAAATTTTTTTACCATTCTCACGTTATCTTTTTTTCCTTTCATTATTGATTGATACCATGAAATCCAATGCATCTTAAAGACTTCAATTGTTGTAAAGTGTAAAATTAGTTCATTTTAGAAATAAATATAGTTTTTTTTTCCAAGTTTTCTGTGTTTGTTCAGCCTCTTTGAGCTGCGACACTCACAGGTTGCTTGTATTTTTGTTTAAATCAAGCTGAAAATTCAATTCTATGGATAAAAAGAAAAAAAGCTTGAGTTAAATAAAATACAGGCGACCTTTGAGCGTTGTAACTCAAAAGAGGAAAATAAGAGGAAGGACGAGGAGGAGAAAGGAAAAGGATATCACGAATGCGTGCTCCATGGATAATTCGCGCAACCCTTGCGCCTCTACGCGCAAGCTTGCGGCTAACATGTGCACATACTCGCGAAATTCACGGCGCAAGCCTGCGAAATCCTCGCCGCAAAGTCGCGCCAGCCAGGGGAGTATGCATTTTTACCGTAATTTCTTCGCGGGAACTCAAAAGTTTGGAATTATTTGGGCATTTTCTACTGAAATTTCAAATTCGCCCGTAAAACTCACCGTAAAAATGCGTATCCAACTATATATCGTTGTAGGACTCACCTTCCCAGAATACCAATTTCGCCTATTTCCCGAAATCATTTTAAACGAATAACGCGTTTATTTTGAAATCGCCGAAATTACTTTGAACACGGCATAACGCACTCCCGAAATTTTTCAAAAATATAAAAAAATAAAAAAAATAAATAAATTTTTTTGAATAGATAAAAAAATTTAAGAAAAAAATTTGAAGCTAAGAAAGTGAAAGATGAATGAATGCTCATTTATCTTAAATTTCAAAAGCATGAACTATTCGAGAGATCAACTAATTGTTGAAATAAATTTTCAAATACCTTATATTTTTCAGTCTGCCAGAAGGCATGGGAAAGGCTGAAAACCAGTCAGAAAAAAATACACGAGAACAGTTTTTTTACCAAAAAAATAGTGAACTTAAAATATATTTAAATGATGTTGGCGAAATTCATCTATTGTAAAAAAATAAGCTGAAAAAAATATTTTTCACATAATTTTATTGATAGAAAAAAATTATTCAAACATCGGAGTATTTAGGATGGTAGGACGAAAAAAATTTGATCCGCAAAAAAATACGTCGCGTGAAAAATTGCGACCACATAACTTATGAGCCACAAAAATTTTTAAGCCTTCAAAAATTTTTTTCGTAAAATTTTAAAATTGCTCAGATGATGACTTTTTTTGAATTTCTTTCTTTTTCCTTTTCAATTTTTTTCCCTTTATTCTTGATATTGATTAATTCCAGAGCTAGAGCCACTGTTTTTCGGTAGGTTTCTAGAAATTTCAATCATTATCATCAATAAGAAGTCTGTCATATAAACATGGAAAACGTATTTAGTTGACAGATTTTTGAACTTTAATGATTTATGGCACAAATTAATTATGAAAACAGAAGAAAAAAAGAGTTAAAACTCGAAATTAGGTTTCAAAAACGTTATCAAATCCTGGGATCGCCGGGATAACTCAACGCAGAAATGAGAATCAGTACTAGAGCAGAAGTTTGAAGAAGACCAGAACGAAGAAAAACAGAAAATACAGAAATTGAAAGCCTTATATGCAAGTAATTTCTAATTTAAATGGACAAAATTTTAAAGGCTAAAATTTTCGTGGCTCATAAGTTATGTGGTCGCAATTTTCACGCGACGTATTTTTGCGGATCAAATTTTTCGTCCTACCATCGTATTTAGGGACCGCAGGCAGTTTTCTAGGAACCATCAGATTCAAATGATTTTCATATGACCGTGTACTTCATAGTCCTGGCAACTTTTAAAAAAAGAGATCTTGGAAAAATATTGACTCTGAACGAAGTTACAGCCATTAAAGCGCGCGTTTCGCGATTTCAATTCTCTGTAGAAAAATTTGGTCGAGGTCGCGAAAAAAAGTGGGCGTTGCAAGGGTGCGGCGCGCTCTCAAAAACCAGTAAAAAAAATTAGAGAAAAAAAGTTTCTTGTTAATTTTTTTCGCACTAAAAACACTAATGATAGTTTTTTTCATTATTGGAAATGATAGAACAATGTCCAAAGATGAGGACCAGCAAAAATAAACACTGAAAAAGGATAAGTTGAACGATTTTCAACGGCAAAAAAAGCAAAATTAATATTTACAGAGTTTTTCAATGCTTTTGATGTTCAAAACTGTTAAAAATATCATTAGGAAGCATGGATAAACGCAAATTCTCCCTGAAACAAGATTCGATACAGAATTCGGAACCAATAAAAGGTTGTGAATCCATAGAAACACGAATAAAGTAATTATTAATGACTTTTATAACCATTCTTGTAGCAATACAGCACTTTTAAATGCGCTCAACTCATTAAAATCCACTTTTATGTCTTATTCAGGTGAATTTCCCGACTTTGAACGTGTTTTCCAGTGGAATCCTGATAGTGGGAGTTTGGCGAGACTAAAATAATTTTTTTGTTCCGGAAAAGCATGTGAAGTTCTATTTTGTTTTCCGAATTACATTACTGAACGTTTTGACTCATTTCAAAAAAGTATTACGCTGTTTTTGCTTTGAAAACATCGCGAATTCGGAATTTTCGTGGGTCGGTGAATGCACAATTTCGCCAACGCGCAAATGCAGGACGCTGTTTTTATTGTTCGAATGAATCAAATTTTGAAAGCACAAGCAGGATTTTTTTTATTTTTGACTATGTTGAAGAAAAAAGTAAATCAAATCAAAATAAGAAAAAAAATAATTTGCCTACGACGGCTAGAACACTTTTCCGAGTGTTTCAAAAAAATCAAAAATCAAAAATTATTTTTAAAATTAATGTTGGAATGAAAGTTTTTGTTTTTTTATTTTTTTAAAATGTTCTAAAATTTATAGAGAACAGTTCAAAAAAATTTTTTTACGATGTTTCGCGGAAAATGCCAAAAGTTCCCGAATTTCGAAAGTTGCGATTTTTCCGACGCTTCGATACTTGAAAGCACAAGCAGGAATCTTTTTTATTTTTTTACTTATATGGTGTATTTTTTTACATGCTTAACAAAATAAGAAAAAAAAATAACTTGCCTACGAGCGGGATTGTAAGTATTCAACGTTTCCTTTTTCGCACAAAGGCGTCGCGAAAAAACGTCATTTTAATCGATCCTTTTTTTATTTACAGCTGTTTCTTCTATGTAGAATTGTAGAGCATAGCCGATTGTATGTTTCCCTCAATTTTTTCCCAAAACGGTTCAGGGAAACTGCATAAACAACAATGAAATGTCAAAAATGCAACGAAATATACGACGTTTTTTGGTCAGCGAGGGGGTGTGGCCTTGCGGTCCCTAGGATTATTGTTTCAACTCGGCAAAAGTCGGAAGCGCGGATAATGGCCGCTAAAAGGGAGAGGCTCAAAAAAGGCCGCAGAAAGGCAGCAATAAGGCAGCAAAGAGAGATCCTTTACCGAGCTTTTCATTTTTCCTAGAATATTAAAGGCTCAAGAAGTGTGAGTAAGTTTGAATTTTGCCAAATTAGAATCAAACCAGGCGAGAAGCGCGAGGATTGGAAAGTTCGGCGACCAAGTGATTGCCATATTTATCCACATGCGGTGCTTTTTTGGGATGTTCTCCATTATGAAGACGTTGATAACTCTGAGAAAAACAAATTTAGTAACAGCGAAAAAAAAAGAAGCTAACGAGACGCTGCCGCCCGTGAAAAATCCAACGACGGTTCTAGTAACAGTGAACTGTGTGAGATCGTTGCTGTGGGCAACCATCAACCAGCCTGCCATCATCCCTATAAGTGCCACTTGAGAAGCCTCAAAAAAAAAATTTAGAAATCGAAAAGTCGCTAATCCTACCAGTTTACGACCAAAGGAGTCGCTGATTTGTCCAAACACAACGGAACCGATGAGAACCCCCATCATTTGCACTGATATACTGTTTTTGACCAGTTTGGACGTTTCACAGAAGTAGTTGAACTGCAATCTGATAATCGAACTAGGTGCTGTTGAGCCCGCCAACCTCGACGTTGACAGATTTGAACTGGTAGGTGAGGTGGGGATTGGTGCAGTTGGTCATGTCTGCGAGAATGAAACAGATCTCCTTGCCCTCGAGTTCAGGGTCGAACTGTCGTCCGTCGCAGGAAACCACTCGAGGGGCTGCTCCTTAAACGCCGAAGTCAGCGCAGGTAGGCTACACTCACCTGCGTACATCATGTAGAACATGGACGTGACCTGAGGTAGGATAATGAGCTCGGCAAGCACACACACATAGATCACGTATCGGCCCATGATGACGTAGTCGTCTAGTCTCTTTCCACCGTTCGAAACCTCCGGTTTACCCATTTTTCTGCTTAATTCGTTATAATCATCTTGAAAGTTATTTTAAGTGGTTTACTTTTCTGTACAAGTGTGTCAAATTTTATTTGCCAGTTCCACATATTTTACAACTACATCAAAATGAAAGTTGAAAACCAAAAAAAAGCCACTTTTTCTATCGCGAAAAGGGGCGTGGCTTTGCGGTCCCTAGGTTTACAAAAATAATAGAGTTCGAAAGCGGTTAGGCCTTTCGAAAAAATACTGTTCTAAAACAACTTATGTGAGTCGGAGACCAAAACTGAGATCTGAGCAGCTAGTAAGGGAGATAACTTTACACCGAACCTCAGATTTTTTGAAAACTCATTGAAAAGCTCTTTGAAGCGTCAGAAATAGATCTTGAAAAGGGCAAACCGTACATGTTCTAATTATTTATGGTAACCAACGATTCAGAGGTCGCTTTTATGGATGAAGAAAGCTTTTAACTCATCTCATCGGCAGAAACACACAACTTGAAACATTACTACATAGTATAATATATAAACTTTCTATATAAAAAACAGAAATGCGAAAAACTATTGAAATAGCCTTCTTCATTTCATTTAGTATCGAAAAAACAGGACACAGTTGAACAACGGACGTTCTTTCACAGGGTCGATAAGAGACAGGAAAACGGCGAAATTGTAGACGTCGTCGATGAGTCTCCGCCTGTTGGGTGCAAGAAGAATTGTTAGAACTCTCGATTTTCGACAAATTAACATGATCGAGGACTATTTGCCGCGGCAGCCTGTCACATTCGTTCGTAATTTGTGATATGAAGCGTACAAGGAAATCGGCCGTCGTGACGTCGTCCACGCGTCTCTTCCCCAAATTTCGAAAACTGACACTTTTTAAAAATTTACCCATACTTTCATTGCGTTCAAGTTTTGATGTTACTTGTCCGCACCAGCTTTCTAAAATCAAATGGATTCAAAAACCAGTGAATCAGTCTCAGTTTTAAAACAAAAACGTTTTGTTTTGAAATGGTCGTCATTTGGTTAAGGGCAAAAAATAAATTAAAATAACATCTCCTCATCAAGTTCAAAACGTTCATTATCTTCTCTTTCTTTTTCTCGGTTTATATGAAATTTGTAGAAAAACTCATCGTTTTCCAGTAATAAAGATAAGCCTTATAAGAAAATGTCACGTATATTTTCTCATTTTTTGCCCGTTTTGGTGTGGGATTCCGTCGCTGTGCAACTTTGGCGTTTTTAACATTCAGCAAGACAATTTTTCTTTATGACGCTTTCAACATGCCGTGTTCAAAGTAATTTCTGCAAGTTGAAAATATATCGGACTCACTGAAATTCAGTTAACTTTTTCACTCTCTGATAGATATTTTCAATTTCGTCACTTTGAATAATACGATGCCGTATTATACGGCATCTCAAAAAAAAAAAAATGGTGCCTCGTTCAAATCGATTTCAAGGAAATATTAATGACCTGTAACGAAGATTTTAGAAAGTCAGAGGGCATTTTTTCCGATTGCTCATTTCCATTTCGCCAAAATCTCTTTTAACTCGTTCCTAAACTCGAAAGATCTTCGACAAAAAAAAGTGTTTTGAAGCAAATTTGGGCTTTTAACGAACAAATTTTTACGTTTTGAAGCTTTTTCACTCTTTTGTTTCCATTTGAACACGCTATGATTGATATATTTGTTGGATGGAAGCTCATTCCACAGGCGAATCGAGAAGGTACCATAATGGGTCCATCGTGAGACCTCCGGCATAACTTTTAGCTATATCTGAGCCGTCTCGGAGGTACTTTAGAGTCTCTCTCAACCCCCTCGTTTTGCTCAAAATCATTAGAGGTATCCTCGATCTCAAGGTACCATCGTGAGACTTCAGAGCCTGCGATATACCTCAAAAGGTCTCGCGACACCCTTTCTTGATTTGCCTATCTCAGCGCTAGATGTTTTAAAGCTTCTTTCAAACTTTTAAATGATCGAATTGAAAAATGTCTGCCTTTACCGATGGGTCTTTTATAATTAATAATTGTGTGGCTCTATCGAGATATAAAATCAACTCGCAATCATTGCAGTGAGAGATTCTTTGTCGACACTGTTCCCTTTGCAATTTCCGGTTTCCGCATCTTTTTGCCACATTTGTTTGAAGAGATGCCATTTTTGTTATCAAACGGTACTTCTTCAATAACAAACTCGAGAAAAAGTGAACATTGGTCAGGTGAGGAACGCTATTTACTTAATATAATTCGAAATGTTCAAAATTCATATCTTTCAGAAAAGATCCTATCGCTCACAATGAAATAAATAAGCTAAAGTTCTTCTTCTCCGACTGCAATTAAGAAAGTTGTTTAAGATGGAGAAGCCAGGGCTAGTCTCTAAAAAGCTCACCAAATCTTCTGAAATTTCAAGTTTTTTTGGTTATTTCAAATTAAAAAAATATGTATTTGTAGCTTGTAAAAAAGACTTTTTTTGATGGTTCCATGCGATCATGATCAAGAGTGCGAGAAAAAAACTCGTAAACGCTTCGATCCGTACTTTAAATTTCCGTATGAGGTCTAGGCATCAAATTTTTTTAAAAAGTTGTTTTTTTAATATGGTATTCATTTTTGAATGGTGATCCCAGGGAGAATGAGTCCCAACCACAACTGAGTCTTTTTTTAAATAAAAAAAAGAAGGCATATTATACAAAAAGGATTGAAAATAGAGCAATTTTTAAAGTAATTAATAACTTTAAAAAATCTCAATACAATTATTTTTTTGAAACTGTATCATTTTAATAACTACCGTTGGAGAAACACAACAAAAATTGAAACAGTTTCCGTCTAGCCGACTTGATAAGAATCGATAATAAAAAACGCATTTCAAGTTCCAAACTGTGGTAATATACTACTATAGTATCATTAACAAGTTTTTTTGAACATTTTACTGATTGGCCTGAGTCCGTTCCAAAGATTTTTCAAATTCCTTTTTCGAAGACGCAGTAATATATGACTTTAAGAGAAAGTGAAAAAACTCTTTGCCGTGGACGCTTTTCTTTTCAAAGAATAGGTCAATATTACTTGTAAACCTTGAAACGTTTTTACAAAAGTAGTAACTACATTTCGAGTATTATTTCGGGTCATAGTAAGAAGTACATTATTTTTTGATTTGATGGAGCTAATCTATACAACTTTAGAAAATGTTTGTTGACGGAGTCCTTCATTCTAGATTTTATTGTTTCAAATAGTTTCATGATATAAACATTTGTTGAGCAGCTTCCCAAGCTTTCCAACATTTGGAATTTAATATGATATTTTTTCGAGTTGATTTAAATCGGTTCATAGAGGATTGACTCTTTGGAGAAAAGAGCTCTTTGAAGTACCGCCAGTCTCTGAGGAACATCTACCCTCAAAGTCGTAGAAACATCTGAAAACCTTTCATGGGTAGGCATTTTGTGAGAGAGAGAGACTCTGGCTGATGAAATTGTGGTCATTTTTGTCAAAAAAAAGAACTTATGTATTATAATAGTGATCATGTAAGTCTTATTTTCATCTGATCGTCTGAAATGCTTTTAGTTAAAATTATGAAAAAAATGTGTTCACAAGTGTTTGAGAGACTTTAAATGAAAATAAAAAGTTTGAAATGTTTTTTTTTTGATGTCAGAAAACTTCGACGTCTATATGAACTGGAAACTTATTGAAAATTTAAGCTTACATAGTTTTTGGGAAAGAAGTTCAGAATTGCAAGCTGGCACTCGAAGATTGATGCCTATGTTCTTTTTTCCGTGCTTCTCCTAGACATGGAGCCAATTTTTCCGCAACGTTGGCCTTTAAACAAAAAAGCGTTTCACATCGGCTGCGAAGACGAAAAAAAGATGGGGTTCCTGTCAGCGAAAAAGACAGGGAAAGTGGAGCATTTCCGCGTGTCAAATCGGCCGCCCCGACGTTTTCCGTTGCGGCTCATTCGAAAATTAATTGGCCGGCGAGGAGCACGGCCGTTGCTCCGAGGCAGAATGGCCCAATTAGCCGCGCATTAGTCTTTCTTCCGTCTCCAGAACATTTTGTCCTCTGCCCCAATAAAAAGTCCTGGAATTCCATCGTTCAAGCATTCTGGTATCAACCTTCATCCAAAATTTAAATAGTCTCACTTAAAAAAAAACCCAGCATCTCCAAGAAGATAAACTTTAAATTAAAAATTTAGTCATTAAAAAAGCGTCCTAGATTTTCTGAATTTCAAAATCTCATTTTTTTTTTTTTGGCAGCGTTTTATTCTGAAGTTATGTATCACGAATTGAAAAGAAGGTGTAGGAATTTTTCTGTGTGAAACAAGAGAAGGAAACCCGGTTTTTTCCATGGGTAATGAGAATAAGAAGGAAGAAATGTAAATTTCGGGATTTCGTAATTAATACATAGAAACAATATATAAAGAAATGAACGTGAATTTGAAAAGTCTGATTTGAAAGAGGCTATAAAAAAAATTAGCTGTGCCCACAAGTTCAAAAAAAAAACCGAAATCATCATCAAACTTACAGCTTCCCTTATAGATATCAGCTTTCCAAAACTAAGGAAAAAATATATATATATAACAGTAGACTTGCGAAACTCATAGTTCTTGTTAATTTGTTGTGAACAAAATTTTTCAATAATTAAGTACGCTTGTAGTACAAGCTCGAGTTCACATAGCAAAAATAATTTGTATCGATAAATTGAATTGATATGTGAACTAAAGTTTTCCGACTCCCATTTCTCTAAAACGCCGACTCCACTTCCATGCAGAAGGGCTCAAGTAGAACTCAAAAAAGGATAGGTAACGAAAAAAATGACGTTGCTGCGGAATGACCGAGGCAGATGGACCACCTCAAAGCGCGACTGATTGGCGAAACTCAGCATGTTGCAGAATTCCGTATGGCTCTCGTACTTTACGCTGATGGTGGCTGTGGCAGCCGCGGGAGGGCGTGAGCCGCCGCCGGCGTATCGATTCCCACGCCAACGAGCCGTGGAAGCAGTGGCGCTCTGGCGACTTGCTCAGCAAAAACGCTTCCAGGACCTCCCACCTCCGCTTGTCCGCTCCAACTCCAAACCGACACCTGCCGCGGTCACGACGACGACGACTTCATGACGACGACGGCGAGACGTTTGCCGCCGGCAGCCGACAAATAGAAGGTTCAGACCACTCTTTTCCCCCGATTTCAGCTATCTGAGCTCAATAATGGTCAAGCAAAGTTTAAGAAAGATGTTTCGTACATTTATGAGCGAATCTTAATGTCAAAAATGTGCATATTTGTGGCCAAACTTCGACTGGATCAAATTTTTTTCATTGATAGAATTAACACACAAGATTTCAAAAAAAGAACCTCAAGCTCGTATGGAGAACTTTGGAGTGACAGCTTGGATGCTTACACTCAGCTTTTCCCACTAAGAGTCGAACTATTAAAATGATGCCATGCAGTGTTTTTAAGACAGAAGTCATCTATATAATGATCATCATGCCTTTTTTGCTCTCTCTCTCATGCTTTTTCTCAGTTTTGATAAAGTCCTTTTATTCTATTCAAGTGAAAATAGGGCGAAACCACTTCTGTTATTTAACTCGAACACTTTCACGACTCTTCAGTTTGAAAAGCTCTTGAAACTATTCTTTCTTTCCCTTTTTTGAAGTACGAAAGATGCAAAGCAGATCCCGAACCGATAGGAAAATAATGAAAATCACGATAAAAAATTGCGCGGGAATTTTTGTAAATTGATCCTAATCACGAATTGTACTGGAAGGAAAGAAGTTTTGAGTACTTCTCAAAAGGTTATAGAGAGAAAAAAGAAACACAATGCGTATAACGAGCAATGCTTGTTTCGTGAAGGAGAGAACTGAGAAGCTGGAGCAAGACATTACTTTTCTCACCTGTCTTCTCCAATCCCAAGAGACGGCCAGATAAACAATATATACCAGGGAAAAACTAAAGGTTGTTGCAGGTCTAAGAGAGGCGAGAAAGCTGCAAAGATGGGCGAGATCTACTCGCCGTCGCAGAGCAAGGGCTTCAACCAGCCGTACGGCTACCCCATGAACTGCAACCTCAGCCGCGTCTTCATGGAAATGACCGAGGAGGACCGCAAATGTCTCGAGGAACGCAAGTACTGGTGCTTCATGCTCAGCAGGTCTGTCCTCACCGCCTCGGTGATTTCTTGAATTTGATTCTACGATGCCCTATCTTTCTTATTTATATCTTTCTCTTTTATATATTTCTATCTTTATTTCTTTTTTGTCCATTCTAACTTCAAACCCAACTGTAGTTTCAGTGGGTAGTCCTCTTTTTGAAGCCTGCGTTTTTAGTTGTTCCGAGCGCTAATGAATTTGACTTCTTGCGCCTTTCCTTTTTCCTTTTTTTCTTTTTTTTTTTCTTGAATTTTCCATAAAAACTTTATTTATTTTTTTTCTCGAAGTTTTGATCTCCTTCTTTTCCTAGAAACTGAATATTTTTGTAAAATTGACGTAAAGTTATGGTAATTTTTTTCTATTCAATATTATATATTTTTCAGTATTATTTTTTTGCTTTCGTTCAACAAAAAATTTCAAAACGACACCGAAAGTGGTCTTGCAGCTTGTTATTGCATGGCATGCATATGTCTTTTTTCTTTATGACACTTTTGCATCAGAGGAAAACTCTGCTGGCACCTTTGGCCTTGAAAAAATGAAACCCCCGACCTAATTGGTCAAGAACTTAATTCAGAGCAAACTGATTGATAATAAAATGAAAATTATGATAAGGAATGAAATAGTTGAACAAAAGACAATTAGTGTGAAATAGAAAAAATAGTAAGGGAAATCCGTCATTATCAGGGAGATAAAACATTACCTTAGAATTCTTCAAATATATATCTGACTGGATTCCGTCCGAAAAAGCTTCGTCTTTTTTTCCATTCTTTACGTAAAGACTTTACGCCTCGCTGAAGAAGCACTAGGCAGTCTTTCTGCGAAAAGCGGCGCCAATTCGACCGGTGTCGAATGTCGTGGATCATGTCGCCCAGGGAGCGTTTCTCGACGGCTTCCGCTAATCCGCTACACTGCTTCATTGTTGGCCAAGGAGCACTCATCCCGTGTAATTCCCTATGAGAAAGATTTCAAAACAGGGTATCAGAAAACAAGGAAAGCAGAAAAAACGAACAAAGAACTTCTAGAAAAAAGTTTTAAACCTTGATTGCAGCATAGTGACGTTTTGCGTTTCGATGCTTCTGGTGGTGACTTGGCGGATCGTCACTCATCTCTTCTGTCAACGGAGAGAGCGGGAAGTCGTCGAGCCGCCAGTCGAAGCCGTTCCCTTGCAGGTCTTCTATATTATGCTACCAAAAAAGCTTGAAAAAGGGTTGGAAGGCGTAAAAGCCATAAAATGGAATAAATACATATTTGATTTAGAGAAAAAATTATCATAACGCCTTTTTTTCCAACCCAGCCTAAACCCAAATGGCGCAGAACAATTCTGCGCCTTATCAGTCCGGAGACTTCATCTGTTGTATTTTGGTGCTATCTTAACCACTTTTTAAAGTGTAGCGTGCATGTATGTAAACTCATCATGACTGTGTAAATTATAAAACAGAAAATACCTCAAAAAAGGCAAATGTCAGTTTCTGTCGTATTGTTGTTTTTTCTTCGATTGGAATATTGAGAGAAAAACCGAGATACATTCAATAAGGCGCTCTAATTCAAATATTCGGCTCGATTTACGGCCTCAAATAAATATGAAAAGCGATACAAAAAATACTATTACTGCTAGACCGAACGATTTGAAATTTCTATATTTTATGCATCGAAATGGCATTTTCTTCGTCATAACTATTTTTGATGTTCTATATTTCAGATCAATGGAAAACACGGGGCGGTGCCGTCCGAGCTCGACCCGTTCGCCATTAAACAGCAGGAGGAGAAGCATCTGGGTTGGATGACCGAGGTCGGCTTTCCTGAGTCTTCGACTTTGATTGCAGGAAAAAAAATATTCACAACGCTGCAGGAAAAAAAATATTCACAAAAAAGAAAAAATGTTTTTTTTCAACCACGGAGATTTTTTATTTGCACGCTTCATCTATCTTTTCTCATTCTGGCTGTTTTTTCAAGTCGAAAAAAATTGGCAAGAAATTTTACGGTTGAGTAGGGGCTTGAAGGATTTTGCGGCAGACTGAATCCTGCCGAATCAAAGTTCTAATTAGTGGTCCAAAACGTTGCCTCGCAAAATATTCGTTGATGGATTGGGCGCAGACCAACGGGACAGCCACCAATCGCTTTTGGTTGTTTTTGGGTGATACTTAGCAGAACAACTTCCGACACGAATCATATTTCCTTTCATTTGGACAAGAACGGGTTCAATTTCATTGCTTGAGCTTCTATGGCTCTCGAAAAAATGCGTGTGAAAAATAGGAGGGTATCGTAAAACTTCAGAAACACACATTTTTTTTTTGATAAGTCATCATGAGTGAGTTTTGACAAACTCTTTATTCTATGAAGAAGTTTTTTACCATAGCAATTTCTGGGAAGTTTGATTGTTGAACTTTAGGAGATAAGCTGAATGAACTAATTAAAAGCGGTTTGCAGGCGAAGGACTGGGCCGGCGAGTTGATCTCCGGCCAGAGTCTGACCGGCCGTTTCCTCGTCGTCCTCGTATTCATCCTCTCCGTCGGTTCTCTCGGCATCTACTTCTATGACGCCAGTTTGTGAGTCTACTCTTTCTGGATAGCTCCGTGTGAAGATTCTGAGAATCAAAATCGAAAATCATGGGTTTCATCTTTGAAAGTTGAACGAGTGAACATTTTGAAAATCATTGCTTGCCCTGAGGATAATTGCCCTAGTGTGCACAGCAGTTTCCGAAACAGCTCGAATTCGATTTAGATGGCTGATTTGACGGGGCCAATCTGAGGTCTTTTTCAAAGTTTTTCTCTCGTTTCTCAACCGTGAATGTCGCGTTTTTTGCGACAATTGCTCGGAACGGAGCTCAGAGCCACTATCGAAAGCCAGGGTCCACCTGCATCACGTCACCTTTCGGGCTCTCGGCTTTCACAGGCACGCGTGTCCAAATAATTTATGGGGTTTTTCGCGCGGACGGCAACAAAAAAGGTTGGAGCTCTATGAAGGATGTGGAGCTCTTTCCCACAGGACCTTCTTTCTTCTGGAATACAAATTGGAAAATTCGCGAATGATTTTGTTTTTCGCTTTTTGTGCCCCAAGAGATTGACCCAATTGACGGGAGTATGAAAGCGCAAAACCAAGGAATATTGAAAAGTTCAAATCTTTGAAAAGAAGAACGAGAAAACGAGAAACCACTATTTTCGGCAGTGAGAATTTTTTCCTTTTTTCGACTTTGACCAGAAAGACAGAATAAGTCAAAACATTGGAAATGAACTTACAGTCAAAACTTCCAAGTGGAGACCTGCATTCCATGGCAAGACAGTCCGTCTCAGCAAATTGACCTCGGGTTCAATATTTTCTTCCTCGTTTATTTTTTCATTAGGGTGAGTGTTTAGAACTTGTCCGAAAGGTAACTTTTGATTATACAGTTTATTGCGGCTTCCGACAAAGTTTGGTTTTTGTTGGAGCTTTATAGTTTTATCGACTATTGTACGATCCCGCCTAGTTTCGTTGCAATTTATCTGCAACGAAACTGGTTAGGTGAGATGGCTCAGAAAATTTAAAACAGGAGGAGTTTTTTCAGGTTTTCGATTTTTACGCGCGTTGCGCCTCATGACAGTTCCTGACATCCTGCAGTACCTGAACATCCTCAAAACTTCGAGCTCGATCCGGCTCACCCAGCTCGTCACTATCTTCGTTTCGGTGTGTCTGACTGGCGCTGGCGGTGTCCATCTGGTAGTTTAATAGATAGGCGCTTCCAAAACCTTTTGGTTTGCAGTTTGAAAACTCGGGTGACTTCTTCAAAGGGTTCATCAATCCTCACAGGATAACATACGCTGATTGTGTCTATTTCGTGCTGGTGACAATGTCAACTGTCGGTTCGTTCTATATTAATTAAATATTCGAAGCTGCTGCTGTCAGGCTACGGAGACATCTACTGTACGACGCTGTGCGGTCGCGTTTTCATGATTTTCTTCATTCTGGGCGGCCTCGTGAGTGCTAGGAATAGTCCAACAAAGTCACATTTTCTCTTATTTCTGTAAAGATAGCAAGTTTGTGCTCTTTGAGTTTCCATCTTATAATTTGCTCAAAAGTCCACGCCGAAGTTTCGCACGGGCTACGATAACACTGAAAAAATTCATCTTGTTACTTTTCGAAATTTTTTAACAAGGGAAATCGCTTTAATTCGCAGCTGGAAGCCAAATGATAACTGACCAGAAAACTTTTTAATGTAGGAGATGAAGATTGTCAAATCTCATTCTGCATATCCGACCTTTCTTGCAAACTTTTTTTCCAAGGATTTTTCGAATTTGCATGTTTGAGAACAAAAAAACAAAATCAACGAAGTTAGCATTTTTTTCCTGCATTCAGCAAATTTCCAAATTTATAAATATATATATATTGAAAAAAATGCCACTCTCAGGCCATGTTTGCCAGCTACGTCCCAGAAATAGCCGATTTGATTGGAAACCGACAAAAATACGGAGGAGAATACAAAGGAGAACACGGGAAAAAGTGAGATTAGGAGTGGAAAATCCAGAAGGAAGATCAACTGACAGACACATCGTCGTCTGCGGCCACATAACTTACGATTCGGTCAGCCATTTTCTTCAAGATTTCCTGCACGAAGACCGGGACGACGTCGACGTCGAAGTCGTCTTTTTACACAGGTTTTAGATTTTTGTCATCGAATAAATTTTTATTGTGAGTCCCACCGACGTATTGAGTGAGCTACTGAAGCTCATGTACTGTATAAATTTGGAAGAAAAAGTAAATTTGTAGATTAAAAGGGAAATATCTAGAAAATTCTGCCTTGAATTTTTTTTTTCTAATTTTTGAGCATTGGCTTCGAATAAATTTGATGATGATGAAATTTTAATGAATTACGGCACAGCCGTTTCGAATCATGAAATGGGGTGATTAGGAGGCCGACCGATCGATTTTTTCAGTTTGCGTTACTTTGAACTTTTTAGGCAATTAAAATTTGGCATGGTGATTTCGGAAAAAAATGACTGAAAAAAGAAAATGAAAAATAAAGAAAAGACATTAATTATCAACAGTCGGAGGTAGAGCGAAGTATATATGATTTGATGAAGTGAGCCCAATTTTTTTATTATTTTTTTGTGATATTTAAATAAAAGCTTTTTTTGGATTAGGGCGACTAATAATTCTACAAATTCCCAGAGTCGTTCCCGATCTTGAGCTGGAAGGACTCTTCAAAAGACATTTCACGAAGGTCGAGTTTTTCACGGGCACTGTAATGGACTCTCTGGACCTCAGTCGAGTGAAGGTAAAAAGAGAATAGAAGTCAGATTTGCACAAAATAAAAAAAAAGGTTGCCGATGCTGACGCCTGCTTGGTGCTGGCGAACAAGTACAGCACAAATCCGGACGCCGAAGACGCGGCCAACATCATGAGGGTCATCTCCATCAAAAACTACTCCTCGGACATCCGCGTCATCGTCCAGCTCATGCAGTACCACAACAAGGCCTACCTGCTCAACATTCCTTCGTGGGACTGGCGGAGAGGAGACGACGTCATCTGTCTCGCGGAGCTCAAACTCGGCTTCATCGCTCAGTCGTGCTTGGCCCCAGGCTTTTCCACTATGATGGCCAATCTTTTCGCCATGAGAAGCTTCAAAACGGTTCGTTTTTTTTTTGCCTGTTGTGTTTTGTGCTATATGTGGTTGTGCTGTGAATTATTAATCAATCAAAAACAGATTAAATTAAATCAGAATCAGAATCTTTAAAACTAACCGTTCGAACAAACTTCTGACCAATGTTTTTTGTCATTCATTCAACTTTTTGAATAATTCTCCATTAAGTCTGTAACTCTTCATCTTTAAATCAATCAATCATTACCACCTGGTTGTTAATAGTAATAATTAGACTAATAATAATGGTTTCTTCAATGCACATTAATAAATAATAGACGTATATACACCGAAAAATGGTCTTTGTTAACTCGACTAACGGCGTGAGAGACTGAGCTAACCTTTCAGTCGCCGCACACGCCCTCGTGGCTCAACGACTACCTGCGAGGCGCCGGCATGGAGATGTACACGGAAAGGTTGAGCCCCGCCTTCGTCAACATGTCGTTTCCCGAAGCGGCCAAGTGAGTCCGTCCGACGTCTTCTGGTATTTTGCTTCTAACTCTTGTCCCCAACGCGTCCAGTTTGCGCTGCTCTGACTCTAACAGCTCTGTTCGATTTTTCGAGAAATCCAATCAGCAGGAACTTTTGTAGTCGCGCGCCACACCTGACTGGCTGAACCTTTATCTTTGCGGCGCCGGCATGGAGATGTACACAGACACGCTGTCGCACTCTTTTGTCGGCATGACTTTCCCCGAGGCGGTCGAGTAAGCCACCTCGTCGTTTTTTCAGTCTTCCGTTTCGTCGTGCTAGTTATTTCACGGCTGCTCACTGCTTACATAGGATAATCAAATATTAGCCAGTAAAGTACGAGCACATTGAAAAGAGAAAATAGAAAACTTTGACTCAATGAGGTGATTAATCACTTGGTTCTGAAAGTTGCACAAAATGACTCTGGCCCTGATCAAAAAGATTCAATAAGAGATGTTTTAAGAAGAAAGATGTATCATAAGTCAAAAAGTTTTCTGCAGAGAGATTTGGATATGTGGCTTTGGAAAAAGTTGGAAACACCCATTGAAACTCTTCAAGTCGATGACCACCTAATAAAAACTTAGTTTTAAATTTTATGAGATTGAATAGAAGAATGTTCAGTTTGCTGTTCAACCGACTGGGACTGCTGCTGCTAGCGATCGAACTGAAAGACGAGGAGAACAAGGAGTGCAACATCGCCATCAATCCCGGACCGCACATCACAATCCAGCCGCAAACCCAAGGCTTCTTCATTGCGCAGAGCGCCGACGAAGTCAAAAGGTTTCTCATTTCTTTCGTGTTTGTGTGTCAAACTGAAAAGTTTCAGAGCTTTTTTCTGGTGCAAGCAATGTCACGACCAGATCCGCGACGTTTCTCTCATCAAAAAATGCAAGTGTAAAAACTGTGAGTTATTTGGATTCGCGACACTGAGTAAAACTGTGTTCAGTGGCCCTGTTCCGAAGAAACACCAAGCATTCCTCCACTCGAGGTAATCTTTCGCTTCTGTCCTCGGTTCCAATGGTAGAACGTGTCGCCTTTTTATTTTTGCTGTTTTGCCAAACGTGCAGAATGCCTAAATTTCAGACTATTCCGACTTTGACGTCTTGTTTTATCAAAGCGACGGTAAACACTTTGATCGGATCAGTCTAGACTGTGTTCTTCCTGTTTCCCGATTTGTTTGGGTCATTTTTGATAGGAATCCCGGAATAGAAGTAGAAAAAGCAAATAAATGTGAAAAGCATGCATCGTTCCAATTCATTTTCGATTTTATATCTTTCACCTTCCGGATTTCCTTCGTTTGCGCTCGCCTCCGGCGTTTGTAGTCACCTCCGAAACCGCTGAAATTTCAATCATTCCTCACTGTCGTGATTGATGTGTTGTTGGGCGTTTTGGGACGTAAGGCATGAGTCGAGTAAACGACACGAAAACTCGAAAAAACAGCATGGAAAAAACTCATGATATCGTTCTTGGTCAAAGGGGATGCGATTTTCTTTGACTTTTTGTGTCGTCAACCTCCATAAGTTGAACTGCCGCTTCTTTTCATCCGTCTATCGCTAAAAGAACTCAACTAAGAACCCGCTTCGGAGTCTCCTTTCCTGCTCGGCTGTTCCGAAGTCGCCCAGCGACTCTTACATTGTCTTCTGCTCCAAAGAGGAGGATATGACGTGAACAAATTGTTTCAGCGCGGTTTTCGGAGCAGTCGCCGGCGCCGCCGCCGTCTTCTTCACTGAACAACCAGCTCGGCCAACCTGTTCAGCTCCGAATGATCAACCAGCAAAGGTATGTTGTTCCATCAAGTGTTCTCTATGAAGCTTCAGTCCAGCAAGTCAGGCTTGTTGGGGAAAAATTAGTCACAGGAAACTGAAAAGCAGATCAATTAACTTAACATTCCATGATCCGTGATTTTTAAAGTCGCTTCCATTTTTCAAAATTTTGCACTTGTTCAAACTTCTTGAAAATACTTAAAGTGACCTTCTTTGTGAGAAGAAAACCTTTAAATTTTCGTTCCTTTTTTTCGAAGCATCCTTTTTTCGTTGAAACTTCTAGAAGGCTGAATTTTAATCAAAAAATGCCGCTACTCTGCTGCTTCAGCTAATTGGTGCATTTGACGGGTCCAGTAGAAACCGGCAGAGAAATTCAACAAAATAAAATACCAAACAATTGTTTCAGTTCGACCAGTGATACGCATCTCAACACCAAATCTCTGCGATTCGCTTACGAAATCAAAAAATTAATGTAAATATATGCCTCCCACGTGAATATCGTGTTTTGATCGCACATCGTAGTGACTAGGAAGTAGACTCTTTTTCGGAAGGCCGCCCAAATGAAGCTGCGTTTGTTAGAGATCTTTTTTCGAGAGAAAAGTTCTCATCACAGCTATAAAAATAGTACTTTTTTGTTAACTCGACAGGTGAAAACATACAAATTCCGAGAATTAGCTGAAATTGAGCTGAGATACTTTTGAGCACTCTGACCTTATAGAACTTGTTTAAACTTTTTAGTCAAAATCTAACGCCTTAAAATTCGTAAGTAGCGAAAAAAAATTTATTTTTTTATAGATTTTTTGTGCTTTCTCAGCTTGGTTTCATCAAATTATTAAAAATTTTATTTTCGCACTTACCTTTTGAGAAATAAAGTGTGATAAAATCGATTCATACCAAACTTTTTGAAAATTCACGGAAATCGTAAGCGAGAATATAAGAGGCCTCCCAGAAAAAGTGCACTACTTCAACCTTTCTTCTCAGCGTAGGATCCTGCATGCCTGATAGAACCTCGGTTGAACTGCACCTTCTAGCACCGCCCGCAGTTTTCGCCCTCCTTGTGTTAACTTCATTCAACCTCTCCTTTCCAACAACGAAAAAGACATTTATCGAGTCGACGATGAAGAAGTTCAGGCCGTCAAGCGGTCGTCGCAACTCGATGAGCATCCCTCCAGACGGCCGTGGCATCGATTTCACCAAAGACTTCGAGCAACAAGTGAGAAGCTACTCAGAAGTCATGAAAACTGTTTATGTTTTGAGGATATGAAGTACGACAGCACCGGAATGTTCCATTGGTGTCCCAGTCGGAACCTCGAGGACTGCGTTTTGGTGAGAGATTCGCAAAACATTGAAATAAACTTCTCAGGAGCGGCACCAAGCGGCGATGACCGTGTTGAACGGACACGTCGTCGTTTGTTTGTTTGCCGACAGAGATTCTCCGCTCATTGGACTTCGCAACTTCATAATGCCTTTGAGGTTTTCTTTTTTTTTTCGTTTCAGCTTTCAAATCGACAACTTCAGATCCTCGAACTTCCATTATCATGAGCTGAAACACGTGGTCATTGTCGGGGATCTGGAATACTTGAGGAAAGAATGGAAAACTCTCTACAACTTGCCCAAAATATCCATTCTCAACGTACGCTGACGTGGTTCGCAGGACTTGAAACACAGTTTCAGGGCTCTCCGCTCTCGCGAGCTGATTTGCGAGCTGTTAACATCAATTTATGCGACATGTGCGTCATAATCTCTGCGAGAGTGCCAAATACGGAAGACACGACGCTGGCAGACAAGGAAGCTATTTTGGCGTCGCTGAACATCAAGGCGATGCAGTTCGACGACACTCTCGGCTTTTTCCCGATGCGCCACGGCGGCGGAGATCGCAGTCCACTGGGAAGTCCTATTTCGATGCAGAAGAAAGGAGCGCGCTTTGGAACCAACGTGCCCATGATCACTGAGCTAGGTAACTGGCTGGTATGACAAGTAGACATCATCAAACTTCAGTCAACGACTCGAATGTGCAGTTTCTCGACCAAGACGATGATGACGATCCGGACACGGAGCTCTACCTCACGCAGCCGTTCGCCTGCGGCACCGCTTTCGCCATTTCCGTGCTCGACTCCCTCATGAGCACGGTGAGTTTGGCTTTCCTAGTCTGACTCGTGTTCCCAAATCTTTGGAGTGAATAGTTTTCAACAATTGCTTCGAAAAAAAGAGATCCAGTAAAATATTCTCAGTATTTCATTTTCTTTTAATTCTTATTTCAGAAAAATAATTTGAGATTTAATCGATCCAAAGTTCTGACACGCTTTCTGAAAAAAAGTTTTTGGCAGTTAGATATTTTTAAGATCATCCAGCATTATTGTGACATTTTATTAGGGCTTCCATATCGCTAATTTAACATAATTAGTTAGTGATGAGTATTCAGAAATAAATAGATCACGAGGAAGATTAGAGAACTATATGCAGACTTCCATATAGTGTTCTAATCTTCCACGTGATCTATTTATTTCTACATACTCAGCAGTTAGATTGAAAGTTCCAATGTTCGAAAAGATAAAGTTAAAAAAAAACTCAGCAGCTCGCCTCACATTGAAATTAAGATTGAAAAGTTTTTTCGCTTTGAATATTCTTTTTTCTTTATTATTCTGATATACCGATTGGGAAACTATGGTTTTAGTTAGTAAACGTTTCTTTTTTTGACTTCAAAATCGCAAAAGTCCAATTTGAAGACGTACTTCAATGACTCGGCGCTGACGCTGATCAGGACGTTGGTGACAGGAGGAGCCACTCCAGAACTCGAGCTGATTCTCGCCGAAGGAGCTGGTCTTCGAGGCGGCTACAGCACTCCAGAAACCTTGTCAAATCGAGACCGGTGTCGGATAGCACAGATTTCGTTACAAGATGGCCCATACGAGGGTGTTGGAGTTTGAATAGAAGCTAAGACAGCGTAAATTGACGGCTTTCAGCACAACACGACCTATGGTCAGATGTTCACGATAGCCCTGCGCAAGTACGGACAGCTCTGTATAGGATTGTACCGCTTGCACGACCAAGACAACGTCGACTCCATGAAGCGATACGTAATCACGAATCCGCCGGCTGAGTTGCGCATCCGGACTTCTGACTACGTGAGAAAATTTACCTTCAACACTTCTGTCACGAATTCAATTCCTTTTGTATTGTTCTGATTATAATAATTAAGCTTTCTTGGAAGAGAGATCCTTTCAGTTCAGTTTAAAAAACTAACAGGCTCAATTCGGCATTTTCGTTAAATTTGTGACGATTTTCAAATCGTTTTTGCCGTGAAATCCCATTTTCCATTTCAAAATGTAAGAATATAGTTGATTCGTAGTATCGTTTACCTCGAAGGCAATATTATTGAAGCGAAAATGTTGAAATCTTCAAATTTCAGGTGTATGTTCTCGAGCAATTTGACCCCGGCTTGGAATACGAACCCGGCAAGCGCCAATATTAAAATTCACTTTTTTCCTCCCTTCCATTTGTTAATGTACAGTAAAAAGATGCTCAAGTGTTTGATACGTCCCACGTATGATTTGCTCCCTTTTCCCCCGTGCTCAAAAACGAAAGTTTGACTAGGTTTTTTTTCATTGATATACACCAAATTCTGAATAATAAGGGTACACGCTTTCTCACCGATTGCCTTCCTCCACCGTGTTTTGTAAATAAATTATTTTTTCTTCTTTAAATTTGTCTTCAAGTTGATCAACGGTTTGATGGAAGGATCAGAGAATATACGATTTTTCGAGTGAATTTGAATACGACAAGTCGCATCATTTTTACAACAATTCTGCGAGGAAATCTTGCCCTATTCGCGCTACAGATCAACTCTGACATTGGGTGCCTAAAGATCGCAGCAACTCTTTCTCTAATGCACACTATTTTGTCGTTATCTAGCTTCGAGAAAACAACAAAACAGCGTAAGTCAGAGAAAAAGTTGTGACGATCTTTATGCGCCCCATGTCCGAGCATAAGACAATGTTTTTATTCCAAACAAAGTTGGAAAGAACTTCAAATTAATTACAAAGTTGATGAAACATTGGTGCTTTAGAGCAACAAGAAAATTTTAAAAAAATCAATTTCTTTTGCGCATTCTTAGATGAAAATGCTTTCGAAAACATATCTTCAATATCTTGGCAAATTTTCCTCGAATTTTCAAACTAACAAAAAAAATGCGTTTGAAAAATTTTGAATTAAATATTTTAAATAAAATTGATTCTGCCAAGAAAGCTTTGCTGCTGACCCAGATGCGTTCGATGAAACTTTCAAAACAAAACTATCGAATGCGTCGTCGATCCATTTTCTCATGCCGTGTTCAAAGTAATTTCCGCGAAATTCAAAATAGCTGTCAGAGAAAGGAAAAGATCACTAAATTTTGGAGAGTCAGAGATCATTTTGCATTTCGCGGAAATTACTTTGAACACGGCATCAACTTTGAAACCTCTTAAGAGGCCCCTCAGCACAACGACGCTCCGCAACACACAGTGAGTTGGAGCAACTTTGGACCATCGTGAAAATTTTGCCGACGTGTTCGCAGTTGATCCCCAATGAATGGGTTGTTTCGGATATATTTCTCATCTGAACGCCGTTATAATTACTTTGATTCATATTTAAAATATATAAGAATACTAATTTCTTTGTCATTTTTCTACTTGCGAATAATTTTTTTATTGAAAATATTGTATTAAAGGCGTAATGGCAAGTTGGGAGGAATATCTGGCAACTCAACAAAATGTCGACGGGGTACAGTTCACCTGGAACATGTGGCCTCACAGTAGAATCGACGCTCAACGGTTGGTCGTCCCGCTTGCCTGCTTTTTCACACCGTTGAAGGTGATTTTTCGAATATTTTGCACAGTTAAATTAAAAAAGCTTTGGTCCCTTTGTCGATTCCACAGATTTCAATTATGAGCTAGTAATTCAGGAGCGTCCAGCCGACCAGCATCAACAGCCTCCTTTGGAGTACGACCCAGTTTTGTGCCAAAAAGCGAGCTGCAAAGCGATCCTGAATCCATTATGGTTTTTTTTTTTAATTTACAGATATTAGAACTTTTCTTTTCGCAAACAGTTCATTTTCGTTGAATTGATGCTTCAGCTTTGTCGACTATCGTGCCAAAACCTGGCTCTGTCCATTCTGCAGCAACAGAAACCCGTTTCCGGCTCATTATGCGGCGATTGCTGAGGACAAACGTCCGCCTGAGCTGTACCCACAATTCACTACCATCGAATATACTTTGAGGGTGATTTTCCTTATTTTACTTTATGAAGAATCTTTTTTGTTTAGAAGGCTACCACGATGCCTCCGATTTTCGTTTTTGTCGTGGATACTTGTATGAACAACGAGGAGCTGAAGTCCTTGAAGGAATGTCTTCAGGCAAGATTTTCTTCCTTTTTTCAAAGTTTTTTTTCTAAGCTTTGAACTTACAGCTCCTTTATGTCTTGTTCGGAAAAAGATATTTTTTTAACCGTTCTTCGGAATAATTTCGTTTATCAGATTTAAAACAAAAAAAGAAAAAGCCATTTTTCCATCTTTTTTTTTTTTTAAAATTTCATCAAAAAATTTATCTTGAATTTTAAATCTTAATTACAACTACTTTTTCCGTCTGGATTTTTTTTACGAACTTATTAGCTATTTGAAAAAAATTTCAACAAGAATTCAAGAAAAAAAATAATGTCTAAACTCTACATAGTCGGCCGTCATTTGTTTTGATTTCTTAGGTTACACATTTTGAGATATCGCAATTTCATTTCAACCTGGAAGAAAGCTTTTTTTTGCAATTAAATTTTTTCAAAACGTTAATTTTAGTTCTAGAAAAAGCTGAAAATAACCTTGGTTCGATTTTACCTTTAAAGTTCTTAGGAGATTGTTCTAGGTGGAAACTTGTAGGCAGGTTTTCGCGCAGAGTTTTTTTAACGTCAATCTGATATTTGATGAATTTTCCGATCCGCTTGAAAGATTCTAGATAGGTATTGATAATCTCGAAATCCACAAAAGTCCTTTCATTGTTTTGTTATTTCGATTCAAAGTTCTCACTGTAGGTTCATGACTGAGGATGGTTTATAGACAGCGTTGTCGCTTCTGCCCGCAGACGCGCTCGTCGGCCTGATCACTTTCGGCCGGATGGTCCAGCTGCACGAACTGAGCGTTCAGGGAATCGCCCGGAGCTACGTCTTCAAGGTATTTATCTCATTTCCTTTTATTATTTTCGTGAGAAGTCGCGTCTCAAAGCGACTAATATTGTCTCTTTTGTCCTCGATTCTATTTTCAATAATAATCTTTCGCGGAATTGGGTATATTTTTGTTAATTATTTTTCTTAAAAGTAGCTGGGATAAGTAATTGAAAAAGCTTGGTGCACTATTTCGAAGCGCTTATGTCATCTTTGGGATATTCTCGTCTTTCCGTGCTCAGAAGTTTGATTAAATGGGAAATCTTCATCAAGTGAACATGTTTGCCAAGCACAACTGACCATAACAAAAACAAAACAACGTTGGCAGATATTGGAGCAAAGTTCTTCAAGCGGTTTTTCTAGAAAATTGAAAAAAAAATGTTGATTGATCATTAGGATTTCTCAACAAGTGAACTATAATTGAATGACATCGACAAAAGCGCAGATCCCAATTAAAAGTTTGTTCCGATCTGGGAGCTGCATAGCACCGGCTTATTAAGGATTTAAAATAAGTGTGTCCCTCGAGCGGATTGTCATCGACGACCCATCACGATGTTTCCGCCTATCCGCGAGAGCCTCTTTATCTTTCCTCTGTAGTTCTGAAAATCGACTCATTCGGGACATGGAGATATGGTGTGACAGTTGACTTTTTCTCATTATGCGTTCGCTTTTGACAAGTCACTAAGTATGTTTCTTTTTCTTTTCAGTTTAAAAAAAAATTTTTTCTCTTCTCTAAAGCAAAAATTAATAGAAAATGTAATTTATGATGAACTCAGTAGGAATATTATTATTTTTTCACTATCTCCCGCATTTTCTTCGTTGAAATGAGCAAGCAAATGCGTATATTCATCGGCGATAATTAGATTTGTGTTTGGCCAAAATAATAACCAACGAACCGAGCTTCTGTCGGCGTGCAGGTGTCTCCGAAGTATCTCTTTGTCCAAAACGATTTCCAATTTAGAAAGGCTCTCGAAAGCTTCTTTAGCGACTTCGTTGAACTCCGGTGTCGGCGCGGCCGAAGTTTGCCAGAAGAATGTTTGCAGAAGAGCAAGCAAAAATATCTCGATGAGCATGACAAAGCTGTGTAGTGAAGTATTCCGTTTTTCTCTGCAAAAAAAGCAACGTTTGTTTCACTAGACAAAAAACGATGTAGAAACGGAGCATATGATGAGCGAGGAAGAAAAGAGAAAAGACAAGTTAAAGAGAAGAGATTCTCTCCGAGCGAGTTCTGGACTAATGTAAGAGAATCTGGGAATATTAGAATAAAAGCGACAAGGCGGAGGCAGCGGTGTTGTCCCGCCCCTAACGGACGCCGATTATCGCGGCTTTGTTAGTGGAGGCCTTAAAATCCCAAGCTTACATTCCAAGCGACCCTTATCTTGGCTCGACGGGTATTTCACAGCGGCTAAGAGATGGCTAAGAAGCTTTCCTATTTTTTTAAATTTCTCTGTTCGTTATTGAGAATCTGGAATAATCGTGCACAAACACGGCTGAAACAAACAACACCAAATACTTTGGGGGATCCGAGGACTTACTCCTTTTCCATTTAAACCCAGCCTTAGTGAAAGCAAGATGGAAGTTCTACGAAATTAAAAAAAAAAACTGAGAAATGCAATAGGTATCATAAAATTTTATTTACAAATCGTTTGAAGCAGCGATTTTCCTTCTCATCTCACTAAGCTTCTGTAGTTTCGAATGGGAAATAGTTGACTTATCAGGCTTAGTTTTGTGACGCTTTCAAAAAAAAAAAAACGTGTTCCAGGGAACGAAAGAAGTGACCCAGAAGCAAATAAAAGACATTCTCGCCTCTAACATTGGCGGTGTTCGTGCCGGACCGGCAGCTGCGGGGCCTGCAGGACCTGGTAATGGTTTTCTCGTGTCTGTGGCCTCATTGGCAGCCTTTAGGCGGTGTGCCAGTTGCTCCTGGTGTCCGCGGACCTGCTGGAGTTCCAGGGGGAGTCGGGGCTCCAAATGCGGCTCCGGGTCAGGGAGCTGGACCTGCAGTCCACGGACCTCCACAAAACAAGTTCCTACAGGTTTGTATTTCTATTTGGCTTCTTGAAAAAACTGTTTTCTTTCAGCCTATCAGCGAATGTGACGACTCGATTAACGATCTGATCGACCAGATAACCTGCGATCGCTGGCCGGTTCCTCAAGGACATCGTCCTCTGAGGGCCACTGGAGCCGCTCTGGCTGTCGCTGTGACTCTCCTCGAGGTGGAGCACGTCTGACATGAATATCTTCAATTGGTGTAGTTCAGGCGAGCTTCCCGAACACTGGAGCTCGCATCATGTCCTTTATCGGCGGTGCATGTACTCATGGACTCGGATCTGTCGTTGGCGAAGAACTCAAAAACCCAATTCGCTCGTGGCACGACATCCGCGAAGACAACGCGCCTTTCATGAAAAAGGCCTCCAAGTTCTACGATTCTTTGGCTAACAGAGTCGTCAAGAACGGCCACGCCGTCGACATCTACTCCTGTGCCTTGGATCAGACTGGATTGCTTGAGATGAAGAATCTTTTCAATTCATCTGGAGGTTCTCATGGGTGACTTCTTCTGAATCAAGGTTTTACAGGCCATGTTGTCATGGGCGATTCCTTCAACTCTTCGCTTTTCAAGCAGACCTATCAACGCGCGTTCGAAAAAGACGCCAGTGGTCATTTGAAAATGGGCTTCAACGCGACCATGGAGGTGCTTCAAGAAAGAGAAGATAGAGATTAGAGGGAGAATAGAAATATCTTGAATTGAACAATCAACTTATTGTAGATAACATAGCTCTTAAAAATTACTTTCAACTTCTTTCGTTTTTCTATGAATATTTTTCTAACCAGGGAACGTTTTTTACCCCCCGGTTGAACTTTTGCTGAAACTTTGCTGAAGTGTACTTTAGGACCTCCTGATTGCAGATCAAGAAAAAAATTTCTCGCAATAGATCTTCTTTTCGAGTTATAGAGCTTCGAAGTGTGCAAAATACGCAAATTAGGCCAAAAAAGCGCTATTTCGGGCTTTTGAAGTGTCCTAACTCGAAAACGAGATCTATTGCGAGAAATTTTCTTTTTGTTCTGGAATCAGGAGGTCCTAAAGTACACTCCAGCAAATTTTCAGCAAAAGTTCAACCGGGGGGTAAAAAACGTTCCCTAGTAAGGGGTTTTCTTTTCAAAGGATTCATTGGATTTTCTATATTTCAAACTCAACTGAGATGATCTGTTAAGGTGAAAGTGGGCGCTGGTCTGAAGATCGAAGGCGTCCTGGGATGCTGTGCATCTGGAAACGTTAAAAACGCGGCGGTTTCCGACTCGGAGATGGGCATCGGCGGCACTTGTCAGTGGAAGTTCGGCGCCATCTCGCCACGGACCACGATCGGCGTCCTTTTCGAGATCTGCGCCCAGCACGGCACGGCCATCGCCCAGGGAGCTCGCGGCGTCGTTCAGTTCGTCACGCAGTACCAGCATTCGGACGGCAGAAAGCGAATCCGCGTGACGACAACCTGTCGAAACTGGGCCGACATGACCTCTGCCCAGCAGAACATCGCCTATGCCTTCGACCAGGTAGGAAATGCGAAAAAAGAGTCCACAAATACAAAAGAATATCGAAAAAAAAAAAACAAAAAGCTCATTCAAATAACCCTATGGTATTTTGGGAAGAATCTCAAAATGTTCCTAAATATTGTTTTGCCTATTGGACTTATTGAATTTTCATTGGTTCCGCAATAGAAATTTTCCGATTTTTTTCTTCATAGGGCTAGGGAAGATGATTCAAAAAGTTTTTTTGTGAATTATCATCAATTTTTTTAGCTGGGTTCTGTGATTTTTAATTTAAAAAAAAAATAAGAGACAGGGTGGAGTTCACACAAATGTTTGATTTTTTTTTTCTGGAGTGTAAGACTTTAAAGAAGGAACAAGAATATCAGTGTCGGAGGAGAGCTTTTGGAAGAACTGAGGCAGCGAAATCCTTGCATTAATGATGAAATCTTTAACATTTGCTATGCATGAACATAGCTAACTTTAAAATTTTGTTGACTTCAAAATGCTTTCGCGCGTCATTTTCATCAAGTAAAGCATTGTAGATGTTTGAAAAACCTCTTCAAGGGTTGATATCATGACTTAATATAAATAAGAAGGCTTTGCAAAGTGCACTAACCGTTGATAATACACAGTTTTCTGGAATGGAAATGCAAAAAGGAGAGAATAGACAGGTCGGTAGTATATCATGAAGGGACAAGTTTAGTAACAAATGTCCTATGATGTGAAGGATTTCTTAAGCACCTTGTAGTTCTTTTGGATATCTCTCTGTTTTTTGTTATGTGCTATGCAATGTGAACAAAAGTACTATTTTCTCAGAAGAAAGGATGAATAATCCCCAGCCGTTCTTATTTTTTTTTTTGTAGTTAGTCTTCCTTTTATCTCTTACAAGGAACAACAGAGGCCCAAATCAGGGACTCCGAATCTGAGATTATCGGATTCAGTAGTTGACTTGTGAATTGAGTCTCGAGAATCATTTTCATCCGAGTTGGGATGACTTATTTCCTCAAAGAGAGATTTGACCCCTAATCTGTTTTCAATCAGGAAGCGGCGGCCGTGGCGATGGGTCGTCTGGCGTCGTTCCGGGCGATGAATGAGAACGACACTCCAGAAGCTCTGAGGTGGCTCGACCGCACCTTGATCCGACTCGTTAGTCAATTCTTATCACAAATCCTCGGATTTCAATTGATCAACTACATAATCCTGTCTTCGCCTTGTGCTCTGTTCTCTTTATGGTGTTATCGCGACGTTTTCAGTGTCAAAAATTCGGGGAGTACGCCAAAGATGATCCCAACTCGTTCCAATTCCCGAGCAAATTCTCTCTGTTCCCTCAATTTATGTTCCATCTGCGCCGTTCCCAGTTTCTGCAAGTCTTCAATAATTCACCGGACGAGACAGCCTATTATAGGTCTGTTTTGAGAAAGGAAATTTAAAAGCATATTGAACTATATAGGCACGTCCTTTTCTCGGAAAATGTCGTTGAGAGCACTACGATGATTCAGCCCGTCCTGTTTAGCTACTCTTTCAAGTGAGTTGAAGAATGGGCTACCCCAGTACTGAGATCGAATTAAAAAATAAAGAGAAGCAAGAGAGAATCTCTCTAATCTAATTTTTAAAACAATCGATCTTGATTGTTGAGCGGACTTCCAATCATTGGTTTCAAAATTTTCCGGTAACTTAGTTCTGCTCTGGTACTTCAGTTTTCTCAGGATCTTCTATTATTCATGACTGTAGGTTTTTGTGGAACACTGGTAAGTTTATAAGTTATTCACTGCTGGCTTGAGACAGGAATCATTGAGGGTCTTCAAATAATAAGCGAATTCGTTTGCGAAAATGAAAATTAAAGAAGTCTCTGTGAATTTTTTTTGCCAAGTTAAATTAGCAGAAGTACATTTTTAAGCTTCTCTAAAGGGACTTGTGAGAGGAAAAATGTTTCAGCGGTCCGCCGGAGCCGGTGCTTCTGGACACGTCCTCGATTTTGCCCGATAGGATTCTTCTCATGGACGATTTCTTCCACGTTCTCATCTTCCACGGCCAAGTGCGTGTTCTAGGCGCGTCGTCGACTAATCGGCTTTTGCTTGAAGACGATCGCCCAGTGGCGCAAGATGAACTACCAGGACGACCCGCAGTACGCCTCGTTCAAGCAACTTCTCGAAGCTCCTGTGGCTGACGCGACCTCCATCCTTCAAGAGCGTTTCCCCATGCCGCGTTACATCGTGACCGAGCACGAAGGATCTCAGGTTGGCTTTTCTGTTTGTCAGTAGTAGCTCCAAATGTTAAGGCACGATTCCTGTTTGCCAGAGTCAATCCAGCTCTCACTCATAACAACCCCTACGCGACGGTTTGTTTTCTTTTTCAATAAAATATTTATTTCGAAAGATATCAGAAGACTTTTCAAAGTTCAAGCTCAGAGAAATTACAGGAATTTTTTCAACTCAAAAGAAAAGAAAGTTTCAGGAAGCCGGCGCGGCTGTGTTCACCGACGATGTGTCTCTCCAAGTTTTCATGGAGCACCTCAAAAAGCTTGCTTGCTCCTCTTCCACCTAATTATTCATTTCTTTTTTTCTCTTTCTGTTCATATTTAACTTAAATCGCTTCATGTGATATATTTGCCCGTATTTCCACCGATGCGTCTTCTATAGATTTGGTTTCTGGATTTTCACTCTTCCCTATTCACACGAAAGCAATTTTGTAAAAGCATTGATTAACGTGATCTTCTTTAGTGTGTTTTTAGAGTTTTATGAATTGATTTTATACATTTTTTTTTGATAACAATTGAAAAGATCATATTTTTAACAAAGAAAAAAGAAATTTAGTTTACATAGAAGCACTGTGTGCGTTGGAATGTCTTCGTTGAGTCTTTGGCAATTGAGTTTCGAATTAAAATCCACGAATCACGCAGTACGCCTCCAGAGTGCTCAGAATGATGTAGGTCAACCAAACGCCGAAGAAAATGGCCACGGATATAGTTCGCCAGCCAGTTGGACCTCCCAACTCGGCACTTATGTTACGATTGTTTCTGCAACCTCCTATTTTGTTCTCGAAATTATTTGTTCGTCACCTTCGGAATTGAAGAAGCGCCACGCAGACTATTGATCCTATAAGGAACATGGACACAGAGAACGCTAAAGAACCGGCGTTCACTCTGAAATCTTCTGTTGGTGTCAGTCAACGATTCTGTTCTCACAAAAATTTGGTTCCGCGGTACGCATGAGCACATGCAGCGATCGCCCAGGCGATGCCGATACCGAGGAAAACGTTGACTGCGTTCGAGCCAGTGACGTTGCCGATGGACGAGTCCGCCCATTTGTCCTGTACTGCGGCAGTTTTCGAGGCGAACGTGTCTGAAAAAGACGTTCGGCACGGTCGTTTCCGGGGCAAACCTGGCAAGGAGGTTCCCATCGCGACAAGAGTCAACGCGGTGACGGAGTCCTTGAGACCGACTGTGCAGCCGAAGTGCGCCGCGATGTCCCCGATGAAGGCCGTCAGAAGGCCGATCATGAAGATGGCCACAACGAAGCACAACCAGCCGTTGGCGTAGTCGGTCGGCGGGATCAGGGCGAAGAGCAGCTTCCACGGCAGCGACAAGTAGTGCATCACCTTGTCTTTCACGCCGATCGTCTCGTCCTCTGCAATCCAGTCGCTCAGACGTTTGGATCGAACTGAAGCCCTACCTCCGGCTTCCAGAGTGAAAGCTTCGTCGAACTGTTGACGCCAACTCGAGGTTCCCACCATGATCGAAGTGTTGGCCGTCACCAACATTTTGTCGACAAAGTTCTTGAATTCTTTGTCCTCTGTGATGACGACTTTGCAGCGTGCGAGACCTAGAATCGGTTTCCCATCGAATCCTTCTTCCTGAAAGGCGATGTTTATAGAAAAGGAAACAAAGACTTACGTTTTCTCCAATCGCTTTGTGCCAAATTGGCTCGCCCAGCTCAATGTAAAAGTCCTCGTTTTTCTCATACTCGTCGTCGTTCACGATGGGAATGAAGATTTCAGCCATAGTCTGTTCGTCGGCGAACTTCAGAACACCACTTTGGTGTTCGTAGTCTTTTCCAGCCTTGGCAGCTCCGTCGACCGTCTTGTACGGTATCGAAACTTCTCCACGAGCTCCTCGAGTTCTCATCACCTCCAAAGAAAGGTTGTTAAGGTCTGCAAGAGAGGAGAACCTCAGCAACGAAAGACCCGACGCTTTCGACCACTTTGAAGTTCTGCGAAGCAAAGCCGAAACAGCCGGAATGGTCGTCGTCGATGATGAGGACGGTCGCCACCGAAGCGGCGCCTATCCTCACTGGGATCGAAGAAAACTGCTCTGCACGGAAAGCTCGAGGCTGCAATCGAACTTCATTTTTTTCCTTTTCTGTGTTCCTACCTGAGACAAGCGGACTAAGAACTGCTCATCATCTTCATAAATGTCGTTGTCAACAATTCCAACGCGTATTTCTTGTCTAGAAAATACGTCTATGAAACATTTTTGCATCCAATTATTATTATTTTTTTCTTTTTGAAGTCAGCTCGGTCCGAAGCATTAAGTGGCTTTTCGAAAAGCTTTAAACCTTATTAGAATCGATCAATCTCGAAAAAAAAAATTGTAAAAACAAAGATGAAAAGATGAAAAGATGAAATCAACAGGCAGATAAAAAACCGCATTTTAAAAAAAGTTTTAAAAAAAATTTGCTCTTGAAGTTGAGCTCACTCACTCGGAAACTCCGGGAGGAAACGTCAGAGTGCCTTCCGTGGGAATGAAGTCGGAATGTTCCTGGGCCGTATCTGCGACTGTCCTGAAACTTCGGAATAGCCTAGCCGGAAGCCCTTCTTTCTTTACCGATAATGAGCGCTGACTGTGGTGTCTTCGCCGACAGATCCTCGGTCGCACTTCACTTTGAGAACGATGTCGCCTACGTTTTCCAGACACGTGTAGTGAGGCGGATCGAACCTGAAACTCTTCTTTGACCTCGGTCTCCTCGCTGCTCAGTACTCCACGACGATGCAGTTCAGCTTCTTGACAGGAGCTTCACTGTCATCCTTCTTCTTGGTCACTTTTTTCTGGATATCCCCCGAGCCAATCATTTTGCGAGTCGTCTATGAAAAGACTGACGTCTCTGAGGTTTCCTAATCCTCACCTGCACTCGGTAAAATGCGCGGCTTTTCTTCTGTTCGCCTAAGACCTCTTGCATCGCGTACTTCTCCAGCTCATTCGGCGGAGCGTCTGGGTGTTCCGACCTGCAAGTCAGCCGCTCTATCAATGAGAAGTCCTGCGCGTCAATTCACTCTACCTGAGCTTTTTGAATATTTCCAGATAGTGCCGTCTATGTGTCTCGAAGGCCAGTGCATCTGCGTCTCCGATGAGAGAAAGCCTGACAAATTCAACTGTGTTTCCAGCCGAAGATAACGTCTTTTTTACCGATGTTCGTCGGCAGCATGACCGTTCTCAATAGTGACGTCACGTTTTCCACTTCTCTGCGTCCTCTGCGATCGACGGCCTCCAACAAAAGTCGAAAGAGGACCGCTGATCAAGCTTAAATCGAAAAATTAGGTTTTTTTTTTATGATTGTGGTTAGCTCACCGCTGACCAAAGGTTCCAGCATGGGCGTCTGCAAAATAGGCTGTGGCGACAGTTAGAGGGAAAAAGATAAAGGTCAAGATTCCCTCCCAGACCTCAAAATTGTTGGAACTTATCTTACTAAGAGCGTTAATGTGGTACCTCGACTTCTCCAGGACTGAAGAAGCTAAGAATGAGGTAGAGCCAAATGTAGGCGAACGTCGACCAGGCGACTGTCACCCAGAAAACTCCATTGTGCTGCACTCGACGGCCTTCGCCTTTCGGGATCGCCTTCAGACAAAACCAAAAATTATTTCAAGAACTTCAATTGCAGATATTTAGTTAATATTTTTTCATTTCTGGTGATTTCTCATGGATGAAATAAACACTATTATTAGAAAAGGGAAAGTGAAAACTCAACCATGATACAAACGGCGATGATAATGAAAAGATTGAAGGCAGCCGAGCCGACGATGGTCGAAGGACCGAGGTCTCCAGCCTCGAAGTTGTTGCCGAAGATCTCGATGACGGAGAGCAGGATCTCCGGCGCAGAAGAGCCTGAAGATGGTTCTGAGGTTCAGAGAAAAGACGCGGAAACAGACCCAAGGCCATCAGTGTCAGGTTACTGACTGTCTCATTCCACACGCGGATGAGGATCGTGTACGGCTCTCCTGTTATCTGAAATTCAACGTCCGGAATATTCAAAAGCAATTTTTCTTGGCCTCATGCTTTAAGTCAAATACATAAATGACTGATCAAAAACCTTTTAAAATCGAAAACTTAACAAAATAGGATAAAAACCAACTTTTTTCATTTTTACTTCGCGCTCTTGAGATGTTATCACCTCGATTGAGGCCATGAACCTGAAAAAACTTTACTTTTTGCCTTTTCGCGATACGATTTTTAAAAAAATGTTCCAACTTCGTTTGATTTGAGTGTATAATTTGAACTAACGGCGCCCTCTCAACCTTCTTTTTTTTTTTAGAAAACTCGTCTTTCAACTTGAAAGTTTCGAATAGCAGACGAACCTGTCTGCGACGATGGAAACGCCAAAGAAAAGGTAGAACAGAGCGAAAAGATAAACGACGGCACGGAAGATGATCGTGCATCCTGAGAGACTCTCCTAGAAAAAAAAGCGGTTCAATGAAATGATATAAAATTTCTTGCTTCTCTTGTTTCCAGGAAAAAGCTACAAATTGAGTTTGTGGGCTCGTTAATCGACTATATACTTACCGTGGGAGTCCAGACGGGCAACAGGACGCCCGGCGCGCAAGGCTTTGCCTTTGAACACGTCGGCTCTTCGAGTTCTACTTGGGCCGCCGCCAGAGACGCAGCCAGCGCCAGCGCCAGAAATCCCACTAACGTCGGCTTGGTCATCGTCCACCTCGCATTTGTTTGGCCTTGAAAGCGAAAAAAGGTCTGCTAAAAATTGACTTCCGAAAAAGACAATCCAAGAGAAAAAATTCTGAGCCGTATCAGAAAGTAGAATTCTGAGGAATGATTTCAGATCATCAAAAAAAAAAAATTCGAAACGAAACAGAAAACATGAACAAAGTAATAGACTAGTGAAACACAATGGATCTCGAAACAAAACAAAAAAGAAAAGGAATTTTCGCGCCAAAGTTCATCAATCTGCGGTAACCTCGGAAGAAATCTGCGTGCGACAATTGGGCGTCCAACTGAGCGCCGAGCTTAAGAAGTTTCTTGATCCCTGGGGCATATTTGCAGAAAATAAAAAGAGGCAAGCGCAAAAAGGGGTTTTTGTTAGATTTCAAATGCGTTTCCTCGTAAAAGAACGACATTTTTGGGTGCATAAGGTGAAATTGCGCCTGCGGAACTGGAATACCAGTGATGGGTTGGATTGGATTGCAAAACAAACACGGATGATAGGAGAAACAGTGGGAACTTCTCCCAGCTCCAAATTTTCCACAAGGTCGTTCTCTTTCGCTGGAAAATCATTCCGGCCTGAAACTGGCGCAGAAATACGAGAAACATCTGTTGCTATTGGAGACCTTTTTTGAAAAAAAGAAGCACATGAGACTTGTTGCGAGGCTCATTAACCAGTAGGAGAGTTCCTGGAACTGCCGACGTCCCCCAAGAACAAAAAAATTAGAGTGAAACTCGGGTGTGGCCTTCAGAATGACGAGAATCGCTGAAGAGAAACAGTCGAATGTGCGACAGGCAGAAACAATTTGATAAGACGGAATCACTTAACTCCAGTCTGACCTTGGACGCTAATTTTAATCAATGCGCTGTGCCGCTCTGGCAGAAAGCAGACTTGTCAACAGAAACCGGAGGATTTTCGACGTCCAGCCAATTGAACGGCTTCAGAATGGGAAAAGTGCTATCTGATTTTAAAGTACTGCTACTCATCGAGATCTCTTTTCGGTGAGATGTATCAAAATAAATCGTCAATGCTTCAAAAAAACTTTTCACCCATTCTCGAATGAAAAAAAAACAATTTAAGTCAGATGGAAGAGAAAGCGAGCATATGTCATTCAAGTTATTCATGTATATTAAGACACAAGAGCTTCTGGGAGCAAAGACGCTTTTCCCAGGGGATTTCACTCAGATATTCTTATATTTCCATTTTCTGATAAGCCGTCCCAGCAGATGCAAAGACGGCATCCAACCTCTCTAGCCGATTAATGATCAATTGCCAGCCGTGTAGGACTGTGTGGGTAGTGGTTAGATTTCCGGATAGAGTTTCGACTTAGCTCTCGTGAAAATAACAAAATGATTATAAAGGAAGACTTATCACGATAATCACCCCCAGTCCATAGCGCTACTTTAAGCTATTCTGGAGGCCTTTTTGAATTTTTTTCTATTACCGGGGAATGGAATAATCGAGAAGAGCTTGAAAAAAATCTCGAGGAGAAAAAAAATTACTATTATTTTTTAAAAAAACCTTCTGCAAGCTCGGTAAATAGTTCCTGATTATGAGGTTCAAAGGAACGGGATACAAATGAAAGATTTGAATTTAAAAGAGCAAAAATGGGACATTTTTTCAAAGGATAACTGAAAAGGAACTTTCCTATCGAATTTAGATTCCATAGACGCAAAAAAAAATTCAGTGCTCCACTGGAGAAAAGCGGCAGTTTATCCTTGATTCATAAACAATGAAAGGAGGATTGAGAGGTAGGAGCGGGAAGAAATGCACATGGCGTCCACTTTTTCTTCGTCTTGGCCTCTACAATAATAATTGCGATCCTTCGTTGACAGCTGTTTTCGCTCAGCCAACAAGTTTGGAGAACTTGAATAATATCTTTCGACCTTTCCGAAACACATATGAATGTGGAAGAGGCAGAAACTACCAAGAGAGTCGTTCTTTGTGAGAACGGGCGCCAACATTACAATCGTGTCCATCACTCTCCTCGTGGTCGCAATCGGTTCTTTTCCGATTTTTGATTTGTTATTTACGGCTAATATTACCTGAGTAATGGCTTTGAAATTTCTTCCTCAAATTTTCTTTGAGAGAAAAGCTTCCAAGAAGAAATCCATGACAAAAAGGAATAAGTTATGACCGGAGAAGTTTTCAAGAGGTCTCGTGTTCTTGAAGGTTTCAAACAAAAACTTCCTCATTGAAAAAGTACTTGAATCGTTTTTCGAGCGTGAAAATAAAACCAATGAGTTATTGGCAATAACTTTGCAAAAGTTTCGAAAATTCTTTTTTTGAACCAAAGAGAGGTCGTATATGGCAGGTGCTTCAGTGAAATCAAGGCGAAACTCAAAAATCTACTTTTCGGACTTTTTGGCTTGCAATATAGCCTTCTTTCTTGGAAACGAGCTTTAATGTACTTTTCAGCAGAAGAACGAGCAAGAAAGCCAGAGAGAAGCGGCATCGATCCCCCAAAAATGGACTGCAAGACCGGGCTGAAAACCAAATTAAAACAAGGCTGCCTACAGAAAGAGAACAGGGAACGGAGAAAAAGGTCGTTAAAAGTTGGAGAGAGACGTTCCCTTCACGTCCAAACTGTACGTTCTTCTAATCAATTTAGCCTTGATCACAAAAAAGTAGTCCATCAACCCCCCCCCCTACTAGACGATCAACTAGACAAAAACGAGGCGACAACCCATCTTTTTTCAGCCGCACACCGAAAATTTTCCACTAATAAAAATTCATAGGGATCTTTGCAGACCAAGATTCAGATTCTTTGCAGATTCACGAAACGTAGCGAATAAACCCGAGCCTTAAACATCGCAGAGAACGTTCCACCGAAAATAGCGCGACTGAACTTTTAGATCTTAGGAAAAGAGCAAAAAAGACGCCCAAAATCAACCATCAATTCAAATTTGTCAAAAAGGGCCTTGGGAATAAGAAGAAAAGAGAGGGCAACACGGCCTAATTGGTAAAAAGCTTTTTGTTCAGTGTATGCAAGCTCTTGGTCTCGACGTTCCATCCATTTTCGTGCAACGATTCCGCCGGTAACAGACTTTGTTCGAATACAACAAACATTGATTGCTCTTCTAGCCTTAATGAGAAAGGAAAATGAAAATCGTAAACATTCGAAGCCAAAGACTAATGACGGTTGTAATCTTTCGATTGAGGCCGAACCAACTAGAGCGGAGAAGTGAAAAGAAAAAAGAAGAAATGGGGAGCCATTAGAAGAGAACGATGAAAATGATTCTGAAGGAGAAGAAGAAGAAGACGTAAATCAAAGAGAAGGTTCCTTTCGACCGCTTCTGAAGCCATCAGGACGTCGTCGAGAGCGTCTGACAAACAAATAACAGCATCGCGAAACGACGAGAATCATCCAATTTCGGATGAGGTTTGGCCGGTCAAGAATCGGAAGCTGGCAAAGACAACGTTCGGCGTGAGAAAAAGGAAATTCGACATTTTTGGTGGGAAGTCGAGTTAAGCTTGTTTTTAAAGCTTCCAGGAGGTTATTTTCCTCAGATGCAGTACCAGACAGTTTTATGAACCGAAAAACTTAACAGAAACAAATGAAAAATCAGTTGAAACATTACTTGTGAACGCTTGCATTGGAACATAATGGTATTTGAAAGTTCCCAATCTCATCATTTCTTTATTTTTTATTTCGTGATATTAGAAATTTCACAGAAGAATCAGAAATTTTGAAAGAAAAAGCACTCAACCGTTTTGTCCGATAACTGGGAAAATGGTAAAAAGAAACAATTTTCGCCCAAAGAACATAAATTGGCATTGAGCACGTAGCAACGCTGTTTGAGAATCGACTTCAACCCAATTCGTACGCAAATATATACGAAACGCTGGAAAAGAGCCAATTTTGGAGCTCGTGCGGTTCAAATTTGAAATGCCGCCAGCCGAGTTCAATCCTTCGCCAGAGAAAAGGGGGCGGTTCTCTCAATTCGGCAGAGAAATTAGTGTTGAATCGCTAACAGAAAACTTTCAGGTTCTTCGGGCTGCCTTCCACTTCAACCTATTTTCTTTACTCAACGTTTATTTCGTTATGTACAAACCAAGTGACATTGACTAGGGTTCGGGTGCAAAAATCGGAACGGTGGAACTAAGTGGGAACACGTTTCAGTGAAGTTATATTTATAATCTCTGGTTAATTTCGGGACATTTTGAAATTTTTAATAAAATCCGAGCAAATGATTAAGCGTTTGCAATTTCAAAAGCTAAAACTAACTTGGCAAAAATGGGGAAAAGCACGGAAAAGCACCCAAAGGATCACTAGAAAGTGAAGCGCTCAAGCTTAGCATTTGAGAACAACGCGTGAAAAAAGCGATAAAAAGGAGGTGGAAGGCAAAAGTGGAGGTGGATAGTGCCGCAGAAAGCCGTTTCGTCCAAAAATAACTGCCAGACTCCGGGAAAGTTTCAAGCCACCAAGCACGCAAGTCGAAAAATACACGTCTGCCAGTTCAAGTTACTAAGTTCGCAACAATCTACACGAGTTGAAATCGAGCCAAGAGAAATCATAACAATCAATTATGCAACGAGTGGAAAGTCTACGAGTTCACCGCTGTGACGTATCCTTTGCGCTCCAAAATGCGCAATCGCTTCTCCACGGCCGCCTTATATCTGAAAGCCAAGTTTGAATCCACAAGGATCAAATGTCGGGAAATCTTCGGCAGCACGATCGAACGTTACAGCCATGAGAGCCACAAACTCATCAAGTCTAGTAAGGACCTTTTTTTAACAAAAAGTTATAAAATTTTCATTTGCCAAAAAAAAAAAATTGGACTCCTAACACACTCAGGAGAGCTGAAATAAATTAAAACTCCTCATCACACTTCAACTTTTCATTCGTATTTTGCAATATTTCAGTCTTTATTTTTTCTCATCTTTTTTGGATTTTATTAAACATACTAGTTAGACGTAATTTCATAGTACTATCGTTTCAATTCGAGAGATTTCCATTCTTTTGATCGCAATCGTGTAAAAAAAAACAGGAAAGATATTACCCCCTTCTGAAAACTTGAAGCGCAATTTGAAACAATCAGGAACTACATTAATCCAAAAAAGAGGAAAATTTGATCTTTTTCGATCTCGTTATTTTTTTTTGTCTTTTATCTAAGTTTAACAAAATATACAAACTGCATGAAATGAATTTTTTCAATTGAGAAACTGGAGTGAAAATGTTGTTTTCCTTTTTTTTTTTCGAAATACATCAGAAAACTGACTTTGAAAGGACATTTTTGTCTTGGTCGCAATGGACTTGCTCGGAAAGGGTGTGAAGCATCATGTATGCTGTCTGGTACCTGCAAGAAGAGAAATTGAGAGAATTTCTCGCCGGAAAAACGACCTTTGACTGCATAAATGGGGGTTGCCGAACAATTCGTCGAGTGCAGCCGCCTGACACAGCTCCACGGCGTGTTTGTACATGATTCGTTCAGCCGAGATAATCGACATGGTGGGATCCTGGCCCGGAAGGCCCAGAGAGGCGAGTTCCTGAGACCGGACCAAGCACTGGTGGTACTTGTCGTTGAGCTGGTTGAGGACCGTCTGGACTGCAGGCGAGGGATGCAAAACGCGGTTGGCGACGTTGCGCTGCGCCAGAAGCAGCGCCGAAGAGAGCATATGCAGTGCTCTGACGTACACGACCAGCTGTTCTGCTCGTCGGTAGGCCGACGTCGCCGCGTTCGTCGTCGGCGTCTCCTGAAAAGCTGTCTTCACAACAGAACATAGTTTTTTTCTAGAGATAATACAGAATCCCTCATCTAAACCAGATAAAAATTCCGCATTTTTTTTTGTTTGTTTTTAGGTGTGTGGAAATTGATTTTTATTTTTGAAGGCTGAACGAATCATGTACAAACATTTTAGAAAATATGGTTTGAAAGCTTTGCAATTGAAACCGAAAACTAGGAAATGGAAATCGAACAGCGAAATTCTTGATTTAGGTTATGCATTTCAAATTACTGTTTGCTCAATATTACTGAAATATGTTAAGAAAACAATTCTGTTTTTAAAAAGACAAACTTTTCTGTTGGCCATGGCGGAAGCGAGAGGGTTCTCCTTCTGTTCAGCAACATGGATCAAAGTTTCAACCAACTCGACGACAAACCGGAGCTTCGCAAGAATCTAAAATTTAAAAGGAAATGAAGGAGTTAGGATGACTGGTGTACTTGTTTGTGCTCCTCCTGAAGGACAGTTTCCTGTTCCAAGGCCGGCGGAGCGTGAACGTCGTCTTCGTCGTCGTCGAGGCGGTCGGCGAACAGTGCCGGCGCCCTGGAGGGCAACGAACTTGCGTTTCCGAAAGAGAACGGCCTCTCGATGTCGATCGGATTTTCGTGACGATTCTGGACGCCGGAGTTGCTGCTGGCGACGGCTGCGACTGAAGGATTCGTCGAAGAAGAACTCGCTTCGTCGGCAGACGCTCCGCAACTGTCCAGCATTCTCGAAGAATCCAGTGCTGAATAACGAACATAAAAAAGAGAAAACCCGAAAAGGGAGATAATGTTGCTACCAAAATTTTTTTTGGTAGAGAAAATTCACAAAAAGTAAAAACTATGTGGTTCAGCAAGCGAACTTCGATTCAGTTCTCTGGAAAGAGTAGAAGTAGAATAAAAACATGTGGAAGTCCTTGATATGGGAAAAGATTTTTGTCTAAATAATGTTAAGCCTTTGATCGGAAAATGAGGTAAAAAGGGTTTTTTCCTGCAGCTCTACACGCTGGGATATCGAAAATAAGTTCAGTTAGATTTTTATTGTAACCTTTGAAACTTTCTTTTGGAAAAACATCAAATTGCCCTAAAAATGAGATGAAAAGACTTCCAGCCCGCAGTTTAGCCTAGATCTGTTTACGCCAAAAAACACAACTGATCAGACAACTGGAAAGTGAAAGAACGGAACCTGGATGATTGGAGGCGAAGGCGAGATGGATGGGCTCCCTCACGTCGTCGTCCTCGTCGTCGCTGATGTCGCTGCAGAGAACGGTTTTCGAAGAGTCCCAGGACGTCACCAACCTGATGCTCTTGTTCGCGATGTCCCGGCGAGAATCTCCGTTAGTTCTTTGGTTGGTGGCGAGCTCCGTGGAGCTCTGAGGACCTGTCTGAAGATACTTCTGATTGTCGAGCGGCTCTTGTTGGCTCAGAGGGGGAGAGTTCAGAGGAACGACGGGCGCCGTCGCAGATCGTTCTCTCTGCTGCCGGAACGTCTCCAGATTCGTCGTCGTCGCCGACTTCGGGAGAGGTTCCACTGCAAATTTGTTACTTCCATGAATGAATTCAAAAAAAATAACACACGTTCCCGGCTGTACTAAAAGCGCTCTGAAAGATGTTTCTACGACTTTGCGAAAACAAAAATCTCTATTTTCTGTAACAAAAAGTGAAACTTGTTTTTTTCCAAAGATTAAAAGTTCAAAACATTAAAGGAAAAACACGTTTCACGAGGAAAAGTGGAATCACAGTTTTTAGTTTGCTCTGAAAACATTCAATTAGGTTCTCTTTGTTCTCATAAAACAGGGAAAAAATTATTTTATCCCATAAACTTGAACAGAAATAAGAGAGTGAGATTACCGTGTTCGGGGACCTGACCAGGAAGAAGCGTCGGTTCTTCGGCGGTCGTCAGTGTGGCTCTTCGAGTGCGTGGCTCTGCCAGAGACCTCCGTTGGGCGCCTCCCCGGACCAAGAACGTAGCTGCAAAAGTCGACGTCACGGATTGGCTTCACAACAAAACAGCTGCTGCTGTCATTGTTCCGAAAAACAGAAAGAAAAATAAAGTTTTCTTAAGAAAAAAAAAGAATTCTCACGTTTGATTCAGCTCATGAGAAAGACCTGAATTTCAGTGAAAGAAAAGAAATATTTCAATAAACTTTTTTGAATATAAAAAATACATGCTCTTCCCAGATTTTTCGTCAATAAAACAGAACATATCGTGACCCTAAAAGACCAGAGTACTAGATATAATTTTGAACAAAGTTTGAAGCATAAAACGTTCTACGAAAACTGACTATGCGGGAGGTTCAAGTTGTCGATGACAGCGGCGTTGGGCGTGACGGAAGTTGGCGAGGCGGCGACGTGGGAAGCGAACGAATGAGTGGCGACCGGCGAACGCGACGTCGCCTGGACAGGAGGGGCGACTACAGCCGAAGCTCCACGACGTTCCTCCATCTTCTGGAAGGCAAGCCGCTGACTCGGGACAGGAACGGCCTTCATCGCAGAGTGCGCGTCGCCCGTGTGCACTTGCACCTTCAGAAGACGAATCTCTGGGGTTTCCAGCGCAGACTCACTTGTTTCACAGGGCTCCCCTCTTGCTGTCGCTGGTGCAACGGCGGCAGGAACGTGAAGTCACCGCTGTCCTGGAGACCTGGCGCTCCGTTTGGCTGAACCGTCCGTCGGGAGGTTCGTGGGGAGCTTGGCACAGATCCTTGCGAGTTCTGATGCGGAAGCTGCAAAAATCAGTTTCTACGTATATTTTTTCCAAGATATTCCCATTCTTGATGAATGAAAAAGAAAAAAGTCATGGGCTAATGAGCAGATTAAAAGAATTCAATAAGTTGATGAAAACCAGAACTTTTTAAAGGTTATATAATGGAGAAATTGACTTTGAAAAAAAAATTATGAAAATGTGTCTATACCATTTTTTTAAGGTTCTACGAAATTTAGTTGATCAAACAATTTCTCGGAACCATTTTTTTTTCTCATATTTTTTAGAAACCCTTTTTCACTTTTAGGATATTTCTTAATATTCTATTTTTTTATAACAAGAAATCTCGTTAAGATCAAAAAAAGAAATTTTTAAATATATTAGTTTTTACCAAAAGTTTTTTTGGGTTTTTTTCATTTTCGTTTTAAAAAAAGGGAGAAGAGGTCATAAAATCCTTTAAAAATCACCACACGGCGCCCAAATGTCGGACTGTCGAGTTTGGAGGCGATGCCTCGACGTGGAACGGGCAACGCCGATGTCTGCGGCGATCCAAACGCTCTTCTGAACAAAAAGACAGTTTCCTCCTCTTCTTTTCAGTCTGAAATAATTTGAATCGAAAACCTTGACGGAACCGGAGACTGTGAAACGCCTTCGATAATTCTTTTCGAAGAACTTGGCGTCGGTGGAGTGACCAGAAACGGATGATTGAAAAAGTCTTCTGAAACGAAGAATTTTACTTATCCAGAGAATCTGTCCTTCATTTTCGATTCCTATCTGAAATTAATAAGACAACTAAGTTAAACACTGATTCGTGAATTGGATCAAAAAAAAAAAATCATTACTCACAAAACATTTTTTTCACTACAACAGGACTATTTATTAATTATATTTTTGTTATTTTGCAGATTTTACTTGTCCTCAAAATACACGATTAATTTGTCAACGCACCAAAAGATATCCGTTCTCTGGGGTTTTTCTTGAGAAGTCGCAAAAGAAGGTCCCGCAAGTTCTGCGAGCACCAATCAGGAACATTCGGTCGCAAATCACGCGATTTCTCGTAGTAAGCTTTCAGTTGTGGTGGTGTTTGAGCCTGAGCCAGAATATAAAAAATGAGATTTGGAGATGAAAAGAACCTGGAACGGCGCTTTTCCAGTCAAACATTGGAAAACAATAGTACCGATGGACCAAAGATCAGCTTTCGCGTCATAGTTTTGAGACATGATAACCTTAAAACTTTGAACTTTTTCTTAAGCCAATAAATGAAAACCTCAGGAGCCATGTACATCGGTGATCCGCAAAGCGTCGCTGCCATCACTCCATCGCTCAAAAATCGAGCGAAGCCGAAGTCGGCCAACTGCACAACTTTCATTTTACTTTATTTTTGCGCAAATCGTTCGAAACCTTTATAACGATGTCCGTGTATGGGGCATTTGTCGTGGTCTTGTTCGTATAACAGAGAAGAATGTTTTGCGGCTGAATCAGTTATTGGACTCAATTACAGAAAATACAAACAAATGTTTTTTTCTTTCTGATCATTTTTTTCTCTAAAAATTAGCTCAATTAATTATAGTGCTGTAAAATTACAGAAGTGAAAAACATATTTTTCATATTTTTTTAAAGAAATAATAGAATTTTTCGATGACATATTCTGTTCACATTTTGAATTTCAAGTATGATGAAACCGTTCGAAAATTCTGTTTGAAGGGCTCGCTTTCTGATTGGTTGCGAATGATTGATTGATTGCGAAATTATGGGCTGAGCTTGGCTGATGGCTTGACAAAAAAAATGTGAAAGAAACGAGCTCCGTAATAGCCAAATTTTCACTCAATGGAGTTTTTCAAGAACTATAAAGGAACTTTATAAAAAAAGTTTGACTAATGAAATTGAAGTTATTTAAACCTTCAGATCTCTGTGAACGATGTCTTTCTTGTTGATGGCTTCAAGTGCGCGTGCTGAACTTCTTAGAACTTGAAAAGACGAAAAGACAGGAGTCCTAACCGATTTGGATGACAAAATGCTGGATCGTGTCCTCCTTAAGGGTCGTTTTCTGCTGAAGATAGTCGGCCAAGTCGCCTCCATTGCAGAATTCCATCACCAAGTAGACATGCGTCGGTGTTTCCGTACATTTCAGAAGAGAAACCAGATTCTCGTGTTTTAGTCCGCTCAGTTCCTAAAAGTCCGAAGTAAACAGATGTATTTTAGTGCATTTCACAAAATTAATTTCCCCTATTCCAAGTTTTTATACGACTATACCGCTTTAACCACCACACATGATCAAAAAAAAACTCACAGTTCAATTATAAAGGCAAAAAAAATTTCACCTTAAGGATTTTGATCTCCTTCGTCAGCAAGTTTTTCGATTTGCTGATGTTCTTCTTGGCTATCGCTTTGATCGCGACAGGAATTTCAGGTCTCTGCAAAAATAACTTCGAACGAATTTTACTAAAGTAACTTTTACGCTTTTTCGGCTTTCTTTATCTTGAGCTACGTTTTCACTCTTTTTTTTTGAGTAAAAATCTAAAGTAATTTACGAAAGTTTTCCACCTTTCAAGCTTTCTCTTATAATTTTCTTTTCTCTCCTTCTACTCTATAATTCGACTACAGAAGCTTTGTTGAAAGGAAAGGAGGAAGGAAACGACGCTGATCGCCAACACAAGAAGTCGCGGGAAATATCGAATTTCTCACAACAGGCGGCAGAAATTGATACTCAGATGCTGTCAAAACTCATCCTAATCATCAAAGGCATTTCTTCCTCACGCTCGTTTCTTCATTCATGAGAGCAAGATCAAAACTGAAAATGAATAATTACATCGATGTGTCGCCCTTTGTAGACGATGGCGAAGGCGCCGTGCCCCAAAAGCTCGCGTTTGCTGTATTCAAAACCATCGAATTGCTCCATTTCTTTATAGATGATACAGAACTCGCATTAAAATCTGAAAAAGAACACGATGTGGATTGGCGTTTTCGTCGAATCGAGAGAGCCTTCGCTAAACGAATAGTTCTTATTAAGAAAGATTTTTTTAAAAATAATACATGTATTACTTGTATATACAAATACAGCGATAAATTAATGAAAACGCAAAAACGCGTTTCTTCTAGCTCATATTAAAAAGCTTACATTACATATCAATAGCCTCTGATACCGTTAAAAAAAGCAATTGTAAATACAAAAAAGAAAAATGAAACAATCAAAGACATTATTATATACCAGACAATTAAAACTCAACCCCTTCGATTATTTCTGAACTTTTTTTCTCAATCAACTAAATTGAACAGTTTTCTTTTAAAGAAAAAAAATTTATAAGAAATCATTCCATGTGGTGAAAAATCAGCTCAAAGTTGAGCACAAAAAAAAAGAAATCAGCTGACAGATAGAGGACGTCATCGCAGGGTAATCAATAACAAAGAGGCGTAGGAATGAAGACATCGAGAAATATTTTCGAAAAAAAAGATGAATTTTCCAATAGAGATCAGAGTGAACTAAAAAGGAAAAGGAAGAAGAAGATGAAGATGAAGACGGAATAGAATATATCGATAAAGGAGCACGAGCCAGGCTGGCCGCGGCAAGCTGTCGGCGTACTCCAGCAGACCAACAGTCTCTCATGGCTCTCGCAGCGCTGCGTCTCTCTGCAATCCACTCTGCCTCGATGTTCTTCAGCGCGCTCTTCCTCCAACCACGACGGTGCATTTTCCGACTGGCAAGGCATTCTCGCAACCCCGTTGATTATTTAAACTGACCATAATCTCCTTGAGCTGTCTTTTCCACAGAACAGGAGCTTTCAAAAAGTTTCCTTGCGAAAGAGAAAATTGAACTATCGAAAATTGAAAAAAAAAATTAGGAAACAGAAACCAAGAAGATTAGGTTGTTGAGAATTCAGAATAAGCACTCGGGCAAAGTCGGAATGGTGGATAATGGCTGCTAAAAGGGAGAGGCTCAAAAAAGGCCGCAGAAAGGCAGCAAAAAGGCAGCGAAAGGCAGCAAAAAGACTCCCTTTAACGAGCCTTCCCTTTTTCTGGGATTTTAAAGGCTCGAGAAATGATGGAGAAAGGGAGAGGCAGCAAAAATGGTGCATAAGGGCTGAGAAAATGGAGCAAAAAGGCAGCAAAAAGAGAGCCTTCATCACTCTAAAAGGAACATTTCTATGGTCCTTTATGGACCCTCGGAGGGTCCTTCCGACTTTGCCTATGCATCGACATTCCAAAATACGATCATGAAAAGAGAAATTCATTCCATTTCTGCCAGGTTCGTCTGAAAGCCGATTCGTTGACCAATCGGTCCCCGGCCATTTTCTAAACCCGACGCGATCCGACTTCAGCGAGGCCTCGAGCAAAGACGGCTGGCGTGGCCCAAAGAGCACCAATTTTCTGATGTTGGACTTGAATAAATTCCGTCAAGTCCAACATCAGAATTTTTACGACAAAAATCACTTTTTTGGTTCTTTTTTCACTTGAAATTCAATAGGAACTATGATGTAACAAGTGAAAAAGTTAATTTCGATGAACATTTTGAGTTAGGACCCTGGGATAAAATTTCCAAAAAAGTGGAGAAATCAAGATTTTATCTTTCAAAAAAATTGAAAAATTTGTGATAAATTTTTACTCCAATTCCACAAATAAAATGTATTGTTTACTCGCGTTTCGAAAATATTTTTTGTTGTACCTTGCGCATCTGTTCTTCCAAGTGCTGAATGATGAAGGCCAATCCAATGGGATTACTTATCGGAATGCAGAAAAAAAGCTGCTGGAAGTCTTTCGAAAAATTGTAGTGTAAACTTCAAAAAAAAGGCGTTGACCTCTTTCGCTATGGAGTATAGTTTTCATTAACCGTTCATCCCCTTTGTGATCACCTTTTTCGACCATGACAGATTCGGCTTGTTTGCTTTTCGGCTACAATTGGGGTAACTTGTTTTGAAAGTTATTTACTACCCAATCGAATTTCTATGAACTGAAATAAGATTTAAATTTTCATAAATTTTGGGCCTTCTTTTTCAGTAGACGGTTGGTTGGTCTTCTTTCTGGGATTCACCTCGGCGGCGGTGCTCTGTTCCTGCATTTTTTCTGCCGTTTTTCTGTTTTCAAGATTTTTCGAGACTAAGAACTACAGCTTCCGCATTCGAGTGATTTTTTTTTTATCGTGAAAAGATTTTAACAGTAGCCAGAATTTGCAGGGTGAAGTTGCGTTGCCACCGGCGGTCATCGGAAAGGACCCCTGAAGACAATTTTTGCGAAAACTTTTTTTGTTAATATAAGTTCATTTTTTCAAAAAAATAAACTAAAGAAAATGAAAACTTGTACATTTTTCATTGACAGTAAAATAATGAACTGATTTTTGTTTTCAATAAACTCTGCTTCTCTGACAGAGTTCAGTACGGCAGCGGACCTTCAACCAATGAAATATTCACAAGCAAAAGTACAATCTCAAGTTGGCAAGTATCACGATTTCAGTTCATTAGCGCATTTGCGAAAAAGGTTGGTAGTAGTGGCTGGAGAAACGTGATACGGGTATAGGGTAGAGCCTATAAGGAGCTGCGGAAGCTCATTCCGGCGGCCAATCCAGCTTCTTCCGAGTGTTTCCATTGTTTTCAGAAACTATCGTCTGGTTGGAGCTGCCGAAGGCTTTCTGTTCATTTGTGTCGTCACTAACCTATCATTTACCTCTACGATATTCGGCTTGCCTTCAGCCAAAATTTTTGCCCACCAGTCGAGACCATTTTGATGTTCAAACCGAATTACTTCGCATTTATCTGTGGAGCTGAAGATTACTTTCATGCAGTATTTTAAAGCAGCTATTCACGTGATTTTTGTTTTCTTTTTAAGCCAAAACTTTTTCTCCAAGGCGATAGGTGGATGATTGGCGGTCGCGTGAGCTATCCACTGTTCGCAGTATCGATAAAATATATGAGTAAGCCGTCTTTTCTCCGCCAAACAACCAGTTTTTCCTCTCTGTACACCCGACCTGGCCGCATTTCTTTTCCGCCTTTTTGCGTCTCTACTTTGTTCCTAAAACTATCGTGTTTTTTCGTATAATATTCAGAAACGGCTATTAAACTGAAGTAAAGAATTTTTTATTTAGTGTAATATTTTGGACGTAAACGGAGCTTTGCGCTGATCCCGAGCTACTTATTCAATCAAAAAATCGAGTTTATTCTACAGAGTTTCAACCTTGAAAACTTCCTAGTTTTCATAAAATCTCAGTAAAAGAGTTAGAAGAAACTTTTCTTAAGACTTCAAGTCGTGCTGTTTGAAGTTTCTATAGCTTGTACCACGGTGGTGTGTCCGCAAATATACCAGAAAAATCTCGAGCGGAAAGTAAAATAATCTCTTTTTTAATTCCATTTTTTTTGTAACCGATAATGATTTTTCCGGCTCCTTTTTTTACATCCAAGTTTTTAAACAGTATTTTTCCCAGAGTGTCAAGTGCTCCTCTGCCACCCAAACAGTCAACTTCAGACCAGAACTCGGTTGCCAAACGAGCTCTCTTCGCGTCAAAAATCGCCATTCAATAGTATCTGTCAACAGAAAAGTATCGGTGGGCAAACTTTCTCACATTCTGCCATTCTCACACTTTGAGTTTGGATCCTGTGCGTTTTCAAAGTTCTTAACTGGCGAATGACGACGAGTCTGGCCGGAGATTTATCGGGGCTCGGCTACAGCTGTCCACATTGATTTGCCGTTCAATGTACCTTACGGCCAAAGTCTTTGTCTAACCCCTCTTTCCGTTTTCTATCCGTTGTTTTGAAAGTTTTCTCAATGACTGGTTTCAGTTTCATTCTCTTTTTTTTTCCGTTCATCAATGAAAGTCAGTTTTTTTCAGTCCACGACAACAAAGAATGAAAATCATAGTCGCCTTGTCCTTGTTCATCGTTCTAATGGCTACAACAGGTGAAAATTTTTGTCTTTGATTCTTTAGATTCTCAAAGAAGAATATGCATGGGTCTGGGTGTGCATGGAATTAACTGAGGAAAAAGAATATTTTTTTTTAATTTTTTGTTAACCGCGCGCCGTTTCTAATGTTATGAATGAACGGCTGGAGGGGCATCTTCTTTTTTCGTTACAGTATAGCAAAATCAGCAAAGGAAAAATGTTCATCGTTCTCAATCCCTCAAAACCTTTTTGACGCTTTTCTGAAATAAAAGAGAATAAGTCACACCGATTTTGCAGAAGCTGCGAAGAGGTGTTACTCAGGCTCGAAGGACAGGTACGAGTCTCGTCAGTGTGACACCGGAATCGACGGCAAATTCGTCTGTCAGAAGTTCACCTGTGAAGGCGGCAAATGTAAGCTTTTCAGCTACTTTATCCTCAGTTTCTTCCTCAAAGTTTCGGTTTTGCACTTTTGAGTTTTCACAAGAAATTTATTTGGATGTCTTCTTTCAAATACCTCTCGATCTGTCGAGAATTCAGCTCCGTTTGTGTTGCGGACGTGTGCCTCCAAGTCGATGGGCTGTCTGGCCGGACCGGCGATCTGCAAGTTCAGTCAGGGCTCTGGCTCGTGCTCCCGCTGCGACAGCGACAACTGCAACGCCTGAACTCCTTTTTTTGTTTGTACTTGCGCACTTCACAGAATTTCTTCCCTATCTTTCCCTTTCGGTTGTCTTCTAAGTATCATTGTTAAAAAATATCTAGATTCCTATTTGCTCCGTTGAAAACTAGAAACTTTTGGGAAAAAAAAAAATCAAATATTCAAATTTCATCCTCGGGTAAAGTTTTGTTGAAGAGTTTTTCTGCGAAATTAGAGAGAAACATGACCGATCTTCGTTATAAATTCATAGGAAATCATATTTTTTGTTTGGTTGACAAAAATGTCGCACTTTCATATGTATTATTCAGCAGCTGCAGGCCTTCTTTTTCTTAAATGGCGCATCCAAATAACTAACTTGTCTTCCATTCCAAATGCATTCGATCGAAAATTCTCATTTGGTGATAATTTTTTTTGAGTTTCTTTTTTAAAAGTCTGATTGAAAAAAAAGGTTCACCTCAGAAAAATAGCTATTTGACAGCTTGATAAATTTTCCGCTTTTTTGTTTTGTGATCCCTTTGTGGTTTTGAGTTGTATCACAGTGTTAGAGCATGCAACTTTTTAAGTGTTTTTCACTATGAATGGCAAGTTATCATCCTAGACGAAACTCAAACAAAAAAATATTTTTTTATAATTAAAACTTTCGTCAAGAAATGTATTAATGAAAACAAAATGATCATCTTTTTTTGGCATGTTTATATAATCTCAATTTTTTTGGATCTCAATTTAAAAAAAAATTAAATCTCATTTTTTAAAAAGAAATTTTTTTAAGCTATAGAGACAAACAATTCTGCGTGACCCAAACTTTGGGACATACGCATATAAATCAATTCCAACTTGTATACTCAGTTTTTAAAAAAAGAAGCCAGCAATATATTTTTTTAACATCTAGATAAAGTTCTAGCTGAAAATATAGGCGATAGTTTTGAGTCTATGAGAAGCCGCTTTTCAAATACCGTTGCCGAACCTTTTTTCGGGCCGAGTTCGAACTTTTTATCTCATATCGCAAGGTTATCTGAGGGATCAGGTTGCCCATGTAGTTCAAGACATTTAACACGTGTCCGGTGACAAGACGACGCTTGCAGTGGACTCGAATTTCACGGTGCGCGCTTGTGCTCCGGAGGGGTCGCGGTGCGAAGCTTCGTCGACGGTCTGTGCCGACCAACTCGGCGTCGGCGTCTGCTCCATCTGCGACGACGACAATTGCAACGGCGCCACCGTCGCCGCTCTCTTCGGCTCCCTTCTTGTCGTTCTTCTCGTTTCTTGATCTCCCTTTGTTAGGAATTTAGGATAATTCGCTTTCTGATTTTCCAACTATCTTTTCTCTCATGGATAAATATTTTTTCACAATGTAGGTTTTTTGATTAAAAATAATTTTTCTTTCTGGAAACTTTGGCTCTCATTTTATTCCGAAAGTGTTTAGTATCAATCAACCGTTTTCATGATTATTTTTTTCCATATAATATTTTTAAAAAAATTCGAACGGTTCAGAAAAATAGGAAATGAATTTCAAAATCAAAAGTATTAGAGTTTACCTAAATTGTAAAAACTAAAGAATTTAAGTCGTCGTCGCTTTCTTTTTTGTTCGTTTAAATAAAATTTTACTGAAACAATCAGGACCTAACTAAATTTTTAAAAGTTCAGCTTTTAACTGATAAGGCGAATAAAAAAAATTTGAATCGGATGTTTAGAACTTTCTTTTTTTTCCTTGCCAAACTTCTGCAATCAAAATTTTCATTTTCTGACTTACCCGAAAAAAAAAACAATATATTTCATTTGTCCGTTGTTTTTGCTCATCTTCTGTGTTCAAATCTTTTTGAACAAGTGTTGTCTCTTCTCCTGTCAATCATTTATTCATTGTTTTTGGCCACCACTTACCAGGGTTGTCTAATAAACACTTTTTTCGTTGTTCCTCTCATAACTGAAGTTTTTCACCAGCGTTCTATTGTGAAAGAACAAATAAAAACACTCAAAATAATTTTCTTCGCTTCCGGAAAGCTCTAACGAAGCTGATTTCGAGAGGTTACACAAAAACTTAGACTTCCTCTCTGACGTGGAATTTGGATAGAATGAAAAGAAAAAAACTTTTCGCGCATTTTTATTCTGTACCCAGAATATGAAATTTTGAAAAGGCTCTGAAAAAGACGGGTGCGTATGAGCGGCCGATATTCGTCAATCTTTGAGCATCTTAAGAGAGAGTCAAGAATCTTTGAAGTCAGGTCAAAAACGGATTTTTCGGCACAAAAGAAGATGGAAACTCCCGTGAAGAAAGCAGGCTAGTGAACTTGACGAGATTCCCAAAAATAGAGAGACCATCTTTTGGCTCTTCTGGTGAACTATCGAATCTTGGAAAACAACTCAAGGTTTTTTGAAAATACCAGTATAACACTAAGAACAACTGACGAGATAAACGCGAGCTCGGTGGCGGTACATTGACTAACTCGCAAAAATGTCGCTTTTTTCTAGGCGCGATCCAGCATTTCTCTCGGCGCGACCTCGCATTTTTCTCGGCGCCATCTCGCATTTATCTTGCATTTCGGAAATTTTCAAATTGCGAGAGAAATGCGAGCTCGCGCCTAGAAAAATGCGAGCTCGCGCCCAGACTAATGCGAGACCGGCGCTAGAAAAAAAGCGAGATGTTTGCGAGCTCGTCAATGTACCGCCAGTGTCTCGCGTTTATCTCGGCAGTTATTCTTAGTGAAGATCCGAATTTCTTCATTTAGACATTTAAAATAAAGTCTCCTAAATAAGTTTCTATGACCTACAAATTTTTAAAAAAAAAACCGAATCTATTTGAAAAGTCTACAAAATCGAGCTCAGTAGGATCTGAAACTGAAGTCTTACGTAACACAGACAGAATCGCGATTTTTGAAGTATGAAAGTCATCATTTTTTTCTTCTCAGTGCAAATTTTCGGAAGACATCCATTTTTGAGCACTAGATGGGGAAAAACAATGAAGAATATTGTTTCGAGTTGTTTAAGCTCAAATAAAGATACAAAACTTAATTATAGCAGGAAACATGATCTTGGTGGTTTCAGAAAATAATCTTATGGTGAAATTCGCGCGTTCTCGCTTTTTTTCATGTTGCAAGCACTGTAAGTTGAGAAGTCGAGACGGCCGACAGTGGCCAGATTAACATGATAAACATTACATAGTGTGGCTGCGGGACTGACAGACGACTGAGTTACAGCCGGCGGCGAGTGTCACATCCGCGGCCGCACATCGCTCTCCGCACCTCGCTCCCAATGTTATCCCAGCCGAGATTTATGGCCCTTGTCGCACTTTTTCAGGCTTAATGTTCCTACCGTTTCCATCTCTTCTACTTCTACCATTTGATGCTTCTGAGCCTTCACGGATATAACTTACCTCAGAGAGTCAAAAAGTGTTTCGAACTCCTCAAAAGACAGTTAATTTTACTTTTCGTTTAAAAAAATTCTGAGAATTGAAAAATTTATCTTCAATGCATCAGGATGATTCTGCCACTCTAAAGCTTCGCAGTTATCTCATTTTCAAACGAGTACGTCTCAAATATTGCTTTTCTAAAACTTCGCTGCTGAAACTTTCTGAATTTTGCGAAAACTTTGCTGTTTGAGATTTCCAAGCTCTTCTCATGTGTCATCTAACGTTTTTTTCAATTTTTTTCAATTTTTTTCAGATGTTATCCAAAAAAACAGTAAAACCATTTTTCCACATTTTATTAAAAACAAAAAAATGTCCATGTTAAAAATTGATCGACTGTGAGTCAAACTTTATCTTACATTTTTTTTTCAAATTATTTATTCTCCCCTCAAAAACTGAAAATTTTTCAAAACCAGTTAAGCACGTCATTTTTTGACCAAAAAAGTTTCAAAGCAAAATATTTTTTAAATTTTCGGTCTTCGTTATCTGATTAGAGAAATATCGAGAGCATATTACCGTACCGTAGTGTTTGAAAAAAAAAACTCTTTGCTTGCTTCAAGAACTTTTTTTCTTCTCGCGGAGGCGGTCGTCAAAAGTCCATTAGTTTTTAGTTTCACCTGAGCGGCTCTCGTTTTTGTTTCAATGAGGCACATTTTCCTCGCTTTAAGTACAACACAGCAAATTTTTTTTTGTCAAAGTGAAGTTCAGAGTTGTGTGTGGTTTGACCAAAAACAAAAAGTGATTAGAACGGATGTGTCCACGGGGAAAATTCAGGAAGTCGGATGTAAATCGACTGCCGAAGAGACAATTAGGGCCAAAAAGCGAGCGACCACTGATTGTGAAAAAGAAAAAAGACTCACGGGGCCACCAAAACACTCCTCTTTTTCATTGTTTTGTTCTCTTTGAATTAAATTTGTTTGTTTTGCTCGAAAATTTCTGAGTTAACTCAAGTAACGAGTTGAGTGAATAGAGTGGCTGGAGCTAAGTAAACCGAATTTTTTTCCCCAATAAGATATTTCCGGAGCAGATTTATGAGAGAGAATAGTTCGAGACTCACTAATGAGCTTCAAACTTCTTTTTTTTTGAAGCCACGTTGAAAATGGTTAATTGATTTTTCATGCTCTAAAACTTCTCAAAAAGGTTAATTGATTTTTCATGCTCTAAAACTTCTTCTAACACCCCGAATCAAAAATAAAACCATCAAAAGGTGCTTTCCAGTTAAAAATCTAATCCCTTTTTGCAACATAAAACTTTCTGAAACGAGCAAAAATTATTCCTTCAAACCTCACTAACGTTGAAACGATGATCAAATCACCTACTCAACAAGAATAAATTTGCAAATAAGGTCTCCATACGAACTAACTTTAATAGCCTCAGGCGCGAATCATTCAAGGAGGTGGGAAGAGTGAAAAGTGGGCGTGGCTTCTGGAAACCTCGTCGTTTTCAGTTGGGCGGCTCTTTGCTCCCGCATTCGGGCTATTTTCCTTGTTTTGGGTTTTTCATTTTTTTTTGCTTACTCATTTCTAGTATTTTAATCTCTTCTCAAGGTTTTCTCTTATTTGATACTAGGAAACATCCAACTTTCCACCGTTTTCAGTTCTCAACCGATTTCCGTTCTATAAAAAAAGATCGCTAACAGCGGATATTATTTTACAGAACGATTATCAAAAAAGTTGAGGAGTTTCTTACAGAACTTCATCCGATAGGCAAAGGGGATTGAAGATAAAATAGGAAAGAAGTATGGATTTCGAAAAAGCGTGCAAAAAAATAAAAATTTTTTTCAATGTTGTTCGAAAAAAATTAAAACTTTTTTTCAAAAACAAAAAACTATTCCAAGAGAACATTTCTTTACACATGTGTACACAAAGTTCTAACGGAAAAAAAAAATGCAGAATCATCGCTGATTGTTAAAACGAAAGAAATTTCACTTTAATAAATTAAAACATCCACATCTCACAATTATTGAAGATTTTTTATTATAAATTAAAAAAATTATCCTACCTCGATTTTTTTCCCTCGAATCTCAGCCGCGTTCGACCCAGCTCAGTTCATGTGCGAAGATATTCCAGCTGAGTTCCCACCGTCTCGCCATGGACCACTTCGCCAGTCAATTCTTGTTTCGCATCTACAGGTTTATAGTCGGTTCAAGGCGGATTGGAACTCTTTTATTGCACGGATCGGTGAGAATAGCTCGGTGCAAAGAGGCTGCAAAGAGGTCTCTTTGAACAGCCGTTTCAAATGCGATCAAAAGATTTCAACTCGTGGCGAATAAATGATACCATGCATGAGGTGTTTCTATTTCATCTCTTCTATTTTGCTTCTGTCTTCGATTTTTCGCTTTCTTCTCTGATGCCATCATCTCAGAGCGTTCCTTTTGAAAAAAAGATAATTTACAGGTTCCAGTGAAATGAAATCATGAAATGGTGTTTTCCTTCATCCTTACTTTCACCATCTCCGTCATCGTTGCCATCGAAGACGGTAAAACTAAAATTTCGATTAAATCAACCGGAAGCATTCGAAAAAATCAGATGAAGTGAAAGCTTTCCTCTTCTTTAAAGAAAAAAGCTCTTAAATTTTCTATTTAAAATAATGGAACATAAAAATCTCAAAAAAAGAAAAAAAATGAAAATGCCAAAATGCCCCGGGCGCTTGTGAGCTTGTAGTGAGCTCTTAAGAGGACTGTTGCCGCTAAAGAGATCACTAGAGATACTCCGAAACGTCCGGGCGCGTCCGGTTTGCGTTACCGAGGTCCTGCAGGGAAGTCCGAGGTGTCCTCGTCTTTTTCAGAAAAATTCTCTTTCAAAGTTTTCTAGTAAAGAAGAATTCTTTCATTTTTTTAAATACGTCAAAGTATTCCTGCTCACTGTTAAAAACAGATTTCAGAATTTGAAAAGCTGTTCGATGCACTTTTGGATGATTTATAATTCACGATTCCTAAAAATGAAAAACTTGATAATTTAAGATATTTTCTTTTTCGATGCGTTCAAATTGTACAATACCTACGTGTCTAAATTATAAGACCCTTTGAAAAACTTGAAAATTGCAATCTTATAGGGTTTGATAATTAAAAAAGCTAAAAAAAAAACAAATAACAGGGAACCCGCATCGAGCACGCTTTCTATCCGCCCAGACTTGTGCGTCAGGCCGAGCGGCCTGGTTCGGGCCGGGCTTCAAAAAAATTTAAAAATTTCATTGCGAACATTGTCGCCGAAAAAAATTATTTTTTTACTTTTTAAAATCATAGTTTTTTTGAACTCAAGTGAAAAAAATAAGCGAAAATGTGACTTTTTGTCGTCGAAATGTAAAAAAACTTACGTAAGATCCGAAATATTGTTTTTTTCCATTATCAGGAGAAAACATCTTTTAATTTGTTTTTTTGTGCAAATTTTTTTATAGAACGAAAAAAATGTCTTCGGCGAACTTTCGAACAAATCACCGCTCAAATATATAAATTTTAAAATAATTCTCCTACTTTACGCCTTTTGTTTTTACATATTTCCAAATTATAGTAAGTCTCAAGCTGAATATTTTTTGCAGAATGCGCCAAATGCGATTTACGGTCCTCGTACTGTCGCCAGTGGGAAGACGGTGCACGGAGCTGTGAGTGCCGCGAAGGCTTCGTCCGTATTTCCAACGGCTCCTGCGCAGGTCATTTTTTTTTCGGATTTTCTATTCTCTGCTTTTTTTCGACAAATGTTCCATTGTTCTCGATCTTTCCGCCCATTAAGAATTTTTATACATTTATACAGCATTGGTTGAACTTCCTCGAACTTTAGAAATTTTAAAGTAGGAGTATTGTAAGTTCTCAATCTCCTCTTGAGCTTTTCAAAGAGTCGCTTACAAGTTGCTTTTTTTCAACTTTTTTTAGTGAAATAATATTTCCAGCTTTTTCACTCTTTTTTTGAAACTAAATTATTTTTTTCCAACAAAAAAACACCAAAAAAATTACTGTTTTTTTGAAAGAAGACTTTCTATTTGGCTACTTTTTAACATAATTTTTGAACTTCAATCAATCAGTCCATTCACTTCTTTTTCAAATAAAAAAAGTCCTTGGAAAAAGACCGAATGCTTGACTTTGCTACGAACCAGTGTCTAAAACAGCCCTGAAAGTTGGATTCGTGCCAGCAAAAAGGCTAGAAGGTGCTTGTCTAATCAGAAAAGCGTCAAGGATGCGCCGGTGCACACTTGAGATCCAAAGTAGGGCGAGCGAATTCGAATATTTCGAGAAACGTCATCGAAACGACTTCTGGAGAAGTTGTACGGGCACTTGCTCACGCGGAGTCGAAAATTTCAACTGAATTGATGTCCTAGTGCAGACAGAATAATCCGAGGAACAACTGCGAATTGTGTCCTCTCGAATGTTTACAAGAACAGGGATCTTCCCGATGAACTTCCTCGCCCAAAATTATAACAATTCGTTCGTAGCAAGAATTGCCATCTGGGAACGACAAATCACATGCAAATTTGCTAGACCGCAAAATTTGTTCCGGCCACCTCGGTGTTCCTCCGCGGCATTACACCTCAGCCAACTATCGGATATTATTTATTTTCAAAATATGAAAGCCATTTTTATAGATATACTCCAGTAGAGCAGTGATCTCACGATTTCTCGTGAGATTTATATATCAAACCTTCTCAATGATTCAAAATCTTATCAGCCATGAGTTTAAAAAGCCAACTTCTATAAGTGTTTATCATAAATAAGAGAAAGTTTTACACCCCAAATCACTTATGATCTGACCGAAAGGCCAAGTTTTTGATCGCAACAGGATTCAAAAAGTTTTTTTTCAGTTATGAGTCAACTTGGGATGCCGCCAGAACCACCAAAGGACGCAGAAACGGAAGAGGAGCCATTTTGTGTGCTTGGCCAGGCTGAGAAAGCCGCTACCAGGTAACCTCTTCTTCAGTTACCTGCAGCTCTATTTCATTGGATCTCCTGTTTCACATCCGTTTTCTTGCTATTGTCCTCTGTTTGAATCAACGCGCAAAGTTCAAAAGAAAAAGATTGTTGCAAAAATGGACGAGCCGCCGCAGACTAACCCGATTTGCATGGATCTCGCGTCATCCACGCCTTGCACTCACGTCTTCCAGACAATCGCGTAGGAACTTGAAACAACCGAGAACTGGGTTTATTTTTGGCATTGAGCCCATTTCCCGCAGTTCTCCAAAGAGGAAGCAATCAAAAAGAGCAGGTTATCTTTTCGTTCCGCCCAGCATCGATGAACTTCTCGGTTTTACAATATTGTTGTTTTTTTACTAATCACTCACATTCCCAATTCAGAGAAGATTTGATACTTTGAAACTGGAAACCACAAAATATATCGTGATGAGAAAACTTTTTTTTTCTGCCAGTTCATCTTTTTCCAATCATCTTTTTTCAAATGAATCGAGACGATTCATACGTTTCTCGAGTTTTCAGGATTCTGACAGAGCTGCTGAGTAAGTACGACCGTAACCTGGTGCCGAAGATGAAAGGCGTCGACGTCGACGTCGAGCTGCTGATCCAACGTGTCTCTGAGATCTCGGAAATTCAGTCCTCATCCACCATGCACATCCTTTTCAGTCAGATTTGGCACGACCCGGGTCTATCATTTGAGGTTCATTCCATTCATTTTCATCAATTTTCAATTTATTATTTCTTCAAATAGAAATATTTTTCAATAAGCAGCTTGTATAATGGTTTTGAAAATGAAGGTTTGTTTTTTCTTTCAGAGTTGGGCTGGAAAGAACTAGAAACACAAACCAGGTTTTGAGAAAGCTTCACCACAACCAAACTTAAAATCGATTAAATAACAATTGACTTCAAGTAAACTTCTACGAAAGAATGAAAAATATTCTAAACTATACTCGCGAACGTTTGATCCGTTTTTCGGGAGTTTTCTGAGGGAAATGTTGCAGCACGAGGAAGGCGCGCACTGTCTGACTAACTTGTCGCTTTCGCATCGGATGGTGGACAACATTTGGCTTCCGAACGTCTGCATCGTCAACTCCAAGGGCTCGACCATCCACAAAAGTCCGACGCCCAACATTTTCCTCGCCATCTTCCCCAACGGCACCGTCTGGATGAACTACCGCGTGGTCGTCGAATCGCCCTGCGAAATGGACTTTAGGTTTATCCTCAATCTCAGCTCCCATCAGAAAGCGTGGAAATTGCCTCGAGTGAAATCCTTGTTTTATGATGTCTGGAAGCTCGGCGGAATTCCATGCAGATGGGCACTCAGATATGAAGCTATTTGCAGCTTCTTCCCAATGGACCGCGTCATGTGCACCACAATCTTCGAGAGCTACGCGTTCAACGTTGGCAAGGTGTGTGTTCTTCTAGATATTTCTTTGGAACATTCCAACTTTTTTCTCTGAGAAGGATCCAGATGAGTCTGGAAAGCAATAGTTTTGAGAGCCTCGGAAACGTGAAACAGCCCTTGTTGAATATTTGAATTGATAGTGATCAAATAATAGATCACGTGAGAGATATCCCAACTAAGAGTATAAAAGAAGTCGGGAACTCAGATCATCATCACTCGTACCGCCCCCGTTTCGCCTCCAGCCTCGCCGTCGCTTCAAGCCTCGGACTGACGACTTCTCGCCTCTCCTCAACTTCATCTTTTTACCACACCTAGTTAATAAAACTATTGTGGGGTACTCTTCTTTCTGATAACGCACAAGATACATTAAAGTTTTTAAATGGGTCGGTGGTTATCTCATCCTGATCGCCACAAGTTTTTAAATGGGTCGGTGGTTATCTCATCCTGATCGCCACTTTAATGTATCTTGTGCGTTATCAGAAAGAAGAGTACCCCACAATAGTTTTATTAACTAGGTGTGGTAAAAAGATGAAGTTGAGGAGAGGCGAGAAGTCGTCAGTCCGAGGCTTGAAGCGACGGCGAGGCTGGAGGCGAAACGGGGGCGGTACGAGTGATCATGATCTGAGTTCCCGACTTCTTTTATACTCTTAGTTGGGATATCTCTCACGTGATCTATTATTTGATCACTATCAATTCACATATTCAACAGCCCTGTTATCCGCAGTTTCTTAAGTTCAATTGGCTTTATTTTCTTTCTCAAAAACAGGCAAAAAATTAGAAAACAACTTTGAAAAAATTACATGTTTTCACTGCTTACTCACTTTATTTCACACGGTAAATGTCTTCAAGTTCGCAAGAGATGGAATATAGTTGGGGAAAGTGTTGGTTTGAGGTTAGACTTCACTGGAAACGACAAGGACAGCCGGTAGAGTTCATAGATGAGGTCAAACTGCCGGATTTCCACATGACGACGTTCATTCACGAGAAAGCGACTTTCATCTATCCGGCTGGCGTTTGGGACCAGGTTGGCAGCGTGAAAATTTCTTCATCCAGTGGAAACTTTTCTAACGTTTAAAATTTGAAAAAAAAAGCAAAGCATCCCCCAAAACTTCGAAATTTTTATGAGAGCCGAATCTTTGGCCGCAAAATAGCATGGAACGCGTTTTCATCAGACTAAATTCTTGGTTTCTCGACGCCACGATTTCTCTCGCAATGTTTCGAAGCGTGACAAGTGTTGTTTTTGTGGGGGCCACAGTTTCTCACCTCGGCCTGTCACCTCATCGCTCAAACTTTTGTGGCGGCGCCAATTGACGACAGCCTCGCGTTTCTCGTGGTCGCGAAACGTCGGAAGCGGTGGCAGGCGAGGGGAAAAGAAAAACTCACAAGAGTGGTCATTTCTCTGTTTTTAAAGTTTTCGGTGAAGCTTTCATTTGGCCGTCAGTAGTCTATTGTTAGAATCAGTTCTCTTTTTTCCACTAATATCAAGTTGAAGAACTGTTTTGAAAGAAAAAATATTTTGAATAGAAAAATTTTTTTGTTCGATTCATGTTTCGAAAAAAGGTTCGATGTATTGAAAGCTTCTTGAAATTTTCTTTGTTTTAGTTTTAAAACGATTTTTGCGATGCAATGTTGAAGCAAATCGACAGCTGAACTAACAACGGAATTTCGACTCATGTTAATTATATTTTTTGAGACAACATCAGATAATTATAAAATTCAAAACATGTTTTTCTCAAAGTTTTCCAATAATTTTTGAGGAAAACCTACAGAAAATTGTCATTACCCTATTTTCAGCTCAATATAAAACTTTTCTTCCGTCGTTCTTACGGGTTCTACATTCTACAAATCTATCTACCTACATACTGTATGGTGCTCATCTCATGGATCTCTTTCTGGCTCGACAGGTACTCCTAATCGACGTATCCTTCTGTAACGTCCGAGTTTAGACGAAGTCTGCCGGCGCGGGTAACTCTTGGAGTTTCTTCTCTTATGGCTCTAACACTACAGTATTCCAATGTGTCGAGAAGTCTTCCCAAGGTTGGCTCTTGCACTGCAATTTTTCTTCTTTTAATATTGCGATATTATCAAAGTTATGAGAAAAGTTTCAATTTAGGTTTCTTACGTGAAAGGCCTGGATCTCTTCATGTTTGGCTGCATCGTGTACATATTTTTTTCGATCGTTGAACTCGCCGTCGTCGGTACTTTGGAGCATCAACCTCAAAGGTCTCTTTCACTACTGACTCTGATTTGTATCTGCGTCGAGTATCTCGAGTAAACGACAAAAAATCCAGAATTATATTCAGGCAGGAGGAATTCATGACTGACGAAGAAATCAAGAAGAACATTTTTCAAAGAACTTTCTCGACAAAGTCTTTTCGTTCCGGCTACGTAAGTGTTTTTCCACAGCGTCTTGTTTTTTCCATAAACCTCTTTGATGCATTTTTCGAAACAAATATTGAGAGAATCGGGCTCTTATTGCCTTTTAAAAAAAAACTTCGAGTCCAGAAAACTTAATGAAGTTTTTTTTGCAAATAGCTGGCTTGAGTATCGCCCAGACAGAGTTGCAGACCCTGGAAAATGAAAAGGAGCAATCGGCCATAAGCTAATGGTAGTGGGTGTAAGCAATGTCGTCACATTTAATGCCAAGACGATGGCCGTAGGGCATTTCTCGAAAAAAAAGTTTTTTGAAAGAGCAGATTTACTCTGCCAGAGGGCGCATTCGACTGGAAGATGAACCTTCTGTTCTTCAGGGAGCACGACACACGGAGTGCAACTCGCCTGTGGACAGCACTGCCTGGCAGAAACGGGAATCTTGGCCAGAACGAACCTTCGTCGAGTGTCCCGAGCCCCGGCCGCCAGAGAGCAACCAGCAGCCAGAAGTCGAGAGCGAGGCCAACAACAGAGTTCGTCCAGTCTCACTCCGAAAAATTCAAAATTTAGATCATTGGGGGGGGGGGGAACTATGAAAACAAAGGAGGAAAAATTTCAGTATATAGTTCGAATTCATTCAATAGACACTGAATAGGAGAAAAAAATATAATTTGAAAACCTTTTTTTCGCGCAATTACAGAAAACAGTTGAAAAAAAGTTTGTTCTCTTCACAAATGTTTGCTAGTGTGTTCGACGGCGCAAAATTTGAAATATCGCTGGAAACAGTTTTTCGCTCTGAAAATATCAAACCAGGTTTTGAATATTAGGTATGAATGTTATGAGTATGAGCGTTGTAATATTAACAAATTATTATCAATATTGTATTTTAGATGCTGGTTTTCGTGAGGCAAAGACGAGCGTCGCGCAAGAAGAGACGGCGTCTCGTCAGCAACAAATTGTTCCATCGCTGGTCCGGCGAGGACATGGACAAGTTGGTTCTTTCTCAGTCACAAGCTCTTTTTAAGAACTGAAACTACTGATTCAGTTTAACTTTCCTTAACTTTCCTTATCGATTCAATACTTGTAGGTTCTGTCAGAAATTTTTCCCGATCAGCTTCACGTTCTGCAACCTCATCTACTGGATGTACTACACGGCTAAATCGAAAGACTGAGCAATTTTTTTTATTTGACCCAGAGTTTGAAAAACTTGATGGAACCAAACAGGAACTATCTTTCAGTCTTCTGTCTAGTTTAAAAACCAATGCCGTTCTATTGAGTCCACCCTTTCAAAAGCCTATTGTTGCCTTATTTTGCCCACTTCCCGAATTCCGACTCTCAGAGAAGCTTTTCCTTGCCTCATTGTGATACTCTCCCGTGCAGTTGCTTTCTGGAAAAAAATGAACTTTTATTCTTTTTTTTTGCGTTCTCAAACTAAAAAGCGGAAGCCACCCGACGGCCACGACAAAACAAATTATAGTACAATCGGGAAATCGTTCGAAGAAGCATGTATTTTGCGTCAAAAGCTGAAAAGCTTCCAGAAGGTGTGTGGATACAAAGCTTTTTTCAAAAGAAACCGTTTCTAAAGCTTTTGAAAACGCCCAAATGATGAAAGCAGGAAAAAAAAAATTAAATTGATAGGTTCAAGTTCTTCAAATCGATGCTCAATTCAAGTGTGCATTTCTTGGAATGCATTTGGATACTATCGAGTTCTGCAAGAGCCGTCTGGTTCTTCATACAACTTGGTAGGAGCCGACGGACCGACACTCTGCCGCCGGAGTATTGTCCTCCTCTTCTTCCTAGAGGTATTTCCCTCAGATTAGATAGGACAGGTGAAGCGGCAGACCTCTCGAATTTCGTTATCGCTCTCCGTTGTGCTCTGTCTCTTCATTTTGTTGAGCTTCTCCTTGAGGCTCGTCGACGAGGCGACGTGCGAAATGCAGGGATCTGACTGTCTGGAAAATATTTGTTTTTTTAAACGATTCAGGTGAGCCTTTTCTTTTCCATTCTACGAACCTTCTAGCAGAACTCGCTTTAAGGAACTTGGCGTTTTCGGCGTCACTCATCACGGCGATGGAGCCGGATCGACCTCGTTGTTTTGGATCGGCTTTTTCACATTGAACCACAGGTACTTGATCCTGAAACAAAATCAAAATAAGAGAATGCTATTTTGATAGAGTTAAAATAAAAAACAATTTATCGACTGCACCCTGAGACCATTATTATGGATATGAAAGCTGAAAATGGGCCAATTTGTCAAAATATTTTCAGTTTCTTTTCTAATAATAAAGAATATCTTGACCGTTTCAGAAAAATCCTGTCCCTTTTCTCAAGGGTTCTCAACCTCTTTCAAAAAGACGGCACGATGGCCTCTCCAAATAAAGAAAAGACTTGTTTTTTTTTAATAACACCTCAACTAGCGAAAGTATTTTTGAGCGCTCTTCACACGCAATATTGAAGTGTGTTGATATTGAAGATAGATCGGGATGTTGAGGAGCGTCAAAATGGGAAAAATTGAGCGGAACTACTGACCACACCGACGGCGATGTTGATGGAATGACGGCGACCGGCGGCGGCGGATCCTTCGGAGACTGTCGAGGAATCGGCTCGCTTCAGCTGTTCTCCGGAGCAGGGAGTAGTAGTACGGACCTGCTTGAAGTCTGGAGTCCGGTTCAGACCGCTGAAGTCGCTCACGAGCTCCACTATCGCACACGGCACTTTCATAATTCGATTCTTCAAAAAGCAAGGAAACTTTTGAGTAAAGTCAACAAAAATAAAATAACCAAATTCGCAGTTCACTATTTCGAAACTCTGATAACTAGATAATTTTCAAAGAATAAGTTTACCATTTTCAGATGTCATTTTAGGCGCTTTTTATAGGCGAAGAATATTGTTTGCAGGCCAATTTACATGTTTAAGAGAAGTTTATTTCTAGAAAAAAAAGAGAAATCTCTAAAAGTTTTAATTTGAAACAAAGAAGTAGGAGTTCATTTTTGATGATGATCTTTTTCATTCACAAGCGCGAAATTGGCTTAAGCTAAATTTAGCACAACTGAAGGGCTGGAAGAGCTGTTTGAAAAGCTAGTAAATTATTGAAAAAATGATATTAAAACGGCAAAAACAAAACGAACACAAAGAAAGAATTGAAAAAGCTCAACGGCTCTTGCGTTCTGAGCCAAGTGGAATAAAATGTTCGTAAAAAAAAATGTCCGGAGAAGAAAGATCATACAGATGATGTTGTATTCGTGCGCGAGTTTATATACGGTAGGTGGAGACGTGGTGCCGCCCATTTTCTGTCGACAGGCGATGGGATTCGTCATTACCCACTAACACGATTATCGACGTCGTCCTCCATCGCCAAGGCCCACAACATCCGGACGTCCAAACTTTTCTTTACCGTCCACGTTTACTGATAATTCGAGAATCTTTATAGGAAAAGCTGGAAGAGAAAATAGAACTTTTAAAAACAAAAACGTGGTAGCTTTTTTTTTGTTACAAAATCAATACTTGATGAAACTTCACCCAAAGGGGTCAAAGGATTAGGTTTGTTTTTTTTTGTAGAGCCAAAACATATGAACGTTCCTATGCAAGACATGCCAGCCTGTCAATTTTCTGGATTCTGTCGTTTCAACTTTAAAATCGGTTATATTTATGCCAAAAGAAAAAAAAAACTAGAGAACTCTTCTTAAAAATCCAACCATTCTTTGTTTTTTTTTTCTTTTTGAGGTCTATAAAATCGTCCTCAAGCCCTTTTTTGGAGCTTATTAGCAAAAAGGTTTCTGGCTCTCGGCTCAGCTTTTTTTGCTGAAACGTTTCTTCCTGTTTTTTTATTGCAATTACGGTTCAGATTGAATGATTATTAGAAATTCTAAAGAATGATTGAACAAAAATTGAGGTCTAAAAGCAAGTTTTTTGATCGCAGCGATGCGAAGAAAACGTTTGAGGCCTTTTGAATTATCATCATCCACCCAAATGAAGAAGTATCTAGAAATCTTTCGGAAAACGGAATAACAGAAAAATGTCAAAATTTTGACTGAAAAATATTTATCGGATTAAAAAAAACGGAAATTCTTCTGATCTTTTTTTGTATTCAAAATGAAAAGACACGTTTTTTGGCGCTGTAAAGCAATTCAAAAAGATGCTGCTCACGATTGAGCTCCAAGGACTCGATGTACACTGCCGTCATCCTGCTCGCAGATGAGGGCGACCGCGTGGTCAACAACTTTCTCCACAACTTCCCAGCACTCCTAAAGTTCACACATCATTTCAGGCGAGCGTGTAGCCATTATTGAATAAAAACAAAAATTTCTGTGTTCCCAAAACAACAACATTAAAATTCGTCTACCAGAATAGGTTAAAATAATGTCCTTTTAACCAGAAAATGAGTTTTCTAAGTGGCTTTCTAATGGTGAAGTCACTAACTTCGGTCAAACTTCCCTGACTTGATAGGCGTTAAACGCACGTTCCCTATAGGGAGTCTTGTTGCGGTCGTGAAGCGGCTCTCGGCGCAAACTGCATACTAAAAGACGTGCGACCTTTTTGTTTAGTTTTTTCGAATATCATCAACTTCTAATTCTATTGTAATGTTCGTTTTTTTTTAATCGAAAAATTCGTTTTCTCTGAATTTCGCTCGTCTTTTGATTAGATATTAAATAGGTGAAACGAGAAAAGCTCCTTCGATCAGAAGGAGCTGGAACGGTTCTACTAAAGCTCCCAAAGTAATGGAAAAAGCTTTCGAGTTTCTCAGAGGATTCTTTTGGAATTTTCTGAAAACTTGTTAATTGCTTTCCAGCATCTTTTTGTTAAGGGATGTGAAAAAGATGCAAATAAAATAAAAAGATCTGTTCAGTACCCTTAAAGGTCTTTTTTAAAAAGCTTTTGGGGTGCTCTGCCCGCATTCCGGCATGAGTCGCTTCGCGAACGCAACAGGACCATCCATCGTCTTTCAGCTGACGAAAAATTGACATTACACTGCCTGAACATTTGGCTCAATCTGAAAGTGAAATAAATAGAGAATGTAAGTTTAAGCTGCTTTTGGTCTCCAACGAGCGTATTCAAAAAAAAAAGAAAAAAAAAATGAGTGATGTGTTCTTCGTAAGTCATTTCACATTGTATGGAGAGCGAACCTTGACTGCCTTGACACTGCCTGGGAAGTTTATGATGAGTGTGCGACTTGCGATTCCGACGACCGCTCGCGAAAGCGCAGCCATCGGCGTCGCCTGAAGAGAACGCATGTGAAGCGCCGTCTCCAAGCCGCCACAGCGTCGCTCCAAAACTGACAGCGTCGCCTGCAATCGTCGCAATTCGCGAGCCTCCCACAGTTGAAAACCTCGGGAGTGACGTCACGTGGGGCAAAGCCTGTTCCTCCAGTTGTTATAATTACGTCTGCAGCGAAAATTTCATTTCAATACTTTCATGCATGCTATTTTTCTATTTATTTAATGTTATTATGGAATCCGTTTCATTCACCAATTTAAGATATTTGACATAATTACAGCAAACACTAGTAACTCATTTGATAGAGCGTCTTGAGACTTTCCAAATCAAGGCCGTTGTGTCCATTTTTTTCGGAACAAAAACCTGAAAGTTTTGCAATTCAATAGATTTTCTGTACAAGTTCGGTCAAGAACCTTCTTACTGTTCGTACTTGTTTTGCGCTCCGTGGACCGTGTCAAAGTAAGTTGATTTTATTTATCATCATTCTATTTCAAGAGTTTTAACTTCACACTACAAAAAAATTTTAGTTCATTTCAAGATCTGAATGAAAGGGCCCGTTGATCCTTAATTACACAACTTTTTCGTGTTTACCGGAAGTAGGAATCAATTCTTGCAGCTTTGATGCTATTTCTTGAAAAACGTCCGGAACAACGTGGACATCTCCGACGAGCTCCACGTGGGCTCTGAGAGAATTATTGGAGCTCCAGTTAATCGTCGTGCGAACTTTTCAGAGGCTGCCACTAGTCGAGCGAGGGTGGGACCGCTTTCGTCAGCCCTTTTGCCTTCGAAGGAGGAATCACTTACTGAAATAGTTCCACCTATTTTTGATGTTCAATTTCCGATCAACCTGTCACGACTGAGACACGTGTCGGCATCCTAAAAGTACGTCTTTGATGTTATAAAATAACAGTCACGTCAGACTCCAAAAATAGCAAGTGTAAGAATCGACGCTAGGTCAAAAGGAACAACATTCTCACACAAAGTTTATTTATAGTAGAGATCTGACAAAGAAAGTTCCCTGAGAAATTCTGAATGTAGAGACGAAATATGTTACAGCTTTTGGACAAGGATCGTGAAAGGAAGGTACGCTCAGTTCTTCACAATGTGGATAGATGGATTTAACGTTTCTCCTGGAGTGATGGCTATGTTGAGGCGTTCTGAAACGGTCGAAGATCGCCTGGAATGGAGGATGTTCACATTTTCCGAGTTCGCCTCGCCCTTCGACACAGCCTAAAAATAAAAATCGTTTTCCTTTCTTTCTAATGCGTTCTTAGTCCCCGTGCAAACTAGTCGGGAACCTGAGAGAGCAAAAACCAACCTCATTTTTCGAAGTGTTTTTGCGGCGCATGAAACGGTCGATCAAACTGGTCGGTCGCTCTTTTTTTCTCGCTGAGGTGTTCCTCAAGACGATTTTGGGCACTTCGAACTCGAGAGATGCCTACAAGTTCTTCCGTATATTACTATCAAAATTAGAGCCGATAATACAAAGATTCAAAGCAAAAAGAAAAAAATCATCCCTCGCAACATGAACCCGTTCAAGAATTTTAAAAAGGAAGGTAAGTCACAAAACAAAATTTTCAATAAAAAAAGCTCTTTTTTCTGACACTAAATTCTAGTTTTAGCAAAGAAGTTGCCTGACAACAGCGTATAAGGTGCAAATCTCAGCCCAAAGAGAGGAAATCCAGCACCGTGAATTTCTTACGTTAGTTATTGATTCTAATAATCTGCAAACAATTTCTACATGTTCTGTGCCTCAATCGCAGCTCTGTTCGATGTAAGCATCTTACTAAACTGAATACGTCGGTCACCCTATTAAAAAATAAATTAACTGGTTTTTTATTAGTTTCAAAAACATTTTGAAGTGAGAAGAACCTACGCTGAGTTTGTGCAGAAGTTTTTCTTCTCTGACGGCTTCGTTAACTTCAAGATTGGACGAGGTCGACAGTCGAAAGTCTGGCGTCTTGTGTAGGGCCACAAACTCGCCGAGCATGTTCGCCAATGAGCTTTTCTTCATCATCTCTATAGGTTTGATAACTAAAAAAAAACTATGTTGAAATAAAACATTACCTCAAAACGAGAGGTACAACGGAAGAAGTTCAAATAACTCTAAAAACTTAAAGAGTAATGACTGGAACAAGAAAAAAGGACCTAAGGAGTAGCCAGAGTGTCGAAGAATGGTTTCAGGGTGGTAACCAATCTACTCGACAGTTACTCTACTACATTCCTCACGTGTTCTTTACCATTTTACACTGGCCAAGTGACCAAACTGGATCGGTCACATGACGCGTCAGTCGCCTGTGAAACGATCCCTCTCAAGTTACGACGCACTTTTGCCAAGTCATAACCGCTAAATTTTGAATCACTCAGAAAGAAACATATGGTCTGCCGAGGAGGACACGCCCTGATTCCATTCTCAAAACTTTATGGACTTACCAAGAAACTAAAGTTCAAAGAAGCAGGCATTAGCTTATTCTCTCATAGTGCTTTTGAGAAATCTCTACAGTCGAAAAAGAGCCTTTAGATCATTGAATTACTGATTGGTGATTCAATACGAAAAAAATAAAGTTTGAGCAAAACTTGGACTTATTCTCCATTTTTTGATGTATTAGAGTTCGTTAACTCCCCATTAACTGCCTCGTGTCTGATTTCGGTTTAAAATATCAGATTAGTTCACTATTAGTGATTATTAGGAAGTATTTTACGACCGGAAAAAACTCTTTGCATCTTCGTTTATTTTCATATTTAAAAAAGAAAACCCCCAAAGATTTATATATTTCCGAACAAATATAATTCATTTCGTTCCGTGAAATACCTGACAAAGTGAACAGAAGTGAAAATTAAAGAGAATAAGTGTGCTCAGACGTCCTTGCCGACCAGGAGCATGGCGGAGAAACTCAGCTGCTTCACTTGCTCCATGATTTCTTTGACGGCTTTCGCCGCGTCTTGCACCAACGTTTCGTCAGTCGTGGTTCCCAGAGGTCGTGGGAACGGAGCCGACGAGTCTGAACTTGTTTGTGAAGAGCATCAGGTTAAAAAACTAACCTATCTCGTAGAGCACTCCGTTCTTGTTGACATAAGTAATGAAATGATATTCGACGACGTCCGGTTGGTCTGTCTCTCCTCCTTCGGCAGTTTCTTCGTGGGCTGCAGCAAGCTCCGTATCTAAAAAAAACTTGACAAACTATCATGTTTCGAAAAAAATTGTATTCAGAAAGTCCTCGGCGAGAAATCGTTTTTGTCTCACTCGATTTCATGTGCCTTCAAAAAAGGACACAGCGAGATCTTTGCGAGTCCGTCAATGTACCGCCACCGACCTCACATTTATCTCGCGCCAGACGCGGCAGTTATCATTAGTGTTAATATATAAAAACTCGGGCAAAGTCGGAATGGTGGATAATGGCCTCTAAAAGGGAGAGTCTCAAAAAAATTCACAGAAAGGCAGCAAAAAGACAGCAAAGAGAGTCCCTTCATCGAGCCTTCCATTTTTTTTTCCCGGGATTGTAAAGGCTTAAGAAATGGTGCAAAAAAGGAGAAGCAACAAAAATGGTGCATAATAGTCGATGAAATGGCGTAAAAGGCAGCAAAAAAGAAAATTTTTTCACCCGAGAAGGAGCCTTTCTTTGAAGCCTTTTTCCACCCTTTCCGACTTTGCATATGTAAACATATACAGTCAAAAAGTCGAACCTTCGGCAAGTAGATCAGAACGCTCGTCCTCCTTTAGAAGACGAGCTTTGTCCAGCCATTTTCGGAATTTACCGTTGCCTAAAACATTCAGATATCAATGCTTCAAATAATCTTATTTTTACCGAGGTTAATGCGATTCTCTAAGTTAGCCAATGAGTGGAACAATGCGAAAGTGCCACACGCGTTACCAATGTTCTATTTAATTAAACTCAACACTTTAATAACAAAAAAATTTCACTTGATTCATAAAGAAAACGTCTCCAGTACGTTCTCCGGACTTCTTAACTTCTTCATAGCGTTTTGACAGGAAATCGGCAGCCTGAAAAAAGAACATATTAATTTTCACATTTCTTTAATCGTACATAAGATACACAAAATATTTTTGGAGCATTAAGTGAGCATTGAAAAATTCTTAAAATTTTATTTTTGGTTCATAAAGAAATGAAAAGCCGTTTTGACGTTATTTCGAACTATTATTACCTGCTAACTCTCAGTAAGCTGTTTTGAATTGAAAATAATTAGTTTCGAGTTATACCTCGTCACTCGGGAAGCATAGAATCATAGCAAGCTGAGGTTTCGGAATGAAGGCGAGCATGTCTTCGTCGAAAGAAAAAACGTCGACACATTCCAAGCCGGAGACGCCGATTTTCTTCATGAACTGAACAGAGAAATCAATTGAATTTCGATTATTCTCACCGCATTTATTGTTTCCGGATTTGACTCCAATGCTTGCCACACAACTTTCGACATCTAATATATTCGTTGCAAAATTTCTTCAACTTTTGTTATCAAGATTTGAAACGAGCCGACAAGGTTACGGGAAAAGAAAATTCAGAATAATCTGTTTAAAAGTTTATACCAAGCAAAAAACAGTATGCAGAAATGTACCAGACAGTTACCAAGCATTGTATATAAAACCATAATATGAATCAACTACCAGCAAGCTCATTTAACAAAGGCGAGTATCGTTGGCGCGAAAATAACTTCAGAAAGTTTGAATAAAAATCACGTTAAGCTCAGATTGAACCTTTAAAATATTATTCAAGAACTTTTCATCGGAAGGAAGAAGTGAAAAGGATGTCTTGACGCAACGAAATCCCAATAAAATTACAGAGAATTATTTAGGAACAATAGCCAAAGCGGCAAAAGAAACGTCGTCGAGTTTCTCAATTAGATTTCGGCAGGCGGCACCAACGTCCAAGACAATTTCCTCCTCGTTGGTGTGACCCAAGTCTCTCGGGAACGGAGCTCGAGAATCTTGAAGAAGTAATTCATTTTTTTTTTTCAAGTACGGAAAAATTACCAATTTCGTACAGGTTTTCTCCTTTGTTGACGTAGCATATGAAGTGATGTTCCGGATTCTCCGCTACTGAAGATTCCCCTGCCTTGGCAGCAGTTTCGTAGGCCTTCGCCAATCCAGAATCTTTAAAAATTTGCCTCTTTCGACACGTGTACACAATTTCATTAAAAAAAATGAAAAATGGAAAAGGATTATATGAATACTGGTTATTACTTCTATTTACACATTCCATCATTCCCTAGAAAAGCATTAAAATTAAAACTACTGAAATTTCTAAACTTTATTTTTTTGCCATTTATTGCGCTGATCGTTTTGAGACCCCATTGAATGTTTTCTTAGGCCAGGAGTCAACTATACCAAATGCAGGAGTTGAAGTGAAAAACATGTATTACCATTTGCAAGTAGATCAGATCGCTCTTGAGCGTTGAGGCTTTTCGCTTTTTGAAGCCAATTATTAAACAAGCCGTTTCCTGAAACTATTCGTTTTATGAGATTTCATTCGAAGCGCTCCACCTGTTTGAATTTTGTCTTCTATGTTTGCCAAGGCATGGAAAAGTGAAAAGCAGCCACAAGCGTTTTTAATACTCTGAAAAAAATAATTTTTTTTACTCAAAAAACCTGTTGCATAAAAAAAGACATCTTTTGTCACTTTGTCGTGACCCTCTTTTTTTCAACTCCTCAAAAATAGGCGTCATGAGTTCGCCCACCTGAAATTTGCCTGGTCACTCATGTGAACAAAATGAAACGAAAACCCTTTTGTAGTTTGGAATGCAAATAAGAACAGCGAATGGCGACTTGGCGCCGGACAGAACCGTCTGTTCGAAAGACAAAACGTCGATGGTTTCGACTCCGGAAACTCCGATTTGACGCAAGAACTGAATCGAGGTTTGATTAGGAAGAAGACCATTCAAAACCTCGTTAATGACTTTTGGGTTCGACTCGAGAGGAAGCCATTCCGAAGCCATGGTTTCCTGAGTACAATATTTTTGAAAAAGCATAAAAAAAAGATCTTGATAAATTAATTTATTATGTTAAATAAAATGTATTAATCACTCAGGTAATATCTGGAAAAGGCGAATAGAATGAGAAGAATGAGAAAAAAAGAAGAGCTGGGGACAAGAGTAAGGCGGTGCCATGTGTGGGTGCTGCACAGCGGCTGATCGATATCTTTTCCCATTAAAGGCGGCTTTCTACACGAAATTATTCATGCTCTCTCCATCCATCGGCATATCAATTAAAAGTAATGAAAAATAACAGAAACCCATATAAATAAGTGACTTCAACAGCAAACAAGTGAAAGCAACCAATCTGAGAAAAAAAAGCACACGAATGTCGAGGAATTGAGTTATTTAGCCTTCTTTGACTCTTTTGCGTCGTTGTTATTATTATTGTTGTTGTTTCCCTTCTTGGATTCTCCGTTTTGTTCTGAAAAAAAAATTGTTCTTGGAAAGCTCGAAATGGGAACAATTAACCTTTCGAGTTTGATCCTGATGCTTTTTTGGGTGCGTTTTGCTTAGTAGCTGGGGTCGTTCTGCGGTTTCCAGTGGGAAATACTTGGTCGATGACAAGAACAATCAGCTGAAACTTGATAATCAGTGAAAGATATGAAGAGAGACAAAAAGAGAAATTATAGCTGGAAACGAAAATTTCATTCCGAAGGATTGAGAAAAACTGACGAATCCGAGGACGCAGCCGAGGGCGAGGGTGACGCCGGCGAAAAGGCCGTAGCTGGCCCAAGACGGAACTCCTTTCTCTTCGATCAAGTGGTTGTGCAGGTCGCGGACCGCCATCGACATCTTGAAGAAAACTGCGACCACAGCCATTCTGCAACAGTTTTTTAACGTCAGCACGCATCAAATATTATTAAATTTACTCCTGAAAAGGCTATTGGAAGATTTTGAACCAAGTGGATGGAAATTATCCGAACCATCTATTAGAAAGATAATATGTTTGTAAGATAAGAACGATATGGTTTCTCAAAAAATCCAAAACATACTGTCGGCTGTTGGGGTGTTTGTAGTCAGGGACGGCCTCAATTACACGCCATTTTTTGTCTTCAATGAAAGAAATGAAATCGTTCTTATCTCGTGGGCCAACGTACTGCCGGAAAACACCGTCCTTCACGCTGAAATACTCGGTTTAGTCAACTTTTGTCCAATTTTTAAGGCCATTTATTTGGGATAATTTCAACCGCTCGAAGTTACTATATAACTTATATAAGCTTCCGGCTATCAGATTTTTCTGCAAAAATTAACGCACGCCTTCTAAAAATTTTCATGCCTTCTCACTAGGGAACTACTCGGACTCGGGTACGCGTTTCGAATTGAAACTTTGGTGGCTTATAGACCCGGGTAAGAGTACTTGGAAACAAGAGAAATTATCGGCTAATCAACATAGGCTTCTGAGAAAAAGCTTTTTGAAAATGAACTTTTTAGGCTTGAAAATTATCAAATTTTTGCTTTCCTCCTTCTTTTGGCTGAAAAAAAGTTTTTTAGAGTTTTTCATAGCCGGATCATTCAACGCGATTGTATTAAAATATAAAATAAAGTAAAAATTTCTCACTTAGGTCTATAAACCACTAAATTTTCAGCTCGATCCGCATACCCGAGTCCGAGTAGTTCCCTAGTCAGTGAAAATGTCGAGCCGCGGAACTCCAAAAATGAAAGGTATTAAAAGAAAATCTTTCTTCCCCACATTTTCTAAAACTTTAGCTTCTATCATCTTCAATTTTTTTTTTAAACTTTATTCCTTTTCGTCGGAACGTTTCATGAAGTAAAAAAATTTTTGAAAAAAATATAACGAAATTTCTCCTAAATACGAGAAGAAAAATTTGACTTAAAAAAAAGTAGCTGGGTGTAAGAAAAAAACTTCTGATGTGAAGTTTTTTTGTAGAAAATCTAACACTTTATAGAAAGGATGAAGTCATGATCATGTCCTCGAAAAAAATATGAAAAAAAGGTCATTTTTCTCATTCAAACTCTTTTTTTCGTTCGAAACTAACTGATAAATAGTGGGAAGTGCGGTGACGAGGAATCTTCCAGAAAGACCAGGGTTCACGGTCACATCGACCTCGCCAACCTAAAAAAAAAGAAGACGTTGGAAGGAGGCCGACAAGAGAAACGAACTTTTATTCCGAGGTCCTTGGACCAATCGGCGAACGCGTTCCAGGCCTTTTGCAGATCTTTGCATGCGGGACACCAAGGAGCATGGCTGAAAGAAACGAATCTCACGGAGACACCAAACAGTAAGGTTCGTTCAGATCTCAAGAAAAGCACATGGAGACGGTTCCTATCAAGACCTTTCTAGCGAAGCCGCTACTGCCTCGAGGTTTTATACATTTAATCGATAAGATATAGTGATTTACGATAGAACCTGCGATCTTATTGATAACTCTTAATTCATACCAAACCTTCTAATTTTTTCTTATAGAAGGGTGCAATTATTTAGGAAGAACTAGAATAGGTCTGCATTTCGATCCAGATGCCAGCTCCGCCTATAGAGGTTATTCATTGATGGAGAGAAGAGTACCATCTTAGTCAACCTTCTCACCATTTTCAATCTTGACAATAAGAAAAAGCTCACAATTCAAGCATCCACTCGCCCTTCATGATGTCGGTCCAGTTCTCCTCCGTCAGGTAGACGAGCTGAGACGAGCGAGTCGCCGCAAGGGCGAAACTCACCGTCGCCGCCAGACACACCAGCTGCAGCGCTCCAGTCATACCTGAAATTCCGTTGAGATGAGAAGTTCGAGTAACGGCAATAAAATCGAATAAAGAGAAACATAGAAATACAAATATCTATACGAAATTGGTAATATATATTTGTGGCTACGGCGAATTGCAGTTGTGAAACAAAAAATCGCGAAGCTTCTTCCCTAAGCTTTTTCAAGTGGTTTCGCAGCGTAAGCTCATAATCCTCATTAAAATGTGAAGATTCATGAGAAAACAGCTTTTTGAAAAAACCAATTATAATAAAAAAACCCTTTTGAGTGGAACTTTAACAACAGGTTTGGAAAAAGAGATATCACCATTGAGTCTGAAAATGATATTTTTAAGAGAGAAAGTTTCACACGTGTCTTACTGGGTCTCGAAACGAAACGATAGGTAATCGGGAGAAATAGTCGTCGTTTTTTTGAATCGACGCAGACGGCAAACCTAATGGCAATCGTAACAAAAGATGGTGAGAAAAGAGTCAGGTTTTTGTTTGAAGGAAGTTGTAATTCACAACCAGTTTCTTCGTTGATAAGCTTGCCTTTATAATATAGATCAAAAAATCGAGTTGACATCGCTTTCACAAGGGCTTGATCAGCATTTCTAAGTCATCGCACTTTCGTACTTTACTTTCAATGGAAATTCAATGGACGTACTTTCAATGGAAGTTACTCAAAAAATTTTGATGAACTTCACAATTTTTTTGATTGATATCAAAAAAGGAGCTCCTAGTGGACACCAAGAACCAATGCAAGAGAGAATGAAACACGAAAAGTAAACGGTAGGAACTGCACTGCGTCGATATGAAAAGAGGCCAAGACACCGCAACAGAAGGTCAAGGATAAATGCCTTGACGGACGTCCCTCTCCTGCATTCCCTGTGTTTCGGCTTGAATATCAGCACTGGTGGAAGAAGCGACGAACACGAAGATAGATAAATGGATGGAGCTTATCAGTGGGCGGATGGATTCAGGGAAGGTAGAATGGGTTGACTGGCTGCTGGAAAAGTCGACGCCACGAAAATGGGTCGCGCATAGACCCGCGACGCCGCTCTATGCCACATCAGCAGTTTTTATCTTCTGCGAAGCGAGTAGGAAAATTCATGAGCTGTCTTACATCTCCAACTTTTCTCTTACAGCAATGCATTGAACTAAACCAACGCTTGAGTGTTTATAAAAGGTTCCGAACTTTGGAACAGACGCATTGAATAAACTGAAAATCAACAGCAGCTTGGCTGAAGAAATTATTATTTCGTCACTATGAGTTATGAAAACCAGATTTTACAAAACGAAAAAATGCTAGTTTCTTGAATATTCCTTGGGAAACTCAAAATTAACTTCTTCCGAAACAATTTTCTTTTTTAGCTTTCACGTTCAAATAACACGTCAACGATAAATCATCCCTCATGAAAAAAAAACCTATTCTGTACTCATCGAACTAACTCTTTTCTTTATCTTTTTGCAAACTTACGACCAATGCTTCGAGAGAAGACTGAAATTACGTAGAATAGGCTATTTGAAAGATTTTTTTAGGATCAACTGATGAAGTCTTTTAAGCTCCTTTTTCACAGCCTCAGAAGATCCTTTCTGCTTCCTCCGAAGATTTTATACTCTTTTCAAAGTTTTCAAAATATTTTCAAATAACCCGCCATGAAAGGAAGCAAGAAATATGCAGACAGGATCTAATGGAGATCCCTAAACTATCCAGTAACTTTTGAAAACTTTCAGAAGAAACTTTTGAATTGCTTACTGAATTTCCACGAGAAAAAGGTCCACGAGATTAACACACTGGATTCCGAGAAACATCAAGCGCCCACCGACCAGATGGACGGACTACTTCCGCAAGAACATCAGTCAGCCAGGCCTCCACTGGATGAGCGTCCCGCAAGACCGAGCCGCCTGGAGAACGTGTGGTCCACGCTGAGAACATCAGCGAAGATGGACCATCAAAGTATCAAAGTAAAGTAAGTACTGAATTTATCGCTAATATAATCTAAAAATCGCCAGCTGGAAACTAAAAAAAATTTTCTGAGCATTTTTTTGGTATATTTCCCCTGCTAAACTGGCGAAGAGCTTTTTCAGATAAAGCTGAAAATAAATAACTATTGAAATTAAAATTCATCTCAAAATGGACTAACTAAGCCATTCCAAAATCCAAAAAACGTATTTTTTCGTCCAATTAGTGGAGGATCGACAAATTGTTCTGCTGTTTTATACGAATTTTTAATGCCGTTTTCAGTTAAAATGAAAAATTTTCGATTCAAATTGAAATCTAGAAGAGAGATGGAATTGAAAACATGAAGAGACCGGTTGAAAGGCAGAAAAAAAAAGACGCAGAAGGAGAAGAGGATGTGGAATGGAAGTAAAAGGCCGCGGGGATGGTCAAGCATCGGGGAACCTGATCCGAAACGAGAGTTCCGCCGACACCTTCTCGCAATTTCCACCAAGCTAGTGCAGGAAACAAACGTCGGCTGTGGCCGAAAATCTAATATGTAAACTTAATTTATCAAGCCCACGCAATCCTACATAAAATTGCTTTACAAACTGAGATTAAATTCAAAACTTTTATCTGCGCTTTTCACATATAAACATAAGAAGAAGTAAATATTTTAACAGAGATGTAAAAGGTTAAAAAGACTTGCTAGTTGGATCTTCGATATCGTCGTTTTTCACAGGTAAAGCGTCAAAAATTCTTTGTCTTTTAAAAGATGATCTAGCAGATCGTGTCTTCAAAGACACTAGAAAGCAAACGGAGGAAGCACTATGAGAGCGAAAATTTGTTTTTTTTAAGTGCAGAATTTTTAATGACCCAAAGAAGTTATTTTTAAATTCTTAAACCCTTAGCCTGGCGTTTTGAACAATCTGTAACCGTTCTAATCAACGAAAAATCAAATAAGAAAAAAGAAGAAAAAGATACAAGCGGCGAAAGTAAAGTATGTAGCTTGCGAACTTCGTTATGAAAGCGAATTCAAAAAAAAGCTATCGATTATTGAAAATCGACTCATAAACTGCCCAGCGTATAGGTCAATGGGAAAGGTGTTACGACTAGCTACCAGGTATTTCACTAAGAATAACAACCGAGATAAACGCGATGTCGGTAGCGGTACATTGACGGACTCGCAAACATGTCCCTCTATCCTCGCGCGGGTCTCGCATTTCTCTCGAGCCAGACTGGTCAGTTATCTTTAGTGATAATACAAGATTTCAAACGCTCATCGATGTTTTTTTTTGAGGACAGAGTCATATGAAAAAGTAGCAACTTCTAGAAAGTTCATGAAAAAGAAATATTCAAACCGGTGATTTACAAAGTGCAAGATAACAAAGAAAAAAGTTTTGCAAGAAAATTATTTATTTTATACATAGTAGTTTTAGCAGCGGACTCCAATAAAGGGCACATATTTGCCTACAGCAACTAACAATTCCTAATAAATAGAACGTCGGAAACCTCGTACAGTATAACAAAACTATTTGAAATTAAATGCTGGATTCGTCGCAGGCCTTCAAAGCGTCGTCGCGTTCCTCTTCGAGTTCCTAACAGAAAAGTTTCGTTGAGTGGATTGAATCGTCATAACAACCTTCGTGGTGACAGCAATCTTCTGCTTTGCAAAGTCGTCCAAAGACAGGCCCTGAACGATTTTCCACTCCTTGGTGTTGCCGTCGATGGTAACCGGGAACGAGAAGATCAAGCCTTCGGGAATGCCGTAAGAGCCGTCCGATGGAACTGCCATCGATACATGTTGGCCCTGAAGAAAGAATCTCAAGATTTGAGTTTTTTTCACAAGACAACTAACAGGCTGAGTTCCAAAGTGCCAATCGTGGATGTGGTCGCAGGCGGCTTTGGCGGCTGACATGGCAGAAGACAGTTTGCGTTTCTCGATAATCACTCCACCTCGCTTTTGCACGGTCTTCAAAAAAGGAAGATTGAAAATGTAAATGAATAAATCAAGAAATAGGTTTATATATAGTCCAGACAAGGGGCAAGGAAATTTTGAATGAAAAACTATAAGCGAAACCCGCTTTTCGGACTCTACATTCGAATTTGCAGAAGGGAGATGAAAAAGTAAAAGAGTCGCATTTCCAGCCACTAAAAATTAAGATCCAAAAAGATTTGCGAAATGTGAATGACAAGATGAACTTTCGCTGAGATTTTCTCTAGAGCACTCTGATAACCTAAAAATGTTACGCCCTTCGGTCTTTTAACATAAATATAGAAAAACTTTCCACCGGCAAATTATGAACTATTAAAGTACAATAGTCATTTTTAAGTCACTTTATTAATCGATTGTTAGATATTCGCGCTCGACGAGCTCAGATTGTACCAAATGTTCATTTAGCTGGAGCTAACACGCTTTCCACCTAGGTTGGGAGCTTCGAAATTCGAGAAACGTCTTCAAGTTAATAGGTGACACGTTATTCGAGACATTTCGGTGTTGAGAAGCTTCATAACTTGGCTTGAAGGCAAACGTTAGGGTAGTTAATTTATGCCGTTCGGCTGTATATTTCTATTTAATTTTTAAAGTTTCAACCTTAATTTGTTGAGTTAAAAAATGGAACTACTGCACTGAAGACAGTTTTGAAAGCTTCTGGCAACTTTTACTCAGAAATATTAATAAAAAAACAATAACCGAGATGAAATCTCCTTGAAGGAACGCATCATCTCCCACAGCGGTGTAAGCATCGACAGAATTTCCACCTGAAAATTTCGAAGCTAATCAAACTTTTTCAAATATCAGAATACCCTTGGTGACTTGAGCGTGTCGCGCGTCGGGGAACTGGGTGCTCGAGTGATTTCCCCAGATGATAACGTTCTTGACGTCACCGACAGTGACTCCAGCCTTCAAGGCAACCTGAAGTTCAGAGTGACGAACACTGAAAGCAGGAAGACGGCAACTTGGGCAAGTGCGCGGTTGTGATCGAGTCGGGTCATCGCAGAGAAGTTCCGCGCTGGAACCTTTCCAGCTGCGTATTTCGCAGCGATGAAAGCGTTCGTGTTGGCGGGATTTCCAACCACGATAACCTTGAAAATTTTTAACTTTCCGTGAAAATAAAAGGTTCATACCTTAGTTGACGGCTTGGCATACTCAGCGAGAGCTTTTCCTTGGGACTTGAAAATTCGAACATTTGCGGCGAGAAGATCTTTGCGTTCCATTCCCTCACGTCGAGGCATAGCTGACAAGAAAAAAAACTTTTTTTTTGGAATATCCGTAGCAATCAAAACCTCCGACCAAAAACGCATAATCGATATCCTTGAATGCCGCTTTCTCTTCAGTAACGGCCTCGACGCCTTCAAAATGATTTTCGACCACGCAGAAGGTGTCACTTACCATGAAGAGTTGGCAAAGCACAGTCTTGCAGCTCGAAAACAACTCCCTCAAGGACGTTCGCGCACTGAGGAATGTCGAGAAGGACGAGATGAACTGGGGTGTCCTGAATTACACCTTGAAGTGATTAGAATTCGCGTAATATAGAGAATAAAAGAAGATTTAAAGTACGTAAAAACTCGAAAATACATACTTAGCGAAACTTTGCATTTCAGTTGCTGAATTAACAAAATTAGCTAAACAAAAACATGCTAAAAAAATTGAAAAGGAGCTATAAAATACGAAATTTTAGATTTCTGAAGTACAGAGGCCTGTGAACAGTGCAATCGTACCTTTCCGAACACGGTACCGTCGGCGATACGAATGACAATAGAATAGCCGATTTGGCCAGCGGCACCAGTGACAAGAACACGAAGAGGAGCCATTCTGAAAACTAAAAATTAACAAATAGCTAGCTCGAAGGAAACGTTGAAGGAGCGAGAAAAACGAAGCGAATGAAACATTCGAAACAAACAAGAGCTGGAAAACAACGATTGATAAGGTTGCTGGACTGATTTTGCCGCGACAGAGGCGCGAACCACAGAACAGTGGAAAAGGTCGATTGCCTCGTCTCTCAGCTAACTTAACGCTCTTTACAATTGTCGATTTCTCTGGCCGGTCTTCTCATGAAAAAATCGTAAACAACTCTTCCCAAATATTTTTCTTTCTTGCTGAAAAATTATATATGATATAGCCCATTTACGGCCGATTTGGGCATTATTCAGAAAAAAATAAATGAGCCTTGACGGGATGAAAAAAATGGTATGCTAATAGTTAGATTCAGACGTTCACATCTTTCGTTGTGTCCCAAGCCAGCTGTGAATGAGCTACATAGTTTTTTGGATAAGAAATAATGATCGGAAAATACTAAATATTTGTCAATTGACATAGGTGCAAACTACGTCGTAGACATTTTGTTAGAGTGAGGAGAATCAGAGAAATGAGGGAGCCGCCTGTGTTGAGATTTGCGCGTCAGAGGTCAAAAAATTCCGCGTTTGCTTGAAATATATTTCGGATTTTTTGAAACTATGATTTATGCCGTGTTCAATTTGATTTTGTGAAGTGCAAAATACCCGTTACACTAAGAATAACTGACGAGATAAATGCGAGCTCGGTGGCGGTACATTGACTAACTCGCAAAAATGTCGCTTTTTTCTAGGCGCGATCCCGCATTTCTCTCGGCGCGACCTCGCATTTTTCACGGCGCCATCTCGCATTTATCTTGCATTTCGGAAATTTTCAAATTGCGAGAGAAATGCGAGCTCGCGCCTAGAAAAATGCGAGCTCGCGCCCAGAAAAATGCGAGACCGGCGCGAGAAAAAAAGCGAGATGTTTGCGAGCTCGTCAATATACCGCCAGTGTCTCGCGTTTATCTGGGCAGTTATTCTTAGTGTTAGAGAAAGGAAAAGATCACTAAATTTTGGAGAGCCAGAGATCATTTTGCCTTTCGCGGAATCAAATTGAACACGGCATTATACCATTAGTCTATCGAAGGGTCTGAAGCCCAAAGATGGTACCACGAGCACACGTTGCGAAATTCCAGAATAACGCGATAAACTTCCGGTATACCGCTCTACACTCTCGGTACAGCTACGATATGCTGAAATATATATCGAAGATATGACAATGAACATAACTATCCTGATCAATTTTGAGGTATATGCTCGGTACTTTTATTACCTAACCCCGATTCGTCTATGCGAGGGGTCAGAATTACAAAAAAAAATTAAAGGCTTATAAAAACCATTTGATTACCAGAAGAACGTACAGAAAATATAACAACTTTATAATATTATTTGAAAGATCTGCAACAAAAAAAAACCTACATGTGAAAAAAAAAAATTATTAGAATTGTAAAGTGTACAAAGGGACAATGTCACCGGATTCTTCATGGAGATTTTCCTTAAGGAGCTCGCTGGAGACAAACTTGATGTTGACGTCTGTCACGGCCAACATTCCAGGGACAGGTCTACGTGCTTAATTTTTACTGATTAATTTGCCGGAAAGTAAGGCTTACAGTTTTCGCAGTTGATAAAACCTGCTCTTTGGGCATTATCATACATTTCTGAGAAACATTCATAACTGGAAGAGGCCATTACGTTTCTGAAAATGTGTGAAATTATCCGATTAGTAGATAAACCGAACCCTGATCCGTACATAGGGAGGCTACATTGGTAGTATGGTTGTTGAACAAAAGGTTGATGGCCGTAGAATGATTGTGAAAAGTGTTCATGGCTCATAATGTTCATGTGAGAATTTTGTGGCTTTTCAGCACGGCGAAAAGAAAATTTTCTTGAGGGAATGTTAGAATCTCGTAATTGAAGTTTTGGAACAGAAGTAGGAAGACAATTTTTTTGTTCAAGCACAATCTGAGTCACCGTGTTGGCAACAGGTTTTAGAGGGTCTCCTATTGAAGAAGTTGGTTCATAATCGAAGTTTATTTTGTTCCTTTTCGCGGGTTTCCTCTTCATCGGCTTTCTTTTTTTCTTCATCGTCCGGGCCAAAGTAGAAGACAGGACAGATCCTAAACACATACAATCTTATTCAGAATGAGCTGAGTTGAAACTGGCCTCTTGGATATTCCTTGTGACATTCAGACCCAAAACGTTCTTGAACAGGAAATGGGACGTTGCGAGGTTCAGGCTTAGGAACGACTCTGGCCGGAGGTAGAGGGATTCTGGAAGGGGTTTCCAGAAGAGCACGTCTTGCGAATGGAGTCCTTGGCGGAGGAAGAGGGATCTGAGAAGGCGATGAGACTTGAAACGCAGGTGCTCCGAATAACTGTAATACCAAGTGTTTCTTTCGAACGTTCTCGAATTCGAAGAAAAAATATCCGTCACAAAAAAGGTACTTTCGATGCTGTCTGTCATTAAAGCTTTTCATAAAACTGGATATTTTCTTTTAGTAATTTAGATAACTTTGAAAAATAAGGTCAACTAATATTTTTATTCGATTTTTTTCGACACGATAACCATATTGCGTATTAAATTTTTTTAATAAAAAAACTAGTATTTTTTTGGTCGGAAAAATTGCTAACAGTACAAAAAAATAAAATAAAAAAACCGAAGTCACTAGTTTGCTACTCGGCGGCTACCCTGACTCACACCTGAATTGCTTTAATTTTTCCTTCAACATAATTCAAATTTTGACAATTACTTTTTTCCTCGCTCAAAAATTAGGTTGATTATTAAAACCTCGTTGCTTGCGTTTTTTTGCCTTTGTTCGTCCCGACTTTCATTCACTCCAGCAGCAATATTCCTCAAGGATCGAGCATCTTCTGAACCATACAACTTTTTTGAGTTAATTTTTGAAATTTCAATACGTTTTTGAGAGACAGTCGGAGAACTGTAGTGAAACTGCAACATTTGCTGGAAATTCAGATTAATTTTTTTTTATTATTCCGTAGAATTTGGGACACTGAGGAAAAAGTTCGAAAAATTTTGTTTAAAGAACGTACCAAAGCGTTGACTCCTGGATTGAAGCTGAAGCCCCGCACATTCCTGTGAAAAAAATTTTTTTCGAAATTCAACTAATGTAAATTTCTCAAAATAATTTTTTTCCTTTTTTTAAAACTATATTCTGAGCTTTTTCTATTCATCCAAATAATTCAAAATAAGATGAGTAATTTTTTTGAATGGCTTAAAAAGTTAGTCAATCGTACGGTCGAACTGGATAGGTCGGTTGAGCCAAATTTTCATTGAAGTTATGGGCGCTCATTTTCATCCGTTCTGAAATTTTTTTTCCTTCACTAAGAATAACTGCCGAGATAAACGCGAGACACTGGCGGTACATTGACGAGCTCGCAAACATCTCGCTTTTTTTCTCGCGCCGGTCTCGCATTTTTCTGGGCGCCAGCTCGCACTTTTCTAGGCGCGAGCTCGCATTTCTCTCGCAATTTGAAAATTTCCGAAATGCAAGATAAATGCGAGATGGCGCCGAGAAAAATGCGAGGTCGCGCCGAGAGAAATGCTGGATCGCGCCTAGAAAAAAGCGACATTTTTGCGAGTTAGTCAATGTACCGCCACCGAGCTCGCGTTTATCTCGTCAGTTATTCTTAGTGTTAGAATACACACCTGTTCAGCCCGTCCAGTTTGCACACTGCAGGTTTAAGTTGTGCATACACCGATCGAGGTTTTTAGGTGATATCTCCGTTAATAACGAGTTTTTTTCTACGAAAAATGGACAAATTCAAAGACAAACGCAATTAGAAAATTCAAAGGTGAAATTTTAATTTTAATATTGAAGTCATTACGAACGACAGCAAGTATTGAAAAAAATGGCTTAATTTGAGAAATCCGTCTTTAATAAGTAAAGAAAAAAGTAGTTTTTTTCTGTTATTTTTTTCTATTAATGTCGAAAACAGCGGTGTTCATCCTATTAAATAGAAAATGTGGTCAAAAAAATGGTCTATTATGCACAGCAGAGACGGCGCAGTGCAAACCAGACGGGTTCCTGTAGGTCTGAACTGGTGTGAATAACGTATATTTTTTACGAATTTCAATTAGGAGCCAATGAGAAAGAGAATTAACAAATAAAAAATTTCATTATTACACCACACATCTGTTGCCCGTCCGGTTCGGCACACTGTATGTTTAAATTGTGCATACACCAATCGCGGTTTTTTTGGCGATATCTTTGTTATGCCGCCAAGCCAAGGGCTGCCATCCCAATCCTCCACCTCTGTCAACAAAGATAAACTTGTTCATAAAATATTATGGAATATATGTTGCAGTGAGATTAATGATTTCTCACGCGAGCAATAACTATCGCCTCTCGATGCGATCTCGCAAACATTTTGCGCTGTATCGCTTTAAAGCGTTTTTTTTTCTTTCTAAGAGTTATTCTTTAAAATTATTCTTTCTTTAATCGGATGAATTTATGATAAAAAGTAGGAATAAAATCAAAACTTATTTTTTTCTCATTTTTTTAAATATTTAATAGAGAAAAATGGCAGCAGCGAGACTTTAACGAGGTCGCAGCAAGAAGCCGTGTTTCCTATATCGCCTAAGGCCCGTTGCGAAATAGTCTAGTTACAGCCAAACTAATTACCTATATATATCGAAGCGGATCGCAGGCGATATAGCCAAATTTTTCTTGCTGCAATCTCGTCATAGTCTCACTGCCATATAGCTCCTTCTCATAAATTTGAAACTTGAAAAACATTTTTTTTTGCTTTATTACCTTTATGATGAAATGAAACTAATTTTTAAAAAAAAACCTTGAAAGAAAATTTTTCAGAGAGCGATATAGCGCAAGACGTTTGCGAGGTTGCAGCGAGAGGCCAACGTAATTGCTCACGGTACTTACGCGGTATTGCTCCCGCTGCGATATAGTCCATAATATTGGGTGTATATGTATATTATAATATACAAAATATATTATGAATGTTGTGTCCATAGAGCTCGAGAACTGCGCGGCATCGTGCAAAGCTATAAATGCGCCAATGCGCACCCGCTGGCTCAAAGCTTGTACAGTGTGTACAGTGTGTACAAGCTTTGGGCCAGCAGGTGCGGATTTTTCTATTCTACAAAACGGCAAAAAGACAAAAAATTTTGATGAGAATTGTCGTCAAACTTGATCTCATTTGGTATACGTTTTTTTAAAAAAGAAAAAAAGAAAAGCCGGCTCCAAAATGACTTCCCTACATAAATTTCGCAAATAAATTTGCTCGAGGTCAGTTTATTGGCCGAAAAAAACAAATCAAATAAATTTCTGGATTTCGTCGTAAATAGCAAGAACGAGTGCTCCTCCAGTTCCTCGGAAAACGTTTGAAAGGGCTCCCTGAAAGCTGGAAAATTGTAAAACTCAAATGATTATAACCTTGAACATGGCCGACATTCCTTCGTTCTGAATAATTTTTTTGGCACAATCAAACGTGTTCTTGTAAAGAATGTCCTTCCTGCCGGACTGCATCATCATACGACGTCTCACGGTGTCCCATGGATACGACAGGATTCCGGATCCGACCGTCACCACCTGCAAACCATCAACCTGAAAGTTTATGTTTCGCTTCCCTAACCTGAGCGATGGCCCAGGCGGCAAAGAAGTTCAGCTTCTTGCCATCCGCCGAAAACACAATCTTAGCAGTGTCGAACATTCCAAAGTAGGCTGCACGATAGATGATAATGCCTTGAACAGAAACGAAGAATCCACTGAAAAAGGACTTGCTCTTTTTTGTTTCAAAAGTTACGAACCGGTAGAGACCGATAGGTCCGTCGGATTTGACGATCTTTATGAGGCAGTCGCCGAGTCCTTTGAATTCTCTGTTGGAGCCCTTGCCGACGTCCGCAGCCAGACGAGTACGTGCAAAGTCTAGCGGATACACAAAACAAAGCGACGTGGCTCCGGCGGCGCCTCCCGAAGCCAGGTTTCCAGCAAAGAACTTCCAGAAATCCTTCTTCTTGTCGACACCCCGCAAGAACATATTCTTATAGGTGTCTTTGAAGGCAAAGTTGAGCGCTTGCGTCGGGAAGTATCTGATCACGTTAGCCAGGTTTCCTGCAACAGATGGACCGTTTTGAGATCGGGAAAATTGAGAAACCTCTCCATAGTGCGGCGAATCCTTGCTCTTTAGGCACCCGAACAAACACATCTATAATTCCTTTGTACCGCTTGTCTGCAGTGATAGTTGTCGACGCGTCTTGTACCTAGCAGCAAACGTCGCCAAAAAAGAAAAGGAAACTAGAACCTGCAGAAGCAGTTTGACGCGTTCAATGGGAGCAACGGCGGTTTTGGAAACGGCGGCGGCGCATCCGCCGGTCGCCAAATCCATGAAGAATTTGCGGCCATCGAAACCCTTGCTCTTGCCAGCCTTAGCTACAATTCCGCCTGGAGAAAAGCAGTCCACAAATCTGTTTTCAGTAGAATAAGAGAACCTTCGGACATTTTCGCAGATGAGGAGACCAACAGACGGCTAAGAGCGTTTCTGTTCGCAATGAAAAGCTCCGGACAAACGATTACATGTGTCGCTTCCACGTATCAGTCACGTGGCGATTCATCACTTCCATTTGTAAAAGGTTTAAACGACATCTTCTGATTTTATTTCTTTATTTGAAAAACAATTACTGAAATTCGCAAACCAAGAATACTAATTGATAATCAAATTTGCATGAAAACGACCCGATGCTGTACAAGAATAGAGAAGGTGGAAATATTAGGTCAATTGAAAAGAGCCGAAATATCGTGGAAGGCTTGGGCGAGTCTCTTGCCAAAAAGAGCCGAATCCGTGTTGGAGGCCGATTTGTGGCTCGTTATGTTGGCGCAGATGGTGTGGTTTCCGCCAAATCGGTAGCAGACTCCTGAAGAAATCGACTATGATGTCAACTCAAGACAAAATAGGAAAAAGAGTAGGGGAAAATTCTTCAAATTTTAAAACAACTTGCTTTTGAAATAGTTTGAAATAAAAAAACAGAAGAAATATTTTTTTAACTATATTTTCGCTAACCGAAAAGAGATTTTAGGGAGAAAAAAATTCTAAGTACTAAAAAGTTGACTTTGGACTGACTGAGTTAGCGAAAACCTACCGTATCCCTGCTTGGCGACGGGTCCAAAACAAGCGCCAAGCCAAGTATGATCAACGACGGAGTCTTCATCAATCTGATTGGTGACGTTAGGAACGTGGCTGGTGCTGAGGAGCCACGGCTGCGAAATGTAGTGGTCGAGGAAGGCGCTCGAGGTGCCGGTCGCCTTCGAAAGGATGTACAGAACGAAGAGATGACGATCTATTCCTCCGCCCACCATACAATCCTCAAATTGGAGATTCGGCTAGAGCTTCTGGATTGAAACAACCTTGTTCTTTTCAACGTGAGTTGTGCAGGCTTTCTGCAGAAGTTCGATACGGTGCTCATTCTGGAAACAGATAACAATAACTTGTGGCTTCCTATTGGCGATACCGTTTCATTGGGGTCAAGCATGGCGAGGACGAATTGACAAGACTGATCGCTCACCGTCCGCAAAGTTTCAGTTCGAGAGTTGGCAAAAAACCTGACAGACGCCGGCTCATAGGTCAGAACGAACCTCCCTTGATCCTGAAATGATCTTCCTCGTTTGTTTATGCAAGAGATGAGTACGCGATAATTGGCCAGCTGGATGGCCATTTGAACGAAAGCGTCTGGTGAAACTCCGCATTTCTTGATCCGACCTTTGCCGAAGTCTCTGAATTTCGTTTCATTCACGAAGCTATACCAGGAAAATTTGCCTGAAAATCAAGGAAAAAACGTCGATATCTGCTTTGGCAGCTTGGTGGGTCTCGTAGCATCGGTTGATTTCAGGGACCATCTTCAAACTTTTATAACTTGTGGAAAGTTCATTGAAAACGGCTCACTTCTTTATCCGCAACTTCGAAGACCAGCTTTTCCCCCAAAATCAACTCTTTCCTGTCGCTATCGGTGATCGTCTCAAGTCTGATCTGTTCTTCTCTTGGCAAAATCTCCAAATGGACAGCATCTAGATGGATGTAGTTCTCCATGATGTGATCGAACTCGGCTCCGTCGGCGATACTGTGCTCCGTGGTGCCTCCTGCCTGAGAACCCCTCTGTCGGACAGCTCACGAAAAATAGACTGACTCGAGAATTCTTGGCTGCGATGTAGTTGAGAGACTTGTCGGCCCAACGATTTGTTCCATCCCCACAGAGCATGTTTAACAGAAAGTTGGACAGTTTCTCAGGATTTTCCTGTGACGTTTGAAAGATAAGGACCCAAATGATTATGGATAACGAAAAAAGACCAACCGGATCGTATCCGTAGGTATCGTCTTCGTCTAGGGTCATGAAAAGGGCGGCTTTCTCAATAGTATCCAGAGCTTTCCGGTTGACGGCATTATCCAAGAAAAATCTTTTGCGGTTCCGATGCCACGAGTCTCTGAGATAAGAATATAGCTTTTTGGTTATATAAACATCAAAAAATGCGCTTAAAAATCTGAGGCCGTGTTCAAGAAAGTGGTGAATTCGTTTACCGCGCTTTACCCAAAAATAGTGAATGACTCAAACTTGTTCTACAGAAGTCAGAATAAGTTCAGCCCTGAAAAGGTCCTTCTATTACAAGGTTATGAAAACTTTTCCCATGAATGTGCGATATCAGGCCATTTACCATTTATGGGTAAACGAGGTACAATTTTTCGACCCTTGGTCTTTCCGGTTAATGAGAGAAACCTAGTATCGTGTGTGAGGGCGACAAGGCGTCGGAATGGACCTTCTTCTGTTTCGTTTCGGGCTAGTAATTCTGCGAAGATTCTGTAATCTTCATTGTGAAGTTAATGGAAACCACTAATCAAGGGGAACGAATTCACTAACTGAGTGAGCTTCTCAACGCTATAAATGCGGTTTTTGTGATCACAGATGCGGACTTTGTACAGGAAACCGTGCAGTTCGACGACCAGATAGTTCTGGATTCCGTAGTTGGCGAGGTGATCGATCGACTCTCCAGGAACTCTCGTCACCGCGTACATCTTCTTGTAGTGACGCGTGCAGAGCAATCCGTCGCCCAGCTACGAAAATAATGACATTAAAATCCAAAAATGAATGAGGTGTGTGTGGAAACATTTCGATGAGTCTAAAAAAAACCATATGAAAACCAGTCCAAGGACAGTTCAATCATTAGTCGGTTATTCACCCTCAGAAGGAATTCGACCAAATGGCCAGTTTGACTCACAGCCTTATAATCTTGACGGTCGATGGCAAGTTGTGACATCATCTCGATCCAGATGATACGGGCGGCACGGTAGGCACAGGTCATGTCCAGCACTTTGATCAGATCACAGTGGGCGACACTGCTGTTTATCAGAACCGGAGCCCTTCAGACTCTTTCCAGAACATTTCCCCGAACATTTCTATTACCGACTGTAAAGATATGCGTACTTCTCCCAGAAAGGAGTGACGTAGTTGTCCGTGAACATGGAATAAATCCACGCGTATGTCTGCAGAGAACGACCTTCGTTGAGCAAAAACGCCTCGGCTTGTTCAACAACTAACTCGAATTCATCCTGAAAACACCGAAATAACCAAAATGACTATAGCACAAATGCGACCTTTGGCATAAGATTCCGTGAAGAGTCGAGGTATTTCCGAATTGTTTGTTGAAGCGGAGGAACTGGCAAATTTGGCAGAAGTCTGTCACAAGACTCGAGCCGACGTGGTACGAAAGAAAGCAGATATCTTACAAACTGGAATTTTTTAATGATCCATTCACTTCTGCTGAACCGACCCCCCACGCTTTAGTCCTCAATGAAGGCTTCTTTGGATTCTCGAAAAGGAAGCCTTTGTACGAGAAGTAAAAGTACTTGAGTGCCTTTCGCAGAATGAAAGTCGGCACGTATACCACCGAAACCGAGACCGCACATGCTTTCAGAATCTGCAAGCTGTTTTGGTAGACCAAACGAAAAACTTCGACCAAAAACGTAACCAATCATGAAGATAAGATAAAACTTATCAATGTCCTGGGAAGGCAGGGAAAATAATAAGTGAAGACTACGCTTGACATGAGGACAAAAATCATAAGTTCAGTTTGTGAAAACCGGAGATTCATGTTGTAGCGCCAAGTGTAGTCTTTTTCCAGCCACCGAAGTGCAAAACTGATAAGGTTTACTTTACGTATTTAACAATCAACAATTTCTGTTTTAAAATGTTTAGAGATTGCTCTTAGATTTTTCTGCACAATATTGTATTGAGAGGAGCTGTCAAGAAGAAGACCACCTAGCTGTGTGAAAACGGCAAAGTATGTGGCTCAGAGAAAATAGTTGTGGTCTCCTTTTTTTTGTGTCAGAGAAGGTTATATAAGAAAGTATAAAATAGACTCGAAAAAAAATCGATAAAACTTTCTTAAGAAAGAAAAATTTAATGATTCTGTACTGTTAGCAGGTATATCATAGAGAAAACCTCAAGATGGGGACTTTCAAAAGACGGAAGAATGCTGAGCAGGACGTTGGTCGGATAGCGGAGGTTGTAGGCGAGGAGGGCCGCGCATGTCGCCGTGAACGGTATCGGCCGCACCGGCCATAGCCGGTTGTCCAGCCAGTTCTGCAAAGAACGATGATACCAAGTAGAGAAACTCTCGTTCGACAGGTTGACCTGGGAATTTAAGCCGCGACCGAATATCTTAGAAGAAAAAACTGCAGCAAAATTCGCTCACATAGGGAGTCATTTTACCGTTCCTACTGGAGTTTTCTATAAATTTGCTGAAACGCTCTTTGATGGACTGGGAATCGATCCCACATAGCGGCTATCTGTGCAAACTTTTTGTTTTGGAGATATGAATTTTTAAAGTTTTCATCGGTTAACACGTGACCTTGTTGTGAAGGAATGTGCCCGCGCCGAAAACCACCGAATGGCAGATACACTCTTTGTATATGAGAACTTTAGAAAAATCTCGAATCTGTAAAGGTCTTCACAGCATCAAGAGACTTTTCATGAAAAAAAAAACAGAAATAAATTAGAGAAAAACGCGTGTTAACCGAGGAAAACTTTTAAAAATTCATATTTCCAAAACGAAAAGTTTGCGCAGATAGCCACTATGTGGGATCGATTCCCGGTCCATCAAAGAGTGTTTGAGCAAGTTTGTAGAGAGTTCCAGTAGGAACGGTAAAATGACTCCCCATGTCAAGTGTTGTTTCAATTTTCTTTTTTTTTGAATGAGCATCGGTGTAAAGCTCTCAAAAATGGGTACATTTGTCTGAGTTACTCTGAAAAAATAACCCCTACTATCAACTGACATAGACAAGGTAGGACTTGCGTTCGAAGGTACTCGGGAACCTGGATGGGAGGCTAAATGGACTACCCAACTTCGATGTTCCCACCATCTGAAATACTTTGAGACTCGAGAAAGGAAGAGTGAAAACCCGGAACCAACGAAATTCAGACACAAGGAAGAGTTATTTAGCTTGTCATTAGGAACATGTGCGTTCCGTGGACAATGACGGATTTATCTTATTTTTGGTATCAATAATGCTAACGATAATAAATCTAAGATACGATGAGTAATATGACTTTCCTTTTTCTATCAGCTCCTACAGTGCACATAAAGAAAAAAAAGGCGAAAATAATAATGATATTTTGATTTTCAGTCTTCAAGTCAGTTCGTCACTGGGAAACGACGCACGCCCGAGTTCATTCAAAAAAATGGTGGGTGTATGCTAAAATTTTGACTTCTGACTACATTTGTGCATACATCGACTGACCCATGTTTGTGAAAACCGCTCTTTTGTAGTCATTTTGGGCTAAAAATTTACAAAACACTGTGGTCAAAGCTGATGTTAAAAATAACAGCAGCAAAACATTTTAAAAAGTATTCTTTGGAACATTCACAAAAGTTATGATTGCAGGGTAGTGGCGCTTCTTTTACACGTTTGCCGGAGGGCGTTCTCGAGCGTGATAAAGCCCGATAAGGCGAATGAAAAAACAAGCGACAGATGTGTACTTTGTCCTTTCGCCGACGCTGTTACACCTTACAATATTGTGCCGCACGGCGATCTCGTCCGAGTGGCTGCCGTGAAATTGAAGGAGAATTTCAATCAGCTTCAGTGAGGAGACCTCGCTCAAAATCACACACTCACACGCTCGAAATCGATGTAGAATCCACCTTTTTTTCCTTTCTATTCAGAAGACTGTTGAATATCATTTTGATTTAAAAAAAACCATCAGATATGTATTTTTTTTTTCAAGAAAATCGACTACAATTCCATTTTTTTTTCTCCGCTTCGGTTCACCAAAAATGAGATCTTTTTGAAATATCTTATATATCCTTGTAACTTTGAAAATGTTATGATCCACTGAACTTAATTCTGAACTACTGGAGAGCCTCTTAAAGTTCGCCATCTAAATATGTTCAAAAACCGCAATAATAATCTCTAGGATCCTAAAAAACAGCAACGATCGGCGATGGAGCAAAAATAAGAAAACTAACAAGTGTTCTTCTCTCTACTATTATAGGAAAAAAAAAAACGATGAAAGCCGGAAAATATCGACGAAAACAGAGAGGCGAGAGAGGAAGGCAAATTAGGCTGGATGACCCAGAAACGATAAGACGCGAGCGCACTAACATCGAGGTCACAACGAGCCAAAAATCCGTTCAATTGCGACATCCTAGAACTGATCAAAGTAACGATTTCTTATCGCGTTCACAGTCCAGAAAAAAAAAAACTCGAGTTCGAAGAAGACTCAGAGAAAAATTTGGTGAAAACCAAAAAATAAAGAAAAAAAAACGGAGCCCTCTGCGTCTCCGCACAAACACTGGGAGAGGTCAGCGCCGCTATTGACCACGACGAAACAAAATTTACCACTTTCTTTTTCAAACTTTTATAATGAGCAATGTAGTAAATAACTATTTTTTACAAAGTAACAGAATGGAAATACAAAGTGAATGCGGTAGTACAATCAATTCACAGAATTATGGTTATTTGAATGCGTAATCAAGTTTGTGAAAAATTCCTAGTTTAGAGGATTTTAGATGAATTTCTAGATAACTTGAAATATCTGAATTTCTAGATAACTTGGAACAAAAGAATGTATAAAGAAAAATACTTTGAACTTTTCCATTTCAAGTTTGAATGATTATTGTGCAATTAGTTCTCCAATATTCCAAGAGCATTCTGAGAGAAAACAGGCGTGTAAAAGTTTAGTAGCTTCGATATTCAAATGTGTCGGAGTGAGAGAAATGCAAATAATAGACAAAATAACTTTGAACTTCTCAAATATTCATAATTATATAACCCCTTGTTCAAAGCATTAATAGAGAAGAGAATCAAACTTTCCGAAACTGAGGTCGTCCAAAGAGAACTTAGAACAGTCTTGCGGAAAGTCGTTTTCCAAATCCGGAGAGGAGAACTCATCAGCATCTGAAAATTAGTGAGAAACAAGTCTTCCGAAGAAAAAAAATGAAAAAAAAATTTTTTTTTTTCGAACTTTTGAAAAAACTCCAAACAAGTTTGAAGTTTCAATTTGTGCCTTTCAAGGGTAAATTGAAATCGGGATAATTTCTCTAATAAACTTAGATCTCTAAATCTTGAAACTGAAACAAAAATAAAAAAAATATAACGAATAACTAAACATATACAACTTTTTTGAGGAAAATTTTTGGAACTCTGTTAAAGCTGATTTCGTTTTATAGCAAGTCCGTCCGCCGCGAATTGAAATGTTTGACATTTTTTCGAGTGTCTCCGTCTCTTTGTTCCCTCTCCGGCAAACCCAGAGAACATGAAAATATCACGTCTAAATAAGAGCGTTCCCTAGAGAGAAGAAGGCGGAGAGAAGTTATGCCCTTTCAAATCGCGACGATGGGACTACAATAGATTAAAAGAAAGTCAGAGATGAAGATTTCCGAAAAAAAAACGTCAGAGCTTACAGGAACTCGCGTCGAGCAAAGTTTCATCGTCGGCGTCGACAGAGCTGAAGGGCAAGTCGAAGCCGGAAATCATGCATTCCGGCGAACTGGGACTGTTCATCTCCGAAACATGATCTTCGAGAGCCTTTACATTTCTCGGTGAAACGATTCTCTTGAAAATTTGATCAATCCGATAAGTGCATTTGATTTGATATTTATAACATGAACTCATGAAAGTATTAGTTTGGCTTTTTAAGGAACAGAAAAAAACAGCGAGGTAAAAAAATGAATCTTGAGAATTTAATTAACAATTCATGATTCTAAAGTTCATGAAAAAAACACCAGGATTCCGATAAAGGAATCAACTGAAGTTTTTTCGAATCTAAAATCACATTAGAAATGCAAAAAAAGAAAAATTATTGTTAAATTTACAGTAAAGAAAAAAATCACCTCGCTCAACGAATTTTCCCCGAATAGAGAAATGGAACAAGGATCTACGAGCTTCGATACTCCAACACTTTCAACTTGATCTGAATTCTCCGTTTTTAATTTATATTTATGAAGGTTAACGAAAATAGTAGTATTTTTTTAGGAAAAAAAAAAATAAATCAACACGAGAAAATAATAAGCGCAGATCCCCCTTCAACAGCTAGAAAAAGAAACTTCGAAAAATCTCAAAATGCCAAGAAGAGCAAAACTTGCGTTGGCGAAAAAAATATCAAAGACCGCGAAATCGAGGTCGACTGCTAAAATTTTTTTGGGATCTTTTATTTATTTCTAATAAGGATCAGAAGGTCATGCCACGAGGAAAAAAAGACAAACTAGAAGAAAAAAAATCACAAATAATAAGTTTAAAAAAATTAAAAAGAACAGAAAAAGCGGTGGTATGAAAAGAAAAAGGTAGCGAAAAATTCAAACATCGACTTCTCATATCGCTAGGGAACTTTCCTAATCTTTTCTCGATAAACTCTTCTTTTTAAATCTTTCCATATAAAGTAGGCGAGTTATTTATGATTAAAACACAAAGAAATAAGAAAAAAAAAATGTTAATAGTTGCTAATGCCAGCAAGTCTTAAAAAATAGCTTAATTTAAAAAATCCGTCTTTAGTAAGTGAAAATAGTATTTTCTGTAATTTTTATCCCTCAATTTTCTAAAGTTCATTTTTGTAAATAGAAAAATGGTGAAAAAAAATGGTCTAGTATGGTCAGCGAAGACGGTGCAGTAGAAACCACACTGGCCCCAGTAGGTCTGAGCTGGTGATTAGAAAGCTGACTACCGGCTCAGGCACAGGCGGCGCGTGTTCGCTGCCAAAAGTGCGCCCGGGGTGTCTCTTTTTCTTTTTAGCTTTTAAAATAATTAAAAAAAGTAATACATTTGATATATTCTGTGTCTGTTCTTCTTTTTCTCGTTGCGCTGTTTCAGCTTTTAAAAAAATTCAAAGCTCTAATAAAAAATTCTATTGGAAATTTTTTTCATAACTTTGTACAAAATTTCTCAGAACAGAGCTTTAAAAAGGTAAGCAGGAGCAATGGATAGTATTATGAAAATTTAAAATTATTTCAGAACTTTATTTCCATGGAAAAGACGAAAATAAGAATCAGAACCCCAGCGGGTGCGCGCTTAGTGTCAAAGGGTTTTTTTTTTCGCATACAGTCTGCATACACAGTGATATACACCGCCCGCGATTTCGCGGCCTTGATATTTTCGCCAACGCAAATTTCGCTAATTTTTTTTTTCATTTTCTACCGCCTGGCAACCAAGTAACTCACGCATGTTCAAGGCGGCCGGTCGTATTACGGTAGTCAAGCTAGGTTTTTGGGTAATAAAATGAAAACTTGTGTACTTTTTGTGACGTAACTTATTTTGTAATCTCGAGAACTCGCATGCTGAGCAGGTGTCTCAGCGGGTGTACCCGTATTAAACCCGTGTTTCTGAGGTTATTTTAGTCTCAGTTGGGCTAAAACGGGGGAACAACGGGTGTAAGAAAAATATGTAACCCCGCTGGGCTAAAGCGGGGTCTCAGTTGGGCTAAAAAGTGCCAAAAGTTCTATCAGCTGGGCTTATACGGGTTTAATACGGGGGCACCCGCGGAGACCCCGTGTTAGCACGGCTGGGTTACCCTGCTCAGCATTCGAGAAATAGGTCCTTAACAAATTGCAAAAAAGGAAAAAAAGTTTAAAAAAATTTACTCGCTCCGAAACTGACAGCGCAATATTGACCAGCCACCGGCCGCCGTAGCACTGTCTTAAACATGCGTGAACTATCAAATTTTTTTCAGCAAAATCGATTTGAAAAAAAATGGCGGAAAATCTTGCTGTTTTTGGAAAGAAAAATAAAAAAATACACAAATTTATTTTTCTCTATGAATCGAAAGATTGACAATTTTTTAAAATTATTTTTTTCGAGGCTACAAACGTCAAATCTTCTAGCTCTAATGAATAGAACCTTGACCTTTTTGTGATGAAAGAATTAGCTTTCCCGTTCTTCCATAGTAGCTCGTGGCGCCGCCTGGCAAATGCACTTTGAACGTTCCAAGGAGTTCCTCTCGATTTCTTGTCAATTCAGAAAAAAATCGAATCAACAAATATTAATACTAATAAAATGAAACTTACTTTTTTCGAGTCGAACTTCGGCCTCCAATCGGATATCCTAGGGAATGTTAATGAAACATTTCTCTATTAAACGTACTTTTTTCGTGGAGGATTTTTTCGACTTTTCATGTGCTTTCGGCTTAGTCAACCGAACCATTTCAGAAAGATCTTCTTTCGGAAGACGGACCTTCTAAAGAAAGATGAAACTAACTAGGCGAGTCATTTTCAAGATTACCTTCTCGGTTGAGTCCTTCGAATTTTGGTAGAATATGGGTTTGGGCTCTGTTTTGGCAATAACTGTGAATATCGAGTTATTATGACCAAAACATCTTTTGATTGAGAACAAACCGATTTCATAAAGATCATCCTTCAAAGTTTGGACCTTCTGAAGAATGAGATGAATAAAAAACCGAAATAAAATTCAACATACTTTTTCAGAAGATTCGTTTTTTGATTCTTGATAATTTGAACATTTTAGCTCTGTCTCTGATGAGTTTAGTTTGATCCAACTAAAAAAAGACACTGAAAAAAAGATTGGTGCTAATTGACTTTATGATTAAACTGACTTTTTCCGCAACGAGTCTCCGGTTTACAATCAATTTCTCCTTGAGAAAACTTCTCAGCCTCATCAGAAGAGATTGATGTAGAAGTTGAGACTGAAACAATAGTCCGGAGTCGATAAGAAAAAAAACCTTTGCTTTCTCCATATCTGCGTTTATATCTCTCGTTTCTTTCCTCAACTGTTCGTTCTAATCGCAAACTTTCTTCGCGAAGTCTCCAACGTCTTGAAATTTTTTAACAATGAAAATATGCTAGCAGTTTGCATTCCTTACCTGAACGCTTCTATTGTTCTTACCGAAATCGACATTTTTTCGTAATTAAAGAAGAATCGACATCCACCAAAACTTTGATATCACAAACTGTTTTACTTTAGGTGCTAGAAAAATTAGACCGCGCTATAGCTCTATACGCAACGATATTCAAAAATGCTCCTAACAAAATTAGCAAAAAAAAAAAATGTGAGCAAAAGGATTGTTTAAAAGTCTTTGGAGATTTGTTCTCTCGTAACAGGCTTGAGTGAAGTCTGGTCTCATCAGAGCTGCTGATGAGACCGGGCGACTCGACAAGCATTGATATTGTCAGAAGAGCCATTTCTTTCCTAATCTTTTGCTCAGTTTGTTTTACATTTTTGCTCATTCTCAACATTGGGAGTAGGTTCGTCCCAGGGCAAATGCTTTATAACTGATTCACGGCCAGCTTGGGACGCTAAGGGGGCGTGTACTGTCTGCCGTCTCCACGAGCCAGGCGCTATCTCGTGCATTATCGTGTCAGGACCATTTTTTCGATGGCTCAAGCCAGCCGTGAATCAGCTATAGATTGCGGGGCGCCGCGTCGGCAGCTCTGGAAGTTATCAACAAAAACAATTCTCGGTTATCACTGTTCAGAAATTTAATCTCCAGGAAGTTGAAATTAAGCTAAATTATTCAGTCTCGAACTGAAACCAATATAAAAACAAATTAATGTAAACATTTCCCAAATTTTTCAAAACTGATTAAGTAGAAGAACGAAACAAAGTTAGAGAAAAAATTGAACACATCAAAATAATACGACCCGAAAAAAAATCGGTTAAATGGTCTGGAAAAAGTACAAAGAAAACTTTTATTGCCGTATATGTTCATTTACATATCAACTTTGTTGCTCATGTCTTTGTGCACAACTTTCGAGTTTTTACGAGGGCGTCCTCGCTTCTTTGGTGGCGGGCTGATTGTCACTTCTTCTATTTCATCAAAGTCGGTCAGTGGCTCGATTTTGATATCATCTCCCATCGCGGACTCATCCAAAACGTCTTCGATTACAACCAGAGAGTTCTGAAAGAACAAATATTTAGATCCAACTCGTCTAATTATCCAACTCACAAATTCGTCCTCCTGCACCTCAAAATGGGAGGTTTGCTCAGTGATGTGCCGGAAGGCCTTAATTTTTTCAAGCGTTTGTACTGTAGTACTCTTTCTATCAAAACGTCAAATAAAAACCAAAACTGTGAACGTACCTGTAGAGCTGCATGTGTAGCCGTTGCTGAGAATGATGTTAATATTCGTTGATATGTATTAGTTAAAAATATGTCCAGTTTGTGCTCTTTCTGTCTCAAAAAAGGAGCTAATACCTGAAAAAAACATTTTATTTTTGTTCAAAAATGTGAAAAAAAAAACCTTTTTGTGAATGAAGGCGGCCACCCCTAGTTGAGGAATGACTATGCTGCACAAGAAAATTAGTGATAAAAATTCATAAAATGGTATGAAGTAACATAATAATGTTAAGTTCAAAAATCCAGTCAGTGACCAGGTAAGCCCCATACACGATCCAATATTGAAGCCAGTAAACCTAAGCGTGTCGGTTACTTTATACGAGGAAAAAAAAGACTCACGAGTTTTGCATTAGTAGGCTTTTTGAGGACTTTGTACGAGTAATAGCAGGGAAAAATCAAACCAATGAGATTCGCTGCAGCTTTTAAAATAAAAGACATTAACATCTGCTATAAGAACTTCTGAAATATTTAGATTAATGTAAATATTTAAGAAAATTTTAGTTCGAATCGATAGTGTCATTTGAACCCGCGCGACACGTTATCGAAATAAAATATGAAGTATACCGGTACTTTAGTAAAGTTTTTAGGTTACAACATGGAATTGGGCACTTTTTGAGACGTGACTTATTTTTTTGCCTCGACAGATAGATTCTATCCAACTGTAAAAAAAAGGAAAACAATTTTCGTAAAGTTTTCTGGCACCGAAACACGCGGCGCAAAATTGACCGGCCGCCACACGCCTTATACAGCACTGTCTTAAATATGCGTGGGAAAGGTTAACAGAGAAATATTTAAATGATTTCGTCGGCATTGCGTTGCCGCGAAAAAAAGTTATTCGAATACCGCTGCAAGCGCGCCCTGCGGAACTACCCAGTTTGGTTTTTTTTTACAAATACAAAAATTTTTGAAAACTTTTCTTCATATGAATGAATTAATTTTAGCGGTGTTCAGAGTGATTTTGACCCAATTCTAGAATATATGTGACTCCAAAGTTTAGTTTATCTGATGTCTACTTTGAATTTTGCGGAATTGTTTGTGAGTCGAGCCCTAAACCTAGTACCTTCGAAAGCTATAAAGCGTTATATAACACATATGTGTTCGAGACAACAGAGACAAAGTTGAGTCGAGTTCGTTTCGTTTCATGTTCAGTTTTGTTTAGGAATTTAAATTTATTTTCAATGTCATAGCTTTTGTGACTTTTATGAGTCAGAAATAAAACCGACTGCACGCGGCGCTATTTTTTTCGAAAAAAAAAAATGAAAACTTCAGCTAAATGTGCTTTGAAATTTCAAATCTGCGGTACAATAGTTACTTAATGCTGTTCCACCCTGTTTTCAGTAGTGGAAAACAAGAAAATGAATGTTTTCCGTTTGCTTAAGCAATGGCAATCCATGTTCTTTCTAATTTCCCAACCACTTTGTCTGTTTTGTCGCGTAGCAAGGATTCTTCGGTAGATGCGCTTGCGGCTGAGCTCCATGTCGAAAGATGGCCCGACAGAGGTTTTTTCCATCCTTTTCGCTCCTCTTCGCGTCTCGTGGAAGCGTCGGGTCGAGATGCTCGCCGTCATGCATTTCATTTTCTTGTGGATAGTTCTACCTATGATGTCTCTTTGGGTATCAAATTTTGATTGAATCTTCCAATTCCGGTTCTAGATTCCATTCTATATTTTGTTTTGGACTCCCTGGTGGTGGGCGATGATTTCATATTTCGCATGGATTTGGTACGACTGGCATACGCCACGTCGAGGATCTAGGCCTTGGGTTAGTTTTCTTAACGGAATAGTGAGGGTTAGGTTTTATAAAAAGTTATATATTAATGAAGTTTTACAGGCTTGGTACAAAGAATGTGCCATTTGGAAACACTTTGCGGAATATTTTCCATTGAAGTTGGTCAAGACTGCCGAACTTCCACCCGATCGTAACTACATAATCGGGTAAAGTTTTTTGGAACTCTAGGAAGCCTCGGAAGCGCTGCGAAAGTTGATTTGAATTTTCAGCTCGCATCCTCACGGGGTGCTGTCTGTAGGCGCGTTCGCATCGTTTTTGACAACCGCCACTGGATTCAAAGTTTTTTTTTATACGATGAAGTTTATGTTTTTTTTTCTTTAAGGAAAAGTTTCCTGGGATCAATTCTACGATAATGACGCTGAATGGACAGTTCTACTTTCCTTTTCGTCGGGAATTCGGTCTTCTTCTAGGTTGGATGCTGAAGTCTTGAAAACATTCTTATTTGAAGGTGGCGTTGAATCCTCAGCTGCATCGTTAGAATATCTTTTGAAAGTCCCCGGTCAAGGTATTAGACCCTTTGATTTCGCTTCTGAAATTGATACCTAGGTCGAGCTGTGGCTATCGTTCTTGGAGGGGCCACGGAAGCGTTGGATGCCCATCCAGGAAAACACATTTTGAATCTCTCCACAAGGCGTGGTTACTGCAGACATGCTCTCAAACATGGGTTAGAAATTTTATTTTATTTCACGAATATAGTGATGGGCACGTCGAGTTTTCATTTTCGAAACAAAAAGTTGAAGTTTCTTTTGAGTACTGAAAGGATTTCTTGTTAGAAAAGAAATGTTGAGAAAACTAGTTTTACTATGCACTATGAAGCTATTCGAAAATAGATCAAAAACTATTCAGTCAACGAAGATTAAGCTGATTCACGGCTGGCTTTAACCATCCGAAAAAGAGCCCTGACTCGATGATAGGAAGACAGGCCACGTCCCAAGCTAGCCGTGAGTCGACTATATGAAAGTCGCCACTTCTCTATTTTTTTTAAAAGTATTTTCGGATGGAAACAAATCTGAGAATTTCACCACGCACATTAACAGTTCGCAAAGTTGAAAAATGGTTACACTGCTCGATAAATCAAAATCACCCATATAGAGCAATTCAACAATATTCAAGGGCTGATCTGGTACCAATGTACAATTTCGGAGAGAACGACATCTTTGAGCAAAGTTCCAATCCGCGGGGATCTATTTTACGTTTAGTTCAGGTGATAAAAAGTCATTGAAATTTCATCAAGTATATAGTCTGTGTACCACGACTTGGAATCTCACCGAACGACATTCCGCTGTGCGTCTTTGCAAACCTTGGTCGCGCTTTAAATTTTAAATTTTTATTTTATTAAGGTACTCTACTTTCATGTGCTCCCACAGCAATAACAATCAATTGAAAGCGTGACCTAGATTCTGAAGACGCTTCGCGAACACAAATTAAAGTCGTTCCGTGAAAATTCAAGTCGTGGCACACAGACTGTATGTTAATTTCTATTTTCGCAGAAATTTCCGCAGCCAAAGCTGATTTCGGAAAGTTTTTTCGAATACTACAGTCAGTTCATCTCGACTAGAGAGACGAGGGAGGCAGCGAAGTGGGCGGGAAGCCTAGCGTGCGCCACTGACTATTTGGAGAGCTCGTTTATCGCTCTTTTAAATCTATTCTATTAATCTTGGTCCACAAATAAAACAAATAAATAGTTTTAAAATAAATGAAAAAAAAGCCTTCCTCGCCTCTCGAATTCGGGATGGATTGAATATAATTAGTTTTTCTTAATTATACGAAAATTTTTTCAAAGATACGCTAAGCATCTATTTTTTTCTAAATTTTCTGTTTCTGAATCGTTATTCAGGAGAAAATCAAAAGAAATTTTGGTTTCTGCCCTCCTCTACTGCGTGGAAGAGGGGTTTTCAACTATATTTTCGGAATCATTCCTCACCGTAAACCTATAACTTCGGTCATGGGTGCTCCGATTCGGTGAGTTTGGCTTCAGATTTTCATGTTCACATGCTCGTTCAAGAGTCGGAAAAGTTGAGCGACCCACAGAGAAACAAGTCGATGAGCTGCACCATCGCTACTGCCAAGCCTTAGTTAAACTTTTTGAGGACCACAAGTACCTGCACAATATTCCATCAAAAGTTCATCTCACTATTAATTAGCTTCGGGGATTGAAAAAAATTGCCTTCTTGTAATAAAACACTAACAGAATATTTTTCTACTTTTTCTTGTTTATTATACGAGCAATTTTGGAACTTTTTATTTTATTACAATTTTTTTTTTAAATTTTTTCAAGAATAAATTTTTTAAATTAAAAGCAAACAGATCGAGTTGAGTTCAACGAATAACAAACAAGGAGGATGAATAATACATTTTTTTTTTTGTTCAAAGATGGCATTTTCCATGCAGTATACAGCAGAAAGTGTGTACCTGATTTCCACAACGTGAGATTTCAATAACAAATAAAAACATTTCTCAATTATTGGAGTGATAAAAAAACTATTGGTTTTAAGAACCTCTACCCGGCGGATTAAATAACGGTATTGCGCGAATACTAAAAGCATGGCAGAAGGGAATAAAACAAAAGGCAGTCGAAAAAATTTTAAACCGGCGGAGGTCCGTTGACATAAGTGATATGAGGTCCGAAGGTTCTTCCGAAGAAGGAAAAGTAGAAGAGGGCAGTGAAAGCAGAAATAATAGCAAGTGCCAGCGTCGCCTGGATGAGACGCGACGAAGACACCGCGTCGAAAAGGCGGACAGCGAAGCTACGTGGCTTGCTCCGTGTCTGTGGCGACGTCGTCTGGCTGGTTGCCGTCTGCGTCGCGACGCGTCTTTTGCGTGGCGTCGGTTCCTGCGGCACGTTTTGGCTCGGTGGTGTTGGCACTCGCAGAACTTCATTGATTCTGGGAAAAAATATGAAAATTATTCCCTTTTTTCTAGAAAACCTGCTGCGAAGTTGAGCCAAAGCGTTGGAATAAATGGAGAGTTCCGAACGGAAGTCTGGCACATTTCTGTCGTTGAAGTCGGTTTGCAATGATCGCAAAGAGCTTGTAAGGTAGTTGCAGACAGTTTCCAAACTGAGAGATAATTTATTATGATTTTTCGAAGCATTCAAATAAATCGGCTGGATCCCACCCCAGCCTTTTTGCGCGCGAAAAATAAATTTGAAAGTGTACTGAAATAGGCCCTCTTTTTAATTGGTTTTTTTTTCCTGTTTTTTTAAACGTTCCCGCTTTTTTTGAGGTGGAAAAAAAGATTTAAAATTATGAGTTCAGAAAAATTTAAAATCATTTCAAAGCTCAAATCAACTCCAAAAATATGTTTCGTTGAATATGAGGAATTTATAAAAAAATTCAAATTATAAATTTTTTTGAAAAACACTCGTACATTGAGAGTGCAAAAAAAAAAAGGAAAAATTGACTAAAACTTGGAAATTATCAAGAGATAGCCTTCACATAAACTTTCTGGATTTTCCAGCATGTCTTTTTGAGAATTTTTAAAATGTGTTTTCTTTGAATTTGAGCAAAAAAGGAGAAAGGAGAATGAGTTTTGCCTTTTCGAATATTTCAGAATACGTCGAAATAGGCGGCCAATGTACCTGTTCATTCTCTCTTGACAATGCTCCATTTCGGTGAAGACGGTGTTCTGGTCCAGGCTTTCTGCAGCCAAGCAGCCCTCTATTCTGGCCATCGCGCGACGGATTTCGGATTGACGGTCGGTCCAGTTCTGCCACTTGGTGTTGAGGTTGTCGAGGTTGCAAGCCAGGCCGTTGATCCTTGTCACGGCCTCGTCATACTCGGACGAGATCGTTTCGAACTCCATCGACAGTTCATTCAAAGCTTCTCCAAAAGCACTGGAGTTCATCATCTCCCTGAGTTCATCGCGCTCTGAGCTCAGCCGGTGCTCGATCTCCCGAACTCCATCCAAGGCAGCTCTGACGTCTTCTCGCGTTTTGATCTCCGTCACGCCATTCAGGGCCGAGATCGCAGAGGAATCGTGCAGTACGCGGAGGGACGTGGCGAACCTTTCCACCTGAACAGCCGGCTAACAAAAGAAAGTCGAGAAGGCTTCTCACCTTGCTCAATATTTGCGGCACCGGGTTGACCATCTGGTCGAACAGCACGGCCCACCGCGTCTGCAAGTCTCGGAGTTCTTCAGCCTCGAAGGTTGTCGTCAGCGTCTGGAACTTGAGCGCAGATTCGACCTGCCGCAGGTTAGTACGAACGATGAGCTCGATATTTTGCTGAAATGCAACAAACTGTCCTTGATCACCATAATAGCGGCTGCAGTTGGACAAACAAAAACGACAATGGTCATCACAGTGTGTATTATTGTTCCTACTGCTCACTCGAAATTCCTTTTGCTAAGCAAGAAATTCGTATGGAACTCAGTAAATCTTTAAAGTGCTTGAAACTGCGAGGTTTTTGATTCCATACGCAAAAAAACAATGCATTGGCTAGAAAACAAAGGCTAGAAAAAGAGTCAAAACCAAGAATACTGAATCAATTTCTCAACCATGATATTAACGGATTGTTTCAGAAAGAGGATCTTCTTCTTTTCCCCAGTTCGGAATCAAATACAATCTTGGTTTACGTTTGTGCTTTTGAGCGTTGTCCAAACAGTGTAGGGGATAAAAAAAAACCATTTGCTTGACGTTCAAGTCCCCGGTCTCCAGAGATCTGTGCACGATTTTCAGATGAGCCTTCGATTCTTCCACGAGTCGAAGAGCATTCTGTAAAAGATATCATCTCAATATCCTCTCAGCAAAGACCGAACGAAACAATTCATAGCTTATTTTTCGAAGTTTGACTCAAAAAAGTGAATTAATTTAGGGCCCGTGAAAAAACAAATCGAAGAAAGGAATTTTAAAAAAATTAGAGAAACCAGTTGAAAATAGAAATTTTTATAACAGTCAAAATTAGAACTTCAAGAAAATATGAAGACTAAACATTATATTGATCGAAATGCAGAAACCTATAAAGTCCATTCCGCACCAGCCTGTTACGATTCTTTTCAGTCTAAGTATTTCCGTTATATTGAAGGAACATCTAGGAAAATGCTTTTTGGAGAAAAGAAAACGGTGACAAGCTAGCGCGGAATGGACTAGACCTTACAATTATCGAAAAAAAGTTTGAATTATTAAAAGCCGTTGGTAAAGTCCGTTTCACGTATTCTTCAACTTCTGAGGAGAAATATCAATTTTATAATTTTTTAAATTAGGAACGAAAAAAAAAAAAAGCTGACATGGGAACCGAAATGTGCAGCAAAGTCGTCGTCGACGTTGAGCAAGTGTTCGGGAACACGCGACTGCATGTTGGCGTCGTCGATGGAGTCGTCCTTGGCAGGCGGCTGCAACCAGATCTTCTTCGACTGGGGAAACGTGCGCGGTTGCGAGTAAACAAGGTGCGAAATGAACGGACTCGCTGGTCCATGCACGGCCACCTGGCTGCGCTAATATTGAACGCGCCAAGGCAACGAGAGGCCACCAAAAGCCCCTGAAAGGCTCATGGGGAACGGAGGCCTCCTGAGGTCACCAGGTGAAGCTCTGCATCGAGAAACTCATCGATTTTTTAAAGGAGGTTCTAGGTTAAGAATTTTCCTTCGACAACAAATCGGTTTTTTCATTCTTTATGACTTACTTGAAGATAGCTTTTTTAATTATAATATTATTTTATTCTCATTTGAACTTTCTTTTAGACATACACGCAACAGTAATGCTGTCACAAAAAGTGAGAGTGTGGAGAAAAAAGTTAAGAGGATTAAGTGAAACTTTTGAACAAACGATGGCGGACCGAAAAACTGCTTTGATACAAGCACGAACAAGTTTCTGGTTGTCGCAAGCATTTTAATTAGCATCTGAAACTGGATACCTAAGTTTTAAAAAACAATTGATTCTCATAAAAATATTCTTATTATCATAAAAAACTAGAAAGCTTTTTCGATATTATTTTTTCATTTCTTTTTCCCTTCGCTCCCTTTTTTCTGCTCATTCGAGCATCAACTTGATTCGCTGATGAGAGGCAATGAAACAAAGGAATTTTCTCTAATTTTTCGATTTTTCAATGTTATTGAATAAGTAAACAGCACTCGTCCTTTGAAAGCAACGAACATTGTACTCGTCCCATTCGTAGACTTGGGCGTCGCTCTGCTCGGGCGCCGTATCGCTTTCGCCGTCGCGTCGCAATTCGTCGTCGAGCTTCTGGAGCAGACGCGTGGTCGACCGCGCCAATGGCGTCGACGGCGGCGACATACGACACATAGGCGTCAGAGAACCTGCAACGACGTGTTCAAAGTTTCAATGAATACAAAAACGAGTTTATGCTGAGAAATGTTGAGAAGCTATGAAACAAACTGATTCCTAAAAATTAACATTCTAGAAAAACAAGGCAGGAAAGATACATATGATCTCACAAAGAAAATTAATTTTTGGCAGGTTCGGAATTTTTTATAAATTTTCTGAAAAACTAATGATTGACACTGTGGTAACATGCTCTTCAACTTTTTTTTTTTCAAATCGATTTACTCGAAAGTTCTCTGAAAAAAAGCAGTGAAGGAAAAAGAACTTTCGTTCTATAAAAGAGTGAAAATTGCAAAATCGTTCATTCAAAAGTGAACTCTGCTCAGAAAAAGTTTTTGTTTTTTTGAATAAGTTCCTCTATTTTGCAAAATTTTGAAAAAAAAAAAGGAAAAATTTTTGAACTTAATAATGAAAAAGCTATAACTTGAGAGCAGAAAAGTGATAATATTGTAGAATCAAAATGAGAAAAAGAAAATTTTCAAGCAGAAGTTCTATTTTTCTAGGTTTAGTTTTTGATTGCAGAATGAAAAAGATGTGCGGGTTTGAAGTTAAAAGCGCTTAATTTGCAAAATTGTATGGTATGCTTTCAATCGCTTCTACTTGGATCAAACAAAAATCGAAATAGGAAAAATTTAACTGATCTCACAGAAAAGGCTCTACCATCAGAATACGAAAATGAAATCGGTGTCGTTTTGGAAGTTACCTGAGCAGATTCCGAGCTGCTCTCCATCGCTCATGCTCCGCGGCATCCGTCGGACTCTCAGTTTTTTGCGGAGCGAGCGGCTTTTGCACGGCGGCAGCATCTCCGACCGCGTCGAGCAGAACGAGGCGTCCATTTCCAACGACTCTAGCTAGAAAAGCTCTCTATTCAAGAATCAGAATAAAAATTAATGAAGTGGTAATTCAACTTTTGATTTAAGAAAAATCTTTAAAAAAACTGGCCGCAAAATATTAATTTCTAGGGTTACCCCAGCTGTGCTGTGCCAATTTCATAAACCAAAAACCGAGAAACTTCAAAAAACTTCATCTTTATATTGCAAAAGGAAATTAGAAAATGAAATCTTCAAACACAAAAAAAAAACTAACCATGACACTGGAAGACTTGAAACTCCGACCAGAGCGCTGCCGTTTCAACGGTGATGAAGTGTCGAAGCAGGCCGAATTGAAAGAGCTGAAAATGACGTCATTCTTACGACTTACAGTGAATTTCTCACCAGTTCATCGTTTCGTTTCGAGACTCGTCGCAGTCCGAAGAGTTCTCCGACGAAGCGTCACAAGAGCTCTGCGAAAATAATATTGAATCGATGGAAGAAAAAAAACGGACGGAAAACGGGACAAGAAAACGCCTAGAAAGCCACGGGACAAAGTTTGCTTTGTCGGTTTATCACATTTGCATTGCACTTAATGTCCGTCGGAGCTGAAGTCGCGCCAAAAAAAGTGTTTTTTGTTCCTCAAAATCTTCTTTTGGATGTTCAAAGACTCTCCGGAAACATTCAAAAAAAATTAAGCAGTAACAGACGTTTTGTCGGTGGTATGAAAAAACCACCAGCGAAAATTCAAACGGCGACTTTTCCGATTTTTTCATATCGCCAGGGAACTTTCCGACGGCCACCTTTCCGACGAATCTTTTTCCGACTTTTTTCCCTTAAGTTTTTCGGTTTATAAAACATCTATTTACATTTTTCTATTTCTTTGTGTTTTAATCATGAACCAACTACCTACTTTGTATAGGAAGATTTAAAACAAAGTTTTATCGAGAAAAAAAAGTCGGAAAAAGATTCGTCGGAAAGGTGGCCGTCGGAAAGTCCCCTAGCGATATGAAAAAGTCGCCGTTTGAATTTTCGCTGGTGTTTTTTTCATACCACCGTTTTGTCTAAAATGTACTTCCAGTCCTTGCATCTGCAACCATCTGCGCCTTAAAAAACCAGAGATTCCGGACCGGCTAGAAGTAGACAGACAGCTGACTTGATGCATAAGAAACGAAACTTTCGCACTTTATTCGTTGCACCACAAAAGCGCGATTAGTGAAGAAACAATACTTTGCGCTCAACCTCTTGTCAATCCTTCAAATCCTTTTTTTGGTGAACTGAAGCCACTCTTTTGAACTCTCTCCTGTGCGACTTGAACCTTGTTTTTTGAAATATTTTTTGAAACATGAATTTAGCACTCGTGATGAAATTGACAAGTTAGGCTAAACTCGCAAATTCAAGAAAACTCACAGAAATCTACCAAAAATAAGGCACTCTATTCTCGTACTGCCACTGACCTTGGCGAGCTGTTCGAGGTGTTCACGGCTCGGAGCGCCCTTCTTATGTGATGTCTTTTGCTTGCTGGCAATGGCACGCCATTTCGTGTGGAAACTGTCGTTGAGCCCTTCGCAGGGCAGATCTTCGTCGAACATCGCCATCACCTCATCTTTAAACCTCACGTTCTTTGCACAGTTTTCAAATTTTATTATTTTCAAACAGAAGGGTTTGAAAATAAAGGGAATTCGTAAAATTAAAATATTAGTTGATATTGAAAATTACTGAGCAAAAAGAACTCTCTGGACGGAAAGAAACGAAATCGCAGGCTGGAAAAATTTAAAAGGCCAAAAAATGATATATGCGAATTTTTTAAACCTATTGTGAAAGTTGACCGTCTTTTTTTTTCGCACCATTTCAAATAATTGAAGAAATAAAGCTTCAGAAAGTTGTCTTTTTCTTTCATTGCGCCTCACTATGCAGCATCATCTATCAGATTTCAAGGCTACTGAGAACTGGAATGCCCCAAAATTGCACAAAGCGCACCATATTCGGGGAAGGTCAGCGTGTTATTGAGCGAGTCGTGGTTGACGTACATCGAGTCTGAAAGATGCTGCTGCTCTTCCACAGCTTCTTCGTCGTTGGAAACCTAAAAGGGCTCGTTCGGAGGTCCCAGTTCTTCTAAATTTACCTTTGGATTCTCCAAATCAGACATGTCTTCGAGTTGTACGGTACTATAGAAGGCTTTAACTGGAGAGCTTTCGATTCTCCGTCGCCTCATCTTCTCCGAGCTATCAGGTCTGTAATAAATAACATTGAGTTCGAATTTATTTCCTACAAAGCAATTAGAAAAGTTAAGCGGCGAAACTGCGTGCAAAACGAGAGGGCGTGCCCTTTTTTAAGCTAGTCGCCGGGCAGCGAGTGACCCTGAAGACGTAGAGGCGCGAAACAAGGCATAAATCTCGAATTCACACCAAAAGAAGTCATTCATCACGATAGCGTCACACATCGGGAGCCTCGACTCTTGTGGCTGAGGAGTGAAAAGTGTAATTCGCAGGAGGCGGCGTCGAAAAAATGAATGGAAGTAAGAGCTGGGGGACATCTGGCGTTTCCAATCGAAGAAACCGTCGAGGTTCTTCAGACGGCACGCGAGTCACACATTTTCTTGCGCACGTGCAAAAGCGCCGCTATTTCCCGAAAGTCAAAGACAGTATCTTGAACATTTTTTCAAAGAAAATATTGCAACAAATTGCAATTTCATTCTGTTTAGCTAAATGATGGAAGTGTAAACGAATCTGAAACTTTTCTTTTCATTCATTCTGATAATTACGTTCGGAATGATTAGAATAATATTTTTGATGCCTGGAACAAACAAGCCATTCAACGATATGTGAAAGAAAAATCGATAATCTCATGCCTTATATTTCATTTTAGTTCTATCAAACTTACATTATGTCGACTACGGAGTTCATTGCCTCGTGGACCGAGTTCTCGCCACTCGAATAGCCGATGTCCTGCTGAACCGAGTCCCATTTTCGCGCCGTCGTCGGCAGTCGATCTTCCGAAGAAAAAGACGTCACTGTCGTTCTGAAAAATAGCATTGCTTTTAAAAACTATCTTTTTTTTTAAACTGTCACTCAATTTTATGCATATTTTTTGCGTTTGAAAAATACAAGAAGTTCCCCCCGAAAAAGTATGACTGTGAAGTGAACGACTGTGAAAGTGCCAAAGTGATTGGTTTTTCGTTGTTGCCCGTGATTCGGTTAGTGCTGTCACCTTTTACGAAGATAATCGAAGAAAGACTTTCGTTTTTATGACTGAATTTGAAAACTTGTTTTTCAAAAAAAAAAAAACGGATAATCGTCGTCGAAGGTCTGAATTTCCAAAGTTGTTACCATGATATAAATGACCAAGTCACAAGGGAACTTCAAAGGAAACTTCATTTTAATTTGAGCTTGGAAATTTTCTGAGAATCCGCAGAACCGCTTTTCAAAGTACTGGGTAACTCCGGAAGTTAGGAATTAAAGATCTTTTTTTGAAGAAAATGTTGAAGTTCCAAAATTTGAAAAAAAAAATTAGTTATACTGACGCCTAAATTATTCTTTCAATCATACATGGAATGAGTGAGCCTGGCGCCAGCCAAGTGTCCCCCTCGGAGCCAAAGCCAAAGCCATCTCGCGTTTTCATCAACTCTAATTGAAGTTTTTACATGTTTATAGACTAAATCAAACACGCTGAATCCGAAAATCATAATGATTTTTCGATTTGAAAAAAAAATTTTTTTTAAGTGCATTTAATGAAATATCTCAGCTCGCAGAGGTCCCACACAAAAAATTTTTTTGTCAATTCCCCTCTCAGTTTGCGGCCGAACTGAGGTTATTCCAAGTGTGCTTTCAATTCTGAAAAAATGGAAAAAAAATTTTCTTGGTTTAGGAAAAGTCGCCGTTTCATACCCTCTGGACCTCTTAGTATTAAATCCAAAAATATCCTGGTTGTGTTTCAGAAAATTTAAAAGCGCAAAGTGAGATGACCAGCCTTGTGAGAGAATAATTTGTTTTTCTGATCCTTTTTACATTCTATTTTTTCTAACTTCACACCCAATAATTTTCAACAGTTTTTGTTGATCTGGAAGTCGGAATGTTAGCTTTGTAAGATTCCCAAACTGAAAGGACCAAGAGGAGACAATTCGAGTGGCCGGTCGGAACACGTGTGAGCGAAAGAGCATAACGCATCATAGCCTTTGCATAGTTTGCAAACGAGACAATGGCCGTAAAGTGTTGCCGACGAAGCGCGCTTTGTCATCTCTGTACTGCTGGACAAATTTCTTTCGCTTTGGAGCAAAAATCAAACAAAACAAAACTCTAGTAGTTTTTTGAATTCAGCGCAACAAAACTTGTCCTACACAATTTTTCCAGTAGAAAGTCGTTTCAGAAACTTCAATCAGAGGTCTTATAGATTTTTGATTTCTTTTAAACTTTGACTGTACAAAAAAAAACCCTTGAACCAACCTGCCATCCATTATGCTTTCGTATTCGCTCTCGGCAAAAGGAAGGACGTCGACTTCCTCTTCGAGTTCGCGATCTGAGCGAAAACCGTCCAAAGTCGGCTGCAAGCTGCTCCGACGCACTCGCTTCGGAGGAGGCGAGCCTAGTTCAGGATCGCTTTCCGACTCGTAGGCTTCCTGCAAGAAGATCATTACTATGTTTATGAGACTGAGAAATTACAGTCTGAACTGAACAACAATATATTCAAAACAAAAAACGGAGTTCCTAGAAAGAAATCGAGAGACGACTGTCATCAATTTGGACGATGACTTGAGTTAAACAAGTCACGGCACAGATGGGCAGCGGAAAGGAGCACCTGCGCAAATTCACGAATCTCAAAGGCCGCATTTTTTCGTATTCAAAGCCGCATAAATTGAACATTTGTGATTGAACTTCACGCCTTCAAAGTTATGAATTTCCGATATTTTTCGAAAATATTGTGACAACAAATGCTTTCTGTTCTCTTTAAATGATCCCTTTCCTTAATGGCGACATTGAAAGCTAGAATTAAAAGGATTGGAAAAGCAATCAATATGTGAAATTTGAAATTTAATAAAATTGAGCAATCAACCATAGCAAAATTGACAGGAGATGGGCTCATAATTGGTAGCAAAACGCCGTAAATGCAGGTATGCAAACATACACACGCCTCCATTCACCACGGCCGTGTTTGCCTTACTATGGATTTCGCGGCCGTTTCGTTTCGAACGTACGTTCCACATGGCCTTCGACACGCTTCTACAATTGGAACCGCGCGTGAGTGAACGCCCTCATTTGGCTGTGTTGAACGCGGAGTTTGAATAGCCTCGCGTCCAAATCAGTTGAAAAACAACTTATTTCGGAAAAAGAATGAAATTTAAGATATCCTTCATTCTGTTTTATCATCTTTTGGTCAGAAAAAAGGTTCGCTAATAATTAAAACTTAAAAAAAACTCAGCGCCTACAGATGGAAAAAAAAGTAACGTTTGAGACCGCAATTCTCCTGCTATCGTCTCTAGAGCTTAGTGAAATCTAAGAGGATCACGGGTTTATATAGTTGATTTTATCAGTCCAAAGAGTATATTTTAGTGAGAATACTGACAACGCCATTTTAAATTAAGTACAGCATAGTTTATTTCAGTTTAATAACTTATTCGACAAAAAACTTCTCATGCAAAAATTATTTTGAAAAACGCTTGGTCTTGAAGTACCAGTTGTGTCGTTTAATGTAAGAGTTATTATCTCAGAAGGCACCAAAAGGTTATGGCTTCACCTGGCTCCGGCGTAGGTCGATCTATTAGCGAATAAATAATATGGAAAGACTCAAAACGAGTTGCCGCCAACCGCCATTACCTGCGACCGCGTAAACAAAACAAGCGCATCGCACCATGATTCTCAATCAAAACCTTTTCGGCGCCTTTCAATTATCCCGTCGTTGGCTAACCGGTAGACCGCAAATCCAAAACGACTCAACTACAACCAAATCCTCGGCATAATATGTGCAGACTTTGCTTGTTGAACCTCTGGCCGTGAATTTTTTTTCTTCGGTAATAGTGAAAATCTAACAGTACACATGTAGAATTTGTTTTTTTTTTCTAGTTCATCTCGTTTCTTTCCCTTGAATTGCGGAAAACTAAACAAAGGCAGTCGGAAAGAAGATAGGCAGTCCATTGATTTAGGAACTAAAAAGTCCGGAACATATTCACAAAAATCTCCGAAGGAAAAAATTTGGAAAGAAAGAAAATTATAAAGTCTTTTTCGAGAAAAACTCTAAAATTTGAATCATAACGAATATTATGAAAGCTTTAAAAAAAAGAGTTTTCGAAAAGAACGAAAAAATGTGATTCAACTTTTATTCTGAAGTTCAACTTTGGGCTAACGTTTTCTGTTTCAGAGCAGGGTTTGAATAAATGAACGACAAAAAATAGACTTCACTATTCTCTCTTCCACTAAGAATCTTTTCTTACAAAAAAAAAACATCATTAGGCTCGGAAACTAACGATGGTAAGCCGGGGAAAAAAACAATACTTTAAAATAACAGAAACAAATTAAATCATGCGTCGGGAGCCGAAAATGTCTAGTTGGTCCAAAAGAGAAATTACGCTGAAGCGCGCTTTCTCTTGCGCTTCATCACCGCTTTCAATAAAGCAGTTTCTCCTCAAATTTTTGAATGATGCATCTCACAAATTTCTTTACAAAAAAATAAGAAATTTCATCAGATTTCTTTATTGGAAAAAAAAAACATGAAAAAATGTTTAATTTTTTTAATATTTTTATGAATTGAAAATCTTCGAATTCGTTCGAATAATTACAAGAGTGTATGGGAAAAAAAAGCACTGTAAAAAGAGAAAAATGAGATCCAAGTACATACGATTTTTTCCGAAATCAAAAATCCTGAATGTGCAATTCAAAAACAGCCCAGCAAGGAGCTGGTCAAGAAAAAGAAACGTTCTAGAAGACGCGAAAAAAGAACAGAGTTCGCACGGTTCTCACTTTCAGCTAGTAAACGGCACAGAAAAGACTGGGGATAGAAAAAAAAAAGTTGAGTGTGGCGTGTTGCAGAGTCGCATAATAATAGGAATATTACGAGAAAGAGGCGGTCGCAAAAAGTATTGAAATGCGGACGGGAAGATGCGGCAGCTGCCCAGGACTTCATAATACGCCGGTGTCGCCGGACGTCCGAGGACATGACACCCGGCAGAGGCAACTCCCAATTGAAATCAGATCGGTCGCACTCTACAACATGACAACAGCCAGCCGAATGTCGACCGGATCGCCGCTGGCCAACACACTCCAGTAGCCCATCTCAAGGAGGACAAAAAACGTGCGCCACTATGTGGAAACAACTCTCAATAGTTTCGCATCCAGTTACGAGCCGCTGTCCACCATTCCACACGAAAAAAAACCTACTCGTTTCACTCATTATCTACATAACCTCTTGTTATTACACAAAAAGTCAAAAAATAAAAAAAGAGCTGATAAGCATTACTTATATATGAGTGTCGAGGAAAATTATACTCCGCTACTCATTTTTTTGGCTTATTTCCAAACGGCGAAAAATTTTTTTGAAAAAGTAATAATTCCAACACGAGTTGTTTATACATTGTTTATATATATATATTCGATCAAAAGGACTGTTTTTGTGTAAAAAAAAAGAAAAAAAAATTCATAAACGAAGAAAGCTGTCAGCCTAACTTAAGTCCTATTTTTCAATTCTTTTTATTTTTCCTGGAATCAATTTAGAAAAAATATTAAAAAAAGAAAATTTAAGCGAAGCTTCTTATTATTGATGTCGTAACATTCAAGTTTATGCCAGTACACGTTTCCGCATCCTAACCCCGCACAACTTTAAACTTCCAGCGTCTTAAAGATAATTTGTAGCCGAAATTCTAGTTTGTTACCAATTCTCCGTCTTTTACTATCATCATTCCAACAAAAGATCATAGATTCGGGACTCTCCTACCTGGGTTTTGTTGAGTTTGTCTTCAATTCGGAACTGAAGAGAAAGACTATTCAGGTAGATGGTGTGCCATCGTTTGCGGATCGCCTTCACGCTGGATGATCTTTTGGTTCCTGCTTCCTCTTCAGACTTGAAATCGCTGAAAAATACCCAAGGTGAACTCTTAGACGAGATAACAAGGACCTGAAGTTCTGGAAAAGACGGTTGATGAGCAGTTGTCCGTCACTTTGGATTTCTAACTGGACAACCTGAAAAAAGTAAAGGTGAGAAAGAAATTCGCCAAAAGGCAAAAAAAAACATCGGCGGCCTTGAGACTTAATTTGAATCGTCGCAAGGATGTTAATACTTCTCTAGATTGCGCACAAACAGAAAAACTTCGACTGATGTCCAAACAGACTAGTGTGAAAAAGAAAATATTTGACAACATGACTAACTAAAATCGGAGGGAATGTAGATTCCAACTACAACCATTCACAGCAGGAAATCGATGACATGTACATTTTCAAGGCGCAAACAATTCGAGAAAACATTTTCTCATGAGAGAAAACTATGAAGCTTGACGTGATAAAATTTAAAAGAAATAATTCCAAAAGTTCTCACTCCCTACCCCCCTAGAAAAAAATTTGAAAAGTCCGAAGAAAATGCAATTTATAATCTTTTGAGTGAGACTTTTTTGAAATTTCCGATTATGTGACATATACATCATCGCACTAATTGGCTCAAGAGGAGACCGGAGAACTTTCCGTCGCGGCCAAGACTGGCCAAATCGAAACCGAACGCGACAGCCTCTCTTCGGAGGCACAAAGAGTCCTGACCTTCAGAAATCGAGAGCGCGTGCGGACATCCGTCGCAACCATAAAAAGATGGATCACCTGTGGGATCCGCCTTCCAGATTATGCCATCAACAAATAAGGCCGATTAGTGCAAAAACTGTACAACGGTTGTTGTAGCAGCAATAATCTATTGTCTACTACTTTGTACGAGAAAAAAAATTCAAAACCACGAAAGCTCAAATCCAAGTGGAAAGAAAGAAGAGAAGAAGGCAGTCGCCTGAAAACAAAAGCAATCCGATTGCTCAAACCGGGAAAAAATAGATGAAGATTGTCAAACATGCTTGCAATATTCTTATTGTTTCGCGCAAAAACAATAAAACAGCACCTGCGGAGCGAAATCGCTGAGAATAGAGAAGCGGATGCACAAAACCGCGACACTGCGCTCTTCCTTCTTTATTCTGTCTTTGTCGCACAGAAGTAGAAAAAAGTGAGGCAACCGGTTAGACGCAGCTAACACCGAATCGAACACACACTCTCAACTTTTTTTTCCTGAGCGAGAAAAAGTCGAATAAGTTAAATATACTATAATGTTCAAAGAACACTATAAACGCTGATCAGAAAAAGTTCGCCAAAGAAACTTTACTTGACTTATTTAGAACAACGAAAAAAGATCGTGACAATATTTAGTTAAACTTTTACTCGGCCGAAGAGCCAACGTGTCTACTCATTTCAATTCGTGACTGAAAAGGAAGTTACCGCTCAACAACCTAATAAGATATCTCAACTTAGAACGCAACGGATGCGAGCGGAACGCCATCAAGGCAAGAAAAGGAGCGGAAAAGACAGCAGCGGTCGTTGGTGGCACCCGAGATATCTCCACCCAACATCTTAATCCAACACAAACACTGTACGCTGCTCTATCTGCCGCAAAAACGTTTGCGCAGTCGGAGACTGCAGACAAAACACGTACACCTCGACGCATCGTTGATTATTTGATTGATAAGTGTATAAACAGCGGGTTCGGCGAATCGAGGTTCAAGATGAGCGTGAGAGGATGACAAGAAGTTCTCTCGATACTCTTAGAAAGGTGCTGAACGGGGGGGTCAGCCTAAGCATAACCCTAAGAAATTCGAAAGTTGATTATCTACCTATTGTCGAGCTCTTCTCTTCTGTAGTTATGAAGCATATATAACTTTGAGAATTCGAAAAGAAGTAGTGAGAAAATCGACGCAAGAAAGGGTAAATAAAAGCGAAGAGAGGCCAAATCGACCGGAGTCTTTCGAAAGCCGAAAATGGTGGACAGGTGCGGTTCCGCCACTGGCGCCGTGCTAAATGAAGGATAAAACAAGGATTTAGAGACGCGGAAGGCTACTGACACGCCAAGCAAAAGCCTCATAAAAATGGAGGAACGCGCAAAATTACAGGGGAGGCGCGTCCATCCAAAGTGTGGGAAAGCGGCAGTATTGAGTTCAACTCAGAAAAGCTTGAGATATAGCTCATTAATGGGAATCTTCCCTCAGAAAATTGAACTCAAGTAAAGACTTTGAATGCTGCTTTTAAATTATTCGCTTTGTTCGGCAGATCTCACTCCAACATCTCTACCAAGAAGTTGGCATTGTCCAAACATGTAATTAACAAAAATAAAAATTCCAAGAGCATTATATCCACTATTGGCTGATCTGGATTTAGACAGAAAGCAAAAGAAAGTGAGATTACCCTTTTCAACGAAGCTCAGGAAAAAGTTATTTTTTTTCTAGAAATTAGCTTAAACACCTAAATTAAACGTATAAAATTAAGACCGTGAAGCTCAACCTTCAGTTTTTTTCTCAGTTTCAAAAAAGAAAAGCTGAAAGTTGAAAACAAACAGACAAATACCGAGAAAGATCATCTCCTGAAACCGCGAAAAAGACCAAGGTGGGGATGCTGGAAGACGAAAAGCTATGGATCAGGAATAGAAGATGAGGTGAGAAGAGCAGATCGAACGGCGTCATGCAACCTCGCCGAGTCTTCGCCTTCGCCACCTGTTGCCGTAAGTCCCCCTAATTTAACGCCGCGTTTCAAAGCTTTATCTACATTTTGTAGGGTCGAGAAGATGTTCCATTCCCCACCTAAACAGTCATCTTTTTATAAATTCTAAGTTTTTTCAAACCGTATCCCTCACAACTATTAGTTCTAGATTACTTGGTGAAAATTTTACGCAGATAGCCGATATGCTGGTTCGATCCCCGTCCATCAGAGAATGCCGTGAGAATTACTAGAAACTTCCAGGGAAAACGATGAGATGATTCTATATTCGAACTGCGGAAGGTATCATAAACTGTGATCCTCAGAGAACGTAATTCTTCATTGATAGATCAGGGAGGCTCGATTTTTAATACATGGAGAAAAATTTCTGTCTTTTCAACTGTTATTGCCATCTGACAGGGATAGTAATTCAATGTTGCTATCGCAAGAGTGCGGTTTCCATTCCCGCGTTTTTTTAAAGTTTTATTTTGAATCTAAATGAATTATAACGACAGAAATCAGTTCAAAACTAAAGTTTAAAAAAAAATCTAAAATTAAGCTTGGTTGAAAACAAACTTTCTTAGTCAACTAATCTAGTTTAAATTGTTTGCTGATTAATCATCCTTTTAAGGCTTCGATTAGCGCATGGAAAACCATCTATATATAATGAGAAGTTGATAGATGATGATAATCTAATTGGAATTAGATGTCGCAAGTCACAAATTTGGAATCGAAAAAAATGTTCGCTGCGCGCCGTCTCAGTTTGACTCGCAAATGGGGAACCTGCTGGTCGGCAAGCAGCTTGGTGAGGTTGGCGCCCTTCCGGAAACGGATCTCGTGCTCGTCGAGTTTCTTCTCCATGACATGCAGCCAGGCGCGGACCTCGCCGGTCATGTTGATCCGCGAGTTGGACGCTTAACTCATTTTATATGGAGGGCTGTCACTCTCAACGCTTACTCGATCCTTCCGAGTCTGACGAACAACTTTTTTTCGAGTTGCGCAGTCGAAGTTGTTCCATCGCCGAGCATATCGTGTTTAGGCGTAGTAAGATCTGAAAATACATCTTCATATAGAGCCATGAGCTATTTTATTATTTTTTCCGAATTCAGCGACAATTTAAAGTTTTTTTGTTACAAGAACACACAAAAGCGTCTAGAAGAACGAATTCCTTGACATTCTACTGTGGCGAAAGACGGTATTATATTATAATAATAATTTACTCTATTCACTATTGTCAAACGACCTTGTCGCTTTATTTCACTACTTCGTAAGATATTTCAGCTTAAAAAAAATAAAATAAGAAAGTTAAAAATAAACATAACAAGTTGAAAGTGTAAAACTTCAATTTCCCCTACAAGTGAATGAGGGAAATTTAAAATTCAAAAAGTGTTATTTCACATAAAAAATTACGGAAAACTTTATCTTTAATTATCATTTCTCATTTTGTTAAGAGAAGATTAGAAAGTAAAAGTCAAAAATGAGATTAAAGCTCAAGTTCATGTTGAAAAACGTTTTATTTTGTATTTGTTCAAGTGGAGTTGTTTCCTAATTTTATTTTTGTTTGTCAACTTTTCACATATGTGCCTCGCAAGAAAATTCTCTTTTTTTTTACAAGAGCTGATTGAAAGGCTTAATATAGCCATAGGTTGCTAAGCCACGTCTCAACAAAAAAAAAACCAGAAAAAGGAAAATTCTGGAATCGCGATATCCCCGCCAATGGAGAGATCACTCGGTCGAAGGCAACAGTGGCGCGCTGAGAGAGCGGAAGAGTTTTTATTCAAACAGATAACAGTTATGATCAAGGATCAATTAAACGGCGCCACGAATCGGAACTTTTCGCTTTTTCTCTCTTCTCCGAAAAACGCATATGAAAAGAGGTCACGAAAGGTGAATCGGAAACATTTTCTTTTGAAATTAATCAAATGCTATATCTAAAAATTTTCCATCGAATGACCGCAGTGAACTTTCCGTTTTTAGTATAAATGACTATTTAAAGACCTTCATAAGTTAATATAACATTAACAATAGGAATGAAGAACATACCGTGTTCTCGACGTCCGGATGATGGCCCACAATCAGTTTGGCCGTTTTTTCCAGACTATTCGCCATTTCCTCTAGATATTCACATGATACCGTCTGAAAAAAATAAAATTTTTTCATGGATTTAACTTTCATTAAAATAAGAAGAACGCAAGAATAAATTTCATGCCGAACATTCGAATGATCAAAAAATTTCACTCGATTAGCAAAAAGAAATCCTTACAGGAGAACATTTTCTTTCTGGATCCTCTTCATGAGAATCTACTCAATTCCGTTCTATTTTTGGAGAGAAGGCGTTCAAAAATTAAAAGACAAGCGGAAATCTGCGGAGAGCAATTGAACGAAGAAAATTTTGAGAAATATGGGGAAACTGAAGCAAAAGTCTTTTAGCTTTATTGAATACTTTTTTTCTGATCTTTCCGATAGGAGTTGGGAAATAAGCAAGTTGCATCACTTCTAAATCTTTTTCTCAAGCCGTATTTCACGAAAAAAGCAAAGTAAATCAGTTTCCTAGACAAAAGATAAACCCAGCAGCAAAACCTACAAAAAGAGGAAGCTGAAAAAGCGTGGGCCTGCATTATTTCGCCATGAATTGTCGCGAGAGGAATAAGAAAACTCTGAAAGTGGCAGAAGGACGTGAAGAGCGCACCGAAATGCAAATGCCGATTAATGGTCGAGGATTTCGGGAATATATGAGCGGAGCAGCCGTCGCAGGACTCGGCGACGTTCGTCCCCCACTCAGCTTTTAATTAATCTTCAGACAACAAACAATAAGAGCGGCAGAAGAAAGGTCCTGTCTAATGAGCTTCAAGCGAAGGTTTAACGTAAGTCCATTTTAGGAATAGCAGGGTTACTGATGAGTCTGTCTCCTATGAACGATTCACGGTGCTCGAAAAAACCTAGAAAAGTATCTATCAATTGATGAACAAATACAAGTTTTTTCTGTTGCACAATAAGTTCTATCTTCCAACAGACATTCGTGCAAATTATTTATTTTCAAAAATTCACCAAAGTTTTCGGAAATAATAAAAAATTGCTTGAAAACTAAGAAAATTCACTTCTTAATCTGTTCAGCTGATATCGTTATTCATTTCAAAAAAAAAGTTTATCAAGAAAAAAAAAAGATTATTCTGAAAAAAAAATGATTGCAAAGATTTTAGTTTGCAACTCGTGAAAAAAGAAGATAACGCAGAAAAGCCGAAAGAAGGCGAACGGAAAGGTTGTCGCAAAAGAATAAGGGCGGAGAAAAGTTGAGCGTTTGTGAAGTGAAAAAAGCCATCAGAGATGTTGAGAAGAACGACGACGTCTTCGGATGCAAATCGACGGTAAACAAACGGGACGACAATCAGAACAAGTAAAACTCCTCGAAAATTTTTGTACATTGCTTACGCAATTCTACATAGCGGTTTGAAAAATTAAATTTCAATTCAACAAAAATGGGAAAAAAAAACGAGAATTGACATTACTATGGCTCCTTGGATGTGCGACTTCCGTTGGAGAACATATGTAGCAACAAAAACTCAAAAAAAAATCGCGTCGATTCCTTAGAAAAAGGACGCGGTGGAGCAGACGAGGAAGAGGTCAACTTGCGCCACACAAAAAGTGCACATATGTGCTCGATCGCAAAGGCATTCTCCAAACGGTTATTTCCAACTTCAGTTGGAACGAGAAATGGAACAACAAACGTACAATGTAGACCCTACACAAAAAAAAACAGAAAGTAACGTTGAGAAAGTACAGCGTTGAAGTTTCTTTTCAAAAAATTTTCATCTCAAAAAATTTTAGGAAACGTTGAACTGTATGTTTCGAGGCGAGCAAAAATTGTTGCTTGAGAACATTAAGTTGACACGAAAGAGACAATGTCGAGTCAACACACTTTTCTTTACAATGGCAATTAATTTGTGTCGGATGGAGTCAGCCACGAACCTCAGACCACTGAGTGGAGTACGAGCCTGACTTTCCGTCCGAGAAAATACTCGAGCTTCTTTTAACGATGTTACCTTTTATAAATTTAAATTGGCCTCATATTAGATAAATACGTTGAATGAAAGGCTTCCAAGAGCCCATTAATTGGTATTTTATGTATCGTTTGAAAATCAAGACCTACTCTCACAGTACGAGAACACAATCCTTTTGAAGGTTTTAGTATGTTTTACACCGAAAATCACAAGAAACGCAGAAGGAAGCAAAAAAGGAAGAACGAAGACTGCAAAATGTAAATTGGAAGCAGTAACGCTGATGTTTGCTTAAACAGGAGCGATCCTCCCGCTGCCTACAAGGCTCGTAATGAGCAGATTCGATTACGAGACTAATCCTGGACCTACCCAACCTATGGGAAGCAAACAATATTCTGTCAAGATGCCAAGACGGCAGCCACATGCGCTCGCCAAACGATAACCACATGTCTCAACTTTTTTTTGTTTCAGTTTCGCGGTCAAGAACTAGGAGAAGTTTTCTTTGCGCTCAAGTCCCTCAAATAGTCATTACTGCTCCAGGAGAACTTGTTCTGCACGACGGACCCCGTAAACTTGGACAACAGCTGGCAACGCTAAATCTTCACGGCCAAGCCAGTATATAACAATAACTATCCGCGTGAGAAACCTAATAGTATAGCGTTTCATCTGCGGGCACGGACCAAAACACTTGGGCAACCGTCTCTAATCGGCAGCCGCATCTAGCCTCGTCTATTTTGCTTCATTCCGTGATTACCATGAAAAAGATTTAACCTTGAGATTAGTTATTCCAAGACAGAACTTCCGGCTATTTGAAAATGAAACTTGTTCCTTTTCCAACCGTTTGGTTCCGAAAAAAAGTTGAATTTGAAGAAAAATGGTTGAACAAATCAATCGGCAGGAGCAAGCCCTTGAAATGAAGAAAATTTTGAATTAAGGACAAAAAAATCTATCCGTTCGAAATTTTAAACAAAAAAAACGAGAACAGACCTTGGATGTTAAATTGTGCAGTGAGTCGAGTATAAGGTTGTAGAGCGACGAGCAATCTTCCAGAAAGATATCTACACCTCTCACGTCGTCTCTCTCCTGCAGCGAACTTTTTCAATCGTTAAATTCATTTCAAGAAAACTTTTGAACAAAAAAAAAAGAAAGGATAGCATCATTTTCAGACTACTCTCAAAAATCATGCACACAATAAACAAAAATCCAAAAATCGAAAAAAAAAATCAAGACAATTTCATAAACAAAATGAGCTCACATTTAGTAGAAAAATGTTTAAAATTTCCTATTTTCATACTAATAACAACGAAAATATTCAGGGTTGAATTAATTTTTTCGAACATATGATAATCTATTTTTCGATATGTGATAGCTGTTCTTCGAGATCTCCTTTACCGTCAACTGTTTCTAAAAAAAGCCCATATTTATAAATGATTGAGAAAAATTTTAGAACTTTTCACCAGGGTTAATTTCAAAATATTCTGGAATAACTCTTAATTGATCTGATTTTTAAAAAAACAAGAATGGCATAGGGCGCGAAAAAGGCAAAGAATGTGGTGTTGATCCGAGAGGGTGTTTTGGGGGAACGGCAATAGGTCAAGAAGAGAACTCTTCTAGGCTTCTTCAACATTAAGCATATACGCGCGCGGTGAGCACACAACGTGTATACACCAACTTGGCGCAATCGCCAAGGAGAAGAAGCTCAACTAGGATGAGGATCTGCATGGCTGTCCACTTGGGAGCCGCGCCAACAACGCTCCGACGGCTCACGCGCCTCTGCATGACCCTTCGCAACCGTTCTTTTTCGAATCGGCAATGCGAGCCGTTGAAATATGTCTACCCAAAATACGAGCTTTTCTTTTTCTTAGTTTCCAAGCCACATACGAGTTAGGAGAAAAGTACAATTTCATAAATTTTTAGATTGATTGTTGCAACTTTTTTTTTGTTTCAATCAAGGTTACTTTATTATCTCGTTTAATCACTTCGAGTAGCCGGTCTCATTATCGCTTTCTCATGAGATAATATTCCGGTGCCCGTCGACCCTGGACAAGCTGGGCGCTGTACTGTTCCAACATGGTGAAGCAGTTTATTCCCTGATACTACCAACGGGCCCCCACCAAAAACCATTTTGCGGCACTTACATATTACCGTGATGTCTGTGCGACTATAAAGTTTAGAATTGAACCAAAATTCAGAGAAGTTTGTGGAAATATTCGAGACCTAGTTTCGTACATGCTCTTGTCTAATTTTGAAAGAGAGCTGAAGCCGAAAACGTAATCTAAAGATTTTGAAACTCCCTCTGAGAAAAAATTCTAAAAAAAAAACCCGGTCACTGTGATCCGCCATGTCGTCGAGTATCGACGGCAACTCCACCTCCGACAACATCTCAGGTCCGTGACCTCACGTCGGTCACTCTTCTCCTTCGGTTCTGTATCCAGTCGTGGGATACTGCTGCTGCTGATCTTCACTTCGGGAGGTGGCTCTTCATCGCCAGTGGCGAAAGGAGCTCAGGAGTCGGTCCGATGACTGAAAATTTCGCGTCATAATTCGAGTCTTTTCCCCTTTCTGACTGATCAAATCTGATCAGTGAGTACGAACTAGTTCATAAAAAAAACACAGAAATTCGGATCAGAAACCGTTTCTATTGACCGATTTTTAAAAAGAAGATAAGCCATAAAAAAGACTTTTCATAACGACCACAAGAAAAAGTAGAAGAAAGTGGTAAAATGGGTACGAGCGACGAATATGTGGGGCGTGAGAATCGACGTTGGAACTCGTTGAAAGTCAAAAAATGACCTTACGGCCGTTCAGAATGAAATCCTTGGGATTTTGAAACCGAAAGTCTGAGTGAAGAAACGTTAGTGAAACTGATCGGAAGCGACAAGAACCAGGGAAAGCGATCAGGGACATGGAAAAGGGAATTCGGATTAGACAAGGCTGAATGCTGTTGAAAAGACTTGGCTTTTCGGAAGCGCCACGTATCCAACAAACGAAACCTTCAAAGCCACAACTTGAAAATAGAAATAACCCGCTTTGCTGCCGGTAAAGATGTAGAAATAGTTTCGATCAAACGGAGAGATAGGAAATCTTTTGGAAAATCATTGAAAATGAAAAGAAATGAAGCTTTTTCAAATATATTTGATAACTAAAATCAATTTTCGTTTCAAAACTGTTTTGATAAGTTTTCATCCGTTGAAGCGTGAAAAAAGGGGTGAACTCAATCAATCAATATTTATTGGTTGTTTTAGTCAGATGGTATCGACTAGGCGGTGAAAAAATTGCTCTTTTGAGCGGCACTAACACCGCCTTTGGCGAAAAAGAAGTCAAAACGTGTAGTCGATTGAATTGAAAGCATGGTCTTACGGTCCTTCTCCTCGCTCTTCCACAAGTAGATCCCTCAGTTTCGCGGGTACGGGCACGGCGATGATGGTGGGTTTAAAACTGTTTAAAAAATGATAATAATAAAATGATTTTTGCAATACTGTTACAGAGGATTCCAAATCTGAAATGAATGAAAATCGCCGAAGTTACTTTGAACGCAACTTATTACAATATCTAGGATGAAAAACGCGCTTGGAATGGATGGAAGGCAATTTTCCCAAATGAGCTCCTATTCGAACTGAATTTGTATATGGAGACGCGGTGATGGAGTTTACTGCGAATTTGCCAATCACACACACCCATAAATTGTATACCTGTCGGCAAAAATACGAGCAAAGCACAAGTACTCATTCGTATACTTAGCCGTTTATGGCCTATTTCGTTGATTTTACGCGCGCGTTACTAAACAACCACAATTTCCAGCCGACACCGACGACTTTCTGAATTATGTGTTTTTAACTTCTTCCCCAGGTTTTTTGTTCGAGTAATTCCTTCCCAAAACGAAGACAGAACCAAAAACAGCGACCTCATTGATTCGAAAAAAGTGATGGAGAAAAAAATTGAAAAAAATAAGAAAATAAAGAAAAAACTTTGGCGAGACAGTAACAGACAAATTATCAGAAAGTTCCAGATTTCTGGAGAAAAAAAAATAATAAAACCTGGAGCCCGTTTTCGTGCTGACTTTTTGAGAAAAGTTGTAAAATATGAGATCCAAAACTAAAAAAGAGAGCTGAGACAGTTATTGGGAGCAAATAACTGAACTTGACAGAAAATTTAAACAAGCTCTCGATAAAATCTCGCTCACACAAAAATCAATGAAAACAGTACAGAGTAAGAAGTTAGCCTAAAAAAAATCATCAATTTCGAGTCAAAAAATCTCCATGGGTATATCTACAATTATTTTCTTTCTTTCAAGCTATGCAAAAATGAACTTTGAGACGAGAGAAAAAAGTTGCAGGAGAGAATTGGTTCAGTATGATTAGGTGGTGAAAACAACAAAGAAGCCGCTGAAACGAGAGAACGATTGAAATGGCAGAAAATCGATAAGGACGACGGCCAAAAAAAGAAAGGCGTTATGGACCAGGGCCTCGCATGTGGGAACGCATATCGCTGCCAATTTTTCTTGGATAAACGAAATCGAAAAAAAAAGTAAAACTTTGGGAGAGTCGGCGGAACACGTTCCATTATAAAATACTGGCTTGAACCAGAACTAAAAGTCTCCAAAAACATCAAAATACCTGGTCCATCATGTGCCTATGACTAAAATCACGTCGCAAAACATACTTGTGCACTAAGAGTTGCTGGGAGCCATTAAAAGCGCAGTTCTGATGATAAAAAAATATATCGATGAATCATCTTCCTCTTTCATTACTCCATACTTTGAATAATCTTTTTTTGAGATCATCGAAAGCTTTCGCTAGCCTTAGGTGAACATTCAGACAAAATCAACAAAGATCGCGTGTTGAATAAATGAAAAAGAGGTTTGAGGGCAAAAAAATATTATTTCTACAAGACTGACGTTATCGGGGTGATACAGGTTGAACTGTATGAAGAAGGAAAAAGGCAAAAAACCGTGATAACATGATTTTTAATTTTTCAACAGTCTTTCTAGAAATATTCGATACGTGGCCTGAAGAACGAACAAGATCTTTCAACTTATAGAAATCGAAAAAAATTTTCCCGAATTTCGGTCTCCGATAGCTGCTCTTCGATTAAAAAAGTAGAAAACGAAACTAGCCAGAAGTGAGAGCTTCAGCACACAGTAGCAAAAGAAAGGAGGGATGCATGTCAGTTATTATAAGGAAGCGACGGAAACCGCAAACCCGGCCGTCTAAACCATTTCGCACACAGTTTCGCAGTGGACAGCACAGCCATATCAGCACCGGTGACCCGTCTGGCGGTTTCTCACGCGTGCGACGAGCGAATCGCCGTCATGACGATTATTTCTGTGACCGGAGGGTGTAATGCTCTCCAGGCGTAGCAAAAGCCCAGCAAAAAGGTGTCCGACTGGCGATTCCAGCGTCCGATATCAATTGTCTCATGGCGGACCCTGCGGTTTTTCCGTAGCGCCGCATCGCGAGATAACGGCATGACGCAACCTCAACCACTCAGTTTTTTTCTTTTCTAAAATCGTAAAAAAAAATCTCTCGAGCCTTTTTGTTAGCACACGGTACTTCAGAATATTGTGGATGAGAATAGTCGATAAATAGTGAGCAAAAAGGTAGGAATTGTTGATAACCACAGTAACAGACGCATTCTTCTACACAGACGAGGCAGTGGTGATAACTAAATAAGCCACCTTCGAAATTCGTCTTTAACTAAGTAGAAAAAGCTTCTACGATTCAGGAGCTTTATCAAAAACAAATGGGTCTCAAAAAATCAAATATCCGTAAAAAATAATCAAAGATGTCTGGTTTTAATAAGTCAGCGCATTCAAAAAAATTAATCGAGTTGAAACGTTTCTCGCTTAATTACAGCCGATTCAAAGATTAGTTCAATTTTCATTCTTTTGTTGCTCAGTTTTCGAAGATTAGAAGTGATCAGCATAAATCGAGAATATTAAAACCATTTAAAAAGCAGTGTCCTTTCCTGAAAGATATTTAGAGAAGGTATACATTTAAAATCCATGGGCGCCTCTCTAATTTTGCACTCTTAGTCTTATCAAAACTGCTCATTCTGCTATGAAAATAAAATTTTCCCGATTTCACTAAAAATCTTGGGTCGTTTAACACGCTGTCTCTGTAATTTTCAAAAAGTTTCCAAAGCAACGGGTACAAAAAAAAATTTTATTTTTTGATTCTGATGAAACTTCATCCAGTGTGATAACCCATCATCAGAAATGCGGACACAACTTTTTGAGCCATTCCCTCTTACTGTAGTCGGGTTACGCTTGGAACTACGATTTTTTTCTTAACTTCATAAATAAAAACCTTTTTCTAGCCATTGTACATCTTTCATTGTACATCTTTTTTTCTTTTTTCTTTTTTAGGCCAATAGTAAGTTCAAAGCTAAATTTCGGTTGGACGGGTTCGGTAAAAGTTGAACAAAACTATATCAATTGTTACCTAGAAGATGTCAGTTACATAATTAATAGCTTTGGAAACTGCGGGATTGTCGAAAATTTTTAAAAACCGATCTTTTCAGAGCGAATCGCGCTTTTTCAAGCCAAAATAGAGTTCAAAACGAAGTTTCGGCCAAATATGTAGCGTATAGGTCTCTTAAAATCCCTTTGAACGTTATAAAACACACTGTAGTTGACATCTGAAAAAGGTTGACACCAATATCTAACAAAAGAAAAATGTGAAAAATCGTCAACCACGACCAACCCTGGCCGCAAAGTGCCAAGTTGGGCGCGTTCGGAGTGAAATCTCGAGATGACGGGTTTAGAAATTCGAACTTTTTTTTGTGGCATTGTTTAGAACATACTACAAGACATATTCCATAAAAGTAATTACGATGGGATTCTATGCCCACGACCAGGGTGACCGAAAAACCGACTTTCCAAAAACAAAAATTACCGTAACTCAAAAATTCCTACAGTAACTCAAGATGGTATGTACTACAAAAGTTCTTGAAATTAGATGACCTATCGATTGATATATCACTTGCCTAGTAAAAACTCTTCAGTACTTAGATACGCAGGTGCCCACCTGCCTACCGTAACCCGACTACAGTAAGAGGGAATGGCTCAAAAAGTTGTGTCCGCATTTCTGATGATGGGTTATCACACTGGATGAAGTTTCATCAGAATCAAAAAAATAAAAATTTTTTTGTACCCGTTGCTTTTGAAACTTTTTGAAAATTACAGAGACAGCGTGTTAAGTCTGATAAACTCAAAAGAAACTAACAATAAAAATTAGAAGCAAGTCCAAAAAAAGGAAATGCCGAATGACAGAGGAAGAAGGAGCTGAGGACAGGTGAAATTTCAGGTGTAGGATTTGAAATACACCTGCAAAATGCGGTTTCTTCCAGCAGGAGAAGAGCTCAGCTCCACATCTGGCCGCCTCCCAAGGCGACCTTGGGAAAGACGCCGCAAATTTGAAATTCGCGCGGAAAATGCCACGAGGTGAAAACCGACTGCGCACCGATCTGATTTCTCCACCGATTAGACCCGAAAAAAAACGAGTACTGAGTTTGAAGGGAAATTTATGCAGAGTTGAAACTAAGGTTTCAAAAAAAAATCTCGTCTTTCCGTTTAGTTTTTTTCAAAAATACTCTTTTACGAATCGCTAAAAATTGAAAATTAAGACGCCATTATAGATAGCACTCCCAAAAGTCTCCTCTTGGCGCATTCCGCGTGCGTGCGCGCGCCAATTCAAATTTCGTCTCTTGGACTAGATTTACAGGCTTCCAGTATATGGTTCTTTTTGTATAATTTTTTTCTTACTTATTCATTTCCAGTTTTTCTTTTTATTTAATATTGACTCATTTAGGGAATCTAACTTTATTTAAGAAAGTTTTTTTCTTGTTTTTAGCGCACATTCAAATTTTTCGCCTTCACTCACTTGCACAGGCAAATGGGGAAGGTACCATAATGTGCCCACAAATATACCTCTTAAAATGAATCTTGAATATTCCATAACGTGTCCATCATGAGACGTCGAGCATAAATTTTAGCTCTAGCTGCCCAGGGAATGGTGTCTGGTCGCGGTTGGATTTCAGAATGAGACCCAGTTCACTAAATGAAGTTTTTCATGCTATTTCCAAATCTGTTCTCAAAAAATGCCGCGCAGGTCCGTGAAAAAAGTTTTTTTTTGGAAAAGTTTTTGAGCGGAGACACGATTTTTCAAAGCTCCTCGCATGATAAGGAAATGTGCTGCTGAAAATTCATTTTTCGTTTCTCATGAGCGAATGGAGAACAACGTGTACAGCTTATACAAATTTCAAAGGAAGTCTGAAAACAGAATGAATAAAAAAATTAGAAAAACGGAAGTGACTAAAAAAATAATAATAATAAAAACCTGGGAAGCATTTCCAGGCTACTCGGTAGCAATCAAAAAAATTTCAGGTAATCTGCCCGTATATCCAGTTATCATAGATATGATACCCGGGTAAAAATTAATTGGAAGTTTTTTTAATGCAAGAAAAAAATTATACAAAAAAAGAACCATATACTGGAAGCCTGTAAATCTAGTTCAAGAGACAAAATTTGAATTGGCGCGCGCACGCACGCGGAATGCGCCAAGAGGAGACTTTTGGGAGTGCTATCTATAATGGCGTCTTGAAAATTATCGCTCAAGTTGGTTTCAAATTCGCACAGAAGTTTTCCTTACTACATTATTCAAAAAAAAAAATGGCAGTGATAACAATTTTCAGTAAGAACGTCTAAAAATAGATCATTAGTAAATTCTCGATAGATTGGGCAAACTCAAAAAGGTTTTTGGACTGTTAATTCTCTCAAATTAAGAAATTTCCAAAGAACTCAGAAAAAGCGGCGTGGCGGGTCCAAACGACTGAACGGCTGTTTGCCGGGGCGGCCGCGAACGACTCTCCGCCTATTTTTCATCACAACATTGACCATCGTCGGCTACTTTTAATACCTTTAGCTTCATGGAGGCTCAAAATGAACCAAAAAACATCGGACATTTACTCTACCAAATAAGGTTTTGAATCAAAGTGTAGTAAGTAGGACGTACAGCGGGGGATATCCTGCTATTGTGATGCAAATAAGGCGCTGAACACCTCGGGCCACGGTCCGATTGTCACTGGAACTCACCAGAACTCTGGTCAGATAAAACTACACTTAAACTTGCAACTTCAAATTATCTGCTTTTCAAAAATAGTGAGTATGGAAGTTTAAGATATCCTCGTGATGGGCCCATTTTCTCCGAATTCGACCTTCACTCGACACAACAAGCACACAAGATAAGATAGCAGTAGGAAAAACGAAGAAAACATTGAAAGAACTGAAAACTTTTGAAACTATAGCTCGTCTCGGAAAAGACTTGCAAGTCTTACGCCTAAGCAACCCAGTAGTTCGAAGCAATGTGAAGCCATAAAAAGGTCATAAAAACGGCCGACGGACCGGCGAAGGTCCAATCACTCGGAGAAAAGGAAAAAGTGCGGGGAAATCCAAAATGTCCGATTTTCAGCATGCTTGAAAATGCGGACAGTCACCGAAGAAAAACACCCTCGAGTTCTTGACATTTAGACAAACAAAAAGCATATTCACGGGAAGCTCCTGCCGAGACAAAGTGATACAGTAAATAAATGTGTGGAGATCCACTCGGAAACTTTTATTCAAATTTGAAACAAAAACGAAATAAAAAAAGATGTTGGATACTATATAAATGGAGAGGATATACAGCAATACTGAGTATAGAGGTCGATATCTTTGCGAGTCATCGACATCTTGATGGGAATACATAGTGTCATGGCAAATAGATGCTGTCATTCATCCACACACCCCTACCGGCACTGACAAAAGTTTTATCTCCGTAGAACATTCTACTGAAAACTTTCACAAAGAAGAGCCGTCAACAACACTCGAGGTACTGTCTCAGAATTAGAGCTCCACAAATCGATAGAGAAGAAATAAATAAATGTAAAATTTAGTATTCGTCTACCACATACATCTATGATACAAAGACTGGTATTATTCCGACCAAAATTATGCTAGTTTCAAAGAAAAAATCTAAGGATTTCAAGTATTCCCATTGGAATTATCAGAGTTATTAACATTATTGAAGTGAGATTTCCGGTCGTAGAACATTTTGATGGCGAAGTGCTCCAGGCCTCCGTAACACTTGCAGATGACAGTGTAGATGACAGTCGTCACCAAAGCGATGTAGAACATTAGGGCGCTCTGAAAAAAGGTTCATCAGCAGGTTTCACGCCAAAGTATCTCACTTCGAAGAACATGTACGTCCAGAAAAGCGTCGTCAAAAGCCAAAACGAAACCACGAACTTTTGCGTGTTTTGAAGGTAATCGTCCAACTGAAACCATGAGAACATATAAATTCTTCAGTCAAAAACCAGAAAAAAAAACGGAAAATTTTATTTCATGACTGCATTCAAAACCCTCCATGAAGCACGTTAGAGTTTACATGAAATTTTAGTTAGAAAAATATCCCGATCGGCAAAGGAAGTTTTAAACGCTTGTCCCAAAGCTAGATAACTCGAGCGGAAAAAGGTTTCTCTTTGACTTTACACATCGGAAATCTTTACATAGCGTCTTCCTTTAACTTTATTGCTGAATACTGTAAAATGGGCGATTTCATAATATAAAATTAATTATCATGAGGAACAAATTGAGAACTTCGAACATTTTTTAAAAAAAATCACCCCAAACTGTTCTCCGCCGTCGACAGGAGGAAAATGACGATCTTTCTGAGGCAGCGTATAAAACCTGAAAAACATTCATTCGGCCTGAAGGCTTCCAAGGCTGACGTCTTCAACTTCCGTTCTTTCTCTTTCCACAGTTCCACCAGCCACTCCGCCAATCCTTCATCCGAAGACGGCAAAGAGTCGATGGGAAGCTTCCGAATCTAAAAAGGAAAGGTACAAGAACAAAGAGAAAGGAGAAAACTACTTGATAATAGACTTCTTTGGGACAAGCACCATGCAAGACGAGATCGATCTCCGACTGAACGATCGCGTCACCGAAGCCGATGGAGACATCGTACAAGTATTTGATGTAGTTAACTGCAGAGTTGAGACTACTAAATGAGATGAGAAGAGCAGAAAACAGAGGACAACTGCCGCGGTACCCTCATATCTATATCCAATTGCTGTCCGCGCAAAACATTCTTTTCAACTCGCCGCTCACCCACATCATTTGCTAGAAAATGGATGCACTCACACTACCTGTTCAACTCCCACGCTTGATCTCAGCAAGTACGAGCACAACTGACATATTATGTAATACACAGTGCGACTGATGCTCGTTCCCATCAATACCTTGTCAATCATTTCGAGAATTTGATCTCACCGAATAATCGCTAGCGGAAATAAGCTTTAGCCATCTCTTCCAAACTCAGCTTTTTTTGCATACGAACTTAGGAACGCGAGAATGCCCCTATAGAGGTACGAATTAGGTGATCCATATAGGGTCTTTCAATTTTTGTTCGAATTTGAAAATTAAAAATACAAGCTTGATTGATGTATTCTCTATTGATAATTTTTCCATTTGAAAAGAAAAAAAACGCTAACTTTTTTGAGCTTACTGAATGGAAATAATTCTTCCTATAAAGTTCATGAAAATAATCGACTAGATGTCCGCTATAGGGATCACTAACTAAAACACAGGGGCCACTCTGGAGTTTTTAGAAAAAAAAACTGAGAAACTCAAATAATCTTAGAAGCTGAAAAAAAATTCATTCAAATCTAAAAAATTTGAAAATGATCGATTTCTTCCGCTTAAAAACTTTTAAACATGAATTTTAAAATTTCTCCGATTTTTCAGCGACAACTAAATGCCATCTAAGATTACGTTGCGAAATCCGCGAGTCCAGTAGCGACTGGACATCCATCAAAAACCATTCGCGAAAACGCGAGATGCCAGAGTTTTGACTTGTGTAAAAACAGGACCTCATTTATCAACTACTGGCCTGGCACGTTTATCGCGAGAAATTGCAACGTCCAGTACCACAGCTTGAAGAAAAACATCGGTCAAGCAATCTCACAAAGAAGCCTATTTTATTTTTCTTTCCCTTTTTCATCGCTAAAAAAACGGTAGAAAAAGCTTTTCTATAAATATAATCAAATTGTAAACAACGAAACGGCTGCCGACTCAGCAACAAGAAAACTGGAGGGAAAAAAACTCCGCGCCTTATTTTAAATATTCAAGTCAGGAGCATCATGAAATTTTAGGCTTTGTCGAAAATGGAAGACAGCCGTTAGTTTGCGTTTTTTCTTTCTTGAAAGGAGTCTCCATTGTTTTTAAAACTAGGATAAAGTCAAAAACATAAAACTTTTTATAGTGAGTGAAAAATTTTTGCGATAATAACATTCTGACATTTTCATTCAATAGTCCTGAAATTTTTCATGCTAAAGCTGTTGATAAAACAAGAATTAACAACAAAATGTTTTCTCTGTAAAAATATTCTAGCTCACCTAAAAGATATATACCTTTTTTTTCTTTTTTTTTAACATTAACAAGTGTATTTTCTTCACTCGAAGTGGTAGCTCTCTCAGTCGGCCGAAGCTACCCTAGAGTGTACACGGAGTCCGTGCCCGAGCCCCACCATCACCGCCGTGCCCGTACCCGCGAAACTGAGGGATCAACTTGTGGAAGAACGAGGCGAAGGACCGTAAGACCATGCTTTCCATTCAATCGACTACACGTTTTGACTTTTTTTTTCGCCAAAGGCGGTGTTAGTGCCGCTCAAAAGAGCAATTTTTTCACCGCCTAGTCGATTCCATCTGACTAAAACAACCAATAAATATTGTTTTTGTTGTAACATAACACAAGATTTGAGAATCATTTTTTAGTTACTTAACTTTATATATTTTTTTTTCCGAACACTTTTTTCTCCAAATTACGTAATTTTTTTCATTTTTGCGTGAGAAAAAAATTCTTTTCAAAGAAATCCTAATTTCTGAAAGAGCTTAAAAAATTGGTTCATTAATCTAATCTTTTCTGTGAAATATACGAGTTCTTGAAGAGAGAAAATGGTGCTCCGAGCGTTTTTCATTACCGAATTTTTTTTGAAATAGAGAATTATCATAGTTATTATAAATTCCCTTTTGAAAAAAGAACCAACGTTTGCGCATGGACTGAACGATGTGGACGAATCCGGTGATTCTGGGATGGAGGACGTAGTCATAATGAACCAAGGATTTTCTCTCGGCGTGTAGTCGACTCCTCTCTGTCGCCTTTGGACATTTGTCTGTACCTTCGGGAAACAACAACAACTGAAAAATATGGACTACTTATATCGGGTCGAAAAGTTCATCTTCATTCCTACCAACTTCGATTATTTAACTCTGATGAGTTACACTGGTGAATCGAGAGGTAGATACAAGTAGGTGCCGGGTAGCAACTCAAGTGAATCGGCGAATGGTAATCGGTGGTCATTTGTATGCGACCGGGTACCGTCTCTGTGGTACCTGATCGGTATCTGGATGCTACCGGGTATGTACCTGAAATTCGCGATTGCCACTTGCTGACACATCGGTCGTTTATTCAGCACCAGTGTTTTTTACACCTTCTCAAGCCTTCCAGGGTCTTATTGGATAAAGCTGGAAAAAAATAAAGACCGGGGAACCAATTCCAGACTTTTCGAAAGAAATCGCGAATGTCAGGTAGCTACTTGCATCGACCTTCGACCCAGGTACTATAGAGATAGTACCCGGTCGCATACAAACGACCACCGATTACCACACGCCGACTGACTTTTTCAAAAGTTGCTACCCGGTAGCTATTTGTATCGACTTCTCGGTTCACCTTTGTATCAACGTTTAAATCAATATTTTCAACAGCTATCGAATTGAGGAATAAGAAAATCATTCAAAAGATTCACTCGTCTCCAAAAATTTTGAATATTATTCTAACTAGGATTGGGGACATTGAGCAAAATACAATTTATTTTGATTTAATACCTGATAATTGTAACCGGTATCCGCAAAATACGTAATAATCTTGTCCAAACTGCTCTTGTCGGTTTCGAATGAGCGATCGAGAAATATGTAACACGCAGCTTGCATCGCCCAACCTTCAAGCCGATGCCGGTATCCAATATTTCGGATTACCTGCTCCAGGAACTTTCTTCAGCATTCCTTTGAGCGAAATCTTTTCAGATGTACAGAGCCACGGATCCATTTGGAACAAAGCATTCCAGAAAAACAACCAATCTAACCTATAAAAAAGCAGTCGGGATACCTCAACAAGGGAGAGAAACCTTGTTCGATGGTTCATTATTATCAAAGCGGGCTCACTGTGATCGATTTTGTGACCTTGAACTTTGACCGAGGCTCCGAACATAAACGACATCAACGCCTCAACATTCTCACGGTTTCGATATTAAAATGTTCAAATTAAGTTTTACCAATCAAACCTATTTTTTTATTTTTAAGCTGTAAATCGTTAATTCCATTGAAATTTGTTAGCCCCGTTACGAGAAACTTTCTTAGTTTTTTTATCACTCTCATCTGGAGCTTTTTTTCTGTCTGTAAAGCTGAAAATATCAAATTCAAAAACTTTTTTTGCAAAAAAATCGGATAAATTGTAATTTGTGAGTATTAATAAATATTATAAAAAAATGATTTTTTTCAATTCGATAAAGAGACATTGATATTTAACACATAGGAAAAAAAGTCAATCAGGTTGCAAGAAAGCCTATAAATGCACATAAACTTTTAAACGACGACTGTAATCGAAAAAAAAAATTTGATGCGGAGCGCATTAAAAGTTTCCTTTTGAGTTTATTTAGTGTTGATCAATTCCAAACTTGATCAACACTAAATAAACTCAAAAGGAAACTTTTAATGCGTTCCGCGGGAGAAAGTCACGTTTTGAAAGAAAAGAAACAGCTACCGTAAACCCAACTTTCCGCTCTACAAAACTACTAAAAATACAGCAGACAACAATGGTCTTGAAGCAAAGTTGCTTTATTTTGATTTATTTTGTGATAGGGTATTCTCGGCGGAAAGAAAAACGTGACAAACTGGCGCGGAATAGGCTCAATCCAAGCACAGATTATTGATTCCCTATTAAAATATAACGATTTTTAAGAACACATGTTCATACTTTTCAAGGTTTTCTTCCTGAACCTTTCCGGTTTGTAAAATTTCTTTTATTTAAAAAAAAAAAACGAACCCCCGGCATTATGACCCACATCCCAACGAGTCGATCAAGAAGTTTTCGCCAAAGGATCGGTTTGAAAAGGGCCAAAGGCATGACTGGAGTGATCACGAACAACATACCTAGAAAAGCAACAAAAATTAGGGATTTGGAAGGCAAAAGTACCGAACAAAGAGGAAGAAAGCATGCCGATTCCGAAAAGCCATCCCTTCAACCTGGTGACTAGCGGCTGACCTCCCGAAATTACGGGAGGCTCTCCAGGAGAGCTCATTTCTGTTCCAAAAACGTCTTATATTCCCGAAACGCGATCAAAACGAAATCTCGAAATGTACCATGAGCACTTACTTGCTGTATATACAATCAAATACTTTTAAGAAAAAGCAAAAGATGATTTATCAAAACCAAAATGACTAGATCACAACACATCGAGTTCAACGGGAATCTTATAAATATAATTACACATACAAGAAAATATCAACAAAATACATAGAATCAATGAAATGAAATAAAATAGCTACTGCATGAAATCTATCACGGCTAAAATTTTTCTAACTTCTTTTGGAAGGATTTCGCTCAAACCATTTCAAAACTAAATTTTCTACACCGTTGTGAGCATGTAGACCATACAAATAAAATAACGATGCAGCTAAGAAATAGACCTTAATTTGAGACTTTGAATAGAGAATTATTGAGACAAACCTTGACAAAGAAGTAGGCGTAAATGAAATAAATCCAAAGTAAAGAGGAGAATATCCAGAAAGCAAAGGCAACAGAATAGCCAAGGCCTGTGGTGGCGATCTGAGAACAATTTGAATTAAATAAAACAAAATAATCTCCTTTTTTACCGGCCATTGAAAACCTTCACCGCTTGGCTCGAAGTTCAAATTTCCTTGGTAAAATCTGCAAAAAAAAAAGATTTTTCCATTCTTTCTTTTCCCGGTGCATTGGCCGTTATTCGAAACTGAAAAAAATATTTTTTTGAGAGCCAACTATTAAATTCCTGTTTAAAGAAATTCAAGAAAAACAAAATTTATTTGATGTGAATTCAAATGGAAAAAAATAACTTCTGAATAATTGAGACAATCTCGAACCTCTTCAATTTTTCTTCTTTTTTCGACCACAACTTTTGAAGCCAAACAGAAACGTCTTCGTCTATTTCCTCCACTGAATAACGTTTCAGATCGAAGTGAACTTCCTGATACTATCATTTTTCGTTGAAAAAAAAAAAAACAAACTTCTGGAAAATTGCCATTTTTCACCAGTTTTGCTTCGGTGTCAATAACTTCACCTCTATACGCAACAGAAACATCATAAACGTATTTGATGTAGTTTTCTGGAATTAAAGATATTCGAACACTTAGGAAAAGATGTTGCCTTATTTTGAAAAAAAAAACCGTTCTTATTGCTAAAAAAAATTATAATTAAACCTCTTTTCATGATTTCGAGTAGATATGCGAAACCCGTTGTCCGAGGGTGCAAAACATAGTCATAACGAGGAAGATTGTTCTTATCTGCATACGCGTGGCTCAGAAGGACTGCTCGTTCGCCTCTATCAGTTCCTTCGGCAAAGAATAAGATCTAAACGAAATAGACAACAACAGTATTCGATTTACTTGGTAGTTTTTCCCGCAAGCTTTATAATAACGCATCATGTCTTCCAGTTTGGATTTATCACTTTCAAAGTTCCTTTCAAGAAAAATGAAGGCTCCTGCGCTCATCGCCCACCCAGCTCCCGGAATTTTTTTCAACGGAGCCTGGAATAGTTTATAAACATTAAGTAACAAAGGAAAACAACTTTCAGAGAAATCTTTCCGGTAGTTAAGAGCCACGGATCCATTTTGTACAGAGCATTCCATAAAAACAGCCAATCGAGCCTCAATTCGAGAAAAAAAACTTGAAAAATTGACAATACTAAATACCTTGTTCTGTGATTCATCAAAATGATAGCTGGTTCATCCCTCTGGATCAAATCGCCCGTCACGAAAAACTTGCTCTCGAAAATCCATTCAACCAGAGACTGAACGCGACCCTCACACAACTCATATGAACACAAAAACTGACTGCAGGAAAAGTAAGCCAATAGCCCAGAAGTCGATCAGCAATCTCTCTCCAAACTTTAGGTGCGAAATAAGCTAGTGGAATGAACGGGAAAAGAAGGAAAACGGAACCAAGTAAAGAAGATAAGAAAACAAGGATAGCGAATATTAGGCCTGCCACCTTAGACTTCATTCCCACATCTGTAAAATCTGATAACGGTTTTATTTCGATATTTTTCATTAAAAAAAGTGAGCAGAGTTCACATTGCCTGTAAAACATGCAGAAAATTTGAAAGAGAATTTCACAGAAGAACTGCTTTTTTCGAAAGTAACTTCTATCCAAACATTGTAAACTTCCGTGTTCAAAGTAATTTCCGAGAACTTCAAAACAATCTGACCCCAGCTCAGCTGACTCTCTAAAGTCGCCCAGAAACGTCCGGAGCACGTCCGTTTCGCGTTATACCAATGTCCGAGTCGACATTGAAAACTAATGTTTGCGATGGAGCAAATTTACCACATGAGATAAACTTGCGAAGCGTGAAATTCCAAGACAGGCGCTTTCTCAAAAGAAATTATTTCCTAGAGTACTCGCTCATACTCCAAGAAATAATCATCTGATTTAATGCCGTGTTCAAAGTAATTTCCGCGAAATGCAAAATACCCGTTAGAGAAAGGAAAAGATCACTAAATTTTGGAGAGTCAGAGATCATTTTGCATTTCGCGGAAATTACTTTGAACACGGCATAAAATTCAAAATGGACAATAAATTACGATATTTGGAAATAAAATCAAAAAATACTCATCAATTTCAAAATAGATAAAATTTCGACGTTCAATTCAACTTTGTACGATACTAAAATGAACTAGCTCACAGGTTTACACATTCAATTCACTTTTCGTAATTAAAGCGAGATAATTAAAATTTCGTCGGTTCGCATGTAAGTATTAACCGACCAGAATGCGGAACTATGATGATACAAAACCAGATTTGAAACTTATTTTGGAACAACAATTTATACCGAACAAACATTTTTATATACACGTGACTTTTTTTTTGGTTGGAAAAATTGTCAACAAAACAACTATTCAGGTAGCAATTTCATAGAAACCTATTTTCAATATGGCAAATTTAGTTGAATACTAACAGAAAACTATTCACCAGAAAAAGCAATTGACATTAGAACCTCTTCCCGTTGAATGCATTACGAAAAGGACAGAATTTGGCAGTGTGTGCGTGGTCACCAGTCGCACCGCAAACCGCGCAAGAAGTGAACCACAGCAACGGACATCTGTATACCGAATCAAATTTGAACTCGATAAAGTTTTTATGGAATTTTTTTGTCTAAAAAAATATTTACCTAGTTTCGTGATCTTTTTTTAAACTTGAAAAGTCAATTTTTTTCTCATAAAGGCCGACTCCAACTTCAAAAAAATTGAGAAGGTCTTGGTAAATTTAAAAAAAGATTCTTATATTATAATTTTTCCTTTACTTCAAAAATACTAACACGACTTTTTCCCTGTGACACTACTGAATGGGTGGACCAAGGACCGTCATCGTCTTTTGATTGGATCTGCTGGTTAGCGTTCTCGCACATTTTTCCGGTGCAAACCATAGCAAAAAAAGAGCAGCACTTCTTGCGGAACTTCGGAGGCGGCAACTGAAACATTTAAAACAATTATGCAACTTTTTCTACCTTAATAAGTTGTTTTTTTATTCATTCGGTTAGACGAAAAAAATTATTGAGGAAGTAATGCCGCCAGGTGCAATGGAAACAAAAAACCGCTTATGTAAATTAATTTTCTGATTAGAGCGAAATAAGCTCTCATTAACTATGAAAATTGCAAAAAACACACTTCTTTGAGAGAAAAAAAAAAAGAAAACCTCGTACAAATTCTGCCAGTGGCTATTGTAATAGTTCGAAGAGAGACCGAGATTAGTAGACCGTTGAGTCATCTTCAATGAAAAATAGAACAATTGAAATATATCCAAATGGAAAAAAATTCAATACTATAAACCTTCAATTCAAACTAACCGTCATATTTTTCATTTGAGATTGAGTAGACAGCGTTTTGGTGTGCGCGTCGTAATTCAAATCGAGCCACGTGAGCAGATCATCAATCTTATCTTCGGGCTAAAAATTATCTAGTTCTTAAAAATATCATAGTAAAAACCGTGTTCGCATTGCGATTCATATTGAACATCTGCGAGTTAAACGGTTGAAGGCTCTGGCGATCATTGCAAATGTCCAAGTTTTTGTATTGCAAAATCTGAAAAATCATTAATAAGAGCGACTTAAAAATATGGATATCGTCGGTCTCTCTGTTGGCTCATCGCTCTCTTGACACATTTATAAGACAAAACCCTATGAGGCTCTATTCGCGATTCATCTTGAGAGGTATGTTTGTGGAAACATCATGGTATTCTCGCGATTCGCCTGTGAATTTTCGATATTATAGGATTTTTGAAGAGTCAAAGAAAATTTTGAACTTCGCGGAAAAACTTAGAACAAAACGTTGTTTTTGCGGAAATTAGCTTCTGTCATGGCATAAATAATCTGTTTTGAAATGGAACTCATAAATATCGACTTTTTTTAGAAAAATATATGTCCCGTTGAAATTTATCCCTCGAAACTTAAAATCGAAGTCCGAGAAAGAAAAAGATAAGATTTTTTTTGGAGATTTACGACTTTCAATTACTTTTAATACGGCATTAGCAAAATTTTACTCTTGAGTCAAGTCCAACCCGCTATATACATACTACTAGAAAAAAAACTCACAAATTTACAGAAGTTGAAGTGAACATCGCGTTCATCGTCTGTTGAAAACATTGTCCTTCAAGCGAGTGAACCGTTCGACTGACTTGAAATGGAGCTCGCAAAAAGCGAGACAGCCGTTCCCATGAGTTTGGTGGGAAAGGGGCGTGGTCTTGTTGTTCCCTTGAAATTTTTTTTCTCCACAAACAAACTTCCGCTCATCTGTTTATGGCTCGTTCAAAGTGATTTCCGCAAAATACAAAGATATATATATGACTCTCCAAATACAATTATACTTTTTCTCACTGTCAAACAAAATAAACTTTTTTTTTCAAGAATAACTTTATTTAAACCTTTTCTTGAAATACTTCACAACATGTCAAAAAAAAAATCGGAAGACCATATGAGAATAAAATAGATTTAAATAAGATTAAATTTTCCGATTTTATCTCCAGAAATTAATTTTTTTCTGGAGATAAAAATTAATTGAAAAATTTTTAAAAACGGAACGGTTTTGTTACAAATATAAACTTGATTAAATAAGTTTTCCAAAATGAAAAAATATCACAATTGCAATTCAAAAAATGAATTAAAAAAATACAGTACAGAAACAAACGATGACGAAGAGATGGAAAAAAAAATTTAGTTCAAGAAGACATGACCTATCACTGGCAAAACCGAGGAATTCATACGGCTATATAGCATATCTCCTATGTATATAGCTATATACATAGAAGATATCTCGAGATATATAGTTGAGTCGGATTGGTTAGCGGCTGTATGCTGCAAACTTTGGAAGAAAATTCAACCTGTGTCTAGATTCATGGCGAACAGTCTCTAGTGCGGTGTTCAAAGTAATTTCCGCGAAATACCAAATTATCTTTGACTTTCCAAAATTCAGTTATCTTTTTCTTTCTCTGACGGCTATTTTGGATTTCGCGAAATCAATTTGAACACAGGGTTGAAACAGAATCGAGATAGTTTACGCACCTTGGTAACCGCTCAAAAACCATATATAATAGTTGGGGTTTCTTTCTAGCAAAAGTCGCTAACTAGCTGATAGGTTGCTTGGGTTCGCTTATTTCTTTTGAAAACCCGCTATCCGTTATAAAATTCGCGTTCAAAGCGACCAATTACGGAAAAATTGAAAATATTCGAAGAGTTTATTATTCTTTTTTAGTATTAAAATGTTGTCGACGCAATAAAATAGGTGTGATTTTCAAGGAAGGGGCAATGTAAAGAACTGCTCCGAAGCTCGTTCCTGCAAATATGAGAAATTGAATTTATTTATTTTTCCAGCAAAAGCCTTTTCCTGGTGCAGACCACAAGTTCAGAAGTCGCGCTCGCCAGCAGGGCAGAAACCCATTATTGACGGGCGAGTGACCTGAAAATCAGTTTTTCTTTTAAACTTTCCGGTTTTTCGTTGTATGAAAATTTGAACACACGGTGGTATCATACTGATTATAAAATAGTGAAATGAGGTAGAATATATCAAGTGGTGTGTAATAAATTCAATTACGAGCAGATTTCAGTGCAGAGAAGTTTAGAAAACTGAAAAAAAAAACTTTTATTTCGCCTTAATTCACAAAAAAAGTTTACACGAAGACCATTCCAAACAGTGGTGAATTTTCGTCAAACAGATATAACTCAAAAAAACGACTCTTAATCGTCTTATTTCAATCCAAAAAATTATGAAACACCTCGTATGATGGCGCTAACTCCAATGGCTTTGCATGCTTGTCGAACCGCCATTTTTCCGAACCAATCACCGCGGCTGTCTAAACAAGAGTTCCTCGATGAACCAGAAAACCCAAAATGAGAAAAAAAAACCCAGATAAGGACGGTACATTCTGACTGTTGAAGACGGCTGGCTGAAAATCAAATGATTCTGAATCGCAGAGAGTTTGTCGAGAGGAGCTGGTCGGAACTGGCCACGTATCGCGTTTTTATCTTTTATCTTAAAAAAAGCATACGAAGCTTTCATACGCATTTATGTACCATAGGGGAGAAGCCGCTGTAAACAGCGAACAGTGAACCTCCGATGATCGCCCCGAACGGAAGTTGGGAGCACATTCTGAACATTTCTCATTGTTAACTACCTTTCTTCAAAGATGACCGTTGGACGCAGCTGCCGACCGCTTGAGAAATTTGCGCATGAAAACGGCCTCTTGGAACGAAAGGAAGCGTTTCCGGAGCTCCTCGCAGAAGGAAGACATGGTAGGGGAACGCGATCTGATTGAATTGTGAAAAGCAAACATTTAAAAGTTGAAGCGTGTCTTTAGTCGAAAAAAAAACTTTGAGAGCGCAAATCAGGGCAAGACATTCCAAAGATCCATTTTCATCGACGTCGACAACGCCGCCGAGAAAAAGAAGTCTGTTGGCGGGCGGCCAACCCGTCAGCTGAAGCCATCGATGCAGGTCGACGTACCTGTTTGCGGAACTCAGCTAATAGAAATAAAAAACAACTACCTTCCACGGATGTCCCCAATGACTGTGATTCCGGCCTCGAGCTCCAAGAGCGACGGCTCTGAAGAAAAAACGTCGGCCGATTCTTCGAACAACTGGAAAAAGTTAACGTCGTGTTCTTTGGGAATGTGAGCTACTTCGATTAGTTCCAGAGCCGTGAAAGGATATTCATACGGTCCGTGCTCGATGATCCGGTAGAGAAACTCAAGCGATACGTTGGGGTCTCGTGAAACCTGACTTCGCTCGCTTTTGTGGCTCAGATCTCTGGCAAACCTTTTGCAAGTCGTGGCCCAACCCGCACGCTCGAGTGTAGATGGGAAGCAGGAGGCTCGGCTGAAAAATCATGAGATAATTTCAAAAGAGAGCTGCATTGAATTTCGTGGGTTTGAAGCACTAAATTTATATTTATGGAAGATGAGATTAACTCTCGGAGAATCTTGGGATTACTTACTTCATAAGATTTTCTACTAATAAAAAATTTCTGCATAAAATTCGACTAAAAAGAAACATTAGAGGGTTTGCTCAGTCTGAAGGCCACCTTGTCAGCGGGAGGTTCCTTGAGGACGCCAGTCTGTGGCGCCGTTCTTCGAGAGCCATTCTGTCGAATCTCTTCAGAACTGGAGGCCACCCTGGCCAGAAGTTCGCACGTCTCTTTAAGATTCATCTGGCCGGTCACCACAATTTCTGATTTTGTCTAAATTCATTCAACTGTTGAACCTTTTTTCGAATTAAATAAAGTAGACACGAAAATGCTCTGCGTTATCTTATATAGCTGATTCACGGCTGGCTTAAGCCATCGAAAAAATGGTCCTGACACGATAATGCACGAGATAGCGCGTGGCTTGTGGAGAGCGCAGACAGGACACGCCCCCTTAGCGTCCCAGGCTGAACGTGAATCAGCTATAATTCTCTTTGAAGCTCTGCGCTTCCATTATAAAAAAAAGGCTTTAAAGTTCAATTTGCTCGAAAAAGAAAGTTCGATTTTTACTGATGAGGGGTTTCAAAAATCGAGATCAAAGACAAAATTCAACTTTTCACTCACATCAGCTCCAAGAAAATACCGTTTCTTTTCTAAAAGACCTCTGTCGATCTTCGGGTTGTAATCATTGTGATTTGTGATTTTTCGGGATGAGAGAAGGTAGCTATGAGAAAAATTTGCGGAATTTCAGCTCAAGAAAACGAACTGAAGGAGATAGGCGGCAAAGCCGACCAAAAAGCACGTCACGACGGCGACAGCCACGTACCAAAACCCGGTAGTTTTTTCAATAATCTAAAAAAATATACGCCGTTCCGATGTTCGAAAAGAAAATTGCGACGTAAGAAAATTGCGCATAGTGGAAACATCACACCAAGGGGGAATTTCTTAAATGTAGACGCGAAGAAATAACTATGTTTCTCAGTACAACCGATATATAGTATTCATACTTTCAATCATTACATTAAGCGATAGCTTGGAAACCCTTTTAATAATGAGTCTAACATATACTGCGAGCCAGGAAATATTAAAAATTTATAGTTCCTCGATTCCACTGACTATAGTCCGTTTTTGTGATTTCTCGAGTTGTTAAATTTTCATCACGATGAGTTTCGCGGCAAGCCAGTTCTGACTGAAGAACACGCCGATACGGGCATAACTTTTTTCGGCTGTTGAGGGTCGAACCTTTGATCCTTTAGAAAATATGTACTTTAATAACTCGGTAGACTACAGCCGCCGTAACTGATAGATTGGAAAAATTCATAATTGAACTTATCACTCTTGATGGGAGGTATCACAAGACTTTAGGAGTTGCTGACCTCAGTTTCCTTGCGGAAGAAGCGTCTAGGAGAAGGAAACGACTCGTTTCTGTTGCAATAACTCGCCCAGCAGCAACGTTTCCTCACTTGCATAGTCTAGAAAGGTAATAAGAAGGCTTTTCGATCCAAAGTTGTTACCGTGTTGTCTGGGCCTAAAATCGTGTATTCCATTATATACGGCAGTCCGTCGGCGTAAGTCCACTGGCACAAAAAAGATCTCATGCTGAAAGCTCAAAAATAATTATCGCCAAAGGGAAATTAGCTCTAACTCAATGGCGGCAGGACCTTGGTTCTCTGTATCACAGCCGAAATGCGTGAAAACTTCTATATCGAGTCTAAATTAAGAAAAAAAAAATTAAGCTTTAGAACACAGTCACATACTCTTGATCCATAGGCCGATTTCTGAAATTGAAAAAGATAAGTTCGATTATTTCGTAGAAAACTCACCGAATGAGGTGTTTCACAACGCAGGCGGTGCGACAGAGGTTGTCGAGTCTGTAGCCGAAACACTGGGATGCATTCCATTACAACTACAGAATGTTGAGACAGGCTACCTTGAACTTTTCTTGGTTGATTTTTAATGGCAGAGGAGTGTCAATGTTCGGGTCATAGTCAAGTTTCAGGACGGGAAAAGTCGCCGTCGGTTTTGCAACATAAGTGCTGGGAACCGTCGAGACTGTTCCATAAGCTTCAGTTGATAGATTCAGTTCAACTCCTTCGAATATTGTGTTTAAAAGGACGGTAGTGGCGGTAGAATTAGATAAGCCATTTGTATCTGAAAACTCAAGTTTGGAAAAAAAAGCAAAACGAAACAAACGAAATATGGACACTGACAGAAAGAACGCTATTCTGATGTAAGAGTCCATTTGTAAGAAATGCTAGAAATTATCAGCGATCTTTGACGCAGAATTTAATGCTAGTCCATTTCTCAAAAACTCGCTCCGATGGACCGACGACTTTCTTCTCCCGGTATGGCTCTATGTTCTGTGAGAACTGTTTTTTTTTTCTCCGACATATTTTCATTGATACCACTGAATATCAACATGAAAAAAAGGTGAAATGTGCAGATGATTGCTCGCAAGTTGGTTCGTTCCATTGTACCTCCAACTTCTCAAATCGTAACATGTGAGTCTGAAACAGCTGCGAAATAACTTATTCAGATTGGAATTCGTTTTTTTTCGATCAAAAATATCCTTAAAAATGTTAAGAAAGAATTGAGTTCGCGAAAAACTTCTATTTTTTTCTTCTTTTTACAATGAAAAGTGTTTGTCAGAAAGACAGATCACTACGAGAGAGACGTGAAGCCGAGCAAGTTGCTGGTGATGAGACATTCGGAAAGAGTCGACGACTGTTTCCCAGGCTGGATCGAGAAGAGCAACGTCGGCGGCAACTACGTGCCCTACGATCTCAACATGGTCTCATCTTTATTTTTTTTGTTTTTTGGTCCAAATATGACCTGAAAGATGTCATTTTCTGAATTTCATTTTTTGCCGCTGAGCAGTTGAAGAGGAGTGAAGCTGTCCATTAAAGTCTGCAAAACTGTTCCTTACTGCGAAATAATCCTTTTTATTTGGCTTACATGAACAACTTGAGGAGTTTTCAACGATTCAAATTTAAATGATAAACAGCCTTTTTCATGTCCTTTTTTGAGGAGTAATGAAATCGGTCAGTGAGCAGAAGGTCGATGAAAATGAAAAAAAAAAACAAAAAAACACTTGATGAACATTTTTTCACCCCAAACACTCTGATTGTGAGAAAATTTCTAATTGTGCCTGAGATGAATAAAACGACAAATCGATTGAGCCCTCACGTCTGCCGGTGCAACGGCCACTCCGCGAGTTCATCAACGATACTCCGCTCACTCGTTCTGGGATTGTCATCGCTCAGATGGTCGGCCGCGGCATTCTGATGGCCGACGTCGTCCCAGGTATCCGCCAGCTGACACTGTTTCCGAACCAACGAATCCAGATATCATTTACTGCTCTCCTGCACTTCGATGTCTGCAGACAGCGACGTGGGTACGAGAAATTTGCGGATCTAAAGGCCTTCTAAGGTTGAAGAAACAACTTTTCTGAAGCTTGAGATGAAATGTACAGAGTCGAACCAGGACTTTTCGAGAACTGCACATTGTATCCAGACGGAAGTCCCATATTTGTTAGCCCTATCCAGCGGCTTGCGTTTCCTGTCGACAAGAGCTACCGTCCAATCTACAGACAAGATAATGTTCGATCTATTTACATTCTTTTTCTTTTTAGGCCTAGATATGTGCGAAATAAGAGCTGCCAGTTCGAGTAACCGACAAAAATGGTTATTCGCTCTATACCTTACAGGTTATTAGCGTTATAATAACGTTCTGAAGTAAAATACAATGAAATAATTCCCAATAGCGAAAAAAACGCCAATCTGAACAAACTAAAAAAAACTGACTAAGTGAACTTTTCAGTTATTCAAAGGCAAAGAAGTCATAGAAGCTTACAACGACCGGTTGCGGGACACGCTCGAAGCTATTGCAGAGCAGAGCGAAATAGTAACAGGAAACAAAAAACTCACAATTTTGGTGAGTGAAGAACTTTTGAGAAGCAAGGTTCATCTTTTTCATGGTAGGTGGTGGGGCACGCTTCAACGGTCGACATGTCGGTGGGCCTCTTGCGCGAAAAGCCCCGTTATTCGACCGAAGATGATCTTTTCGAGATATCTGTTCCCGTGCCTTACTGCTCGATCGCGCTGTTACAAAGGGTAAACAATTCCTTCATGAAATTCCGAAAAGGGAGAGTTGAAACACGCGACATTGAGCTACAAGTTTTAAAAATTATCAGTTTTACTAGAAACAGATCGAAGCATGTGTTGGTAGCTGCGCCTCGAAAAACTTCAGTCAGCATATTTATATGGATTCAAGACAAGCATTTCAACTCATCTTCTACTTGTGATTTTCAGAAGAAGATGGGAGCCGGCTGGGAGCCCAATCCATTCGTTGTCCCGCCTATTACTTACGAGAACTACACTAATAAGTACAACTCACATTTCGTTAATCGTGCCTAATCGATAAAAAATGAAAGAAAGTAAATCTGTACAAACTTCAGTGAAGGTACACCATTTTACTTCGAAACACGAAACAAAGAGATTTCAATAAGTTAGAAAAGTATGTATCTAAAAATATATGAAAAAAACCAGTAAACGCGTTACGCCAGCTGGGAAAACAAATAAAAAAGATCATGTTTTTGAGCGAAGTAGCGAAATTGTCAAAAAAAATTGATATTGAAAGAGTTTCACCGTTCAGAAATTTCTCGATGTCTTGGTAGACGGCCAGATTAAGACGAAGTGACGAGCGTGTAGATCATACTAGAAACAAACACTTCTTGCAAAAAAGAACATACAAATCTTTTTCAGGATCCTTTCAAACAAACTTGAGCGAGAAAAAAGTTGACAGACATGAGAGACAATTTCGGTTATTCATTGAAATGTCTTTTTTTGGCGCAAACGCTCTCTAACACGGTACAAAGCGTTTAAAAAAAGGTTGCTTAAAAAAAAGTGCAGGATTCTAAGTCTCGCAGATTCTTTTAATATTGAGATTTTCCTATTTTTCGCTCCACAGAGACTACATCTGCGCAGATACCGACTAGACGTATTCTATTTCGAAAAAACAAATTACTTAATTTAAATATACTGTTCCAATGGCTTTTTTTCGTAAGAAATATCGAACTGACGCATAGAGATAGTAGAAGAAGGAAATGAGGTAGAAAGCGAGCTTGGCCCAGGACACGCGCAACGTCGAAGAAAGAACTGAGCGGTTGAGGATGGTGGTCGGGTCGTAGATTCCGGGCCCGGACATGACTGGCCGATTGAGGTAGCTCAAAGGGAAGTCGATGAGAGTAACGAGGGAAAGCTCACCTGTAAATGTGATAAAGCGCCAAGGGAAGGTTCATGAGGATGGCGATGAGTTGCCAGCTGAAGACGAACATCAACGAGTATATTCCGTGGATCAAGTACTCCGGCAGGATGAGCTGAATTAGACGAACAATTAAATTTTGGTATCTTTTTTGGACTTTTAAGTTCTCGAAGAAAGTTCTCGAAGCTTATCTGAAGTGAGCATTCTTTTGGGCTTCGGAATCTATTAAAAAAATTCTGATAAAAATTCTAAACTCAAGATGCACCCTACCCAGAATTCAAGGCGACAGGTAAAAATATATCGTCGAAATATAAGGTCGCAGTATTTGTGGGTAGCACAAAAATCAAAGGAACAACTAAAAAAGAATGCAATGCAACCCGATAGCGAGTCCAAAACAAAGCATTGAACCTCAAAAAGACTGTTAACAAGTCAGTTTTGTCTTCAAACTGAGTTTTCCGGCCGACGGGTAGCTAAAACGGAAAATTTCAGACTTCAAAATGAACTTGGTGGATGCAGGAACCACGTGAAAAACCAATAGAAAAGAGGAAACGATGACAGTTTACCCAAAAGAGGTGTGGATTATCAAAAAACGATGTGTTCAGGCCGAAATCGTCTTAAAACTGAGTTTTTCAGCTGATGGGTAAATGAGATTTTTGTACTTTAGGTTTCAGAAGACCTTTGGGAGATGTGGATGCGTGATGAAACACTAATGGCCAACACTAAACGGTGATAGTCCTCCCAAAAAAAAGCATAGAACCTCAAAAACCTCAACTTTCAAGCCAAAATCGACTTCAAAGTGAACTTTCTGGCCGTAAAGTGGGCTAAACTTTGTGAAAATGACTTTTACCAGAAGTTTATGGACTGTAGTTTCAAGAAAAAAAGTTCAAGGCAATAAAAGAAGGTTAGAGGCCATCATCCAAGGCGAGTCTAAGCGCTAGGACCCCGAGTTGCGCGCGTTCGGCGCGATTTTGCGACATGATGGGTATCTCGGAATTTTTTCAATGTGGTATGAATTTGTAGCTGATGACCTGACACATCTTTTAGAGAGGTAACTTTAACGGCAAATAACTATTGTGAGTAGGGTGACCAAAAAACCAAAGTCGCAAACACAAAAAGTACCGTATCTCAAAAATTTCTACAGTAACCCAAGATGGTATGTACTGAAAAAATTTTTAAAATTGCATTACCTATCGATTGATATACAACTTGCCTAGAGAAAACTTGTCAATTCTTAGATACGCAGGTGACCACCTCCCTACCGTAACCCGGTTACGGTTAGAGGAAATGGCTCAAAAAATCGTGTCCGCAATCCTGACGTCATATGATAACACCGGTTGAAATTTCATTGAAATCAAAAAATATTTTTTTTTCTGTACCCGTTGATTTTGAGAATTACAGAGACTGCGTGTTAATCACGGGAAAAAAAAACTTTTGAGGCTCTGGACTATGTGTATTTTATAAGAGATGATACGATCTTTCCGAATTCAGCGCATGAAATACGTTCTACATGAATCCAGAAAAATTAGCTAATTTATTCGGAATCTCACAAAAAGTTTTTTTTTAGCTAAATTCGAAAAACAAATATTTTTCCAGCACAAATATGAAGGGTTTTGAACGATTCGAAAAAATTCAACCTGGTTCAAGTTTCTGCACTGTTCGATAGGGTTTTTGTAATCGGTTCGCAGTTCGTCAACACAGATGACCTGAAACTCAATCTATTGAGAGATAGTGAACGCCTCGAACCGTGTAGATGGCGAAGAAAACGCAGAAGCCAACGGCGATAAGTGCCAAAAGGTAGCAGAAGGCGGCGAATGTGAACGCCATTCTGAACTGAAAGAGTGCAGCAAAAAGCCTCTATCCCTGTGGTAGAACCGTTTTCTAACTATGCAGAAAGGAAAAAACCGTGTTTTGAACAGATTCTATGGACCTTCAACTTCTACCAAACGAAAAACTTCGAAAATCGGCAATCAGAGAAAATGGAGATGCGAGAAAAACGCATGGGCGAAAACAAGAGTTTCGTGAAAAGTACTTTATACGAAAGGGCAATATAAAAAAATTGAAAAGGATGAAAACCCGTTTTCAATCAAAAAGCTGAGAAAACATTATGCAGTTTACAAATGTATTACTGGGACTGCTCTAAGTCTTCAGGAATTTCGAAGACCTGAGTTGTTTCTTCGAAAACTTCCTCTTCGTAAACTTCGTTCTCGACTTCTCCGTCATCTTCCTTTTGGCAAGACATCACGAGGCCGTAAATCTCGTCCTCGATCTCAACTTATTTGTTATTTTCCAGCAGCAAAATCCGATCTTACAAAGAAGGTCATGTTGGGCATAGACTATTAGGTACACCGTCTAGTAATATCAAAATTAAGGGAGCTTGTTTTCTTGAAACTTACAAGAACACAAATAAAGTTTCTCGCAATAGATCTCGTTTTCGAGTTATGAAGCTTCAAAGTTTGCACGTTGAATAAGTGCTGCAAGGCAAGAGGTAACGTGGCTCGCGTACAATCCCTCTACTCCAGTTGGCAGCGTTATGTAGTGGCTAGAGTAGAGGGATCGTACGCGAGCCACGTTCCCTCTTGCCTTGCAGCACTAATTCAGCGTGCAAACTTTGAAGCTACATAACTCGAAAACGAGATCTATTGCGAGAAATTTTATTTGTGTTCTGGAAAGAGGAGGTCTTATAGTATCTTCAGCAAAGTTTCAACAAAAGTTCAACCGGCCACCAAAAACACTTCTCTTGTTAGACCGAAGTCAATGCGTTCTGCACGATTTAAAAAACCATTTTCCGCTTTGACCAAAAGGATAATTAAGAATAAGCGATTGAGAAATGGTTAAAAATTTTTTTTCCCGTTCAATAAAGAACACGAGGAGGGAAAAATAAAAAGCTTTTAAGCTTAAAAACAGAAGAGTCTATAAAATAAACATTTATGTTATTTCCGTTTAAAAAAAAAGTGAATTCCCAAAGTATCTTGTAAAAATAAAAATAGCTTTTTTTTCTTCTTTCATATTAGTTTTCTTAAACCGGCTCTCTAGCCTTGTGTAATTTCTCATCACCCTTTTCTTCCTATATCTTCTGAAACAGGCTTTTCAATTTTCTTTCTACTGGGAGCTTTTCTCCAAGGACGAATTTTCAGTTTTTTGAATTTGCCAGCCTCAAAACACACTGCCCAAAAAGAAATTCTTCAAGAAAACTACACTGGCAAAAAAAGATGAAATTATCTTCAAAAAACCTCTTTAATTCGCGCCTCTCCAAGATATTGAACGACGAAATCGTACTCGATAGGCTTGATGCCGTTTTCATCGAGGCCTTGGATGAGTACAGGACGGTACTCGTCTCTCTGAAAACCTTCCATTTTTTCGGCATAAAAGATCAGAAGTCACGTTTTTGGCAAGTAGCTGAACCGCGTTTTTCTCCTCCTCTGAATGACAGGCGAGCAAAGGCACATATCCACTGCGCTTCCAAAGTCCCAAGCCAGGGAAGAATCGCAAGGCGTTTTTGTGGAAGTGGGCTGCACACAGGTAGTGACGTCCTTCCACAGACAGTCTTTCGCTCAGAAAACGATGAACCTCAAAATTTAAAGTTATCCGTGTTGTTTGGTAGCGTGTAGGGCCTAACTATAAAAACAAAAAATTCGAGCTTCTCTAATAATGATAACTTTGAGAGAAAAAAACCAAAAGCCTTTCTTTTGATTCGGGAAATCTTTAAAATTGGACATTTTCCATAATTTTTCGCACTAATTCGCTTCTAAATAGATTTTTTTGTTAAATTTTTTTAAATAGTCTTATATTCCAGTGTTTTTCTTTTCCTTTCTCTTTTTGAACTGTTTCTCCTGACCGTATTTTCAATTTTTGGAGTGACTTATTTGTAGAAGCGGCTTGAACTATTCGAAAAAAGTTTGAGACCAGTTTCGTTGAGATCTCACCCAAGGCTCTCGACACATAGCATTCAGCCAACGAGTTTTTGCCGCAGCCTCCGAAGGAAAAGGCACCATTCCACTGGCGTCCTCGCAGTGGGAGCAGAGAATACACTCCACGGTGATCCCATAGGAGATGCGTCTCTCGGCAATCAGATCGAACGGGTTCTGGAAGAAAGCATCGGAGTAATCTCGAGGTCATGGAAGAAATAGGAAACCATTTGGTCAGGAAAATGGTAAGAACAAATGAGGATCGGCTTCTTCACAGTTGTCATATAATCGATAGCGCGCCGAACATACTGCAATTATTTTAAATTCCAAATTCAAAAAAGAAAAACTTACGACTCGGTCTGCTCCGAAAATCGCGTCCGTCAAAAACACTTTTTCCGAATCTGTGTTAGGCCAGCGCAATTCTTGCATGTCAGCTGAAAAAAGTTTCAAAATTTGACGAAATTTCAGCTGTTCACAAATAAAAACTGAAAGAAAGGCTATTCGTGCAAAAGGAATGCTGGCCACTCTCCTTAACACTCTACTGAAATAGTTCATTCATCGTGAGCTTGATACAATATTTGATGAAGGTGTTCTCGCAATAAACCGAACAATGAATAAAAAATAAGGTGAAATCGACTTTAAAACACGCTGTCATAAAACAGCGCTGAATGTAAATTTTTTTTTTTTATTCTGCGATTCAATATTGACTGTGAAATCATAGGGGCCAAACCTGGCTTGAAAAAAGAAACAATTCGAGTTTGATTAATTGCTTGAAAAAAGAATGAGTGGAACCAACATTGTTTCTTCCAGTCGTCGCACATGAGACATTTGCTGACGGCATCGGGGCCTCGAGGAATGGGAACTACTTCATCGTGAGTCTGAAATAGAAGCATAAATCAAGAAATCAAGAGGATCCTTCGAACCAAAGGCAAAGGCAAGGCGCGACCTGTGAACACACATTTGTTGTCTTTTTCGACGAAAGCTTCTTGAGAAAAGTGAAAAACACACATCCGGTATTTCGTCGGCTTTCTTCGCGTCAGACGCTCCCGTAGCTGGAAAAAACAGAATAAAACTAGTTTAATCAATGAAAAGACTGACAAAGACCTGATCGAACATATATATTTCTTGGATCATGACATTTTTACACAATTCGCCCTAAATTGAAACTTATACACCTTTTTTTAAATAGCGCTATTCCCTTTTTTTCGAAATCGAAAAATTCAGTTTTAGCTTTTTTTGTTTTTTTATCTTGATAATATCTCGATGAACACGTCGTATGATTTTTTTCCAGAAAAAAAGGCTTGACCCACTCAATAATAACAACTTACTTGAGACTGCAATATTATCTGTAAAAAAAGTGGTCAGACAAAAAAATCAATTTAACTATGTTTCTTTTTTTCTGCAAATGAAATGAATCATTAAATTGAAAAAAAAAATCTCACCCAGCTCCACTTTTTCGCTCGCGTTTTCGAGTTGCGGATTTGAGGTAGCAAAGTCTCGATCCAGACGATCCTGAGAATGGAAGAAATGAAACGCGGAAAAGAGCAGACGAGGAACCTCTGCTGCTGAGATTGGGGCAGCGGGACCAACAGACTCTCGGATTTGAGGCAAACCTCGCAGACAACGCAATAGGTTCGCAGCCAGGCGTCCATTTTCTCACCAACTTTCTGGAAAAAAAATCGTTGAACTTTTCAAGTTCATCGTTTGAGAGACTTTTTTGGTTTTACAACGGTATAACCAAGTCGGCAGAAATGAAATAAAAAAATGGACAGTTATTACAATGAAATAAAAAAATGGACAGCTATTACACTGACAGATGACGACAACACACTAATGTCTGGTCGAAAATAAGAAAATCAAATATCAGAAGAGGGAAGATTGTAGCGTAATGTTCTTGATGTACAGCTGCGTTAAACTCCGGATTTCAGATTTTCACAGAAAGAAAAAAAAGAAGAAAAGCCAAGATACCCTGAAGTCGAGATGCGATTGGCAGACGTTGATAGGACAAAAATGATATCCATCCGAAGAAAGATTGCTTTCATTGCGTCGTTTGAGCCACAGAGAGCGCATGGAATCTTCGAAATCGCGTGGCCAATCCATCAATTCCAGCCATTTTTCATGTCGACATCTGAACTTTTTGACTTTTTTTTTTTGATCTTTCCGACTAGAAAAAACTCGTCGAAGGGCCAAGTGCGCGGCAAATTCGCGAATTCGGAGGGTGAGTTGACGTCGACGATTCGTGAGCAGACTTGGCAAAAGCGCTCCACGTAAGGCATCTCTTCCAACTGAAAACCATATCTCAATGGCACGAGGTTTTTTTTTTGGTATCCCATATGGTTTTGCGTAGTGTTCATCAGATGTTGAGGAGAATGATGCGAGAAAATTTATTCACAAATCTCTTTACTACCGGATGTTTTTTTTTTGACTTTATTCGGCTCAAATATAACTTTCCAATAGTTTTCAGCGATTCTCGTAAGTTTGCGGAAAAAGATCGACCACTATACTTTTTGCAAATAAATAGTTTCAGAAAAAAAAAAGAAGACAACTGGAATCGATGAAAAGTGTTTGTTTATTTATTTTTTTTTTTTTGTTGAAGAAAAAAATACCTTATTGACAGCTTCGTTTTCAGCGTCAGACTCGTCTGAATAGTCTTCCGAGTTGCCTCCTTCAAAAGAATTTGAAGTTCCAGCAGTTCCCGCGATAAAATCGAGTTGTTTCTTCTGGCCCTGCCTCGAAAGGGCTATTTCCCGAACAGCGTTCGACTGAAACTCCCTTCCCTCGAGAATTTTCACCCCCAACAACGAACCTCTACATCCACGTCATCCACTTCGAATTTGCACGCGACTGTCTTTTGCTCGGCTTTTTCTTAAATAGAAATAATGAAAAAGATCTTTGAGCGGTCTTTTCAAATGTGATATTAAATCATCAGAAGTTGTCTTTAAAATTGAACCGGAAAATGAGAAAAGAAGAAATTTTGTACCTTTACTTTGTTTGCCTACGGACGTGGCCTTTGTTTCACAGTCGATTTCGACAAAAGAGTCCTCCTGAAACCGTATTTCAATTATATTATAGCTTAGAAATGATCTAACTATTAATTTATCTCTGGAGGAGGAGGAGGAGGAGGAATCTGCGATATGGTCGACAGCCGACAAAATATCCACCTTTTTCCACAAGTCCTTCTCCCAAAAAGAGACGTCTCGCGGTTTGTCGACCAAATAAGTACGAGCGCCCATTTTGTCGCATTCGCGGAGCTAAAACCATGATTTCAAAATATCCGGCAACAAAAACAGAAAAAACGGACGCTTGGGTCAGGAAGTGCGTTTTTGAGAAGTCTCCACTCGCCGAAACTGTTAATTTCGAAGGTGCTATCGGCCATGTGCCAATCGCAGATGAAACGCGTCACGCCGCCTTTCAGAAGAGTTTGGAGTCGCCTTCAAGTATAAATCAAGTTTTCGAAAAACTGCTATATGAGAAAACACTCGTCCGAAGTATTCACTTTTTCACAATTTCATGATTTATTCTCGACACAACCTAATTCAATTTTAATTGGCTTAAGAAAACCCCAAAACTTATTGAAATTGCTCGGAAAGGTGGGTTTTATTCGTTCAAAGTCATCAATATTTCGCGAAAATTTGCTTGAATCAATTGACATTCAAGCAGGTTACAGTATGTGAATAAAATTCATAAAATCTGAAAATATATACTCAAAGCCTATATTTCTTTGTCCCAAAAAACATACGTTTTCACTTCTTCATCACCGTCCGAGAGAGCTTCAACCCAAAGAGCACGCTTGGCTCGATTCTAAAAAAAACTTTTTTTAGTCTAATTTTAGATTTCTCCCCATATAAAATATGATACGGCAAGATTGGCAAGGATACGACGCAGCTCTTGACGGGAAAGTCGAAATCAAATGCGTCTTTCTTTGCGCTTCCCCTATCTCTTTGTAATTTTCGATAATTATTTTCGTCGTTTATGATTTACCAATTTCAGTTAAATGAACAGAAAATTTACTCAACAAGTCACCCTTGCCAATCTTCACAATTCGCCTTCTAAATAAGGAAAAATTGACTATACGACTCAAAAAATGTAGTTACTCGTATAACGGGCATCATGTTGTTGAGATTGTTCTGCTGTCCGCAATAAACGCAGTCCAAAACCAAAGAATCAAAGTCGAAAGAGATGTCCTCGACTACAGTATGACGTCCTTCCTATTAAAAAAATTAATCATCAAATTTTCTCAAATTAGATTAAACATCAGCGATTTCTAATCCTTTTTTTTTCAAAAAGATCACACAGATTTCATTCAAAACTATTTCACAGCATATTCGTTCTCTTTTGAAAAATTTAACAAGAAGTTTGTTTGAGAAGAATGAAAAAATTTCCAATTTTAAAAAGTGTTGAAAGAATCCCAGTTCCAAACAAAACTTTTGAAAAAAATTAAATACCAATGGCCGACGATCAAAAAGGAAATATTTCGTGTGCCTTCAGGTCCTTTGAACCGGGGGCAAAATGGCTTTCGCAAAACTCTCCACCGTGAGAACCTGCAAAATATGACGTCATCCGGATAGCGCCGTCTGCAAAGATGAACGAAATTTCAGGAACCTTCACAAGCAAGTTCTCTCAGCCAAAGCTCTGCTGACCGATCCGCATCGAGATTTGATCGCAAAATCCAAACTTTTCTCATCTAAACCTTGACATTCATAAACTCATGTGAAGTGCGAAAACTTTCAGATCTCCCGGGAGGACGCGTAACTTTCCAATCACTTTTTTTCGACACACGTGACAGTACTTCATCAAATCATTGCGCCTTGCATAATCCTGACTTTTGTAGCGGTCGTAATACCTTCAAAAGAAATGGCTAATCGGATGATGTTTTCAAAAAACTTCGGCGCTGCGTAGTTTATGAATTGGTTCCCTGCTGCTGGTCTTCGTTTTCTTGGAACTATGGAATTCCTGAAATAGTATACAGTTACATACAAACCGTAAAATCGAAAAAAAAAACCTTTTCTTCATTGTTATAGGTATATCGAGCTGTCCTTCCACAAAATCATGCTGCTGAAAACAAAAGATGAAGAGAAGAAAAAGGGATATAACCAACCGTATCATTTTCTGCTATACATTCTTCGAAAACCTCAACGTTTTCCATCTCATAATGGTAATGCTCAACTTCTTCTTCCACAAGTGTTTCCTGAACGTCTTCCATTTTGTGTTTGTACAAATCGTCACCCTGCAGCGTGAGATACTTATTTCATTATAGAAAGTATTCGTAAATATAAGAAAACTGCCTGATAGAGTAGTTAACCTTTTTAACGTCGTTTTCGATGTTATCTTGCCTAGAGAGCCTTCGTTTCCGCGTCATTTTCTTAAAATGTTACTTTTTTTTGAAAAGCGAATGATTCGAGAAGTGCTCGATTGAAAAGTGAACAACATTAAACGGAGATCATACGAATAAAACCGGGAAAAAAATAACAGAGCAACTAAGAAAAATAAGAAATACTTCATATAGCGAAATAAGAACTGAAAACTAAAAAAAGAACGTCAATATGCTAGAATGACAAAAAGTTTGGCAGTTAGGGGAAAAATTTATACAGATCAAGCTAGCTTAAGATATTTTTCGCGAGTTGTAGACATTTTTTAGTGCTTGTTAAAAACTATCTGTTGAGGGTTGATTTTTCAATATGAAAAAAAAAGTCTTTTCACAAACGGTTGAAGGTGGTTCAGAAGCCTTGCACGAAAAATAGCACTGAACGGGGCACTTCGCTACGTAATTTTAAAATTTTTGCTGTTCACTTTTCCTCTTAACAACTATTTTTCGAAAAGGCTATTAAATTGACCGGAATTTTTTTAAGCTGGCTGATGCACGCCCAGCTGAATAAAAATCAAGCTGAAGAAATTCATATTGAAAAGAGAAAATCGCGGGAAACTATCACAAAACACTGCAACTAATGAAGAAAATTAAGAGCTATGAAACCATATAATGACTATGGGTTTTAAGAATAAATTTTCATTAACCTTGGAAGACACGAAAGAATACTTTTTAAATGATAAAATCATACTGAACCTAGAAGTTCAAGGAAACTTTGAGTTTTGATCAATGTAGGGCGAAAGTTCGCTCCAATTCAAATATTACTACTCTCGAGCGTCTCTAAAATCACACGATCTCTGCCTTGTGTCTCTCCCTGCGATGAAAACTTCAATCATTTTTCAACTATAATCGTTTTTTAACTAAATTATTTTTATAGTAGAAGAACTATGAAGTTTGACAGCAAAAAAATTCAACTTTAAAATTTTTAAACCTTCGAAAATAACTGTAACTGGAGTTCCCTGATATTTTTATAAGTATACTTATAAGTAAGTATGTTTTAGTTTTAAGCGTGCTCTTCGACACGCCTGTTTAAGGTGGCCGGTCGTATTACGGTAGTTTGGATAGGTTTTTCAATAATAAAATGAAATCTTGTGTACTTTTTGTGACTTACCTTGTAACCTCGAGAAATAGTTCCTCAACAAATTGCAAAAAAGAAAGAAAATATAAAAAATTTCCTGGCTCCGAAACTGACTGCGCAATATTGACCGGCCACCGGCCACCGTGAGTACTGTCTCAAACATGCGTGTCGATAAAGTTCCATTTTTATTTGATTAAATATATGCATTTAATGCAAAAGTAGAATATAGTGACCTTAAAAAATACAAAGAATTGAGAAGATCTACAACCAGTGTTTTGAGAACAAAATAATAAAAATACACGTAGTGAAATGAAATGTTTCGCAGAAACTTCAAAAAAAAAGGAAAGGTAATGATATTGTAATTTAAAAATATAGAGAGCTAATAAATGCAAGCTACGTTTATTCTCAAACGTGTTGAGCACGGGAAGGTAGAAGGGCGCCAAGACAAGGAGCGTAGTAGTCAGGGATCATGTCGTCGCGGTCATTCATCTGGTTTTCGAGGATGTCGTCGATCTGGTGACAGCCTGACAACACCAGAAGAGTCTTCAGTCCATGATCACGACCGAATTTGACGTCAGTGTTGGTTCTGAAACTTCAAGTTGAATATCTCAAGTCGCACGGAAATTTTTTAAATTGCAACTCATTGAATTTTCTCTCTTTTAAAATTCTTTTTCGTTTTAAAAATCGAGAAAAATATCTAAAAAAAATTGTCGAACTATTTCCGAATGCAAGAAAAGCACTCACCGATCACCGACCATCATGGTCCGTTTGGGATCGATACGCCATTTGCGGCAAATGTAGTCGAATGCCGGAGAGTTTGGTTTGCCGACTGTGAGGGGATCGCGGCCGGAGGCGCATCTGACGGCAGCGACCAGAGGTCCGGCGTCTGGAATGATGACCTCAGGGTTAGGACCAGGACACGTTTCGTCCTCGTTGGTGGCCACGAAAAGACAGTCTGGATTCCTCAGGTAATTCGACGCTTTCATCAGCTTGTGGTAGTTGAAGTGCTTCTCGTAACCAACGACCACTGCGCCAACGTCGCTCGGCTTCTCCTTCAACTCGATGTCGTACATGAAGGCGCTACCGTCGGAATGGTCTTGCGGTTCTGGTCCGTGACCAAAATACTCGATGTTGAGTTCGTCCATCTCGTCGCGCATCCCTTGCGATCCAATCATGTAGACCTTCTTTCCTTTGAGGTTGGCACGATGAAGCGTGTCGGCGACGACGGCCGCAGGGTTAACCAAAGTTTCCTTGTTGAGCTTGTTATTGTAGCCGAGCTTCGAGAGCTTCTTGGCATACAAAGCGCGGGACTTGGTCGCATTGTTTGTGAGCACGATGACTTGCTTCCGATGACGAATGAGGAAGTCGATGAGTCTAGGAGACCCTGGAATCACACCTTCTCCTAACCAGAGCACTCCTGAAGGAAATTTGGTGTAACAAACTCTCAAAGCTCAAAAAAACTGACCGTCGGCGTCGAAGATGAAAGTATCAATTGCAGAAAGGACTTTGGGGAAGGTCTCTGCACAGAGCGGTACGGTGGTTCGGATCACGCCGTCGTCGTCGTCGTCGGACTGAGTCCTCATGTCAGCCTTGTAGCTGTTGAGCAGTTCTGGAGCGACTTGGAACTTCATTTCCTGCAAAATGCAGATGAGCTGAGGTTGATACAGCTAAACATGATAGAAGGGCTGATCCTTGTCGCCCTTAAATACGCGGACATTCAGATGGTTCTGAGCGTAAGGACCAGAGGGCGGAGCATCGAATGACATCCAAAACAAGGAGTGCAGCGGATAAGATATCACGGATGGAGACACTGTGCCAGCCTTCGAGACGCAGAACTCAGACGCTCACCTTTGAAAGTGTTCATGGCGCCTTCACGTGAACGCCCAATGATCTTCGGGCGGTCTTCCCTCGCGAACTGTGTCCTCTCACGTCACTATCACACGAAGCCAGCCGCGATCCCGCCGTAGAACGCTAATAATAGAACATATGTGCTATTTGGACTTATTGGACCCGTCACCAAACAAGTTTTTCCATTTGGTCTTGGGCAGCAGGAAGCAAAGATGACTTCAGCTCTGTTCAGGTTTTTGCCCATGTTTTTGGAACAAGTGAATCCGTCGCTTAGAACTGAGAAGCTTATAAAAAACTCCGATTATACAATTGAGTCGTCTAAAAAAAGTCAATTGAAAATATATCCGCTGCATATGCTCCAAAAAGCTGCGAAAATAACATTTACAAAATGGAAGGTTCCTATTGTACTTTTTCTTCCAAACTGATCATGATTTAGAAATTTTTCAAGGATTTTCGAACCGAAATGTAAAATGACCCTTCTTTAAGACCTGTCGAAGGTGTGTAAGTTTTTTCTTTTTTTGAAAAGATTCCACTATCCGGCTTATAATTCGAAAAACTTTTTTATCTGCAGTCTCTTTTCAAAATGCCGTTTTTCATGAAAAAAAAAACTTTGCGACTAAAAGTCCCCAAAATTTTCTTTTTTTTGCAGCAATTGCTTTTTTTACAACGCGTCATTGGAATAACTTTTGGAGTATTTCGAATTAACAGAAGTCAAACTTTTTAAATGTTTGATAGAGCATCGAAATTTTCTTCACGTGCTGTGTGTAGTCTTCACACAACCTTTGAACGAAAACAAATGCGATGATGTCACTGTATATAAACACTAGGAGGTACTGAGCGCTGTACAATTTTGTTCATTGACCCTCTTTTTTGGCGCCAATCAGAAATACTGATGAGATGTATTCATGAAAGTAAAACTCTCACTCGATCCGAAACAATGAAAAGAAACCAGGTTCTGCTTCTAGTTTCCGAACTGCTCAAAGTTTCTTCCGAGGAACGACTGAGCAAAGAAAGAATTGTTAAAATCGATGTACTGCAAAAATGAATTGTCAGTTATTTCTACATTTAACACTAAAGAAGCTTCGTAGGGGAGTTGCGAGAAAAAAAAACTTCATTTAACCGGATTCTGAGTAATAAGTTCGAAAAAGACACAATCAATGGGGGGAAAAAGAGCTCTGGAAAAAAAAAAACAATTCGCAAATAAACAATGAGGAAGTTACCTCCAAATGAAATCAAACAGATCACGAAAATTGCTGAAAAATGAGATTGAAGGCGATATAAATTATAATATTGAAGAATTACACGAGGAATAAAATAAAAAAATATGATATCTATTCAGTATTTAGACTTTGGTTTTTCGTCTTTCAATACAGAGCGCTCTTGTGGTTGTTCGAGAGGATCGAGGCCGATCGGGAGCAGGTCGAGCTTCGCCTTGGGTCTTCCATAGAGGGAGAGGGTCTGGCGCAACTCTTCTAGGTTCGAAATCTCCTGAAACAAACGAAGTACAGTTTTTGAATAATCCTCGATAACCGACCTTCTCACGAGCGTCGCCAGCCGCTGCCTTTACTCTCAGAATTTCGCTCACTTGCTCTTTATTCTCGTTTTTACCGTGAACAAAAACTGCGAGCTTTTTCAGTTCTGGTGACGTCTTCAGAAATTTTCTGAAAAAAAGTCGAAAAATAAGAAGAAATATCTATTTTAAAACCTGTCAAAAAGGGCCAAGAGTTCCTCTTTTTTGACATTCTTCAGGTATTCCACTTCATCTTCCCCTTTAAAAGAGAAAAAAATCAAGGTGAACAGGATTAAATTCCAAACGGCGTGAAAAATGATACTGTCGACACTCGATTTCGTTCCAGAACCGTTTGAACCTCGAAGAAAGAGTTTTCGGCTTCTCCAAAAGCCTCGTGATCATTCCGTTGACTTGCTGGTCGAACTCTTCTTGTGGCATTTCCAACAAATCCGTCTGCGATTTGAAAAATGAAAGAAATCGGCTTCGATAGGCGCAGATCACCTTCGCCTTGTTCAAAAAGGCTTCTATCCGCTCCAAAACATGGTCAGGTCCTTTGGGCCCTTGGACGATGACGCTTAGAGACAAAGTTCCCGCAGATAAACGCGTCCCCACCCACACTATGTAACCTTGAATCTTTGTTTAAAAAAAATAATGTGGAGAAAATGTTTGATACCGAGTTGTTCGTTGGTTCTCAACTGATTGAAAGCAGGCTCGCGAAGTATTTGCTCAAGAAGACTCACAATGGCGATATCTCGGGTATTCTGAAAAGTAAAAACAATTACACCTTTCCTTTGTAAGTCTGAGAGGTTGTTCTGGTTTGAAAATTCGCAAGACTTCTTTTACCTGAACTCCGACTTGATACAAGACTTCGACGCAAGAAACATCGTGAGTGCTTTGGAAATGACGATATATGTACTGATCACCTTTAATTGAGAAGTTGAGATTTCAGGAAAATATCATGAAAACCGTTCTCCAAGGCATATTCTCGACGAGGAGTGAACTCGTTCCAGAAAAGCGGCCGCGTGACTGGGGTGGCTCCTCGCAAAATTTGGCTGATTTCAGAGCCCAGCGTCAAAGCTTCCTGTATAGTAGGAAATAGAACCGCACTACTATGGCTCAAACCTCTTTGGTGGCATTTCCGTGGACCAGGAGCTCCATGTGAAAAGCCTTGAACATGTCTTGCGGGAAAGATTCGACTTCTTCTAGAGTAATGTCTGAAATCGGGGAAATATTGTACCATGCCGATTTCCAGCACCGTTGCAGACTGCGAGGAGTTGTTCTTTGCTCCAAATTTTGTCTCCAAGAAGCATTTGGGCATAATGTTGCGACAAAGAGTATGGCTGAGAGTGAGCAAAGTTCTGAAGAGCGCGACGAAGAGAATCGAAAAGGACGTTGAAACGCGTCGGATCTAGAACTCAACCCATTACAGAATTATTTCACTTTTGCGTTACCAATTTTGAAAGTAATGGCTCTTTGAATAAGGTGCTTCATAAAAAGAGATTGCTTTTCGTCATAGCCACAGACCTGGAAACATCGATTGAAGGTTTTGTTGATAGCCTTGCCGAGAAACGAACATGCAATTGACAGAAAAACGCGAAAAATAGAAAATTTTCACATTGGCTAGTTGCTTCACTTTGAAATACAAGACAAGAAGCAAAAAAGTTTGCAAAAATAATTAGCTTAGGCGCCTTTGTAAAAAATTTTTGTCTCCACTTTTTGGTGTAATAAAAAAATCGTAAAACTAGAGAGAGAACTTTCTAGCGCATTCTTGAGAAAAAAAAATCTTTCAGAAGTAGTGATTTTGTACCATTGATAACCAATTCAACAGAAATGGTAAAAAACGGAAAGATTCTAAGTTTCGAAGAATGGAACTTCTCCAATTAGTGTGAATGAAAATTAACACATTGGTGGTTGACCATAACGCTGTTGAAAACGGAAAAATTTTTACAGAGGCAAAACAACGTCAAAAACAGAAAAAGCGTTAGTACACGGAACACGGACAGAAGCAGTGAAAAAAAGAAAAGCAAAAAACAAACATGCAAGGTGAGATGTGCGTACAAGTCTTCGGTGCGAGCTCTTACCCGGATTTGAACACCGAACGGACCAGATTCAACGTGTGACCTGAGGCCTGCGAGGTCGGCATTGTAGGTCTCTTCGGTCAAAGTGTCCTGAAAGTAAAACAGAAATGAGGAATTATAAAATTTACAATTATTACTTTCCACATTAGGCTCAACTTTTTAAGAGTAAATCACAAAAAAAATTGAACGTAGTATCTTGAAGCAAACAAATAAAAAAATATTAGAAAAATTTTTTTGAAATACACAGCGTCTTAGGAGATTGTAACGATGAAACTGTTAAATCCATCAAAATGATCGCACATTGAGACACCAAAGCCAAAGACTAGAGAGCAGAGATCTGCGAGGATCATAGGCGACGATGGGAGTCGTCAGGGCGATTTTCGTCTCCGCCTTGGGCATTTTGTACTCGTCGTCCTGCTTGAACCAGATCCGGCTCCAGCCGTCCTCGTGGATCAGTTGCGGATGTTCGCTGAAAATATAATTTTCAGCAATTTTCGATCTGAATGCATCGGAAAATTCAAACCTTTTGATATCTACTCTGGGCTTCAGATCAAACTTTGTCGGAATATACTCGTTTTTTTCAGGTAGGTGCATATTTGGATGTCGAGACTTCAATGCATCGTCGAACCTTTGAATATTCTCCTGAAAAAAGACGTGCGAGGTCGACGAAAAACTCTTTTTTCTAGCTTGATCTTATATTCAATTTTGTTTTTTAATCAACATTTTTCTCGGTTTACCATCATGGACAAGAGTGTCTGGCGCATGCATTTAAACCTTTGAACCCCTTTTATTTAAAAATGAGCCTTTGCCACGTAGTGAATGTTTTTTTATAATATGATTCAAGAAAAGTTCTGATGAAAAACTGACATTACTTTCTAAATTAATCACATTCGGAACAAAAAAAGTTGTATTAATGAAGGCTATAAACTGGACAATGTATTCGTCTTTCTACAAAAAAATTTAAAAAAGGCTCTATGGTATATTTTCGAAGATCTAAAACATTTTGATTGATTGATTGATCTCCTCAACATTCAAGTTTTTACAACTTCTCAACTGTGCCTCAGACTATAAACGCCTCGATACATTTTTGATTCTTTTTTTTTTCACAAAATCACAAAATGAAATAAGTATTTGAAAAAGACAAACTTGAGAAATTTCAGCTACGCGGATTTCCGTTCCATAAACCGGTTCGAAAGTGTTTCCTTCTCTTCCCTCGAAAGTCTTTGAAACAACTCGGTAAATCATGTTTTCTGGTGTCATCAGGGAGAGAATCTCATTTATTTTATCTGTAACAAAGGATCCGATGAAAAAGGTCCATTTAAAGAGTTACCTTGATTAAATTCGGTGACCAGGTTTCCCACAGACAAGACATCCTCGAAAGGAGTGTATTGCAGTTTTGAAGAAACATTTTTTGCAGTACTCATTGGAGTGACTTTATCCTGCAATAAAAAAAAACTGAACTTGAAAACTTTAGCTATCATCATAAAAGTTTAAAAAAAGATAATTTCTTAATTAGATAAAAATTCCGTTTATAAACATACCCTCCGACTTTAATAAACTTCTTACTTTTTAATAGAAAGCATTAGTGATCTAAAAAAGGCTACGATGATTTGAAAAGAAAATAATTAAAGAAGGAAAGAGAGGCACACTTTGAAGCGGAAAGTGATGTCGGAAATGTCGCGCAGTTCTTCAAAAATCCACTGTTTGACTCCTTCCTTCCGCACCATTCCGATGTAGTTGAACACTAAAGCGACGATGTCTTCTGTGTGTTCGAGTCCCTCTAAAACAAAAAAAAAAAAATTCAAAACCGCGGTTCAGAAAATTTACACTCTCAACCAGAAAATCGTTTTAATGTTTTGATGCCTTTTTTTCAATGATGCAAACTCCATTGGAATTTCGACTGGACAGTTCAAAAAAACTTTTGAATTATTTCACGATTACTTCATCATGCAAAAACTTTTTCTCATCGAAAAGTTATCTCAAAACCTTGAATTTCAGTTAACAAAGCCATCACAGGAACTAATTGAGCAGAGAAGAGCTTTCGAGAGCTTTTCACAAGCTACTAGAGAGCTATTTTCAAAAATAGGATTGGTTTCAAAACGAAAAGTTGTTCTCAGCCTTCTCTTTCTAACCAACTGACGCCACCTTGGCTCAGGTCGACGGTGACTTCGAAAACGCCAAAGCCTCTGGCGTGAGTGTGGCCGCCGGCGTAGAGAGAGCTCACCCAGCCGCGTCTTTTCAGTTCTGAAAGAAGCGATCCTGGTCCCTCGTGTCCCAGAAGGTGAGCTTAAACATAAATCGGTATCGTTGAAATGTGGGAAATTTACAGATGTAATGAGACGGCTGAGATTTATAATCAGCGTTGTAATCCGGAATCGGGAACACAACTTGAAGCGTCCGCGTGTCTTTCACAGGTACAACCTCAAAAATATAAACTGAAAATTGATTTACATCGAGATCTATTCATGAAAAAAATAGCCCAGTTAATACGAAAAAACTTTGTTGTTTCAATGTTATCAAAATATTATTTTTAAAAACCTTTTTCTATTACCTAACTACTGAAGATTCACATAGTAAATAATGCTAAAATTTGGGCTTTTCTGTTTTTTGAGACGCACCTCAATTCGTTTACCGAGTTGTTCTGGGCCATAAGGAGATTCGTTCCAAGCAACCCTTTCCACGTTTTTGTTTTCAATAGATTCGAACTCAAGATCACCCAAATAACTTTGCAAATCGTCCAGGCTTTCCTTGCCCACGACACACAATGTCATTCTGAACACGACTGTCAAATCGGAATGGGTAAGTTTCCTGACATGTTGGAGCTGTACCACTTCTTGTGGAAACGGAGCAGAGCTTCGCGAGGTTCGATTCCTTTCGCACGCGCGTCTTCCAGAAGAGTTTTCTGAGAAAAAAAGGTTCTCAAGACATAGAGAAAGTCTAACCTTGTTTCCTGTTCCAAACTTCCCGTAGTCATGACCCTTCTTCGAAAGAGATCTGAAGTATGCTCGTCAAGATAGCCTCGCAGAATCCGAAACCTATCTACTTGAAGCATCCGCCAGCCGTCATTATTGAGGTTGTTCGAATGCTCGGAATCCACAGCACAGACCTATATCAACCGTTTATTTAATTGAAAACTTCGAAAAAAAAACTTCTCGTTCCGTGGCGCTTTCTGTGAACTGAGGCGACAGGAAGAACTGTACAAAACGATCAAGAGCCCCCTATAGGAAAAATATTTTCGATCACGTGAAAAAAAAACGAGAAAACCGGCAGCTGATCAGGCTTGACATCAAAATGATAATTCGTGTGATCCGAAGCTGTATATGCATTTGTTGAACCCGCGTTTGCAGAGATAAACTTCAATAGAATAGTGAAAAAAGCTTCCCAAAAAGTTAACTTTAGAGTATTCGTTTTCCGACGGGTATTTTTCTGTCCCTAAAAAGAGCATATGCTCACAGAAATGTGCAAGGCCCGGCAGCTCCCACGGATCCATCAGATGTCCTGAAAAATGAAAAAAAAAATCGAAAAACGGAAGAAACATGAAACAAATGATTCATAGAACAAGACTGACCAACATTGACGTCGAGAGCGGCTGCAGATTTATCCGTTTCTGGATCAGAAACCAACAAAACCTTTAAACCATTTTTCAACTCGAGCCCTCGATACTAAAATCTTTTTTTTATAAATTTTACGAAGTTCCAATTATTTCCCACCTCGCGATTATCCTGTGCGCTTTTGACTATATTATCGACGCGGCGTACAACAATATTCTTTCCAGAACTCATCGTGGAGCTCTGCTGCACGGATGAAAATTTTCGGCCCAACAAGACAAATCGATAACCAAAAGATGAACGGCTGAAATATTTGAAAAATTCGAAGTAGGAAGGAGAAGCCTCAGAGCGGAAACACAGCAACCGAATAAGTCAATTGAACAAAAAGAGACAATTCTAACCTGAAAAGTTTGGATGACCGACAGGTGGAAAATTGTCGTTGAGATTTTGCGATGTTCGCAAAAGTTCTAGATACTTGCAATTTAGAAAACAATGAAAATGACATCGCGTTAAGCGGTTTAACCCTGAAAACAACGTGAAATGTCATTGCGCCACGCATGAGAAGATTAGATAAAATGATGCAACGAAAACTTGTAGTATAGCATACAAGTAGAAACTGATGATCTTAGTTTCCGTGTCAAGAACGAAATTGTGAAAAAATATTATATACCGAATGAGAGAGAGGGAGAGGCAAGAGCGAAATCTTTTTTTTTTTTTAATTTTTGAAAAGAAAATTTTTCAATATGTACACAGTTTTCACCAAGAAAACTTTCTTTATTCATGAAAATACAAAAGAAAAAAGGGTTGACTATGCCGTCCTTTTTTTCCGAAAGAATAGAAAAAAATGAAAGTTTTATATAAAAAAACCATGTCGAATTTTTTCACTCCATCTGCGCATGCACACGACATTCATACAAATTCCACTTTTTGGATCCAATCGGCGAATGCATTTTGTTGATCATCAAATGCACTTGCCGTATTTCCCCCGTTGAAGAAAAAACAGCTTTATAGATAATAAGAATAATTAATGAGTGCAATTTATATTTTTTTGAAACTGGCAGAAAAATTATCCGTTTTGTACAGCGAAAAAGCAAGATATTAATCCAAACAACAAATCGAATAAAGTTTTTATTACGTATTCAAACATAATCGAAAGTTAATTTACAGTGAGTTGAATAGTGCAATTTTTCACGGAGATACCACATTCAAGTCGGGAAGTTTGAGTTGCTTGAAATGTACAGGCTGTTGTGGTTCGTCTTAATTTTTTTGATTTCAAACTTCAAACGACCATTCGAAATAATAAAGCAAGTTTGACGAAATTTTCATTTCTAAAACCTATGGACCCATTTGAAGGATATGAAAAGCTTTCTATTATCAAATAAAGCCGTATTTTTCTTTTTTTACTTTAATAGCTCTTCACAATTTTTCCCTTCCTTTTAAGTGGATTATTTGTAGGAAACTGAATATTTAAAAAAACTATCCGATGCGCCAAAGATAAGTTGCGTCATTACAAGTGAGCACTAAAGAGGCATTTAGGAACCTTCCAAGAGCCACCTATTTGTTATTGCTCGAAAACTTCACTTTTTTCTGTTTCAAAGTAAATTTCATAAGGTTAGTTTTTGTAACAACAATATTTAATATGGGTCTTCAAGAAAGTTGGAGCAATGGAATTTTTTTCAAGTATTTTTTTAGAAAACTTTCACTTCATATGGTATATATATTTTTCACATAGAGCCTCAAAATCAGTCTTTTGAAAGACCATATTTTACAATCTGTGCTCTCTCTTTTTTTTATCTTCATTAATGTTAAATTTTTTTGAAGGTTGAATTCGGTTTAAATACGATTAACTAAACAAACAAACTCGGATAGTAGAAGATAATAGAACAAGAAATAGCTTTAAATGGAAGAAAAAATAGAAGTTGGTATTTACTTCAACCGAAATATGAATACCAAAAATCAAAAAAAAAAACTGACCAATGTTATTCATAGGAGGAGAAGTGAAAGAGCCGTCAAGGGAGAGGCACGACGTCCGACTGCAAAATAAAGTTTTCGCAATGAGAGGAGACAACTCTTTACTTAATTGGTCGTTGAAAATCTTGTGCTCGCGGAATAATTGGTGAAGCTGAAACGAAAATAACAGAATCGAAGAATAACTCCGAACGTTGAAACCTTCATGAAAACTGTGGTAGTTTTCATTGTTATAGCCGTTATTTTCCTGCTTTTTTTGACTCATAGAAGATATAACCTGAATTATACTCGGATGGGGATGAAAATGTATCAAAAAAAAAAAACTGACCAACTTGAAAAACAAAAAAATGTAAAAGGCGAGCAGAAGTCCTACATTAACAGCGACCGCAAGAATAAACCGATAGGTAGAACTCGTTTTCAAATCTCTTCCAAAGTTAGTCACATACCTTCAGAATAGGATTGAAACAAATACATAAAACCGTTATACTTTTTCAAGTGCTGTCTCCAATTTGGGATGTTTGGTCTAAGCATGTTCTTAACAGAGTCCACCGCTTTTTCCTACAATACGAAAAATTTCTGAATATTATTGTTAAACGTTTACATCTCCAGTTAGCGCTCCCTTGATTAATTTGGCGAGTCGCGCGAAAAAATGAGCCACTTTGTTTTTGAACGACAAAAATTTCTGCAGAATTCCTTTCTCGCTTCCTGATTTGTTCTGGAAAATTTTGAAATTGATGTTCGGACTGATTGGAGAATTTTAACCTCGAAATGATTCCCTTCATCATCCTTGATCGTTGCTCTTGTAGTTCTCAACACTCTCTCTTCACCCGAGCACAACACTATCACGATCAATGATAAAAAGGTCAGCAAAGCAAACGAAATGCGCATCTGAATAAAATTTGAAAATCAAAATAAATTTTTGCAAAATAAATTTAATAAATACTTATCTTAGTTTTTAAAACGCAAAAAGGCTCTTTGAAGAAAGTTTGAAAAATTGGGGATCTTAGAAACAATCAATTTTTTGTTTCGCTTTCAGAACAGATAATGTTATATGATGAAAGTAGAGGGTACACGTATATAACAAAGCTTGTAGTGGCGGAGATCCTCCGTGGAGGAAAATAACATAAAAAGTCATAATCTAAATGCGAGTGATACAGAAATCAAGTAATAAACATTTTTCTTTTTCTATTAAACCTAGGTTATCCTACTTAAAAAGATAATTCTATTCATCTGCAAAGGAAAAAAATTAATGTTCTATATAGTTTTTCGAACTCGGGAAAAACTGAAAAACTCCTCAAAAGCTATTCTCAAAAAAAACCTTGGCAGATTTTTTAAAATCTCATTTTATTTCATTTTTTCATCTTTTTCACATCCTTTTAAAAAAACAGATGCTGGGAAGCAACTAAAAAAAGATTAGAGGATTCAAAAAGAATATGAAAAAAAGGAACTCAAAAAGCTTTTTCACATAAATTTTTGAGTTTTTTTAGAGGAACTTTTTTTCTAAAAAAATTTAGCAAAAAGTGTCCTTGAAAAAAATTATATTGCGTATAAAATGTAGACCAGATGCTTCTTTCAAACAGCGTACTGAAAAAAATCTAAAAAAATGTTAAAAAAATTTTTGAATTTTTGTGGGTTTAATGGTAGAAAGCTAATAGCATAAATAACTAAAATATCATAATATAGTAGCTATTTTTTTAAGTTATAATTATGAAAGGGATAGGGGAAATCGAGTCATATAACTTATAAAAAAAGTATAATTTCATACGCCGCAAAAAAATAATGTTCAAAGTAATTTCCGCGAAATGCAAAATGGTCTCTGACCCTCCAAAATTTAGTTATTTTTCTCTCTCTCTGACAGCTATTTTGAATTTCGCGGAATCACTTTGAACACGGCATAATCAAATTACATGCAGAAAGAATTCCAAGAAGCAAATACAGAGGCCGCATGCAATAAAGTGGAAAATATATTTCCGCCATTTACCTGAAACTCGAAAATGACTGTATAAAATCGGTCTTTTTCAGACTGAAATTGCTTCTTACATATCCGAATCTTCTTATAATTTAAATAAATACTTGTCACATCAGATAAAGTCGAAATCAATGATATCCTAGCATGTTTCATGCTTTTCCATTTTCAGGAAACTGACGAAAAATAATTTTCCACTTTGTTGCAGACGGCTTAATGCCGTGTATACAGTGATTCCGCGAAATGCAAAATATACACGTTAGAGAAAGGAAAAGATAACTAAATCTTGGAGAGTCAGAGACCATTTTGCTTTCCGCGGCGATTACTTTGACACGGCATAAGGTTGAAGGCGCACAGTTTGATCTACAAAATTTTTGTCACAAAAATTTATTATGCACCAATGATTATATGAGGTACGTACTACGTATATATATAATCCGACGTTCTCATCTTGTCTGAACAAAAATTTTCATCCACTTCTTTATTATAGCTTATTACTTATCATTATTATAGATCTTTTTGCAACAAAAAAAACCGTATTTTTCTAAAACTTTCTGAAGCATTTCAACTTCAGCTAGCAAAGATGAATCGGGAAGTCGATACAAATAGCTACCTAGTAGCAACTTTTGAAAAAGTCAATCGGCGTATGGTAATCGGTGGTCACTTGTATGCGGCCGGGTACATAGTCTGTTCAGATTTTGAATGTCAAGTCGTCGCTCAAGCTCCGCCCATAATGGTGCGATAAACCAATCAGAGAGCGAGCCATCCACAGAGCGTTTTCGAATGACGTCATTCTACTTGACATTCAGAATCTGAGCAGACTATATCTCTATGCTACCCGGGTCGAAGGTCGATGCAAGTAGCTACCTGACATTCGCGATTTCTTTCGGAATGTCTGTAATTGCTTCCCGGGTCGTTAATTTTTGTTTCAGCTTTGTCCAATAAAACCCTAGAAGGATGGTATCTTTTCTTTCCTTCATTTTTTTTTCCTTTGTCGTTCTATTGTGAGGATGTCGTGTTTCGACCTCAAATGAACACTGTGAGATTGTTTTCAACTTTTTTTAAATCAAATATTGCGTCTTTCTCGCATACACTTCGTCAAAGATTCACTGCAGAACGGCTACCACATTTTCATTCACTCTGTATACATTCTCCATCAATTTCCGTTTTCAAAAAAATTGGAAAAACTATAAAAAAATCAGAAAAGAAGTGAATATTCCCAAGAATCGTTTTCAAAGATTCAAATTTTCAAAGATTCGAGCATCCAAGATTGGTGTATGCACACTTAACGCTCCCGAATATTCGGGGAACCAAAATTCCTTCCTACCATCCCTAGAAGGTTTGGGAAGGGGTAAAAAACAACCAGCTTTTTCGTTTTTCAGCTCTGCTGAGGAGGGGACCCTAGAAGGCCTGGAATTTTATTTGATAAAATGATCAATTAGGTCTTGCTTAGCTCAGAAAAAATGTTCCCGTCTTCAAGTTTTAAGTGGTGCAGTTGACCACCGAAGCGTCGAAGCTGACGACCTCAAAATCGAGTAAAAAGGAAAAACTTCATAAACTCAGTTTTTTCTCTCGAAATTGATAGGTAACCTCCCCAAAACTTTACTGTGTACATCTCAGTGAAAAAATGCATTTTGCCTATGGAAAAATGAAATTTTTTTCGTCTTTTTCAAAATTTTCCACTTCAAGATACATTTTCCGGCCTGAGAATTTCCAGTGTCCGTTTTTCTTAATGAAACTTTCTTCATGTGCTTCCTGGATCTCGCAAAGACGGAATGGTCAAAAAATTGTTTTAAATTTCACTTGAAACTCGGAGAAAAAAGGGAGAATTCGCTCAGAATCTCGTATTTCCGGACTTTTTCGGGATCCTTTTTGATAGTTTCTTGTGGCAAAAGGTTTGAAAATTGTTTTTTGGTTGAGATTTTTAATTTTTTTTGCCGTTTTTCTCGCAGTTTTGTTTTCAGAAATGTTACAAGAAGACTGTGTTTACGGTACCTTTTTTTCTGATACTTTTTAAAACGGGACCATCTGGAAACACGCTTTAGCGGTAATTGGTAGTTCTTTTATTAAGACTGGCCTTTTAAAATATCTATTCTCAGATTTCAAACATTCGAAGGCTTAATATCAACGGGCTTGATGATTAACAAAGTATCCGGTTTTGTGTTCAAAGGGGAGTATGTATTGTTTTGCTTAACATATGGGAACATAGTGTACATGATGATGGAACAGATGACCATAGTAGTTCCAAACAAGAAGAAGAAACCAGGAGTGAAGTCAAACAGAAGCCACGATCCCACAGCTGCACCTATGATCGCCATGCTCTGAATTTTTTTTTCGTAAATTTTGTATATTTTTTTTTCAAATACAGAACCAAAAAAGGAAAGAATGAGAATTTTAGCATTGCTTCGAAAGCGTACCTGAGCATACGCTTTCAAGATGTTGTCGGCGTATTTAATGACGATGGAAATAAGCAGACCGCCCATTGAGTTCGTCAGCGTGAGGGAGGCCACGAGAACGTCCCATCCACGGAAAGCTCCATCTGTGAAATAATGTTAAAAGTCTAACCAAAAATTATTTCTTCTTTAATACTTAAAAAAAAGCTTTTGGGTAGTTTTTATCAATTGCTTTCTTGTGACGCTTTTAACGGATTGATGAACCTTGCTTTTCGAGTGTCAAAATTAGAAGTGACGTTCTCAGGAAGAAGAACAACTTTTGAACGACGATGTAGGCACAAACATGGAGACCATGCACAAAGAGAGCCGAAGCCGCGGTTCTTCTGAGAGCACACTCACACTTACACAAACAGAAAGGCCGAAAAGCTGGGTGTCAAAACCGGTGTGTCCTTCTTTGGAGTTACACATTCTGCGCCGGAAGCTACCGGACAAGAAAGACCAGAACCAAAAAAAAACCAAGAGAAAATAGCAGCTTCAATAGACAGAGTGAAATCCTATGTTCAACAAGAAACGGTTTTCGTATAAAGACAAACAAGTAAATACCAGCAGTTTAAGAATTGCTTTTCATCGTTCAAAACATGATCTGTCGTCCCATGAACTAATAAACATATACTATGCCGTGTTTAAAGTAATTTACGCGAAATGCAAAATTATCTCTGTCCTCTGAAATTGAGTTATCTTTTTCTTCCTCTAACGATTATTTTGAATTTCGCGGAATCACTTTAAACACGGAACTTATTTTTGACGCACACAAATATTTTATTGTCGAAGAAAAATTTGTGTCCTGAGTTGCACCATCGCTACCACTTTAAACAATCTGGTTTGTCTAAGCTCTCTTCTCACAATCGCGGTTCGAAAAATTTAATTTAAACTGCTGAGAATGCAAGAGGCATAGAGAGTCGGATTTTTTTTTTCCCGTATCAGTTCAGAATGTACAAGGGAAAAACAATTGTAATAATAATAGGTTTTTCCAAAAACTGTAGAAATAATAAGGTGATGTATGCGGTAATATTTATGAAAAATGTGCGAAAAATAATGTTCCAGTATTTTTCTAGACCAACACTAGAAATTGGAAAAAAAATAACTTAGCGGAAAAAGCTCACGTTCGAGAATATTATCCCAGTCGTAAAGCCACATAGAGACAAAAGCAATCGGTAAACCAATGAGGGAAAGCCGCACGTTCTGAACCCAAACTGAAGCGCGGCTCTCTTTTAGCACTTTCTCTAGGTATACTCCTGTAATTCATTCAGTTTTTGGCGAGAAATGGAACAAACCGGCGAACGCCGATGTGAAGCACATTGTGAGCACCGACAGGAATCCGACCCACGGCTTCTGGATTACTTTTTCTGAGAGCGGTGGCGGGGAATACACCAACTGCACGTCGGCGACTCCTGTCAGAAGTTTATAAGTATCGCTTTCAAGGTATTTAATTGTCTACAGTCAACGAAACATTGAAAAAAAAAATACTTTCAGCGTTTTTGTCGGGAAACTAGAAGAGTCGAGTTGAAAATTTCAAAGTTTTTTTTTATCTGTTCGACTTTATTCATCGTTGAACCAGCATCAAAAATGTAATATCACAAAATCTTATTCCAACCCTTTTTCTTTCAATTCAAGTGAACACTAAAGTCCCTAATACCACTCAAGCAATTAATTAATAGATCAGAAAACCCTAAAGACACCGGGCGCTTCACGTTTTCTAGGGTTATATTTGTTTATCCTATTCACCAAAATAACTCGAAAAAGGCCTCCAATTCCTTTAAACTCTCATTCACGTGCTTACTTCATACGACTTCTACTTTTCCGGTTAGAAATGAATAAGCCGAAGACTAGTCAGTCTGTTATAAATTCTTGGTGGATGAGATCCTCACAAAAATATTTCAAGCGCTCTGACGAACAACGTCTTCGACTCGCAGTTCTGAGGAATCTGAGATATGTAACTGTTGCCATTGTTCGAAGTATGATACTCGTAAGTAGAGCATGAACAGACTTTTTGAATGAAATATATGTGACAGAAAGTTCTGAAAGAGGGCGTTACACATGGAGAAAAATTTCGTGGCTCGTTTTCTCAAAATTTACGAAGCGTGAGGATTTACTGACCGATGACGAGAAGGAGGAGAGCCATCCACTGCATTCTCGAGAGCTTCTTGCCCAGGAAGAAGTACATGAAGATGGCGGTGGTGAAGATTTTCATTTGATACGCGATCTAAACTACACTCAAGTGACCGCATCTGTTTGCTCGCCCCATCCACAAAGCATGTTAGGAATGCAAAAAGAAACGAACGCAGAAAGTCGTGGCTTCGAGGTGGCTCAACGCCACGTAGTACAGATTGTTTTGCAGAGTGTAGATGATGGCCGGAACGCAGACCTTGAGCGTCTCCAGAGGATTGGCGATGATAGCAGAGTGCAGCTCGTTCATGAATCTCAAGCTCATCACGTTCAGAAAAGGCGACAGGCAGGTTTTGTTAAATTAGGAACTAAAGTATCGAACAGTTTTCAAACCTGGGTTTTACCTAAAGCTATCAAGTATCCCTTTCCGACTTTCGAATCCTCAAGTTTCTTAGGCTACTAATTTTTTTTGAGAAAAATTTCGAACTCATCTTTTTTAAATACTTTTTCACAGCTTCTGTCAAATACACATGGAAAGGATTTACCCACTTTAAAATTGAGCGGTTAGTATAAAGAATAATTGTAGAGCAGACGACGAGTTTGATAACTTCCATCATGAAGACGTTTACTGTGGTCAAAAAAACCTGCGACTCTTCTCGAGATCGAGAGTATCGCGCCATGAGTGGCATGCTGAACATTTGATTTCAGGTTCATCTGAAGCTTTGAAAAACCTTGCCTGCTGGACAGTGAGCAGGAGCAGCCCAAAGTACTTGTAATTGGAATCCTGCTGTGACATGTATTCTAGAAAAGAAAAAAATAAAGAAATTGAGAAGTTGAGAAGTTGAGAAGTTGAGAAAAAGAAGAAGAGGTGAGCGAGGATCGGGATGTTCGGCAGCCGCGTCGTAGATCTTATCCGAGAGTCTGGTCTTGACTGGCTGGTTTCCAGAAGCCATTCGCAATTTCAGATGGATACGGTTTGAAAAAATTTTGAGAACGCGTTCTTCGAATGCTCGCCCGTTTGTGATTAGCTGAGATTTATTATTACCGTCTTTCTTATTTCCTTGAACAAACTCTTTCGATTGAAAAAAAAGTGGTGGAGGTTGGGGTCAAAATGAGAAACGTTCAATAAATTACGAAGAGAGTATCTTTGAATATGATTGAAAAAAAAAATTTATTGTGTGTTTAGGTCATTTTCATTTTGAAAAACGTACCGCAAAAACCTGGGCATGACTTTAAAATTTTGCAGGTTTTTTTTTAATTGAGCACTAAATAGACCTAGTGAAGTTGATGGGTTCTGGAGACCAGAAAAAGTAAGAAAACTGAAGAAAACAGCGTTTAATCATTTTTAAGGATGTGTTGAAGCTTTTGATAGAGTAAAGTAGTGACCTCGAACAAAACCGACCATTTATAGTCCATTTGAATGATGAGGCCTCGAAAAACGATGGCCTTCCGAAGAAAAAATTACTGCGCTCTTAATATTGGGGTGGTAGGGGCCTGATTAGATTTTTTTGAAAGCCGAAAATTTATTTTACAAGGAAAACAGTTTAAGGTTGAAAATCGAAGTTTCTTGGGAAATATGATTTTTCAAACCTCAACAGAAAAACTTTCATTTTTTCGACTTTTTGTTTCTTGCTCATAACTTAAGTCTGGCTTCAACAAATGAGCTCTGCTTGCAAAAATAAGTTATTGCAAAGCTATTTAAAATGTGTGCAAAGTTTCAAGACATTTGAACCACATTCAGAGAAGTTATGCTCAAAAAACTATTTTGAAATACCTTTATGGCCAGTACTGTTCAAAATGAGTTAGATTTACCGGGTCATTTCAGCCTTGAACTTCGTTCTTAACGATGTTAGTTGTCGACGTTTTTTAAAAGTTATTAATAAAACACTTCTTTCAGTGCTATGAATGTTCAGCGGTTTGAGCCCCCCTAGAAAGCTGTTTGGCATGTTTTTGCGGTACGTTTTTTTTTTTCTCAAAATTTAGTGCGGATGCATGTGAGGGTTTTTTAAAATTCAAATGGCGTTAAGGGAAACGAGCTTTCTAGGGATGTTGCACCAAATCTCAAATGATACCAAAATTAGTTAATGTCTTTCTCAACTGATTTGCCGTTGAAGTGAGCTAATTGGAGCTTTTGAAGATGTGTAAATGAATTATTGTAATTGTCGGTTTATATTTGTCGACCTGCAGTCTGCATTTGTGTATGGTGGCTCCAGAACTGAAGTTGTGTTTGGCTTGGATGCATGCAGAGCCTGAGGCAGGTGTCAAGAACTGAGCAGAAGACTTCTCGCCCATTGTTCCAAAGCGTCGCATGAAAAGCCAAAAATAAAGCGACACTTGAGGGGCCCTCCGCCCGTCGAATATCCTCAAATGATCCACCTTCCGTTCGTGACGGCCCTGATACGGTTGCCGCCGTCGATCAGCCTCGCCTCGAGGACTGCGGTCACTTGTCTTTTGCTCCCCTCGGCTCCGCCTGCGGCTATTTGCCTCCTCCTTTTCAGTCGTTGTCGCGTTCCACTCGTGCTCCCTGTCCGCTGCCGAATTCTCCTTGATATTGCTCATTTTTTTTTCTCTTTTTTTCCTCTTTTTTTCAGGTTTTACTTTTTTAAAAGAAATTATGAGAAATTTCCTCTGGTCTTCTTTCACGAAAAGAAAAAGTAAGTATCTAGACATACTTTGACGATAAACTCTTCAGCGGCTTCCGTTTTTTTGTTGTTTTATTGATTGAATTGAAAGTTTTAGCTCCAGTCTTTTAGCCCTATTGAGGACATTCATTTAAGATGCACTAATTTAATTTATCACGTTTTTCTGAATTGGATACACATTGAAAAATCCAGAAAAAAAAAATCCAGAAACACGTTATCCAGAAATGGTTTCGAGTAAGATTTTATAATCCAAGCTTTATTTTGAATGAATGATGATGATTTAAGACAGGCCGTGAAAAATTGAAGCTTTTGCGTCGGCATACACCGCTTGTATACCATAACGGCATTTTCATAAAAAAAAAATCTCGAATATTTTTTCTTTTTGGTTCATAAAATTTTTTTTATCCATCCAACCATCAACCTGATGAAACAACCGTTTCCATTGTAACTAAACTTTTTGTCGTTTTCATTGAAAATGCGATTTCAGACCAAGAGTCCGAAGGGTCGCCAGAAAATGAAAAAAATAGTTCTCGCGACGATTTTTGTTGGGGTCGTTTTAGCCAATTCAGGTACGTCTTTTTTTTTTGAATTTAATGACAAAAAAATTATTTAGCTCTGAATTGAAAAAAATTGGAGAACTTTTTGTTTTGAAAAATTAAAAGTTTCCCATTCAATCCGGTCACTTTGATTCTCCTTTTCTAATAATTCAAAGCGTCCTCATTAGAAAAAAGATGGAAAGAGAAGGGAACAATCAGACATTTTTAGGTTTTATAAGCTCAAAAAGGGATCGAGCAGATTAAAAAAAAACTTATTGAGAGAAAATAAAACTGCCTCCCTTTAGAAGTTTATACTCTCATAAATTTTGATTTTAATGTGACTTAAGTTCAAAAATAGATTTTTTAGGTCTTTTTTCTTTAGTGCAGCATGATTACTAACTGTTATCGTCTATGACAACTGTATATGAAAACGATGAACCCAAATATCGTGCACACATGTGGGCTCACGGCTTCTGTTTGTTCAATTTCTTTCGGCCATCTTCGCCCTTTCTCACCACTGAAATCAACCCTCGAGTCTGCGCGCGAGTCACACCAATCCTCGTGAAACAATCACTTCTTTCCTCCTTTTTTTTTCTTTTCGCACCTTGCTTCTCTTTTCAAACGAAGAGCCGGTCACTTTGATCGGAGCAACTCAAACTTCGAAACTATTATGAATAAAAAATAATGGAAAGTAAGAAATTGTAACATGATGTTGAAAAAAGCCAGTGAGATTCGAGGAAATGAAAAAACAAGAAAAATATTGAAATGATCAAAAATAAGCTCGGAAGATTAGAAATATATAGCATGTGGTAGAACAATTATATAACGGCCGGTAAAGTTCAGAGAACTCTTGGTTGAAAATCTTGAATAAATCTTCCTCAACCTCTGAAATTTCGTAATTTGTTACAAAACGAAGTTGTTAAAGTATTTATCATTTCTAATATGCAGAGGCGATCAGCTTATCTCTGTTTTTTGGCTAAACATTAGTTTTTATTTTTTTTCTCCGAAAAAAAAATAGTAATCATATGTGGGAAACGGTTCATTGTATTTCTGCTTGTTACAAAACGAAGTTGTTATGTCGATTATAAAAGATAGAAGTTGAATGTCAGAGATATTTTCGGCTTATAACTCGCAGACTTTCCCTTAGAAAATCAGATATTCAGTGATTTATGAAGGGGTATGTCTCTGGAAGGAAAGGGGAAGATTTGAGCGTTTTTGTTGGATTCAGCTCACTAAAAATTATGACGTCTGATAAAGATGAAAAAAGGTTTTCAACCTTGGGTAACTGTAACGCACGGCCTTCTAATAGAAATCTTTATCAGCAACTGGGCTGGAATTCTTCTCAAAACTCTCAACAATCATTTTTTTAAATGAAATTGTACAATAATCTAATCTTCCGAAAAACGCAGCTCCAATCGAAAGGGCAGTTATAATTTTTATAGAAAGATAATCTTAAATCTTAACTGATTGTGAAAAAAAATTTGGTTTTAGTGTCGCGACAGGCGGCAGTGAGCAAGGCCATCGAACAGACCAAGTCGCGACAGACGGCGGCCCAAAGTCCTCAACGGGTGCCGCCACGCCAGAACGTGCGTTTGAGTGTTGATTTCAGCACAACGGTAACTTTTTGCTCTCGGTTATTCTTCACTTTGAACGGCAGTTAAGCCGAAAGTTGATTAAGCTGAAAAGCTCTTGATAGAGAGTCTATGTGAGGAATACCGGCGAGTCTGCTCGCAAATTAGTTATAGTCGCTAACATTGGGCTGGTGCAATTGCTGGAAATCTCTCATTGCTTGCACAGATAGATAGTTGTTATGGGCACTAATATCTTCGTGAATATGGACATTTTGCCAATAAAAGTGAGCAGTTGGACGTTTGAAACTTTTTTTCTATCTATGAACAAATTACCGAGAAATTAAAAAAAAGTTTACTGCTTGTCTGAATTTGTCTTAATTTCCATATGATACAATCATATCGCCGTGAGTTGAAAGCCGATTATTGAATGTGGAACTGCACAACGCGTAACAGCTTTGGAACGGTTGCTCTGAAGAATCAACCTGACTCAATCAATCCATTTTTGCTAGTCTTCGAACTATTCCAAGTGCGACCACGGAGTTTCAAGCCACGGCGAATGATGTTCACATCTAAGCTAATGTTTTGTTGACATTGTTCAAATTTTTTTTTGCTTCTTTCATAATATTTTACACTTGGTTCAATTATCATGGTGGCTTTTTTTTTTGTTGAAATATAGGTCGCTTATCGGGTTCTTGAATTTTCCTCGAAGCGGCATTTAGTAGTTTTGGCTTGCATGTGTCCGACGGATCTGCGAACCTTCAGGCGCTGTTTTTCAGTCCTCTCCAGGCAAAAATGAGGGTCTCGACGTGGACAAATTGAACCGGCTGATACGGACTCTCGACAAGACGTGGATCATGCCTCGAACCGGCGCCAAGGAACCTGTTGGCAGTAATTTCCAGGTCCTTGGAGAAAGAAGAACGGCTTGAAGATGGCTTTTACAGTACAAGAAGACGTGCGCCTCGATCTACAAGGCTCGGCACGGAGCCTGTCAACAGATTGGCTTCGGCGTGATGTGCTTCAACTACTGTCATGAGCGAGGTTATTACATTTTCCCAAGGATTGCGGAAAATACGTCGGTTGGATCCCACCCCGGGATCAACGAATTGCGGTCTACCCACCGCGAATTGCGGCCTTCCCTTCGAAAATTACGACCTATTTCAGTAAATTTTCGACTATTTTTCCGTGCGCAAAAAGCTGAGGTGGGATCCAGTTCACGTATGTTGCGAAAGAACAGGTTTTTAGCCCTTTCTACAAGCGTAAATCAGTTTTGAATCTAAAAAAAGAAGTCCTGTTTTGAAAAGTTCAAAGTAAACGTTAAGTTGAAACTCTTCTTTCTCCTCTCTTCCATTTTTTTTTCCAAAGGCTAGAGATTCGGAGCCACTTCTGTGAAATAGACTATAGCTTATTATTTTTATTTTTTTGATAGTTCATCAATGAAAAAAAGCTCCGAGTGTGCTTGCTTTGAAACACATAGAAAGAAAAAAAGTATTTTCTTTTTGAATTCGATGCAAAAAAAGATGAGAACCAGAGTTGGGTGTTGTGGCATCTTAAAGGATCCAATTTTTTTCTTTTTCTGTACTAAGAACAAAGTTTGATATTTTTCTTCATTCTGTGCGCAAATAATTGATATTTTTAGCTGATAGTTTTTTTCGAAATGCTTTTTACAAAAAAATTATATTTTTTTATCAGTCTTTAACGTTTTATAAAGGATTCCGGCTGGATTTGATGGACTCTGAAAAGGTTTTTTCGCAGGAGAAAAGTTGTCGTTCAAATGTCAAGACGCCTCGGATGCGTCCTACTGTCGGCAGTCGGGAACCTTCGAGACGTTTTTGGCCAAGTACCGCAAGGACGGCTATAAGGCCAAGGCCTACATTCATCAGGTTCCTTTTCTCTAAAAACTTCATCAAGAAATTTGCTCAGATGATCTCACGGTGCTACTCGACCGCCATTTGCAACACCCAGTCAGGAATTCTCAATTCCACGATTATCGAAGACGAGGGTGACGTCGTCGAGGCCACCACCAAGGTTCTTTATTCTTTTTCTGATCTTTAGTAAGTACTCGAAAGATTTTTAATTGTCTTTCAGAACTAATGGCTATATTTCTCCATACGCATCATCTTCTTTTTCAGTTTTTCAGTTGATCGAAACTCTTTAGTTAAACTCTTATGCTGTTAAAATACTCCCCTCTCGGAGAACACCACTTTTCTTAGCCGCTGGTTTTTTCTATGGAAAACCACGTCAATGAACATATTGATGCAGTCTTATCCATTTTTTTAAAAGTTGGGTCTGAAAAAAATTCTATTCATTAATTATCTGCAGTTAAAGGTAAATAGTTGAAAATTCAGTTGAATAAGGCAAAAAGAGTGAGAAATGGTTTTTTAAAGATTCATCTAGGGGGTGAAGCGTCATTTGCGCAATGATTTGATTTTTTTTTTAGAAAATCATTTCTCTCAAAGATAAAGTGCCATTTCGCTATTATGACCGGTCAGAATTTCAAGAAAACTAATGAGCTCTATTTGGAATCTAATTTTATCTTCCTCATTCACGTAAAAATTATTTTTGTTTCGTTTTTTTTTACTTTCTGTCATGAAAATTATTTGGTTTAATAAATTCTAATACCAGTTTCTTTTTGCACGTATTAAGTTAGCAGAACAACCGCCTGAAGCTTTTGACGCGACCGCCCGGAGGACTGAAGCTTCTGAAGTTGAAGACGACTACGACGACGATGGCGCCGGAGCCGGAGCCAGAGGAACCAGAAGACGTCGACGAGCTTCCAACGACTCCAGCTAGAAAGTCAAAGGTGCTTGGCATGGCTCTTTTGTTATCTCATGCTTGGCTATTTTCGGGTATAAATGCAAACAACTTGAAAATTTACTCAGTAGATCAAAATGTTTGTTTTTTCCCCTCTTCTCAGTTCTTAACAACAGTCTTTATTTGGACACACGCTGCTGGAACCATGGTTAGTCGCAGAAGTCTTTATTTTGCGAATCTCTTAGATTTTTCTGAAAAAAAAACAATTCTGAATTCCAGGCCGAAAAAAACAAGGTTTCGCTGAGGTCACGACCTACGCCTCCTCTTGTACCTGAAACCCCGTCCACGACAGCTAAACCTAATATTTGGGACAAGTGAGTGATTCTCTACTATTGCACACTTTATGATGTTTTTTTCGGTCAAAAAAATTTCCGTCAAAAAACAAACGCCTAGGTGGACCGAGTAAACGCAAGCTCATGCTTTTTTTTGACCGCGATAAGCATGCATTGGAAATTTAAAAAAAATTATAAGTTTTAGTTTCGTCGGTTTTCGTACTTCGAATCCACATTTTCAAGATTGTTCGAAATGTTTGTACACAATTTGTATTCGAACGGTTTTTATCAGTTCATTAATATGATTAAACACAGTGTTTAAAAAAAGTGGACAGTGCGTTGCGAAGCCACGTCTCACAAGACTAGATCGAATAGTCCTACGGGAAAGGAAAATCCTCGGACGACATTGACGTATTCCCGTCATTGGAGAGATCAGACAACAGTACGATATAGACTCGCATAAAACACAAAACGTCATATTTAGGTTTTTAAAAGATTCATAAGTTAATTAGAAGATAGTGGATGGAGTACCGAACATGATGTAGAACTTCTAGAAAAAGCACTCGAGTTCAAAGATTTTTTTTGGCTTATATGAGCTTTGACACTGCGAATCTGTATGTGACCTCCAATTTTTTTTTGATTAAGAACTTTTAGTCTGCGCAAATACTCGCTCTCCGAACAGGCGATTTGAAGATGAAAAAGTAGGTGTTGTTATCAGAAGCGGCGGCGCGCGAGCGGGGGTCCCTATGAGCACTCGAGTGCTTCGTGTACCTTTCGAGATGCACGAAGGTCAGCAGAACATTTCGAATTACGCAACAGCAAACAATGGGCTCCTTCTTCAAGCACCGAACACACGCTCACGCAAATATACAGAAACACCCGCGTCTATGCTTGCTCCAGTTCATTTCGCAGAGCATGAAAAAAAAATGGACGTGAGGGCTGACTCGTAAAAAACTTTTCTGATTTTTTCGTGTAAGTCCAATCTGCAACAACCTCATCTTGAAAGTTCAATTTAACAAAAGAGAATGAGAAACACGACTAACCAGAAGAAAGATCACAATATTACATAAGGGTTTTTAACTGCTTTTGCCGGGTTTTCTTTTGCGAACTCAAAGTTAAAAAGGCAGTTTGAGGATAATGAATGATGGAAAAGTTGAAGGTTCACGGTGGGACAAAAAGCGCGACCTACTCCTAAGTACATCCCCTTCTGGCAACGTCTTCTGTCGACGACGACTGGCGCCCCCAAAGAAGATGATATCGACGTAGACAGGGAGACATCTACCGAGATCACGGAGGAGGTCCTATCCATAAAATATTTCCCCTTGATCCTTTTTTTCTCAGATTCTCATCGCCACAACGCCAGCAGAAAAAGTAGATGAAGTGAAAGAAGAGTCAGAGGAAGAACCTGAAAAAGAAGATAAAACGGAGCAGTCCACACAGGCTACCACAAAGGTCACGCCTCCTATTGAAGACGTCGTCGTCACGTTGGTTGTCTTATTATTTCTCACTCTCAATGGGGCTGTTCAGAAAGCAGCCTGTGCAGAAAAACAACCGAGAAAAGCCAAAGGAGAAGCACACGTTCCGACCGCTGCCAGTGACGACGCCACCTCCGCCAGGACCTGAGCTTTCGCATCAGAAGCCCAACGACAATGCCGTGGATGGAGGTTTGTTGACTTCAATTTCCCAGCAGACATGCTACAAAAGTTTTGCTTGCTTTTCATTTCAATTAGGAAGGATTTAGTGTCGGGTCCTGGGTTCTGGAATCGGTTCCAGCCAAATCGCTGGTTTCAGTCGATCCACTACGTCACCAACACCGGCAAGTAATGCCGTGACTGCCTTTGAATTTTTCTTCCAGCCGGGTTCTATTTCACACAAATTATTTGAAAGTTAATTTAAACATACTAGTCAACGGCTGAAGTAGTCGCTCCCAAAGAACACAGTATGCCATATTGGTCTTTCTTACTTTACCGTTTGCCAATACGTCTTGTATTCTTCTCAATTTTCGCACGGGAGACCTCGTGAACACGTCTTTCATTAATTTATTCTCCGTTCCACGCCTTTCTGTCCTGGTCGAATAAATCCGTTGTTTTGTCATTTTGTACAAAGTCGTGTCCAAAAGATGGGTTTGTCGCTGAGCATCCTCACTGAGGCGACGTCTCACTATGATCAGGTTTCCTCCAAAAGATGGATTTCCTTCTTTCTAAGGAGTCACGAAGCTTTCGATTGATAAAGGAACTGTCTGAGCTGAATGACTTCCTGATTCAAAAGCCGAGTGGTTGAGGAAAAGCACGCGCCGGTGTCGTACTGCAAGATGAACCAGTTCGCCTACCTGGACGTCGGCTTCGACCGTGGCGTTCCTCTTGGTCGCGTCGTCGTCGAACTTGACGAAAATCTCGGATTCTCTCTCGTCAAGATATTTCTGCAGTTGGCACGTGGAGATTACGTTCGTCCGTCAACTGGTTAAATCACTATTTCTGTTTAAAAACTCTTCTACTCAGCTTTAGGCCAAAGAATCGGTTTCAAAAATTCACCATTGCACTTTATTTCTCTCAACGGCATCATCATGTGCGGAGATGTGCAGGTTGTCATATTTTTAGGTTTTTTGAACATTTTCATTAGTTTGAAAATGGATGCGGCGGCTTTGCGCCTGTTGACGAAGGTGTCTGGATCGAGAAGAGAACAAATAAAAGCAAAAAGACGTGAGATTTTCACTTTCGCTCCATCTCCAAAATAAGAAATGAAGGAAAGGAGCAGTGGTGATGCTTCCGCTCGACACGAATCCCCACGCTTTCACTTCAATTTTCTACATTTGCACTGATATCGCGCTGTTGGAAACAGTTGAAGACGGAGTCGTTATCGGACACGTTATTGAAGGTTGACCTTAACAGCGGAACTGACTCTTTCGACGTCTTCAGGAATGGATATTCTGACCGACGTTGTTGAAGAGTACGGCTCGCGTTCTGGAACTCCCAAAAAACGACTCATAATTCAGGACAGCGGCCACATTTAATCCCCCTTTCACAGTAATTCCTCGCACATTATAGAAAAAAAAGTTTATAGTTTGCAAGTTTTGAGAAAACATTTTACTTTCTTTTTAAGAAGAAAAAGGAGAAAAAAAAATCTTCGCATAGAGGATGTTGATTCTAAGATGGAAGAGGCGCTTGTTTTTGATGTCCGTAACGGAAGGTTTTTCCCTTGTTCTCGCATCTGAAACCCTTAGTTTCGCAGAAAAATGAGAGCTCTCACATGTGCTGAACGCCGTCGGTAGTGACTGTGGTGTTGACGGCGATCTCGAGGTCTCCACTCTGGAATCGGCTCGTATTCAGAACAGTTCATGGAAAACCTTGCAAGCGATCACGTCATTGTATCCGTATTCGGAGCAACGTCGAACAAACGCCTTCTCGTGCCAAATATCACCTTGAAATAGGCAATTCCCAAAAACTTCTGTCCAACTTCACCGCTTTTCTTGATCGACCCGTCTTCTGCCACACAATCTGCTCCCATCTTGGGTCTCAGAATAACTTTTCCATTTTCTGATGCGCACTCCATCGTGATTCCGTCCAACTGAAAAAAAGAGGAAGCTATAAGGCTCAAAAAAAAGCTCAAAACTCTTTTTGATTCTCCGACGCTGATTTCAGTATTGTTCCAAGCCATGCAAGCGACGGCTGAGGTCTTACCGTGAGGCTCACATCGCATTTTGAAGGTACCATCCGTCCATTCTTCTCCTGTAGTCCAAAAATTTTCTCGGAAGGCGATTAAATTTTGTTTTTTGAAAGTAGGACTACCCATACGCTTATGAACTACGTTCAGAAACAATGAAACTTAAGGCTTTTCAAAATTAAAATCATAACAATCGTCTTTGGCGGACTATAAGTCCCAAACTTGTATTTAACTAAGTGTTAAGCATGATCCTTCGTCTCTTTCTTCTGCACGTAGTCTCTCCAGTTGCGTCTTGACGAGCTCTGATTGTAGCGGATGTTGTGCTAGATCCCAGAGACCGTGCTCTACGCGGAAGACTCAGAATGAGAGCGACCACATGAGTCAAGATTTTAAACGGAAATGTGTTTCATTTTTTTTTAACCGAAACAGACAAACGTGATCCTATATCACAGTTTAGTAGGTTATCTGTCTGTTCTAAGGCCTCACCGGTTTTGTACTTTCGAAGACAAAGAGCATTTTTGACTGGGCCTGAGCGCAAGGTGACGTTTCCCTTGGTACATTCGAAAGCGGTGTCTCCGATTTCGACTGTTTCTCCGATAGCAATCTCAAGAAAACTCTGAGAAGAACATTGGCTAGACCAACTTCTTTTCCAGAGGGCGTCTTGCACCCGACGATTATTGCACCCATTGTCCTGTTTGGCGTCAGCTCGCACTTGTATTTGAAGACGTCTTGATCGAACTAAAGCATCATTCAAATCCATAATCATGCCTTCGTTATATACCCAGTAGCTTTGATTATCGTACTTGATTCCGGCGTGCTCGCACCACGTTCTCTAAAAAGTTTGGCGTACGGAAAATAAAGATTGCATTTATCTGTAGTACTGAAGCCTCTTGAAATATATTGAGAGCAAAAAATTAAAATTTTCTAACCGGTCTTTGCATTATATTATCTCACCGACCGAAAATAGTAAAAGTAAAAAGTAAACAAATGGAAGCGTAGCTAAAGAGTCGAAAATGCGAAGAAAAACCAGACTTCCGCAAGTCCTGGCTGATAAGGAGGTCACAGATTTTTTTAATCACATTGTTGGCGCGTAGTACAAGAACAGTTTCCAAATTTTTTATCTCACATTGAAACTCACAATTCCTTTAATTGATTTTCATAAAGTAGTCTTTCTGAAAAAGATGAATCGCCTAGACTAATTTTGTTCAAAAACTGTGCTTTCTCTCAAAAAAATATTGGGAGAAACTGAATTGAGGTAAAAACTAGTTGATATGTCATTCCTTGTTGGTGAAAACACGGAGGGCGAACGAGCTTTCGTTTTTGTAGCAGCTGAAACTCAAAGATGAGTTAATCCGAAGCATTTATGCAATTATTACCTGAAGGTCTTGCCGTTGACAGTGACGTTCTTTCCGACAGGAATCTCTTCCTCGACCGAGTCATCCTGAAACGCCGACTTCGAGAGGAAAAGAAAATGTGACTGACTCTGCAGGCGACGATTCGCGTGACTCCATAGTCGCTACACTTTTTGACAAAACTCTTATCGTTCCATTTTTCTCCTAAAAATAGTGTGAAAAATCTTATAGTCGTACTCTGCAAACAAGAGACTTACCAAACTTTTTATTAACTCCTTCGGAAGTCTTGCAGACAACGCGGCTGCTGTCGCTTTTCGACTTCATCGAGACGACCCCATTGTCGTCCATAGTGCAAGAGATATCGTACATGTCCATCTGCAATATCTCTGTCTTCAAGCTGCTGAGTAGTCGCTACTAGCTTTAAATTTGCAATCGGCTCGGGCATCCGCCCCGATTCCAGATGTAGCCTTTTTTCTTTTAGAAATGCAACAAAGCTCTGTATGCTTATATACCCAAGAAGAACCTGAGAAGAATCACTCGCTTCGAGAGATTTTTTTAGTTTCTTTTAAATAGTTTAATTTAAAAAGTAATGAACCTGTCAAGCTTTGGAAATTTTTGGGTGCGAAAAAAAGTGATGGAAATTAGTTTTTTTCTTTTTTTAAAATCGTACTAAACAATTGGGTTTCATCTCAGTTTAAATAAAAGTTGACAAAATTGTCTCTTGTGAAAAAAATTATCATTGATCTGATAATTAGTCAGTGAAGCGAAACTTGATTTGTTCTTTCAACCTTCAAAGTCTCTCCGAGTGGAATTTCCGAGTTTTCAGCTGTGATGCACGCCTCGAGCTTGATGACTCCTCCTTCCTGGCATTTGTACCTGAAGAAGCCTTCGCGCCACGTTGTTCCTGCAGATCAAAACATATATTCCTCAGTCAGACTTATTCCTACCGTATTTGTGGTTCTTGCAATCGGCTTTGGCCGCTTTCGAGTGTTTAAGATTGACCTGTTGGTTGTTGCCGCTCACGCACTCGAACATGTCCTGTCCGTCGTCTTTTTTGTCGTTCACATTGATGTGGAGGTCTTCGCAGCCCTTCTGGTCCTTACAGTGGCGCATCTTGGCCGGAACCACGCAGCTGATGACCTCGGTTCTCCAGGAGCCATTCTCTGACGTCACGCACTTCATTTTGAACGCTTCTTGTGCCACCTGCACACATCTACTTAATCCAGGATTTACCGGGTAGGTACATAACATTTGCTGTTGCGACCGGGTCGACTGGCAATGCTTCACTGATAGTTTTTTTCGGCGTTAGCCAATAAGATCTTGAAACAAAAACATTGGTGCTGAATAAAAGTTCTAAGATCTCAACGCTTCAGTCTATTGTGAAACTACGCTTTTTAACTATCTGAAATTCAAATTGCATCCCTGAATTCCAGAGTACTGTCTCAAACATTTTTTGGTCAAAAATGCTGATAAAATATCAATGTGAGGAGAAAAAACGCACCCAGGTGCTCTGGTTCTTGTAATCTTGGTTGTCGTAGGTGCATCGTGTGGGGTCCTTGTCTTCTGAAGGCACCGGCACGGCAAAGACGGCAACGACGACGCCGAGAAACAAGAGCAGTTTGGTTGGGGAGCCGATCATGGTGGTTGAACGGACAATTGCTGCTTACTCTCAACAAAAGCTCCGCCAAAGCGTCGTCATCCATCATGCCGCCTGTTTATTCTGCTTTTTGCCAACAAGTCGAGTGCATCCATCAAACACGTTGTAGGAATTTTCGCGTTGAGCTTTGAAAAACGCTCGGGTTAGGCTCTGATTTGATGCTCTTTGGTGAAGTTCTGATCGATCACAACAACAGCAGTTGTTCCTCAGAAACAGAAAATATAAAACATGAAAAAGAAAAAGAAAAAGAAAAAGAAAAAAAAAAGAAAAAAACTTTATTGCATGTTTTTCTGTTGATGAAAAATATGTACAACAGCAGGCGTGGGGATCGGGAAAATAACGAAAGGCTTCAGTTGGGGACAAAGGCGAACTGATCGCGCAGTACCCATTCTTTGATGATCTGGAAGTCGATTTTCAGCCGTTTTTCGCACGTCTCCAATTCGTCGTTGTTCTGTTGCATGCCTTCAATTATTTGCTTAGATATAAGATTTGTAATGGACTAAACAATGAGAAAATTTTTAAAACTCAAAATTTTTGATCCAAGACGAACTAAAGCATCTCAGACTCTCTGAAAGCTCGCGCGTGCCTCCTGCTGCAGCGGTCTCTCCTTTTTTGAAGTTTTTTTTTCAAATTCACCGAATTTTACAAGCTTTCAAAACTTTCACTTGAAAACTTTCTTATTATTTTGTTCGAAAGTGCTGAAAACATTTTCAATAAGTGAGCACGTTTCTTTTTCCTAGAAGATGAAGCGTCCCTAACACAACTTCATATTGATAAACTTGGAGTCTTCAGGTTTTAAATTGAGCACTGAATGTTTTGAAATAGAAATTTCGAGACGAGTGAGTTGAAATTGTTTTCGTGAACTGTTATTAAAAAAGAGATTCAGAACTTCTAATAAACTCACTCAAAAAGGCTTTCCTGCTAGGGTTTTTTAATGTTGAAAGATTAGACACGGTCTGAACTAAAACTTAAAAGGGATCTTTGCTGCGATAAATATGAGAACCTCGAGCTACCTCGAACAATCTCCCAACCAATCAATTGAAACTCACAAAAACTCCACGTCGTTTCAATTCCTTGATTGGCGTAGTTGAAACATTCGATTTCTCTTTGATCGCAATCGTTCCTGTTGAATTTGGTCTCGCATTTTTTCTTGTATGTCGCACATAGTTCTTTCTGAAGTAGTTTATTTGTTTTTTCTCTATAAAATCAGCAATTCAAAAATTGAATAGAAAAATTATGCAGAGAAAAATCACTTACGAGTGGAAGTTTGGTATGTGTGGGCAAAGCTTCTACAAACATCACCGTTGCGAAGAAGAGAATGGAGTAGAAAACGAAACTTTGCATATTTTCTGAAAGAAGAATATGTGTGAATAAGAAGACATTAAAATGAAATAGAAGATGCCGAGATAAAATGGGAATGAAGACGAGTTTTGGAGAAATAAAAATGAATACAGACTTTGAATAGGCGTTTTAACGAATTCAGGCAACTCGACGACTGATGATGTTTACGTGGGCCTTACAAACAAAAATATAGGAATTTAAATCGTGCCACTCGCCTTTTAACTATTTTTTTGCGCTCGTCAATTCCTGTTTAACTTCTTTTTTGATCATCAAAATAATTTTTTCAACACATCAAAATTGATATCAAGTTGACTTTTTTATCATTGTGAAAGAGAAAAATCCCTAGTTGAGCGCTTGACAGCGAAAGGCGAAAGTGAAGTGAAACGTGAAATTTCGTGGGAAGACGTTTTCCCTTTGGGCCACATCCAGACGCAGAAAAGATCTCGTTTTGGCGTTTTTTTCACCATGCGATATACTTTAGTTCAAACCTGACTAAGTAAAATCGAAAACGAACTAAAAAGACATTTTTGTAAATAAACTTCAAAAAGTTTTTTTCTTGAAAAAAATGGATTTTTTTCCGAATGAGTCGAATACGAACTCTAATTTCATTGTTAAATATGAATTGAATAAAATAAATCCGTTATACTATCTGCACCCTTGCTAGAAATAAAAAAATCTATCCAAGCTCAGAAATAATATTAAAAAAACATTTTCGCACACTGAAAACTTCTGATTTTTAAACACTCCCTTTGTCCTCATTAGCAATCATCGAAGCGTAAGATATAGGTGGAAAACGGTGAAGATGGTCTGACAGTTTTTTAGTTGCGTCTAGCGATGAATTCTAAGCGTTTGAAACGATTTTTTGACCCTCAAGTATAATTGGAAGATCAATTGAGAGCGCAGTAAAAGTTCAACTTGATAAACTTTAGAAAAAAATTGGAGAGACGTCAAGATTCGGAAGCTCTTCAACTGCAAAATGAACTTTCTGCGTAGCAGTGTTGGCAGTATTAAAACTAATGAATATGTTATAATTTTTCGGTTAACGTGACCTCGTTGTGACAGAAAGTTTTTTGGAAGTTTCGCTGCTGTTTTTTTTTTTTGAAAACTAATGAGGAGAATCCGTTAGGAGAAGGGGCGGCGTAGCTCAGCTGGTAAAGACTCATTTCTAGCGTCCGCGAGGTCGTAGGTTCGAGTTCTGTGAGCGAAAAATTCAACGAAGGATGTTTTCATCAAAAGGTAAAGTTTTCTCAGTATAACTAAAATACAAATTAAAATGCATTTCTCTTGCCCCAAAAAGAATAAATTTACCCTTTTTTTTGCACAGCCCTTTTTTAAACACCCAAATACAAAAAATGAAAAAAAAAATCGAAACTGTTTTATTTTCGTATAAATAATTGAAAGTTGAGGTGTATAAGAGAAGATTATTGCAGTCGTCGTGCGGCGCGGAAAAGCTCTTCATCCGAAGCGAAATCGGCACGAGCTGAGGCGAACTCACAACGGATTGTGAAAGCGATATCAGATGTTCGGCACCTTGAAATCCAAGGGTTTGAGGAGAAGTTCTTAGAGAAAACGAACTTTCCACTGCGCCACATGTAGAAGTTTTCCTCGCGACGCTGCAGGCGATACGTGATGTGAGTGTAGCAACTTTTGTGTTGCTGAGGGTAGCGAGTGATTCTTGAGGAAAATTACTATAACATGAGAAACTATTGAAAAGTACCTATAGGCCGTGTCAGCTCCGGGGCACAGAATGTCGCAGTAGTTGCGTACTTCTCCGTCTGTAGTTTCCTGCAACGGAGACGGTTTTTAGATTGAAATTTCTGTTCTTCAGCTTCAAAACCCTGCTACATTCTGAGCTGGTCAAGGAGCAACTGAATGGACTACGCGCAGAAGAGAGAGAGGTTAATGGTGTAAGATCTTGCTTTCAGTTCTTTCGACTACACGTTTGGACATCAAGTTTGCCAAAGAGGGTTGTTCGTTATAGCTTTAAAAGTTCTTGTTGACCGCCCATATGTGACTAAAACAAAAAAAAAGTTGTTCGAAAAGCCAGAGCTACCTCAAAACACGTGTTGAAGGGAACAGTCCTCGGCTGCTCGTCGTTCTCGTGCTCCTTGAGCTGCAACTCGCACGTTGAGGCGTGCTTTCCGTCGTCGCCTTCTTTCGTTTTGCACACCAGCTCGCGCCATTCTGGGATAAAGATTTTGTCATTTATCGAACCAGCGTCGATAGAAATAATGTTTCCCAGTCTTAAGCATTTCAAACAGTTCGCATAATTTGTTTTTCTCTCTGGGAACTTCATCAGAACTTTAAACACTTTCTTACTGACTGGCGCCTAAGTGATAGTCATTTTAGAAATAATACTCACGCCAGTGAACGGACTCGGCGTAGACGAGAGAAAAAACGGAGAGGAAGATAAAGAAAGGAAGTCTGTGCATGGCTAAACGGAGTGGGTCATCAGCCCTTTTATGGACAGCTTATCGTATGAACAAATCGATCGCATAGTTAGATGGGGACAGACCTCTCAGTGATCCACTTACACCGTTTGCGCTGAAACGGAAAAGACCTTATTAGAAATAGTTGCAAAACAACTTGAGTACATAAAAGATCACAGTTTATCCCAAAACTTCAATGTTGGATAATATGTCCAAGGAAAAAGGAGCTGAAACGTATAACTAATGACTCTTTTTGTCATCTTTCTCCAAACTATGGGAAACTTTAATCATAGGGACAGCAACTATAATGAAGGTGTTTTGCCGGCAGAAAAGATGCAAATGTAGGAATATCAGTGGGAGCATGGGCGAACTCGACAGGATCGCCGTCGTAGTGCTCAGCATTTCCCTCTTCAGCTTCCCTCTGTACGTCGCCATCCTCGTTATCATCGCTCGCTATCGAAAATCCTTCTTCTCTGTTTTCTACGGTCTCATCCTAAACCAGGTTGTCCATCATTGCTCCTTTTTGTTCGAATGCTATTTTCTAGGGACTGTATGACTTGTCATCGATGTTCAATTATTTCGTTTTCTTCGCTTTCCGAGGAACTGACCCCTATGCTGATTTTTTCTGGAACTTCCGAACGGGGTTTATTCCGCGTGAGTTGTTTCGGACTTTTGATAATATTTCAGTTCAACTTTTCAGTTTGGTTATACGCTTGCGTTTACTTTTTCCTTTATCTTCGAGTTTTTGGAATCCTGACGATCACTTTAAACAGGTTTTTCGCATGTGTTCTGCCCTTCTCCAAAGTGGACAGGGTAGGTTGAAATGCAGAATTTGCGCCTAGCAACTGCTTCAGATGTTTCGAAATACTTCCCGCTGGGCCTTCCTGACAGCGAACGTCATTCTGGCCTTCTCGGTCTCTCTTCCAACTCTAGATCACACAGCTCAGATTGATGACAAGGCGACGATGAGCCCCAAACAAAACTCGCTCAACTTGGCGGTCAGACGGAGATTCTTTTTCTTTGATTTTTCTGTTCATTTGCAGAGAAACACTCTAATGGCCGCCTCTATAATCATTCTCATTGGAGCTGTGTGCTTTGTTTCCTACTGCGCCATCATTTACCGCATATCGTTTACGCAGAAGCTGCGGTATCATGTCCAACTGTTCTTTTCATCGAAAGAGTTACCAGGAGACAGAAATCGGATAGAGCAGAAAAGAACGCGGCAGTCCAACTCGGCATGATCCTTGCTGCCTTTTCTCTAATTACGGCCCACTACACTATAATTTTTACGTGCAGCTTGACACAGGTTTGTTTTCTCAGTGCATTTCTGGGAAAATAGTTAATTTAGACGGCTTCACCTCTGCTGGAGACGTTGAGGTCAGCGTATCCGGTCTGGAGCGCGATTCTCTCATACATGCCGGCGTGGACGCTGCTCATTATCAATAGGGACATCCGCCAGAGACTTTTAGGCCTGCCAGACCACGTCACCGCCGCTACGTCGGTCGTCCAGCCGTCCGTCCGGCCCTGAACTCCCACGACTATGTTGACTTTTCCGCATGTAAGAGACCATCTAGAGCATCTCATCCGCACTTGAGCAAACAAAACACCTGAATTTACTCAGTTATCCAACTAAACTGCATTCTCAAAATAAGAAAGAGCTTTACATGAAGCTCTCTGTACCGGTAAACGGTTTTATACAGTTTATTGACGACAACGAGAGCCCAGAAAAAGAGTGGAGTGCCAACAATGATCTGAATAATCGGTCTCCGTCGGAAGTGTTTCCGGCCTGATCGTGGCGTGTTTGCCGGCGGCGCACCCCTTGGATGGTCTTTAAAGCGCGACGGATCAGCGAGAAAAGGCACATTCGGCTGATAGCGTGGTCCTGCATCAACATGAGCAAGCTCTTCTTCTTCGTGGTTGTGCTTGTGGCGGCCGTCGTCGGCAAGGACCTCAGCAGGTCCAAGAGGCAACTTTCTGTCTACTACATGTGCGGCAACGGCGGCTCTTCCTACGTCTCTCAGTATCGTTAGTGCCTTTTTTTCATTATAAAAAAAAGAAAAAAATTTTTAATAAAAAAATTTATTTTTATTCGTCAATAGAAAGAAGCAAGAATGTTAATAGGATTGATAGGATGTGCAAGTTCGGAATGAAAAAAATAGAACCCGATTAATCTCAAAATGAACTTTCATTTTTGAGTCTGCGGAGAAATATACGCAAAGCGGATATGAACTTTTGAACAACTTTCTTTTATTGAGTTTCATAGGTTTTAAGAGCCTGAAATGAAACCTCGCAACTGATCAGAAACCCCTTACAACGTTTCAGCTTGTGCTGTGAACAACAACTGCGGCAACGGCTGTAACTACAACAATGTTGCTCTTCCGAACTCCTTCTACAGCCCTTATTCGAACTGCAACAACGGCTGTTCCAACCTCAACTGCAACCAGTACAGTGGGCAGTACATCAATGGGTCAGAACTCAGAAAAGAGCATAGTTCGATTGAAAAAAACAAATTCCAGACAGTATATCGCCTACGCAACGGGCTCCAACTTGTATTCGCCTTGCGCCAGTTCTTGCTGTCAGTCATTCAATCCGACCAACAGCGTCAACAACGGCTACGTCGTCGGCGGCATCGGTCTGAACACCAACGACGGCATCTACAATCCTTACAACAACGTCTTCGGCAATAACGGTCTTCCAATCAACAACAATGGGATTTCTACCGGCTTTTTGGTATTTTCCACACAGATTATATTCATAAATCAGTTTCAGCGGCGGTTCTCTGACTTCACCGGCTCTCTGACTGCAAATGGAAGTCGGTAATTTCCCTGACTAACACTTTTTTTTTGTTAATATTTACTAATAAACTTTTTCTCTAGAGTTTTGTGAACTAGATAACTTTGGGAATTTGTCTTAATTAATCGAAAACAACATTTTAAAACCGTGAACGGAAAGAAATGTGGACGGTGGAGAGCCTCAGGCCTAAACTAGATTTAATTAAATCACGATTGAAAGAACATTGAGTTTCTTATTCTCCGATCCTCGATTAACATACTTGTTTTGTCATATATAATTTTTATTTAAACTTTTCTCCTCCTTCTTCTTCTATAATTTTCAGGGCATATTTTGCACTGACGATCGTACTTCGGAATGAGACTGTGATCACAGTCTTTTTTAAACACTGAGTTCGAAAGTCAATCTCAGCCTGTTTCGCTTTTCTTTGAATTATATAGTCTGTTCAGATTTTGAATGTCAATGCGATAAACCAATCACAGAGTGGGCCATCCACGAAGCTTATCAAGTGACGTTAGTGGACTTGAAATCCAAAATCTCAACAGATTATAGTTTCTGTTCGAAAGCGATAGCAGAAGAAGAAAAAACAAAAGATCACAACCTCAAGAAAATCCGAAATCAGCTTCAAGGAACTGATTCCGGCCCCATTTAGAAGTCTCTCTGTGGATTCAGAAAATGCTCTTCATCGAAGTTTTCTGCCAACCAAAAACTTTTGTGAAATTACGTTATTATTAAGAACACGAATATGTCACGGATTTTTGGAAAACTCTGATGGAACCAATTGGAAACTGAGTTGCAGTGCTTCTTTGCGGAGGATCGGAGCCGGCAGGAGGTCGATGTCCCAACGGATTCTGCCCTTATGGACACACTTGCGTGAGCGGAAACGTCTGTTGTCGTTGCGCCGTTGGAGCAAGCGCTGGTGAGGGACCACTTAAGAGCTCTGAGGACGGATCCTTGCAGGGACCTGCTCGACGGACTCCAACTGCTCGGCTGGCTACAGCTGCGGTCCCGCGGGCTTCTGCTGCGCGTCGCTGGTCAGCAGGACCACTGAACTCGTTTCTTGTGTCGACGGCCTTTGCATTGACGGCTACGAGTGTGGCCTCGGAAATCTCTGTTACCCAGCCAAAAACTTCAAAAAGTAATGAACTTCTCTTGTTAAAGTTGTTTTTATTTGCCAATGTCTAATTAATTAAATTAATAATTGTTGAATCTTTGGGTTTTTTTGTATGAGGCACCAAGATAAACATATCTGGTTTTACGTTTCTTTCAGTAACTAGAAATGACGAAGAAAATCAAACAAGAGCAAAGATTTTTTTTTTGTTGACTGAGGACACCGCCTTGAAAATTTCTACACTCTTGGTGAGAGTAGATGACTAAAATGAAGAATTCTATAGCCAACACCAAGATTGGCTTCAGAAGTTCTTTTTCGATTTGAGAAAAAAGCGGTTGGGAAAAAAAAAGAGAAAAACGGATTGAGTTTCGTTGAAACCGCTACTCGAGTGAACTCTGGATGGTCTCGTAGTACAAATATTGGGAGTTATTCGTGTCCTTGAGACTGTTGACACGTTTGCCAACACATTTAAAAGCAGATAGTTGGGTCGCCCTCGTAATCATCATGACTTCCGTTACTTCCCTGTTTCTCGCTGTCGTTCTGGTTGGAGCTGGAGCATCAGTAGATGAAATAACGAATATTTCTCGTGAGAAACGAACTGTAACCTACTACTACTTGTGCGGAACTTATCCCAACCAACGACTTCAAACTCAACGTATGACTTTTTTTTTTCCTTCTGCCTTAACTTTCACGAATTTCGAAGAATTTTCATCATTGATATTTCAGCTTGTAACAGTTGCAACAACTGTGGCGGCGGGAACGTGTGTCAGGTCGGCTGCACGTCTTCTAACTTTTGTATGTCGAGAAACCAGCAATGGCGCTGCATCGACGGCTGCTGCAAGGTATCCTCATCTTTTCAAACATGAATTGGAGCAACGGTGCCAACACCTTCGTGGAAACCGGACTCATCGTTAAAATCATTCAGAAAATCAACATAAAATGGAGAACTCTGAAATTTAAACTTGAATTAACATTTGTATGAGGATTATAGTTAAAACTATCGAGTGGTGGAAGGACTAACGAACAAAAATTTTTAGACCCCGAGCTACCAACCGACGCTCCCACCCCACACGACGACAAGAGGGCCTGGTTGGTTTCCAATACCCTTTTCAGCTTTACAAAAGTCTTGTCCAGCTCCCGTTTGTGGCGGGCGTGAGGTTTCTGGCGGCTACTGTGGAAGCAGGAGCACCTGTGCCGCCGGATATCTCTGTACCAGCTCCAACATTTGCTGTCGATGTGCTTACGGGACTAGTGTTGGTTCGTTTTATGGTCGAAATGTCTCAGAAAGTGAAGTTTTCCTTTTGAAGAGATACCCATGAAGAAAGATCCTCTTCAAATTTTAGAAAACTCATCTGAACTTTTTCGGTTTACATTGCGAAAACCAGTCATGTTGGGGAGAGTTCGAGAATAAAATGAAAAGTTCATTAGAAAATTCAACGCTACTCTAAGGCTTTAGACGCAAACTTGTTCTGCGCCATTCGGGTTTAACCTAGGCGGCTGCAAATTGTTCACATTTTCAGGTCCTTGCGTCAACGGCCAATGTCCTGAAAACACACAGTGCAATCCAAATAATGAGTGTTGTCCGTATCAAGTTGGAAAATGAAAGCATTTTATGTATATCGATCGTTACAAGTTCAAAATAAAACAAATAAAAAAAAATGAGAAAAAAAGCAATAACTTAATCAGTATTCTAAAATAAATAAAGCATCCGATGACGTCCCGAAAGGCACTAATTTCTATTGGCTATTAACTGTAAGTCACACTCACGTCCTCAATATACACGCAACAAGAAGGGGTCGATCTGGAGAAGGAAAAAAGGAAGTTCAGCGTCACCGGCAGTCACAACTGGACAAGTGGTGGGTGCAAGGCAACGACTCGACGACGACAGACGGGAAATCACAGTTCAGAGAAGTGCGAGACGACCTGCTGCAGGCCGAGTTCGATCTTAGACTGCTCTCGGATCTCGAACTTCTTCACTTTTCCCGTCACTGTCAGAGGAAACTCGTGCTCCTTTTTGAAAAGAACGTACCGCGGGATCTTGAAGTGAGCAATCTGCAAATTGAAAACATTACCAAACTTGCTAAATTAAGTTTCCCTTTTTGAATACACGTTTCAAAATAAATAGCCACCTCTAAACTATAATAGCCAGAACTTAAAAGTCTCGTTTCTCCGGGCTCTTTTTTAGGTGTTCACGTGCGAACTTCCTGTTTCTACGGTATAATCATAAATTAAAAAAGAAAAACAGTCAAAGTGAAGTTTTTTTGAGTCGTGGCGGATGGAGTTTCTTGAAGTTATTAGACGGCCTGTTTTTTTTTTCTAATTTGATTAATGAAATAATTCTCATTTTTTCAAGAAAGTTATTCAGATTTTATTTGATTACACAGGTTAAACAATTTGAAACGACTTCCTCAAACCGTGGAAAAATCGAAACTTTTAAAAAGCCGAAAAGCCAACACCATAAGTCCAAAAATATCACCTTTCCTTTGCACCATTCCTTGATGTCGTCTTCAGAGACTTTGTCAACGGCCGATTCGTGGAGGCGAACCCAGCAGCAGACGGCTTCTCCATATCTTTCGTCTGGCACGCCGACGATCTGAGATCCTAATTTACTGAGAGGCGCTCCAACTGAAACTCACATGAACGTCTTCGATGTTGGGATGTTTGAAGAGGAACTGCTCGACCTCGGTCGGGTAGATGTTCTCTCCGCCACGCACGATCATGTCCCTCGACCGGCCGACGATCGAGATTGTTCCGTTGTCGTGCATCACGGCAATGTCTCTTAAACCTACCGTCTAGCGGTTACGATCTCTTCCGTTACCCTGTGTGGTACCAGCGATCCTCTGTTATTTCTTTCTTTGTCTGTTCTTCGCTGTTCCAGTAAAATCTCATCACAGAGTAGCCGCGCACTATGACTTCGCCTTTTTCGCCTCGAGGCAAAACTCTTCCGCGTTTATCGATGATGGCAGCCTGGCGTGTTGAAAAATGGAAATTTAAAAAAAATTTCAAGAATACAATGAACGTCAAATTTAGTATCTAGTCATAGACTGACTCTACTCTCATAAAAATAATCGAAGGTATGTCCCATTTTTGAGCAATAGAAGTCTAAAATTGTAGTTCGTCGAGTAGAAAAAAAAGAAAAAAATGAGCCTCAACAAAACTTTCCAACTGAAAAGGTTTTCAGTTGAAAAATAGTCAAAAAAAAAATAATGAAAATATGAACAAAAAAGCAAAAATTTTTTTTAAAAGTTGTTCGTTGTTCGTTAACATCTTATGTAACTTGTTTAATGACAGCCAACGGATTTAATTTAAGCGGCTTAAAACTTTTAACACTTCGACAAGAAATTAAGCTATTAATCTAATAAAAGACTCTTAAAAAAGTTTACACCGAAAGCTACCTCGAGGTGGTCCATAATGTGGCCGACGCTCTTGATGCGCATCTCAGGCGGGTCCTCTCGGATGGACATGAAGGAGACAGGCGAAGTCTCCGTGGTGCCGTAGCAGACCTGCATGTCGTTCATGTGCATCTCCTGGACTAGCCGTCGACACAGAGTGATCGGACACGGAGCCCCGGCAATGAATCCTGCGCCAAGACAGGTCTTCTCCGACTTGCAGAACTACCTGATCGAATGGAGTCATAGTTGTATTTGTGGTACTCTGAGTTGTTCAGCATGTCGATGAACATTGTCGGCGTTCCGTACAGCGCTGTGCATCTGAGTAGCGTTGCGGAGAGAGTCAGATAAATATTAACAAATTTCTCTTGAAAACCCTCGTAAGTTTTTCAGTCAGTTCTGAATGACGGCAAAGCGGCGTGCGAGTTCAAGGCCTTTCTTACAACCTCGATTATTCGAATCTAACAAATTTCTTCGAATTTCAATATACATACTGAAAACCAAGAACGTCTAAATAGGAAAAATAATATAATGACGTGTTCAAAGTAATCAAAGAGTCAGAGACAATTTTGAGTTACGCGCAAATTACTTTAAACACAGCCCAAATGTGCCAATTAACTTTGTGAAATAGCCATATGTCCAAAGATTGGTACTGTTTTACTTCGCAGGCTTTCTTTCGGGATTCTCACTCATAAAAACAAGAAAACTGGAAGGAAAACGAACTTTTCCTCGTCGACAGCCTGGAGTGCTGCGAGAGATTCAAAGGACGGAGCTGGAAAGACGCAGGTCTGAAGGTGAGTCAGAGCCGCCAGGACTCCCATCACGCAGCCGAAGCAGTGGTATAGAGGGTTGGGTATGCAGATGATTGTCTTCTGAAAGCGAGGGCGTCAGAAGAAGACGAAAGAAGACGTACGCGATCACTGTAGCCGGCCCGCAGACCTACGAAATAGGCGTTGTTGAGGACGCCGTGGTGAGTTAGCGTGGCTCCTTTTGGTTGACCGGTCGTTCCCTGGAAGGCCGAGTCATTTTCCCTCAAGTAGCCACTCACACTCGTGTACTGAATGTTGATTGGATCGTCCGGCTGAGTCTCTCTCTCAATACTCGCTAGTTTAGTCTTGTCTTCTTCAGTGAACGTCTTCATGACGTCATCATAGCGCCACGCACCACTGGAATTCTCAGATGGAAAGGAGAACCGCAGGCCATCTTACGGAAATTCTCTGTCTTCGGCGTCAAAAACTATGAGATGTCGGAAAAGGGGAAAACAGTGAGAGTTGATATCGCTGCGCCCTGCTGGCCTCGTCGCCACTTCAGGAATTATATCCTGAATCAGTTGATTACGTTTTTCAAGTCTTTGAGACGAACCTTCACACTTTGATAGTAGTTGGACTTTTTGAAGCCAGGTGGCGTTATCAAAACCTTGATTCCAACTTTTTCGAGAGCAAATCGCAACTCCTCTGATTGGTACGAAGGGTTGATGTTCACCTGAAAAATAAATCTTCAGTTTTTTTTCCTATCAATTGACTTTTTTTTGTTATGCTGGCAACTGACTTTTTTAAAATTCAGGCTGGCCTTAATATATAAGAAAAAAACTAAAGCGATTATCAAAAAGCAAATCGATTCGTAGATTTTTAACATTGTTGACTTACACTTTTTGAATTTATACGCTGTTACTCGGAAGAGAAGCTATTCAATAAACATTGAACTAAAAACATTTTTCTCACAACACGCAAATTTTAAGATTCCATTTTCATCAGCTTTTCAAGCATGAATAGTAGAGACGCTTCAGAAAAACTGACCAGAACCATTCCGGCGAGAGCCGTGGCGAACTGTACGGTAGTCCATTCATAGGTGTTTGGGCCCCAGATACCGACGCGATCCCCCTTGTTCACTCCGAGGTGGATGAGGCCGCACGCAAGTTTTTCCGCCTGACGTATTCGATACGCCAAATTAAATTGGTAGGAGACTCACGTCTTTCAGGAGCTGCAAGTACGTCTTGCGGATTCCATCACGTTTGAAAATCAGAAACTCTTTTTCGGGCACCTGAAATTTTGAAAAATGGGTAGACTTATCAAAATGAACGTTTGCGACATTCTGTCGACAGTAGGAAAACTGTGGGAAAATTTCAAAGTGGTGATATAATTAAAATTTCATTTTGCGTCAAAAACCTTTTGAACTTTAACTGTAAAGTAATGTGAAAGAAATGGGAATATATAAGAAAAAAAAAATTCAAATGAACAGAAATGAAAAAGAAATTTTGAATCGATAACTGTGATAGTAGGTACAAAATGAAAGTCTGTATAAAACTGAAAATAACAGATAAAAAATAAGTTTTAAAGTTTTACAATCCTATGGTATTCCTTGGAGAAACGGAACATGTTTCAAAACACAAAAGCATGTTCAAAGGGGCGCCAAAGTTGCTCCGAATCAGCAGGCTTGTACGAGGGCCGGCCCGTCAGCTTATCGGCCACGGCCTCTTCCCAAGCGCGGCTTGACCCGGCCTTAGGGAGGTTTCAAGCAAAAATGGCCGGCCCGAAAAGCTCAAATTTTCTGTTTCTTTTATTTTTCAGCTTTTTAAATAATTGAAAAGTTGTAAATTTAAAATTTCTCGTGTCTGTTTATCTCCTATCAATGCTCTGCACCAGTTTATAACAATTAGACGCAGAAAGATATGAAATACCAAAGTTTCACTTGAAAATTTTTTCATAAATTTGTTCGAAAGTGCTCGGAACAACTTTAAAACGTGAGCAAGGGCACTGGGTAGTATAAATAATATATTTCAAAACCGTATTTCAGTGGAAAAGGCGAAAAAAAAGGCATGCTGGAAAAGTCGGTCGGTTCGGTCGGGTTTGGAAAACTAGGCCGCGCCGCAATTTTGCTCCATGGAAAATCGAATTTCAGATTTTTTTTTCCCTTTTTCTATATTTTACCTTTCTTTTTATCAGTTTTCGAGGATATGAGGCACATGCTCCTCACTTCGAACTGAAATGTTCCTTATTTTTTATCGTTTTCTCGGTAATGTTTTACGTTTTACTGGATGTAAATTTGTTTCTTGCCTTTTTTTGTGTGTATTTTACACATTATCTCATTTTTCGATAATTTATCATTTTTAATTACGCTCAATTACGCTCATTTGGTATGGAGTTATTTTTGGATCTGAAAAAATAAATAGGAATTCTCAAAAACCGAATCAGTTTAAAATTTTGAATGTAGAAACTATCGCATTTGGCTCGCGAAAACGATAGACTTGAATGAGTAAAAGGGAAAACCTTCTTGGTAAAATCTAAGAAGAAAGAAAAATTCAGAAAAAAAAAGTTCGAAATTCTAAGTGTTCCATGGGGCAAAATTGCGCCGTGGTCTAGTTTTCCTAACCGACCGACTTTTCCAGCATGCCAAATAAAAAAATCAGTAACCCCCGCGCGTGCGCGCACCAGGGCCTGAGTAGATTTTGAAGCGTTTACAGTAATAAGAACGCATTGGAGCGCACATGGAGTGTTGAGCTCAAGATTTGTTTTTGGCTAGTTCAATCGGATCATTCAAATTCAAAGTGGTTTCGGCAATTTCTAAATCGACGCGTTACTTGTTCAAAATGATTCCGAGAAATAGGCGAAATCGAAATTCCGTCCGTTTCAAACGAATAAAGTTAAGTGTCAATAAATCGCCGGAACTACTCGAACATGGCATCAGGCTCGCCGGTCTGAACTTTGAGCCATATTTTTTGCGTAAAAGTCTGCGCGGACTCAGGCCATGATCAAAATTTTTCCATTTTAACTCAAATGTTTACTGAAAAATTCTTAATTGTCACAAAATAGGACAAGATTCTCGTGGAATACAGATCAATGTTTGAAAAGTTTCGAACGTAATCTAGTTTATATTCTGAATTTTTTACTTCTGTAAATTCTTTGAAGATTTTACTTCAACGCGGAACGAATTTTCAAAAATCTTGAGAAAATAATATTTTCCAACAATTGGAATGATACTATCATTTTTTGATTTTCTTTCGCTTTTAATGCACCCTCTGCCGTATTTTCATCTAAATTAATTTTGTTTAAATCAGCCAGAAAAAAAGACCTGATCGACTGCGGATCGTAGACGCTCGCCGACGGTCTCGAAGAGCAGCGGCGTCGTCGAGCAGCCGTGGACGTAGCTCTTGCGGCTCGGCGCCACCATCACGTTGTTCGCACTCAACGCGGCTTCTTCTAACGATATCGCTTCTTCTGCAAAACCTCGTCTCACCGGGCAGAGACACAGCATAGAAGTGCGTTTTTCAATTTTTTTTTTTCAACTTGGTGGAAATGATATAAGATTTTCAAAATTTTTGCTCCTTCCAGTTGAATCCATTTTTTCTTCGAAAACAACTGTATTCGTCAGCAAGCTTTTTAGGGAATGGTTAAAATTGACCGAGAAAATTCAATTATTCCTTCAAGTCTGCTGTAAAGAGCTATAAAAGGGCAGTTCAAGTGACGAGTTGTGCCAAAGATAAATGCCGAGAAGATCGTTTGAGAAAGGAACCGAGTCAATTGGGTACATTTGTTCGTTTTGAGAACCACAATTTCTCGCCTTTGGCGGACATTACTGCCAAAATAACGGAGCAAAAGGCGGATGACGGATTAGAAATGAGGTGTGGGCCGTCTTCGTTTGGGGGTTTTGGGTTTCTCGAGTGGCATCGGCAGAAGAGACCGACTAACAAGATTTCGGGTAATGTGCTCTCTTCCAATCGTTGTCTTCTTTTTTTCTGTTTCTTAGCCTCTTCGGTTTCGGTCATAGGAAAAGAAAGCGTTTGTTTAGAACACTCGAAGGATTTTTTCAATATAAAGATATCGTCTCTGTGAACATCTCCCATGGCAGACCAGGTAAACTATCCAAGGAAATGAGCTGATGCGCAGCGAAAGCCTATTTCAAGGGAACGATAAATTGCGCCGTCGGGAGATCGTATCGCTGAGTGTTTCTGAGATTCTTTCGACCCCCCAGCCGTTACGTTTTTTTCAACTAACTTTTTTTCAAAGATATACTTTCACATTGAAAAGAAAAAAAATTCTGTTTTTTTGGCCTGAAAATTAACATTCTGAAAGGAGTTTCATAATAATTTAAAAAAATTTGTTCAGAAAAAAGTTCCTTGTGACTGTTTTGGAGAAACAAAATATGTCAAAATAATGATATCATGAAAACTTATTTCAAAATATGTCACGTGATGCAGGATTTTTCAAATTGAGAAAAAAAAAATTACCGTAAAGCATTTCTTTCGTCATTCACTTCTAGCCAAACCAATCCTATACCTGAACCAAAAAAAAAATCACGAACGAAAGTAACATGAAACGACATATTGAACTAGAAAATAAAAAAGAGATCAAAGAAGCAGTAAATAATGGTCGCACTTCGAGAAAGTCCTTCGAAAGACCGAAAAGAGGTTATTTAGAAGATAATAGAAAAAAAACGACAATTTTTAAAGTAAGAATCATTGAAAAAAATCACGAAACGATTGGCGTGAAGTTCTTCAGAGAATATTTTTTTGTCAAGAAACGAAAAACATTTGAAAAATTTTTTTACAAAAAGTTTAAATAGGCTGGTAAGAATTTCAAAGAATTTAATATAAATACAGAATTGGTAACATGAGGAAAGTGTAGATTTTGGGCTCAACATTAGAATTGAAACGCGCAATCGTTTGGGATCGAAAAATGTATGTCTGATAACAAGAACACAAAGCCAGGTTAGATTAAAAATTAAATTAATTTCGTGATTTTTTCATATTCGTAGGCAAAAATTGCCTAGAATGAAAAGAAAAAGGGGCTGGAGTGTTGGAGCTCGGGACTGGAGCCCAAACGAGATCAAAGACGTCGCCTGGAGGCGGCGCCGGAGAAGTCGGAAAGAATGAAAAGAACGGCGACACGGTCCATCAGAATGTCTGCGTCTCTTCGTTCCCGCCGCTCTTCACACGCATCGAAACTCGTTTTCAAACTCGCCGGTGGACCCCATTTTTTTTTTTGGGTGTGTGTTTGTCGGGAAATCTTAGGACACGCTCCTAATTGAAATAATCTAGTTGAAAATAATTGCGGCTCTCATTAACTTTACCACAAAAAAAGTATAGGAGATCCTCAAATTCGACACCGAAATTGAGAAAATTGAGGTGGTCTAAAAATAGAAAAGAAGAGTATAGAAGATAATGAAGTTTAAATGAATTTCAAGCTGGAAAAGGCTTTTTGCGGAGAAGTTCCAAAAAGATTAGAGTCGAAATTTACTTAGCGGGGCTTAAACGTTTTTCAAGATCCCGCCGAATGTATCGCTGGTTTGGCCAAGAGAGTGGTGTGTCAGAGCACGATCAAAAGAATTTGTGAAAGTTCTAGAAAATGTCGACGACGCTTTAGAGATAAGGCGGTGAAATGGAAGAAAGGTGTCTTTTCAACGAAAAAGAAAAAAAGCAATTTCTGGAGGATAGACACGGAAATGATAGAAGTGGATAGAAAAGAGTTTTGAGTGGACACAGATGCTCCGGCCAGTTTGAAAGGCCCAAGCTAATTGCCTTGTGGGGCAGCGGACGACCGTCTCCGAGGCAGATCTCATCTTCGTTCGCCATCTCGTCGGCCTCGTTTGCAGGTCACCTGAGGAGACCTTCTCTTCTGTTTTCCCTAGAACTCAACATCTGAGCTCAAAGTGCAAATCGTATTTTTCGATGTAGGAGAAGAAAAGTAAAAACGATGCATATTTACGCGAGTCCGAGGTGTCTAACCTGAACTGACTATCCAGAAAGGATTGGAAAACAACACTTTTCAATTATTTAGCCTGCTAAAATTTGGTTCTTTTTTGATTCTTCACTCTGGTAGAACTCGAATTGAGTTTCGAAAGCGAAACGATATCGAAAACGCCTCAGCGCAAGGTGAAAACATTTCCAAACCTCTTTCTGGCTTGAAAGTGTTTTTTTTTTTTGTTAAATCCCATTCTGTTTCGAAATCTCTTCTCAATTCTTTGAATAAGTTTTACAGTAACTTTTACTGTTCGAAACAAAAAAACGTTTAGAATAAATTGAAGTTCAGTAATTAAAAAAAAATTTTTTTAATTTACGGGCAATCAACAATCACGAATTTCTATTTACGTTGAAATCTAGTAGGAAAACAACGTAAACTAAAATATAAAAAATAGCTCTTTTTTCACATTTCAGAGTCATTGGTAGCAGAGAATAATTTTTCAGAAAAATAGGCGGTGTTTGAAAAACAAATAATTTTTCTTCCAAAAAAAGAAATTTTTTTAAGATAGTGTAAACCTCAGTCATTTTATCATTTTTAGAAAAGAAATTATATTATAAAAGAAAACGTCTGATTTTTATTTTCGAAAATTCAAAGTTCTATCCAAAAGATTTCAAATCACCAAGAGGAAAGTGCTTGGTGATTATTCCAGAACTCAGAGAACAGTCTGTCTACAAAAACATTTACAGCGTCCATTTGGTTCAAATCTCGAAATTTCTTATCTGGATGCGGAAATTGAGCGTTTGCACGAAAAATAGATAAAAAACCAGGAAATGGTGTGACTATTATGGTTGTTTAGAGAAGATAAGAGATGATGTGAGATGGGCGATCCTTGTTCCTTGATCCCGTCGGAACAGAATCGACGTTGATCCATCTTCCGACAAACCTTTAAGTACTCCTTTAAAGGACAAACAATTGCCCAAGATTTTCTATTTTTTTCAAATATTTCTTCGCCTAATGCATGTCTGAACAATATTACCTTCATTTTAACTGAATGAGAGAACAACTTTACTGTCAAACAATTTATAACAAAGAAAATCTTTATACGGAACGGAAAAGTTTATAGTAATAGAAAATATATTTGTTTATTTTCTCGGATACACATAATTGCTCTCGGAAAATAGTAAAAGGATAGAGAGTTACAGTAAAGGTAAGAATCCTAGAAATTTAGGTTATTTTTTGATGCTGGAGAATCGTTTTTATTTCCCTGTTCCTCATTGGAGGATCCCAAACAAATAATTATTAACGCAAGATAGATAAATATTTCATTTCGTGTTCTGGCAGGTTCTCACCAAATCCTCACAATAAAGAACGACATCAAAGGAAAAGGAAATAGCATAACAGTATGAAAAAGAAGGATTTTGTTCAGGTCATGAAGAGGACTTCCGACTTGTTCTTCGCCAAGAGCTGCTCTATCTCCAGCACTTTCATTTTCTGTAAAGTCGTATATTTTTGGTTTGAAAGGTTTATGAAGTTAAAAAATATAAATATACAAAAGGCAAACATTTATTTAGAAATGTGTAAATTTTTTTTTGGCACACTAGCACATAAACTTTAGGTTAAAATTATAAAAATTACGTTGATTATAAGTTTGAACTCTTCGACGAGCTCTTCATGAGGCACTGTGGCCAAGAGTCTTTGCAGAGAAAACCAAAGTTGACCGCCTGAATTGTTTTTGATCGAGAGGAAACCTAGCCGTGGGTCCGGAAACACGGCTGCTGGTGTCCCATTCGCGACCTGCGTATGATCCAAGATTAGAGATCGCATTGAAATATATTCGAAATTCTTGCTGAGGTGTTTGGAAATTCAGAACTCTTGCAAAAACCAAACATGGAACTAAAAGCTCCTTACACCTTTTTGATGCTTTAACCTTCCAGTAGCTTACTATAAACATTTTTGCAATCATTAATCAACTTTTTATAGTTAAATCTTCTTCACGACGACTTGGAACTATTTTTCTGTTTATCACTATTCTTTCTGAATGTTTCGACGATGTAGAAAATCATTAGAGAGAAAATACAAGTGGGAATTACTTTTTCAACTCGTGACAAGTAAGCCTTTTTCACAGAAAAAAAGTACTCTTTTTTTCTTCTAATAAATTAAATTTTTCCGAAAGCTAAAAAAATGAGAGATTTGAGCTATTTTTAAAATGTTTTGAACCTAAACAATGGTGTTTTTCAATTCATTAATATACCGAATTCTGGTTGTTCGAGCTGCCAATAGCGTTTTTTTGTGATCCGCTCCGCTCAGGTTTGGTAGAAGAAACGTTGTCGACACAGTCAAAATTACTGGAAAATACCCTTTTCAATCTTCAGAACTCAAGGATCTGAGTCGTCGCTCTACTAAAAAAAAAACACACACACACACACCCGCTATAAACGTTTTAGTCATTAGAAATGAAATTAACAAAAAAATATTCTCACGTAATTATTTTTATTTTTATTTTTCTCATAAACATTTTAGGTTTTTGTTCACACTCCTGAATTTTTTTTTTCGTTCTTATCAATTGAGTCGCTAAGACTCGGACCTTGGTAACGCGAACGGGACGCGAAACGGACATGTCGGTGCATTTCTAGTGACCACTTTAGTAGCCTTAACGCTCTTAAGTGATCCCTTGAAACGCCCAGAAACGTCTGGAGCACGTCCGTTTCGCGTTACCAATGTCCGAGGAAAAACTAAAAAACAAAGAAGTTTGGAAATTCTATCGGTGGAGCACAGTTTCCTACACCAACTTTTTGAAATTTCGCAAGCTACAACGGCGCCAATTTGTCAAAAAGCAAGGTGTTTAGTTCTCAATCCTTTTCATTTGAGCTTTGAGATCGAAATTTCTATTGGCTTTGAGCTGATATTTCAGAAAAGAATGATATCCCCTCCTTCGGACGACGTGGTCGTCGACGTAGAGAAAGGCATCGTCGCTCTTCCTGTGAGTCTGTTTCTTTCTACCAGCAACTCCAGTTTTTATAGCCCATCCAAATTAATTTCAGTTAGGACGTCCTCCGACCCCGAGGACTATCGACTTCACTTTACATGGACTTGTATGGTTGGTCTTTTTTTTGCTTTATTTACCCATTTCAGTTGTTTATCTAGGCGTACCAGATGCTACTGGGACCAATCTAAAAGAAATGTGGTTTTCAATTTGACCTGTTCGCCTGAGAACTATTCAACTTTTTGGACCGTCAAATCAAAAGTTGAGATTTTCCTCAAGCTCAAACACGAGGAAGCCCTCCCCTCTTCGGTTATCGCCTAGAAAACACCTGGAATTAATTTTTCGCTCAGGTAGAACACCTTTTTGACGTCTCCGCGAAAGGCATCCAAATGACCTGCACTGCGGAGGTTTTTCCTACATCTAACCACGATTCGACCTTTTTACTTGAATCTTCAGAACCTGAGTCTGGACGTCGTTCGTGGCTGGACCGGCCACGGGACTATTCCTCCGTGGTTTATAGAGATTCGCCTCATCGTCAAAATTGGTATTCTTTCCATGCACGGCCAATCGTGAGTTCAAACTAAGTTTGCATGTGTCTTCTGTGTGTGTTGCTTTGAATATTCTCAGAAGAATTTTTTTCTCATCACTTTTTGTGAGGCACGTATTTGTCTTATAATCGATTATTTCGAGTATTATCGTTTTTGAAAAAGCAACGATTTTTGTTTACTTTGATATTCGTAGTGTAGAAGTGCTCGCAGCACAGACATTTGCATGTTTGCGGTGTTCGATAAAAACAGGTTCTAAGTAGACTATTTCCTAATTGGGGAAAAAACGTGAAATGTTTGGCTCCTAAATGGAATTTAATGATTTTTCCGAATTCGCACCATGACGCCTCCAATCGATTTCTCGAAGCCCAATAATAATTCTGATCGGGTTTTTGTGATTGAAGGCAAACATCTTCATGTCAACTCGCAGGTTTTTTCTGTTAGTCAGGAAGGAAAAAGAAGAAATCAGGTTCTGGGGGTGTTCTCTACATTTTTCGATCGCCTGTTCAACGGAGAGTTTTCGGATGCCGCAAAAGAAGTAATTCCATTGGACGGGATAAACTACGAAGAGTTTGTCGAGCTGCTGCAGACCATTTACCCATCGCAGAATTCGATCAGAGGTCAGATATCGTATTATCGGCTAGCGAGCATGTTTGCCTGTAGTTGGCAATGTGGAAAGTCTTCTTGCGCTGAGCGACCGCTTCGACATTCCGTCAGTGTTCATCAAGTGCGAGCAGTTCTTGCTCAACTCTCCAGACGTCAATAAGATCGACTTGTTCCTCAGGCTTGACTGGGCTTCGCGTTATTGCATGCCCGAACTCCAGGTTTAGTTTTTTTGTTTTTGTTTTTTAGAATCATCAGTCCGACAGAAGATTATGTTCTTGATGAGCTTGATTAGAGTTTTGATGCTGTAGTCGTTCTTCGAAAAAGAGGAAGCAAGTTTTTTTTCGAACCATGAAGCGTTCTAATCTCGAGCAACAATGAGAAAATGAACCTGTATTCGTAGCATGTTTGACATACATTTTCGAAATGATCGTTGAAACTTATATTAAAGTGAATGAATTGCAGAACCATCTGCTGCTCTCTCTGACGACGATGGACGCTATCTGCAAGGCGAGCGAGAGCCCCGCGTGGCGGAACATGTGCGAAGCGGCGAAGACAGGACTTCTGCTTACGGTGTTCCGTGTCCACAAAGGCCCCAATGCCATGCCTCCGCATTTTTTCTAACCGCTCCGCCGATGAATTCGTCTAATAAAACTTGTAAATTGAACAATTTGAGAAATGCGGAACACACTGACCGGTCTGGCTTGATTTCAAATCGCTGTTTTGAGTGGCAGCCTAACATTAAGCAAACAAATCATTTATCCCGTCCTGGTCATTTCATGCGAGTCTTTTTTCTCCTTCTGTTGCCGACTGGCTTTGCTCTCAAAGATTTTCCTGAAAGGACTGAACGTCTTCGAAAGCTAGAACAGCGTCAACGTCTGTTGAAGATCAACGTCAGCAACGGTATTCCTTTAGTGATACTTTTTCTCTGAAAGTTTGGTAACGGTTTTCTCTATTACAGAATAAGTCAATTTAGGAATTTTTCAAAAATTTGAGTCATTCTTCAGAATTTTTATATGTAAACTCGAAACTTTTCAACTGATAAAATTGTTTTTCGGTGGATTATAACTCATCTTTCCAGTCTAGCTTTCGATTGAAAAAAGGAAGAGAGTTAAAAAATTTGGTCGTACAGGAAGTTGAATTATTCGCGGCAGAACTTGTTCAACGCTGAAAAGGAACAGATTTCAATTATGTGAAACCAGGGTTATTAATTGATCATGTTCTATCTTAAATGTTTATAGACTGGATTCCGACTTGTTCTAACCGTTACTTCGTGAGGACTTGCAGGAAAACTTCAGAGAAGTTTTGCGAGTCTGGAAAGGTCGGTCCAAAACAATATTTGTTAGCTTCGAACTTGTGTTGTCTTTTAGATTTGTGTGGACAGTTTTAAAAAGGCGTGCTGCTCTCCGATGCCTGGCCAGTGTCCCTCTTCGGTGCAAATCGGATATTCCTGCCAGGTTCGACCTTTCTTGATATTTTTCAAGCCAAATCTCTTTCTTAAAGTTGAGGCGGCCTATCAATTGGTGTTCTTCCTCATCGGGATGTTTGAACAAAAAGCTGTGCTGTCCGACAGGTTGTGGCTACAATATATGCGTATCAACACTACAATAAACTTATTGGGCATCAACTATTAACAGAAGCGATTTATTGGTTGTTTCGCAAGGTTTTACATCGAAATTTCGATCGCAATTTGACTTTGTCCGACGAGCAATAACTTGCGAGGCAAGTTGTACTAACTCTCGTTCAGACTAGCCGGTTGGGCCGTTAGAACACGACAATCGAGTGCGGTGACTCCGCAGGGAAGGAAAAAGAGAAGATCGAAAAAGGGGAAGATTGAAAAATCAAAACAAAAGAAGGAAAAATGAAGATAGAGTTTTGAATTAGATCAGTGCTGATTGGAGGCCAAAGACCAAACGGAGCCGTAGCCGGCCGAGAGCAGCGACGCACGCGAAAAGCGACGTTCGTTGGTCGGCAGCAGCGCGAAAGAGTCGCGGCGCGACTGAGACACGTCATCTTCGAACTCGTCGTCGAGTCGCAGGTCGTTGAGTTCAATCACTGGAAGCTCGTCCCATGACATCTCTGCCTTCCACCAACTGAAATAAATCAAACTGTAAAAAAACCGCAAGTTTTTTCTGCCACAAAACTCCGAACTGGCTCTAACATCTTTTTCTTCTCCAATTAGATCATAGAAAAATGACAAAGCACGTATGTACCAAAGAGAGTTACCTAGGGAAAATAGAAATCGAAGAAAATCGAAGTATTATCATTCAATAATCCCCTCAATGTAAGAAACAACAGACGTTTCTGCAGCGGTTCCAGCCATTCGAGACTTGAAAATGGCGTCCAGACGGTCGCTTTGCTCTCTTGTAAAATGATTCTTCCAGTCACGGCTTCCGCCTTTGCGAATGAACTCGCTCTTGTGCCTGTACAACATGGAATCTTAATAAGTCTTTTTTGGATGTATCTACTGTAAGCATTTCTTCAACAATTAAAAAACATCACCTGTTATAGTTACTTTTTTACAAAAGAATAAAAAAATCGGAAAAAAAACCATTAGAATGAAAGAAAAAATGTCTCAAACATACAACTGGTTTTCGGGAAACCAACGGCGTTGATCTTTCTTCATGGCGTCGATGGTACTGTTGTCGACAATCTCTCTTAGACGAGCCTGGTCTTGAACCATGACCTCTGCTTCGCCGCCCAAGAATTGTCCAATCTGTACTCAAATATTGCTTTGAATATTCGGTCGGTTCAGAACCTTGAAGATAGAGCCCTCAAGATCGGCGACCATGTCCTCGTACTTCAGGAACAGAACGTTAGGATCATTGAGGAAAGGCAGCCAGGAGAAGAGATGGTCGAAATAGTCTCCGAAGGCGAGCTGGCCTGACAGGAACAAGTCGACGAAGACGTCCCAAGTGCCACTTGCCCAGTTGTAGATCTTGAAGTTGCGATTGTGGTGATAGTAGCTGAAATGGGTATTGTTGGAGTCAGAGTCAATTGATGCACCTTGTGAGACAGTCTTTCGGGTTGCGCACGCAGTAGATGTACTTGGAAACGGGGCTCTTGGGTATGTTCTGGTGCTTGAAGTGCGTCTGAAACAACATATTGATATGATGAATCGGGAAGGGTGCACCTTGAGAACTCGAGGGTGCTGGATCGCGGCAGCAAACGCGGCTCCCATTCGTTCAATCATCGGGCTCTGCATGCAAAGCTCTTAACTTGTTATCTGATTGCTTCTCGTGACACCCTTCAAACCATTTCCTTTCCCTGCTTTGTAACGGTCACCCTTCATCAGTTGGGAACAGATGTGCTGCAGCCAAGTTGTGCCGCACTTCGGGTAGGTGGCGATCATCACGTCGGTTTCGAGCATCGGCATTGCTTTTGCAGAGCTGCAGTTGCTTTCATGAACAATGAAACGACGTAAAGTCTCACCGAACGTTTTTTGGCTTGAAAATCGGAGGCCAGATTTCGCCATCGATGACGGCTTGTTTTGGATGTCCTTGCGGCTGGTAAATCACAGAACGGACTGGGCCTGCAAAATTTCCGTTCTTCATCGGTTTGAAACGGTTTGGTCTCTAAGTGCTCTTTTTCATCTAATATCCCTCTACTTCAGTTTCACTCGATAATTAGCGGTTTCGCAGTCATTACACTGTACAAAGTCTCATCTTTTTCTGACTTCTTAATGTCTTTTTTTGAAGTAGCTGTTCTGCCTATGAATATTATCTATTTTGAAACAATTCTCACCTTTTCGGAAGCAGAAAGCGGTAGCTTTGAGGTCGAAAGGCGAACAGGGCGTCATCGGCGGACTCATCGGCGTCGGCGTCTTGGGCGTGAGAGGTGGTGTCCGGTCGCAAGACGGCATCTCGCCATGGTCGATTCGAAGGTGCTTCAGAAAGGCCACCATTTTGCGTGGACCTTTGGATTCGCTGGGGCGTGGGGTCTCCAAAACGGCACGAGGTCGAGGTGAAGAAGTGAAGTGATGGTAACGCCTGCGGAGTTTGCCTTATATAGGCTCTGCTTCTTCCCGCCCATCTAATTGGCGTGTAGGCTGACGGTGAGACTAGTAATCTCCGTTTTTTGGATACCTCCTCGAAAATGCGTGGGCACATCTGAAGCAGACGTATACTTATCAAGAGCCACGCGTGGTATCAACATGCTTTCGCAGAAGTGACAGGCACGTCGTCTTCACAGCTGTTGTTTCAGAAATCGATGTCTGAAACCTTCGTTCCCTTTCTGGGATATCAAAGAGTTTTCTTCAATAAGCGACCAATTTAAATTTCGCAAAAATATTTTTGAACGAGGCGTAACTAATCAAATTTAAAGAGTGCTTAAACAGTTTGGAAGAAGCTGTTGCGAAGGTTTTAAGGTTGTCAGTTCTGCGAGGGAAAAATACAATTCGACAATTTGTTGAAAATTTTGATTGAATCAAGTCTTAGAAAAGTTTTCAAAACAGATGTGAATTGAATAAACTGAAACTCAGGTTTTATACAATTGAAAAGGACAGAAAGATTACGAAAAAAGAATTAGCGAAAGAAATTTCCGGACAAAAATCAGCTGCCGCCTATTGACAGAATGCTCGTGCAACTTTGTACTTCTCGAACGGTTTCAAAAAAAACGTGTTACAATCGATTTAATGAATCACTGGATACTAAACTTCTGCCAAAACAAACGGAAGAAGGGATCCTGGAAAACTCGGCTGGTTCGTTTGCTTCAGACGGTTCAAAGGTTGAACTTTTTTCAAAGTTCTAGTTCAATCACTGCTTTGGAACGCTTGAAAGCTTGAGGTCGTACTCATGAACGTTCACACAGCGGAAAATATTTGAGAAAACCTTTAAATATGTTAACTGATAGGCGATTTTTATAGAATGGATGAAACAGTGTGTATATGTGCCTACATAGGCAAAGTCCGAAGGGTTTTGCCTATGTAGACAGTTACACTCTCGCTTTTCTGCTGCATTTTTCAACTCATTCATGCGGGTACAGTAATAGTTAGTTTTCGGAGTTGTATTGAAGAAAGTTTAAATTGAACTTTTATTGTTTAATTAAGATGGGTGTGCGATTTTGTTGGTTAATTTGAAAGGTGCTGGAAACGCCCTGTTAATAGTTCTAAAATGATGGAAAAAGCTTTTTAGGTACCATTTTCAAAGGCCCCAGAGAATCTTTTTTGAACCCAAAAATATTCCATGGAATATTTTTTTATTTGATTTCCAGCATCTGATTAATAAAGGATTTGAAAAAAAGGTTCAAAAAAAGTGAAATAAAAAAACATTTGTTGGTGAACCTTATTTGCCCTTATTAGTTAAAAAGATCTTTTTTTAATAAGCTTTTTTGGAGCTTTCCCGTTCTGCCCGAGCCTGAATGTTATGAAACGCTAATACCGGAAAAAATATTTATTATAACGTTTTTCGATGGTTTGTACAAACAGTCAGTTTTGCAAGTTGAGCGGTGGAAGTTTTCTGTAGTGCTCCGGACGGAGGACAGCCGAAGGCACTCCTCGTATTCCTGCAAGAAATTCGTAGCCCCAACCTCTTTGATTTTCAGCATATGAAATGATTTTTTATTTAAATTCAGAAATTCGATAAAAACTTTCACGAGTTTTTGAGAGAAAGAAGAAAATATCACCATCGATATGAATTGCGCTGTCGTCGAGTGGAGATTGGGAGAAAGCGGATATTCCTCAAAGTAAAACATTTGATTTTGAAAGTCAAGTTTCGAAGTTTTCAATTCATTTTCTCTATTTTGTCTCCAGAGCCGGCCAAAACTACCATAACCAAGGAAAAACTCGACAAAAACAGGAGGAGAGCATCTTGTTAATGACACCGTTCAAAGTAGCGATTAGGCGAAGCTCGTCTGTGCTCATTTAGTTTCGACACCACTGGAAGTTCTGCAGGAATTGCGACGTCACTAGACTCGTTTCATCACAAAAAGAAAGTCGAACGCATCAGGTTTATTGTTTTTGTACAACACGTTTTGCAGTGTCAATTCCGATTTTGAAAGAGTTTTCGACTGATTTTTCTTTTCATCATCTTTTTCGAATGAACTTTCTCGTTCATAATGTTAGTCAGAACGAAATCTTGTCATTTTGGACGATTCGCAGACCTGGACGAGCACCAATGGGCGGCAGCGGCTGTCTGCGGTAAGGATCGAGGTTGCTGGCCGAGTTCTGCCGAGCCCGTAGTTGCTCTTCTCCTTTCCGGCTTTCTGACTTGCAGCAGTTACAGCAAATTCTGAAAGGAATTTCCGAAAATGCCGGCTCAAGAAAACGAACCTGCGCCATGGCACTTCTTGGTTATAGGTGCTGCTAAGAACTGGATCTTCTTCTTGTCGGATAACGCGTCTTAAAAACCGTTGTCCTTGGTCCACTGTCCAAAACTCACTTTTTGTTCTTGAATATCCATTGAAGAATACAGAGCACGATGCTGACAACAATCAATGTGCCGATAATCACTAAAACGTAGATCGGCCACCGGTTCTCTTCTGAAACTTCAATGGCGTACGAAAATAGGGAGATTTTATACATACCTACGTAGTCAATAAAGTCTTTGAGAGCGGTGACGTTGAAAAAGGAGGTCGAGTTTTCGGATTCGAACAGGACATTGGGAGCAAAGGGGTCGGCAGGCCGAGGAAACGGATCTTCGACAGTCTCGATGAAAAAGTTAGAAGTTGACGGCGTTTCTGCGACGTCTTCGAGTAGCGTCCGATTGCCTTCCATCGACGCTGAAAAAAGAATCTTCGTCGCTGCGCCGTCGGCCGTCGCCCCGGCAACTGCGTTCCGACGCGTTTTGTCCTTCCGTTTTGTATGGCTCCTTCGTCTTATTTTTTTCTGAAGGTACGAAGAAAATCACGAAAGTCAAAGAAAAAATTATTACTGTTTGGAAAAAAGAAATGTGATTTCTAAACCGATACTCATCTTTTTGGTTTGAATTGAGTTAGACCAGGAAGAACCCAATCAGAAAACCAACAAGAAAATGTTTTATGACATCTTTTATAAATTGGAAATTTTTCTTTTCAAAGATTCTTGCTGACGTTTTTCAATGTGCAGAAATTGTCGCGATACGATGAGTCGTTGTCAGTTTTATCTTGAGTTTTGAGTCCTTGTGAGTCAACCCTGTTTTATTTTTTTTCTGAGTCTCACCTTTTTTAAATTCTATCTCTCGCCAAAGGGAAAAACAATTGAAATCAGTAAAGGGTGAAACATCAAAAATTATTCGTAAAAAAAGATGAGTAAGTAATTTATTGAGTTTTTTTTTGCAAGGTTACGTATTAAGATTTTTTTTCCCAAAAAAAAAGTTTCAGGTACAACGGAAACAAAAAAAATTCTAGCATGTGCGCGAAATCGACGTATACGAAAGAGCAAAATGCAAAGAAAAATGGGTGCTTGGGCTCGAGCCAAAGCCTCCGGCCCAAAGGTTTTTGCAAGAAGTCGAAGGTTGCCGCCAACTGTCGCGAGGTTGTGAAAGCCGCCCGTTCGTCGTTTCGAACAGTTAACAAAACTTTTGATGAATTCAAATATTAAGAGGTGAGTTCTCACGAAGAGAAGAAATTATTTCAAGTCAATAGAAATTCTAAGAAACCCTAGCGTCACTTGTCATAGGAAAAAGTTGTTTCTTTAATATCAACTTTGAAATTTCTGGACGGCTTCTAAAAAGGAAACTTTCTTCTTCTTTATAGACATATATATGAGAAACGCCTGACTGACCGTATGATGCACTGATTTTTTTTTCAATGCTTTTTTAAAGTTTTTTTTTTCACATCAGTGTTTTACGTTGAGTATGATATCAAACATGTCCCCACCACGAGGCTCTCCAACAGACGTTTCATGAAAGCAATCCGAGCAGAGAGGAAATCGAGTGTGCCGCAGAGCCCATTATTCGCTTCCGGTTCACGCCTACAGCCAGCTGGACGCCATCCCAGATATTCTTTCTAATTGTTTTCGGAGAACAGTTTGAAATTTCACACTTCGAAAATTCTGGAAGAACTTTTTTTCCTTATTTTGTTTTCTAGTAAATATGAAAACTTAACTTCCAACTTTATTCAAAAATTTATCTTCATTTGACTTTAAAATGCGTTTTTTTTTTTTAATTTTTCTTACAAAAGCGTCGTTTAAACTTATGTTTTTCTGACATTTTGGGATCTTTTGAACAATTTAGACTGTGTCGCCTTGTATAAAAATAATACGTCTTTCATAAACGTTTGCGGTTTATCAGATGTAAATCTTGATTATCCGCAGGTTCTAAATATCGAAACGAGAATCAATTTATATAGTAGAACGTCAGTAAACAGGTCCATCACTCCAATGCACGTTCGAATATCGAAGACTCGTGATATCAGCTGACAACTCTTTTTCCCATGTCTCTCTTTTCTTTTTTTTTATTGGGAAGAGATAGCGCTAAAAATTCTTGAACGCGTTTGAAAATATCTTTCGAGCTACGTAGAATTTAAATTCTTATTAAATATTTAAAAGAAGAAAAGTTTTCCCCAATTAGGTGCGCATTGCTCCCAAACAAACGCGCCCCAGTACTTCTGCACCTTCTGAGGGCCCAGTTTAGGGAATTATAACGAGATCTCAGAGAAAAAAAACCGGGGTCAAATTTTTTTCGAGCCCGTTTAAACGTTTACTGAGTAATTTCATTGTTTTTTAGTGGAAATGAAAAAAATTTACAATTATTTGTGAATTTTATAACTGCATTGTTTAAAACATGTTTTGCATTCGGCGCGGTAAAAAAATCTTTTTTTAAGCTGAGTCTCGAATGGTTTTTGGCTCAAAAAGTTGAATCATGATCACATTAATCCAAGTTTTTTTCGACTTTTTTTGTCAGGAGCATTTTTCGATTAGATTTATAGTTTTACTATTTTTAAAAAGCTTAATAATTTTTACAGCTGCTTCTTTTTTTGTTTAACTCATAAAATAATAACGTTCATATATTTTTGCAGATTTTTCACCACAATAATTTTTTTAATCAACTTTAATTAACTTTTTTTTCTATCTAAACTTTTTCCTGCTTTCTTAATTACCCAAATTAAAAGAACGGCTCTTGAAGGCATTCAGAATGACATGCCTTTGTGTCTGCCAGACCAAGCGTTCGTTAAACAGATCCTCACTCTCGCTTCTCGACTTCCAGCCGAAGGCTTCTCCGTTTTGGACATCTCTGCATCTCTCAGTCAATTGTCCCCATTTCAATTGGAATATATTCTATAATTTTTTTCACAGCGGCTCCTAGCGCTTGAGTTTGAAAGCGGCTGGTGCGATTCGAGAAATGTCATTATCAAAAGAGCTTTACGAATCTTGTTTCTTTCTATGAGTCGAATTTTTTTCGCGAATCAGTACTCCGCAGCATTGTAGAACTCTTTTTAATTTGACAGCTTTTTATAATAACCGTTCCCACCATGTTTATGGTCCACTTTACATACATAAAACTTGAAAAAGACAATAGTTTTGCTCTTTAAAGATTTTTCTCACGAGAAAACTTAAATTTTTGAGTTTTTTTCAATATTACTTCACAACAGAAAAAATAAAATAGGCGTTAAAAATAAACAAAAGAGCTCATAAGACTGATACAACACAGCTTTCAATGTTTCATAATAAATCGTCGCGCAAAGATCATACGTTGTCTTTTCTTCTCGTTTATCATTCCTAACTCAGAAGGATTTAATTTTTTCATAATCTAAGTCTTCGGAAAACTGGAAACCAGTAAATAAATTTTTTTTTTCAGATTCTTGTGTGCATGGTCGTTTTCTTAACAAGACAAGAATGTTGTGAAGAGGTATATATGAATATACCAATGGTTCATTTATGGTAAGTTTCGAGCATCGATATGAAAATGATCTGACTTTAGCGTATGACACTATCATAAATTTGCGTGAAAGATGGACAAAAACAGAAACAGTGCCTTGGCGATGAGGCTATTCGCCACGTGGGATGTCGACCGCACCACTCCGAGTACAGTCCAAAGGTTTACACTCTTGAACCGTATGAATGTGAGTGGGAGACGGTTTTCCTAAATACAGAAGAATCTGTTTATTATATACGTTTTTTAATTGTAGTTAGGTGAACTATCGAGTATCATAAAACCAATTTTGATGAATGAGTTTAATCGAATTAATTCGCTCTAGGAAAAAAAAAAGAAAAGCCGTTTTTTTTTCATTTTCACATTCAGGGTATCTGAATGAAACAAAATGTTCACAGAGTCTTCAATATGAGTGTCAATCGAATCGTTCTCGATGGAGTTCCTTCTCAGGTTCAGTCGATTGTAATCACGGCGAAACTTTCGGTAAGCTCAAGTAATTTAATTAATAAGTTTTTATTTTTGCTGTGCAGGAATCAAAGAGGGGGAGAAACCTCAGGACAAACGACATACTCATTGTCCCCGATCATGGCAGAGTCGATCTCGATTGTGACCTTTCTTTTAGTATTCAAGTTGGAGTTTGAACGGTTTCTTCAACGATAATCTTTTTAGTATCCACACTTCTTGAAAAGAAAAGCCAACTGTCTTCAAATACTAATTCAAAGACGTCGAAAGTACAAAAACCGTCTTCCTGGTGGCTTCAAAACTCTGGCCGGAGGTGTTATCAACTTGACTCAGGTAGTGTTCCTCGATAAAAACAGCCACGAAAGGAAGATGGTGTTTGAAACCTCTCGTTTTATTTTTTTTATTTCGAAAGGATTTTACTGAAGGCTTGACAAAGAACTTTTATTTTAATTTTCGTCCAGAGCCGTATGTATGGAAGTTCACGGAGATGTTTTACAGCTGTAAATTTTGAGTTTCCACCTTTTCAGGCGCAGAGAGATAGTAAACTAATTAATGTTGCGGTGAATGCAAAAAAAGGACGAGGTTCAGCTAATCTCCGATTTCAAGGAAAATACCAGGATGAGTAGAAAATGGAACCAAATGATCGGAATAAATAATTTTCTGAATCAAAAAATTATTGTTTTCGGCATATTACGCTTGTTCATGGCGGGAGGAAAGTTTAATGTACTTTCGCTCAATCTCCGATAGAATTTGATACTCGGCAAGTTTAATTCATTCAGCTTGGTGGTCTGAAAAGTATTGAAAATGTTTTAGTCAGCTTTGAAAAAAGATTTTTTCTCTCAGGTGCTTCAACAAGGTGGACTCCGAGAGATAACGCTGTGGCCGGCTGGATCTGAACTCCAACAGAAAAATGCGAACAAGCCTGGTTTAGGTAGGATTCAAGGGATAGTTGATTGCGGCAATGGTCTGGCTTGCAGTGCAAAGTGTGGGGCGCCTGATTCTGACGTCGTGCCACTCTCAAGCCGTCGACCAGACGGACGACAGAGAACGCGTCCACAACAAGAAGGCAGAGGGCGCCGAAAGCGAAGTAGCGTCTTTTTTCAAGATTCTGAGCACTGGAGTGTTTCAGGACGACTCCGACTCGGACTATGATGACATGCCGATGGACAGCGATCTCAACGAGCCCGGAAGTGCCCGGAGTGACAGGTCCCTCAGTAGGAATTCACGTTGAAAAGTTTCGATTAACATTTGAAGCGTAACTCGGAAACACTTTCCTACAAAAAAAATTGACTTCTTTCGAAAGCGGATACATACTGAAGCACAACAAAGAATCACACTTGCACAGCAATTTGAACTCCTTCATTTCAATACTTGTCTTTATGAGAGGCTAATTCATTATCCTAAATTTTTTTGAAGTGGATTTTTCCATCTGGAATTTATTGTCTTAACGTCTAGAATTTTCAGAAGAGTGGCAAATGACCCTCTACAATCTTCTCACCGCCAGCGCAAAAAAACCTGAGGCAGAAGTTATCGCGACTTATTCGCCGTTTCAAGGTTCCGGACGACGCGGTTTGCATTCCCTTTCCCCAACCATTCTTGAATATTTTTTTATTCAACAAAAAAATTTCTATTCAACAAAGTTCATTCATTTTTTTGGCTGAATCTTTCCGTAATTTAGAAACTGTATTTTTGTTTCTTACTGAAATATAGTCTGTTCTCCACCACACGAAATGGTGAGAAGCTAAACTTTTCCACTATCGATGATGACCATGTACTTGAGACAAGGAAACAATTTCAAAAAAAGGGGTGGTATGAAAAAAAGCCAGCGAACTTTCGAACGGCTACTTTTTCCGATTTTTTTCATATCGACAAAAGAATTTTTCCTACTATTTTTTTTCTTTATTCTTTTGTGTTTTAAGCAGGAATCAACTACCTATTTTGTATTAAAAAAAATAAAAACGAAGAGATTATTGAGAGAAAAAAATTCGAAAAAGGAACAGTCCGAAACGTCGCCATCGAAAAGTTTCCTAGCGATTTCATTTCATACTTCCGAAAAAGATCAAATCGAAATAAAAGTAAATACTGAACAATTGACCGAGATTAGCAAATTCAACAAAAATTGAAATTCGAGCGGCACTCTCTCCGTGCCCTCACTACTTCTAGAGTGAAGCAACCCGTCACTTCAAGTCAGGAGGATACTGAAGGATCGCAATTGCCCAGTTTTTTTTCCAGATTTCTTTCAGCCCAGCTAGTTCAGAGAGACCAAATAGAACGACAACTTTTAAGACAACTCATTGTAGAAAATGATTGAAAAGTTCTTTCTGTCTTCTACTAATGCAAACTGCCTGTTAGTCTTTTATTTGCAGCAGGTGGCGGCCGAAGTGGCGTCCACGTCGGAAGCTCGACCTCCGACGAAGCAAGAACTCGAAGCCCTTTTCGAGGAGCTCTCCGACTTTTCCGACTCAGGTTATATTTTGTGAAGGAACAACCTGAATGCGGTGTCTTTTCTCAGGACCTGAGATGGTTGGCGACGACGTTTCCATTGGAAGCAATCCCCGCCCCGGTCTGCAGCCCTTTTTCACAAGAAGTCGCGAAGTTCTTCCTGCTATTTACGATCGCGTTCGTAACTTTCTCTGTTTGGCAATAAGATAATTTTATAATATATGTTTTTGGTCAGATTTTCGGCTGAAAATATAGACCGTGCTTTAAGGCGCAGAGGATTCTATTTCTGATACATTTTCATTTCAAACTTTTTCAGGAAGTTGACGTTTCGGAAAGCGAAGGGGAAGCCGAAGACGCATGTTGGTCTTCGGAAACAGACAATGCGAAGGAGAAAGAAAATCATAACAACTGTCATCACGGTTTGTTCTTTTCGCCTTTCCATTCCACACTTCAACTTTTTCCAGAAATGTACCAGGCAAACAGTGGCGTCGGATCCTACAACGGAGAAACGGCGTCTGGGCAAAAATCGGAGGGGGTTCAGGTTTTATTTTCATCTTCGAGTCGAGGAGAACGAGGAGAATTATCCAGACGCCGCATAAATCTCTTGCGATGAGAGTTTTGTCGAGTGGATCAGCTCCAAGCAGCGCACCGATGACGTCAGCCGTCACGCATTCTTACACGATGACGTCACTTTCCGGTCAGACGCCCAAAAGCTCAGTTCCTACAGTGGATGTCACTCGGGGCACCAGTTTTTCTGACAAGGTATTTTTTCATTATCTTATATCTTTGGTTCTTTTCCCTCTGACACTTTAACAAAAAACAAGCTGCTGCAGCTGTGGTTGGTTCGCGCTGTCCGTTAACCAGGCACTGTCTTTTCTTTCCGTTCATCACCTTTTTTCGAGGGGTCAAGCCGTCCTCGAATCAGTTATATTTAAATCAATGCGCATTTTGAGTGGTGAAGCTGTTTTGATACATGATAGTTCATTCAAAACTGATTTTAGTTTTCGTAAAAAAAATTGTTTTCTCGTGGCCGTCAAGAAAGTATCAACTATCTGATTATTTTTCTCGAATCTCTATTCATTTTTGATCGAGATTATTCCTGTATTTCTTTCTTTTTTATCGCTTCCAGCTGTCCTCTCTGTTGGACTCGGACCTTTCTCGTCACGGTGACGTCGTCTGGATCTCCGGTGCCTTGGAAAACTGTTTTCTTCCGTCTTTGACTTCGTCTCTTCCGCTGGTTATATGCACTTCCTCGCAAAATATTCGTCAAACAATTGTCCACATCGTGAACAAAATACAAAACTTGTACGTTCCGTCAGTTCCTGCGTTTTCGACAAAAATTTGTTTTCAGTTGTAACTCGAACTCGGCGAATCCTCCACTAACATGGGTCGGGATTATTGGTGGCGACAGAATGTTCTCACAGGTTCCTTTCCGAGTTTTTTCATGACTAGCCCCATTAAATTGAGGTTTTGCGCGTTTATGTCGACTGTCTGGCTCACAAGTCTTCGGCCAACTGGCTCCAGTATCTGAGATTCGCGCCCCTTCCTTCCACCAATTCTCTTCTCGCTAAGCTCATCGAAGGTACATTTTCTTCCGATAAATAGGATTTCATGAAGGGTAGAAAACTTTTTTCGAAAACCGCTTGGAGCTTTTGAATAATTTTCCACATTCACGTGTATCTAGTGCGACTCCATAAATTTGACAGAAAAACGTTTTCTTCTTTTTTATGAACTTCTCTCAAGTACTCTTCGAAAAAAAAAATTGATTTCAATTACTAAATTGTATTATATAGAAACTCAAAGACATCTCCCAGGAAATCAGAAAAGGTGGTTTTCAGATGGGACGTTCAGAGTATATCTACTATTTCTCTGAGCAGTTTTTGACACTTCTAGAAAAAAAAAAACAGAAAGGATCTTTCTTGAGAGGTTTCTCTACGATTTCAAGCAAAAATACCTTTCCGGCAGAAATAAAGTTATAAACTTTTCGCAGAAAGCTTTATCAAAAAAATAAAACGAAAAAACTTGCACTTCATAATTTGCTGTTTTTGAATAGATTCCATTTTCGCCTCGCCTAGAAACGAGAACTTAGAGAAAATTGAGAAAACTGGCGGAGATGTGCGGCTCAGTGGAGATTTCCTTGACCGAGTTCTCGATTAATCACGAATTCGCCGCTAAAAAATGGCTGTTTCCACTTATTAATCATGTCGCGCCATTAGTTTCATTTTTGTTTAGGACTCGATCCTCACTTGGACAACTTGTGCCGAGATTTCTGGGATCGCTGGCCGGATCTTTCTCAGCCAGAACGGTCTGCGGTGATTTCAAGGCTAGCCGGATGGCACCAGAATTCCTCGGCGACGAGAGTCAATCTGCCAATCGGCGAGGCGCTACTGCAGCTGTCCTCGGAACGCATCTCAGACCGCGAGCCAGAGGGCGGCAGAATCTTCATTCCGTTCCTCTGCGAGGTGCGCGTCGCGATCAACGATGCGGCGACTGTCGAGGAAGATTTGTCTTCGTTCGCCAGCACCTCTGCTCAGGCACTCGTGTCTCCAGCTTCTCGCGTCAATGTCGACGACCGCGAGTCGTCCTCGGCCAGTCGCGATCCCAACTTCCTCGTCTCTTCTTCTCCCCCTCACAGTCCTCATTCGCGAGGCAACGACGTTCGCGAGCTTTCACTCGATTACTGGATCAATTCTGGAATCGTTTCACTACACTCTACTCCTAATTTGGTTTTTTTTTCTACTCCAATTGTTTCATATTTGAAATTGTTGAAGGATGGCTACATGTCCACTGGTGGAGGAACGCCCAGCTCGAAGAAGGACATGGGAAAGTATACCACGAAGTCCTCCTTCAAATCACTTCTCGTTTCGCGGTCTCTCATATCTCCAATGGCACAAGTAACAAAAACTATTCTTTCAGGATTCTCTCGGGTGGATTTTTGTCGCTTACTTATGTGAAAGAAAAACGTAAAGAGAAAATGCTGCAAAAGCTGGGAATGAAGAAGGGACAGGTTTGTATTTCGGATTACTAGATTGTGCCAAATCCAGGTTCCTGTAGCTCACTTTCCATATTTCACAGAAAGCCGAGAATGAAAGTGCGCCTGTGCAAGTTTCGTCGATTTGTCGCATGCTCTGCAGTGCTTCCGGGAAGCACAGCGAACTGAACGGTTTACTTCACTATCAAAATTTCCAACAGGCTTCTTTTCAGTTTTGGTGGACGGCGTTCCTTACACTGGCATTCGTTACTTCCAGACGTCGCCTCATTGGCAAACCCACGTCAAGGCGTTTCCCATCGCGCTATTTTCTTCAATTCCTTCCAATAACCTCTTCATGACTTCTCAAAACACTCTTTGAATCGCTAATTTTATCTGTACAGTTCATTTTTGGTATATGGCATCATCTGTTCGAGCTTATGAGAGTACGAGGATTGCGCATTTTATTAATGCTCTTTCTGGACTAATTGCGGGCTTTTAGGATTAATTTCTCAAATAGCTAATTAAATTAAGTTTCTCTAATTAACCTGATTTACTGTATTACATGTAATTATTACTATTCTTTGTGCTTTTATATTGATTTTGATTTAATTTTTGCCATTTGTGCTTAAGTGCTTTCTTGTTGTATTTCAACTCGTATGTGCCGGTCATCAGCCTGATTCCATCAAATGCATGTTTTTTCTATCTTTACATTCCTAGTCTTCGATAAAGCAAATTGCCTTCGGTTTTTTTTTGTTTATGAGTTCACTGTGTTTCCTTGTTCAGAAAGATACTATTTTAGTTACATTCTGGGGCTTTCCGGGAAGCATTGCTCACTACTTTCCATTCAAAAGATAACTTGAAAGATATATAATACACGATCATATGTTTTTTAAACAAACAAAAAAACGAGACTTTTTTCTTCTAAATACAGCTCATTCACGGCTTGCTTGAGCCATCGAAAAAGGGTTCTGACACGATAAGGGAAAAAGACAGTGTCTGGCTGGTGGAGAGCGCAGACAGACCACGCCTCCTCAGCATCTCAAATGATTCGGCTATACACTGTTCAAAAACATTCATGACCTTACAGGTGGATGCTCATGAGTGCCCGAAACGGCCATTCCAACGACTATGAACTCGCCCTGCAGGAAGTATAGTTTTATTTTTAAATTACAGCAACAGCTAGCAGTATTCAAAAAAATGCGCTGGATTTTATTTATCACTCGAAATATGCCGAAAAAAAGTTTTTTTTTTGAAGTGCATCCAAAAAAACTCGTTTTGTTTTCTGGATTCTGTTATATATTTAAGTTTTTTTGAATGAGTTCATACTTTCTCGTTCACAGAACTTACCAATAGCGACCTATTCAATAATTTGTAATGACAGACTGGAGTCGAACTAAAATATTTATCATAGTGAATTTTTCCAATGTAAAGTCTGTTGCATAACGGCAAAAATTAGGAAATCGAAAATTCGCCGTTGCGCAGCGACGCCACAGACGGCAGCCAGCCACCAGCCGTCGAAAAAGTGGATGGCAAGGCGCGAATTCTGCGACCTCAGAGGGCTTCTTCGCCTCCGCTGCCCCACGCGGCCCTCCAGACGCGTCCGAGCCTCCGCGTCCAGTCCTCGCAGCAGCTGAACGTCCAACCCTCGGTGCAGCAGCAGAACGTTCAGCCTTCTGGTCATCAGCTCTACCGGATCTCTCAAGGCAACATCATCGTTCATCAACCTTCTCATCAGAATAGTCAGAAAGAGTGAGTTCCAATAGATTTGCATTTCTCAAAGCTCAGCTCCGAACAAAAAACCCAAAAAAAACAGTTTCCAAAGATTGACTTTGAATTTCCACTCACTCATTAAAAGCTCACAAAAAAGATCATTTCACTTTTTCGTTCTAACATTTCGTTTAAACTCGCTTAAAAATTTTTTATGCTGATAAAGCTGAAAAAAACCTTCCCAACTCGTAATTTTCGTTTCTTTGTCTCAAAATTACCCATCCAAAAGTTCCATCTTTATTGAAGTTCTCAATTGAGCAGTTTCAGGCTCTTTATAGAGCTTCAAAGAATATAACAGAAAACTTCCTTAAAATTTCACCGGTGGGAAAATTCAAAGCCTCAATTATAATTTCTATCTATTGAAAACATTCCAACTTTTGATTCAAAATGATTCATGAGACTCTTTTCTAGTGGAAAAACATAGTCTCTGATGATGAATTTTGAAGGCATCCACAAACTTCGTTGGTAAATCCGGGGAACCCGATCAGAGCTCCTCTCAACAGCTTGCTCCAGAGAAAAGGCAACCAGAAAGCGGTCACCGAGGCAGTTTACATCGAGTCCTGTGCGTTCACTCGAATTCCACAGCGAATAATTGAACTCTGTTCAGCAAGAAAATTACTTTTTCAACTGCGGCTCGCTGCTCGGAAGGCCTTCAACCTCACGACGGCGCCCAAGGAGACAGAGAAAGACAAAATAAGAGAGCACTACATGACGGTGCAGAACATCTTCCAGTAACCTTGCTTTCCATTCTTGTCAACTTTTCTGTTTTCAGACAGCTTGAAAGTTTGGCCCTGGCCCCGGTCCGTGTTGATTCTTCAGCGCCACGGTTCGCAAAGGTCTACAATCTGATGGGGAAACACGTCAAGGTATGGGTTACCTTTTGTGATTCGGCAAGTCTGAAATCAACAATTGGATTGTCATAGCATGAAATTCGTTCTCTTAAAGACTATTCATTTTTCTTGGATTTCTCAAAAATAAATTTTTAAAGGCTTCAAGATTTTAAGTTTCAGATTCAGCCAACCAAAAATAATCGAAAAAATATAATTTATCTTTCCTCTCGAAAAAAATCATGAGATAAGATGCTTTTGTTTTGACATGAATTTAGGAGAAGAATATTATTACTTTGTGAAAGATTCATATCCGCCATTAAATTTTTTACTGTGATCTGTTGAAAAAGTGATAACCGAATAAAAATGGAAGTTACTGAGGGATAAGATCAGAATAAGTGTTAATTTTATCGCAGGACGAACCAGCAGGACTCGTGGACGAAAACGCCAATCAGCTTTTCGAAGACATATCTAAAATCAGCTCGCATCAGGTTTCCATTCGTCTTGGACACAAATGTCGTGAAGCGAAGACATTTTTATTCGAACTGAGGTTTCAGCTGAGGGCGGCGTCGGCACAGGAGGCGCTCCGAGCCGAAGGCGTCCGTCCGGTGATTCATCGTTCCTCGTTGGCCCAACCGCGGCACTTTTCCGCCCGCAGTCCTCATGTAGGACTCGCGTTCGACCTGAGCCTCTTCCTTGCTTCAGGAGATCCACAAACAGTTCATCCATTGCTTGTATAACGTCATGCAGAAGGAGAAGTCCAGCAGCACTTCGAACAGTCTCACCAACGTTCTGCAAAACAACACTCATCCGAATCTCGAGACTATTTTCGAGGTAAACAGGTTCAGCCTTCTATGTATCAGATGGGGCTGACGCTTTGCAGAAGTTGATGAAAATTAGGACCCGTTCAAAGTTTCGGTGTACATAATTAAAAGAAAAATCAGCCCAACAAGGAAGGTTTTTGAGCCTGGCATTCTTAAATTTTATAAAACTTGACCAGAGATCTCGTTCATTTGCCACATTCATATGAAAACGCTGAAAATATGAAAGCAGTTTTTCGCATCAATTTTTAAAAACGAAATCTTTCGTCGTGAAATGACAGGTGAGGTTCGGATTTCGACGTCTGCGCGTTTTTGTCGAGCAACTGAAAGCAGTTCTGATGGTCAGAAGCGGAGATATCGTCGACATTTCCATTGGCGCATGCAGAGAGAAACTTCTGGACACTGTAGGTTTTAGGATTACTGTATGGTGGTTTGATTCGTATTTAGTAACCCTCTAACAATTCTCAAGGTCGAAAATGAAGTGAAATTCACAGTATGGCCAAAAAGTTATCAAAACTAGAGTTTATTTCGTTTTGAGAAAAAAATAAAATAGAAATATTTTTTTTAATAAAAAATTGACAAAATTTTTCACAAAAGCATTTTTTTATTGACAGTTATAGTTTGGAGCTATTTACTTAATTGATGCTCCATTTTTTCATTAGTAACCACAAAACTCGTAGTTTTCAAGGTATCCAGGTTAGTAGATCTAAACCTGGGTTGAAATTAGTTGAACATCTCTCACCCAGCTCCATGAAAATCACACAATGAGCCACGTTGGGGACTATTTTCGAACCAGAAACCTCGTAATGTTAAATAATTGGCAGGAATTGAAACAAACACAGAAATATTGATGAATTCGGCTCGCTTGTCGAGTTAATTGAAGTTTAGGTTAAACTTTGGTGTGCATCTTTTGCTCCAAAACTTATTTTTCCTAAATTAGGATTCAAATAAATTCCACCTCCAACATAAATGCCTATTATACGAAGAGACTTTCACAAATTTGAAATCGGAATTCATTGAAAATAAAATTCCTCTGGAAACCTCTCTCTATATTAACCTATGAAACAATTTTGATGGAAAATGTGTTGTTCTATTTTTTTTTGCTCAGAAGATAGTTGAAAATACATCAAAACTTTTTGCGAAGACGAACAAGTTAGCAAGGGATTATAATTAGATAAGATGAATAAACTGCTCAATAAACTTTTTGAAAGTTGAAAAAGTTCAATTTGAGAACGGAAGGAAAAAAATATTGAAAGTTGGAGAAACTTGTGTTTGATAATTTCAGAACGGAATCAGACCTTCGGCCCATGAATGTTATCGACAAATATCGGGTTCTGCTCGTGCAAAGCTTGTCGGCGGGGCTTTTTCGCGTCTACAGTCAGTGTCCAGTCCAAACTGTCGTAGACCTTTATTTCTCAATTAAGGTCAACTACATCCTTCTCTCTGATCAACGTCTATCTCAATTATTACGTTTCGTGTTTCACCAAGAAATGCATCGTTTGCGGGTCGGTTTTCCTCGCAGTTAGTTGCATAACCACGTTTTCAGGAAAGTTATGCGAGACTTCGCCCCGCCCACTCGCGTCATTTTAGGTTCCAATCACCGCGATACACTTTTTTTCCATGAATTTTGTCAAAATGTCAAAGTTTAAAGCATCTACGGTTTGCAGTTTTCTTGCCAAAATCTATCTCTATCCCTACGGTTTCAATTTTTTTTTACTTTTTTTACGGTTTCATTTTTTCTCCAATAAATTTAAGATTTTCCAAAAATTTTGGTAGCTTTTCTCTCCATCGAAGTGTTTACAATCTTATGTCATATTATCTCAACATGTGGGATGCTAGAAAGAAGCTTTCCTCCTGGAATTGCCAGCTGGCGGCCCGCATCGTAAAAGCTTGAAGTAACTTTTCAAATATACAGAAAACAAGAAAGGTAAAGATAACTGTAGTTATGAAATGGCTAACGGAGGCACAAAACGGGAAAAAGCCTCTCTGTGGATGTTTGTTGAAGCAAATTTCTGAAACAGAGCGGCTGGCTTAGAATGATGAGTTCGTGGTTTCATTTTGGCGGTTGCATGATTCTCGTGATAGGCAAATGTAGCGCGTGCAACGCTGGGCGAAATGAAAGGAATTCTGTGGGAGCGAGGCTTTCCTCCGCTCGCCGTTGAATTTTACGAATCGATGCGCGTCTGTTTTGCATCGTGCGCTATCTGCCAGCATGAACGTGAGCTCCAGCACTTCCTCCATTTGTTTTTTGATCTTCTATTTCCCATTCGTCAGATTTTTCTTTGCAACATCTTCGTTTTTTTATCCTCCCCTGTTTAATTGAACAGCTGTCAGCAATTTTTTCGAAAATTTCAATTTTTCATATTTCCTATTATCAAGAAAAAAGGCTCAGAATCCTTTTTCTTTTTTTTTCTTAGAAGTTAAACCTTAGAATAATTTTGATGAAAAATAATAATATATAACCATTGCAACTTTTCGAAATTAATTTCATTCGACCAAGCTTTATTTTAATAAATTTTTGGGTTCTCCATTGGGAAAACCTTTTATAAATTCATCGCCGAAACCATTAAAAATTTTTGAGCTGTCCAGATATTTATAATTTAAAGAAATGAAAGCTTGCGCCTTTACCTTTCTGTTTGTTTTTGCGTCTACTTGTCGCCCCGGCTTGCCTCGTGTTGTGTTGTTCTTTGAGAATTCACGACTCGCCAGCTTTCGGTTCAGGCGCCCGTTGTACTACCTTCAGTTTTCAGATGTTCCGCCGTTTTTTCCTCTGATAATTCGAAAGTTTTGTCATCTGTTTCTTAGAATTTATTACTCTTGACGTCGACTCTACAACCAAAGGTGAGCTTTTATGACAGAGTAAACACACTTTTTTCTTATTTTGTACATCCTTTTTAGGTTTTTTTTTTAACTTTCCGCATGTCTAAGTTACGCCTCTTTTCTAGACTTTTTTTTAAAAAGTTCTAAGGAACTCTTACAGATTGTTTTTCCTCTTTTACGCCTAAATGTTTCTTTAGAAGTTCAAATCACTTTTTACTTTTGCTTTCCACCAACGTAGCTTCTGATGAATCGCCAGATTTCGGGTATAGTGAGGTTTCAGTGGCAAGATGGTGCTCGCGGCGGTTTTGTCGATGCTGCGGTACGTCGGCGGCAGTGACGACCGCGACTTTGTCGACCGTTTGCACTCCTATTTCACGTGCAACATTCTGATCGGACTCGCTGTTTTAGTCAGCTTCAAGGTGATATTCTTCTTTATTTTCGACACGCTCCTTGATTTTTCAGCAGTTTGGCGGAAAACCAGTAGAATGTTTAGTACCGGACATGTTCAGTAGCAGTTGGGAACAGGTTCTTTTAAATTTCTTTCTAATTTTTTATATTTTTTACATTCTAAATTTTCTTGTTTGAAGTACGCAGAGAACTACTGTTGGGCCAGTGACACCTATTACGTTCCGATAGGAGAGGCAGTGGCTGGATTAGGAGACGCAGAGAGGCGCCAGAGAAAAATCAGCTACTACCAGGTTATCGGTTTTTTTCTTCTTCTTATCTCTTTTGAGTGAACTTATAATTTAGCAGGCCCTATAACTTCATTATATATCTTACATCTGATTTTTGATGAGTATTTGTATTTAGATTTCAATCCTGACGCTCAATAAAGAGACTTAAAGTTAAGAAAGGTATCAATAATAATAGAAATTTATGAATTTTTCAAAGTCACGGCTCGTTGGAAAAAGTCAGAAAACTAGATTTTTTTGAACTGAGCTAACAATAAAACACTGAAAAACTTGTTTTTTTTTTCAGTGGGTGCCGTTTTTCCTGTTGATGGAAGCCGCGTGTTTCCGACTTCCAAGTCTTCTCTGGCGGTATCTCTCCGGCCATTCTGGCAAGTCATTCTCACAGTCTCAAACCATCTCAACAGAATGAAAAACCTAAAACAAGCGTTCACTTTAAGTCCTACCACTTTTGAAGAAGTTTTGTCTTTCTTCTGTCAGAATCAAAAAGTTGAAATCTTAATGTAAAGCTATGTTTTAAAATAAATAAGTGTAAAAATTGAAAATTCAGGAATAAAAATTCACGAAATCGTGAAACTTTCCTCTGATCCCAACAATATCAAGCCCGATATCAAGAGAGCCAATATTCGATCTTTGACTGTTCATCTACAGGTTCAAACTTTTTTATTTGAATAAAAGCGAATGTCTATAGGGAGCTCTGAGATTCCACAGACGACTGCAGAAAAAGCAAATCCGGCCGCACAAAATCTTTTGGGCTTTCAACTTGCCTTATTCTGCTTTTTTCGTTACTTCAATGTATTTATGTACAAAGTTCTTTTATTTGGCCAACGTTTGTACCCAACTTTTACTCATGAACAAGTGAGCTCTAACTTATTATAACCACCTTTCTCTTCTTCCCCGTCAGGTTCCTGGAAACAGACAAATACGAGTGGTACGGCTTCGGAGCGTTGGTCGACTTGCTCAACGGCACAACTTGGCTCCAATCCGGCGTTTTTCCTCGTGTGTCCCTCTGCGATTTCGACGTGACTCTTTCCTGGAGAATATGATTCGATTCTTCTTTTCCAGGTTCGGGTTATGGGAAACGTACAGGAGCACACTATCCAGTGCGTCCTCATTATTAACATTTTCAACGAGAAAATTTTCATCCTTCTATGGTTTTGGTATGATTTTCTTCCTCTTTTCTCAGAAGATCGATTTTTTTTTCTTAAGGTATCTGGCCTTGGTGTTTTTCACCTTTGGGTCGTTTATGTACTGGATGTCGGTGTCCATTTTCGGAAGTTTGAGTCGTCGGTTCATCATCCGCCACTTGGAAATGAGTGAAATTTCCTTTGACTCTACAGGTCAGAAGTTTGCTTTATTGCAGTTTAGTTCCTATCAATGTTCATCAAATTATGCCCAATTAATGAACCACATTTTTTGAATATTTGTAAACGATGTCGGAAACAAGAATGAGCTCATCAGAGTATTCTCAAATATAATCTTCTTTGAGACTGAAAATACTTGTAAATCGACAAAATTCACCAATTTTTTGCTCGAGGAGCCAAATTTTCTGCTTTTCTCGTGTAGGATCATTTTCTCATTTTAAATATGAAAAATTCGCTCAAAAATGAAAAGGAAAAGAAATCTTCGTGGTCAATATTTCACAAGGTATCAAAATCATTGTTCTCAACCGTTTCGCATGAAAATAAATGTTAAAACGATACATTTTTTCAATGTTGCGAAATCAATTTTCACTTCTAATAGTTTTCGAGTCTTTGAATTCGACGTCTTTCAGAAGAAGGAGCTGTGGAAAAAGTAAGAAAGTTTATTGACAACTATCTGAAAAGCGACGGAGTTTTCGTGATAAGAATGATGACGCTGCAGTCTGGAGTACGTTGTCGTGGAAAGCATCGAACTCAAAGAGGTTCAGGTCATCTTCGGGACAGACCTTGTACAGGAGCTCTGGAAGAACTTCTACGGCTCGGAGCAGCAGTTGAAGAGAAGTAACTCGATGCCAGGCATGGAGCACGACGGCGAGCTTGCCACCGAGCAGACCTGGGGCTGGCCGCCGCCGCCGCCGCCAGCTCACCGTAAGCTATCTTTGGTATTCCAAATAACTTTCGAAGAAAAAATCATCTTTTAACGAGATCCCAGAAAAATAATGATAGAAATTGAGAAATCAATAAGAAAACAAGAAAATCGAAATTTTTTTTCCTCATTCTAGCTTGTTTGTTTCAGCGTATCACCGCCAGAACCTGAAAAATGCGAACGCTCTCCGATGGAGAAGGGCTCTGGGCGCCAACACGGACAACGCCATGGTGACGCAGGATTTGCTGGAGAAACTCGTCCCTCCAAAAGATTCTGACAACGCGGCCACGCGCAACGCTTTGCTGTGAGTTTTGTTAATTTTTAGCGAGTCTATTTCGCATTTTATTTTATTGGATCAACTTTCGTCGATAAGTGGCGTGTAAGTTCTTTTTTTCAGAAGAATGAGTCTGATGGCGTTTCAGAATTCAGAATATGATCAAGGGGTGAATTTAATGCTTGTTGGTTCTGTGATTGTACTCGTTGCTTTTTATGTTATCACCTCATGCATGGGATAGATCTTATCAGCGAGTTTCCAAGAGGAAGCTCATGATATCGGAGTTCTGAATAACGAACTGTTTCGTAAGGACTCAGAAAAGTTCGGGCTTTGGCTTTTCACAAGCGCAGTCAAGAAAGTTTTAATTTGCTTGCAAACGCAAAAGTGTCAATGAGAGATCAAGAGGGGACTAAGAGGCCAGACTGTTTCAAGACTCGCAAATACAAAAATTTCCCGTTAGTTTATTGATTTTGTGTGATATCTTTTACTCAAAACAAATTTCCGATTTTTTTTTCCTTTTCCGAAGAAAAAAACACTGTTTAAAAAATTTTCTAATGTAGTTTTACGATATAGTTTTTTTAGCTGATAAAAATCTGCCCATGTGAACCCTGCATTTTTTTTTTTTGAAAGCTTTTCGGTTGCAGAAGACAGCCGCGAACGGTGGCAGTGGGCTATGAAGACGCAGAATCGCGAGAAGGAATTCAGCCGCCGGCGTTCGTCAGCGTCCGCGATCTGCCTCAGCCAGCCGAACCGAAGCCTCCGACAGGCGTCTCTACCTTCAAGCCTTCCTCCGAGGTCCCACAACGAAGGCTCAGTCTCCAAAAATAGGGGGATAGGCGTTCATTGACTTGAGTTCTCACATAAAAAATGCCTCGAAGAAGCAATTTAGAAATATTCACGTAGAGAAATATCTCACGGCTTTTTTTCAGGTGTTTCTTGTTTGACGTTGCTTAATCATATTTTTTATCAGCATTTTGTTTGAAATCTCGAATTGTTGCGCAATGTTCTACGTGTATTTTGTGAAACATAATCGATCATATCAAATTAAGCTTTATCGGTACCGATTTCGTCCTTATGTGCCTTAACTAGATGCTCCAACGAGCTGAGAATCTCTGATAACGTAATCAAGGCTTTTTCACTTTTCTACTTTTCTTTGGCTTACCATAAACGGCTTTAAAAAGAACTATATTTATTTTTTCATGGAGAAAAATGGTTCTTTGTATTACTTACTGTGATATGTGAAAAAAAAAAAACAAAAATGAAAGTTAAAAATTCATATCCTTGACATGACTACTTTTGAAGGGAAGGAGCGAATCCAACTTGCTGATTTCCAACGTCGTAGATCTTTAAAAAAAAAAAAACAGTTTGTCCAGAAAAGTTCAACTGACGTTGCAATATTGGCGAATGAAGGGATCGCCGAGAATCCAGCTAGGTCCGAATCCGAAGTTGTTGAAGGGGAAGATTGTCAAAATGCAGTTGCTACTTCCATCGCCTTGAAGATTTCGGTCTCTGACCCGTAGTCTCAGACTCACCGAGAGGGACGATGCTGTTCTTGGGCTGAATAGAGTAGACGTTGCTGCCTATAGTCAGGTCGATGGAACCAATCTGCGCCGCACAGGGGATGATGTAGACTCCGTAATCAGCGTTCCACTGAAAATCGAAGAACTTTCGAAGAACCTTTCTTCAAGATCTTACCGTGCCCCCGAGCGCGCTTCCAATGGCGGTCGCGACAGCTTGAGGAGCTCCAAGAAGCGATGTTCCTGTGTCAGAGATGACCTGCCAGCCTTTGTTCGAGGAGTAGGAGCCTGCTTTCACAGCGCTCATCTCAAGAAGGAAGTTGATTCACTTAGTCTTACTTGAAAACCTTGAATTGGTAATAAGTAGCGGAAGAAAGCGGCTGGTAGGCGATGAGAGGTCCGCAGTTGGTGGTATCTATTCCTCCATACGTGTAGACGCCTCCAGGCACGTTGTTAGCATCGCCTTCGTGCTCCAGGAACACGGTGAACAACGGCTGGTCCACAAGGTTCTATAAAAAGTCACAGATATCCTCAGAAGTTTTTTGGACCGACCTGGTTGATGGCGTTGATGAAGGGAGGAGTGACCTGGTCGACGGCGATAGTCTGGAAAGCGAGGCCGAGAATTCCATCGAGAGGTTGCTGAACATATACTTTTCTCAGCAGATTAGCGAGGCTTTACTCCTTCGAAGAAGGCTGCAAGGCTAGTCGCCTGGCCGAAGACAGTGTTGGGCACAACGAGTTGGGCCTGGCCGATGCCACCAAATCTGACTGTGTCTTGTCCCAAAAACCCTTTCGCTGATCCAGTTCCATACTGAATTCTCCTCAATCTTGCTTGTAAGAAAGCGATTCGCACCTCAATGATGAAGTTGCGTCCGTTCTTGACGTAGGTAGAGGACTTGGAGGCGTCGAACTTGTTCTGCTGGAGGCAGGAGTCGGTGTAGTTAGGTCCTGCTCCACAGCAAGCCTGATCCGGACACTCAAACTGGCACAAGGCTGAACAAAGCTGTCTTGAAGAGAAACGAATGGAAACCAACCTCCTTTGCAAGCGCCTTGGTTGCAATTTCCGGGCTTGGTTCCACACGTAATGTCTGGAATCCACAAGTTGGCAGAGCCCGTGTCCAAGATTACCTGCAAAATAACATTTGTCTGTTCGAAATTGATTAGCAGTTTACCGTGAATTGCTGTTCAGGAGTACCGATTGTAATGTTTCCGATGTAGGCTTCATCTTCGTAGTCGTTAACCTTGAAATCAAATAATGTCTTTTTTTGCGATCGTTATTTTTTTCTGCGGAAGTTTTATATTTTATAACTTTGTATTGTAAGTGTAACTTTTTTATTTTTCAATGAAATAATATCTCAATCTTCAAAATCGTTTAAAGTGTGTCGAAAAAAGGATAGAAAACATTCTGAAAGGTTTTCAATTTTGTTTCACATCATTCAAGACACCTCGTTTCAGCTGGTGCTAACAAAAAATGTTTGATGGTCACAGAGAAAAGGATAATAAGAATGCCTTATTCAATTTTAAGATCTTACTTTCGACATGTATATTTGTTTTCAATCCAGGGCCTTTAAAAAAGGTTGCGATACCTGCTGTGGAACAGAAGCGTCTTTGCTAATCATCAACGTGCGAATGTCCTTCTTTTTCCGGTACTCAGCCCAAGTTCCTTCGCGGATCATTCGGTTACGAATGGGCTCGACTTTTTGAAGAGGGACCTGAAACAGAACGGTCTTTTGGGATTGATTTGCCAGATAAACCTGGACAAGAGCCGAAACGGCGCATCCTAGCACAGCGAGAAGAAGGACGGTCCTCATAGTCCGATGAGAGGAGAACTGATCAGAAGCTCCTTATCTGCATCCGTTTCGTCGCCTCTTGATAGCGAAATCATCTTCTCTTTCTTATCTTTTGCATCACGTATGTCAGATAAACATAGTAGAAAGATGGTTTTTATAAACTCCACAACAATGATGAAACATGAGATCGACGAAAACAATATACCCATTTGAACTAAAAGTATTCTGCACTAGACACATCTATGAATTTTTTTCCGTCTCTGGAATGACGTGTTTCGAAGAAATCACTGGCGGTCGGATTCGATAGAGCAGGTCATCGTAGAGCAACATGTCGTTGGAGCTCATGTGGTGCAAGGAGATCAGCTGCGGCGAAGCCCAATTTCTTCCCTGAACTCACAACCTGCAGCTTTTGCTCGTTCATGATAGTCGTGAGATGAATTTTGCCGCAGACTTTTTCGGCATGTATTCTGGATAACCCACGAGAATAGGCTTGTAGAAGTGCCACTCGGCGCCGATAGTGCCTTGGAACATCTCATCGGCGCGAAATGTGTTGAAGCGCGAACGTCCATTGGCGTCACGGGTGTCGTGAGGAGTGATTCCAACAGATTCCAGACATCTGCAAAGGAACCGGTGGGCCTATCTGATCGGAAACGACCTACCTCGCCATTCCAGTGTCCTCGAACTTGTCCCAGGGGCAGGTGGTCGTGTTATGAAAAGCGCCCTCGATGAACCGCCGTACAGCTTCTCGGGACAAAATGTAACCCGCACCTCCGCCGTTGTATCCTCTTCGCTAAACTTTAGTTTGATCTTTCTCTTCTGACGGGGGTTGAAGAAAGCCATGAATCAGGTGGTTCTTTCTTTTCAAACGGAATCTAGATTTCAGTGTATCATTTGTAACACGATTTGTTTCATCTAAACAAAGTTGAGCGGTATCAACCTCAATAAATGTCTCATTGGGAGTTGAATTTTCAAAGATTCTGTACAACATGTAAAAAAACACGGTAAGATACGCATAGTTAAACTTTCTATATTTTGATGAGAACTTTTCAAAGTTCCAGCCTACAGCATCGTTTCAAGGATGAAAAACAGAGTTCTTTCTTGAAAAAAGAAACCAAATAGTTATGCAAAATGAATTTCTTAGAATCTGATTATCGTACATCAATGATTGTTCCAGAAAGTTCTGAAGTCCCCAAAAAACGAACTTTTTTCCAAATCAAAACAGATTACTCACAAAGTAGGGTTTGAGCACGTATCCGAGGTAATACGGCTTTTTGGGATCGAGCGTTTCCAGGTACTCGTAGAGATGCTCAACAATTATGTACGTGTCGTCGTCGGCCTGTGAGATTTCTTAGTCTTAACTGTTTTTATTGTTTGTTTTTCGGACCCGTCTCACTTGGCTTTCAAATTTCCCGATCAAAAAATATTCGTTTTGTGCAAAAATTTGTCGATCTATGTAGCTGAACGAAATGCGCAGCAATGGAAAAATAGGGAGTGACGATTAAAATTACCTTGAGGTACCAGTCGAATTTGTCGGAGATTTTGGTGAACGCGTAAAAAAAGGACAGGATGCTCTTATTGAAGAGGTCCTCGTAGGTGTCTTTGAGGTTGGCGTAGACCGTCGAGTGGGGGATTTTGGAGTTGCTGAGAGGCGTCGGCGTGAAGAACTGGCCGTGCTCACATCGAGGTAGCCACGTCGCCCAGACTGCTGGCACCTGCAGAATAACTGGCTGCGGACCTTGATCGGCGACTGTCACAACTCTTCACGCTTTTTCTGTTCAGCGGCTTCACTCGAAACTTTTGCCGCGCCGATCATTCTCAACTTGGATAAGCCTTATATTCAGGAAAACTTTAAAAGTATCTCTCAAATCTCTAAGTTTTGATTTATTTCAGTCTGAATGAGAAACTATCGGCTGAAAAAGACCAAGCTTTATTCGTTGTTCGCTGAGGTGTTTACGTAGCTTTTTCCTCTTGTTTCGATGTTTCACCCGTGGCCAAGGAACAAGATAAAGTCGGAGATTTTGAAGCGATAACCGAAAATGACAGACGACCAACCCGCGTATCGTAGTATTTGGATGAGGTCTCGACGAAGCAGAAAAGTTTGCCGGATTTGGGCAATCCTTGGGCGGTAGGAGTGCTGGTCACGCCGCGGACCCATTTGTCCACGTCGCGAACTCTGAAGTCGATCGATGGCTGTGGTAAACTTCGGCTGACCCACTCATCGACGGAGCCTCGGATGCCAGAAAATGAGTCGAGAACCGATTTCGCAAATCTGCAAATCTCAACTACCTCTTCGAAACTTGAATGCACTCTGGAATGGACACAAATTTCATCTTTTTAAAGAAAAAAATTTTGAGCGAAATGAATGGTTCAACTATTTCAAGTCTTACACGAGGCCTTCAAACTGCAAAAAGAAAGGCAGGACAAATACAATGAGCAGAGCGAAAGTGCAGAGGAGCAGCAACAAGGAGGAGAAGCGACGGACGAAGTTCATGGCAGGAAGTCTGACCGTCGTCTCTTCGATCGCCGCCTTCCTGTCCACGCCCAAGTAGCCTTTCGGGGATGCGGCCCAACGATAACGCCATGGCAAAGATCCCTTCCGGAACTGCCTGACTTCAGTGTCCAGCAGAAGATATTGCTTTCTTTGAATGAATGAAAAACACTTTATGCGGTCTATCTGGCAAGCCCATCTCTGAAAGAGAGTTGGTTTTGCGGGAACCTTTTGAAAATAAATTGTTTCTTCAAGGGGTATGTAACGCAAGCGTTGATCAAGCTCGACCCTGGGGGCGTTTTACTCATCTTCGATTAAAAATGAAATATTTTATCACAAATTTAATGGAGAGTTATCGAAATCTTGAGTTGAATGGAGGCTTAGCGACAGACAAAAGCTTTTTCTCAGGTTTGCCGAAAAGGGCGTTTCCACTTTAGGGACTGATTTCCGACTGGAGAAGCCTGTAGATCATAAATCTTTCTTTCAAAAAGTTTTTAAGATCAAAAAAATTGAGTGAATGAGAAAGAAGTAAAAAAAGAAAAAAAGAGATGTTATAGGCCATTCCGCGCCAGCTTGTCACGTTTTTCTTTCCGCCAAAAGGTCAGGTCAAATTTGACCAACTTCGCTTCAAGACCTTTGTTTCTTGCCGTTATAAAATCTGAAATTTTATCTAATTTGGTATACGGTCTTTTGGCGGAAAGAAAAACGTGAGAAGCTGGCGCGGAATAGGCTATACCTGTTTGTCAAAACGGAGACCGATCTTCGTTTCAAGCAAAAGATCAAAAAATCTTTATTCTTCGCTTCAAAATAAGATCATATCTTTATCCTTCCACACACAAATACGGTATACATTATATGGCATACCACAAGAGTTTGCCAATTTTGGAAAGCTGGCAGAAAATATTCGATTCCTTTTCTGAAATTATCATTATGAACGATAAAAAACATATTAACCTTAATTTTGCTAGTAACTGAAATAAGGTTACTGAGTTTTTTGATGGCTTCTGAATCAAAAACTTTGTTTCTCCTTCTTTGCAACTTTTAGTTCGAGTCGAATAGTGAGTGAATGAAGTTGTAGACTTCAATCGCAGGGAAGAGTGCCGCTGAGAAAAAACCTCAAGTCCGAGTCAAACGACCCTTTTTCACCTCCCGATTCGTATCTTGCGTTTTCTCATCGCTTGAGTTTCTTTTTGAGAAGAAAAAGTTGAGGTTTTCGATTTTGAGACAAATCTTTTACAGATTGTTTTGTTAGATGACGAGATTCCTTTCATGTCCTTTTGAAATCTCAGCACGTTTCCCATATTCTTGGTTTTCTCGCTCATGTTTGGAATGTAGAGCCTATTGATATCGGACTTCTCTCAGATCTGTTCTGCAGTATAGGTTGAGAGTGTAGACTTTTTGTTGGCGCCACAAAAGAAATCTGAGAAATCTCTAAAACTTTTTTTTATTGAAGACTAGCTGAGAGAGAAAAAAGTTTTCATCTCGCCTCTGGCAAATTGGGTTTCCCGCGCGAGTTTCTGAAGTTGCCGCATTTCGTGGCGCATGAGAAGACGATCAATGTGTCCGCGACACCTGACGGACTCTCCGAGTTTCTTTCTGACCACACTCCAGTCTTCCGCGCTGCTTCCTGCTTCTTGTTTTCGTTCAGTTGAGCTCACTGATCCCCTTCTGCTAATGTCTTTCATAGATTAGTCTCTGGTTCTTTTGATCTCCTAAATTGCTTGTCCGAAACTCATTCAAATGGATAGGTCGAAACTACCAATTAACTCGCAGGAACTCTCCGTGTTCATATGTGAACTACAGTCTTCGTGAGGTTTATTTAGTATTAAATTCCTTTGACTTTTCTCAAAAATGTTTGGCGTCGGCTTTGCCTCAAAAAAGGCTAGTAAGCTGTGTGAAACGTCAGAGTCATCAATTCTTTCCAATACCAGCGACAAAAAAGCATCGAAATCATCAAAAGAACTGGGAAAACTGCGAGAAATCAGTCTACATGGAATCCTCTCACAAAATTTTTTTTTCGCAGCGTGGCCAGTTGTTCAAACTTTGGTGTTCGAGTCGGTCGTTTCTCTCTGAATTCCCGTTGTTTCATTCTGCCCTCTGCAATAAATTCTTAATCAACTTTCTTTCCTATCTTTCGTTCTGAATTCTTCGTTAGTTGTAAGCTTTTGTTCATGATGACACGGGGGCTTTGGAAAAAAAAAATTCTTTTCATGGAGTATAATCAAAACTCCTTCTTTGAACTCAACTTTGTTTTGAATTTCCTTTTCTCAGCTATTCATCCTGCCACATGGCTACGCGATGAGCTGGCTCCCTCGAAGTGCAGAAAAGATCATTTTCGCAGCATACGTTTCTATTTCCAAGCTTCGATTTTTTCTCTTTTTTTCCGGGATTTAAAAGCATTTTCCCTTCCTTGATAAGTTCCTCAAGAGCAAACCATTCACGCTAATTGAATTGGTTTTTTTTTGAAGTCGACTTTCAAATAGAAACTTTTGAGTTCTTCATCTTTTCATTTTTCTCACTGACATGTGATGTAACCTCGAAAAGCTTCTTTCTCTGACGTTTTTTGATGAAAAAAACTAGTCTGGCTCATTGTATGGTATGCTCTAACTGTATTTGATCTCTAGATACTACGTTTCTATGTGGTAACCTTTTTAAGCCTGGAGGTATACTCTATAAACGATGGAAAACTCTGAAAAGGACATTTTATCCTCATCAGCAAGGCAAAAAAGCCGATCACACGCACTATTGCGTCTTGGATGTATGCGGCATCCATTAGGAAACATTTATGAAACGTTTTTTTTCCTGACGTCTATTCCTCATGATACATTATGACGAGACTTCCGGATCTTGTTGTCTACTCTCATTCATTTTCCACTTTTTTTCTTCTTGCAGACATTTCCTCCTCACAACCTCAAGCTGATACTGATAGAGTGCAAGATAAGTTCTCTCTATACGAAAATTTGGTTTTTTCCTCAAGATTCTTTTTTCTTTCGAAAAGCTCTGCTTGAAATCTGGAAGGCACAGTGAAGACACAGGCTCTTTCATCAAAAATTAAGTATCCGACAGTTTTGAACGAGTTTAAGAGAAAAAATATGAACAAAAGTTGTCCTCAAATAGTTCAACGTTCTTCAATAGTCCTACCTGCTTTTTTTTAGTTTTTCATATAATCCCTTTTAAGTGAGGCAAGCTATAACTTTTTCCAGAGTCATACTTTTCTAGATTTCAATAGAATGGCACAGTTATCCCTTACTAGGGAACGTTTTTTACCCCCCGGTTGAACTTTTGCTGAAACTTTGCCAAAGTGTACTTTAGGACCCCCTGATTGCAGATTAAGAAGAAAATTTCTCGCAATAGATCTTGTTTCCGAGTTATGGAGCTTCAAAGTGCGCAAAATACGCAAATTAGGCCAAAAAAGTGCTATTTTGCACACTTTGAAGCTCCATAACTCGGAAACAAGATTTATTGCGAGAAACTTTCTTTTTCATCTGCAATCAGGGGGTCCTAAAGTACACTTCAGCAAAGTTTCAGCAAAAGTTCAACCGGGGGGTAAAAAACGTTCCCTGGTTAGGTAAATGGTTTTTGTCTCGGACGGCGAGTCTAAGAAAATTATTTTTTCTTTTATATCTGACTCATCATGATTGATTATCATTTGCTGTACACTCAAAAAACAATGAAAACAAGTTTTGAATTATCATTCTTTTTCAGAAATTGAAAACCGTTCGAGCCATGACACAATAAAAAGTCCTTTATAGATCATACTAGTTTGCGAGAAAGTTTCTAGTTTTGTTTCTACTTGATTAGTTATTAAGACGGTAATAAAAATGAGCAGGATGGAAACAAATACTGAGAAATAAAAAGCGTATTCTGCTTTAAGAAACTTGGAGAAGGGTTTTCGAAATAGAGAGAATAGAAAATGGAGACGTGGAATGGGATATTTTTCTCTCGAGACTCTCAAGCAGCGCTCACAAATTCAAACGCCTCCATACTCTCTCCCTTCGTGCATTGGCTATGAGAAGCTTCATTAATATCTTGTTCTCTTTTTTCCTGCCCGATAACTAGAAAGTGCGCCCCACCGGAAACTTGCCATTTTTTCTTTTTTTTTTGTCGAACACGGCACGGTCTCTCGCATTTCATTCGAACAGAGGAGACCATCTCAATTTTCTCATTAAACCTATTGAAATACATTTTTTTGAAGTTTTTTTAATCAATATATCACATCATCATAGTTTCAAACATGAGTCACTATTTTTAGCTTTATGGTTAAAAAACTCCTTTTCCGAAATCACTTTAAATTAAAAAAACTTTCAAAGTAGATCAAGATTATATAGTGATTATTTTCTGCTCATTGGCAGAATATACTTTTTACAAAGTGGAAGCTAGTTTTGAATAATTTTATTATCAATTTTTTGATGTTAATAAATAATAATAATGATGTGAAGTTCAACCTTTTCTAGTCCAAATAGTTCTTTTCTTGTTTTTAAGAAAATTTGTCTCATACACAGCACGAATTTTGATCGAAATACAGGTTATCAGCTTATGAGATAGCTGAATTAGGAGGAATATTTGTTGATTTTCTGAATTTGGCCGTTTTTTCTCGACTATGATACGGTATCATTGATACCTTTCGTTTTATTCGTTTTATTTCATGCTCAAATTTCGCTTTTCCTCATCGCGGTATAATAACATTTTTCATTGAAAATTGCAGGGAATTTCGAGTGTATAATATTTATAACTACGAACTTTGAGAAATTTCATTTTTTTTTTACTTCTTGGCTATGTTCATTCTTCTTCCTATGTTCTGCATTCTATAACCACGGGCAAAGTCCAAAAGGTCTCAAAAAGGACTTTTGAAAAAAAAGGCCTTGAGAAGGCCTTAAAAGCAAAAAAGAAGGCGAAGGTGGAAAAAAGGAGATTCCGAGAAACTTTTGACACCTTTTTAGGAACTCAAAAAGGAGCTCTAGTCTCTTCTTTTTGAGGCCTTTTTAAGATCGTTTGGACTTTGCCTGTCACCGCACGGCAAGGTTGATTTCACTGTCAAATGAGAGTTTAAACTAGTCCACAAAGTTCAGAAAATTTTTTCTTTTCAATATTTTTCATTCAAATCAAATCATTTATTTTGTTGTTTTAGTCATAGATGTAATCGACTAGGCGGTGAACAAGAACTTTCAAAGCTATAACGAACAACCGCCTTTGGCGAACTAGAAGTCCAAACGTGTAGTCGAAAGAGTTGAAAGCATGGTCTTACGGTCCTTCGCATCGTTCTTCTGCGCGTAGTCTATCTAGTTGCGCCTTGACGAGCTCAGAGTGTAGTGGATGGTGTAGCTGGAGCCCGGAGACCGTGCTCTGTGTGGAAGCCTCAGAATGAGAGCGACCACTTCGAGTGAAGATTTTACACGGAATCGAATGGTGGTCCTGGCTGTTCGGCCTGTTAATGACCAGGGAGACTTCATTCATTTTTCGTATAATTTTCAAAGATTCCTTGTAGGTGAAAAAATCGCTAAGCTTTTTTGAACAGATTTTCTTTCCTTTTTTCGCAGCTGCAGTTTTTTCTTCTCCTGCAGGGCACCTGCATTTTTGCAAGTTGCCAAAAAGCGGTCGGTTCGTGTCGCTGTGACAACGCCTGATTCTATCGGTTGGGACCTACTATCATTGGAAACAATTTCACATTATTTTGCCGATTCGATTGCAACTGCGAAAATAGCATGTGAACGGCGGCTGGACAAGTGGCGGGTCAGCCTCCGCCGTGGACTCCCTCGTCGCCTGCGGCTCTTTTCTCTTTGCCGGCGCGTCTCCACCCTCTCGTCCTATGCGTTATCAATAACTTTCCCCAAATCCAAATTGATTACACAGGTTCTGCAAAAACAATGAACGGCATGGAAAACTCAACAAAAAAGTTGTTGACTTTCTTTTTTCTTTTCTTTTTTTTTCTTCAAATCAAGTTGGCCTTTTTTCCTACCACTACTGAGTTTATTCGAACTTTGATTGTCATAAGTCTGCGGGCCTTTTTTGAAAACGGTTTTTTTCTCTACGGAAAAAGCTATTCTGGGTTTCTTACTGTTTACACATCGATTTGATTTTTTTTCACTGTTCTCTTCAGTGGTATATTCTTGCTACTTATTTTTATTTTCACGGAACTCGCGTCAATTTTTCTCTTTCCAAAATTTTGTTTAGATCATTTCTAGCTTATCACATTTTTCCCTATTCACGCATTATATTCATTTTTTTTTCTCTGCGCGTACTCGATTCCGATGATGAAAAGTTTCAATTCGAAGCTCATCTTACGGAAATGATACAAAGAAGACTTGGATTGAAGGTGCTCAAGGAACCGTGGCTTCGTCGCAAAGCGAGTGGGAGGCCGGCGGACCACCGCGACGGTCCATCTCTACCGTGTGCGGACCCGACCATCGCCAGGTCAACGCCTTCTACCAGCATTTCTTCCCCGAGAAGGTATTCCGCCCAAGATGTACTACAAACACTTTGAAAAACATTTGATCCGAGTCAAAAAAGATAACTTCTTGAAGACAGAAGGAAAACCTACAAATACAAAGTTTATGTTTAAAATTGTTTTATATTATTTTTTAAATTCTCAGTTTGGTTGAAAATTGAAGTTGGGTAGGGAAAATTCTACAAAATTTGCAAAAATCAAGGAAAAAAACGTCGGATTGATTTAAATTTCTGTGTGCAGTGAATGTAGGCGAGAATTCGGTGTTGGTAATACGGATTTGTTTCTTATAACTCGTTGAAATTAGTCTCCCATCTGTAATCGATTTATTTTAAACTTCTTTCCCCGCAGAGTAATATTTTTTAAATTCTATTTAAAGCGGAATCGCGGAGAGAAAGTTTTTTGTGAACCAATAACTAGAAGTTGCCTCACAAGTTCTGATCACCTCAGTTACAAGTTCGGAATATGTTTTGAATACAACCGTGCTAAAAAGTCAAAAATTCAGCTAATCTTGGCATGCAAAAATGTTTCTCCACGTATGTAGGTTAATTTTTTTGTATCCTTTTCTAGATTTTCCCAGACCAAAAGACGTGGAATCATAACGATTTGTTCCTTTTTCAGTTGGCCAGTTTTGGAGGCTTCGGTTCAAACGGACTCGTGTCAGAACGCACGGCGGCACCGCACCAGCCATTTTTTCCGGTTACTTCCTCGTCTTGTTTTCCGGTCGGAAAGAGGCTCGCATGAGTTGCCAAATTTGCCTAATTACCAAAATCTTCAGTGGGCGTTGAATGAAGCTCTCCCGCCTACCTAATTAGTTTCAAAAACAAACAAAAATTTCTGATCGTAGATTTTTGCCGGATACATTCTCACGAGTTCTTCTGGAGGAAAAAAACAAGACATCTTATAATTTACAGGAACCGTCTTTCGATCCAACGCGTTTCTCACCCCCAAATGTCACGCCGCCACCATCTAACGTAACGTTTCAATTATTTCATCACTGTTTATTTTTCTCTCAGAAAGTTTTTCCCTCGATATATTTTTCCAATACTCAAATATCATGCCGCTTTTTTTGGAAAAAAATAAGAAACTAAAAAAAGCAGGAGGTTTTTTTATCGATTTTTTTCTATCAAACCTTTTTTCAAAAAGGTTTTGCTATTTTTGCATGTCTGTTTTTGAATTAAAAAGTGAACGTCTGAATCTGAAGGAACGCCTTTTTTGGCTCATTGAACTTCTTTTTTTATTGAAAAATTTCGGTTTTTATACTGATCGTCTTACTTTCTGAGCCCTTTCAAATTTTTCCAATGTACCCTATTTATTACAATTATTAAAACTCATCACGCTAAAGTCTCCACAGGAACCTCTTTGTCTGGACTAAGTTGCACCCCGCTTTCAGAACAACTACGAGTCTTGCCGAGAGAGTCCTCGGACAGTTCGGTTCGACCTGCGCTGCGACAGGCACTGGGAGAAGTCGTCGAGGGAGGCGCCTCCCCGGAAGTCGAGCCTCGCCCCCAACTTTTTCTCTTCTCACCACCACGACAGCCTCGAGAACTCATTTGTCGACCTCCAGGTCAGTCTTCGAGCTTTATTCTTAATATTTTCGAAAGGCCGAAGTTAGGCGATAACTCCGTTTAAAATTATCAATTTCTACATTTTTTCGCGACTTGGCATTCTTGGCCTTTAAAAAAAAACGAATATTGAAAAATGCAGCAGTGTTCGAAAGCGAAACTCTGATTTCCTGAATTTCTGAAAGAAAATGGTAAATTAGGGAAGTTTACGTTTTTTTCAATGCACGAAAAAAATACAAGAGAGTAGAAAAAAATGAATATTATTATTTATGGCTCGGCGATTGCAGTGAGTTTTGAAAAGTTTTTGAAGCTTTGAAAAAAATTTGAAAAAAATCTTTTTATTTCAAAGCAGAAAATCATTCAATTTTACATGTTTTTTTCTAATACTTGCTAAAAAGAAGTTTTTGAACATGAATTATTCGTAACAACTGGATGATTATGTCTTAATCGAATTTAATTTTTTTTTTAAATTTTTGTTTCTCAGATGACGTCAGGACACACAAACAGCGCCATCAACGGACACACGCCTTCTTGGAATCCAATTGTAGGTTTTTCTCATTAATTTTCTCCGTTTTCCGTCTCCCAAGATGTTCATTTCAAGTGAGAAAATTCTCTTTCAAGCAACAGATTTTGTTCCTTATCAGCGCTCTGAAAATTTGAGGATGATTGAAAAAACTTTTCCGCGATAATCCTCTTATAGATAAAAAAATGAGATCTAGAAAACCGTGTTTAGGATTTTTTCGATGAAAATTGCAGATGCGATCCGAAGGACCCCCTCCTTCTCGCAAATCTTCCTGCAACGAATCTCGTCGCTCCCCCTATCAGTGAGTTTTTCCAATCTTTTTCTTTTCCTGCTCTGCTACTCTCAAGACATGTCATAGTTCATCATGATTATGATACCAATTTCGAGAGGCCAAACCGAATCAAGCACTGCAGCTCATGCGTGTAGGACTTTGAGATTTATCCACGAATTAAAAAATTACGATTTTTGTAAATTAGTTTGAGGTATGCGATAAGTATAGTTATGTTTCAAAAAGGAAATGGCCCAAATTTTCGTAATTATCAACTGTATTTTTCAAAAAACAAAAGACAATCTCAAAAAGTATATTAAGGGCATCGAAAACAAAAAAATTCATATTTTTTTGAATGTTTAGGTTACGCCTATTTTGGGCTGCAGCTTGCATAATAGTTCTAGTTCCAATTTTCTAAGATTACTGAAAAAAGTATGAATAACTAGCCAAAATATAGTTTATCGCTGTTTTCATCTCATACGTAGACATGCTCCGGCTCACTTCTTTTTTTTTGCCTTGGAAGCTTTGCGACCTCCATTCCAACTCTTAACACGCTGTCTCTGTAATTTTTTGATGAAACTTCATCCAGTGTGATAACCCATCATCAGAAATGCGGACACAACTTTTTAAGCCATTTCCTCCTACTGTAGCCGGGTTACGGTAGACAGGTGGGCAATTGCGTATCTAAGTATTGAAGAGTTTTTACTAGGCAAGTGGTATATCAATCGATAGGTAATCCAATTTTAGGAACTTTTACAGTACATACCATCTTGGGTTACTGTAGGAATTTTCGAGTACGGCGACTTTTGTGTTTGGGAAAGTCGGTTTTTCGGTCACCCTGGTCGTCGGCATAGAATAGTTTTATATTTGATAGCTTTGAAAACAGCGGTACAGTTGGAAAGGGAAAAAAGTTCGACTTTCCGAAGGGAATCGCGCTTTTTCAAGCAAAAATTGAGTTCAAAGCGAAATTTCGGCTGAACACGTAGCATAAACGTCTCTCCAAATCCTTTTAAATAATACATAACACACTGTAGCTTTCACACCAACATCTAACAAAAGAAAAATGTGAAAAATCGTCAACCCCGACCAACCCTGGCCGCCAAGTGCCAAGTTGCGCGCGTTCGGAGTGAAATCTCGAAATGTTAGGTTTAGAAATTATAACTTTTTTTGTGGCATTGTGGAGAGCATACTGAAGGGCATATTCCATGAAAGCAATCACGATGCGATTCTATGGCGACGACCAGGGTGACCGAAAAACCGACTTTCCAAACACAAAAATTACCGTAACTCGAAAATTCCTACAGTAACCCAGGTTGGTATGTACTGTAAAAGTTTCTGAAATTGGATTGCCTAGCGATTGATATATCACTTGCCTAGTAAAAACTTTTCAATACTTAGATACGCAGGTGCCCACCTGCCTACCGTAACTCGGCTACAGTAGAACGAAATGACTCAAAAAGTTGTGTCCGCATTTCTGATGATGGGTTATCACACTGGATGAAGTTTCATAAGAATCAAAAAATAAAATTTTTTATTGTACCCGTTGTTTTTGACAGTTACAGAGACAGCGTGTTAAGACTTCATCAGGGGTCAATTTCAGTACCAAAGCATCAATACACTATTTTGTTTTATTTTCGAGCTTGTTTCGAAAAATTTCAGTTTTCTAATATTCAATCAAAGGTCCTCAATGCGAAGTACAAAGGTGAAAAAATGGAAGCACATGAACGGTTAATTTTTCATGTACTTTCAGAATCTATTTTTTTTGCAAAACATTATTTAAAATAAGAAGTAACAAAAAAGAAAGAAGAATAAAGAACGAGGAGGTGCGACATCTGCGAGAATCGATCCTGCGAACGCAGACTCGCCGCGAGGCCCAATTCTCGGCCCAATGGCAACTCCGCCTTGTTGCAGCCATAGTGTCCTTCCGAATCCCACCTTTTTCTCAGCTTTCTCTCTACTCAACGCTCTTTTTCTCAGATTTTTTCATTAGTACGCTCAATCTCGTTTGGTTTTCCGAATAACACTCTCACTCGAACGTTTTTAAAACAAATTAGCAATATAGACTGTTTTTGTCAGCTAAATTCGAAGTTCATTCCCTGGAAAAAGCTTTAAACGGTGCAGCGACCTTAAAAAAAGGGAACCTATTATTTTTGTTGAATCTTTCCTCTTTTAATTTTTTTTTAAATATCTGCTAATCTTCAATTTTTATGTTTTCACAGAAAGACTTTTTCGGAAATGAACTTTGAAGAAGCCTCGAGAGCCAAAAGAAGCCTTAATGTATTGTACTTCAAGCTGGCCCTAGTTTAAAAAAAAACTGCGCGATAAAATTAGAATAATTGTTTTCTATTTATTCCATATTTCACATTCCACATCCTTGCAATTTACATAAAACAGAAAAGAGATACCCAATATTCCTGGAGGCCATATTTTATAACGCCAAAGAAATTTCACCTTCGTGTTATTTTTTCCGTTCCGACATGGCTTCAATCAGTAATGGCTACGTTTTCTGATTAATGTTTTGGCGCGAAAAAATGAAATTTGCGGTCGAATCCACGGGTATTCTCGAGGCGCACAGAGAGGCCGACGGCGAGTGCAGACTATTTGTCTCTTGATAAAAACAAGTTTCTCTGCACACTTTTTTTTCTTTTTCTCTCTCTCTCTCTTTCGCACTTTTCTATTCGACGTGAACGAGGCGCCCAAAACCGAAGTTTTCGATAGCAAACAGTCTTTTCCACTGATGAACATGTATTTTCAAGTCTCAACTCATTTTTGACGATTATGAATTTTTGTGAGCAAGGTGTTTTCTAAATTTTTCTATGCAGGAGAACCCAAATAGTGGTTCTTTTGTATAATAGGTTTTTTTGAACATTTTTTTCGGTTTCATTTTTTTATGGAAGTTTTGAGTTCTACATGTTCAGTTGATAATTCAATTGATATCTCTGTAGCTGGTTGTTTTGGAAAGAAATGAAGGAATAATATAGTTTGTGAGGCTTAAAAAAATTAAAAAGAGAAGAAAAGAGGCACGTTTGCTAGCAAAATATGATATAAGATTTAGCCGAAAAAAATTTTTCAAATTTGATCTCCAAAAAAATTTAAATATTTTTTTGAGTTATTTATAGAATTTTTTTGAATCTTCAGGCTTTTTTCAAAAATAAAGTTGCTTTTTCGGGAAGAAAAAAACCAGTTCCATTATCATGTATTTCCTGTGAACTTTTCATTAGTCTCATTGTAGCTGATTGGTAAAAAAAACATTCACATCAAATTTCTGAATCAAGGTGTTTGGCCTCATTGGTAGATTGACATTGCAGAGTTTCCTTTGCAACTGATAGGCATGGGGGTGGCCGTTGTCCCGAGACTGGTCGGTTCAGTTCGACGGGGCCTGCACCTGTCGATGGCACGTGCCAACCATCTCTCTCTTCCTCTCTCTTTCTCTCATTTTTTCCTGCAAAAGTTTCAGCTTCACTGTCTCTTCTTCATATTTTATCTTTTTTTCTCAAGTTTGGCAGCGAGAGCTCAAATTGAAAATTCTCTTCAACGATGAACCATTGTTTTGCAGAAACGCGACAACTTTGCCGCAAAACATCGCCGAGGGGCTGCCGCCCAACAAGGTATTTTCAACCTGCAACTGTTCATTTCAACTTTTTCCGGTTGGAAATCGAGAAATGTCTACTAACCGTTAAAAAAGTTTTGAGAAGATTTCTCATAACTTTCCGTCTTAGACAACAGTAAAAGTGTTTTTTTTATAATTTTCTAACTTTATTAAAATGGAAATTTCGCGTCTTTTTCAATCTATCTGCGTAGAAAAACTGATTTCGTTCATGTGTATATTCCTGCACCATTTTCGATTTTTTAATTTTTAACTCCCGAAAACTTTCGTCGGCCAGAGTGAAAAAGAGTTTCAGATGGAAGATCAGAAGTTGTTCACGTCGATCCAACATCGTTCCTTCGCGCCCAAGCGTTCTCATCCGTCGATTCCAACTCGAAAGGCTTCACTTATGGCTCTTAAAAGGTTCAATCTTCTTCTCGTTTTCATTGAAAGTGTCTGGAATTTCATTCCGCGGCTTTTTTGAGATAAAACTCTAAAAAATAGAAACTAGAAAGGACGAGTTTAAAAGCGCCTTTTGAAATTGTCTGCAGTTTTTCTCGCACGAAAAGCAAGCCGTTAAAATGTGCAAAAGCATGCAAAAAGGTTTTCTCATAAAATTTTACGAGTCTGGCGATCTTTAAACCTTTTTTCTTCATAAAAGTTTTGTAGCCGTGTTGAATTAATTGTTTATATGTGAGCAATTCATAGTTAATTAATCATACGCTTGGGCTAATTATTCGAGCAAGATCAATAAAACTTCCTCTCTTTTTTGCCATCTCTTGAAGGCACGCTCTGGTTTTTATTGAAGTACCGTAAATTATAGAGGATTTCAGATTTTCTTTTCGCTTCCGGCTTTTTCAAGGCTGAAAAGGCCTGTTTATGCTTGACTCGGGACCTGCGTTTCCGCCCGAAACATAGATATATCACTGTATCAACTTAGGTCATCATATTATCGGATTTCTGCTAATCAAGCTTTAAATGAAAGTCAAGCTCCGATCTTATCAAAAAAAAAAAAAGAATTACGTCCCAGGATTAGTTTCAATCTCATGAAAAAGGCATTCTTCTAACGGTTCAAACAGAGTTCCTCGCCTCGGTGTATAACTGAAATGGAAACCACATTATCAAACCAAGTTTTGTCTCAACACAGGTCAACTCTATACTTTATCCTATCTATCACACCTTAATGGAACAGGATTTTCATTAATTTCTTCTCCGTTTTCTCCATGGTTTCTCTCAACTTTTTTCAAAAGTTTGGCGCACCTATGTAGTTGCCAAAATATTTTGAGTAATTCTTTTGAATTAATATGTAAAAGGAAAAGTTCTGACCATGGTTCGCCGTCTATTTTATCAATTTCAAGACCCTGCGTGTTGAATTAAGGGAAATTCCATTGTCCTTGAATCTTATCGTTAGCCTGTGGATGAAGCTCTTGGTGCAGACACATGACCTGCGTCTCCGCCCGAGGCGGCTATCATTCAATCCATCTAAATCACCGCGTCCTCCGATCCATTGCAAATCGAAAAGCGTCTATTCTTTGTGGCCTCTGTTAACAGCCCTTTTTTATTTTTTGACACAAAGTTTCTAGCGAGTTTCACAGCTACGTTGCAAAAAAAAAATGTTTTTTGAAGTCGATAATTTCCTTTTTTTAAAACTGCAACGAACATTTTATATGTTGAAAAAGCTGCGAAATTCTGTTTTTATTTTTTTTTGGCAAGGAAAATACTTTGTGGAACCAAATTTTTTTTCGAGCTACTGGGTGTTTTTTTTTTCTCTGTTTTTCAGTTAGAAATTTTTTGTGGTTTATCTACTTTGTTCAAAAGCTACCATAACTGAAAAAAAAAATTGGCCTTGCTCGAAATTATCTCAAAGTTTCTCGTAAGATGTTCAAATTGAAAACCCACGCGCAAAGGTTGAAGTATCGCTTAACACGTGCGTCTTTTGGTTTTTTTGGTCGGAGGCAAAACAAAAAGGCAACGTTTTTTCTTTTTATTATGGCGTTGTGGCAGCGTGACACCGCCGGCGCTCTCCGTGGCGAACGGCATCTTTCAGTCGGTGGCGACTGTTTTCCGAAAGCCCCGAAATGTGTCTGCTAGAATGGTGTTGTTGCGGAGAGCGCTTGTTTTTTGTGTCTCTGCAAACGGAAGGTTGCAGTCAGCTGCGGACGCCGAGAGAGGCCCTCAACCCCCAGGCGCCAGGCCTGCCGTACACGCCGCCGCCGATCCTTGCTCCGGTCCGCAACGGCTCCGGCCTTTTCTGGCGGATCGCCAAGGCTCTTGCTCAGCCCGAGGTAGGCCTTTCTTCCATCTCTTCCGAGAGGATGCAGCTTGGTCCAGACAAAAACAATTGACGTTTTCTTGAAATTTCCGCAGTTTCATAGCGAATCAAAAATGAATTCTCCGAGCCTCGAAAAGCAAAAAACTATGTAAATTCTTCCACCTCCCGTGTCCCTAAAAATTTGCAACAAAAAAACCTAAAAGAAATAATTTACATAGGAAACTAAATTTGAAACCAGTTTTGGGTTTTTGATTACCGCAACAATTCGTCACTAGAAGTTTTTGTTTACCAATATAGGTAGTATTAGGGACATAGAGGTCCATATAATCAGAAGAAATATGGAGGATGAAAGAAAAGAAAAAAAAAACTAAAAATTTTCTAGGTGGAGATGAGTTTCGCTCATAACTTTGCTGCAAAACTTCATTTTAAATCAAAAAAAAAAACATTTTTCCTCCTGTTTCCTTCTGGAAAAAACAAAAAAATCGTATTCATAAGCTGGGGTCTTGACAAAAATGACTCTTCAGGAGAAAAAAAATGTTCAAGTTTAAAATAACAATTGAACGCCTTTTAAAAAAAAACTAACTAAGTTAATTTTTTTGTTTTCCAGGGTTTCGGCGATTCTTCGCTTCCAGTCAGTCATGGTTTGTTTGTTTTTCCCGCTTAATAAACCTTTAGAATTCAAATTTAGCTTTCTATTTTGGAAGATGAATTTAGGAACGAATAAATCATTAAATTTTTTTCTACGCGTAATTAAAAGTTTTCTTGAAAATCCCGATGTTTGTAGAATAAAAACCACCCTTTCAATATAATGAATTAGAAGAATCAGTGAAATTTTAAAAAATTTTAAAATCAAAGAAGAATTCAGAAGGCGAAATGAGCCCCATGGATGATGTCGTGCGAAATGTTGAGATTGTCGATCAATCAGAAAAGGGTCATCCTGCCCGGAAAAACGGCTTTTTCTACATGGCCAGTCAAATCAGCCAGCCGAACTTCGTCGACGAACTCGAGGCCCTGCGAAAGGAATCTTGGGCTTCGACGTCATCGACACGGTCAGACAGTTTTTCGAACTACATTCGAAGTCGAGGTTTCAGTTCTGCCGAAGAAGTTCTGCGGAAACACTCGGTGGACACAGACGCGTACCTCAGGAAGGCCTCTTGCATGTCCGACTGTTACTATGATCTCCCGACTTCTTGTCCCAAGTCCAGTGACGTCACTCCGTTAGTTTTATCCATCATTAGCTTCGGATCCGCTGCAGAAAAAAAAACCGAAAAGTGAGCCGTCGATGGCAAAAGACAATAGAGATAATAAGTACATTTTATTGAGGGAATGCTTGAAAGAAAAATTACTTGACTTGCAAATGTTGCAGATGTGTTCGATTTGCAGACACATCAACCTTGGTAAGGAATTTCAAGCGCGGGTGCGCAAGTGGAACGACAGAGAAGTGCACGAGAGCGAGCTCGAAGCGATTCCCGACCGCGACGAACTCGTTTTCTCTTCCGAGGTCCTGAGAGACATCGACCAGGCCCAAGTAACTGCCTTCGAAGCGTTGGCATGCAGTCAAGCCTGTCCGCGACCAGGCAGAAACAAGGTCTTTATATCTGGTCGAATTTCGAACAATGAGTTGTTCCAGGAACTAGCCTTGCACTTGCTGATGGAAAACAAGGGGAACATCGAGTCGGCGGTCGAGGATCTTCTCAGGTCGGACACTCTCGACTGGGAGCAGTACCCCATCATCTACGCCTCTTCCTACGCCGACACGACCGTCTGGACGCCTGAAGAGGTCAACGCCTTCCAGGACGCCATCTACATGTCCGAGAAGGACTTCCAACGTGTTTCTCAAGAGGTTCTAGGTTTCTTCGTTTATCAACGGTTCGTCTATTCCAGCTGCCTGGGAAAAGCGTGCGAGAGTGTGTGGAATTCTATTACAACTGGAAGAAAGCTTGTCCTGACGACTATCGCAAGCTCAGAAATTTGAGGCGGAAAAGGCAGTTGCTCGAGATCAACCTTCAAAAGGTTGGCTTCAGACTTGATAGTGGAGTCTACAACTAATAATGAAACGATTCTAGATGGAAATTCCGGAGTCCGCCAAAAAGATTTGTGCTGACGAACCAATGGAGTCCGACGCAGAATCTGATGTCACTGGACAATCTTTCTCAGCCATGGAAGTCGACTATCGCGAGAATCCATTGTAAGTTCTCCTGCCAGAACTGTTGAAGTAGGATAAAATAAAAAAAATTTTGCTTCGGATTCTCAAAATGATGCGAGCTAACGTTGAAATGAAATGAGTTATGAAAAAGGTTATTTCTATAAATTATGAAGAAAAATTATGAATAAATTTTTATTTTTTTGATTCACTTTTTGTGATTTGTCAACTTTTCTGCGAACTCGTAGTTTTTCTTTTTCAAAATCAATTAAAAGAGAGTCGAGTAGGAAGCAACGTACAAAATAAGATAAGAAGAGAAAAAGTATTATTTTTTTCGAATATGTATAACGGATTTTTTACTTTCTTCGTCAAATCCGCTGTTTGCGACGCAAACTTCACGTACACAGCGCAAAGACTGACGACAGTTTTCCGGATTTAGCTGCAAAAAAGTTTCTCTTTTTTCCCCTGTAATATACGTTTTCAATTACTTTGCGGTTTCCATTCCTTTCCGTTCGCATCTTTAAGTTACAGTACTCCACCCATCGCCTGTTCGCCTCGCGAAGACAACTCCGTACCAGGTCACAGTCCGATTGTCAAAGATTTCACTGGAGTCCAACGGAACTATCAACCGGTTTGAAAAGTGACGCTGTGGAGCAAAAAAAGAATATTTCCAGTTGGGACCGAGAACAGCTGGGAGTACTTCGCTGGCGCCATCGAATCCGAGCGGGAAAAAAGGAGCTCAGCCGAGTGCCGACGGATTCTTCCACTGTCGGCTGTGCGACAAGTGTTTCGAAAAAGTCAAAGTCAGCCGGCTTTTTTTTTCGAGTTTCGAATTCTTCGGTTTGCAGTCGCTGAACGCACACATGAAATCTCACGCGATGAAAGCCCGAGCGGAGGCCGAAGCGAAGGCCCATGACGCGCAAGTGGCTGCGGCCTCTGCGGCTACAGTGTCCGCTCCTCAAATTGTCGCAGTCCGTTTTTTCACTTTTCTTTGATCTTATATTGAGTTGAATTGTAAAATTAGAACGTTTTTTGAAACTGTTGCTATCGAGCATTATCCTTCACAAAGTGGAAACTTATCATATACTTTATGATCTTCTTCATTTGAACCCTGAGTTCACTCTACTCGAAACGACTGAAAAACTTTCTGAGGTATGTGGAGATTCTGACAAGTTTCAACGTTCTACTCTCCTGCACATTGTCCAGAAAAAAAGAGTAGAGGCTTTAATTTGCTTGAATATAAATAAGAAATAATTTAAATGTACGCTGAGACTTTCAGGATCTTCATTCTGTACAAATAGTTTGGCCAATGGTCGGGAAATTTCGAGTAATGTTAACTTATGTACAGGCTGACACTTTTCATATTGCTTTTTTTCATTTGCATTGAGACCTTCTAATTGAAAGAAGTTGAGTCAGTGAAGAAGATACTCCCATAACGGTGTGTTGTTCGGATGAGATTTTTCATCAAAAATAGAAGCGTAACAATGCCTTTGTTTTTCTCCGATTTTTGTTTATTTTTAGCGATTTAATGCGTTAAGATGTTTATCGAAAATCTAAGTTTTGAACTTTTCAGTCGTCTCCGGTACCCCAGATGCCGTTCTCAAACGGGCACCTTGGGATCGCGATTCCGTCTTCGATGGGACATCTGACGCCGCAGCAGCTCACTCCTCAGCAGCTCACTCCGCAGCAACTCAACTCCCACCTCGGCTCCTCACTCAGCAGCCACATCAGCAACCAACTGAGCTCACAGCTGCCCTTGCAACTGACGCCGCAGCAGCAACTCGTCGCCCAGAACTTACGCAACTCGCTCGCCATCCGGCAGATGAACCAGCTGAGCGTTGTGGCTCCGACTGGCGACGACGCGTTCTCCCCGAACCCCCAGTTGCAGTCGATGTTGCAGCAGCAGTCGCCTCTGGCTCCAGTTCCTCAGTCGCAGCATCCGCTTCTCCACACTAGTCTGCCTACCATCCATTGAATTCCTGTAGAGATTTTCTCCAACCCGGTGTACTTGCCAAACTTCAGCAAACCATTTTTATATTCTCACTTTCGGGTCTGTCTTTTTTTTTTAGAAAATCCTACTCATTTTCATATGAGAACCAATCGAAAAAAACTAATATCCTTCTGGTAGTATAATGTATTAAATTAAAATAGAGTTTAATATAGAGAAGTTTAGTCTTACATTTTTTTTTTCGTTGTTTCGTCAAACTCATCTTCGAGGCTTTCCGGTTCAGGACATGCCTCGGCAAGCTCAATTTACCGCCGCTGTAACAAAGTTTCAGATGCCGAAAAAATTTCAGAAATGTACCTGAAAAGGAATGCGAAAAAGTGAGTCAGAAAAAGGACATAAAACATCTTCGACAATCTTTTATGACAAGCGGGCGGCGAACTGAGTATTTTCCGGTGTTTTGCGGGTGCAGCCTTTTGTCTTTGAGCTATTCTTCTATCTTCAACATCAGAATCGATTAGAGTTTTTCTAAGATTAAAGTTTGCCGGTGCCATAGAGCCACTAAAATGTTTTTTTTTTTCAAATTCCATGCGGGCTAGTTTTTTATTCAGTTCATGTCAATTCATTGTTGAAATTTTGCACATATTTATTGTTTCATTGAATATATTGTCAGAGAAATTAAAAGTATAAATATTCATGAATTTCATCCGAAAATGTAATAGTAAGATCAAAATTTGCATTGTAAGCCTAAAATTCTTTCGCGTGCGTGTTTTCCGCTGGGCGAGATAAGAACATTCTGAAAAAATCATCCTAATTGCGATAATTCCTGAAGCGCGGAAAAGTACCTGAGGGCTGCCGGCGATCTCGGTGAGCTGTGCCGAGTCGGGTGTCGCTCGTTTGTCTTCCACGGCCACCGCTACGACGTCTATTTTCTTGTTGCGCGCCTCGTCAGCTGCCTCCCGAGGCTCGTCCTAAACCAGTACTATTTGGTTTCAGAATCTGTGTACCTGTGAGTAGCCGTCAGTGAACACAACTAGGACCCGTCTGACGCCTTCGCGAGTCGCGTGCTGCTCATTTTCGAAGGCGTCGACGGCGTAGCGAATGGCGTCCCCAGTGCGAGTCGTGCCTCCAGCTCGTTCCATGCGGAACATCTCCCTCCAACCAGAAGCATCCGACAGAAGCTGTCATGACTCACTCGATGAGCTCGTCCTTGCTCTCGTGCTTGTCCAGCTGCACCAGTGTCCGAGTTCTGCCGCGGCCTGAGTAGCTGATGAGTCCGACCCTAACGGCGTTTTTTCCGATGGGTAAAGAACCTATTATCGATGCTGCTATGTCCAGGTACCTGAATAAGCCGTTTTTGAACATATTCAGTTAGAAACCTTACTGTTTGCTTTTGTCGCCCGTTCCTTGGGAAAGGTCGATGACAAAGAATATTTCTGCTTTACAAACTGAACTTTGCAGGATAAAAACTTTTATTGAATTCCAGTCACCTGAAGGTGTCTTTCGAGATTTGGTTGTAGTTGAAACCAGGGGACCTGTAGAGTTGGAGAAGATGAACCTAAAAACTTCCGTTCTTCTTTTTTTTGTTTTTTTCAGAAATAACTTTTTGTTTTTTGTCGAATGAGCCCCTTTTTGATCAGCTTTTTTTCTGCTCTATAATTTTTTTAAACTGGATATTGGAAGGATTTTTTGTTCACATTGGTAATATTGTTGAAGATGGGCGTGTCAGACGTGGGACGACGGTTATCCGTGTGGACGTGGGGATCTGAATTCTCAACAGTGAGCGACATTTTTTCCTTACCGGCGTCGTGTTGTTGAGGCCACAACTGATGATTTCCTCAAACTTTTCACGCTGCTCGAGCAGAGAATCAGATCTGGAACTTTGAAAAACATCCATAAAGGATTGAATCTCCGACTTCTTCTTTCCAGGCGATGCGATTCGGAAGATGTGCAATGCGGGCGATTTCGACGAATCTTTCCATTTCTGCAATGTTGCTTCGTCCACCGGAGTTTCGGAGAACAACAGCACGACGAAGGGACGAAAGGCTTGAATGAAAGTTTCTATTCAGGCAAAGTTCGAGGCAAACTTTCTCTCCTTCTTGCGATTTCAGTCGCAGTGACTTCCAAAAATTTCTTGTAATCACCCAAGACATCATGGAGTATGGCGATGAGTTCGAAGTTGTTCTGGGACAGGGCGGGTTATGAACTCGGAAGGTCCTCCTACCCTGACAACTCGGGGGATGTATCGATCATTTTTCGAAACTACCGCCCATCTTCGAACGGTGGATTTGGGCGGAAAGCTGTCAGCCACGTCCAAGGCTCTCCGTCGCGATTCCTGATGTCAGGACTATCAACCTGCCTTTGCCACTTTCCCAACATGACCGAGTCAGTGAAAAGTTCGAGTATCGTTTCTCAAAAGATAGCTGTCAAACTCACGTCGGAACTGGAGTCGACGACAAAGAGGACGTCGACGCAGGCGAAGGCGAGGGGCAAGGCGACGAGGCTGAGTTGCAACAATTTCATTCTGAACCACCACATATCTATGCGGCCATCTATGCGTGTCGCAACGCATAAGTAGGTCGAGGCTCGGCCTTGTTCAAGATGCGTCGCTTCGCCTGCGGCTGTTGCTTCATCTCCCTGTCCGGCGTCCTTCTGCCGCTGCTCGTCGTTCGTTGGCTTGTTTTGACAGATATCCAAGGACCACTCCGGTACGAGGTAAACACTTTCCTCTTGTTTCTTCTTTCCTATTTTTGAAATTTGTTTCTAACTGAAAAGTGATAAGATGCAAAAATGTTTCAATTTTCAAAAAAGAAGTTTATTTTTTGCAGAACGTGACATCAGAAAGAGAAGCATTTGTCCGCGAAGTCTACGCTGAGTTGAACTTTCGACGGCAGCACGGGGTCTTCAGAGACCGTCTCGACGACGTCGCCAGCGTCGCCGAGCTGAACTCAGATCCTTTGCCTGAGGCTCTCCATCCCAACGTTCCTCAGCAAGATTTGTGCTCTTCGCCGAAGTTCTGCGCGGCCAGCTTGACCGAAATGAAAGCAACTTTTGCGGTAATCGATGCCTTTTCATTCAAAAAAAATAGTCCAATCGAAAGATCTCAGCTAGACGGAAACTAACAGCCTGTCTAGCGCCTAAGTCCATGTCGACGGTCATGTCCGCCATCTTGTGCTTCCTGGAGAGACCAGCAGAGTTTGTGGCGGCAGGCAGGAGTTTGCTCCTAGAACGGAACGATATAAGGTCATCGAACTCCTTCAACTACGTGAACTTGTTTTTATTTTTGCAGATTCTGTGGTGCCGTGAACATATTTGATTCAAAGGGTGGGATACGGCAGAAACTGAAAATAGACGAAAAGACGATGGAGAGCGAGTGGAAAACGATTGCTGTGTTCCGAGATCCCGTCGACCGATTCCTCAGCGGATTCGTCCAGCGCTGTGTCCAGTGAGGCTTACCAGGGACCTCGGTCGAAGAATCTGTTGAGACTGCGCAAGAGCGACTGTGGCGGCTGTCGCTACAACATGACCTGCTTCCTCGAATATCAACTGCAGAGGTTCTTTAAAATCTTAATCTGGAAATCGATAAAGAAGCGTAAAAAATTTACAGTTTTTTTTTTTCGAATTTGTCAAGCTGAGTTTTTTTTTTGTGGACTCCGTGTTAAAAAAAAAGATTTGTTTCAGGGCTATACAACACTCACACGTTGCCGAAATAAGTCTGAACGAAGAAGATCTGCATTTTTTTCCTCAACGATGGTCTTTTTCTCTATCAATTTTGGAAATTGAAGTTTTTTCTAGGTTTTGTCCACTCGATGAAAACATTTCTTATTTGAAATACTCGGCCGATCCGAAAATCTCACTGATTTCACAAATTGAGGCTGTTCTGAAGGAGCGAGGAGTAAGTAGCTTTTTCTGAGGGAGATGGAACTTTTCCAAGGTGGAGCCAGAATGGATTTCCTACGTGAGTGAGTCTCTCTCCTCAGACAGGACGGCTCATTCGACTTACAACTCGGCAGTTCGTCAGTTCCTCGAGAAGAGGATCAAAAGCAGTCCTTATTTGTTGGAATTGTTGACGAGGTTGTTCAGTTTCTCTTTTCCTATCAACAACTTCGTTTCAGGCTCACGTATCCCGACTACGCGATTATCAACTCTTTGAAGTCAGATTCTGGATAAATGTTTATTCACAATCAAAAGTACAGAAAAGTGAGATCGCTTAATGCTTTTGGAAAGAAATGGCGCGGTCGGCCGAGAAAGCGGTTTTGGGAGCTTCGATGGCCAAACGACCGTCGTTGGACAGCTCCGAGTGGACCGCGTTGATGTCGACGTCGTCTGGGACGAGGAAACTGCGCAGGAAAGACCTGCAACCGATTGTGTCTAGAGGAGAGAAGGATTGACAGAGATTGACAGAAAGATGCCCAAGAAAGTACCTCTGGCTCATGCCGTGGTCCCCTCGGAATTCGTGTTTGCCTTCAATCGTGAGCTGACGACCGTTGAGCTGAACGTTGAGCTCCTCAGGGCGGAAGTGCGAGACGTCGAGTTTGACAGCAAATTGCTTGTCGTCGTTGATCACCTGGAAGCAATTCATCACAAAGAAAACGGGGTGGTCGGCCTAGGAAAATGCTTTTTTGAAATGAAAAAATAGTGGGAAAACGGTATACAAGAGAAAACTGTTTTACCTCGAGGAGATTGTACTTAACTTTTGAAATCCGGGAAGTTCGCTCAAATAAATTCAAAATGTCAAGATGAAGATCTTTCACCTGCGCAAACTTTTACATAAAAAAATAGCCATTTGCATGATTCTCAGCCCTCGGCGGCTTCCTATTTTCGGATGAAAGTGGCCGATTCCACGGTTTTCACTACCTTCTACTTTTAACTTCCGTCAATGAAGAAGATGTTGAAAATACAAACTTCGCCGTTGTTGATGTCGAGCTGGTTGGAGTTCAACCAGTAAGGGTTGACGATAGAGTCGCGGTACGGGAACAGAGACATGCTTGTTTTTTTCGAAGTTAGGCTTTCGCTGACACTGAAACGAGCAACGCCTTTTATAGAAAGCTCTGAGATATGGTGCTTGCTCAGAAAAGATGCAAGACTTCGCGAAATAGCGGAGCCGACGGCGAGTAAACAGCTCCGCCCATTGTTTATGTTTTGATGGCGCGGTGGCGAGACACGTCTCGTCCCACTCCAACTGTAAACAGAATCAACGGAATAATTCGCTGCGAAATGGCATGTTTTGCTTTCATCGATGTCAGGCAAGTTGGAAAGTCCGTTTGGTTCAAATTATGGAAAGCTTTGAGCCGTGAACACTCTAGTGACTCATCTTCAGAAAAAACAAAAAAAAACCGAAAATGGTACCAAAATTGGTTTAGAGGAACAGAGCGCCTACAACCCAGCTGTCGAGAAAAACATACCTGATATTTCGTTCGAAGGTTTTCACACTGGTCAATCGGCGTATCCAAAAAAAGCTAACGGAGTGTACTCTAAAATTCAGTCGAAATTCGCAGGCGGTCAATCAAAAAAAAAGCATACAAAGGCTAACTTCCTGGCATCCCAACACTCTTTGTGTGCACTCCTATTCATATGCTATCTGGATTCGTGCTGAGGAAGCTTTAGAAGGAAACTGACGACGTGCACTCCCATAGCACCATTACCGCCTGGCCTATTTGTTGACTGACAGAGTGTATACCTCGATTGACTTTAGATTCAGGAAGATTGAGGAATCTTTGCGACCTTTAAAATTTTTTGGGTCTACTCCCCCGAGCGTTTGAATGCAACATTACATACCCCAGTTTAATTTTGAAAAAATATTTTTGAACTCTTTTTTTTCCGACATAAGTCACTTAGGGCCCTGATGAAAAGACAGGTGCCCGGAGATTACGACCCCTTCATCTCATGTACCGTTATTTTTCTGTTCATTTCTTATTTGCATCTATTTTCTCTCTTTTTGAAAAATCACTTACTACCATAACTGAAAATAGTAAAGTGTTATTATTAGCTGGAGAAAAGCTATACATCACTAGAACGTTTGCTGCGAGAAGACCTTTGTCCCAAAAAATAATAATTTATTTCATCTCTTCATTTAAACTTATACATATATTTTAATGCGTAGACACAATAGTTTTTGAAAAGAAAGACCAGAGACCAACCAAAAGAATTCATAAATATTCAAAATAATTTTTCAACAAACAAGTGAGATCAGAGGCGCAAAATATCACTTTATTTGAAAAGATCCTAAGTGAGCAAAGATATTGAGATCAACCAAAAGAAGAAAATAAGAACTGTTCACAAAAGAAGCAAAAAGAAAGTCCTGATACGAGGAATACCCAATCGAAAGAAGCAGGAATAAATCGAGATGATCACAATCAACCAGGGAAATTGAGCAAGTGAAAAGGAGGCGCGTCGGTGTGTACTGGCGGATGGAGACATCACACGTACCACTCCTTGAAGTCTTTCTTTTTAGCGGGAGGAGCACCATTCCGGGGGATGGTGGCGCTGCGGACGCCTCCGTTCACTCCATTCGTGTGATTTCCGTTGGAGATTACGGCGCCATTCAGAGGTTGGTAGCCGTTTCCGTTGACCTGAACAACAGAGAAAAATTTTCTATTGTAAGAATTGATGATTTCATTTTCATTCACAACGAGGAAACTCTAAGGGGTATGTTAGTGAGTAGTAACATAGCATGAAATACTTTTAAAATCGTTTCCAACTCTAACTGCGCGAAAACTTCTTAGCAAGTAATATACCGAGCTAATTTTATTTATTTCTCATGAATATTTGGATGATACAAAAAAATAATATGATGAAACATTTTTTTGTTAAGTCCACTTCCGAAAAAGAATTTTTCTGAACAGTTCTGAACATTTTTTTCCATCTTCGCTCTAAAATTTCTTTCATTCTGTGTCCCACTGAATGTCCCTCTAAAGTTTTGAAAATTTCAGCACAGTTAATCAAAGCAACTTCTCGATGAAATTTTTGAAGTAAGAAAACCCTTGAAAAAAATATACTGAAAATCTGTTGTATTATAAATAAATAACGGTGACAAACCAAAACGAAAATTTTCTATTTCAGTAGTTTCTATCCACAAATGAAATAGTGTTCAGATGAATTCGGAATTTCGTTTCACTCAGCCGGAAGAAATTGGACCAACTTGGGGGCGAGATAATAGGGGCTGCGTGCATTCGTTGCGCTCATTGAGTTGTGGAGAGAGTTGCGAGCTGATGGCCGTGTATCCAGCTTGAGACTTGGTGTTCATCGTCTGGAAATGGTTCTTGAAAAGACGCAATGAAGGACACCAACCATTGGATAGTGCTCCGAGGACGGCGGCGTTTGTCGGCATTTGAAGACGAAAAAGACAACGGCTGCGATGGCTAGGATGACGGTTAGAGAGGAGCCCATTATCAGAGCTGTTCTGGGGAAATCGGTCGTCGTTTCTATCGGCATCTATAAACCAGACGGCTTGAACTTAACATGTTCCTTATCCGTTTCTTCTTTTCTGAACAAAAAATATTCCCTAAAACAAACAAAAGAAAATTTTTTTTTGAAAACTTTTTCTAGAGGTAAAAAGCGAACTTTTTTTTTTGATAAATTGCTCAAGAATCAAAATCTACAAGATTCTCACAGGTTGATAGGAAAGAAAAGTCCTGAAGATATATGCACAAAAATCTCTAAATTCAGCTCTATATTTTTTCGAGTTCCTAAAAGATTGTAATATGGTTTCAAAAAAAGATCGTTAAAAAAATTATTTATGTTGCCTAATATAGATCTTTCTAAAAAAATAGGAGCAAAAAAAGATTAACAAAAAAACCAAAACAAAAAAATTGTATTTTTTTGATGGAAATTTGGTTCATTGCAAGTCCTTGCGTAATAATTGAAGCCTTTCATTTCAGTCGATGAGAGTTTGACTGATGAAACTCTAAAAAAATTTTATTCTTTTTTTCAAATAAAAAAACTCGAAATAAAATTCGATTCGCAACGCCATTCTACCTGCATAGTTGTAGGCGCAGGACCGCCCATAGGCGTCGTCGGCCGCACAGGATATACAGTGTAAGGAGGCGTCGCCTTGAGTCGCGTCGTCGCCGCCACCGAAGTCGCCGTCGTCAGAACGGTGCTCGAGACTTCTGAAAGACAGATCTGAACGTCTTTTCGGGACACGGCAACAACTGAAGCACATTCAGGAGAAACGAGGCAAGCCGGTGGCCTGGACAAAGTGTCCAGAAGGCAGCAGTCGCTGCTCATTTGCCTAATTCGGCAGCCGAGCATCTTTCCTTCAGATTTTCTCCTTGTCACGTGTTTTCGAGGTTAAATTGTCAGAATTGGACTTCTTCTACACTTCCTCTCTCTTCATTTAACCACTAATCAATGAGAAATCCAATGCAAATGTTCGCTACTCATCGAGTCTGTATAAAGAAGACGAAAAAAGCGAGCCGAATTTAGAGTTAGGATTGGGATTTGTAAATTTAGGCGTCTGTTATCAGGCGCAAAAGAGAAAAGACGACGAGTAGCCTAGGCGACAAAACAACTTATGTCGGTCTTTTACTTTTCGTCCAAATATTTTTGCAGCTGATACGGCATTAGCTTCGGATTTTGCCTCTCATTATCCGCCTCTTTTTTATTCCTCACAATTCGCTTCAAATAAAAGCAAATCCGGAAGGAGATAGTTTGTCAAGCTGCGAAAGCTGAGCCAAAGGTAATACTAACGGCCAAAAAGAGATATTATAGAACGAAAAAATATCCGCCTTTTTATAAAAAAAAGTTTTTCTCCAAAATTCGATTATAAAAAAATATTATTTTGCATTCAGCGTTTATTAAATATTAATTTTTTAGATCAAAGCGAACTGGACTATGGAAAATTTTTTGAATAAAGTTAATTTTTATCTAATAACGGCATGGGTGCCATAAATAAAACTTTTCATAAGAAAAAAAAAATAGTTGCGTGACAATTATCGAAATTTTTCCTTTTTCTTCAAGTTTTCAAAGGATTGAAGCTGAAGACTCTAAAAGTTTCAAATTATTGAGATCAAGATTCGTTACTCGATTCACGGCTGGCTCAAGCCATTTATTCAAGGATGAAAAATGAGTATTGGAGAAAGGAAAAAAACACATGGACGTGAGAGTCACAGACGACCAGGTTTTTGTATCTCATAAGACACCGGTGAATAGACTGAACCTACTGAGTATAAGATCCGAAAAGATTACTCAAACGGAGAATTATGAGAATTGAGAATTCCAGGAGAATGAAAGGGCACTGAAGTGGGCGACTTCAAATTAGACTGGCCGGCAAAACTTTTGGAGGGAAGAGCAAAACGGCGTCGAAAGTTGGCCGGCACCAACAAAAGAACGCGTCGTGAAAACTCAAATTGGAGAGAAAAAAAGGCAAATCAACGGCGTCTACCGGGGCATTTTCGTTTCACCAAGCGGAAGTCGGCCTTTTTGCTTTCAATGGACCGCTCCTCATCCATTTTCTCAAAACTCTCATCTGACTGCCTTTCTTGCGGCTACAATACATTTTCTGGGGCTGCTTTTTCGTTCAAGCATACAAACATTCTACATCACGCGATCCTTCACAAAATGTCTACTCGAACTGAGGAAAACACCGAAAATAATGAAAAGTACGAAAGTTAAGCCACACGAAGTGAAGTCAAAAGAAAAAGTCGAGCACTCTGAAATGGCTTGATCGAGCAGCTTTGACGATATCGCCTCGGAACTTTCGAAGAAAATATTTTGATGGTTTTTTTTTTCGTATCCGTAGGGTTTGAAGTGATGAGTTTCAGTGTTTCAATGGAATAGAAAAACTTTTCATACCATTACTTTTCACGCAGAATAAGTTCAGGATTTTATTATATTCGTCTCAATTTATTTTTATGGCAATTATTTGAAAAACGTTATTACTTTGAAGCTAGAGTTTCGGTTAATTTTTTTTTTTTAATTTTCGTTCAGACTGGAATTTTCATTTCTATTACTTCAACACGTACACAATGGCGATTTCGTCTACGCTTCTTCCTCAAAAACCATCACTAGAACCCCTACGACACGTGACGACGAGGAAACGAAGGTGGAGATGCACAGCACGCAGCATACTCGTGCCTACCAACCGTTTGCCTTCCGAGAGGTGATAGGCCGCTTGGTCGTGGTGGTAGTGAAGGTGATTGTGGAAATGCTGCGCGTCGCGGCCCGAGCCGTCGTCTTCACAACCGCCGACGTCGTCGTCTGCTTCGTTGTGAGTTTCTCGGTAGCAGCGGAAGCCGTGGCATTGATAGGACGACGAGTGCGCCAAGCAGGACCAGTCACCATTGGCTCCGGCAAAGCGTCAACGTTGTTCCAGATGCTCGAACCCCAGTAATCAGGATTCTGCTCAGCTTCTTCGATGCTGTTGTAGGGACGCGGAAGTACGGTGACAAGCGGCGTGGCGTTGGTAGGAGCCGGCCGACGCCATGCAGGAGTGCTTGTGGTGCGGAGTGGCTGAGTGACCGCCGTCGCCTGCAGTCGTCCGAAATCGTCGTCCGCTGAGGCCTCGACCTCGGCTGTGAGTTCCGATAAGAAAACCACTTGGTCTGACATGCGCGTCGAGGTCACTGTCGAGGCGGCGGTTGTGACTGTGATGAAGGAGCTGGTGGAGGTTGCGGTGGTGGTAGTGGACGTGGCGCGTTGCGTAACAGCTTGAGAAGACCTACCCCGCGGTTTTTCTGTTGTGGTCGTTGAGCTGGACCGTGGCTGAATCGACGTCGCCGACGATGGTAGCACTGGCGAGAAGAAACCTGAAAAAAGCATAATTTTTATCACAAAATTGGCACGAAGCCCCAAAGAACTTTGAATTTCCTTGTTTGGAAAAGTTTCTGTAGGTTATGTCAAAAAAAAAATTCTCAAATTTTGCTGTGCAAGTCCCTCGTCAGAACTTGTGAGCAATTTCAAAACTCAAAATTAAAAAAAACCCTTTTATACGATTTTCAAATGATCACCGATATGTTTTCGCTTCATGTATACATAAACAGATACAATTGCGGTCCAAAGTAAATAATTTTAAACGTTTTTGCAGAAATGTTAGAACATTAATCTTATAAATTAGTCAGCCTAAAAATTTTTTTTCTTCCCAAATTACCAATTGAATGATCTTAAACACTCATGTTCGAAATAGCAATTCGTGAAGTAATTCTACCGATTACAGTACTTTCATTGGAGGTTGGAAGGGTGGCGTCTAATGTAGGCTTAGGCCGCCGCGTTGCAAGCCGCGACGCGTCGAAGTTGGACGCGAAGCGTGGCGGCTGAGCGTGGAGCCGACACTCGGGCGATTGCCAATCCATGAGACAGAGGATCGGCAACACTGTGCTCGTCGCCATTCCATAGAGGCGGAGACTCGACCCACGGTAACGCTACCTGAGCATCCAAGGAGCTTTTTGGTGTAGGCGTTAGAAGCGCCGAAGATGCAGAGGAAAGGAAAAGTTCGCAGCTGCGTATAGGGTTTCACGAGTTGAGCAGGTGAACTTGTTAACATTCAGAAGTTTTTTTCTCTCTCATTAGGGAGATAGAGATTTGAAGATAGTAAATTCAAAAAAGCACGAACATGACAATTCAACTAATAAACTAATGACGACGAAGAATAGAGGAGGATCGCCGGTTGAAGATGAAGCAAAAGTTTGAATTGAGTAGCAAGACTAATCAACCTCGCTGCGGCAATTTCAAATAATTTTGTTGAATTTCGCTGCCACCGCAGAAAGTGACGCATTCAAAGAGATTTTTGGCAAGGAAATTGCCCAACAAAAATAAATTGCTGCAGGAGCAGCAAATAAAACTGACATGATGGCGGGAAATGAAAGACATCCGGTGAAAAATAAGGTTTTTTTTTGGAAAAATACAAGAAATCGTGTCAATCATTGAATAATCGAGGGAATGAGAAATCCAAAAAGTTGGTTCCTGTAAATTTGATGAGACAGGCCAATGTTTCAATCGATACTGCGGGTTTCGGTAAACGGAATGGAAAGAAACGGCAAAAGGCAGAGTGGCCGAGGACGGACAAGAAGAATGTGCTGCATATGTAGATGTATGAGGCATCTCCAGGGAACCGAGTTCTAGCGGACGTTCGTCATCCGGCGCAGACTGGTCGTCTTTCAGGCCCTCAACTCGATTAACGTCGACTTCTGCGTGGCGGTTGATCCGATTTTAAATCTGCCAAAAGAGAAGCAACCAACAAAGCGAGCAAAAACAAGGCGGCTTCGTAGGTCGGTCCAGAGTCCACGTTTGGCTTATCCGTGTGCACCCCAAGATCAGATAGGAGCGGTGCGACTAGAGTCATCCAAGTTTCAACATTTTACGAACTGGAAAGATAAAAAATCAAGCCATCAAGCTCAGTTGAGAAGAGGATGTAATATAAGTTTATGACAAATTTTCGCCTTCGTTTCTAACTGAACAGTGAGAGATTTAAAAGTTTAATACTCAATGGGTCCTAAAAAAAAAAGTAAGAAAATTTAGAAAGGAAACTTTGAGGATCAGAATGAAGAATCAAAGCAAAAAACGCGCCGAGTGCGAAAAAAGTCCGCAAAGTTGAAAACGGACCCTTGGGAATTGTGAGCCGCAGTGAAAAATGGAAAAGGGACGGCAAAAGCGCGAAGATTCAAGAAGAACGTCGGGAAAGTAGCCAACTTGAAGGAAAACTATTTCTGATCAGGTATATGCCGACAGAAATTACATTGAAACTTGAACTTTGATTATAGTTATCTTTAGAGGATTCAGAGATTGCTCTGAACTTACTCTCATTTTCGATTCACAGTTTCGAGTCAAAAAGTCCGAGGAAACTACTTGAAAACAAAATAGCCAATCCCGGTACGGAAAAAAAGATATAAAATTCGTTTACCACAACAAACATTTCCAACTGGTACTCTTGAATCAACTTTTTGAGATAATATTTGTTAAGTTGAATATTTTTAGAACTGAACAACTTGAAAATATTTAGGGCTCAAAACAATTGAATCGGTTTTAATGTTTTTTTTGAACGTTTTTTTTTCGATTATTTTGTTACAGTGATACATATTTTGTGTAGTTATATATATATCTTAATATGTGGGCAACGTTGGAAAAGTAAACGAAAGAGACTTGGCATAAGCGCCGCCGTTTTCGGTACTAAATAAAAGCCTCCGATGAGACTCTTGTTAGTTATTTGAGATTTTTCTTCGTAAAACGAGGATACTAAAATTATTTCTGCATCTGAAAATAATGACAAAAACTTCTAAAAACTTGAATGACGAATCACGATGCTTTAAAGGAAATGGTAATTGTGTATATCGATTTCACGTGTGGTACAGTTTTAAAAAATTAAAAAAATGTTTCAAACAATCACAATGATATCCAGAAGACATAGAAAAGCTGGACTCTTCCAAGCGAGCAGAAAAGAATTCGAAAAAGAGGCTCAACTGAAAGAGAAGAACCACAAAGAGCCGAGATTTGGATGGATGCGCGAGTGCTGAAACGCGACACCTGGGCACGCGATCGGAAGCGCACTTATGTAGGCGACACTTGGGTGAGAATGGCGGCTTCCGAGGCCTTTTCCTGGGCCGGAAGCCCCGGAGCAGTACGGCCGTCGTCGCCGTTTTCCCATTAGTCGACGCCCTTGACAGACAGATGCACCGCCAACCCGACACTTTGACAAATTACCGGCGGCCCGTCGCTTACAATATTTCTGGTTTTAGCATCTTTTTTCTTGTCCAGCTCAGTGTAGTCTATTAGCGGAGCAAAGAGATTGGCACGACTTTTGCCCTTCAAAAGTCGGAACGACGTTCATAATTGAAAAAAGGGCCAAAGAAGACGAAGGAAGCGAAAGCGGTTCTCCGGACTCGGCGGGTTCACCTTTGCTGGCAGATTCGCAAACGAAATCAGCCACGCAAATCATGTTATTTCTCGACACTCAGAACAAATAAAAACTACCTGGCACATTATTTCTTTCTGGCCACAATTCAAGATGAATAGCTCCTTAATGACGAAGTATTTTTCTACCTTCTGAACAATTTTTTCTATCTTCTAAACTGTTAACGGGAGAAAAATAATGGTTACGCAGTATTGAGTAGTAATAATCACACACTGAACGTTTTTTTGAAGTGAATTGTGAAAAAAATAATAATAGAAAAAAATTTATTTTGCTTGACCGCCCAGGAACTCATACTTTCAGTTTTATTGATTGTGTTTTTCTCTTCTCATATTTTTTTTCCAAATCTAGTTACTTTTATTTTCTCGTATATATTTTCCCTCGAACCTTGCTTCCATGTTCATTGTTTCCCACAGAAAGAGAAAAACAATTAATTTTCAAATTAACTTGTGTTATTTTGCGTTTTTTTTTTGCATATTTTCGTTATATTTGTACCCAAGAGAGAAAAGAGACTGACCAGTACTATCGTCAGTCTGGATGTAGCAATTCTGCTGTTCCTCGACGCTCAAACAACTCGGCACGATGGACTCAATGAGGGCTTCGCTCGGATTCTGTAAATTTGTCTGTTGACGAAGCTTCAAATTTCCAAGGAGGTCAAACTGTATATTCTCCGGCTTGAAAGCAGCACTTTCCTGATAAACATACATGTCGCGTTCTGATAACAAAAAAGAGGAACTTGAATGAATTTTCAAGCAATATTTTGAATTTTCCCACATTCAGATATATCATCAAATAAAAGCCTTCCTCCATCTCTTTCATTCTATTAGGTTGTCAAGAAACGGATTTCGTTTTTCGATGCTCAACTTTGACAAGAAGTTTAGGACGAAAGATCTTTTCTCATACTTTATTTTTATATATCATTTCTAAGCTTGATGTCCGTTCTTCAAAATGTACGTAACAAATTTTTAAGAAAAAAAAACTGAGTGAACTTTTTCTGCTGTTCAAAATTTGCATAAAAATTTGCGATTTTGCCTCATTTTTTTTTCAAGATCAGGCAAAAAAGGCCAAGCTATTGGGACGGCTTTTAATACTCAAAACGTGTGCAACAGTACTCCAACTAATCAAAAATCAGTGTCTCGCTGTCGATAACTAATTCAAAGTTATGGGGATTGCACTTCTGAGAATACCTTTTTATTAAACATCTACAAGGCTTGTAAAAAGCAAAAAGTTCCTCTTATATATTGAAAACGCTTTATCAGAAAAAAAATGCCAAAGGAACATTCAGCGCATGAAATAGACATTTTTTAAGTTCTGACGCCTACAGGCGAGCTTTTTTCACTAGTTACTCAACGAGTACAACATAATATTCAGCAACTCAAAAACGGAAATGAAAAGGAGAAGCTCTTCAATAAGCAGCAGCGTCAAATCAGTTACTTTACTTTCAATGGGCTCCAAAAAAGTTCCCCGAAATAATCCACAAAAATAGTTGGTTTTGTCGACTTTTTGGCCGTTTGAGTTCACATAATTTTAGCCAACTAAATTTTGTCTAATAATGAAACAGAAGCCACTATCTTGTCATTTGACAAAGGAGAGCCGGAAAATCTAGCATAAAATACATGAAATGAATCGAAAATAACCAGAAGGAAAAATTCTAGCTTCTGCTTGGGCAGAACCTTAGGAAAAACCTTCTGAAAATTTATAAAAGAAAGGATTTCAGATCGTTTCTTTTTTGTTGATTATCTAATTGCACTTTCAACTATTTAATCTGTCATTTTTTTAAAAAAACCTCAAAATTTTATCAGTGAGAAATGCCTTTTAAATTCAATTTGATGTCTGAATATATGATTTTTCGGAATATTAGGGAAGTCCGTCTAGTATATGCCTTTTTCCCGCAGTCAGAGATTTAAAGTTATTCATAAATTATAGATTAGTCAAAAATATGCTTCCTTGAGCGAGTTTTGACTGTTTGAAGTCAACCCTTGAAAAACTGTATCCGTTTCTCGTCAACCTAATAGTTTTCACAATATGAACCTACTAACTAGAAAAAAGTTAATGAAAAGGTTAGTAATGACAATGAAAAAACTGAGCAGGATGGGCTTGACTGACTGGTCTACTCATCCTATGTATGGAATATTTCATACGGGAAAAAAAAAACTACAATTTCTTTCTTCCGTCCAACTCTCTACACTCTAACCAATGTCTACGGAAAGGAAGGCTGGTTTTTTTTATATCGTCTTAAAAAAATAACGAAAGCTGATGAATCGATATTTTTTAAACCTCTCAAACCAAGACTTCAAAACACTTTTTCTCTATAGACAAATTCCTTTCACAGCCCACAGATGGAGGAAAAGTTCAGGTTGAACTATTTAAACTCATGAAATCAAATTTTTTTAATTTCAAAGACTGAGCTAAATTATCATTGCAACTTTAGAAGTTTAGAATATAAAAAAAGACAAGCAATAGCGAATACCGAAAAAAAAAGACCAAAAGCTATTAGAAAGGTTTTTTGTGTGAAAGGGAGGATGTGGAGAAAGAGAAGAACGACGTTCGAGCGGAAAACAGACGCAAATGCCGCAAATGAGGGCTTTCCTGTTGATGAAAATCACGACGGCGCAAACTCTCATCTACTTGGTGTTGCATCGGAAAACGAGCAAATATAATAACTAATTGCGAGAGGACCGCTGAAAGGTCTCATGTGCAGGCAATTTCCGCGGTTGGAAAACCTCGTCCAGACTCCCGATCTAATTGTTTCTTCTACTTCATTTATTTCTAGTCTCTTTCAAACTCTACCTCAACATAAAGTCTTATAGGTCACGCATAACCCTTGAATGGTTAGTTTATTGAGGTTTTGACGATTTGAAATATTTTTTTATATAAGTGATAACGAACCGTTTTGAGAAAGACTCATTCATTGATTCACATAGGCCAAAAAAACATGAATTCGCAAAAAAAAAGTATATCAAAAAATAAAGATTTTTACCTCGAAGGAAGCAAATGAAAGTAAAAATAGAAAAACAGAAATTCTTTTTTTTTGTGTTGTTTGTTTTGAAGTTGTATTCTACAAAATGAAACTGGAAAGTAACCATTAATAAATCTATGCTTGAGTTCGCATTTTAATCAAAAAAAAATCATTTTCGAACTTAGTGAAAATTCTAATTACCTCCTCGTAGAAGTCGACCATGGCAACGTCTTCGTCGGCGGACGTCGCGTTGTTCTCCAGAAGATGACTTCTCGACGTCGTCGTCGCCACGTTGCCCACGGCGTGCAGACGCTCCGACCCTGCAATATATGGATGAGAATCCGTTGAATGAAAAGCGTAGTTCCCGAGGAAAACAAAACCAAAATGCCATTCACACAAATGAAGTCGCAGATGAATATTGGTTGAAAAAAAAAACTTCAATTTTAATGGTTTGACGGCATAAAAACTGCATGATAAGGAAATATTGTTTCGGATGTGAATCAAGTTTGTAGACCAAGAGTTATAACTAGAAGTGTGTGCAAAAAGAAAAAAAATTGAGGAGAAAACTAATGAAAAGTTTTTTTGAAAATTACGCTTTAAAAAACAGAAGTATAAATAGGGGTCTTTTTGTTGACCAGGCCTATCGAATATATCTCCTTTTTAGTTCTGCCAAACAATTCAAGAAAGAGATTGAAATCTCGAAAAAGCAACGATTTTGTATACTTCCAGAAATAGAAATAGTCAGCTGTTTTGTACCTTGCGAGAGGCTTTTTGATAGCGACACAAATCTCTTTCCCGGAGACCAGACTTCCCAGGTGTTTTCCAGCTTCTAGTACGACTTCTCATCCGAAGAAGCATCGGAAATGAGTCGAGGAGTGGATGGATTGGATTTTTTTTACGAGTTTGGTGATGAGAAGCTGCGCGGCCGGTGGCACATTGTGCATAATATTTCCCGAAACGTCCTTTTCTACATATCGCGTTTCAAATTGCTGCCGTAGACCCTCTCGCTCATTTTCGGACTCAAATGATGACAAGGGTTTTATTTTTATTTTAAAAAGATATCGCAAATGATTAACAGGTATTTGAAGCTCAAAAATTGAGATTTTTCATTGTAAAAAGCCTATAAAAAAAGTTTAATTCCTCTTTAGACAGTCCTAACAATATTAAAAGACAACTGAGTCAAAGTTGTGATTGGTCTCCGTTCGGAACTGATGAGAACATTTTTTTTTAGAAAGAATGAGAGCGAATTCGAAACCGAATAATTTCGAATATGTGACTTTTATTGTGGAACGCATTTTTTTGGAGATAATCTGGAAATATACTGAAAACCTAATAGTTGAACAGAATAACTCTTTCAAAAGTTAAAAAAAAATTAAATTTTTCTTAAAACTATCTCAATGTTAAATTTCCAAAACGACCGTTCATTTTTAATTTTCTTTAAAACCATATAAATATTTTTTGGATGATATTTTAAAAAAATATGAACCGTAACTTAGCTTATGAAAAATTCAATCATTAAAAAACTATGCAGCTCCCAGGCACATCTAAAAAATACATGAAGAGAAGATATATGAAGAGGCTCGAAAATGCATGAGATTTTGCAATGTATCCGCAGAATCATTTGGTCTTCTTTTTGCAGTCGGTGACATCAGCCGATTGTAGCCTCTCATTGGACTCTCCCGTTGTGAGTAGAAGAACGAAAGTAAAGGGCGCAGGTCAAGAGATAAAAAGGTGAAATCGATGTAGGCGAGTCGGTGAGCTGAAGCCGTGAGCCTCGTGAGTCCAAGTTGTGCGCAAATGCTCGCTTGGCAGGATAAAGCCCCGCGGCCAAACGCTCTTTCCGGCCCAAAAATCGTTGGACGGCCCGTTTTAGTTTGCTTTTAGCTGACCGCTACAACCTAATAGTTCGTGAGAAACGATGGAGTGGTTGTGAAAAGGTTCTTTTTTTCTCATGAATCCCAAAATTTTTACTCTTTTCACATACAAAATGTTTCTAAATTGTGAGAAAAAATCAAAAAGCGCACTGTTCTCAGAAAAAAAAGAGTCTTTTTCGAACAACACAAAAAGTTGTAAACACGAAAATCAAAAAGATTTGCAATGAGAAAAGGTTCAAATCACCAAAGTTCGCCTAATTTTTTGAAAACTCATTTTCTAACAATATCAGAAATTAGTGAAAGTCGTCTGTGTTTTTAGGACGATATCTCAAATAGTCAGTTGCATCCAAGGGCAAATGCAAAGATCGATTAATCGAGGGAAGCTAAATAACAATGAACTTGAATAAAGAGGTAGACTATCCTACAGTTCGACTTTTAAGTGAGTTTTTTATACGCTATTTTTTAATTTCCTTTCAAAAACTCCAATAAAAAAGCGAAAAATTCAAGGATCTAAAATAGGAAGGTTTTTTATTGTTTATACCAACGGTGATGAAGAGAGAAAATCCGCCAACTTCTGAGCATTTCGATCTCTAAATAGTATTCGTCAAAATTCTATTTCAAGAAACACAATCACTGTGTTTGGACATCAAATAAATAGGGTAAGATTTCCCTCCTGGAAGGAAATCTCAATATAAAATTATGAGCAAAGTGCTCATCTCGTAGGTCGAGAGCGTGGGAATCGATGGACGTATCGAAGCAGGAAGAAGGTTGAATTAAACATTCACGGGCGTGGTTTGCGGAATCTGTTGAAAAGCGATTCTCGTGAATAATTCAACTTCTTCGTCGTCCTTTTGGGTCGGGGTTTCGGCTCAAAGCCAGCAATCCTCAGCTTTTCAAGTTCTACGATTCAGAAAGGAAGTCTTCATGAGGCGGAGATATTTGCAGTGGATTTTTCATCCGTAGTAAAAACACCCTCTTTTTTTCTGCAGCGCAAAAACAAAATTCGTGTGGTTCCCTTACAGATGACTTGAATTACTAGAAAACGTACACGTGTCAGATTAGCTATTTATGAAGCATGAAAATTTAACTTTTTTTTCAAAACCAACCTATCGGTGAATTAAATTTGTATATAAAACTACTGAAAAAATTGTCCGACTGACAAGCAGAAGATGAAAAAATATATAAAATATTGCAGTGATGCGAATCGGAATAACAACGAGCATGGCAAAAAATAATCCCGAGACGACGAAGAACGGCGAACGAAGGAGCAATACGTCATGAAAGAATAGAAAGATGGACCGCCTGGATTAAAGCACTTCAGGCGGCGATGCACTAAAACTCACTCCATTGTGCGGTTCGGCTGGAAAAATATTTGAAAAAAATACTTGATACCTCAATGAGAAATGTAGAAATAAAAAAAATAAAAAAAGAATGTTGAGGATGAGAAACCTGAACGAAGATGAAATAAGAAATGTTTACGATAATCTCGAAAAAAACTCATCCTTCTCCACCAGAACTTCATGTATCTTTTGAAACGTGTTTTAAAATGGAGAAGAAGAAAAGTTTAACAGGCTGAACACGGCGAGCGGACGGATGGTAATGGAGGTGCTCGACCCAAGAGCCCTCAGCCATCCATACAAATTCAATTTCTTCTCCATTCCCAGCTTCTTCTGCTCCGCCATCATCCTCGCGTGCACTCAACCTACCCGCCAGTTCAAAATCATCGGCTAATGCACAAATCTCACAATCGGAGCGTAATTCATCTTCTCTATAGGTTGAAAATATTTTTAAAGACTTTCATGGTGCAAGAGAAGATACGTGAGGTTTTTTTTCTACGTATAGAGTTCCCTTCAACGAGTCCAACTTGAAACGGCAACCTGCAAGTTGAAAATCGCAAGGAAACAAAGCGGCAAGTAATAGAGTGGACAACTTGACGAGACCGAGGCGACGTTGCCAAGCTTCGGTTTGGAATTCGACGCACTTGGACACAAAAGCAGAGAAAAGAAGAGCATCGGAAGTTTGCTCGGCGGACTGCGTACTCGGTCCGAATTCCAAACGAAAGAAAAATAACCAAGCGTCTACGGCCGATGAATAGATGCGATTTCAAAAGAGAAAGAAGCTACGAAAACGCTCGATACATCCGGACAAAGCCGAAATAAATTGGCAAAATCAACTATTCCCTGGATTCAGTTCCACTTATTCTCGCAAAATAACGCAAGCGAGCCGTACAAACAATATAAGCAAGCTGTTTTTTCCACGTGTTCATATCTAAAAATAGTACAGTAAAGTTGAAGCGCGCTGGAAAATATTGAAAAACAAACGGATTGGAAATTTCTGACATCGGACTGTGACGAGAAAATTAAACGAGCGCTTTCATAATTTGCAACCGGAGCCTCTGGCAGGAACACGTGGCAAATATTCAGAGCCACCAATTATGCCTCGGACATCCATTAGTTGATGTTTTAATCTCCGCAGAGACTTTTAGGACTTTGAAAAGTTTCCGGGGAAGCTCAGAAGCGCTCAGAAACGCTGCAGTTTTGTAAAACACTTCGAAGATTGGGAAACAATGAGCCTTGCGAAAGAGCTTCCCAACTTTCAGAAGACGTATTCTAGAATGGCTCACCATGTTCGTACAAGTCGAGCATCAGGATCCCATTGAAATTGACGCCCGATATTTCTCCCTGGTAGGAGTCGTACAACATGAGCGATTTTCGACGACGTTTCCGCAGTCTTTTCTTTCTGTAACTCATCACGCCGGTCGATGCGTTACTGACGGGGAAAGCAAAAACACACATTCCGACGTCTAAATGCCGCGTGTTGAAAGAAGCGCCGACGACAAGTTTCGATTGCATGTTCAGCAACACCAAATCCTCTCCGCCTGAAGTTTATTTTTCAGAACGTTAGCGCACGGGTTTCAGCAAACTCTTCGGTCGGTACCGCAACGATGGCATTCTGTCGACTTGAACGGTGACATTAGCTTCAGCCCTATACATCTTAACGACGTGTGAATCGCCATCGTTCAACTTGTTGGTAAAATACCTTAATTCACTAATTTAGACCTTGTAGGATAAAAAACGGCAAACCCAAATTGATGGTCTCGACTGCCAAGATTGAAACGAACATGCAAAAATCCTTTAGACTGAAAGGAAATATCAATGGTTATTAAGAGAAAAGGGAAAACCAAGAAAATAGTGAAAAAGTCTTTGTCTGCCGCGCATTCGAGAGCGAACAACACTCCGCTTGATTGCGTCGTCCTGAAGGCAAAAACGAGGTAATCCTTGCTGGTTGTCGGCATTTCAGTCGGCCCAAACTGATAATAGACGGCCGCCGGCTCGCCATCGAAACGGACGGTCGTTCCAGCTGCAACCAGAACGAATTTGATCTGGACTCGGAGCCGAACTGACGATGTTGACAACGGTCTCCCGAGTGAGCGGTGAGACTGCATTCGCAGCGGAGAGAAGTCCATTGTTGGATGCAGCGTCCTCCGTTGGCACACGCCGCTGTCGAGCATCGAGCCACTGGGCCTGCACAAAACATTGATTATACAAATGATCATCCGAGTTTAACGAGATTTGACTCATAACAACTCTTGAAAAAATTCTATGAAGTTCTATTCTATGTAGTAACCTAAAAGTAGTTGTTCTCATTTTATTTCTCACAGAAAAACTTCTTTTAATGAACGAAAAATGTATATTCAAAATTTTTTGCAAGGATGTCAGGAGGGGTTGAATTTTCAGAGTACTCAACGAACCTTCAAAAAAGAGAGAAATAAAAGATCACCTTGACAGCCTTTTTTGACATCTTGTTGAGAGTCAGCTTCTCCTAAGAGGTCGACGATTTTCTCGTTGATTCGCAGATAGGCAAGGCACCCGCGAAACCCCAAAGAACGGACTTTTCTAGTCGTGGAAGGCGTGCCTCCTGAAATGGTCTTTCAGAAACGAAGGACTGCGGAGACTTGCCGAGAGCGACGACGCCAGTCAGCCGCGCCTTGACCGTCTTGGTGGCCTGTGCGCTGAGAGCCGTGATAGTGTCGTCGACGACGAGCGTGTGGTCGCCGTCTTTCTCCTTCAACTTTTTTTCTAACTGTGGGTTCGCAAAAAATGAAAACTTGGATTGAAAGTAAGTGCAGTAAGGAAAAGTTTTCGAAATTTTTTTTCTCACTCGAGAGAAGGAGCTCAACGTCCAAAGCCTCTTCGTACTACAGAAACTGGGCTCCGAAGTGCGAGCATTTGCTGAATGTACTAGAGACTAAAAAACGAATAAATTATATGAACAAAATAAATTATTATCATTAATCGGAGCAGAAGGATTAATGAATAGAATACGGTCAATCGTTGGTCTGTGATCAGAAGGTGGTTATGCCATGTTCAAAGTATTCACGGAAAAATTTGAAATTATCTCTGACTCTTCGAAATTTAGTTATCTTTTTCACTTTTTGAACTTCGTAAAAACACTTTGAGGACGGAATTAGCACTTAAAAGGGGTAGAGAGTTGTTCGAAGGTGAAACTGGCAAAAACAAAAAAAAATGTTTTTCTAGCACAAAAAGATAAGTACAAGAATCTATCTCAAATTTAGTAAAAGTTATCATATTCTCGAGAAGTTTGGCGATTGCGTGAAAAACTATCAAAGTGTGAGTTAGGTTAGTAAAAAGAGAGCTGAAATCGCCAAATAAGATGATATTGCTATTTTGTTTTCGAATAACTTCTCACTTGATAGAGAGTAACGCTGTGCCATCTCATGTCACTCAGGTGCTGTCTGTTCGGAAGTTTCGGGGACGTTGCAAAATATTCATTTCCTCCGACAAGATATGTGTACTTAACCCTGAAAAAAAAAATACGAAACTTGCCGCTAATATAACTTTACCTGCTGTTGTGTAACTCTATTTGAAAGCTCTGTTCGTTTTCTTCTGAAGGAATAGAAACAAAAAGAAGTGCACTTCTGACCAGAGTTTGGAACTTGAATTGAACCCGAAACTGTCCCGTAAACGAAGATATCTGAAAACGTAATACAAAAGTTTCTTCGAGTTTTTGATTCGGTAAATAAAAAAGTAAGAAATCAAATTTTCATTCGGCTCCTGGAATATTGAATACAAAAAGTTGCAAGAAGAAATCGAAGTGAAAATTCTATTTGATAAAAATAAAAGATCAATGAATGAAATTTTTTTCTAAAACATTCTTCCCGAAATCGAGCTACTCGACAAATATTAACAATGAAATTTCAAAAACCTTCTGTGAAGAAAAAACTAAATAACCCGTCGTGTTTGTGAAGGACACAGAACCGTTTTTCGACTTTCTGTAAAAAATTTTGAGCGCGTGAATCAAGCGGAAAACATTTACAAGTTTCTTTGAGCTTTGCTCTCACGATTTATCGGCGTAGCCGCTTTCTTCTGCACCTCCAGAAGGTCGATCCCATTGAAAACCTGAGCAGTTGCAAAAAATTCATGAGCGAAACAATAAACACCATTTTGGACATTTGGCCAGCGAAGTTGAGATTTCTGGGAGGCGACGTCGTCGAATGGAGCGATATTCCAGAGCCCAATTCGTCGATTGCGATGACTATTTGATGTTGGAGGAAAACTGGAAAGAGCAGAAAATTTTGAAGGGAATCTTCCTTGCAAACCGCTGTGGCCCCAAAAGCCGTCAAGAAAAAGCATTATCCGTTGGCCCAAGCGTCGCACTTGAAGGTAGTGCCAGTGGTTGTCCGACAAGGATTTCCCCCACGAGAAGCTCTGGAAAGCCTGAGAGTAGCTTGAATGCGAGACTTTCGTAAACTGTTTTCTAAGGATTTATTTCTCTCTCCGAATTCATAAAATTGGGATAAGGCAAATAACGAAAGATAGTTTTTAAGTTCCAATAAGAACTCGCGTTTTTATGTATATGATCGTGAAACGGTAACTTCAGAAAAAAAATGATTGAATTAACAAAAAAATGCATAAACTTGTTCAATTCTTTAGAAGTCTAGCCTGGTTGATGTTACCTGCGTAAGCTGTCCTTTTTGGCGATAAAAATCTTATCTTAGAATCTTCATCCATTGCATTCAGCTAATGATAGTAAACATTTCGATTCAGAAAATTTTTGAAGTTGAACTTTTCTTAGATATTTTTTTAGAAATATATGTTCGAAGGTTGAACACAAACGTTGTTGGAGTTGGGGCCTTGGATGAAGAGATTGAGCTGGCTTTCGTTCAGGAACACCGTGAACCTGTCCGCCTTTGCCTTGGCCGACGTATCGAAAAGGACTCCTCGCGATGATTCCGTCTGGGAAAAAGGCCACGTTTCCGGTATCACTAATTAGGAGAACCCTTGCGATAACTTGCTGATATAGCACTTCTTTCAGGGGACCGCTTTGAAACCTTATTTCAAAGAAGAAAAAAAACTTCTTAATTATTTTTACAAAAAAATGGAATCTTAGTGTTCGAGGAAATTTCCCGTTTTTACCTCTATGTTTTGAAATTTTGTCATGAGAAAAGGATAAAGAATTACCTTGAAACGGATGTGCAGATGCTCGACTTCGGAAACCAATGTAGCCGGGAAGAAGTGGAGATTGTCGGCGTCTCCATTCATCGACACGGAAACAGGAACTGAGACTTGCAAAGGTCAATATCCTGTCCAAGACGACAGACCGACGTTGCAGGTGAGTCCGTCCATGTTGGTGGCTGTGCAGTCGCAGCGGAACGAGTTGAGGATCTGCTCACACTTCCCGAAGTTCTCGCACGGATTCGGCTCGCAAGGATCCGCCACGTTGGAATGCGGACAGCCCAAGGAGACACCTTCAAACTCCTTCTCAATCTTTTAAGTCACTCGATAAACGTGCCAGTGACATTGGATTGTTCGTAGACATCGGCGATTTTGGCCGAAATCCCGTTGAATCGCACGTTTTTGATGCACCCGACAAAGCCCTGCTTCAACGCTATCGTCCAAACCGGCGGAGGATAAGAGAAATTCGCGTTTGGAACGTAGCCCAGGTAGACAGGGTCATCTTAATTTTATGCAACGGTTAATATTAGGGTGGCATGAAAGAAATGCGGCTCGTTTTTGTCGGCTTCTAATTCATCCAAGAAGCAATATTATTTAGAACGGTATTTTTTGTCGAAAAGGGCTTGTCCTTGTGCGTCATTGGATATATAGTTTGCTGACTTTCATTCCGCCTTTCTATAAGAAAAATAGCTCTGAAAACTTTCTTTCAAAAACTATATTCGCGGACCTAGTTTTCGCGTTATTTCAAAAAGTACAAATCAAATTCAGAAGCTTGGCACCTTTCAATATTATGATCACCATTGATACTTTTTCTGATAGTTAACATTTTGAATTGCTTTAGCGCTATTCACTAGGCGAAAAGACCTTTGAAATCAAAAAACACGAAAAAATCGACGATAAAGGCGATTTTAAAAGGCCATTAGACTGGATCCACAACAGACGCCTGTGAAACTGGCTCATCAGTTAATACACACCCATAGCTGCAAGAGAAAAACAGTTTTATTACGCAATGGAGTGCAAAAAAAGGAGAAATGAAAAAAATGGGTTCACAATATCGCTTTTTTTCGCTTTTTTTGCGAAAAATGTGTTAGCCCAAAATCAGAAAAAAATTGTTCTGCAAACTTCTGCTTTTTCCGCTACAATGCTCAGACATGGCTCTTCGCATTTATCATCAGTCCGAATCATTGGATCGCTAAACAGCCAAAAAAAAAATTGAAAAACTCCGATAAAGTCCAAATTTGGGGGTGCAACTTCTTTGACTCGTAGGCGGCCCAGTTTGTCAGAGAGAGTATCCATTCTCTGCGTGAGCATTGTTGACAAGGTGCTAATACAGATAGAAATTACAGTTCGAATTGATTTGTGATAACCTTGTTTTTTTGATAAATTAAATGACATCAAAAACACGCATTTCTTTCCTGCCACCCTAATAAGAAAAAAAAAAGTTTTTTGCTAACTTTCTCTTGCAAAAACTTTTCTTCTACCATTTTTTTTTTCATCTTTACATTTATATATGTTTACCAATTGTTGAAATCGAACCAGTTTTGAAAGATTTTCTGTCAGTATGAATTTTATATTATCCGTGTGAGAAATTTTATGAGAAAAAGAATTTTTGATATGGGAAAATTTTTATGATCTGTTCCGTCCTGACAAACTCTACTAAGAAACTTGAAGCAATTTGGCATATCTCTATTTTTATATATCTTCAAGACCAGAAAATTTGAACTGAAATAAACTTATAGTCTTTTTCCAGTTGCTTTTTTATTCCGACATTCATTTTTCCAGCTTCTAACGACATACACATTTTTTGTTAATTTTCGGCGAGAATCGCAAAAGGAATCTACCGATTATGAGATTGGAAGAGACTCCTGGAGTGCTGAAGTCGATCTTCATGGCGTCGACGATAACCTTGCCCGTCCTGCCGACCCGCTCCAGATGCACGTGATGCCATTGAGCGTCGGAGACCTTTTTCGCCGTCGTCTGGAGTCTTACGACGCCCGAACCGAGGTTGATTACGAAGAAGAGATGGCCGTCGACCAGTTCGAAGGCGATGAAGTCGCTCGCGTTGTTATGCATCACGCCGTGGTACAAGATCAGCCCTTCAGTGTTGGACGAGCGGAAGTGAAACGCTGAAGGAAAGATTGTGCAAGCGGAGTCTGGCCTTAGACTCACACAGACTTCCGCTCGACAGACTGTCCCACTTAGGCAGCGAGATGAATCCGCGGCCGGAGATCATAGAGAGGACGTCAGCTGGCTGCGTTGGGTCTTTACACGAGTAGGACAGCTCTCCTCCTGAAATAGATATCTTCTTTTACTGTGCAAAGATCACAGTACCTGTTCGAATGACGCTGCCGCCGTAGCCCTGGTCGGCTAAACTGACAAAGAGTATCCGCGTCGCATCAACGTCGTACTTCACCTGGAACATTCTCGAGCCACTTCTTGGACTCCGATGGAAGCAAAAACAAGACATAACACTCGTCTTTCCAATCAACTGCTTGAACGGAAATTTTTCACTAAAAAAATTTTTAAGAAATTAGACAGAAAGAGCGTAATTTTTTTATCAATAACATGCTATAGATATTCTTTTTATATAAATCTAGAGTTCGAATATTTCAACTAACATCAGTCAAAACAAATATTTTTTATTCGTAGGTGAGCTTACTTTTTTCATGCACCCTCGAAAAGGAACGCGGCTGACTTCGCGCTGTCCATTTTCCTTGGGCAAAGAGCCAAGAAAAGCGAAAGAGTTGGCAATCCAGTCGAGTTCTGGCGCGTACTGTCGGATTTCGTCTTTCCGGCCGTCGACCGTCAACGTCATCTGGAAGGACTACTCTAGAACAGTCTTCAGAAATGTTGTGTAACTACATGGATAAAGGTTGAACTGAATGTAATGGAAAAGTTGATAAAAGTCGCCGTTAACAGGCTTTTTTTTGCACACCCGGAAAGCTGGAAACATGCAAATAATGCGCATTTCTAAGTTGAAGATCTAAAAGAAAAGAAGCGCTGTAGAGGCCAAAGAAAACCCAAAAAAAGAGTCAACCGAACGAAAAAATAAGCTGAAAACCTGAGGGGTGGTCCAGTGATTGACAACAACAAAATATTGAAACGGCAAACATTAAAATGAAAACCGAAATCAGTTATAGAACCATTGTTCATACTTTTCTGTTGTTTTTCATTTTCAAAGCAAGTTAGTAGAGGAAATTAGCAGCAAATCGCACACTTACATGTACCGCAGACATCTTCTCCGAGTGCTAAAAGTTAATCTTGGTGTGATCCATGAAAAGAAATGAAGTCATTTGAGAAAAACCGCTTTTACTTTTATTCCATGGAGCCTTCAGACCCACTCTATCTGAAACCGAAGAGGTGACAAAAACAAATTCAGTTGTGGCTATAAAAACTACGGCGACGCTTCCTCAGACAACTAATACCATTTGAAGAGATCTATCAAGGACGACGTCGTGCCAGGTGTCGTCGTCGTAGCGTTCGGAGGGAAACGAGTTGAACATTCGGATCATGCGCGCGTCTGTTCCCTCAAACTTGGACGTCGCCATGAGTGCGCCGTCCTTGATCATCAGGTGCAGGTAGCTCTGAAAGAAACGATTTCAAGCGGTAAAAACCTTCTTGCTCAACCTTCTCGTCCCCTGAAAAGAAAAGCATGGCCGTGCCATGAACCGTCTTGAAGGCTAGTGTCAGATTTTCCCTCTTGGCCTTCACGGCGCCAGAAACGTTCTGCGACAGGTCGTAGCCGACCCATTCGTCGCCAGAAAACGTCAGCTCCGCGTCGGTTCTGCCTTCAGAAAGCCGACTTCTCTGGTGTTTCTGTTGGAGCAACTCACTGAAGTCGCACATCTTCCCTTCGAACTCGCTCAGTGAGCAATCGCACTTCGGACCTTCGTTCGTGCTGTAGCAGACGCCTCCGTTTTGGCAAAAGAACTTCTCACGAGACAGCACCTGAAAAACGAGCACATCAGCAACCTGGCAATCGATTTCTTGAAAATTGGTTCAATATTCCCATTATTTCCTGAAAACGGACCCCAGTGGCTCTGCACTGATCGTCCTCATTGTGCCGAGCTCCGTGAGCGTCGAGGAGCTGTGGCGAAGTGACCCCTTGAGGATACTGCCGATAGACGAGGTTCCGGACGTTGACGGCCAGGTGTCGCGTATACCTTCGCAGAGGCGAACTCATTGTTGGCAGCACGTGCACATCCTGTAGCTCTTTTCCTCTTTCACTAAGTTTATGAACAAAAAATTTAAAAATTTTGGAAAAGTAAATGCAGAAAAACTTACAAAACATTTCTCACGCTAATCTAGGCGGACAAGAAGTCAAATGCATATCAGAAAAGTGGCAAAAACTATAATCTGTGAAATTGTGGCAAACGAGTGATGTCTCCCACGAGAGTTGTGTCCTTTTCTGACTCACCGGAGGGACTCCGCCAACGAAAACGTCCGAATTCTTGAGGATATTTCCGAAGACGAAGCTCCTCTGGTTGAGGATCTTGAAGACGAGTGTGTAGTCGAGCTCGAGCTTCACGTTTTCCCACGACTGCAATCCATCAGATTTGAGCAGCGTTTTATGAGGCACAAAAAGGCGGAAACATTTCCCGTCAGCAAAGAAAATAACCTGGAATATATTGAGAGTGTGCCACTTGTCGTCATCGACGCGCACCTGAGAAAAAAACTGATTCACCTCCCTACTTTCAGAACGAAGAGAAAAAAAAAGTAGAAATCGAGAAATGGAAAATTAGCCAAAACCGATGAAACAACTATTTTAATCAAAATTCCACCCACAATTATTTGGGTACTCACTTAACATCATATTCTCTATATATTGAAAAAACGGAGTGTGAAACGGTAATTTATGAATACCATTCAGCCATTTATTATTGTTTCCTTTCTAGGATACTGTAAGCATATAAAATTAAACAAAAATGAAATTTGGAGAGAAATTTCACTCGGTATACTACTAAAAACAAATCAACAAAAAATAGTATGAAAAAACCTCGTCTATTCGTATCGTATTGACAGGTCTTCGCGGTCCAAAGTCATTAGAATTGTCGCCGAGTCTAAATTTTTTTTTAAAAACAAGTAATTCGTATCCATTCTCATATGTACATGTAAAGTTCCAATGAGGACGGACCGGGAAACTTTGAAAAAGTCAATGACACAGTCAAAAGATATTCAACAAAAAAAAGGGAAAGAGAGATTAAAAATAGAGGGTCGGTAGATAATAAGAAAAAAAAGCTAATTTATTCACCTGAATTCCAGCTGGATTTTCCCCTCGAAAACTGTGAGCGCATAGAAATTCCCGTTGACGTTTCCATCGTCGGTGTATAGAAGAAGACCGTCGGATTGTCGGGTTTTCAGCTCCAAGGACAGCGAATTCTCAAAAGAGTGGGCCCACTTCGGATACCTTCAAACAAGTCTTTTTTTCCCTATGCCGTTATATTTTATAAAAAATAATATCAACGATTTCAAAATCGACGCGTTATTATTTTTAAAAGAACTGAAAAATTGAATTCCGGGAACCGTTAGAACAAAAGGCCCCTTAAACGATATATAGTATGTTCACATTTCAAATTTCAAGTCTTCGCTGAAGCTCCGCCCCCTAATGGCGCGATAAACCAATCAGAGAGCGAGCCATCCACAGAGCGTTTTCGAATGACGTCATTCTACTTGACAATCAGAATCTGAACAGACTATATCACGATATGTGAAGCCCCATTTTTTCTATGCCGAATAGGCTATGCGACTACCATAAGAGGACAATTTAATGACAAATTTATTGTTCTTTTCTGGTTTTTTTATTAAAAGAAAATCTGGAAAACACTCAGGCACTGGTATCGCGCGCGCTGCGCTTCGGGCGGGCACGCGCTAGGTGTCCCCGCTCATTTTTTGCCTTTTTCGTCCATTTAAGCTAATAATTTCGGCTTTAATTCATTTTCACGCGTTTCCTCTCATCATGATGCTTAGTTTAACATAAAATTCGACTCATAAAACTCAACTATATCCATTTTTCAATTTAAATATGGCTCTTTAAAAACTCGGCGGCGTAAAAAATGGGGGCGGCATAGCTCAGCTGGCATAACTCATTACTAACGTCCGCAAGGTCGTAGGTTCGAGTCCCCCTGAGGTCGACCAAGCCTTTCATCCCTCCGGGGTAGATAAAATTGGAAGCTGTATGCAGCGAAAAGGCTCAATCTCTGCCATCGGCCTTTGGAAAGCCGGCACCGTACTTCTTCCTACGACCTCTCTTGTACCTGATGTTCTACGAGCGAAATTCACAACTTCTCTGCCTAAGCCACAGCTCCTGCCGTCGTTTAAACACAGTTAAATCAATGAAAGTCGATTGCACATGTATTCTTACATTGAAGATGCAATAAACAGTTTTTTTTTTAAACTCGCACAAATGTGCTCGAAACCGGTTTTAAAAGTGAGTATGCATACTAATAAGTATTATAAAAAAATACCAACAAACCATTTTTAAAAAGGTTTTTCCCACTCAAAAGGCTTTTTTCAAACAATAAAATTTCGTAAAAATGTTTTTGGTACAGCTTTGAACTTTGGAAGAACGTTTATCTAGATCTCCCTTATATAACCTTTTTATCATTTACGAAACCGGAAAAAAAAGAATATTTTGACCCTATTTGAGTTTTTTGGTTAGAAATGTTTTTTGATCAAAATTGTGTTGATTACCTAGCATAAGAGTCAGGAGCACCTGCGAGGATGATGGCGTCGACCGGGGGAGTCAACAGCGGCGCCAGAAGAAGCAAGAGCTTCGCGGCGCGCTGACCCGTGTCATAAAACTTTGGCATACTTCATTCACATTGATCGCCCTGTAACATCCATCTTCTGAGCAGAATCCATCCAAGTAAAATATCCGATTAAAGAAAAAAAAATTCAAAGTTAAAAAAACGAACTACAAGTACAAGAAAAAAAGCGATTAAAAAAAGAGATTTTTCCAATTTTTTTCACTTTATCATAAAAAATGTTTTATATATGATTGTGGACGCTTCGTCGCGTCTCAGCATACAGTAAGTCGCTAAGAATAGAACTCAAAATTTCATCTTTAGATTCATTTAGCGCGAGCCCGGCCTCGAGAGGGCAATTTTTTTCAAGTAAATTATCAAACTTACGAAAAAAAAAAGTCCTTTGAATTTCAACAAAAGTTTCACGTGTAAAGAGTTTTTTCTCGGTTAAAATTTCCCAATGCAAAGAAGTCTGCTCATGCTTAGGCAAGGCCAGGCCTTCGAACAAATTTTTGGAGGAGTTCAAAATTGTTACGTCCAAACTCGATCGTGGACTTTCGGCAGTGCCTTTGCCTCAAATACTGGTATAAAAAGATGCCTCCTCGGTTAGGTATGCTCCAGTTTCAAACTTATTGAAATGCAAAAATGATAATTAATTTATTTGGATCATTGGAAATAGTTAATGAGAAGCAAATAATAAACGCTGAAAAAATTAGTTTGGGGAAAATAGTTTTAATTAGAATCAGCGAAAAAAAGAAAACAAATTGATTTGAGAAATAAATGAGAACAAAAGTATGGGAAAAGGCCAGAGAAAAGAACAGAAATAAAGGTAGACTGGCGAGGTTTCCGATCCATAAGGAGGGAAGGCGGCTCTTTTTCCGGGATTCTTCCTACAAATTCTGCCACTTTTATGATTGCCATTCCTGAGAAAACGAAGCCGAAGAGAGAAAAACACAGCAAATTCGCTTCCTTTAAGCTTCACTTTCGTGCGGCCTTGTCTCATTGTTCGTTGAAAAGCCTGGAACCTTTTTTCAATATTTTTTTTTTACCAAAAACACTGCTCCCAATTTGTTTGCTACCAATTTGAGGTTCGAAGTTTCCAGAACAAAAGAAAAATACGCAGGAGAAAGCAGAAAGCAAGTCTGGAATAAGCTATTCACTCTAAGACGTTGTGTACTCGAAAACTTTTCTTTACCTGGTAACGTCAATTGAGTGGCTTTTTTTTCGCGAATTCTCGAAGACGTCAGGAAAAAGTCGTTACTTTTTTTCTAACTTGGAGTCAAAACGTTACGAATTTATTACGACTATGTGGCCCGATGTACCTATCTACACGATAATAATTCACAAATGAATTCATTCAAATAGAATTTTTCGATCCTTAAGAAAACCTCATCAATTTTTTTAACAGAACGAGAAAAAGAAAATACCATCATAATTGGTGAATATGAAAAGAAACAGATGCGATCGTATTTGCTAAGGAAGAAAAAAAGTGAGTGACTTGTGTGCGAAATAGAAGTGCCAATGAAAAGAAACGGAGCGCCTTGGAGACGGAAAAGCGCAAAAAAGGAGATGGACGGGGCTCCAGAATCAGAATGGCGGTGCGTGTTCACCTCGAGTTTCTCAGGAGCCGGAAACAATCGTCTACGCGACAGCCACATCTGCACTTCTCGCCAATTCCACGTTTTTCTTGAAGTTCGAGGAAATTTTTGAGAAAGCAGCACAGTTCAGAAGAAGAAAAAAACTATATCATTAATGAAATCAATGAAACGCCTCACGAAAACCGCATTTAATTCGAAATCAGGTGTCTGAAGTTTGTTTGAGAAAGAACTTATGAAATGTCGTAAAAGAGGGAACTTCAAGCAGGACACGGCTTTTCCAATGATTTAACTCAAAAAGCCTTTGAAAAATCTTGGTAAAAAAAATTGAAAATTGAAAATTCCTCAAAAGGATCAAGTTAACTAGCGTGAAGAAGCAAACTTTTTCCAGTCTTCTCCGGAGATCCTATTATCAAACTGTTTTCTCTCTTCAAGCTAACTTTTAATTGGGAATCCGCTCGGGAAGACTCGTAACCATCACTACCGAGAAAAAAGTGAAGGAAATTTCACCATCAAAGAGATTGAGATAATTGGTCTATTTCGAAGGCGACGCCTTTTTCTTGCTGGGGAAAAAAAGAATGTTATAAATATTACTTGACAGTTTAAAAGGGATTTCTAAACTCTCAGGAAGTTCAGAGAGTGCGTTCGCTTCCCTTGCTTGATTATAAGTCTATTCAATACGAAGAGTTCGAAGAGAATTTATTCATTCGTATCCAAACTTTGAATGGACATTCGAAAGACATGTGGCCAACAAGTTGAAACATTTCGCGCCAGTCTCCGAGTCGCGACGGCTTGCTATCGCATAATTGATCTCTACCGAGCAGAACCCTTGTTTTTTTTTCCCTGCATCCAAGTAAAACAGAACGGGTGAACTGATTTTGCCAGTCGAGAAAGGATTCCGTAGAAAGTGGGTCTGAGAGGTCGGAACTCGCTAGAGGAGCCACAACAAGGCTTCTCCTTAGTATGCGGATCCGTACTTGAGGCTAACCCACTGAGAAGCAGACATCAAGCCGAACTGCCATACGAAGAACGATGCAGAAAGATTGAGAACAAACTCGAAAGAACCCAAGAAGGCCAGAAATCCCTGGACCAACGTCTGGAAACAACGGCTCTCTATCAAAATCCGACGGCCACAACTTGTTTTGGACACGCCGAAAAAGAAGATCTGCTGCGGGAGATCGGCACAACACTGCAAACGCTAATAAATGGCCATTCAATGACTCGAGCCTCCCTGGAGATGCTCCGTCGAGTTTGAACCGCCCATTCAAATGGCATTCCGATTTGTCAAGCCATGTGCTCGGCGGATCCACCGACTATGACGGGCTCTTATGATCTATTCTCAGTCAAGTGACCGCATAACTGGTCATGAATGAAACGCGCCAAAAAAGCTGAGAGAGCTTCAAAAGAAGCAACAAAAGAGACAAAGCCGAAGTCTCGAATAATTCCGGCTTCTCGTCAATAAATTACAAGAATTCATCAATTTCTCGAACACCATTCTGTAGAACGTTCTCAAAATGGAGAAATGAACACAGAAAAATTTTGACAGACTCAGTAGAAGTAACAAATGAGCTCCAAAAAAAAATTTAATCCATCACTCATACATGGTTTATTCTGGTAACGACAAACCTTGAGCGACAGCTCGGCAATCCGAAATTTCCCTAGCAAACAAATCTGATCACAAAAATAGTTTCAAACTTTTTGTGTTCATGGAAGCTCCAAAACTTTCTTCAAAGAAAAAAAAATGCGATGTCACGAGTCGGTATCATAAAAAGATGAAGATAGTCTACTAATATTATTTTATCAATAACAATTTGAATATTTTTGAAAAGAGAAATGAAAGGAAAGATTCCGTGGAAGTCGGACGCTCCAAATGCCTCGTTATTTTCGATGAACGCTTGTTTTCCATATTGGACAAATATAAAATTTTCGAAACGAGGCTATAAAATAATCGGGAAGAATGGCTAAAAGGAAATGATGGTGAGAAGAAAGAACAGGAGAGCATTTTAAATGAACATTTTGGGCTCCGATCTAGTTTGATAACTGATTTTCTAAATGGCCGAACTTAGAAAATGCCTTTTTGGATTTTTTGGCTTGAAGGTCTATTTAGTCAGGGATTGATTTGGATGGAAGAAGGGCAGAAAAAGAAGCCGACAATCTCTACATCCCTATGGACTTTTCGGAGAGGCGGAGCTTTCGCGCACTTTTGAAATCATATTCGAAAGGAGTTAAAGAAATTCTCTGGCATAAAGAAGTTGCGGTGTTCTTTGGCAAGTTTGAACATTTCCAGTTCGCTCCATCGAGAAAAAGAGATTTATTTATTTGTCATTCTTCAGTCGCTTGTTTTGAAGTTTAGCATTAAAAATAAGAAAAAGGGAGGAATATTTTGAGCAACACCTGGATTTTTTTCGAAAAAAATGCTCGGTTTTTTTGAATATTTTTAATTTTATCTTCCATTCTATTCAAAAGTAGGCGAATGACTTCAAAGTTTTGACGGTGATTTTTTCGAAAAGCTCTTTCGGAACCAGTAGAAATAAGGTCTTTCCTGGAGACCAGAGCAAATTTAGCCGAGAAAGATAATCGGATTATCCTTGTGACCTTCTCAAGTTTCCAAAAGAGCAGTTCTGTTCAGAAATAACGAGAAAAGCCAGAAGTGGAGTGAGGAAAACGAAATTCAAAATGAGAGGTTGTTTAGTGAGAAGAGTATTGTGTTACATGGGCACATGCAAATCGGACACGGATATGCGAGGAAAGAACTCATAACCGTCCAGATGGCAGAAGTCGGCCGAAACGAGGCGACGGGAAGTGGCCGTCGGATGCGGCGGCGGAAAACTCGGCGGCTAATCAGGCACGTCTGATTGCCCAACAAGAGAGCCCAAATGCGATTCGGCCATGTGCCAAGTATGAGACTTCGGGTCGACCGGCGACCATACAAGGACGAGTCCACTAACCAAGTTCAAAAGTTCCCGATCCAACTTTTCTTTTTCTCATCGCAAAAGGATGACCCTTAAAGGCTTTGAGTCAAAGCTCTTATCATGCAGGAAACTCATTTTTTTTTAGTTCAAGCAGCATTTTTCCCTCACTAGGGCATGGTCTCCGCTCGACAACGAGTTAACACGCTGTCTCTGTAACTGTCAAAAACAACGGGTACAAAAAAAAATTTTATTTTTTGATTTTGATGAAACTTTATCCAGTGTGATAACCCATCATCAGAAATGCGGACGCAACTTTTTGAGCCATTTCCTCTTACTGTAGCCGGATTACGGTAGGCAGGTGGGCACCTGCGTATCTAAGTATTGAAGAGTTATTACTAGGCAACTGATATATCAATCGATAGGTAATCAAATTTTAGGAACTTTTTTAGTACATACCATCTTGGGTTACTGTAGGAATTTTCGAGTTACGGTAATTTTTTGTGTTTGGAAAGTCGGTTTTTTGGTCACCCTGGTCGTATGCATAGAATCGCATCGTAATTACTTATATGGAATATGTCTTGTAGTATGTTCTAAACAATGCCACAAAAAAAAGTTCGAATTTCTAAACCCGTCATCTCGAGATTTCACTCCGAACGCGCGCAACTTGGCACTTGGCGGCCAGGGTTGGTCGGGGTTGACGATTTTTCACATTTTTCTTCTGTTAGATATTGGTGTAAAACTTTTTTAGATTATAACTACAGTTTGTTTTGTAACATTCAAAGGGGTTTGAAGAGACCTATACGCTACATATTCGGCCGAAATTTCGTTTTGAACTCTATTTTGGCTTGAAAAAGCGCGATTCGCTCTGAAAAGATTGGTTTTTAAAAATTTCCGACAATCCCGCAGTTTCCAAAGCTATTAAATATGTAACTGACATCTTCTAGGTTACAATTGATATAGTTTTTGTTCAACTTTTTACCGAACCCGTCCAACCGAAATTTAGCTTTGAACTTATTATTGGCCTAAAAAAAGCAATATTTGCTCTGAAAAACCGATTTTTTTGAAAAATTTCCAACTGTACCGCTGTTTCCAAAGCTATCAAATATGTAGCTGACATCTTCCAGGTAAACATTTATGAGACTTTGCTTGACTTTTATCGAGCCCGTCTGGCCTAAAGCTGCTTTTGAACCCTATTTTGGCTTCGCCGGCGGGTCTGAGGCTGGATTTTTGAGCTTCGTAGCTATTTTCTCATCCGTACATCGCAAGAAGTAACGTTTTCATGCAAAAAAAAAAGTTGAACAGAAATTCAGCTGCGAGAATTTCGCCAGTTGGCAGAATATTGAGGCACTGTTGCGCTCCACCGATAACATTCGCCAGAGGCAAAATATTAATTCCAGTTAACTGTATTCAAGATTTATTATTGTTCTATTTTTTTGTTTCTGATTCTAGTTCTGTTTTTTTACTTGCTGTTTTTTTGACACCTGCAGGATTTTTTTAAGTGATTTAACATTTATTTTTACCGGAAAAAAATGGACAAAAAAATTCATAAAAACTTTTCATTCGTCAAATAGCCGAAACAATGTATATTCAGAATTATAATCCAAGGACTAAAGAAGAAGTTTTGAAAAAAGATCCATCAAAAGCTTCGAATTACGATTTTATCTCAACATCATAAATAAAAACCTTTTTCTAGCGATTGTACCTCTTTTTTTCTGAAAAATGATCATTCATTCATACAACTATTTTTCCAATTGTTGAATTTGAAAAAAAGTGCGAAACATTCTCAAAAAACTTGTGCTACGAGGCTCAAAAATCCAGCCTCAGACCCGCCGGCGAAGCCAAAATAGGGTTCAAAAGCAGCTTTAGGCCAGACGGGCTCGATAAAAGTCAAGCAAAGTCTCATAAATGTTTACCTGGAAGATGTCAGCTACATATTTGATAGCTTTGGAAACAGCGGTACAGTTGGAAATTTTCAAAAATCGGTTTTTTCAGAGCAAATATTGCTTTTTTAGGCCAATAATAAGTTCAAAGCTAAATTTCGGTTGGACGGGTTCGGTAAAAGTTGAACAAAACTATATCAATTGTAACCTAGAAGATGTCAGTTACATATTTAATAGCTTTGGAAACTGCGGGATTGTCGGAAATTTTTAAAAACCAATCTTTTCAGAGCGAATCGCGCTTTTTCAAGCCAAAATAGAGTTCAAAACGAAATTTCGGCCGAATATGTAGCGTATAGGTCTCTTCAAACCTCTTTGAATGTTACAAAACAAACTGTGGTTATAATCTAAAAAAGTTTTACACCAATATCTAACAGAAGAAAAATGTGAAAAATCGTCAACCACGACCAACCCTCGCCGCAAAGTGCCAAGTTGCGCGCGTTCGGAGTGAAATCTCGAGATGACGGGTTTAGAAATTCGAACTTTTTTTTGTGGCATTGTTTAGAACATACTACAAGACATATTCCATATAAGTAATTACGATGCGATTCTATGCCCACGACCAGGGTGACCAAAAAACCGACTTTCCAAACACAAAAATTACCGTAACTCGAAAATTCCTACAGTAACCCAAGATGGTATGTACTAAAAAAGTTCCTAAAATTTGATTACCTATCGATTGATATATCAGTTGCCTAGTAATAACTCTTCAATACTTAGATACGCAGGTGCCCACCTGCCTACCGTAATCCGGCTACAGTAAGAGGAAATGGCTCAAAAAGTTGCGTCCGCATTTCTGATGATGGGTTATCACACTGGATAAAGTTTCATCAAAATCAAAAAATAAAATTTTTTTTGTACCCGTTGCTTTTGAAACTTTTTGAAAATTACAGAGACAGCGTGTTAAGAATTGAGACTTTGTGGGTGGATAGGCCTAGGTGAGAGTACTCGGAATCAAAAATAGAATTCTGCTAAACCCCACAGGCGGCTGAGGAAAAGCTCGTCGAAATATTTCCAGCGCGGTATGGCCGCGCTCGGAGCCTCGTAAAATTTTTTTTTGAAAAAATATCTCAAAAATGAGAAAGGGATAAAGTTATGAGCCAGCAAAAACGATTTCCGCCAAAAGGATTCGAACCATGGTCCCAATATTGACAGTGCACAAGACCACAACCCACTACACCACGCCGCCAGTTGCTAGCCGAGGGCTCTGAGCGCAGGCATATACGCGCTGGAAAAATTTCGACGAGCTTTTCCTCAGCCGCCTGTGGGGTTTAGCAGAATTTTATTTTTGATTCCGAGTACTCTCACCTAGGCCTATCCACCCACAAAGTCTCAATTCTCAACTCGTTGTCGAGCGGAGACCATGCCCTAGTCAGAACTACATGCAACTATGGGAGTATCTAAACGATGACGTGATTATGATTTTTGACACGGATAGCTCACTTTCTTATTAACTTCTTGTTCATGCTCTAGAGAGTTATTTCACAGTTCGACTCCTCAAAAACTCGATAGTAGATCTCGCGAAATTGTTGACTTTGTTTTCTAGAGCGCACTTTCAACGCTTGAAAAGGCTGTCTTGATAGAAATATGAGGTCAACTGAAAAACGAAATTCGAAAGTGCATCGAACCAAGTTTGTTTTTTCCTTCAGTCCACACTTCGAGAAAAGGCCGCCACAAACTGTACCGATGTTTCTGAAGCGGGGTAGCTGAGAAAGAGTGAAAAGCGATAAAAATGTTGAAGTACTTGAGAGGGAGTTCTAGATAATCGATGGAAGAGGAGAGATTCGAGAAAACTTGAAAATGAAGAGGGAAATTGCGACAAATGAAGTGATTGGAGACAGAAGTGTGGGCGATTCAATGTGCATATCATTGCATAAATTGGCCGCAGGCGTCGAATCCATTAGAATAGCTACAGCGGAGAATGTGCGAACGTTGCATGTCAATGCCGAGCACCCCAGGGACGCCGACGACCAAAAACGGCCAAAAGACAAATTCCAAAAGAAAATGGACATTTCCCTGCTCATTTAAGCATAATTACCGACCTGTTAGCTGAGGCCTAATTTAATGAACTTCTTCTGAAACAAGATCGGATGCAAACTCTGAATTCAGAAGTACAACACGTTGGCTAGGAAGAGATTCTATTATTTTTTTTGTTCGTTCGGAGACGGAAGAAAAAAGCAGCTGATCGAAATTCGAACAGTAAAATCTACACGGCAGCGACAAATTGGAAGATCGGAGAAGGAGTGTAATTGAATAAGATGGCGGGACGAAATAGTGCAGGGGCGGGTCAAAAACGACTGCTTAAAATGATTTGGTGGGTTCGACGGCGCTCCACGAAAATTCGATTGCCGTAGCTCACCAAATCAAATTTCCAGTTATTTTGTCCGAAGCACTTTTTGGAAGCCACCGAGAAAGTAACTGATAGCACTGTCGAGATTGAAGATTATTTTTTTTCGAATAACCTCACAGTGGACTTTTTAAAGTTTTGTTCGAATTGTCTAGAAGGGTTCTAAATTTTTTCATTCCGTGTAAAGCCTTCACTCCGTGAAAAATGTTCGCTCTCATTCCGACTTCCACCCAGAGCACAGTCTCCAGCTCCAGCTCCAGCCTGTTATATTCGGAGCTCGTCAGGACGCAGCTGAATTGGTTACGCCTAGGAGAACGAGGCGAAGGACCATAAGATCATGATTTTTCTTGTTCACCGCCTAGTCGATTGAATCTATTACTAAAACTAACATTTTACATATAATGTCTCTGAAAGTCCAGAAAATAATCATTTATCCATGATATCGAGCACTTACTACAAAAATTTGTGTGTGAGTTGTGGGAGCAATGACCAAAAAGAAAAGGAGGCGGACAAAAATAGAGAAAAGCCAAAATAAAGTCAAACTAGTTAAACAATAGCAGAACCCGCAAGGCTTTGTGCTTCTCATAACTTATTCTGTGCGGCCGTTTCCGGATATCTCGTAATCTTGCGAGGACCAGTAGCCATTACAACTCATGAGTAAGAATGTAATGAGAAAAGGATAAATGACCAAGTGGAAAATAATGAAGGTGGAGTAAAAGTCAAGAAGTGTTCATTCTGAGTCCGAGTCCACAACAATCCTTCTTCGCTTCGCCTTTGACGCCTTCTCATCGCTCTTTCTCTTATTTGTGGTGTCGCCAGACTCTTTGACCTCTTCCTTCACTTCCGGCTCCAGCTTTTCGATTTTCGTATCATTTTTAGCGTCATCCGAACAAGTCTGCTCGTTTTCTTTGCTTCCATCCGAAACGTTTGAATCATTGTGGTCAAGCTTGACGTCCTGAATTAATAAGATAAAACACGCAGAGACGGCTACAGTTTTCCCTTCGAATAACATTTATTATTTAGAAAACTAGGAGCGCCCTGTAAACTGTTCTTTGAGAGTTTCGAAAGCAGAGTGAAAACTCCATTTCGGCTAACAAACTCATTTCACGAAATGTTTAATTCAACTCCTGACCATACATAGACAGACCAATTCCAAACACCACCAACATCTTCTCCTAAGTCTTCACAAATTAAAATAAACACTGTCTTCGTGAAGTTGAAAGTTATTTATCCTCTTTCTTTTCATTTTTAATTAGAAACAATTTTTTTTTTAAATCAATTCCTTTACCAGGACTGATTAAAATCTGTGATTGCCCAGGTATTATCTATGAGGACAGAAAAACGTTGAAGTCCATTTTTTTTCAGTGAAAATTTTCTAACAAACATGGTCCCCTCTATCGCAGCCAAGATTGATAGAACCTCTTTTGCAAATGACGCGGTTTTCACCCAGCTGATTTCACAAAAGGCGAATACTGTCATTATTTCATGGTGGATGAGTTCGATGAACACAACACGATGCATTCAGTATCCCGAAAAGCTACCGCAGACCTTCTCCGTCGGGAGCTGCTCCTCGACTTCTCGCGTCTTGTCCAAGGGCTTTTCGTCGTCGTAGATCTCGTCCTCCTCCTCTTCGACTGCTGCCACGACCTTCTCCTGGCTAACCGCCTCTTGGTTTTTGTACATTTCCAGAACCTGCTCAGATGACGTCGCGTCTTCCGGGTTTTTGTCTTCTCTAAAGAAAAAAATAGTTGGAAAAGGCGCATAAAATTTTTTTTATAACTTGCATGACGTGATTAACTTTTTGGTTTGAAACAAAAACTAACCGAATTCGAAGAAATCTTGGGAATCGGAGAGAAATCCCTTTTCCATCATCTGTTAAACCAGCAGCCGCCATATGTCGTGGAGATATAGTAATATCAGCGCATTTCAACTGTTAAAAAGTCCGAGATGTTGAAGTAACAGAAAAGAAGAAACGTACTTCGAAAACCATACAAGGCTGGAAAAAGTCGTCAGGAGTGAGACTTTGGTCGAATTTGTAGTACGAAGGTGCCTGTGAAAAACCAAAATTGGCTAGATGTATGGAATGGTGGCAGCCCGAAGCCCATTTTCAACCTACTTCTTTTTCATTTCTCATTAAGTTTACAGAAAATTTAGGTCTTTTGGGATAGAAAAACATGAAGGCAATCTGATTCGGTCATGAGGAGACCGAAAAACTACGTCTTTACAATTATCCTTTATTTACTGAAAGGTGAGAATATTGTACTGGGAGATTCAGAGTGTCTTCAATCATCCACTTGCCAACCTTTTCCAATTTATTTGGTTGGAGTTTTTCGAACTGCTGAGCCAAGTCCTCGTCTGTGAATCCCGTTCCAATCTGAAGTAGCAACTCAAAGCTAAATCTACAAACTGAACTGGAACCTTGCAAACACTTTCGTACTCCTCCGTACTTGCGTTGTAGCATCCCAACAGATAGCCTCCATAAACGCCAGTCCTTTTTCCTGAAAACACGCCCTACGCACAACTAGAGACGACAGACACGCACCGACGCCGCTGTACGCGCCCAGGACGACCAAATCCAAAGTATCACCGACGCCGTCCACGTAATCCTAGAAACAATCCATGCTCCAGGAACTTTCAACATGTCGAAACCTTTTTCATTTTCAGCCAACTGTGAGATCTTCTAGAAATCTCGTAGGTTGCGTCGGCATCAAGAGTTTTGATCATGAGTCCCTCGCATTTGTTCTCAAACACGAATCTAGTTAAACAAGACAATTCATACGTTTTTTCCAGTGATTGTTATAAAAATTATATGAAACTTTCTCTAGAGTATACAATATATTTCCAATAATCATTTTCTTCTGTGATACATTTCACTCTTCACATTATTCCCACAGTTTGCGAAAATCGAATTAACCTAATTTTTAAAGAAAAAGGAATCCTCATTATTTCTACCTGCGCAAACTATTAGCAAAGATTTAAAATTTGAATAAATCGAAACCGAAGTTACACATCCGATTTTTTAAAACGCTATTTTTCGAAAATCATATATTCAGAACTAAAAGTTTGCCCAAATAATTCATGACAAACCTTCGGAGAGTTTTTTTTTCAAATTCCAAAAAAATTCCAATTGTTTTACTAAAATTTACTTCGTTTCACAAGGAAACGTTTTTGGCCCCGGTTGAACTTTTGATGAAACTTGTCAAAAATGCACTTTAAGACCACTCAGAACAAGAGGAAAAATTTCTCGCAATAGATCAAGAGACGTATTTTTTGTTCTGGAATCAGGAGGTCCTAAATTACACTACAGCACAGCAAAGTATCCTCAAAAGTTCAATTGGACCCCAAAAAACGTTCCCTTGTCATTTATTTATTTATTTCACTCAAACACGAAAATACAGTCTTTGAAAAGGAAGAATTGGAGTGAAGGGGAACCCGATATAAAAACAGACAGAAAAGAAACTGTTCAATGGTTTGAACGTTTCATTTACTTATATACACCATGCACTTTCAAAAAAGCAATCAAGCCTTTCAATTTTTTCATTGAGCTAATGACAAAATTAAATTTTTTTTTTTGAATTTGCCACTGAAAATTAGGCTTTGCTCTGATTCTTTCGCTACAAGGAGATACTCTTCTGAAGAAAGCAAGAAAACCTGAACAGCTTCATCGAAGAAAGAATTGATCTCATCAGTATCGGTAGTGTCGAGAGATGTTGCGAATTGGAAGACGCCGTCGACAACCTTCGATTCATCGGTGGAAAGAGAGCCGCTTCGAATGGAACCTTGAAATTGTCGCGGAGCAGTTGACGACGTCTCCGCAGTGGCTGACGGACCAGCGGCTCGCCGTTCAGAAAAAGGAGGTCGAAGAAAAAAACGCCGACCCGCACCGTGTTGGCGTCTTCTGTCACGTTCTCAAATGGGTGAGATGAACGGATAGTTCGGGAAGAGAGTCTCACTTTTCTTTTTCGGGTCGAGAGCACCTGGAAAGGCAAGATCGAGCCCTGGGCGTCAAGGGCCACGACTTCTGCATCCGCAATGAACGAGGTGATTCCTTCGCCAAGACACAAATTGATCTGAAAAATTCCCGAGAACAAGTTGTCAAGCTTCATACAGCTCTTACCTTATCAATGACATCAGGATACTTGGTCGTGTGGTTCTCTTGATTTCGGCTAAACATCGATAATACTCCTTTCTCCGTCATGTGGATCTGATAGTTGTCTTTTTGAGCCGCAAGAGAAAAAGACATCGTACAGAATATTTTCAACAAAACCCCCACAAAAGTTAACTTTATCGATTTTTCCGTTCCATTTCGAAAGAACAGTAAATAGATAGTCGATCAAATGTGTAGCATGTTTATTAGTTTTATATTTTTGACTCTTTTAAACTGCTTTTTGAAACTGCTTAAGACTTTTTCCAACTATTTACATAGTATATTCTGTCCTAAAACCCTTTTTAGATTTTTTTAAGGCGCGAAAGTCAGTCATGACCGAAAATAACAATGGAAACGGCTCTCCGTATCTAAATTTTTTTTTTCAGTTCACTTATGCTTCTTCAAGCACCACAGAGCTCATTCTCTTGAATTTCTACACACTTATTAGCAGTCTCCAGGGCACCAGTAACCATTCTTTATATTTCAAGTTGCTTGTTCAATATATTCATACAACTGACTGGGAAATAAAGAAAATCCTTCCAAGCTGTTTGACAGACTGGATTAATTACCGACCTGTCCTCGTTCGCCGTCGTACTTCCATTCACAAGTCATTGCTTGGTTGCGGAATCGCCGCATAATCTCGTCGATTCCTTTCGTCGGGTGAGCCAACATCGGCTTCAGCGGCACTCCTGGATAGAGAACGCGTCACTTATTTCAGACTTCAAGTCCTTGGAACATTGGGATTTCTGTAGAAAGACAAACCTGGAGTCAACTTGCATTTATCTTCCAAGACTTCAATTCCTTCCGATATGGCAACCTCTATGAGTCTTGTGTAGTTCGGACATTCGCTAAAAAAACAAAATTTATTATATATATTTTTTTCTCGAATAACAGTTTTTTTCTGATTACAGTAAGTAAAGGAAGATAAAAGGTATTAAAAAAGCACCAATATGCAGTTTTAACCCTCTTGACGTTCAAGTCCTTCAACGCATCAATGTCGGAGATCTTTTTTTCTGAAGGAAACTTTATTTGATATTAGGGACGACGCACCTTGGAGGTTAGCCATCGTGAAGGCGTGACCCAAAGCCGAAAGAACACTCTGTTCTCCGAGGCCAATCCTCATCTTTCCCGCCAACATCCTCACCAAATATCTGGCTTCCACACCGCGACAAGCAATCAGAAGGTTCCGGATTTCATCCACTTTTTTGTTCATCGCCTGATTTTTCGGCAATGAAAAAAACGTTTTTCAAAAATATAATCTTACAGAAACGCCGGAAAGTTTGGCAATTGTTGTGAGCTTTGAAAAAACTGTTGAGACCGCCAAAGGCTTCGGGATCGTCAACATAGTTTGATTGGAACGAGATTGTTGCGCGACAGTACCCAAATCGCCCTTCAGACGGATGTCTTCTTTTATTTTGTCTTCTTTGCGACCAGTTGCTTTAGCAACAGCCTGAAAAAGTTTAACTGAGTTGGATCCATTGGAATTGAAACCTTGATCAGCGAATTTTCAGCAACTCCCAGTTCGAGCCCCTCATATGATGGTCCCAGTTGATTTACAGATAAATAAACACATGGCGTTAAGTCGTTTGGTGAGTATTCTAGTACCTGTCAAAAAGCAACGTTGAAGCCAGGCAATTTTCAGCTAACTTTTTTGTAAAACTGAGCGAGTTCATCGATTTTCTTCTTGCCGGATAACGCTTCAATTTTCTCTAATGTGGCTGCGAACTCAGCATAAGGAACTCTGAACAAAAAAATTAATCATTCATCACTGAAATATAAATTAAGACTGATAAAAAAAACGAACTTTGTCCCTTTGGACCATCCATCCTCCTCTTTTTTGGCTCCCTTGGAGAAGAACATGAATGAGCGGAGCCTGAAATGTGTTGTATAGCTGGAAAAAAACTGAAAACTTTCTATCCATACTCAAAACAAAATATTATTTTCGGGATCCCAAGGTGATCAGCATTTTCTAAGTTAACCGCTGAGCGGATTTTTCGTATCTGTATAGTTAAATATGAATATCACATTCATCGCAAATAATGAGGAAAAGTTCACTTGAACAATATTTCTTAGAGAAGTAATTTGTGAATAACTTTTTCGATGGTTAAATCTAGGTAAAAATATTGATAATAAAATACGTGGAACTGGTTCTTATAAAAACTCACAAAAAATTTGAAGATCTAAAAGTGGATGGAAAATTTTTTCCGATTCGTTAGAATATAGTTAACATCATCAAAACTTTTGCGAAGCGTGAAGCAAAAAATAAAAATAATCTTCAAAAAATTGTTTCACTGGTGAATCGAGAGGTAGATACAAGTATGTACCGGGTAGCAACTCAAGTGAATCGGCGAATCGTAATCGCTGGTCGTTTGTATGCGACCGGGTACCGTCTCTATGGTACCTGGATAGTACCTGATCGGTATCTGGATGCTACCGGGTATGTACCTGCAATTCGCGATTGCCACTGGCTGGCACATCAGTCGTTTATATAGCATCAGTGTTTTTTACACCTTCCCAAGCCTTCCAGGGTCTTATTGGATAAAGCTGAAACAAAAAATAACGACCCGGGAAGCAATTCCTGACTTTCCAAAAGAAATCGCAAATGTCAGGTAGCTACTTGCATCGACCTCCAACCCAGGTACCATAGAGATAGTACCCGGTAGCATACAAACGACCACCGATTACCACACGCCGATTGACTTTTTCAAAAGTTGCTACCCGGTAGCTACTTGTACTCGACTTCTCGATTCATCTTTGTTCATCAAATCATATAAATTCAATTAATTCGCGTTTAAAAAGAATTTTAAATCGTGGAATTGCATAGCGTCTCTCCAAGTCTTGAAATGACACTACGTCTAATTTAAACCAAAAAAACAAAAAAACAAAAACTTTTAAAAAAACCTTGAAAATATGAAGATTCTGGAGTATTTCAAATTCAACATTTGGCGCTTAGGTCTTTTTACGCCCCGATGACAATACTGGCGGGAGATCAGGCTTGTGCGTGAGACCGAGCGGTCCGACCTGGGCTTTTTGGGCCTCATTTTTTTGAGAAAAAAAGCCTGCGCGTGCTGATGCCGGGCTTAGAAAAAAATTTTAAAAAAAAATCTAAAAATTTTAAGCGAAAAATTCTCACCGAAAAAAATTATTTTTATATTAAAAAAAATCATAGTTTTTGTTGAACTCTAAGTGAAAAAAAAGCATAATTGTTACTTTTGTCGTAAAAAAACTTGATATAGGCCATTCCGCGCTAGCTTGTCACGTTTTTTTTTTCGCCAAAAGGCCAGAGGCCGTATGCAATAAAGTGGAAAATGCATTTTCCAAGCGAAAGAAAATCGTTTTTCCCGGTAAATGGCATTTTCCCGTATGCAATAAAATGGAAAATGCGTTCGCCTTTCATTTTCTTTGGCGAAAGCATTTTCCTACTCGAGGGTCGGTAAATGGCAAGGAAAATGGTTCGCCAAATGAACTCATCTTCAACTTTTTTCGCCTTTTTTTTGTATTTTTTGCCTATTTCCGGTTAATGTTTGTTGAATATGTGAACGGTTGACATGATAACTCGAAAAGACATTAAACATATTTTTTTCAGCTTTTCAAAAGTATATAATATGGCTTTTTTGTGATAAAAAGATTGTCAAATTGTTAATAAAAAAAAATTTTAGCGTTAATGGATGACATTGTTCGAGTGTTGAGGGAGACCGCTCTGAGCAGTATTCCAAAAGTTTTCCGGGATAGATCTAATCCGTTCGACAGCCTCGGGACGACGAACAGAACTTGCCTCGCCGGATCTAAAGGTTTCGGCGAACGTTCGCCGGCGAAAGTTTATTGCATACGGCCTCTGATTTGGTATGCGGTCTTTTTGGCGGGAAGAAAAACGTGACAAGCTGGCGCGGAATAGGCTATATTCTATTCGAAGAAAATTTGCGCTTGAGCTTTTTGGGCCGGGCCGGCCATTTTTTCTCGAGTCCCAGCTAAGGCCACGCCGGGCTTAGAAAATGGCCGGGGACCGACAGAGAGGCTGACGGGCCGGCCCTCGCACAAGCCTGCGAGAGATCTTTTAGAGAACTCGGACATTGCAGACTTCTGCGTCAGGAGGCTCAAAGCACGTCCATTTCGCTTTACGAATGTACGAGGAACCTGCCAAAATTCATGGGTTCCACTGTTCTTCATATATTGTGTCGGGCTTTTATAAAATTGTAGAAAAATTTTAAAAGAAAAATTACAGTTCCGCCTCGAGCCTTCCAGTGAACTCCTAATCGTGTGTTAAGTCTATTTTGTGCAAAGAAAACTGTAAAGCACTTATTATCGAATTTTTTGCTCGGATAGATCCACAAAATTTGTAATTTCTCGAGTAAAAGCGTTAGTTATGATTTTTCCACTAAGTCGTAGTCTTGAGTTTTGCCGTCCCTCGTGAATACCGCTCGTTTGTCGGAGAACATGGCGTAAGAAGCAAAGTTCGCCTGAAATTTTGACCGTTCAGAGAAGATCACGGGAATGAACCAAGATCAGAAGAACGCCGTTGATGCAGAAGACAGCGGTCCACTGTCCACGATCGGATTCTTCCTGCACCGTCGCCGCGACGAGAGCTGGCCCAGTGAACAGGGCGACGCACTTGAAAAACTGAATTGTGGCGATGACGACGTCCGCATATTGTCTGCAGAATTTCCATTCCGAGGATCAAGGCGGAGAGAACCTGGCAACCAATGTCGCGCATTTGTAGAAGCCGCCGCAGTTCATGCTCGACAAGCAATTGATTAACGCGACGACCACCACGGCCCAGAATCTCTGCGAGCGCGGAACAAAACCCAGCACACAGAAAAAAACTCCGACAAGTCCCACGGAGATCGTATTGAAAATCAGCATCTTCTTCATATCAGAAATTTTCCTAAAACGTTGTTAGAAAAAAGAAAAACGGCAAATGAGAATACTTGAAGACCTGAAAGCGACACCAAAAATTTTCCTTCAAATAGTCATTTTTGTACTCTGGTAATCCTTATCAATGGTCAGAATATAAGCTCTTGAGCCCAAATCTTTGAACGAAGAAATCGGAAGAAAAAGATTTCGGTCTCTGTACCATTAAAACCAGGTTTTCTCATAAAATAAAATGAAATAAAATTCGAAACTTGAACTTCTATGAAATAAAATCAAGATGAGCACACCATATTTTAGAAAGACCTTGAAAAAACACTCACTTATATTTATCGCTGATCAGGGCTGTCCCAAGCTTGAACGGAAGTTGGAGACCGATGGAAAGGCTCACGAAATAACCCGTCTGTTCTACCTCAACTTTTCAAAAGTTGTTTAAACATAATTGATCGAAGAAATCTTTGCAAAAATCTTTTTTCTACGTAGTTGATTGAATTTCTAATCTTCAGCGTTATTGCAGGCTATTTGTAGTTTGAATCGGAAAACAAAAAGGTCATTGATTCGTCATCGCCCCATTCTATCTAATTCAACTCCAAACGAGAATCTGCTGCGTTTCTGTGTGTGTCCCCTGCCCTTCACCTCGAATTCCAGGACATTACGGAAGTAAATGGGCGCGTAGGTGATTAACATGATAGTGGAAGTCATTTCCATGAAGGCGTTCAACCAGACGCAGACGACGGATTTGTTTCTAAGCATGGCCTGCAGAACCAGTGTTCAGAAAAGAGATGAGAACCGACCAGCCAGGGGATACGTCGTTCCTTGACGTTGTCCCCTCCTTTGCCTTTCTGGATCCGCTGTGCTTCTTGCGAGCCCACGAATCTGTGCTCCGTCGGTTTGTCTGAGTAAATGAACGTCCAGGCGATGAAACAAATGCATCCAAAAAAGGCGTGGACGTAGTAGGACGACTTCCAGCCAAATGACGACTCGCATAACTTAACTCTCAGAAATAAGTTGGCAAAGTCTTTGTCTAGAAGAAAAAAAAAACATGAAAAGGGAATCACTCATTTTACGAAACATTGTATGTTTTGCAGATGCACACGGAAATTCAAAAATGCAACGCTCAAAATTCAAGCAATTCCAAATAAAACATAGAAAAAATGATAAACCTACAGCTCCCGTGATGGAGTTGGTAGCCACCGAAGCGAACGAAGAGAACGACGTGAGGATGGCGATGAACATGGCGGATTCGTCGAGCGGAGCCCACGTCACACAAATGATCCCGATGACGGCGAAGTCGGCCGAATACGCTAGACCCTGTTAGCAGAAGTCGACAGCTCTGAGATTTCTTGTTACCTGCACGAATCTGACCAGTAACAATAGGTGATAGCTGTTGTCTGCAGCCGTTGGCAGAGCCGTCGTCGACAGAATGGACAAGCCTCCAGCCAAGAGAAATGGCATCCTGAACTCCCTGAGCCTAATTCCTCGAGTCCTGCTCACCTAGCACCTTGTCGGAGGTACAGCCAATTCACCGGTAACGTTCCCACCACTGTCCCAGCGGCGACGGCCCAGATGATGGCTTTTTTCTCAGCTGGACTATAGTCGTACCTGCTGCGGAACGTCTGTCCGAGTTCATATCGACTCCACGAAAGACCTACCCCATTAATCTCTTCCGCATTCGTCAGATCGTTCTTCATGCAGATGAACGTCAAGTTTATTATGGTGTAATTGGAGAAAATCACCATCAGTGCAAGAAAACCAACAAAAAGGATAACATAGCGGAAGTGACTGTTCCCGGCCATCTGATGAAAGGAGAGCAGATTGCAGAATTTTCTACAAATTGACTAAAAACCCTTTTTCCGGATATCAAACATTTTTGACCGTTTTTCTCTGATTGAAAAGTTATCTCGACTTTTCGAAATTCACGAAATGTTCTATCAATTACGTAGTCCAACGGTTAGGTACTTATAATTCGAAATTAATTTGCTCATTTATATAAGGTTTTCTAAATTTTCGAACGAATTTTCTAACCTAAAAAGGATAAGCCGGTCAAAAAAACGAATGAAGAAGAGAGAAAAATTAAACACAAAAAAAAACCGTCGAACAGCTTTTCAGTAAGTTCTACGACCGAATGTTGCCGTACCTACCCTTTGATAGTGATGGAAAAACAACAGTACAAACGCTGATCCGCAATCAAAATACCTAGCCATGTTCGATCGATTATTTCTTCTATGGGTGTCCTTGTGTTCGGACGCGTCTCTATCTGTGAGAGAAAAGCAAAACCCACGAAAAAACTTCATTCGGGTATAAATCTAAAACAAATACGTCGTTGAGTGAAAAAAATCAATCATCGTGAATAAAGAAAAAAGGAAAGCACAGGGAGCGAGAGATATGCAAAAATGAGTATCGGTGAAAAGTGTTTCATATTATCTAGTCATGCGATAAAATCAGAGGACACCTCGAAGCACTAAAAGAGTTTCGTTGATGGCCGACAGCCAAGAGTTCATGACGTCTTCTGAGTCGGTGCACAATAGAACCCTAAGGAATTACCATGAGAAAAAGTAGACAAAAAAAAAATGAAACGAAACCTTTTCTTCTCAATGAGAGTAGGAGAAGAGTTGATGAGAAGCTCGATGCTGAAGGAATTGACCCGAGAGCAAACGTCCATACTGTTGGGAGAAACCGAGTGATTCGTGCATTTGGTCAGGTCGATTTGCGACACCGGACCCTGAACAAAAAAGTAGCTGGAAGCGGTTTCGAAAGAAAGGACTGCTCAGGTGGGCTAAGAGTCGTGCAAATCAGAGTTTGAGGCCTCGAGAGGATACACCAAGAGATTAGCATAGACGACCTTGTAAACCAATACGATCAAAGTGAGAAAATATAAAAGATATAGTACGTCCGTCGTGACCTGAGAGAATTTTTGTCTGCGTCTCTCTGTTCCCTCACCGGCGAGGTCACAGAAACGCGAAAATAGCGCGTGAACAAAAGAGATCGTCGAGAGACGAGGAGGGTGCAGGGAAGTCCCTCCCTTTCAAGTCGTGAAAACGGACTATAGTCGCAGAACAAGGCATTATTAAAATAAAAAACGATTAGCCAAAATAGACGTTATTATCAGAAAATTCAACTAAGAACTCCTCTTAATCCCTGAGTTCTTTTTCGTGAGTATTGCAAGAGGCTTGACTACAAATTCCTCTGAACATCGAGCATCTCCGGAATAGATTCCACGTACCTTTCCAGACTTTTCATCACTCGGCTGAGTCCACATGAAAATGATGCCTCGGTTGAGCATTGCCCAGTATCGCTCCCAGCATTCCATTCCGTTGATCTTCTGGTAAATCGTCTGCAAAACGCTAATTGAAAACAGATTTGGGAAGCAGTTGACCAGAAATCCACGATACTCGACGTCGATGGCCTCTGGAAGAGACGAACAGTGCGAAATGAGTTTGACGGTGCCCTCCAACGGATAAACGACGTCGTCGAGGTAGAACATGCGGTCGCCGCAGGCCGCGCGGTCCAGAGTCATCTTTCCGCAACAGTTGAACTCGCAGTCGGGCACTTCGTAGGGCAAAGTCTTCTGTTGGGAGTGCGGCTTCGCCTTGCGTTGCGCTGTTCCCAACATATTATATTCGAAGAAATTTTCAATGTCTTGGATTTTTCGCAGGGAAACCAAACAATTCTAAAATTCATACGTGCGATGACCCTGTTGGGCGTCGGTCGCAAATGTTTTACGAAAGATATGCGAGAAGCTAGAAAAGAAAGAATTTGAAAAAAGTTAAAATTCAAAGCGGGGCACCGCCGACAACATGGTTTTTATTGAATAAATATAGGAAAGACATATTTGAAACTTCTAATGTTGATTTTTGAAATCAACGTGGTCGGTTTAGTCTAGATTCATCTTTGACAGTCTTTCAGGACTTCGCTAACGCGCTCGGCACCGGCGACCGGCGTTTGACGGCGCGCCTCAGTACTTCTAAACGACAAACGCCGGTGTTGTCGGCGGTGCCCCGCATTGAAGTTTCACTTTTTTCTAATTCTAATTATTTTTTTCTAGCTCCTCGCATGAAGTTACGTATTACTAGTTTATCCAACGTCTAGGAACTCTAAAATATTACAGCTCAAATTCCCCTGCTAGAAAAAAAACTGTATATATTTATATATTTTATAATTTAACAAAGAATAATTAATGCAGACTTTGAGAAGTTTTACCTGATGAAGGCACGAGCAAATTTTTTTGCACTTGGACGCTAAAACGGCAGCACACGATTTCTCGACAGGACGTTCCTCAGCCATTCGCTTAAAAAAGTTATTTATTTGACATCTATATTTACTAGACAGAAAATATGCAAAATTTAACTGCAAAACTACGAACAAATCTGCTACAAACGAAAGAATATTTCCTAAAGCCCATTTCTTTTACCGCGTTGAATAAAAAAAGGGAAGAAAAATTTATTTTTGCAATAAAAAAACATCAATTAATCAAAATACCTTCTTGGTGATACTAAACCTGAATCATTTTATCGAAAAAAAAATTAATTAAATGAAAAAATAGAATAGAATGCATTGATCTGAAAATTTTTTTAACCTGTTTTGAGTAGGATTATCTCGCGCTTGGAATTAGAAAATTTCATTATTATTTTTTAAAAAGACGACCAACTTTTTCAGAACATACCATCATATAAACTTCAATGGATATGGCAAAATCGACGGGTAAATTGGAGAAATGAATATGTTCGTTGAAGTTGAGGACATGGAGTCGGGTCTGATAGTTGGCAAGAAGACTGATGACGCCGGTCGCCTCGACCTCAGTCCGACACTTGAGCAGAACCAAGAACGCGTAGGAGCCTTCGAATCACGCTTTTATTAATTTTATTGGCAGGAAACTCTCAAAATTCGATCAAACTGATTTTGAGCGCATTACATCCTCCAAAAAAAAAAACCTCTCTAGGCCTACGGGGGCTTACAGTTTTAATCAGAGCTGTTCTCAAGTCGGGGCGACCCTGGCCGAGGCCGCCCCGATCCGACCGCGACGCGCCCCGGAGCGCCCCGGCCCGCAAAGCGGTTTTTCATTCAGGCCCCCGAAGCGAGCGCGAGGATTTTTTTCCGTATTTTTTTGTTTTTTTATTTCAGTTTTTTTCATATTGAAAATAAATGTTTAAGTTATTTATGATCCATGAAAAGTTTAATTTTATTGTTTTTTTGATAGAAATCGGGCTTTTTGATTTCACTTTTTTTCGAATCTTTTTTTCGTTTTTTTCTCGTTGTAAATAAAAAAATAATATTTCAAATAGTGGTTTGAATGAATTTTTTTGCGAAAATGAAATTCCTGATGATGTGAAAATTTCAAATTATTTCTTATTTATTATTTTTGTTTTTCTCTAGTTCTGTAAATTGTTCTGGTCACTTAGAAAACTATTGAATTTTTGGATTAATATCTCATTTCATCGGTTTTTCTTCTTTATGTGTTCGATAAAAATGTTTTTTGTTTCACTTTCATTTCAGTAAAACTTGCGCTTCTTTCTCTGTCTTATAATTCGCAAAAAACCGGGAGTCAAAAAAAAAATTTGTATCTACGGGTCGACCGAGTTGACCCTTACCAAAGGCCTACCGCGGCCGCCCTCGAACACGCCGCAAATCGGGGCGCCCTCGGTCGACCGGGGCCGCCCCGAGAACAGTTCTGGTTTTAATGAAATAACAGACTCAGATTTTCAAGAATTGTTTTTGAAAAATTTGTTACTCGAAGCCCCATTTTTCTTCGGATTTTATCAGTAATGAACATTTTCGAAACTCAATCGCTGAATTCTCTTGAACTTTTTTAAAACTTTCCCCACAAAAATATCCGCTTTAGCTCATTTACGTCATTTCATTCTTCGAAACCGAAAATACATTCAAAAATCACGTCTCAAGCTTACTATTCTCAAATTGGCGTTGGCAGAAGTTCTTGTTGAGATGAACTCCAATGGAGGAAATGACGAGATGGCTCTTGAACTCGCGGGCGACCGGCGGCGGCGGATGTCTCACTACAGACAAGGCCTGCAGTCGCTTCAACTCGTCCGTCTGCAGCCGAAGTCGCTCGCGGTACATCAAGAGCTGTCGCTGCGCCGTCAACTGGGCTCGCTGCGACTGGAATGATTTTTCGGCGACCGGATAACGCTACCTCCACAGGAGTTTCTTTGCTCCGTTTTCCTTCGCACACGGTTACTTCTGCGGCTTGGACCAGACGTTTCGTCGTTTCAATGTTTCTGACCAACTTCTGGAAAAGAAGGTAAAAGGGGAAAATAAAGAGGAACAAAACCGCGATTTGCCTCTTCGTGTCAGTTTTCTTATCTGAAGTTGACATGGTGCTTATAGAACTAACGAAAGATTTGTCGGTGTCGGCGTGATCATTCGGCCTTCCTGAAAAAAAAAAACAATTTTACGCAAAAACCTCTTTGTGTACTGAGCTGTGTCCTTAACCAGTCCATGTTCACATGAATTTTTGTCAAAAAATATCTTACGAAAAAGATGAAAGTACTTTGTGCAGTATTATATTCGGCAAATGTTTGCTTTATATGATCAAGATTCTCAAAATGCAAGCTGAAAACTGTGATATTCTCTTAATTGAAAAAAAAAAACCTTTTTTGACTCAATCTAGAAAACTAGAATTTCATACAGTTTGCAACTTGCAAGATCTACAATTAGACTTGAAAATTCAAAATTTTTGTTTGAAATGTTAAAAAAGATTATATTCAAACAAAATTAAACAAAACCCCACGAGTGGGTAGGTAATGAAAGTTATTGCGGCGGCTGAGAAAAGCGCAAACTTCGAAAAGCCAAAGTTCCCATAGGAGTGGATGTGGCCAAGGCGCAAGGCTGGATTGCGCGGTTGAGGACGACTTTTTCGGCTGTAGGATGGCCTTCTCTGTCATTCACGCGGTATTCAGTCACACTTTGGCCGGCGTACGGAGTCGTCAGTATCGGCGACCACGAATACCGTGGCTCGATCTCCTGGACGCTGATTCCGGCTCCAGAAGTACCGTCGACGTCGTCGAATGAATCGCGATTCTGGAACGTTCATGCTCCAAAACTGGTCAAAGGGCTTTTGAATTTTTTGGGTCAAACTTTAGTGCGACAGAGAAAAAAAAACATAGATGACTATATTACGATTATAGTTGAGTCGGCGTAACTGGGAAATCCATGACAGCAAACAACTGTAAAAGCACGTAATTGAAGCTAGATATTTGAATTCAAACAAAAGCCGTCATTCAGAGAATCGGGCTTTCTCTCCATTTGCATTTCAATTCTCCTATCAGAATATCGCGTTTCAAAAATAGCGAAAAGCGTTGTTTTAAAAGTAAATATAACACAATAAAGATACGTTTTTTTCATGGGAACTTCACAAAGATTTTTTTCTGCGTCTTCAGAATTCCACGTTATATTAAAAAAATTTTTAAAAAAATGGAAGTTAGATTAAACTTGTAGGTATAATCGCGAAGTGCAACCTCATTGATTCGAATAAGATTAAATCGTGAGTGAAATGAAACTATTGATTCGAATTTTCAATTTTTTTTTTTAAAAAAGGTATAGTTGAAGCGCGAAAAACAGGTAGTGAAAATTTTCAAAATTCTGGTTACTCAAGAGCTAAACGTATTATTCCAATTTCTATCAAAAAGTATTGCGAAAACAAATGATCGGTCTTACCGATTTGGGAGGGAGCTCGAGTTCTTGGTAAGTGTCGTTTCTGTCGTCCGGCTTGTCGATGCTATGATATGAAGCGGTTCTCGTGTAATTCCGAGGGTCCGCCTTTCCATCCAAACCCCGACAATCCACTCCTTTTTCTTCAAAGTTCTCTTCCGATGTTTGATGGTAGTAAACGCGCTCAGCGTAGGCCTAATTTACAGATTGTTAAGCTATTCTAAGAGGAGCAAACTTCTTCCACAAAGTCGAAATAGTCGTCAATTTTCGAATGGATTGTGTTCTCTTCAGGAATGTCCGAGAAAGGATATCCCACGCGAAGTTTTCTCTGATCTGCCTGTGAACGTTCCGATTTCTTCAGAGGTACAGCATAAATCGGCTCTTGACATTTCACAGGCTCCTGAAGTTTAGACTAACTGCCTTCGTATATACAAAAATATACACATCCAGAGGCGATTTGAGATAACCCTAGATTTATAATAACGTTTGAAACTATAAGAAGCATTCTAAAGAAAAACGAGTTCTTTCTGTAAATTTAATCAGAAAGTTTCTTTGTTCAAACCGAACAACCGCAAACTCGAGCCAACTCTTGTTTTCTTGAGCTGAGTGTTTACAAGCTCTGAAAAAGTTGCAAAACATTTGTTTTATCAAAAAAGCGTGAATATGAAAACAATCAATTTCTCATTCAAATGAGAGCTCAACAGACTTAATAATTCTCACCATCGACTGAAAAATACTGATTTAATAACCTGTTTCTCGAAGCTTAGATCAACGAAGTTTTGACCTTCCTCGTCTCGTGACATTGAGATTTTGTCGATTTCCACAGAACTGATAATTAAAGAAGTTACAGTTTTATTGCAACAACGCGAAACTTTCGCTTCTCATCCGGCTCCTTCTTTTGAACCAAGTTTCCATTAACATCGCATGATCTGTTCCCTGCTTCTTTTTTTGGAGTCCTCGGGAATAATTCCACCCTAAATAAGGAATTTGAAAATTTTGATCGACAATGATCACAGAAAGGAAAAAAAAAACAATGACCCTGAGGATATCGCGATCTTATTCCCTGCGGCGTTGTTTTCGCCAGTTCTCCGAATGAAAGTTCACAGAAATTTTTCTTCCCATTATTTCCAGATTTAATGAAAGAATTAAAAAAGCCAGAAACGCAGAGGTTTTTGATATCGCGACTCAGCAAAGTCGCGTCTTTTTCATCATTCTGGATGAAAAGAAGACTTGCCGCAAATTGTCGCGCGAACTGGGACCCAGAGAAGAGGAGCGCGACGGCAACGGCTCCCTCAACGACGCGGCCGTGATCGCCTGAGTGAGTCGACGATCATTCCGGCGAGATACAGGAGTTTCGAGCTGCGTGCAGTCCCGAATAGGCGTTTCCCGATTGAAATATCGCAGCAGTTCAGCTGAAAACCCACCTTATGGACTCAATAAAAAAAATTTAAGTTGGAAATTTAACTCTGCATCATAGTATTGAGAAAATGCGCGAAGTTCTAAACAGAAAAGGTCATTTGTGCTTGCCAAACGACACTAAATTTTTATAGCCCTTTTAGTAAATAACATGAAAAACAAAAAGAAAAATCAAAAACACCTAATTTTCAAATCTGAAAAACAACATTCGCCACAAAGCCCATTCAAAAAGGAATACCATGGGTTTTTTTTAAGTAAAAATTTGGCTATGAAAAACTCAAAAGCTATGTATTTTTGAATCAATAGAAAATCAATCAAGCTTATCAAACTGAACGAATAATCCAAAAGTCCCAAAAAAAAAGAAGTTGTATTACTATTATGTGAGTGAAAATTAACACGCAACGGTTACTATAAGACACACTATGCTGTGATACTGAAGTCATTCGAAATTTGTTTTATAAACGAGAAAGCCTCTATTCTCAAAAACTTGAAAAGACCGTGACTAGAATATTGATTCAAAGAATTTTATTTTAAAACTCATTACATTGCCCGTACCCGCGAAACTGAGGGATCTACTTGTGGAAGAACGAGCGAAATGACCGTAAGACCATGCTTTCAATTCAATCAACTACAAGTTTTGATTTTTTTTTTCTCTCCAAAAGCGGTGTTAGTACCATCAAAAGAGCAATTTTTTCACCGCCCAGCCGATTCTATCTGACTAAAACAACTAATAAATATTGACGATGATGATGATTATATTCCACATGGCTAAAGTTTTTTTCGCATATAAACACCTATTTTTTCGTTTTCAAAGCTACATTCTTTTCAGTTACCGTGAACGTCTTCCCGGGGATTTCGAGGAGTTGATGTTGCGTGATTTGGTGGTCGGGAAATGGAGCGAAGGGTCTTGTTTTTGCACTCACTGAATAAGAATATACGGGACTTTAAGGAATACCAAAAACCTCTCTTGAGATGAATTGAGTTCAATGGAGTGCTCGTAAACGATCGACTTGTCTAAAATGTCCCCACGATCGATAGAATCTCTATTCATTGGATCCGTAGAAGTTTTCGAGGTGTACTGATCAGTTGTGATAACAGAACTAAAATAAAGTAAAAGTTCTTTCTCCGAAGAATCCATTCGGACACCTTTCATAAGCGTAGTCTCCATTACCATAAGTCTTGCGAGAAATTATAGTGGCTGTATGTGTGGGGAAAACTTTACCAAGAGGAGGATCACTGGGCAAAGATTCATCAAACGTCCTCCGATCCTGGCGACGGTCTTGCTGATCAAAATTTGCATCGCCTCGATTTCATGAAGTTGTATTGCAAAAATGTTCAGTGAAGAAAACCTGATAAAGGTCGATTGTTGTTCTTTTCAAACTGTAAATCATCGACTCTTCGGGTATGGCCGACTTGGTAGCTACTTTGCGGTAAATCGTTCCGTTGGGAAGTTTCTCGGACTTTTTGATCAAAAGCTGCTGCGAGGTCACGTATGCGGCCTTTGGGAATATGTTTTCTCAAAAATATCGTTTTTTTCTCAAAAAAAAAACAATAAAAAAAACCTCACAGAATCGCCACCTTGCGCTAGAACAAAATTGTCATTTTTCATTTGAGAGCTGGGTCTCCGGTAGTGAGCATCTGAAGAGTATTACGATAACTTATCATAACTCTACTCTAATACCATTTTCTAACGATTTTTCTGTACGCGAAGTGTTTTCGCTCCATCGGTATGACTAAAAAAGCAAAATTAATTGTTAGTTCATTCGAATTAACATATGAGTTGATTAAAGTTTATGGGAAAAACTCGCATATTATTCTTTGCTCTCAAAACCACTTACCTGTCCCGAAGACTAATCGATCCGTTAGTTTTTAAAAAAAGCTCCATCTAGAGATAAAAAACTTTTCACGAATAAAAGAAAACATAGTTTATCCCGTAAACCATTTAAAATGCCAAAAATATGATCACAGAGAAAAAAAGTGTTTTTTTATGCGGCTCTTATTTCGAGATAATATTCTTGCTAAACATTTTTTTAAAAATAACCTTATTGTGAATGAAAGCTGCTGGCGAGAGCGGTGGAATAGATCGTATTGGCGGAGGTGGAAATTTGTAGGAAGTTTCTTGAGAAGACATTTGAGCTTTCTTAAAAACTAAGAAAATAAAAACCCTCTCAAGAAAGAAAACAATTTGCTCGTGTAATAAAATGCAATTTACGTGAGTAGCCTCGCGTGAAGAGTCATTTAGCATACAGTACATTTGAAAATTGGCCTTTGTTTTTTTCAAGGAAATTTTTATATAAAAAAACTTCTATTTTTTTACTTCACGTTTTTTTCTTGTCTCTTAATTCAAATTATAAAATGAATTTATAGATATGCTCTGATTCCTCATGAACAATATGAAGCTATATAATCGAACTTTATTAACACGTTTTCCAGTCTCGCACGGAGATTTGTCTTCTCTTCTACAAAGGTCAGTTAATGCACAAGATTTGCATTTACTTTATCTGTGCATCAAAACGCATGCACCCATTACGGTATTACTCTTCGTCTGGCACTAATGATAGGGTTGTGCGCTGATCTGTGAGCTAATGGAGCTTACCGCGCGGTGCTCCTGTATTCATCGGCGGTCAGTCCGAATCTGAGAAGGGAATAAAAATTTGTTGTGTTTCTTTCTCATTCGAAACAAGTTCCATGAAAGTTGAATCTAATGGGAAAATTTTCAGTCGCATATTTTTGATTTTTACGTCACAGGCGAATCGAGAAGGTACCATAATGTGTCCAAAAAGGTACCTCTCAAATTGGATCGTGAAGACCCCATAATATGTCCAACGTGAGACCACCAGCATACCTTTTAGCTATATCTGAGCCATCTCGGAGATACTTTAGAGTCTCTCTCAAGCCCCTCTCATTTTGCTCGAAATCCTCAAAGGTATCCTCGAGGTACCATCCTGAGACTTCAGAGCCTGCGATATAACTCAGAGGGTCCCGGATACCCTTTCTCGATTCGCCTATGGTGGCTTTTTTGTAGTCTCAGGTTCTTTTGGCTCAAATTTTTCCCGCTTTGAAATTTCCGATTAAGAATCCAATTTTTGAAATTTCAGAGTAGAAAGAAACCGTACGATTTTTGAAAATATTTATTGGATGAGAAGGTTTTCAATTATTCGAAACCTTTTTCTTTTTTTTTCACATTTTTATATATGTCTATATCCTTTCTTACCCTCTTTTCTGGAAATTTTTTTCTTGATAAACAATAAGATTGTACTCGGCTTGGTAGTTTTTATCAGCGTTGAAGGACCCCTCACACCTTCGATGTACTGACCCCTCGAAGCAAATACCAGACATAATGCTCGAGCACACAATCGCCGTTTGAACCATCTCGCGGGCCACTTCCGAGCTGCGAAAGTTACTGTTTGCTTGCCCAAATAAGCCAAACGCTTTATCTATGTTGTTTCCATTTTATCCGAGTTCAACTGCCATCAGAGTTTTGATTTCACTAAAAGGTCAGCTCTAAAAATAAGCTCGAAACACATAAACAACTTAGTTTGAAGCTATCACTTTTCATTATTTCTTCGACTTTTAGTTTGTTCCGCCAATAGGTCGATTTATATTGCGCTCCATGGATGAAGATCGTGAAAAGAAAATTCAAATATTATTCCATTTCCTTTTCTTGAAATTTTTTTTGAACGAAAAATATGTACGTCAATTTTGCCAAAATTACTTTGAATATGGCACTTAATTTCAATTTTTTTCAAAATAGCTGCCTAATTTTTTTTTCTCCCGTGGCTGATAAACTCTCAAAAGCGATCTGAGTCTGGACTTTCTTTCTGAAAATTGTTTCCTGTTTTACTTCGACGTTTTCGAAGGTATGCTTTTTGGTGCTATCAGATTACAGTAATACAAGGAAAGGATAATCTTTCTTGTTTGTGCGAGGAAGCCTGATTTCAAAACCTCTGAAGCCGTGGCTAATGTTTATATCTTTTTTTATATTAACGCTTTCTTTGGAATTTGGAGCTTACAAGATTACAAGAGGCGATTACAAGAAAAAAATGGGTTTTTTTACACATGATTCTTCGAAATATTATTCTTTTTTTAATAATGAACAAGAACCAATCTTATTTCATTAAAAAAAACTTTCATTTTGAAAATGGGAAATTGTTTCGTCAGTTCTGTTTTTTTTTCTAAAAAAAACAAAATCACGTGAAGCTTCCAGTCAAAGTTCTTTGATCCTGAAAAAAAAGAAAAACAGTTTTATAGACTTAAGAATGTGAGGGAAATAAAACAATGGGCCAGCGGGGATTAATAACGGAGAGAATTACGGTGTTGACATTGGCTCCTGTGCCGAGGTCGACCAACTCCCTGCAAAATGTATCTTCTCTTCACCGACTGAAACTGAAAGTCATAAATAAAACGGGCTGAAATCATACGCATTGATCTGTTTTACCAAAAAGGTCATTTTGCTCTGCGATTGGAAATTTTCTAAATAATAAAGTCGCCCTGACTTCTCGTTGATGCAAAAAGTAGAAGACCCTTCATATCTCACCCATATTTTCTTGCAATTTCCAAATGTTTTTCACTGGAAACGGCTTGAGAGATAGCGAACGTATAAAATGAATGCGGATGAAGATCTCAACCGATGTTTTTTTCGACAATGTTTTTTTCTCAAAGTATCTTTCCTTGAAAGGAATGAGCATCAATTAAGAAGCATAACCTTTTCCAAGAAAATACTTATTCTTTTTTTTTCAAATTTGTAATTCTCCTTTTTCTTCTAAAACTTCAGACACCCATCTTTCCTTCTTTTTCTTTTTTTTCCTCGGACTTTTTTTCAGCAATAGAAACGAGCAATAAATAGGGATCAAGACGTCATGAAACTTTGTGAATACGATAAGCCGAAGATGGTCTACTCGGGTGAATACAGCGAGTCGGCTGTAAGTCCATAATTGCCGGTATACGGTGCGCGATTTCCCGCAATCACTCATAACTTGGTCGTAAAAGACGACTCTCCCGCTTTAGGTTTAATGGGGGAGTGGAAGTTCTTGCAATAAAAATTGGTTTCTGGGGCAACTCGAGTTCGTTCTTTTGAAATGCAATGAACTTGCTTTTGAAAAACTATAAGAAAGTTCTTTACTTTTCCAGTCTCATGAAAACGGAACTTTTTGAGAACACTTATTAGATGATTCCCGCAAAGAAGTCTAAATTAGCAAGAAGAAAAGACAAGAAACGTGTGTGTTTGCTGAGGGCATTAAGCCTAAAATTCAACATATGGCGAGGCGAAGTCGGCGCAGGAATCGCGGCGTCGCAAGTATCCATATCGCAGTAATGCACGCGAATTCACACACGGCGATCGTTACGCAATGTTGTAGGCCGGACGCAGTTCTCGCCGGAAGAAACCATCTGCCTGGCCAAATCTGCAGTTACACAATTTCACCTATAATTATTTACTGTCGAGCTATTTTGGGATTAAGCCGCCGCGGCGGTCCCCATCCTGCTCTCCTTCTTTCTAATTCAAAAACCTTCAGCTGCTTCTTTTTATGTTTATAATTATAACACTACATTGTCAAACAAACTCAAACAAGCATCATCACTTGTAAAGTTGAATTAATTCTTCTTTCTCCAGCGACGGTGGACTTGTTTCATTTTGGGAAATCAAAAGTGGCCAACAGCCAATCTGATGGATCTCATCTACTGAATGCTTGTTTCAAAATGTACGATTCAACCTAACAAGTGTTCTATCCAAAAGCGCCTCTCAAACGCTTTTAACAAACAATTATTTTTGGAAACAGTTTTCTCTGAATTTATGTTTGTTCGACTTTCAATCAAAAACTTTAGAAAGCTTAAATATTGTAACTGAATTTAAATTTTCAAAAAACAAAATTAATTTTTCGATAAAATTTGAGTCCAGAAAAGATTGAAAAAAATGAAAAAAAGCAGTACAAGTATTTGAGGATTCTCACGGTTAGTTCAGCTTGAAAGAAACTCAGAGTTTCCTTTGAAACTATTCATTCTCGAAAAGTTGAAGATTTAAGAAAAAGGAAAATGTTTCTGGAAGAAGAGGGATTCATTAGTTGATGAATTCTCTTACGATTTCAAAAAAATATATTAGTTTAATTTTATGAGCTCAATTTAAAGATATATTTATAACGCTGTTAAGTCAAATGTTTTTCTTGCTATTTTTTCAATCGATCTCAGGGTGGAAAGATGTAAGAACATTTGGTGTTCATTCCTTGTTGCGATGTTTTGCTGCTGCTCGAGGCGGTTGGAGAGGAAGTCGAACTCCCTCGGAGCACCGTAAGCCTCTGAAAAAAGGCGCCAGCAATTGGGCGAAGCGAGCTGGACCAATTTTCCCACGGCAGTAGCTCCTCTGCCTAACATATTAGCATAACGGCCAAGCCAGCTGACTGCAGTCGCACTTGAGTCGTTCGCCGGCCAATTAGCGAGCAACCGTCACCTTCTCGCTTTGAAAGCCTTGCCAATTGTATTGGCAATGAATTGGGTTCGCTGTTCTTTCTCCCGCCGCATTATGCAAATCGAATGTCGCAGTTCTTTTTTGACCTTCTTGCTAGGTTTCCGTCGAGTCTCAGAACAATGCGCAAAGTTAAGCCGATTTCCAAGTTGCTGGGTCAAGTTGGGTCATTCGCACTGGTCGGAGGTGGAAATTGATAAAAAAAAAACGGTGTGTGTTAACAGAATTTGATATTCAAGAGATATATGGTTAAGTCGGAAAGATCCGTCTGCCTAAATTTGAAAAAAAAAACTACTATGAGCTCAGACAAGGATTTCTGATTGTTTTACTAGAACTCTGTCTATCCAAAGAGGCAGGTCTTGCTTCGAGACATTCACTGAGATTCCCAGATGATTGATTTTTGTGTTTTACAGTATTCTTGATTCTCAAACTCCAGTTTTACTTTAAATACTGGTGGAACATGGTTAAATGTGATGACTAGTTTTAACTTATTTCCTCTATGTCTCTCGGCACCATATGACGTTTTGCAGCGGACTTTTCCACAAGGACTCTACAAAGAAAGTCGAATCAAAGTGGTTCTCCTGAGTGACTTCACCAGTTGGAAACTAAAGAGTAAGTGAATTTCAAATTCACCGACGAGAAAAAACTTGAGCCAACCGCGTGACAACTTTTCTGTCCTCAAGTGGAAACTAAGTCCAAAGACCCCGTCTGGAGAGTCTTCAAAATGCCAAATGAGTTCCGCGGGTGGATAAAAGGTGTGGAGGAACGCAGGAGAGCTGCACACCTGGTTACATGGACGAGCAAATCACAAAGGTCGATCACGGATTATCTGCAGCCGCACAGTCTATTCATTCCGCCGCGCAGAGGGCCACAGTCCTCGTTAAATAATGCGTGAGAGCGAATAACTCGGTCACCACTTTGCCGCACTCCTCTTTAATTTGAAACTGAGCCGAGTGCCTCTAGAACGCACCTTCCGAGTCGCTGAACTACGGGCAAATGGTTTCTCTTACTAAATAGGCGCTCATAGTTGTCGGCACTCCTTGGGAAAAGAAAGTTCTGAAGTTCACAAAACTCAAAAAATGCATGAACTTGCCGCAAATGGAACGCCTCGGCTTATCTGGGCTCTTCTTCCTTTTTCGCACCTTTGTGGTTAATTTGATTTATCTATACTGCTGAATTAAGGCTGCTCCTAGTCATGACCGATGGGGTCCAATACATCGAAAACTAAATTAACGAAAGAAAAAAAAATCATTGATTCAATTAAACTGTTTACTCTACTGTAAAAATTCAAATAAATTTCACTTTTATAATTTCTCAAAGCATACTATTTGAGAAAAGAAAAATGAGCACCCTCGCCTTTGAAATTGTCCCCTCTCAAGATTACCGTATCATCAACAAGACAAATTACGGTGAAGGGCAGGCTAATATGGGGTGAGGACGTGCAAAGTTTGGCAGGCGGTTGCGCAAGCCGGCCCAACACCGATCCGTTTGATTGACACGACATGCACATCTAATCTGATACGGTATTCGACCTGACGCAACTTCCGGACAGCTGGGAAACTTTGGCTTTTGTAAGAGAACTTATAACTATCTTTAAAGAAGGGTGGTAAGAAGTTCCAAAGACGATTCTCTCTATAATTCTGCGGGTTGGCTGGTGATAAAGCAGCTAAATTAAGAGTAATTCATAAAATAGCAAAAATAGTAGAGAGTAAAGTTGAAGTGACAAGAGCAGGGAAGTGGCTGAGCGAGGACGAAGCGACGGCATGGAATGGACCGTGGCGAGGCAAAGGCTGAAGAAGATGAGCCACGATCAGCCGCCGCTTAGCAATTCACTCGTACCCGCTTCTCCACCTCCGCTCAACTTTTCCGAGCTCTGCAAGACCTCGGTTCAGCCCCCCCTCGAAACTTCCTACAGAGTCGTTCCCAATGAATATGTACGGTTATGAGTGTGTATAAGTGAACAACAGCTTTCCTTTATTGTTAACTTGATTCGAATGAAAATTTTTTCTGAACCTTTTTAGATCGACGAAAGAGAAAATAGAATATTTGAAGATCGTTAACCAGGTAAAACTTTGAAATTCTTTTTGCAAACGCGAAAATTCGCGTGCTAGCGGTTTCGAATAAAGTTTTACTGAAATATTTGAATATAACACGTTTTTGAATCTGACTAGCCTCAATTTTTCAAGCTTTTACTTTTCGAATTCGAACCGAATCAAGTCCTGTTCGGTCAAGCCAGGAGGTTGATCGAAAAGAAGATATCAAGAGGAATAAGCCTGTCAAGAGGCTCATGGTTCCGAGAGTATGAGGAAAAAGCCGTTGATTTCAATAGATATTCGTTTAACTTATTCTTCAGTTTGGGTATCTTTTTGATAAGTTTAACGAATAATGGACCTCACGAATGAGATTTTCGCCGCCAAAAGCCATGATGAAGCGCCGCAAAAGTACGTGGGGATTTGTTTGCAGCCAAACAACTTGTCAGTCTGTCACCAAACACGCGTGCCGACCTGCTAATTCTGCCAAATATACGTGCTTTGGCGGCACTCCGTTTGCGGAGGCTCCGCATGAGGTGCGCGAACGTCAGAATCCGACTCCGTGGGCTAAGCCTCATCCCCTCATCGGAAAGCTTTATACGAAATTGATAAAGTGGCACGTCTTCTGTTCATGATAATCAATTAGAGAGATGAAATCTTTGTTTGTCTTTCAACTCTGGGAACGAATCAGTTTGCTGAAATCGCCTACAATGATTTGCAATCTGGAGGTTTTCCAGTGTTCGGAAACAGCTTCCCCGAGACGTTTTGTCGGTGACACATCTTTCCGAACTGCGAGCGGAGTTGTTTCCGAAAAATCGATCAATTCGCCAAGAGACGGCAGAGTTGCGGCGCAAAGCCATCGCCAAACAAGGCAACACACAAACCCACCAACATTTTTTTTTCATCAGCAAAGGGTCGATGAGTTTTGTTTATGTGAAATGTTATAGTATGGCTATCTTATCAGATTATTATTTTTGAATATTCTTATAAATTTCTGTAGCCGAACTCAAGACCGAACTATGGAAAGAAGGAAAAACGAATAATTAAAAAACAGTGTTTTTATATCTTTAGTTATGGCTTTGAAAAAATTTTATTGAAATATTCAGCAGTTACAAATTAGAAGTGATCCTTTTTGGAAAAAATACTTCATTTTGCTTCTCAAAATCTTTTTGAACTCAATGAATTTAACCAAACTGAAAAACCAATGCGTAAGATGTCCAAACCGCAAATTCTATTCAAAGTATATTTCCAAAGTCTATTTTCATTGCATATATCAAAAATGCAGTCAAACGGTTCCATATAAAGCCGTTTCAGTTGTTAGCAGCTTTTTTTGATAACAAACTATGGTATTTGAGTCTCCAAATAGGAATCAGCTCCGCCGCGCCGTTTTTCTGACGTCCTTATCAAGAAGCTTATCACGCCTGATAGTCTTAATTGCGTCGAAGGGAGGGGCAGTTACATTGAATTTTTTTTCTGTTTTCTACAATCTCGTCGAGCAGACGCAAGCAGAGGCTTGGCCTGGATAAGCGACCGTGTTGCCATTTTTAACCGGCAAATCCGACCGGACGGGGAGGGATACCTTATCCATTAGTTGATTGCTTGCCGACGTCGACATTCGGGAAGCCGAAGAGATAATCGTCCATTTCTACGATTGTAAGTCGTTGCGGCCGGTGGATGTCAGCTTCAGAGTCGTCTTCTTCTGCCTCCTCGTCTTCGTCCAACTCTTCTTCATCTCTCAACACCATCGAGCAGTCTCTCCTCAACCTCAGCCACGACCGTTCTTCAGACGTCAGCCCAAATCCAGGCTTACCCAACAACTCAGCTTTATCTCTGGTAAGTCTGGTTTTACTCAGTCTTATCTCTAGGCGCTCTATTTGTCTACATCTTTTACTATAAATAATGCGTCGGTTCAGAAAAGAGAGATTTTGAATTCGAGCAGACCAGATTAACCTCGGAAACATACTTTTTCTTCATGAAAAATTGAGCCGTGGTGCTTTGAAGATGGGACTCAAGCGGTCGCGAAGCGTTCTTCGTTTGAATTCACACTTTGCCACACGTATTTCGTATCTTTCAACGGATTTCAATGTTTATAGGAACTTTTTTATTTTTTATTTATGCAGACGATGAGTTTCAGCTCATTTTTATGATTACTTTGAGAGGTTTACCACAAAAAAAGCGATATATATTATAGAATAAATTATAATATTGAAAAAACTTGCTTAACACATCATGAATTGAGAAAGACTAAGATCATGACGTTAAAGAGAGAATTAAAAAAAAATCGAACGAGGAAACGAGTTGGACAAAGTTTGAAAACGCTTCGCGACCGTACTCATCAGAATTGTGGACCAGGGGACACGGGCCAAAAAAGAATCTAGGGAGCGGAGATTTTTGTTTGCACACACAGTTAGCTGATTCGGAGGGGAACGGACGGAGAGTTTGTGAAGATTCGGCTCTTTCGGACCATTTCCCCTTTTGGGCCGTTCTAAATGTTTTGTTTTGCTGCAAAGCGTGTCGGTGTATCATCGTGCAGCAGACCGACTATTTGTGTCGCGCAGCAAACCGTGGCCGGCTACCGTAGTCCTCAAACAGTGGGGTTTTCCTCCTCGGCGTGGCCGCATCCTGCAGCAAACAAGCAAGGCCGAAGTCGAATTCTCCGGCTCCGCCCACACCTCCCGGCGATTGGGTGCAGCCGAAGGGTAGGCGGAGACTCGACTTACCATCACCGACGCTTCGGCTCGGAGAACCTTCCTCGGCGAGGAACTGTGTGGAGAGTGGAAACGGAGACGCGTGTGTGGGCGGAGCAGGCGGATTGCAGCGGCAGGAAATCGCATTGACGTTGGCTGAGCCCTCGTCGCGCCTGTGCGCCAAGTGTTTAATTCCTGAGGTTTATCGTAATCCAGGGATGATGTGATAGGCTTATCGGGTCGTCGCGGCTCATCCCGAACATGCATGAGTTGGCGCCGCCATGCTGCAGTCATGAAGGCTTGCGGTCGCAGCATGGCAGCCTTAGCCCGTCCAGAGCCTATCACCTCATCCGGTTCGTTTCCGTTGATTCCCATCTACTGTTCGTTCTTTTCAACCATTGTTTCCTTTTCAGAACTTCCCCACTCGCAACACTTTGGCCGAAGCCATGAACGGTGGAAACTTTGTGAGTTTCAATTTTTTCAATTTTTTCAATTTTAGTGAAGTGAGTAAAATTGTTGTGAACTTTTTTTCGAACCCATGCTAAGGAAGTGTTTTGAGTTATCCAAGCAATACAGCAATGTACAGTCTGTCCGAATATCCTTGCTGATGTGCTCAATGGAGCATAGACAACAAAGGTTTTCAATTTTCAATGCTTAGTCATTCACAGTGTTATTGTTTATCGTTCCCAATTTTTGCGACTTTAAAGTAGAAATGTTTCTTGAACAAACTATACACATCGTCCCAAAAAGGTTTCGCAATTCCAATTTTCCGGCTTATACACAGTCTCGCTCACTCCTTTATTGAACACTCTCTGCAAAGACGATAATAGAAATTTTATTAAAAATAAAACACAACGTGTGGTTTGGCAGGAGAAATTTGATGAAGACGCCAACAAAGTCTCGCGAAGCTTAGCACTGCCGGAGAATGAGAACGTTGTTGACCCGACGTCTTTTTACTTTCAGCTTTCGGTTTACCGTTGTAATTTGCATGTTCAAAACGCTGTTTGGGTTCGATATGTTGCTCTATCTCTGGGAAAAGTGCCCTGATCATGATAGACTTTCCAGCCCATGTCCTACATCCCGACGGTTTCTTCCGCTCAGAGCGTCGCCAACATGACTGCCGCCGCTGCATATTTTGGTAACAAGGTTTGTCTGTTTTATTTGTTGCTTTAAAAGTTGTTTCAAAGAGTCACTTCCACTTTTTTATTCTTTGCATTCTATTTCAAAGAAATTTTCTTTGAATCGACAATTGAACTAAAAATTCCTGCTAAAGGAATCTTATTCTGTCCTGCGATCCTTAAAGAAGGTTCAGATATTCTTCAAACATATTCAACGATTACCTATCTTTCCTATTCAATTCAGTCTGTCCCTATCAAATATTAATACTTCCTTTTTACTTTTCTAATAAATCGCTAGCCTCGAAGTTCATTTGCGATTTGAATAGGCATGAATCGTACCAAAATCGAAGAAGCCTGGAAAACCCGGGTATTATAATTTGCTACAGAGCAAGTTTCGTTTCGATTGGAATATATCCTTTAGGAGACTATTTCCTTGTTTCAGGCCGGATACGGGACGCCTCATCTCGGCTTCTCGACACCACCGACACACAATTTTCTGCCGGCGTCCATGGGTTACATCAGCGGCTCTCTGGCCGACTGCCAGCCTTCCGGCATCGCTTGGAACGCCAATCCGCCAAGGTGAGTCGATGTCTGCCACTTCCGAGTTCACTTCTTCCTTGAAAAAGAAAGCAATCAATACAAAAAACTTGCAGCTTCTCGCGGAAGCAACGCCGTGAAAGGACCACTTTCACGCGGAATCAGCTGGAAATTCTCGAGAGCTACTTTATGAAGACTCGTTATCCAGACATCTTCATGAGAGAAGATATGGCTCATAAAATTCAGTTGCCAGAAAGCCGCGTTCAGGTGACTTTCCGACTTTTTACCTTGTTTTCCTGGCTCCTTTTTTTTCTTTGATCTATCTCAAGCGGTGAAAGACATTGTTTTTCGTAAATGACCAGAAGTGATGCTAGTGGCTCACTTTCTTCTAAACTGCAGAGTTCAAACTATGAACATTGCTGAGTTTTGGCCTTCAATTTATTATTTTCAAAACTAGTTTCACAATGATTGATCTCGATTTGAAAATATGAAGCTCCTAAACTCTGTATCATTTATCCTTTCAACTTTTCACTGCACTCTTGAATATTTTGCGACTGGAAACACTGGGAGGCTCTCATTTGCTAACTTGAAACTCAAAAGTCAAGTAAGTAAGCTTCACAGGGCCCCATGTCTTGGTCCACTTTGTTTTTTCAATCCTTTTCGGCGCCCAGTTTTGCGGCGCCGGTCGTCACGGTACCGTATCCTTTTCCTCCGCTTCGAGAGACAAACAGGCTGCCCAGTTCGCGATAATAGAGTCGTACACTCCGTCGCGATCGATTGGTTCTCCTTTACTTTCTCCTCACTGAAAAGTACTGTAGTAAAGAGAATTGCCCGGAAGATACGAAACCTTTTGGACTTCTCATGGAGAAACTTTTAGAAGTCATGAACAAAAAATATTGAAATTTGAAGGAAAGTAAAAACAAAATCGACATTTTAATTGAATATGTCACATCGGAGGATTTGAAGCAGTAAGGAAAAACCAAAAAGACAATGTTTCATCGGCGACTGCACGACCAAACAACTATATGTCTAATTGTATAACAAAAAAAAGCTTATCAATGTAGTCTTGGATTTCAAACTCCTTTTCAAGCTGTTTGTAAATGAGTTTTGAGGAAAAACCCCTCCACGAATTTTTCTTAAACTGTTAATAAACAGGAACAAAAGTACTTGGATCTGTTTTTTATTTCAATATGTTCTATACAGCTATTCTCTTCAAAAGGCTGATTTTTGAAGGTGTGGTTCAAAAATCGACGAGCGAAAGCCCGACAGCAGAAAAAAGCACAGCAAGCCAGCGGACACTCGACTTGTGCCAGTAGCAATACGTGAGCTCACAACTCCAAAATTCCAACCAACGACGTTAGTTTCAGAAGCAACTCTGGCGCTTCGAACGGAGGTGGTGACGCGATTCCTTCTAGTCCTAGCACGGACAGCGACGTCAAGTTTGGAGTGAGTAGAACAGCAGCCGGGAGATGACGTCGAAAGTTTCCAGGTTAAGGAGGAACAGCTCGACGCTGCTAACGGCACGAGCGAGCCGTCGCGCTCACCAGAGCAACCTGAGGAGAAGCCGACGACCAGCAGTGCCAGCGTCTACACTCTCCCGACGGTATCGCCTAACGGCTACAACAGCGCTTCGTTCAGACCTCAGGCTCAGTACCCCTACGGTCAGTAGCTCCCTTTCATGATTTCGGAGTCTCGGATCTATCTTAGATGGTATTGAGACGTGTCGTATTTGATTCAAAAGACAAAAAAAAAATTTTAATTTCTAGGCGGTCTGGGAAGCAACTACCAGGACTACTTCGCCTACACACAGCCTTCCACCACTACAAATCCCTACACCATGGAATGGAAATTCCAGTAATCTCTCTTCTATCTCAAAGTGATCTTTAAAGTACGCAAACATTCTTTCAACCAGTGAATTACTTTACGCATATGAAAAACTACGTCCGTGAACCAAATTATTTTTTTTAAATACTCATTTTCAGTTTGATACTAATTGTATAAAAACTTTGAAAATGTATATAACGCGAAATTCTTCGTCAAATGAAGACATTAGGACAAGTTCATGATGAATCCGTAGCTTCCTTTTGACTGTCCTCTCCTTCGAGATTCGGCCATTAAGAAATTATTTTTTTTCTTCAAGAGATGACTATCGAACCCATCAATACTTAAAGCTTTATCCTAATTTTACTCGATATCTAAATTTTATTTCATTCTTTTCTCGTTCTACCGCATTAATTCTGACAAAATTTTTGCATTCCAGAGAAATAAATAATATTATTTTATTGTGACTCGCATGATCATTTCTATTTTTCTACATGTTCTTGGTCACTCTTGCGTTGTTTTCAAGCGCAGCCACTAGCGAAAAAAACTTTCTTGCTATTATCAGGTTATACAAAGTTTAATCATTTTTTTAGAAAAGAATCTTCTCTACTGTACCAAAAAGAAAACGTATTATAAAGAGCTCTAGACTGACCTGTTTCAAAAAATGCATGAAAAAATGGGTCCTCCGCAATTATGGAAGAATACGCGCAGAACGTCAGTGTGGCGAAGACTCCCGTGTACGACAGCTTCGCGAACGTCAAGAAGAAAAGTTTCCATTTCACGCCGGAAAGCGAAAGGCTCATCGGCAAGCCGGTCAGTAGTCGTTCTCAAACTCTCCGTTTCTCTAGTACCGTTTATCAGAAATCTAAAAAAAAGTGAGTATTGAAAAGCTAAAAAATGATAGTATGCTGATGTTTCAAATCTGAAACCGAGTCTCGTCCTCAGGTATGTCTCATTTTCTTCGGCAAGAACATGACGCACAAGATCGCGTGGCAAGGCGCCGTCTCCGAGATCCACGTGCCCTTCAACTGCAACTACCTCAAAGATGGCGAGTTTCGAGTTCCGGAGAAGCTCAGTTCTCTGTTGCAGTTTTCTGTTTTCAAATAACGGAAACGACATCTTGGCTTGGTGACGCCACAGGGAACGCCTGTTGCTGCTCTTCGGACGACTGCAACGACGTCACGCCTACCTTCGAAGCCCTTGTCCGCGAACAATTAGCCGCCGAGGTAAACTTCAACTTCGCACTTATCAAATGATCATCCAACGCGGTTCTACCTCTGTCAGAGTCTATGGACGGAGTTTCTTGTTCTGATCCACCCACTTCTCATGTACCTCCTGCTCGTGACCGTCTTGTGCGTTTTCGTAGTCTTCGAAGCTTTCTGCGAAGACGTTATTCGTAAAAAGTTTGCTAAACCGGTTTAGTTGGATGAAAATCAACAAATGCTTCAAATTTATGGTCCAGGTTGAATACCACGGTTATGCACAAATAACAAAGTTGACCTCTTCTTCCAAGGAGCAGATGACATATTCAAATGTGAGTGAGAAGACCAAGAAATATCGGAAATGTTGACGAAAATTTTCAGAAGGATGATCTACAGCTTGACTCGACGCAGGAATCGCCCATCGAAATCGAAAAAACTCAGATTTCTTCGCGACATCTTCCCGTCGTAAGTCTGACTTATTTTTTTCAGGATTTTTACTCGATCTTCCATTGTTTTGCTCGTATGAAAAAAGTGATTCTTGCTGCAAAAGTTTTTTTTTTTTTCACATTTCCACTATGGAGAGATTTTTATTACCTATTCCATTTATCAATGAATTCTAAACTTAGAAACGAAGATTTCAACCCAACTATTTGGTATACTTCCTTTCTTCTCTTAACTTTACTCATAAGTTGCTTCACTTCGCACAAAAACTGCGAAACTCGCCACCACGATCTTTTTCGTGGAAAACTGCTTTTACAGGAACTTCCGGAGAAGCCGCGGCCGCGTCGCTTGCCGGATGGTCGGGAGCAGAAAGTCTCCATGAATTACAATGATTCCACGTTCTCCGACCTCGAGTGAGCTTCCCCAAGAATTCACGATTCACATGTTTCCTTTACCACACATCGTTTCGTTTATAATTGTAAACAATCGATAAAACATAGATTGGGACCTTTACTATTCAAATGTACGTTTTGAAAAATGTTTTTACTGACTTTCGTTTTTTTTCCCAATACGTTGGTATGATTTCTTCTCGGATACCATCTTCCTATACAGAAAAAAGTAAGATTGGCGTGAAAATAGAAAAAAAAAACCGTTGCGAGGTATTCCACTATTTCTGCGAAAGTGAACCTTTTCGTCGGATCCATGTTTCGACAATGTTTGAATAAGATTCTCATAGCATCGGGACAATCATTACCGATTTTGAGAGAAATCTGCAAACCTCGATTATCAACCAATATTTTGTTTGAACAAAAACTCCTTTTAGACGTGTCGAATAAGAGAAAAAAGAAGTTTTGGACTAGAAAATGATGCTTCATAAGACTCGCCTTATTATTTGTTATTGCTCTCCTCAACACATTTCCCTGTAGTTGACAATTGTAAAATGGCTCTCGACCTTGGTTATAAACTTCGTACATCATCGCCCCGTAGCTTCAAAGAGTTTTTTTTTTGTTTTTGTTTTGAATAACGAACTATAAAAAGGCAAAGTTAAAATATATTCAAATTGAATTATGGCCAAAAAACTTCAACAAAGAAACCTGAATAATGAATTTGAGTTAATGGCGCACCATAAAAATTTTTTTTGAATGCTCATCACTTTTTAAAGATAGTTAGCGATTATTTCGCTTGATGTGTTGATTCTCACGGTGCGCAAGTCTACTTGAAGTAGGATAGTTAAATAGTTCGGTTGGTCAAAGCTTCAAGGCGATCCTTTTCAGAAGATGGCAAAATAACTTATCAGAAGTCAGTTTTCAGAAAGCTCGAAACGGCCCGCCCTAGTCCATTCTCAAAATTGCCCTAGTTTCGAAGTGAAAGAAAGTTTCTTTCTAGAATTTTGATTAAGTCAGACCTGTAGACGTCGGACGCCTTGGTGTAGGTGAACTTCTTGAGTGTCTCTGGCGCCATCGAACGGACGGGAAGTCGTCCTCCCTTCCGCTCCCTCACTCCGTTGTTGCAGCGGTCCACGACGGAAAGTCCGAAGTCAGAGATCATCACCCTCCTGTCGGCGTCGAGAAGACAGTTACGGGCGGCGATATCTCTAAAGTTCTTGGTCTCAAAAAACGCAAACAGCCTTTTCGACAGCTGCTGAAGATTCCACTATCTTGTAATCTCTCGAATGAACATATTACGTTCCAATAAGAATTTTGAAGAAAAAGAAAACAATACCGATGGATAATACTTTTTTCGTGTAGATACTGCAGTCCTTTGGCGGCGTCGAACAGAAAATTGAGTTTATCAATTTCTGACGGCTGAAATCCGAATAAATGAAAAAAGTTATTCGGTTGCTCCCTCCACGATTGATTTTATCGTTCAAACTCATTCGTAAATTTTCGAAGATAAATAGTTTTAAAAAAGTGGAAATACTATCTCTGCAAACTTCCGACATTTTTTTTTCAATTGCTCATTTCTAAGTCTACAGTTTCTTGAATTCTCGATGTAAACTAAAAAGTCTCTTTTAGTCGGCCTTTTTCGGAACTATTGATCGAAAGAAAATGACTTGGAGTGTCACAATTTGTTCTTATTTCAATGTACAGTTGAAACTTGCATTTCCTTTTGTGAGGGCGTTTTCGAGCGAGTCGTTTGGATAGTACTCCATGACGATCATGAAGGGTTCTCGAGAAGCAGCGATTCCGAAAATTTTGACAACGTTTGGCTGAAAAGAAAGGCTGAAGAAGAAACAAGAAGAGACAAAAAGATTCTCTCACGTGCTTCAAGCTCTGCATGAGGTTGGCCTCCCGAAGAAATTTCACCTTGTCGTCGGTGGTCATGTTGTGCCCCTGCAGCATCTTAACCGCTACCTGTCTCCTGGACTTATAAGCGGAAAGCTTAAGAAAGGTTTCTTGGAAAAGAAAAATCGGATCAAAAGCACCTGGAGCCAGCAGAGATAAACGGTTCCAAACTGTCCCGACCCCAATTCTTTAATACGAATGACTTGTTCGTGGTTGAGCTGCCATTTCGTTTTTGGCACGAATCGCACCAATAAGACGCCGGTTTCTGTCACCGGTTTGTTGTGACTGAAAGAAAAGGTTGTTTTCAGAAACGATTTCAGAACAACTTGAAATATACACTATATAAACCTAATGTGGTATTGAATCAAGTCGTTGACGGTTCTGCAAGCGAAAATGTGAATCCAGTAAAGGCGTCGCTAAAACGTTTTCAGCAATTGAACCTAGTTTCAAAGTACCTTGGCTGTTCTTTTGATCAGAAGATGAAGGTTTTTTTTCTTTTCTCTAACGCTCAAAATGAAATATATAGCTTGTCCGACGTCTGTCTTACGCACTGAAGTCGAGTTTATTCGGGAGTCCAAAAGGGAAAAGGAGAATAATAAACCCAGAAATTCGCCGTTGCTGGTGAGAGCCTTTTCGGCTTGTTCGGTAGTCATGAAGCCGTGGTAGTAGGGTTCATCCTCAATGGTTCGGTTGAGACGTCCTGATTCGGCGCATGGCACCTGCACAAGAGGTGTTCCCTTTGTTTTGGCCGGTGTAGGCTTCTTTCCAGTGTTTTCCTGCAGAACTTACCTAAGCATTCTATCAATAATTGAAGAGAACCTCTGCTTTGAGGACAGTCAGAACGGACCTCTGTCCTGCGAGCTTCTTCGCTTTTTCTTCAGCGCTTTCTTTTTTCTCTGAAACCCCATGGAAATGCTTCATTCTCACAATTTTCGTCTATTACTGATTGTGTTCTTTTTATCATATTTTTTCACATCCTGTTCTGAAAACGAACGTTCATCAATATCAATATTTATTGGTTTTTTTAGTCAGATGGAATCGACTAAGCGGTGAAAAAATTGCTCTTTTGAGCGGCACTAACACCGCCTTTGGCGAAAAAGAAGTCAAAACGTTCAATGCGCTTTCAAAGATTTGTAGTGATCTTCGACTTGTAACAGAAATTTCCATGAAACTTTGTGCCGATCAGAGGTGGAGGATGGCTGCCCACTGACCGCCCTGCCTGCCAAGCCATAAACGCCCAAAAGCAGAAATGACTTTTTCAATAGTAAGTCAATGAATCATTTCTATCGCTTGGCCCAATGGCTTGGCTTGGCCGCCAAGCCAAGGGCTGCCTTCCCAATCCTCCACCTCTGGTGCCGATAACTTAATTTGCACAAGCTAATTCGGTCCTTTTTTTTTGTTTCAAGTTTTTCAAATGTTTCTCAAGTGAAACGCTGTGAGATTTTTCTTAATTTTTTCTTTCGAGGCTAAATTCGATGAATCTTTTTGGGTGATAACTTTTCTCGCATAAGCTATGTTCTGTTCAGATTTTGGATGTCAAGTACAAAGAAGTCATTTGAAAACGCTCTGTGGATGGCTCGCTCTCCGATTGGTTTATCGCACAATTAGGGGCGAAGACTTAACAGCAAAATCTGAACAAACCTTGTTTTTTTCATTACTTTTTTTTTTACTTTATTGTGTTCAGTTTTGGAAAATGATCCAACCATCGCCTTTTTTGGGCGCTATAGGTTTTCCTTCCGATGGCATATGATCCGGCTGCGTTTTTTCTTCCAAAATTTTGTCAGAATCTTCTGAAAATATTACAAATTTTAAGCTTGGTGGATTTTTCTCTTCTCAGGCAATAGATTACAAACTTTTATGGGTCTCCATCAGAGCAAGTGTCAGTGATAGTCGATATGAATGGAAATGATTTGATAAATTGTTATTTGGCTGATAGTCAAACACCTTTCAAAGCGCCGAAAAAATGAAAAAGAAAAAATAAAACTTGAAATGAACGTGAAACGTGGCGGTCCTCCAGTTCATTTCCAAAATAAACTTCATTTGAATATTCAGACCTGAGAAGTGACCGCTGCAATGGAACGTCTTCTGCGCGAATTGATGGTGAGTTCGGCTGATCTTCCAAAATCCAAGAAGCTGTAGATGGGTCAACAAAAGGAGGTCGTCGACAACGAGTCGCATCCCGACACCGCGGAAACGTTCGTTTTTTTTTTCTCGGATGGAAAATTCACAATTTCTATGGGATTGTACTTTGATTTTTCTTTTAAATTTCACTTATTACAAAGAAATTTAACGAGACAATGAGTGGCCTTCACAAAATATTTTCTAAAAAAGAAGATCATTATGCGTTCCTTCGTGACATTTATTTAAAAAAATGAATGTAAAAAAATTTTGCATTTATTCTTTTTAAAAATATTCCTCTAGAAACTATCAACGGTGAGGGAAAATATCACTGGTTTAACACCAGAACGACTGAAACTGGGAGTTTTTCTGTTCTGAAAAGGATCATGATTTTTTATAAAACAGTGTATTTCATATTTTTCCTGATGAAACTATAACCTTTCAGCGTAAACATCTCGGCACTGGCTCTCATCAAAATGCTCCGACATGCTCGAAGTGGAGTCCCCCTTGAGGTAGCCGTCTTCACTCGGCAATGACCGAGTTAAGTAAATTTTAGGTGATGGGACTAATGTTGGGGTCGTTCGTGGACGACTACACGATCAACGTCGTCGACGTGTTTGCCATGCCTCAGAGCGGAACGGTTTGTGATTCTCGCGAACCTTGCGACGAAGAGTGGACTCTAGAGCGTTACCGTTGAGTCAGTCGATCCAGTCTACCAAACCAAGCACATGGACCTGCTTAAGTTGGTTGGCCGCACCGAAAATGTCGTCGGGTGGTGAGAATCGGCTATTTTTCAGTAATTTCAATAAACTTCTGATCATATCAATCCAACAACTTCTCATCAAAGCATGTAATATTTCCTAAATTTTGTCAACTTAGGAACTATTTATGGCGTTCAAAGATTATGGAATAGAAGTATTATTTTCGAAAACTGTAGGTACCACTCTCACCCTGGCTTCGGGTGCTGGCTTTCTTCTGTCGACGTCGCCACGCAGCAATCCTTCGAGGCTCTCCATCAACGTGCCGTCGCCGTTGTCGTCGACCCCATACAAAGTGTTAAAGGAAAGGTCAGACAAAAAATTAGCAATAAAGCTGTTATGTACTGGTAAGAAACGATGAATAAATTGAAAAAAAAAAATCAGATTTTGCTAACTTGAAAACTAACAACATTGAAACAAAAAACCACTAGTTTTCTGAAAGAGTTTGCACTTTTCATAAATTCGAAAAATTAATAAAAAAAGTAGTAAGTATATCCCGAGCAATCTGAGCCTCCGAGACAAGGCATCGAAAAAGACGGAAGCTTTTGCAAAAAAAGCTTTTCAGAAAAAAAGCCTAACCCCTTAGGTGATGCTCGACGCGTTCCGCTCGATAAACCCCATGAATCTGAACTTGCGCGCCATGGCTCCTACGGCGGAGCCGCGCCAGACGACGAGCAACCTCGGCGGCCTCGTCAAGCCTAGCCTTATCAGTATTGTTCACGGACTGAACACCAAGTTTGCTCTTTTTTCAAACTTATCTGACCTCAAATATTTTTTGTAATGTTTATGATTTTCAAATTATGAAGCTTTCGTAGAAATGATGCCTTGTAGAGCTTAAAAAACAGAAAATCGGTAGGTTCAATGAGAAACATGCAAAAGCTGATGAAAAAGTTTCTCTGTTTTCTAAATCACTAGAATAACATTTTTTTTTTAGGTATTACTCGCTCAACATAACCTACCAACTTTCTTCGAGAGAACAGAATATGCTGACATGCATGAACAAGAAGTCGTGGGTAGATGGAATGGTAAGAATAACAGAATGTCATGTACAAAATATGACTCAGAACCTGCGTCTGACGTCTTCTGTTGAGAAGGATAATGACGAAAAATGCAAGGCAATCAACAGCTTGCTCATGTTGTTCTCAAAGGTACCCATAAAGAAAATGCAAGGAACGACGGAATCTCAGGAATTAAGCGTTGAGGAGTCTAAAAACACACGAGAAACTACAGTAAAGAAGTACGGACAAGTCAACGCAAAGAACCGCTTGGAGGAGGTCGCCTTCAGTCAAAGACATGTTGGGACCGTCAAATTTCAGATAACTGGAAGTTTTTTGGCCAACAACATGGTGCAACAAATTGGGACGATGATCAACGCACATTCGATAAAATAAAGCATGAAAAATATTGCAATACCGAATTCTTCAATGATGTAAATCCTAGAAAGTTGATAATAAACTTTCGATATCAAAAATATTCACTTTTCACAATGGTATCCGCTCTCAGCGACGCGAAGGAACTGTTCGCCTGTAAGACTGCTTGACAGCTTCGAGCCCGTCTGTGTCATGAGAAAGCCAGACCGACATTGGCTCTGAAAAATTCAATTTCAAAGGTTAAAACGATTTAAAAAAATCTATACAGTAGAGAAAATCCATACCAGCACATACAGCAAAATGCAAATAAGAAATTACTGCGTAAATGGACTGATACACAAACTTTGCGACGCGTGCCATTGCAAAACGGTTTCAGGTTTCTTCGGGTTTGTGAACTCGCAAAGTTATTTCAATACTTGTTTATTTTTTTCAAAATTGTCTTCATTCAAATCTTGAGCTTATTTCTCACATCTCAGGCTTTTGACTGAACATTCCTAGTGCAACAAAAATTGAAAGTGTAGAACAACATTCAATATAATTCCGACTATTTTCGACTAACCGACGGCTTTGAAGTGAGAGCTAAGCTGGTCCCAAATTATCGGCAGCAAATGATATTCATAGGGCTCGATGGAGCAAGTTTTGATAATGTCGTTGAGGTTTCCAGGGGTCTTCCCTCCAATCTGCAAATTTACATACTTTGAAAGTCAATGTCAACAAATATACCATGGTCGAGTAAATTTTGAAGCGATCCGACATTCTGATGGCAGAAGGTGCACGTCTTTCCGCGTTATCGCTTCGTTTCGACTATTAGTTGACCCAAATAGAAATGGACAGAAAAACTTTTGAACCTGGTGTTTGAGTGCAGCAAGTATCGGCGTGAGAGCCCATTCTTTGAACAACTCAAGTCGCACCTGAACTTTTTTTTCGTAATAAATCAATCTAAAACGTCTCCCAGCCATAGTAACAACCTTCACAAATTCATTAGTGTTAAATCGAATTTCGATAGTTTTCATACGAAGGCAAAAAGGTTCTGCCCAATCACGAGCTACACAGGAGAATCAAGAAAAGACTTACGTCTGGCATGCGATCGAGGTATTGTTCGTTGCACTCGTTGAGGACTTCGACAACTGCGTAGTTTCTCTCCCGAAAATAGAACCTGTCTTTCATGTGGAACCATTCACGAGTGCCCTCAAAATGTTGAGTTGCTCTGTGCATTCATCAAAATATTGTTCAAAAAAAAAATTTTTCTGGCGACCAATCATTGTGAACAGTTGGCGGGAAATGGATGAGTGATTATAGTTTGACTTGAATACGAAGTCGCTACCACTAGAAATGAACTTGATTCCAAAGCGGGAAACCTCAACATCTTCGCGGTTTCCTGGATTTTCAGCGCCCCGGGCTTCTCTCCGTTTCGCGCTGTAGTGATCGATGTTACTGTAGGAAACATGATGATGCATAATTTTGGACTTGCATTCTCCTGAAAAAAGAAAAGAGGAACTCGAAGAACTTCTAGCCCATACGGATCAAGTCGGGATCTTCGGTGCGGCGCGCATTTTCTAGACCTTTTTCGTAGCCCTGGATTCGCTTTCGCTCCTCTTCTTGGCGCATGTCGTTCTTCTCTTTTCCGTCCTCTCTGAGAATCGTGATGTAATGAAAAAGAGAGCTTTTGGAGCCAAATTTGCCTAGTGCATATATAAATTAATTTTGAACCGTTTTTTTGTTTGCAGCGCAAGTATATTTACAAGCTTTGCAAAGCTTTTGCAAGCTTCGAGGTTTTTTTTTTGAACGTTTCATGTCGCATTAGAGTTTCATTAACATAAACTATAGTTTTCTGAATCCTTGCAGAGAGAAGTAAAAAAAAAACTTGAATTAAATAACCTCGAATCCCCATTCACCACGTTCATAATAAGAATGGAATGGCTACAGAAGCTAAATTCCGATTTAAGTGGTTTATACCTTTCCAGGTTTTTTTCCGGACTTACTAATCAACAGAAATTCATTTAATCAGTATCAAAAAAATCAAAAATTTTTTTAAAATCGAATACTTCTTTTTTTCTGGCATAAAAAAACCTTCTGAGTGCTAGTTTCATAATATAATGAGAAAACATTTCAACATTGTTTCTCAGAGTCTTGGCTAATATATATTTTTTTAAGTCACTGTACGTTTTTTTCTGATATGCGACCTCAAGTTACTCAAAAAAATCCATCCAGAATTTTTAATGAGCTTTTATTTTTGAAATAATACTAATGAAAGCTCTACCTGGACTGGGAAGAAGCTACGCGACAGTAACCCACGCGATTCTTGAATCTTCCGAGTTTATTCGTATTGTCGCTTTTTGCCGTTTTGAAATAGGTGAGCGCCTCGACGAACTCTTCTTTTCGTTTGTCTCGCCGCCTCGTCAATAACTGAACGAGGAAATTTGATGAGAACTATTGAGAAACTTTCAGAAATGAAAAATAAAACGAACTAGTTTCGATTCGCGCCAGCTGCTGTGCGACTTGCATGCGAGTAGCCGTTCAGCAACAATCCTGGAATAAAAACATGAGACGATCCGCTCTCCCTTTATTCAGTAACTATTTATGATAAATAAAGAAAATAAAAGTTACTACTATATCTTTAAAAAAAAAGAGTCATTTTTTCGGTTGCAAAGCTCTTATTTTTTGCCTAAAAACCATTCATTTTTTGATATCATTACCATTAAAAAAAACAGAAAAGTGGAACAGTTACTAATGTCTTGATATCATTCAACAGTTACAATATACTTTCCAAAAAAAGCTCAGTGCTTTATGCTGTGTCCAAAGTGATTTCGCGAAATGTGAAATAGCCGTCAGAGAAAGAAAAAGATAACTAAACTTTGGATAGTCAGAGATATATGTATTTGCATTTTGCGTACATTGTTTTTAACACGGCAATAAGAAGAAGAAAACAAGGTACTTGAGACTGTTGCCTCTTAAAATGCCGTCATTCGGAGTGAGAGCCGGCCAAAAGCAGCCGAGAGCACGGAAGTAGGGCAATCGGAGTTCTCTCACGAGATCGTTGTACTTTTCCTTCGTCCAGTAGGTAATCTTTTTCTGCTCTGCAAACATTCTCCAGTTCCCAGATCTTTTGTGAAAAGCAAAACCTTCGAGTTGGAGCTCCAGGGCAGTCAGGTCTATTTCCCCGGCGAATGAAGCCGACTTTTCGATGTTCGCTTGAATCTGCTGACGGGCCTGTCCAAGATGGGAAATCAAAATGTTCGAGATCTCCAACTAACCGTGATGCCTTGGAAGGTGTACTGCTTAGGCTCGCGAAGAGCCAGCTGTAGATCGTTGGCGATAATTTTCTTTGCTTTCTTCATCCGGTTCTCGGGATCTACGACTCTTTCTTCACAGGCAAAGGAAAAACCTCTCACCATCTGTTGGGACTGACTTCTTCTCATGTGATTTGCCGGCAACCGAGAGGTCGAGAAGCTGATCCAGAGTCAAATCCGACCGAACATCTGAAACAAATGAAAAGCTCTCCACATATCAGCTACTTTACTGTGAAACCGTACGCAATGAAATGAAAAATTATTTTCCGCTGTTTTTCTGAAAATGGAAAAGGGTCGGAACCCGCTAGTAATTCATTGATTCCAACTTTTTCTGATGAGATTACATTTTATAAGAGCTTTCATATAGAGAAAATCAATTTTATTAAAAGAAGACTACTCGAAGTCATTTTCGATTTTCAAGAAGATGGCGAAGAAAAATCTTTTCTACTTCATTGCATACGGCCTCTGGTCATACGGTTAAGATATCAGACACTTCAATTCAATAATTTGAAAAAATTGGCCGCGTTTAGATAACTAGAATTTCATATACGGACAAATAGAGATAGACCGAATAAAACTACGTTCTTCAAATGGTCTATATGAAGTTTCAACAAAAAACAAGAAAAAAAATTAAGAAAAATTCGACACGTGTTTTACCTAAGTCATAATCTTTGAAACCGAGAAACGGCTAGCATGTTTTTTCACCTGAATCGAAGTCGAAATTTTAGGAAGAAAAAAGTGAGACGTGGATATGAAAAATAAAAAATTGTGAGACAAACTCAGTGAGGATTTGGAAGCGTCAATGGAAGGCGGCACGACGAAAGACACTCGGGACACTGGTCCCGAGCTTAAACCATTTTCCCCGCAATTTTGAGCGACAGCTGATTTCTCTGTCAAGATAGTCCCCGGATGCGGAAGTTTCCTGTAACTATTGAATCGATTCGCCGTTTTTCAAATATTTCGGATCACACATCAATTATTGAAAGATATATTTTTTGGATTTCTTGAATTTTTCGAATAATTTCTTGTTCAAGATGAACCTTAGGAAGTTTTCTAGCTTGTAAAAAGCTAGAACAGTAAATTTCCTCTTCTCCTAAAAAACTTCCATGAATTGACATAAACTTCAGTAGAATAAAATTTTCGTTTTTATCGAAAGCTTTATTTTACCGAAACGATCATTATAGACCCAGCATATTCTATTTAAAAATAATATTACAGTTTAATTCGTTTTTTTGTTTTTGTAAACCATTGTGATTTAATTGTCCAAATAAACGACTTCAATCAAATTTTAGAACTTTCTCTTGAAATTGACGGTCGAGAAGGACTTGCCTGCGAATAATCGTCTTCTTCTTATCTACAAATACAGTTGAACTCGTTGCAGTAGTTTTTGAGGAAGAGGCCGATTGATCCGAGAGAAATCGGACGGATCGTTGCTGAACTTTCTTGTGAGCGACCTCTGAAATGATCATCTTGACTCGAAGAAAAATGTCAATTTTATTGATTTAGAAATGAAAAATTACCTCGTTGAGGTGACTGGTAACGTTTAGAGAAAGGGAGGTTTCTGTCGAGTTGCAACGGAATTCCTGGGTTTTTCGATTTGAGCGCCTCTTCAGACAAATCAAGCGAACCTTCTCGCGCCTAAATTTTCTTCTTGATAGAATTTTGAGACCATTGAGACTTGCGCAAGAAACAATATTGCTTAAAAAATTCTTAAATATCTTTGCAAAAATAATTTCTAATGTCAAGAAGAGATAGGAGCAACTATGGGGCCTTAAAAAAATCTTAAACAAACCATCTCAGATTAAATATTAGGCGTTTAAATTCTTGAACCAAACATTTTTGAGTGTGAATTTGATACCGTAACCAATTTATATTAGCAATTCGTTTTTTCATTAAAGAAACACATCTTCGGCCTTTTACATCTAGATGGAAAACTTTCTTCAAGAGAAAAGTTTGAAAAGTGACAGGAATTTGATACTTCACAGAACATTTTCTTAATGAATTTCTCCATGAATGTCACAAGAAAGAGAAAATCGAAGGTGTGTGAAAAACAAAAACAAAAAACAACAAAAAAGCCCACTTCGGGAAGTTGGCCGGAAGAAAGAACTTTTCCATCATTTCGAGGCGCTTCGGTGCTTCTTCTATCCACACTGACATTTTTCTTTGAAACGAGAACAGAATCTTTCGTTCCGCGTGTTGTAGCCTCGGTTGGAATTTGGATCTTCAAATTGAAAGAAAATCGAAAGAAATCAAATCAGCAAGCTTCCATCAACAAAGAAAAGCAAAACGTACAGTTGATGACGCATCAGAGACCTTCTTATCTGCGTTTTGTACATTTCTCTTCTTTTTCGCCAGCATTTCCTTTCTTCGAGCCTCCAAATTCTGATCCACGCAAATCAAATATCACTCTGCGATACTCACAGACATCACGTCGTTAATCGCGCTAGATTCGACGATCAGAGCTTTCTTCGCAACGGAAGACACACCTGAAAATATTTCCGAGTTCCTTCATCCCGTGATGTCTGAGGAGAAGAAAATTTTCTCGTCATATTTATAGTCAATTCGAAGCTCGAACAAAAACCAAGTTTTGAATTAACCTGCTACTCTTGGACACTCGACTTTCTTCTTTTTGTTCCCGTCCGCAGTCGGAGCCACGAGCGTCGAGCCGTTCTCGAGTTTCCTCTTTTTTGCGCAAGGACTGCGAAAGATGGAATTTCGGATAAATACAATCGAGAGGGGAACCTCAAAGATTGTTGGTGGGTTTGAGCCCTTTTCAACTGAGATCCTTCTCGTTCGACATTCGTGTTCAGAGAGCTCTGAAAAATGAATTGACGAAAAAAAAAGGAAGCTGAAAAATACTGCTTAGACCTAATAACAACTTTGAAAAAGCTAAGCTACTGGTTTTCAATCGATTCTTTCAAAAATATGGACTTTGAGGAAACAAACAGGGTGGAAAAGCTTTCGTACGTATTTTTCATTGTTCGCCACACAATATCGACATCATCCTTGCAATAGAATTTGTCAAAGTTTTAATTAGAAGCGCGAATCTGAGATCCCTTTGTTAAAAAAAAAAGAATTCTTGTTCAAAAAGAATATAGACATGGAAACATTCTTCAAAATCAAAAGCAACCCTGAAATAAACTTTAAAAATGACCCTATTACTTCTTACCTTTCAAGGAACTTATTTGAACATTTTTCCTTTTCTCAATTACCGAATAACCACATAAAAAGAAATTCTGATTTCTAAGCAGAAAAGAAAGCAGAAAGGAAACCTTATGATCAAGTGAAGAGGTTTTCTGAATGACTGCGGCGGTTTGCGTCGTTCCGAAACTCTGAAAAGCGGAAATCAAAAAGAGAATTACGTTCTTTATATTCTTTACGGACTGTCAAAACAAATCTCAAGGTCTCGGAATTTACCGTTCTGAAAAGGGCTTTTCAAAAAAAAAAATTTGACCAGCAAAGAAAAGCCTCAAATTATGGTAAATTTCTGCATAACTTGAAAGAAAAAAGGTTTAAAAAGCTCTGTGAAAGCAAAAACCTCCTTATCAAGAGAGAAGGTTTTGCGAACGGCTGCGGAAGTCGTTGTGGCAACCTGAGAAATACAAATCGAGTCTGAGAGAAAAAAAAAAACAAAAACCTTTTGTGCAACTTCTTTGGCCACATCGGGAGAGATGAATTTTGATTTTATCTTCACAATCTTCACCTGCTCCGTGCTTGAAACATTCGAGAACGGTCCAGTCGAAGTATTATCTCAATTGAAAAAAGGTATAAACAACTAAAACGACGTTTGAAAACCTCTCACAAACGGCAACTTCACAACGAATCTATCGCATTGAGTCAGCCGCCCTTGCATGTCATCGGCGAAGGAATAGAGAGATCTGTAGAGAAGAAAGCCTTGGAAATGTCTGGGAGGAGGAAGAGCTCACTTGCAGGTTTCTTTTGAAACTGCCTGACAGCCTACAGTTGTACTGCCTGAGATGGCGAGGTCCTCCAACATCTTGTGGAATCCAAACAGATCGTAGTGGTTTCTCAAATCTTCCACCTCTGGAACGTAACTGGCTATATTAAATGAACTTGCTGAGAAAAGGATATGCGCGAAAAGTCTTTTTTTTTTCGAACAAAACATATAATTAATTTCGAGGGAACCGCACCTGTCGTTGAGACGTCTGATAGCACGTGAGTCGACGTTTTGCTCATGTTCTCGCGGATCTTCTTTATAGCGACAGAAGTAGGAAAAGGTTTTGTCAGAAACTTTCTCTCCATGAAATCGTCCAACTGTTCGAAGCTGCTGTGCATTCCACTGATCTCACTTGGTGTGAAGCAATCTTAATGATTTTCTGATAAAAAGAATGAAAAAATAAAATAAAATGAAAGTCAAGCAAACTTTGGAGTAACTTACCTGGAGAAATCTTCTTGATCGGCTCGATACTTGCATTTCTTTTCCTGAAAAAAAAAAACGGAGAACTGCTTCAAAAAATAAAAAACGAAAAAACGAACCAACAGAAAAAGTCAGCCCTTGTGAAATCTTCTACACCTTCGTGTTGAACTGGGCTTTTGCTCGATGAATTTTCAAGTGCTCGCAGACTTTTGATGAGCTGAGCTGCTGTAAAAAATTCTCACAGGTTCATACATTTCGCAAATAAATTACCGTCAACATTTGAGCGTTTATCGGCGAAAAAGAGAGACGAGTCGTTTAATTTTTTTGATATTCGTTCATTTGACTTCTCAGCGTTTTCTTTTAACCAAACTTCAAAACAATTATCTAAAAAAATATTATTATTATTTATTTGGTAAAAAAAAACAACCTAATTGTAAGGTTCCGCTAGAAACCTTTTTGTGGTAGATCCATTCCATAAGAAGCGCTGAAAAAAAATAACTATGCTATTTTTTCTGTTGTTTTTATCGAATGAAGATTTCAATGGTTGAAGCATGCAGCAAATAGAACTGAAAAAAGAGACAACACAAAAAGCGAGTGAACTAGTTAAATACGGAGGAGTTGGAATATTTGCTTTTCTCGGCATTATATTAGTTTTATACATTTAAAAAACAGTATCACCTCCAATATAAAAAAAACCGTTTTCTTTGGATTTGCACGAGAATCTAACAAGACTTTCGATTACCTTCCTTCAATTATCAAACTTCCCAGAAAAAATTGTTCAAATCTCGCTCGCGACAGAAAAAATAGAAAATAATACAAGCGAGATAAAGCATTTTGAGTCGCCGCCAACGCGTGAAATGGCCGCTCGTCCAAATCGTGTGAGTGGATTCGATCTTCTCTCCGAAACTCATAAGGTGAAATTTTCAGAAGAAGAAAGTTGAGAAAGGAAGCGTGGAACATGAAAGTGGGAAAACCTCAAGAAAAAAAAACAGAATTTCATTCAGAAACTCCTCGGATAGCATTTTTACCTGACATCACTCCTTTCCGCACTACGTACGATAAAAGTTTGAGAATATATATCGAACTTGAAGAGAATGGAATTTTTCAGAAATAGTAACAACTGTAGCAGCTCCCTATTTATTGGTTTTTTTCTGCGCATTCACTTCCATCCTCTTCTTATGTTATTTATCGTTCGGGTCACCAATGGAGTTGTACGTGAAAAATGTGAGATAAAAATAGACGGTCAGGTCGAAATCTCGTTCAGATTGTGGATCACCACAAAATACCGCCCCTTTTCCTTGAGTACGAAAAAATCGCCACCAACGAAGAGTGAGTTGCAAGTAAAACAACTATTTGATTACTTCGGGTCTTGGTTCCCTAATGCTCAAAATATTGAATTGGACTTAAACTTCCTTTATTAAAAAATAAAATCCAGGCTAAGAGAAGACGGATCTTTAGTCGAAACAGTGTACAACTGCTCTGGATGTGAGTTCGAATAAAGCAAAATTGAATTTTTTTCTTTTCCATTCTGTAACAGTGGTTTTGGGAAGATGGTTCTTGACTAAAGCTGAAACGACGTACGTCAAAAACACCAGAGGATATTTCCCGGGCAACATTTGGAAGCGCTGGGCTTATCGCTGGGTAGTTTTTTTTTTCGAAAAATTAATGATGAAAAGCGCTTTCCAAATACAAAACTCCACAACAGAAGACGATGCACATAAAAAAAAGATAAAACGCGAAAGTTCGCTTTTTCAGCTAATGACTGATTTCTCTTTAAAAAAACTTATTTAAAGATTTATCAACAGACAAAAAAAGCGCAGAATGTGGAAATATAAAAAAATAGTAAAAAAATAGACGAATTGGTTTACTTCGTGACTAAATTTATAGTTGGATCTGAAAACGGATGCGCTGGATTGCTCGAAATGTCCGCCGACCGTCATCATTACCACTGGATATTCCCCGCCTCAAGGTTGAAAATTAATAAGAAAACCGTTTCTGAGGGTTTCTTACGAAATAAAGACTTTTTCTGGTCACGACCATGTTTCGTACTGGATTTTGCCGGTTGCCTCTGCCTTGGCGACCCAGTCGGGAACGCCGTGAGAAGCCGCCACCTCGTTCAAAGCGTTTACCACGGCTTTGGGCATGTCTCCAGAGCTTCCCGCGATGAAAACCATGCCTAAATTGAAGTTTTTGCGACTTCAACTACATATTGCTGACCATTTGCTTTTCCAATTATTTGCCAGACCTTCTCAGCGAGTTCCAAGATTTTATGTTGCACATAAACCTGAAATTCGTAAAATTAATCAAGATAAAAAATGAAACGCTTGGCATACTGAATGGGAATGAAGAACATTATCTTTTCTAAATTACACTAAATTAATATTTTGAGAATCAGAGTCACTTTAAATTTTTTACTAAAATGTTTTTATTGCACGTTTACGATAAAACAAATCTAGAGTTCGAATTCATTATTTCCGAATTGACTATAAATGTCTTTTCATGTTAGATGCTGTCGCAGGCAAACGGCATGGCGAAAAACGAACGAAGAAACGCGATTTTAACGATGCTTCCATAATAAATTATTACTCATTTTAAAAGAAATGAACATGTATGAACAAGCTTTGCTCTGAATGTTACGATCCGGGGCTAAACAGTAGAATTATTATTTCATTAATTTTGGAGTAATATGCAAAAAAGTCTGAAAGCAGCATTTTTAACAACTGGTCACTTCAATGTGGTCAAACTTTTGAGCCGAATGGAGACTCTTTTGTAATTTGTCCGGCATAGTACCAGGTGAACCTTTTTTTTTTGCTATGAAATATGGTATGAATTGACAAAAAAATGTAGGCAAAAAAGTGAACGAACTGGAAATGCATAAGAACTTAGTAAATAACCTAACATAAAACTTTTCGAGACTCTAATGATTCCTTTCGTCACCTTGGAGTCTGCATCGCGGCTGAAAGCAGTTATCACTTCGGCATTCCTCAGGGAAAGCCACTCTTCCTTGAAATAATAGTCCTTTTGTTCGCCTCGACATCCGAAAAAGAGAAGCGCATTTTGTCTTTCACCGCTGAAACCTCCAGTACATCACGTCTTCTATTCTGTTTTCTCACAGTTCGTCCCGAAACTGCAAAAAGCTTCGAAATGGTGCGACTCCTGTGCCAGGTCCCACGCAAATCACAGGAGTCAGATGCAGAGGAAATTTGAACGTGCCGCCGCGAATTCTTCCAAACACCTGCATCATAGTTGTTGATGATTCGAAAAATGAGCTAAAAACCGACTTTGTCGTGAGCTTTCAAGTTTGCGAGAAAAGTACTACAGAGGCCACGTCGTCTTTCCGACATCCGAGACTTGTAATCAACCTGAAAAAAAAAAATGAAATTCATTCGATCCGTCTGGAACATCACCTTCGCTACCAGGAGTTCGATAACATTAGGATTCCTTGATGGACTCGAAGCAATACTGAAGGCACGTGGTCTAATAGGTGATATGAAATCGAAGAGATGTTCTGCAAAAAAAAAAAGGTTCATCATGAGAACGGAACAAAAACCAGGTGCAACGCTTTTGGCCGTTTCAGGAAAATCTCTCAAAGTCTCGGCGACGGTTCTTCTCACTCTTGTGCAATAGTTCAACAGATCATCCTGATACTTTCCCTATTCATCCACCGGAGCAGCCAAAAATACTCACTAGGCCATGCGGGCTACCTAGTTCGGAAAGCCTCATCTTTTCCATTTCGTTTTGTGAGATGCTGGCAAGAACTTCGAAAAAAGATCTTTTCGGTATTTGTTGCAGATCCAAGAATCTTCGCAAACATGTTCGAAGGGTTGTCGGCTCGAAAAAAGGAAAATCAACACTGAAAATTTGGCAAACTACCTCCTAGGAGCCAGGGCGGGGGAAGGACAGCAAACTCGCTGTTCTTGCACAAATAGATAGGTTCGTCAAGAAGTTGATCTGAATATCCCAGAGACTCGATCGCCACACACAAAGTTTCGTCGTTATTGTAGGGACGAACCATTAATACGTCTCCAGGTTCATACCTAAACATCCAAAAAAGATAAAGTCACAACTTCGCGAGGAAACTTGAAACGATCAGCGAGATGGTCATGGACGAGAAATCGCAAAAGTCTAGTATCCTGAAAAAATTCAAGATTTTAGAGTAAAAAATATTTTCAACCTGAAAATGATCCTCAGAAGTGGCTCTGACATTGGAGAGAACATCTAGCTCATAATAATCCTGTTCTTTCCCGTCTTTCGAACAGCTCTCGGGTAACGGAGCCTCAGCTTTCACTATTTTGAACTTTGGCGGAATAACAATGTTCGTATCAGCTTCTTCCAGCATTTCCTAGAGCAATTACCAGAAAAAAAAAAATCGAAACTTACTTTGAATGAACATGACTTGTATAATTCTTGCCATACAGTTTGCTTCCATGGAATCAAGGCGCCGTCTATTCCGATTTCATGCTGGTCATCAGCTGAAACTCTCAACTCCAATGCCAAATCGAAAGTGGGTCTTTTCTATATTTTTGGGTATTCCAGATTACTTTAAACCATATGAAATGGAACTCAACTTTTATATTCTTTTTGACGACCCATATTCCCTGTTTTATTTTTTTTTGTTTGATGACAAAAAAAATTGACACGAAACTTCTGCGCCTTGCAACACTACTGTAGCTTAAGAGTCTATGGAAGATCTTTCAGACGTTCCCTGTGAATATGAAAATTTTGAAAGATTTACCCAGTCCCAGAGGAGCCATCATCTGAGCTCCTAATTGTAGAAGTCGACGATAAATTTTTTTACCCGCAAAATTGTATTTTTGGTAAGAAGAATCTCCAAGTCCCAGAACAGCCATTTTTACCTCAATTTCAGAAACGAAAGATGAAATAACAATAATTTAGCAAAGCACCTCAGTGAGCCAATCGGCAGGAAGAAACTTTCGAAGAAGTCGTCGCCAAGAGGACCTCATATTTGGCGGCATCTCTCCTTGGCCTGTCGTGGAAACTACAAAAAAAACGACACGTTCCGAAGGTAGATTCTGAAATGGAATTTTGTGGGAAAAATATCTTCGAAAAATCTTACATCAATGTCATATTCATCTAAACTAACGACACGAGCGGCGACTTTTCGAAGTTGAGCATCGCGACAAAGTCCCTCCGCCGTGTCTTGAGCTGTTCCCGTTTCGCTTCCATATAGTATTAATATTGACATAACTTTTCTAGTTGATAATCAAGCATTTCTGATCAATTATTTTCAAAGCGATATGTTTTGATAATACATATTTCAAAGCTCAAATTTCTTCAGTAATTTCATCAAAATTCATTCAGCACAAAAAAGGACCTTGAAAGAAAAAATGAAACACTGAATTAATCGGATTGCACAACACCCGCAGAACGATACAATCTCAACAGTTCGTCCGTGTTTTTGCGCATGAATGTGAGCGTCGACTTTTGATAGTGTTGTCCATTCAGCTTCAAATTGTTAATGACGTCGTCCAGAAGCACTGCGCACAAGGTCGTGCTCGCTGGTGCGTCATATTTGATACTAAGTACGGTTTTGAATTGGCAGAATAAAAATAACCTTACCTCACAAAATGAACGTGTAAATGGTAGAAAGATGGCTGGTAGTGAAAGTACATACGCATTTGATCAGGTCTGACACCGTACTTTTCTTTTATAGCCTTCAACGATTTGCTCCTGATGTTCTCCAACAAGTCAACGTCCTTGTCGGTCAAATCCCTGAAAGTTTACTTTTCAGAACTTTAAAGACGGTTTTAGAATTTTTTAATGCGAAGAGTAGTCATATTCTGATGGTGGTATGAAAAAAGAACAGCGAAAATTCAAACGGCGACTTTCCCGATTTTTTTCATATCGCTAGAGAACTTTCCGACGGCCACCTTTTCGCCAAATTTTTTTCGACTTTTTTTCTCGATAAAGTCTTCGTTTTCAATCTTCCTATATAAAGTAGGCAAGTTATTCATGATTAAAACACAACGAAATAGGAAAAAAAAATGTTAATAGATGTTTCATAAACCGAAAAAAATATGGAAAAAGTCCGAAAAAAATTTGGCGGAAAGGTGGCCGTCGGAAAGTTCCCAAGCGATACAAAAAAAATCGGAAAAGTCGCCTTTTGAAATTTCGCTAGCTTTTTTTCATACTATCACTCTGATCGCGTCAATGTGCATAAAAATGAAAAAAACCCAGAAAAAAAAGTTTGAAAGAGCTTTTAAACTCCTCAAGATTTTTATGTAAAGTCATTCGAAATTTTATACAGAATAGTCACCTTATAGATTTAATTCCTCTCCGATGAACTATTGCCTGAAGATACAAGTTTTCGAGAGTTTTGCCGTCCCACTTGATATCTAAAGCGAGAACGAAACCGTTATGCTTGTCCACATCTTCGAAGATTATCCGATCCTCTTCGGCTTCTTTTTGTAACAAATTGTAAACCCACTCAAATACATCGCTGAAAGTCAGAAAAAAAAAAACAAGACGACTTACGGTGAGATTCATTTGGTTCTTCTCAATATAGGGCAACGTAATAAAAACATAGCTTTCTGGAGTTTCCGCTATAACAAATTTTTCTTCTTGACGATATTTGGCAATCAACCTATCGTTTACAGGATAGATGAGCTGTGAATTTATGACTGTAACAAAAAGAAGATGATAAAACATATTATCAACTGACTACCGTTAAACTCTGGAGCTACGGTTATTTCATAATTTCCAAAAATATCGTTTTTTGTCAGTTCCTTGAGATGAGCTTGTTTCAAAAACAACGTTATTGCCTCTTGACTTTCTGCGAAAGCCGACTTATTTGCGATCAAAATTCCTCGTTCTCCACTAGGATGTGACAGTAAAACAAAGATACACTGAAACATTTGAACGTTACAAAAATTCGAAAAAAATGTTTAACCTTGTGAGAGGAATCGCTAGCAAGAATTTCAGAAAACGTTGCCAGCTTCAACCACTCTCTCGATAATTCTTCCGTATTTTTGATGCTCCTTTGTTCAAGTGGAGAAACCCCATTCGCCGCGTGTCTAGAGTCCATCTGAATTATCAAATGAAAGAAATATCAAATTTGAAAAGGCAATTCGAAAATTTCTCATGGCGTCTTCATCGCAATGGAGAAACGGGACATGTTTCAAAACGACAGGCTTGTGCGAGGGCCGGCCCGTCACCCTCCCGGCCCCCCCAACCATTTTTGTAAGCCCGGCCCGGCCTTAGCGGGCCTCAAGAAAAAAATGGCCCGCCCGGCCCAAAACGCCCAATTTTTTTCTAGTCGGATATCAAGTTTCTTTCCGACAAAAACTAAGTTTTTGCTCATTTTTTTCACTTGAAGTTTAACAAAAACCATGATTTCAAAAAGTAAAAGTAACATTTCGGTGAAAATATTTTAAATGAAATTAAAAATTTTTTTTGAAGCCCGGCCCGAGCCCACGCGGGCTTTTTCCTGAAAAAAAGGCCCAAAGCCCGGCCTGACGCACAAGCCTGCAAAACGAAAAATTGTGTTCATCGGCGCGCCAAAGTTGCTCCAAAACAGTATTTACTCGGACATTGGTAACGCGAAACGGACGTGCTCCGGACGTTTCTGGGCGATTCAAGGGATCAATTAAGAGCGTTAAGGCTACTAAAGTGGTCACTAGAAATGCCCCGACACGTCCGTTTCGCGTCCCGTTCGCGTTACCAAGGTCCGAGTACTTTTGTTTTGAAGCAATTTCCGAAGCATTTTTCGTTCTGTCCTATGAACACGCAATCAAGACTCATGCCGTGTTCAAAGTAATTTCCGCGAAATGCAAAATGATATCTGACTCTCCAAAATTTAGTTATCTTTTCCTTTCTCTAACCCGTTAACGGGCATTTTGCATTTCGCGGATTCACTTTGAACACGGCATCAAAGACGAAAAATTGTTCGCAAATTAAACTTGCTCTAGCGCGCTCTGTAAGTGGCGCCTTCAAGGGACATACTTCCTTATTTTTAAAAAAGTTAAAATTTTATGTCGGCTAAAAATTTCTAATTAAAACTGTTTTAGCCATCAATTTCACTAGTGATCAGCTTCAATTTATTCGTTTTTATTTTTTATATATTTTTTCAAAGATAATGCAACGCCTGAACGCCCTCATTCGATTAGGCTCCTCTGGATTTTCGACTATACAAAAAATCAACAACCGACCTTTTCTCGTCCAAAAGTCTTTATTTTTATTCAAAGACCAAGTTAGTCTTAATTCATTAACTTTTCCTCATGTTTATCTTAGATGAGGAATTGCAGTGATTCTGTAATTTTTGACATCGAGTCGGTCGAGGATTTCACCGATAAAGTAAGTTCACAATGGACTTAAACTTGAGATAACTTTTCTTTCAGGTTATCAGCTCATCCGTCCCAGTCATAGTGGACTTTCACGCGGAATGGTGTGGCCCTTGCAAGGCTCTCGGACCGCGTTTGGAAGAAAAGGTCTATTTTCTATGTCATACTTACTTGAAAAAAAAAATATTTCAGGTCTTGGGCCGAAACGGCGAAGTTCTACTTGCTCGAATAAACGTTGATTATGCCGGAGAACTTGCCACTGATTACGGAATCTCTGCAGTTCCCACTATCATTGCTTTCAAAGTATTGTTGAAAAATCTCAACTCAGCCTTATAAGTTTTACAGGGCGGCGAAAAAATTGGCGGATTTACTGGCGTTTTGGACGACGAACAGCTCGATGACTTTATTGATAATGTTGCAAATTAGTAAGAAATAGTTTATTTTTGTAATTACCGAGTACACAGAAAGGTATGCAATAAATTTTGATAATTTGTTACTCGTACGTTCTTTCAAAACTCCAGTTACTCTGAAATGAGAAAAGGCGCGAACGTCACTTCTTTCCAGTAGAAAGCCACTTGGGCAAGGCGCTTTTGGCAGGCGGACCACTAAAGTTTCCCCTCGCAGAGTCGTCATCTGTTGAATATTGTTGAGGGCGCTTCGTAGTCCGCGCTTCTTCTTCTATCAACGGTACAAACAAGGGAAAACTGGAATTTTCTAGCAGCCTGCAAATTAAAACTGTCATTTTTTCACACCCAGAAAAAAAAAACCATTGAGAACTGATGTTATCGGCATCGCTCGAAGAAACATGCGAAATGTCGCTGAGAATAGATGGGTAGTCTACAAAACTTTTGAGAAATTTCGCATAAGGCTTCCAAACCATTAACACCATCAATACGCGCAATGATGGTTGATCTTGGAGCCAGATCGAGATCCACAAAGTTCTTTTTTTCGCATGGGTTAATTTTCATGTTTGAGAAAAATAACTGCACTTTTTTGTTTTGATCTTTCAAACATGAGAGCAAAAACTCAGACAAACGAGAACCTGAATCGTGAGAAGTTATCTGAATTGAAAATTAATAAGAACAAACTGGGCTCTGCACTCCGGAAACACGCTTGTAGCAGTAAAGGTCCCATCGCAATTCGAATCACGCAATTTTTGTATGCTTTAAGTTTTGTCTCTCGGTTTTTTGAAGAAATGTATGAGGTAGGAACCAGAGCCGAGTTTGTGTGTTGTCGGCTTAAAATTTTACTCATTATTATTTTTTTTTTGTTTTCTCGAACTTACGCTTGTTTTCTCAAATCTTTTTGCATTGTTCGAATATCATCGACGCCAATTTCATAGAAATCTTCTGGTATCTCGGGTGTATTTTCCTCAGTTTCGTGTCTGTTGAATGGAAAACTATGTTAATTTTTTTAAACAAAACCTCTTGTTGAATAAAACTGCTTTGCGTTCACATGGTTCCAAAGTTACTTCTTTCTCCTCTTTCGTCATTGTTTCCTACAAACGAAAAAACATTTTAATGAATGGGAGATTTCAACTTTATAGTTGCCAGTTTTGAATCCAAAATTTGTATAAAAATTAGTTCTATAATATTGAATGCAAGTCACATCTGATTTGTAAAAAAATTAAGTTTTTCTGTCAAAAAAGACTCGAAAATATGTTGTACAACCGATATAAAATTGTTTGCTGACCATTAAGTATGTTTATTCTTGAAGTGAGACAATGTATCAAAATTCTCAAAATTTCCAAGAGCAAATGAAATCGAGGGACACATTAATGAAACAGAGGGTTTTTTTTTTCGAATAGGCAGTTATCTATAGACATATTTATTCCTTGAGAATCTCACAATTGACTTTCAAAAGCAAAGAGATCTAGAAACAGAAAAAGAAACGAACCGACGTGTTTTGAATAGACGTAGAAACCATTTCCGCTAGAGAGATCCGACCGCGGTTTGCTAGAGTTTCTACCATAGCGTCGACCTGATTCGCGTTCATGCAAGTTTCAACCTGATTTCTATTGTTTTTAGGCTCTATTAATAAACTAACTCTTTCCAACAAAAGGTTGAGACCATCCAATCGGGAGTTTGAAGGGAGTTGCGAAAATATAGGAGCGTCAAAGGACCTTGAATCTATCCGAATAGAAAAGAAGATTGGTAAATTTCAAACCAGTCGTTCGGGTTCTGGTGAGACGGTTCTTGTAAAATACTTCTTTCTCTCAAATCAACTAGTTCATGTTTGTAAGATTGTGATAACTCACGGTAGAGCTGTTTCTCTTGCTGTGCTGTCGGCTGTTTCTTCTCGCAGCTTCTCTTGTTTTTTTCCTTCTTCTTCTGAGCGAGCGGCAGCTTCTTTTTCGTACGTCTATGTAAATACAGTTGAGAGATATAGTCTGACAAAAAAACCTCCAACCGACTCTTCTCCAGCTGCTCGCGCTCAATGTTCTGAATCTTGAGTTTTTCGAATGTAGAGTTCATTGCCGCTTTTCGCTCTTGTTCCTTTCTGATACCGTCTTCCAACTTGTCCAACTCTTCGGGTGAAAGCCTGACACGGATAAATCTGAGAAAAAGAAAGTCAAATTACAAAAAGGCTCTGGCAACCTGATCAAACATTTCTCGGAAGTTATTCCCAACGAACTCAACGTCGTTTCTGTCAACTGCAACAAGCCCGTGTACTGAAATTTTTTTTCACAACGATATCTGTAGTGACCTTTGAACCTGCTTGTTCATATAAACACAGCACGGGAGTTCATCCCCAATATTAGAGGCTAAATCTTCGTTGAACTTCTCACTGAATTTTTTCAAAACATCCGCCAGCGAAGAATCTATTCGAATGGATAGTTGATGACGTTCTCCAGAAGGGTGCTAAGAGCGTTTGAAATCATGAAATTTGCGAAATAGATATTGAGAGAGTCACCTGCAATGTAAGTTCGACAAGAGAGTCTGGAGATGTAGCCAATTTTGGAACCATTTCCAAAGTTGCATTGTTCGACAGTCCACTCAAGCGAAAAGTCAAAGAAAGGTCTACTTTTTTATTATTGTGACTTTTCAATTCGTAACATGAAACATCGAATCCACTTTTCAAACAAGATTCTTCAAGGACCTATAAAATAGAGAATATTGAAGAGAAATAAAAAAACTTATAAACTAACAGCTTTCAGCAAGGTGCCTGGTGTCACTTTCACTTGTATTCTTTTTGGCATTTGGACAAATTACAGAGACACTATTCATTGAAAAATCTGAAAAACACACGATAAGGGAAATGAAAAAACAAACTATATGTTGAAACAAGTTAAAAAAACGTAATTTGAATTAAATTCCATTTCTGATCTGATTAACGCATAAAACTCAGTCTCACCCTTTTTTTAAATTTAAATAGGGGTCATAAAAAAATCGCACAAATTTGCTTTGAAACCGGTTTTTAAAAAGTGAGATGCATACTGATAAGTATCATAAAAAAATACTAAAAAGTCATTTGAAAACATTTTTTTCCACTCAAAAGGCCAAAATAAGAGCCAGAATCCCGGAGCGTCCCCACCAGTGCCCGATGACGATGAAAGTGTCGTCCAGTAAAACGCTTTGTCTGCAAGCGCAAATGAATAACTATACCGTACGAAGTTAGAATATATATATACTAAAGTATAATTTTTGTGAACTGTTCGATATATGTATATTTATATATACATATATGAAGCATAGATGGGCGGGAATGTAAATTTCATAAAGGGAAACATTTTTTGATCGGAGAGAAAAATGTCAAACTATAACAATTCGGAACATGAAAATCAGAAAAGAATTTCTGATTAGGCTTTCATTGCTCAGAAAAGGTAAATAATGAACTTCAAAAAAATTCGGAATGCGGAACGCGGAAAAAACTACTATTCAAGAAATTTCCTGAACGATGGTAGCCTTATTAAAATTTTTTTTGATTTTTATGTTCCATGTAGTCATAGTTTGACATTTTTCAACTTCTCTCCTATCACAACATTTTTCCCTTGATGAAATTTCCATTTCCGCGTTTTTATGCGGAAATGTTCCGCCCATCTCAATTATGTAGGAAAGAAAAATTTTTGGAGACTCAGATCATCATAATGACACCGATGGTTGCTCCAATACAGTGATGATTATTACGAATCACATGAGCTTACCAAAATTGGGGCGCGCCGTAGCGCAACAGGTTGTGTGCCTGTCTACGGTCCATAGGGTCGCAAGTTCGATCCCCGCCTCGACCCAACCAAGGGGTTTAAGAAATGTTGGTAATGGGAACCACGAATTCAAAAACCCCAGCCGTCACACACAAGGACGGATATGTCACTAGAGCCAGTCCACTGATAAAAAAAAATATCAGGATAGGACCTCGACTAATCGACTTGGGGCGCCGACGCCGCTCAAGCGGTACAAAGGCGTAAGAAGAAGAAGAAGAAGAAGAAGAAGAGATTACCAAAATTACCTTGAGTGAGACTTAACTTACTAGGGAACGGTTGAACTTTTGATGAAACTTTGTCGAAGTGCACTTCAAGACCCCCGGATTGCAGAACAAGTAAAAAAAAATGTCTCGCAATAGATCTTTAAAAAACGTTTACTAGTTAGGAGCCCGCAAAAAGCGATCAATCATATGTTAGATAAACCATTGGAGTTCAATTTAAATTATTATTTTTCGACAAAAAAACTACGGCTCTTGATTAAGTAAGCGCTTCAGAGACGCGCTTTTTCGAGCTCGAGACGAAATCGAGACAGAAAAAAACTTTCAAAAAAAAAAAGTTTCGAGGAATCACTCCTTCTCGTGAGGTAATCTGACGAAGTTTTACGAGATACTAAAATGAGAATTTCACAGTCGGCCGGAGCGTCATATGTTATATACTTCATATTTTTATCCTTTCTGGGTTCAAAAATTATATTTAATCTCGAATTTGCCAAGACGAAATCACATTTATTTCTGCAACTCGAGACGAGATTGTCAATTTCTGCAAGACGAGTTCGAGTCTCGTGCATCCGTGAAAGGCTTGTGCGTTAGCGGCCCGGCCTTCAATTTTTGGGCCTCTTTTTGAGAAAAAGCCTGCTCGGGCTTGGGCCAGGCCAGGCTTTGGAAAAAAATTGAAATTTTATTGAAAAGCTTGATATTCGACTTGAAGAAAACTTGAGATTTTGGGCCGAGGCTTTGGTATTTGAAAGACCCCAGAATTGCTTCAAAACAGTATATTGATAGTTTTGGACAACAATTTTCTCTTTGAAAAAAGTTCCTTTTTTCACTTTGAACACGGCCCGAGTTCGCTGAAATGAGAGCAGAACTCACAAAACTACCTGTCGAAAAGTAATCAATCCTCAGTACTAAACTTCCTTGTCCCGGAAACTTGCAAGCGATTGCTCTTTTATTCATGAAAAAAGCTTTTGGAGTCATCCGCGTGCATTGTTCTCGTTGTGCTCTCTCTCCGCTCACATCTGCCTTCTACGAATCATTTTATTGTCGTCCCATTCTTTCATTTTTCAAGTCAAAGCAAGATGAGCACCGTTCAATTGCCTTCCATTGAGGTACAATGCTTATTAACTGACTCGTCAAAATAGTCGCAACTCAAATATTTTGAACATTTCTTTTACGTACCGGAACTAACTAATTAAAATGAGAAAGATGACATGATGAAGCTTTAGAACTTTTTCACAAGGTAGATCATTTTGCTCGCAAATTCTGAAATTTCTGAAACTTAGCTGAAAATTTTTTATTTGATAAAACTTCCAATTCTTATTATATTTCAGAGACTTCATTGTTGTTGAAAACTAATAACTTGTGTAAGATGTTTTCATAACAGACTACGTTCTTCAGGGTGATGAACTGGACTCCTTGAAAGCGGTGGAAAAAGAGACGATTCATCCTTCTACGTCGAATGAAGAAATAACCAAAAGCAAGAAGATGTCGGTTTCAGATCTGTGCTCTCTTTATGAGAGATTTTTTTTACAGAATTCGTCAAAATTCAGAAGCAAATATTGAAGAAATTTTACGAGAAGTTTTCTCACCAGATGCTCAAATTGTCGACGGCGCCGTCGTCAAAATGTATGACGTTACTATTTTTTTTCTCTATTTAGTATAAAAAATTTTTTCTTAATTTAGGTCGTCGAGAGTTTTCAGCGGCAGCTTAACAGCAAAAAAACAGAACTCTTTGAAAAACACTACACAAAAGTCTTCTCCTGATTGTGAGGTGACTTAAAAGAAGCTTTTTATTCATTTCGGAACTCGCAGCCTCAAAATTGGTATCATTTCCCAAAAAGAAGTCTGCGACTGTAGCATCTTCGATAAAGGTGGGTCGGAAACTTTTGACACGTTTGAAACTTTTATTCAGTTTTAAGAGAAGATTCTCGGCTGAATCATGGAATAAATGAAGAGTTTTTTTTCGTTTCGCAAAACTTTCGTTGATCGGCGCGTAGAGCATCTCGTCTTTCTTGTGATAGTAGTAGACGATTTTCGAGCGTTCCGACGATGAACTGCTTCTCTTTGTAGGAACAGCACGGCGCCCAGCTTGTGCAGGGCTGACGGGCGTCGGATTAAATCTCAGACGAGAGCGGGAATGAAGAACGACCACTCGGGTAGTAGAAATGAGATAATATTTGTCGGAAAGGGTCGGGAATATATAAACTAAAAATTAAAATTGTCATGATACTTCTTTTACTAGATTTAATAGAAGGTTTAGGAAATACCATCAAGACCAACGGCAAATCGAAGCGAGACCAAATTTGTGCGATTGAATCAAAATGAGAAGCTTTTGAACCGGGCTAGGGACGCCAAGAGAGCAAGCTTGGAGAAGATGACCGGCAAGTTTTCAACCTTTCAGCTAACAAACTTTGCTTCAGATTCCATGAAAACGTTGTCAGTTCAAAAAACTGCAATGTCCAGAAGTACAGAACGCAAGCGCTCCGCTGTGAAGAGTTAGTTTGCCGGTTTATTGAGAAATTATAGTCTCTGCTTCTTCCATCGTTCACAAAGAAACAGGCTGAAATAGAGGAGGAAAAGCTTATAATGCATCCCAATTGGTGATAAGAGCAAGTTAAAGGTTCACGAGGAAGCATTTTTTACCTTTTTTACAGTTTCATGCGAAGTTCAACCGGCGAGTAAAAAAACGTTCCCTAGTTAGATGAAAAAAACTAACGAATAATATCTTTTTTTAACCACAAAATTTGGATTCACGAGTAGAACACCAAAAAAACGAAAAATCTATTTCACAAGTAAAAAAACAAAGTTTTTTTCTGTAAAGAGCACGAAGGTTTCAGAAATTGCGCCACCGAACAGACTCTGAAGCTGGTCCGAAACTACTTGGCCCGAAACCGTTTCAACATTTTAGATAATTTTAGCGTATAAAAGTGTGAGAAAGAGGGGTTGGAGCAAGGGAATTGGACGACGGAACGACAAGTTGATTAGGAAATCTAATAAAATAGGGTGATTAGTTGGGGAAAGAGACGAAATCGATGCAGGCGCGGCTTTAAAACGAGGCACAGTTGCTGCCGTGGGTGCCACTCCACAGAACGTCGCTCCGCCGATGCACCGAGGGCCCATTTTTCTTCTTGTTATTTTTCTGTCAGGCCGTCTTAGAGCGGGTCCTGTCGTCGAGTCTTCGCGTCATGAAGACGTCGCCGAAGATGACGTCGCCGACGAAGCTGTGGTCACAACCATGCCTACTTTTTCGGGTTTGTCTGGTTTTTCGTATCCGAAATTTTTTTATCAAGATGTTATGGAAGAAAAAGGAAGTCTCATTTTAAAGGCATAGGGGCAGTAAAAACGGTGTTTTAGTTCGAAGCAGTACTTTGTAGAGTTTTTCATTGCGAATTGAACGGTGAAACTGAAAACGTACAGAAGTTCCAAGTTTTGAAGAAAGAATTATTCAAAGACAAAGAAAGGAAAGGTTGAGTTTCCGCCAAAAGGGCGCTTTGCAGTAAAGGCTCTATGGACAACAGGCTTCGCCATCTTCCGGATTATCGCTTTTTTCTTCGTTTCTTTCAATTTTTAATTTTTTCTGTTGTCACCAAAGTTCTTTTCGCCACAAAAGCTTTCTATTCATGTGTAATTTGCAAACTTTGATTGCAAAAAAGCTTTTCTGGTGAAAAATGATGATTTTACACAGGTTTCGATTGGGGTAGCAATATTTTGAGTTTTCTTTATCAATGTGTATTTTCTGTTTTCTTAATCGATTTTTCAGAAAAGAAACCATTGATTTGAAACAGATATCCAGTTATTTTTCACAAAATGCGAGTCTAATGAGACGTCCGCAACATTGCGTGCACGGCTACTGTAAACATTTGTCCGTAGACCGATCCAAAGCTTTTTTCAAAATTAAAGGCGGGAAAGTAAAATCGCGTTTTTCTTCTAAAGTTGTCACATCTGTAATTTTTTTGAGTACACCATTCGATTCGCAAAGAAAAACTATATAAGATACTGCTTTCACCTGAAACCCAATTTTTTACTGCCCCTATTCCTTTAAGCTTTTCAGACTCACCTTTTACAAAGTTTTCATGTTTTATTCTCTTTTTTCACACTATTTTCGTTCTACAAATGAACTTTTCAAAAAATCTGTGAGAATTAACTGAGAAGGCCTTTTGTTGCTGTTTTTCAACTACAGACAGGACTTTTTGGGGTCTGTCCATGAGAAAAAATAACGCGTTTCTGAACTTTAAAACCAAGGTAACTTCAAATTTTGAAAATTTTGCAGTAGAGCGATTGGATGCACCGATTGAGCGCATAGAGATCCGTCTGATCGACGAGAACAATACGCAAGTGGAAGACGTCACGCGGAGCGACCAGGCCGATCAGAAAATTAATCTTTTTCCGACCGAAGACGTTTCTACTACGATTCCCACTCACGAAGCACTCGAAATCGATAACGAAAAGTACAAAAAGGTGAGACAGCTTTTTATGAAAATTGCATCTTCATTTTTCTGGTCGAATATGTGATGCAAGCGACAGCCAAGACAACGACAACGGAAAGTCCAGCTCGTGATAAGATGAGTGAGACGACTCCAGAAGTTTTCGTGGTCGGTGACACTCCAGGATACTTCTCAGCGAAAACGTCTTTCGGCAACGATGTACATCACCACAAAGCCGAAGTCAGTGTCCGTTCCTCCTCTGTTGGAACCGCTGCGTTTAAGATCCAGGCGAAGGCATGGCTCTCCGTATCCTCTTCAATCCCCAAGTTCGACGGAGACATAGACGAAGAAGATCTTCCGCCCCCTCCAGCCGATACACTCGCCGAGGTGCGCCATAAACTCTCAGAAAACAACATTTTTCGGTTTCATTCCTAAGACATTTTTCAAAATTCCATTGACAGCAAGAATTTTAGTCAGGACACTGCTCGGATTTTTTGCACGTCTTCAATCTGAGCCCACTTCAAAAAAAATTATAATAAGAAACTCGTCCTTAAGAAGGAATAAAAAACTTTTTGAATTTGACAACTCTTCAAAAAGTTAATGAATTTTTAAAACCATCCTCTGTTCTTCAAGATTTTCAAAATCCTTTCGAAACATCTGATCCAAAAGATGACCTTTGTTCAAAATAATTTTCCACTCATTTTTAAAAATCCAAGTTTTTTGGAACGATTAATAGTATCAGAATGAAAAATTAGCTGATTTTTCGATAGGCAACCTCTGAACTTGATTGCTTTCAACAGACGCTAGTCGACCCGGTCGTTGTTGAAATTTTCTCTCGTGAGAACAACGTTTTATGTTTTGTTTTCCCACTAGCGGGTCAAACGTCACTCCCGACGAAAAAGAGCAGTTGACCTGCAAATGAAAAGATTAGTGAGCTCAGGACGACGAGCCGGAAGAAGAGTGCCTGGCGAATAGCGAGCATCTCTCCGAAGAGGTCGTCCAACGTCTCAAAGTACATTTTTTTAAATATTTAATACGAGATAGAGGAAAGTCTTCATTTAGGCCGAAACAGCAATGTATTACAAGCTGGTGAAGCAGCGGAACGAACAGCAGAGGGAGTTTTGCAAAGAAGAAGTGCCAGGCGAAGAAGAGACGGATAAAATGAGCGACGAGAACCGGCGCTGCGCAGATTGGAGAGCCGAAAAGCTAGTATACTACTATAAACTCATGCGCAAAACCTACTGTCAGGTGGATATTTCCCTTGTAGAACACGTTTAAACGCACAATCGCGTTAAAGGTGAACAACTGGCCGAACCCGACCAAAGTGAAAAAGACGTATGGCGAGTACCTCAACCTTTTCGGCACCTTCTACGCTTTCCAGAAGTAGCCGACTGACCTCAGAAACCTCTTTCCTCTTTCTCAATTATTTCACTAGTTTAGTTGTCTCGGGTCACAATATTTCCTCAAATCTGTACTTTAATCTTCTGACGGGTCTTTTGATGTTCTGAACTATTTCGAATGTGAAACACATCTTTTCTTATGTTCAAAAAATAATATTAGAATGTTTTTTCGCTAAACTTTTATCTTTTTCAGGTCCTTTGTCAGCAATGGACATAAAGTTTTTGATGAAAAATTATTACGTAGAGAAAGAAATACTGGCAAAAAAAAAAGAATCTGGGTTTGAAGGAAAACTCGTAGAGGAAGGTGATTATCTCGTAAATGATGTACTACAAACTTTAAAGGCAAGAAAAAAAACAAGAAGAAAGTGCAAATATATCACACAAGAGTTCGGGAAAGGAAGTGAAGATGATATTCGATGTAATAAATCACAAAAGAAAAGATTCTAGGGGAAAAAGTGAGGGTAAAATGATGATATGGATGACGAGAGAACAATAAAATGAATGAAAACTAGGATCTAAAAAATATTTTTTTTCGAAAGCTCTAAATGAGATATACACTCAAGCGAACCTCCACTCGGCAAAGTCGGAATAGTGGATAATGACCGCTAAAAGGAAGATACTCAAAAAAGGCCGCAGAAAGGCAGCAAAGAGAGTCCCTTTATCGAGCCTTTCTTTTTTTCTAGAACTTAAAAAACTCAAGAAATGGTGAAAAAAGGAGAGACAAAAAAAATGGTGCATAAAGGCAGCAAAAAACTTTGCCACCCTAAAAGGGACATTCCCTTAGAGCCTTTTTCCACCCTTTCCGACTTTGCCTATGCAGTTTGAAAAAAAAGGATATGAAAACAACGAAGAGATTAGTATCATTATCAATCATGAGAAAACTTTACGAAAAACTTGTCAAAGTTATACTTTCTTGAAGCGAGAAAGAACGAAAAAAACACATTTTTTTGTTAGAAAAATATTCCAATGATGAATAAATGATTGGTTGACGGATCAAGAATCTTTTGGGTTCATCACCGCCAACTGGAAGACAGTCTTCATGAATGATCAGATAAAGTGGAAACGAAAAGAAAAATTTTACCTCCATGCTCTCAGTAAATTTTTGAAAAAATGTTATTTACCTTACTCTTTAGAACCTAATGCCGTGTTCAAAGTAATTTCCGCGAAATGCAAAATGATCTCTGACTCTCCAAAATTTAGTGATCTTTTCCTTTCTCTAACGGGTATTTTGCATTTCGCGGAAATTACTTTGAACACGGCATAAAAATTCTTTTGCAGCTCACTTTCGAAAAAAAAAACAGAAAGAACTTACCAAAACCTCATATAGAGATGATATTCAAGTAGGATAGAACATGGTTTGTGCCACTGTAAATGTAGCCCATGATCTGGTCGACGACCGTCGAGTTGTCCTTGTCCTCTTCCGATCCGAATGTTGCTCGTTCATACTCGTTGAATTCGTTGATCAGTGCGTATGAGAGTCCTTGACCCCAAGAAACTTCCATTCCCTTGATCTTCTTGGCGAGCTAGATGATGGGGATCAAAAGGAGAGAACATCAGAGAAATCACCACAAGAGGCTGTTCTTCGCTGAACATGTAGCCGTCGTGCAGAAGACTGTAGATGTAGGAAAGGTCGAGACACTGCCAGGGCATCCAATGTGAGCCGTCGTTCAATTCTTCCGAGGTCCGTGAACAAGCTCAAATTCTGATTTCTCAAACGTCTTCTCTATCAATTTGAAGATTTTTAATCGTTTTCGAAGTTACTTTACGGAGAAAATCGACAAAAGCTCATCTAGCGTTGTTGTTTCTCACTGGGGTTTTCGGCGTCCATTCATTTTGTGGCGTACACTATCATCCAAAAAGTTAAAGAATAAGTTTATATATAGTCTGTTTACCACGACTTGAAATTTCACCGAACGACATTCCGCTGTTCCGCTGCGTGCGTTCGCGGAGCGTCTTTCGAAATTAGGTCACGATTTCAATTGATTGTTATTGCTGTGGGAGCATATGAAAGTAGAGTACCTTGATAAAAGAAAAAAAAAAATCAAAAGCGCCACCAAGGTTCGCAAAGGCGCGCAGCGGCACTGCGGAATGTCGTTTGGTGAAATTCCAAGTCGTGGTACACAGGCTATATCGTCTTCTAATTACTTACCGTTCAATCTAATTTTCGCACGAGAAATTCCCCTTTTCATAACTTTCCCACTATAAAGAAAACACAATCAACAGAAAAAGATGACAAAAAATCTTCTGAATCTCACAATTTTTGTACTATCCAGCTGAATAAAAATTGTCTCGTGTTTTCGAAAAACCTTTTTCTGCCGCCGCTCGAAAATCTCTAAGCGTGATTTTGCCGCCGGCGTTGCTCTTTACCAATCCAGAGTTCAAGGCCCGGTCGAAAAAGTAAGAGAACAGGTAGATTTGTTTTCCCGAAAGTTCTGAAAACCAACGTCGTCTCCGCGCAAATAAAAACTGACGTTTGATTGGCATGATTTTGCTGCTGCGAACAAAGTCTCGCACAGCTTCATAGCATTCCAGGTGAGAATAATCCCGAGTGCCGCTGGAAAATCGTCGATTGCAAGTCTCAGTCGCAGAGAACACTCACTTTACACTCCAAAACTTGAGCGCGTACTCCCAGTCTGCAATCTGGAAGTCGGCGGGCATACAAGGGGACATCAACTGCTGTTGTTTCTGAAAAAAACAATCTTCGCTTCTGTTGGGAAGAAAGTTTCAAATGGGACACTAATTTGATTATTTTTTTAGCAGAGCAGTAAAAAAATTTCTTTGAAAAAAATTTTTTGAACTTGAGATCATCCAAAAAAAAACTTAATGAGAAAAAAGTGAAGCTTGTTTTTTTTCTCAGTGAAATGAAAAAAATTGGTCACCTTCAGTGCTTCGTTCGTGCTCCACAGAAGAACATTCAAACGAGCCGCGACGAGACCATTGCCGAGAAAACTTCAAACAGAAAAATTTTATCAATTGATGAAGGTCCTGAATGCCTGTGAGTGAAAAGACGGATGTGGGCGCCGAAAAAGTCGATGTCACGTTCATATCCTGGAAACTCTTCGAAAACAGCCACGTCTTCTGGCCAGAAGGTGATTTGAGTTGAACCGCCACCCAGATCTAACGCCGCCGCCGACAGAGACGCAGTCGGTTTGTGTGGGCTCGTAGGGTTTTCTGTGAAAAGTACTCCATTTCGGAAAAATGGATTATACTATGAAAACTTTTTTAGAGCACCGAAAAAAAGAAAGCGTTTTATTGAAGATGTCTCGAACAACTTTTGAGAAAGCTCTGCTTAAGCACTTTCCCGTAGCAAACTTAATACCTCTCTTGGTTCCTCTTTTCGCCAAAATTCTATTCATTTATAGTCCTAGCTGCTTATATTCAAACATACCTATACTTATCTACTTCCTATCCGAAAACTTCCAGTCATTAATCTTACTGTTTACGATAACCTTTGATCTCACATTTCTTGGTTACTACGCTTTTTCTCAAAACAGTAATGAATTTCTTCATCCATTCAATTATTTCCCTAGACACTTTCCCTTTTTCTACACACTTCTTCCAGAAATAACTGCTACTCTATCTGGGAGAAAGGAAAGATCGATTCCACGAAGTCATCCTAAAAAGCAGAAGAACCAACTGGAGTATAGCGTGTCGAGGAGGAGGTTCAGGGTGAACCAGCTGTAGACCCCTTCGTCAGAGCCGCTCATCACGGACACGGCGTCGGGAGCTGTGGCGAAGAAGCCGCTGCTGAAGATGGTTTTCTCGACGTCTTCGAGGATTTCGTCGGCCAAGTCTCCGGGCAGAAGACGTAGTCCTGCCGTCGCTTTCAGCGTCACCGGTGTTTTTTCCCACATGAAGTGCGGCACTTCTTTCCTGCAAAACGTTTTCTCATAGAAAGTTACCATTAGAAAGTTCTTAAGAGCTTAGCTTTTGAAGATTTTTTCTAGAAAAAATATCAAGTTTCACCCAAAACCTCACTTGTGAGAAGAGAATTAATGATTTCAGTCGGAACTAGGGAACGTTTTTTAATATTTTGAAGGATTTTAATCCAGATATTACGAGTCAAACTTAATCGAAAGCTTCAAACTGAGTTTCAGAGAAAAAAAAATTGAATTTCAAACCTTGCACGTAGAAGTAACGGTTCGATAGACTTCGATGCGGCCGACGGATTTCCCGCAAAAGAAGAAAGACCCGGTTTTACCTGTTAATCAGGGGTCAATAGGCGCTCATCAAAAAGAAAGTGGTTCAACTTTTGAAGCTAAAAAGGTTCAGTTTGTAAATTATCAAGAAATCGAAACCCTATTTTTATTGCCAATAAAAATACTGCAGACGGAAACTGAAAAACACCTTTTTTGAAGCAATCGACAAGCTAGAGAACAATAGAAAAATAAAATAACTCAAGGCTCCAAAAACTCCTCACCGCATCATTAAACTACTATTCATCATTTTCTTAAACTGTTTAGCGGAAAACTGTGGTGCTTTTTCTCGAGGTTTGTTAATAGACCCTATCTGACCTCTTGGAAGACTTCTTCTTCTACAAGAAATGGTAAGCCGTTGGGGTTGGAGTTGTGTACGTAGCGGTAAAGGTGTAACCGGCTTCCTGTCGACCCAGCATCAATAACTACGGAAAAAAATCTACACGGAGATCCCTGAAGAAAGGCTGTCAAAAAACACTGGAAAACTTTTTCAGAATCATCGTAATGGAAAACATCTTCGACATAATCATAACATCTTTGAGGTTCATGACGGTAACCAATCTTCTTGAAAGTAAGCAAAAACTCACTTTGTGAAGAACTCCGTCCCCGTAACAATAGTAAGGATCAGCTTTGTTGGCAAAGCCAAAGTGAAAAAGCCAGGCTAATAGGTGAAAATGGAATGTCATTATTGTAGATAACACGTCGAATTGTTATGGAGACCCGTGAAAAGATCCAGGATAAATCACAGATGCGCTGGAGATTTCCGACTTTCGATAGGACTCATGCTATGCATTGAAGCATCGCCAACAGAGGCAATCGATCGTTTAAACAACAGCTGAAAAAGTTTCTATTTGCGCAACGACAGTCAATCGAAAAAAACAGTGTTATTTGCAAATGACGTGGAAGAATATTTGTGAATGGTGAAGAAAAAAAATTGGATGCTATTTAAAGTGATTCCGCGAAATCCAAAATAACCGTCAGAGAAAGAAAAAGATAACCGGTTTCACCAACTTTCAGATAGTCAGAGATAATTTTGCATTTCGCGGAAATTACTTTGAACACGGCATGACTATATCACCATTACTCCTATTTAAAAAAAAGAGAATTCTTATGAAACATTTTTCTGGCCGTACAACTATATTCGGTTCCTCTGAGAACAAAAAACACCTGAACATTACAGCGTTCATATGTAATAACGTTTATGCACTTTAATGCGAGGTCTTAAATGCTTGAAAATAACTTTGAAGTTTTGAAGAGCTCAGAAGTTTAAAGAAAACGTATGACAAAACGAGAGAACTTAACAGCTGAAAATGAAAGCGTAATGGCTGGGTGATAAGAAAAAAGGAAAGAATCGAAATAAGTGTTGTGAGAAGGTTCATTTGATAAGAAGGGCATACAGTTTAACATGCGAAAAAGCACGAGGTAACGCTGGCTAATGTGAGGAGGCTATATAACTTTATCAGCTCTTTCTATAGATCTACTAAAAATTTTTCTCAATAGCTTTTTGAACCAATTTTCTAAAGTCCAAAAAAATTTTTTTATGAATTTTTTTCATACTCATCTATCGCGTCTTCGAAAAATTTTTAAACTTGAAACCGGTAATGAATGAAATTCGAGAGAACTTGTCTAATCAGAATAAAACTGAAAGATCGAGACTTGAGCAAAACCCAGAGGGGAAAAAATTCAAAAATATTTTTTGAACGTAATGCGGTCAAATTAAATCGACGTGTAGCAAAAAAACACAGCACTTCGGGGCTATACTGCATACCCCAGTTCAACACGTAAATTCAGGGAATATTCAAGACTGGAATTCCAGCAGCTTTTTCTCATCGACAATATGATTGAACCAATCTTAGGCACTCAAGGTTTTCTCCCGTTGGAGTAATTCGGCAGATCTGCGGTAAAAATTAACGTTCGGGAGCTCGCTCGCGTCGATTTTGGCATTTCTATAGAAAACGGTTGCTTTGGTCATTCGGGCTTTCCCACCGATAAAATTCGGTAAATGCCGCAAAATGAGCATTTACATAAAGGTGAATCGGGAAGTCGATACAAATATAGTCTGTCCAGATTTTGAATGTCGTCGTCGCTTAAGCTCCGCCCCTAATGGTGCGATAAACCAATGAGAGAGCGAGCCATCCACAGAGTGTTTTTGAATGACGTCATTGCACTTGACATCAAAAATCTGAACAGACTATAGCTACCGGGTAGCAAGTAATCGGTGGTCATTTGTATGCGACCGGGTACTATCTCTATGGTACCTGGGTCGGAGGTCGATGCAAGTAGCCACCGGGTAGTTGAAAAACGGAAAAGCAGAGGCCGTATGCAATAAACTTTCGCCGGCGAACGCGATTCGCCGGCGAACGTTCGCCGAGGAAAATGCTTTCTCCGGCGAATGTCATTTTCGTATGCAATAAGCGGTAAATGGCGAAGCGAACGTTCGCCTTGGAAAATGCTCTCATTTACCAAGAAAATGATGGCGTCTTTTTGGTGAAGTGCGTAGTTTTTTCTTTTTTTTCGTTTTTTTCGGTGTTTTTTTGATTTTATTTTCATATTCCGTCTTGATTATTGCTAATTATGATATAACTTCACTCAGTGTGATAGTCCGTCATCAAAAATGCCGACACAACTTTTTGAGTCATTCCCTCTTACTGTAGCCGACTAGCCGGCTTACGGTAGGCGGGTAGGCAGAAAAACCAGCGACATTTCCAACGTCGACTAATCCGATTTTTTCATATCGCTAGGGAACTTTCTGACGGAGAAGTTTCCGACGAATCCTTTCCGACTTTTTTCCCTTATATTTTTTGGTTTATCTTCTTCTTCTTCTTCTTCTTGAGATAGTCTTTTTTCGTACCACAAACACAAAAAAACAAACAAAAACAACCTATTTATTCTGAAAAATCGGCTCAAATTTTTCATTAAAAAGCTACATTTTATATGAATTTTTTTGGGTTATTATGTATACTTTTCACATATACAACAAAAAAACTAACCAAAAATACGGTATACCGGTGTATAGCAGTGGTATACCGTATACCACTGATATATATTGGTTTATATAGCAGTTTTTTTAGGCTTCCATGAAAATAACCATTAATGGGTATAACTAACTTTTGAACTGTTCAGAAAAAAATGTGCTAACAGTGGATGTGGGGTGTCTTTTTAATTATAATTATAAATTAATTGAATATACCATTTTTTTAAAATTGAAGCAAGAAGCGCGCATTTTTTTCCATTTTTTTCTTTTTTTCCAATTTTAATTACATTTTTCCCTTAAATTTAATTTTTTTCAAAATATTAATAATTATCAAAATAAAACGTGAACGCTCAAAAAAATTTCGATTATGTTCACAAATTTCAAAACTTAAATAAGAGATGTTTTTGCCACGAGAGGTGTTGCGAAAAAAGTCGAGCAGGCCTTTCATGGTTACCGCATATACCGGTTTGTTCTTCATCAGTCCTCCAATTCAGAATTTTCCATTTCAGTTCCTTTTTAGCTCTCGTCGAGCTTAGTTTGCTGAACAGACATACTAAGGTACGATTTCTATGTTCTCACAGTCGTGTAAAATCTTCTTCCAGGAAAAGAAAAATTCCTCGAAAATGTTTTCTTGTTAACATGTTTTGTTGTCGACGACTCCCAGATTTTCATAATCGACAATATGGCTTCAACTGTCGAACTCATCTTTTTTTACGGAGTGAGCGCGCGCGTTATTCGGCTTTTCTGGGAAGGATGCACAAGTGTTTCTCCCGATTTTTACCCGCGGGATTCCGAATTTCTAATGCGCGAGAAAATTTTGAGTGCCTGAGCGGGTTTATATTTGATTGAAACTTTATTCTTTGAAAAAATGAACTCATTTAGCAGGACTACTATCAGGAGGCGTGGCAAAATACTTAGTGTGGGATTTGCAGGACAAAGTGGGTTCACTGTCGGTTTTGCGCTCGAGGGTCTCTATCACCGGCATTCTCAACGCGTTGTCGGAGCCGCTGGAGCCGTTGGAGCCGTCGGCGCCTTGGGAACCGAGTTTGCGTCTTTGCTGCAGAGAGATTATTTGTTTTTTTAGAAGTGAAAGGTTTTTTTTTTTATTTGGTGAGCAACTGTGGATGGAAGGAATAAACGTCGCACCTGCCTACCTGATGCTGTTCTAAAGCGTGGAAGATGGGCTCAGTTGCGCGGTGGACGAATCTTTTCCGCATGCTTTGCAACAGGTCGTTTGTACTTCCTCTTTAAAACGCAAAAGTTCAGTTTTTTCATTTTTCTAGATCAAAGTGAATTCTCAGTAGTAATTGTGTCTCAATTGGGGCTTCTTACTTTTGATTTAAAAAATTTATGATTTCTGTCTGTGAAGGATACTTTTAAGATAAGCCTTCAGTTCGAAGCGCGCGGGATGTTTCTCTGCCTGGGTTTTTTGTTCGTGCTGAAATTTCCTTCCTATTAAAGGCAAAATCAGAGATAATATCGCGCGCATCGAAGAGAAGGGTTCTGTAGCTCCGAGGAGAACGAAAATCGTGACAAGCTAAGGTTTCCAGTAACTTCTTGTGGAAACCAAAGCTTTAGCTGCATCGAACTAATTTTCAAAAACAAAAAAAATCAGAACGTGTACAGCCTGTTTTTTATTACTCAAATAAAATAGCTTGGAAAGTTTCGTAATTAGATTTGAAAAAAATTGAAAGTTTTAAACATTCGACACAAACTGGTCAGATTGCTTCAAGTTGTGCCGAACAGGATATGTCTAGCATTCGTGGAAGCTGCGCTTGTGCCGCAGCTAAATGGGGAAAAAAGAGAAACGTACGTAGTGCTGCCACTCGGGGCGCTTTCCCGGCCGTTGCTTTGAATCGTGTCGTTGGATTCGACCTGAAACCGTCGTTTTGTGCACTTTGACGGTTTCCGGCTTACGCGTTTTAGCGTCTTTATGAACTCGAGCACGCTGAGTTCTTCGTCGAGGTTCTCGCCGTTCGTGATGTACTGCTCCATGTTACCGTTGCTCATCTTCCTCTTCAAGATTTGCATTCAATACCTTTCTTGGACTTTCTTCTTGCTTTTCAAGAATATTGGACTTGAGAGAAAAAATAGGGGCTTGTAGCAGGTTGCGATTTTCAAATAGAATTTGATGTTAGCAAGAGCTGATTCTCAGAAGATTAATAAAACCCTTAAAGACAGTAAAACAGTTTTTCTGAAAAAACAATGAAGCATTCTCAATTCAGAGACCTTATTCAATAGAGGTAAAATTGATATTATCAAAGCTGTCGAATAAAGTAAGATTGAAAATAGAAGTTTGAACTTGGTTCACTCGTGTGCGCTATTTGTTCGATGAAAAATACACATGTTAAAATTTAAAAAAACGAAAATGTTTTCCTTGCAAAACTGAAAAGTTTTCCAAAAGCTTTTCTCAAAAAAAAGACCTTGAAGGGGTCCCCAGCAGATCTTTTTTTTTATCATTTCATTTCTTTTTTGCATCTTTTTCACATCTCTAACAAAATGGATGCTGGAAAGCAACTAAAAAGGATCCTTTAAGGATACTCAAAGGAACTTTTCCGTTTTACCTATGTATGCAATGTTCCCAGGCATCCATATTATTGCTTTCCGTTCATTTCACATGTTCTATTGCCAAATTGATTAATTTCTTTGCTGAAAGCGGCGTTCGGCGGAAGTATTTAACGGCCGGAACAAGTACTGGACTTCTAACCACTATCGCACAATCATTTATGTGAGTTTATGTGTGTGTGCACATCCAAAAGTCCGTTTTCTCATTGTCTCATGTGTGAAGTGAAGATACATTGAGAACTCCAAAAAATCTTCGGGGAATATACCAGAATGTGGGAATGAAAGAGGTGTAGAAAATCAAGTTTCGGACTCGTTTCTGATAGAGTGCTTTTTTTGAGAATTGTCGATTTATTTTTCAAAAAAAAAAGTACAAAGAGGAAGAATCTTCGAGGTATCGCTCAGTTTGATTTGATCAATGATATGCTCTATTCGAAATGATTTGAAATAGTCTGGTTTATCTGCTTGGGTTTTTACTTCAACTCGTGTTAAAAAAATTTCAAGTTTTTCTGACCTTGACGACGGTTGACAAAAAGGCGCAGACAGTTCAGACTGTTTCGAGTTGTGACAAGTGTCTCGTTATGATTTTGCCTCTTTAGAGAATATTATTTGGTAAGACAAGCTTCGCTCTCACACCCATTTACCGTAGTTAAGAAGAAAAGTGAAAGCCCCTTCTGGGCTAAGGGATGTAGACCGTAATTGTTGAGATTCAAAATGAAGAACTCTCCAAAAACTAATAGAATCCAACTGAGAACATAAGAAAGAAACCGAGAAGAATTGCAAGGCTCTGCAGGTCCAATGAGGCTCACGGCATCTCAGAAAATTGTATTGGCCCGCCTCTTCTGGTTGGTTGCCATGGAAAGCCCGAAAAAAGGCCAACGCCTCCGGCATTTTCTCGGAGGCTCGGAAAATCAACTGGAAACGAGGTTGTTTTGTTTCAAACGACATCTACGAAAGGTGATCGAGTCACGCTATGCGCCTTGGCCGCGTTCGAGCGAATTCTACAAGTCTGAGCGGCCTGAAAATCGCTTCTGTTCGTTGTCAAGTCCCCACCGAAACCAATTCGTCGCTCGCATTTCTAATTGGAGACTTTGATTGTAAAAAACAGTTCAAGTGGATTTTGTGAATTACATATCTAACCTCTTGCTGTCAAAAAAGGTTTGCTTTGTGGAGCAAGCGCGAAAAAGGCTTTTCATGGTTACTTTGACCAAATAACGTCGTTTTTCTCTCATAAAAGCTCAAAACTTTGAAGAAAGATGAAAAAAAACCTGTATCCACTTACGATTTGAAGATGAAGGAACTTGCTGGACAATAATTCTGGACGTGAATTTATGTAGACTACATGTTGTGGAAAAGGACAACTACTTTGCAAATATGAGAAGCCAGGTGAAGTCGGTTTCTCTCAGCAATTAAAAAAAAAGCAGAGACTTGATTCGGCATGAAAATTAGCGAAAGACTTATTTTTTTTTTCACTGAAAACAAATAGTACTAAAAAAAAAGAGAAAGTTTCAATCGGAAAGGAAAAAAACAATAATTTATGAAAGGAAAAAACTTATAATTTTCAGATTAGTTTTAAGCACAGTTAAGAAATCCGACAAAATTTTTTTTCGAGCCGGATTTGTTTGAACTGTTTGTATTGAAAGTATTTGTTTTTTCGCAGATTTCTGCGAAAAATTTTAGAAATCCTTCGATGAAACGACGAGGTCAGCTCAAACGGCGACGGCTTCTCGTCGGTTGTTCGGGCACACCAAAAACGAGTTTTAACGAAGGCGACGTTTCCGCCTCCTTATTGGTCGATTGTTTTCCTTCATCCGACTTCTGAGGCCTTTTTCTATACCGTCACTACCTCTGTTTTTGAAAAACTGTTGCGAAGCTGTTGACCGCAACGAGTTTTTTTTTCAGTATTCCTATACAGCCTCTAAGATAACGCTCAACTATATTCCGTAATGATACATTTCTTGTAGATTACTTTTCTTCTTTCGGAGCAGGGACTTTCAAAGAAATGAAAATATATGACGTAGCAGTTCAAGACGTTGGGGTCCACACAGGTGAAATGCCAATTTAAATTGTTTTGGGACGTTTAGAGTAGATAAATCCTGTACCTAACTTTTTCAAAACATAAAAAATAAAAATGATGTAAACTGAAATATATTCATGAAGTTTTCAGAAAGAAAATGGTCCTGGCCGACCAAAACGCTGCTTTTTTCGTCGCTTACGACATTTCTGGCCGGTGGCTTCCATTTTGGCTTCCAGATCTCAGCGATCAATCCTCTAGCTGATGTTCTACAAAGCTTTCTTCTGCAAAATTTTCAAGAGTTAGTGAGAAGTTGGAATGAGTTTTACTTTTAGCTTGTGAAGCAACTAATCAGTGAGCTGTTTTCATATAAAATTGAGCTGAAAATTTTTTTGATAGTGTGACATTTTCTGTATATGTGATATACAATAGCAAGATTTCAAGAATTGGATTGCAGAAGATACTCTTTATGGCTTTCTAAATCCGATTTGACTTTTGTGTGGTCGTCCGTCGCCGGAAGCTTGTTTATAGGTGCCGCCTTGGGCGCAGTTTTCATGATTTGGCTGATCAGGAAGATTGGTCCACGCAAGTCTTTGCTATTTTCTGCCATAGTAGGGACTTTTTCTAGAGGTATAACATGAAAATTTTCGTCCAAGGTTCTTCTGATTGCATCTCCACTTGCCGGCGTTTCCTACTACGTGCAAATGGCGGAAGTGTTCATTCTGGCGAGGATGCTCGCTGGTATCGGAATCGGTATGGGAACTACGGCTCAAGGCGTTTTTCTGACTGAAATAAGTCCAGGTGAGAAATCGGCTAGAGTTGACCTTCTTCTGAATTACAAAAGAAAGTTATGAATTAAGTTTCATTACGCGGATGGACTGGTGCATTAGGTGGATTGATGGGAAATTTTGGATTTTTCTGTGGGGCCGCTCTCGGACTTTCACACTTTTTTGGCACTTCCCAGCTTTGGCCCTGCGTTTTCTTCCTTGAAGCTTTGCCGGCGCTTGTGAGAGTTGTAATTAATCAGATGAAATTAACGAAAAAGTTCAGCTCCACATCGTGTTAAACGTCACAACCTTCCATGAAAGCCCCAAGTTTCTTCTTGAAAAAGGAGACTGCAAGCGAGCTCAAGCTTCTCTGCAGGCGTATGGAAGCAGCGACGCCGAAAAAGAATTGGAGCGTTTAAGTTTCGAACTGAAGACAAGGCCGAGTTGCTCGGACTTTGTTAGTTTTCTCAGAGACAAGGCTTCAACAAGAGCGCTCTCCCTATCTGTCGCGCTAAACGTAGCCGTTGCCTTCAGGCGAGAGCGAATTAGAAAAAGAAAACAAGAACGTTGAGTTTAGCGGCATCATGGCCATGTCGTTCTTCGGGACATTTCTTCTGCAAGAGATTGGGTTCTCGGAAAGCGCCGCTTCCTTGGCCAACTGCTTATCCGTCCTATCTGGGACCTCAGCTGCTTTGTTAGCAACTTTCGCCTTTGAGGCAGTAGGACTTGAAGTTGTTTGAGTTGAACCAAACTACTAATGAAACAGGTTGGAAGACGGAAAATGGTGATTATCTCGTTGCTTTTGCTGACTCTGATAAATGCCACGATGATGCTGTTGGTCTTCCTTTTCGAATCTACAAAACAGGCGTCTCTCGGATGGCCTTTCCTTGCACTGTTCATCGTGTTTCTATTTGTATTCAGGTTGTTGACCTCAACTCTTATCTAAGTTTGATTTTCAGTGTGGGGTTAGGTCCAGCGGCGCTGTTTCTCGGGGCCGAGCTGGCTCCTAGTGGCACAACGGCCACAGTACAGGCGATCAGTGTCGGATCGCAGTGAGTTTTTTAATTTATTTCGAAAAGGATTTTTGGGATTTATTTCTTCTGTCTGCAGAAATTGGACAAAAATTCATATACAAAAAATGTCAGTAATTTTCGGGTGCAAATAAACTGAATGCATTTACCGTTCAACTAATGAATCAAAGTTTGTTTTTTTTTTATGTTCTGATTAGAAAAACTATTAGAAGCCTTTGACGGATTAACCAAGTTTGATGAAAAAAAAAATGAAGAATTTTACATCAAGTTTGTCTAAAAACTCTTAAAAACAGGTGTTCATTAAAGCTGCAAGGATAACAGAACGTATTTAGATATGTGGCGTGCTTCATTTCGCCCATCTTGTACCTTCCCTTAAATGCCTCCGTAGGACCTCTAGCTTTCATGGTTTTCATCGTTCCGCTCTCGCTGACCGCAGTCTACATTTACTGGTTCGCTCTCCCTTGGTAATGGTGAAGATAGATTTGATCCAGCTGTTTACCTGAGACCCGAGGCAAAAGCACACAAGAAATCACAGAGGAACTGCGGCAGTGAGTTTAGACCACATCAACAAGTTCAAACGTGTATTTGTACAAAAAAAAAAAGTTACACGCAATAAACAGTTTCTTTTGTGCCAAAAATAATTCGATCGACGACTTCGACGCCCATCGCAAAACTATGATCCTGATTCGCTACTTCGTACTTCCACCCACCGAACCTTTAGCAAATGTTTAATCAAGAAAGTTTGTAGTATCATAAAATGTACATTTGACAAGAAAAGTCATTTTACTCTTCACTCTGGAATTTTTATAGTTTCGCTTGAAATATCTGAGTAAGTAATTTTTCAGCGGCGGTACCATTTGAAAATTTCGATTCTCAAAATTTGAAAAATTTTGTATAATGTGACGTTTAGAAATTTCAAGCTCGTACGTCGAAGATTGTTCGAGACATTTTTTCAAAAAACTCTAGAGCGCAGAGTAAAATGGCTTTGTTACTGGAAAATCTTGGCACTAAATCAATTTTGAAACGTTTTGTCAACCTCGTTTCATCACACAGGATTTTTCTGTTTACCAGGATAAACTGACCTTCCTCGAGAGAAAATAGAGTGTTTCTCAAGTGTTTGATGGGCTGTTCGAAGCTCCTCGTCGCGGTCGACTGTCGGAATGGGATAACCCAAAGGAAGGACATGGATCCACCGATGGATTACTTGGTTCTCTTCGTCCAGCAAGCCGTGTTGTCGCAGATCTTGACAGAATCAAATACTGAACGAAGTTATTCGAACAACACAACCTAGAATGGTCTTGTCGATGAGCTCCTGTTCATCGACGGTCGCGTCTGCGGGGAGTCCAATCTCGCAAATCATGGACCAGTACAAGACCGGGTTTGGAGTGAGTCTCTCATTAAAGTTTGAGATAAAAGTGCACCTAAAACAGAAAAAGTTCTAAGAATAGCTTAATTTGCAAATCTGTAGAAAATAATGTCTTGCTGAGGGAAATAAAGCCATGATAAGGTTTCTGTAAACTCGGGCTGAGGAGTCCGGACGCCAACTCCCACTAGAACCACCTGAAAAGTTGCTGAGTTTTTTCAATGAAGAGACGACTGGAACCTTAGAGTGTTTGAGTTTAGATTCGAGAAGCAAGCCGCTAGCTTTGCCAAGTTCTACAATCGACATTGTTGAAATGAGGTGACTGTAGGTAGTGTAACGATTATTCCTGATGAAAACCTTGAAAACGTCAGAAGTCGCAGAAACGTCTTGTCAAACCTTTTTCTGAACTGGATCAACACGCTGGAGCTCACAGTTGAACTTGAACCAATGAGCAGGAAGTCGAGATGCAAGCAATCGCCACATTTCGCCTGCTCCTTTCAGTTTCTTTGGGTACCTGATGATCTCGTTCTACTGGAAAAGCATGAAAAGGTTGACTTGAAAAGTTGTTTCTCCTTGTTTTCTTCTTCCTGCAGCTGCTCGATGCTCAAATCGCACCTTCTTCTGAGGTTGCCGACCTCAGGTCGTGGCACTCGATTTGCCACCCACGCCGTGTTCATCTCCTCCAACTTAACTGTCCAGACCTGCACGAGAGCCTCCGCTTCAATGATTCTTTCAAAACAAGAAAAACCTTCTCGTTATACGGACGGATAAACTCTTTTTGGAGGCTTTCTCCAAAGGTATCTCTCGTAAACTCTCCGAAATTCTTATGAGACACCACTGTCGGCAATTGCTTAAACAAACCAAAAAATCATTGATTTTGAGAAACAAACGTTCTCGACGGACGTTTTGGTCAGACTAATTTTCAATTTGACGAAAAATAGACTTTCGCAATATTGTATAAAAAGATTTGTCAATTAAAAAAGTAGCAACCACCGTTTGTCGAAAATTATTCCATTGACAGGTATTTAGTTGAAATTGGGCTCAAAAAGTATGTCTGGTTGAAAATATATAAGAAAATTACAGAAAGCTCCTCGAGACATCTTTTTTTCATTTCTTCTTTAAAGTAGGGGATCGAGTTCTGAACTGGATAAGGGACGTAATCTTCGACAACGTTCTGGCCATCTTCCGTCACGTGGGCCATGTAGGCCTTGAGGGAGAAAAGTGAGTTCTTTCGAAAAATGCTTTCAAAACACCTTTACTCGTCTGGGAATCACGTTCCAAGCGTCGACCAGCGTGTTGATGGTGTTCGTAAACTTGATGTACTTTGAAGCTCCTGAATAGCTTTTACGTGAAATCAATCAAATTTGTTTTTTAGTTGAAAACGAGCCCTGTATCAGTTCATATAAGCTTTTCATTTGAACCACATAAAAATGAACACACCAGTGATGTGCACACCGAGGTCCCAGGTAAATCCTCTATCGTCAGTTACGGATCGAGCCAGACCACCCACGTCCCGTTCTTTTTCGACTATCAGTACCTCGAAAAAAAATTGAATGGCTTTTTTTATATAGGTGGAAACCTCAGTTTCAGAAGGAATCGAGCCATTTTCAATGAGCTCGTAAAGACGGAAGGCTGCTCCGAGAGCCGTCGGACCGCTGCCAATTATCACAAACTTCATTTCGGTCGTGGGAAGACAAATGAACAGACCGGCGGCGGCGGGGATACTCGATTATATCGATTATTTGGCCCATTTTGGGGATTGGTCTGGTACAAGGTTACCCGTAACAGTGATCGAGCGGAGAGATCCCATCAGTAATAACCTTTTTATGATTTTCAGTCAGAAAAATAAAAATGGCTCATCACTTCTGTGATTAAAGTTCTCTAGAAAACCCCTAAAAACTATGAACCCCGAAATTTTGAAAGTCAGCAGAGGAAAAAGCGCAATAAAATTTTCTGAACCAGGAAAAATACTAGAATATACTGTGACATGTGTTTCACATTTTTATTTTGTGCGTTGATGTTTTATCAACTCCATAGAACCTGTATATCAAAAAAGTCGTGCAAGCGAAAGTAATTAAGAGCGAATTCGCTTCGCGCGACTAAGAAAAGTTTAGAAGGCCCCTATAGGGGGACAAATGTAGTCCCTTGTATGGGGCCCTCGTGGGGGCCCTAATTTATTTTTTATCAGGGCCCCGAAAATTTGGTTTAGGGCTTCCTATAGGGGTTAGTTGAAAGGGGCCCCTATAGGGGGTAGGATCAAACTTTCACTGAAATTCGCTTCTCCATATTCGTCTCTAACTCTTTCAAACAACGCTTCTTAAAAAATTATTAAACAGATTTTACCACCTATAGAGGCCACGAATTGTTTTGGGAGTTCAAGGGAAGCTCCTAGTCCCTATATCGGGACCCCGAAACGGCCAAATCCCTATCGAGGCCCCCTAAAATTTTCTTAGGAAAGCGATTTAGATACTGTAGGTAGGCGTCGCGGGAAATCTGCAATTTGCCGCTCTCGTGTCTGTAAAAGAAAATTTTTTGCTGCGCATTTGCTTTCTTTCTACTTAATTTTCTTCGCCGTGTCCGAATCTTTACGAAGAGTAATTTCTTGGAAATAAAAACTATTTTTAACTTTAAAAAGTTTAGTTATCTTTGTCAATCTGTGACGGTTATTTTGCATTTCGCGGAGTAAATTTTTTTTTGTTGGTTTTTTTTTTCGCATTTCTCTAGGGACCCTACAGATCACTGCAAAATGTGTTTTTAATTTCAAATAAGATCAGATGATGTAATCTGAACAATTTCTCATCCAGAACTTTCACGTAAATTTCAATCGAAAAAAAAAACCAAAAAGTTTGACTTTTGAGAAGCTCAGAGGAAAATATTTACGTCGAGAATATGTCCTTATATCTAAATAACATTATTGAGCCATAAAATTATATTGAAATCTAGAAATCTAGTCGAATGAAATTTTTCAACAATATGTCCTAAAAGTTGAACTGGAACTGAAAAATTAAATAAATTGCCTCTATAACAAATTACGACCGAATAATCAATCCAATTTCTGATTCCAAAAACTAAATAACTTCAAAAAAGTTTCGTAAAATGCTCTCCATGCGGCTATTGTCTTAAACTGCTATTTTGTATCACCTCTTTTTCCACGTTATTAACTTTAGCTAAATTTTCAAAGTTAGAGACGCGATGGAGACGTTGCTGAGAATATGTTGTTGCCGCGGAGAAGAAGATGAAAATGAAGTTCCATACCGTCCTCTAGAAAACGATGTGCAACAAGTGAGAGCAGCGCCAGCAAGCCAGACGCTAACCGGACACGATAATGGGTGCGAGAGTTTATCTTTTGTCCGTTTTTTCAACTCAATAGAGATTTTGAAATTCAGTGGCGTCGATTTCACGGACAGCGTGACTCCCCCAATACCGAAAAAGACGAAAGCACAAGAAGAGCGCGACCTTCTGGAGAACATTCTGGAGATTGCTCAGAACGTAATCTTCATTTCTCGGCTCGAGAAATCGTTGGCTCTCAGAATATTATCGACATCGGCCACTCGGAGTCCTCAATGGCCGGTCGCGAATTGGCCCTCCGCGAGAACGTCTTCGAAAAGTTGATTCGCGGCCACGACAACGAACTTCGCTCTTCCACCCCCGCCTCTCCTCATGCCTTTTATGGCGAGAACGGTTTTTTCAAAAAAAAATTTCAAATCTTCATTTAATATTGGAAATTTTGTAAGACTGAACTCACTTTTTTTTTTAACTTTTTGAAGATGACGTGACAATTAGCTCTTGATATAAATATCTATTAAATTATCACGCTGGATTTTTCACATAGCACCTTTAGTGACTGAAAAAATATCTTTTTTGTGATGTTTACGTTATTTTTTTTTTTGGATTTTTGACAAACTATCGACTTCTCTTTCCATTTTCTCAGAAAGTTGACCTTATGAAATCTATCGAAGTAGAAGAAATGGTTGAATGTACTTTAATAGGCTTTTTGTATGGAGGTTAATTTTGATCCTCTTAATGGTTGGAGAAAAGATACATGAAGGATTCTTAACAAGCTTTTTTCCAAAATACTGATTTTCGATGTTTTTCAGGCAACTTCCACATGAAGATCCCCGACATAACGCTGCCTCGGGATATTTCTGTGGTGGTGAACACGGAAAAAGTGCACTACTATCTGGGACCGACTGGCAAGAAATTGGAATTGCCGCCAGAGTTTCAACCCGCTCACTACCGATTCGTGCAGGCTCCTCCTGTGGAATTTCTTCAGGGCGTTCGTTTTTTTCTTTCATATTTCTTCATGCGGGGCGTGTATGTGTGATTTTTTAAAGTTAAAGTTTGTGAGAGAGGAACATTTTATTTATTTGATTTTACAGTTGATCACGGGCGCCCGCGAGCTCCATGACGCCTTATCCAACATTGCAGTTGAACACAGGACGGAACTCGTCGTATATATGGATTTATGAGTTTCCGGTCACGGTTTTGTTTCAACCCTTTTTTTTACGATATTCTCACCGATTCTATGTTTTTTGATCATGCTGACACGTTGTCTTTTTGTGCCTCATTTCCGGTGCTTCTAATGAGAACTTATTTTGATATTACTTTGAAACACAACGTAAACCTTGAAAAAAAAATACAAATTGATTTACACTCTTTTAAAACTCAAAAAAGTTATCGAAAACATTCTAACATGTGTTCATAAGAGATTTTAACTTTCAATTTCTCGTGTCTTTTTTGTAATGAACTGAAAAATTTGACGGTCGTTCTATTCTAGTTTTAGCTTGAACTCTCCAGCGTTCCGCACAGGCCTGTTCGTTTCTTACACATTTTCTTTGTCGGTTGTAACGCTTTTTTCGGAGCTCTCCTCTTATTGGGTTCTTAAGAATTCATCTAAAATTATGTGTAAGATGCACAGGCATGACTTTATTTTAGTAAGTTTTGGTCAGGGATAAGTTTTTGGGGTAGTTTCGACCTCGGGTAAAAGCTTACCTGTCTGCTCGTTTTTATTAAACGTGCATCAACTGTAAATGAAGTACATTTTTTGAGACGAATATTTCATTTCGAAAAGAAAATCAAGGTTCTTTCTGTCTTTTCGCTTAGTTCTTTCGATTGCATATAGAGTTTTCTTGTTCCTATCTGTCTTTCTTTTTGTCTTATCTGTTTTGATAAGCTTTTCGGCGAAATGTTTCTTGCGTTACCAATTTTACTGATAAAAGATAAAAAGTTTAATTTTGGACAACGAAACAGGAAACATTTAGAATAGTACCCATAGGTGTTGAGATATGTTGGTAAAAAAAATATTTGATTTAAGAAAGATCATTTTTTGAGATGGCATACATCAATGAAGTAGAAAAAAGTTATTGAAAATGTGGCAAGTTGTGAATCTGCTCTCTTTGAGTTAATTTCTCCCGACTCTGAACGTACACTGATAGTCATCACAGGAAGGATAAAAGGCAAGATAGGAAGCTGAGAAAAAGTGGAAAGACAAAAATGGAATCGGCCGTGATTTCGTCGCGATTGCACATGTTGCCACGGCACGCGCACAACACCTCTTCGTATTCATCGGGCATCCATTTGCGAGAACAGCCGATTTGCAGCTGAAATGTGGCGAGTGAAAGAACCTCGAGGAGGAGCTACCTGACCGCTGTCGGAAACGTTGAGACAGCCTTGGAGTTCGTTCATAGACACGAGGGTACTCGCGCGGGTCGAGGCTTTGTTGAAGTGGCGCTGCGAGGCGTACGTGCAGTAGTGTCCTGAAGAGGATCATTTCCGTCCCTTTTTGAAAGAATCACCTTTGCATCGGTTCTGCTTACAAGATGACGTCACAGAGCCGGCGTCCTGCGTGTTCATCTCGCAGTTGATGCAGTTGTAGAGCGGAAGAGAAAAATCAGGAGTGCTGAGTTTTTTTTATAGTTGGAAGAGAATAAAATGAGCCGAATCGGACGCAAAATCTGTTTTTAAAAAACCTCATGACAAGCGATCGTGACCTCAGACTGTTTTCACGATCTCGTTCGCGCTGCAGCGACAACTGCAAGCGTTCTGGTTTGAAGTTGTAGTTGAAGACGGTGTTACACATGTCCGTATTGCAGATGCAATGACGTCGGGGCTTTCCAGCACCTCTGAGCGGTTGATTTCCCGGAGCAAGTCGAGTGGAAACGGACCTCGAGAGAGTGACACACTGCTTGTTCCGGTAGTAGAACACTTCGGGGCCTTTGAAAAAGAACGGCAGAGCTGGTGGTCCGAAGCCGCATCCGGAGGCGCCTGTCGTGCTGTCTTCGTGGCACCTGAAGGACTTCTTCAGACCTCGACGACGTCTTCTCAGTACCAATGGCCGGTGCAGCGGTCGTCGCAGTCCGGATTCTTTTCGGTGCAGGATCGGCACGTCACCGGACGCGGCTGGTGCGGCTTCGTAATGTTCTCATTACAGAACCGACCTGAGTCGCTGGGAGTTTTATAAGTTTTTTTTCAAAAATTAAAGTTCCAATTTTTTTCAGTTTAATCTAAAAAAGATCGCTTTAAAAGTTTTGAGCGGTGTGAAATTTAAGTAACTTGCATATTTCAAAAACCGAAAAAAATACCGCTGCATATACAGGAGACGTGGTCCCTGAAGTGGTCGTATTCGCAGCCGGCGTGACGTCGAGAGGAATGTCGTAGACAACCTGAAAAACGATGCTCCGCTAGATCGAACCCATTTTTCAGCCGTCACGGAAACAACAAACGCTTTCCATCTCTCACACTCAAAACGGAGACATAAAACAAAGGAACGAGCCAAATTGGACTTTTGCGCGACAAATTTTTTCTCGAGGAGAAGATATTAATCGTTTTCTTCTACTCACAGGACATTTAATTAAAAACCATATGCTTATACTGAAGAGATGTTTTTTTTTGTTTACATTTGTTTACCAAAAAAAAAAATTTTTTTGCTAGACTCGATGAGAGGGTTTTTATTGTATTGGATGGGGTACTTTCGATAAACTTTGGTCGATGAAAAGTCATTTCGGAAAACATTATATTTACTCGAAGCTTATTTTTCACACTTTTTTTTCTGAAAAACTTCGACCGATACTTTCGGACTATTATAATCTGAAGCTCGTGATGAGTTTTTTTCGACCAGAGAAATCAAACTTACAGCACATAAAGCTGGTTGTCAATGTTAATCATATATTTTTTTCCAAAATTTTAATATTTATAAAAAAAGCTCAGCTGTGTCATTTTCAAAGTAGAGTTATTTTTATTTCTTAGATTTCCAAATGTCTACCTTTGGTGATGCGCATCACGCCAGGCACTTCGGTGGGCCGTCGCTCGCTGAAGCACTGGTTGGCGTGGCACGAACCCATCTACAAAATTCATTCCGCTGCTAGGAGCTGCTCGTATGAGGAGCAGTTAACTGGCGCTCGGACGGGGCCTTTTAGCTTCATTTACGATGAACAGAGGCCGTTTACGAGGTCGTTGGACGCCACTTATGGGCTCGGTCAAGCATCGCAACAAACGTCGCAAAGTTGGGCGGAAACGCGGCTGACCTGGCAGTTGCAGTGGTCGCTGTGGCAGGTGCCGGAACACGCGTAGCAGCTGTCGGCAGACGCGACGCCGACGCCGACGGCGACCACGACGAACACCGTGAAGACTTGCATCACTCATCGCCCGTCATCTGAAGACGTCGCTTGAACTTGGATTTTCAGAAGGCAGGTCGTCTGGAAAAGACATGGGCATCAAGGAGAAGTAGGTAGGCGGGTCACTCGAAATATGGAAAAAAGACAGTTTTGAACACCAAGAACCGCAATAAATTGAAAAGTTATCAATGGAACAGTGGGTTTCAATAAAAAAAAGCCATCTAAAACGTATTTTAAGGATCCGAAAAGAAAGGTTTTATTGAAAAGGCCTCTGTCGTTTACTTCATTTGCTAAAACTTGTCAGACAATATCAAGTCGTGGCGAATGGGTTATATTTCGACAAGCTTTCAGTGATTAGCGTCTACTTCTGAAAGAATTTCTCGTAGTAGACAAAAACTCAAAAGCGGCTAAATCAGTTTATTCACTTACAAACAACAATAAAAAAAGTGACGATTGATGATAGGGAAATTGTCGTAACATCCTTTATTCCCTTTTTTACTTTTCAATCAATCCGAAAAAAAAGGTGAATGCTATGAAAAAGCAACAGGACGGTCTGAATCAGCGAGATAAAAAGAAATTCAGAAAAATTGTAGACAGAAGAACCGGATGACGTGGCCACGGCACCGTGTCGAATGAGCCCGTGGATGCTCCGACTCCGCCCACTTGGCTTGACGGACATGCGCCAAGTGGCGTTTGTTAACCCACAAAAATCAAATGCAGTCAAAACAAATGTACAGCCGCCCGCTTTTTCCAAAAAAAACCTTTTGAATATCAAGCTCTCAGAATAAATCCATAAACGACGAAAGCAAAGTGGAAAACAAGCAACCATGTATTAAATTTAAGAAAATCCTTCTCAACAAACCTTTTTTGCCAGTCCCTGACTCAACAGAAACATGTTTTACAGCGGGGTCGAGCCGTTCTGCCGGAAAGAAAAAAAAAAAATGAAAAACCATGAAATAGCAGCTCTTCCTTTTATAACTGGCGATAAAGTCTGATTCAAAAAAACATTAAAATATTCTGACGTTAAACGAAATTTTCGACATAACTTTGATATTTGGTTATTTTTATGATCGTTCCAGTGAACACACTCTTTTAAAAGAACAGAGGACAGATGAAAAGCTGAGAAGAAGAGGGCGGAAAAGAAGCTCGGAAAGAGCCGGAGTACGACTGTAACACGCCACCTGTTGCTGCGACTCAGTTTTGGCAACATCAAAGTCGCTCATTTATTTTTTTGATTACAATCGAATCACCAACAATATTATTTCTCTCTGAAAAAGATCGACAGGAGAACAAAACTAAAAAAATATCTATACACTTTGTTCGCCTTCCCTAAGGACTTTTGCTCCAACATCTTCCAGCTCATCTAAATTGTTTTATCTGCAGTAATTTCTTTTTGTGAACCTCAAAAAAAGAAACGTACAGAGAAAAGAAAATTTTTGTTGTCGTTCATCACTTCTGCTGATGTACTAACCGTTGACGTAAGCAAATGTATAAAAATACAAAATCCTCTACGGAAATGATAATCCTGGAACATTTGGAAATGGAAAACAAGCCATTTTTCAGAAGTCGAAAGAAATGGGTACGAAAAGACGGCAAACGGGGAAAATTGAAGAAACGTGCCCAGAGGATCATCATCCATCAGAGATTTCTGTCGAGCCAGGCTTCTGACCGATTGATTTGATGAAAAAAATAGCAAGTTGAGAAGAGAAAAGCATTTCTCTCACAATTTCTAAATTAAAAAAATAATTTTTTTAAAGACGTTAACTTTAAAATAATGTCTACGAGACAGCTTTGGAAAACATTTAATGAAAATAAAAGTGTAGTCACGAAGAGAAAAAAGCTGTCAACCGTATAACTTTTCGATAATATTTCCTTTTGGTTAGTTCCACACAATGTTTTTTTTTTAAATCGGACCTAGGCAAGAATTTCAAAATAGACTAGATAGTTTATATGATAAACAGAAATGAATTTTTTGACTTTTGGAAATCATGCAGAAAAAGATTATGAGGTTACTTTTGGCGGTGAATTTAGCGACTCAAAAATTGTTTTGCCATAACGGAAAAGAATTCCTGTGCTGAATTGGAGTCACAAAAAGAGCGCCTGGCCGCCTCAACAATTCGTCCGCGCCATTAATTTCTCCATTTTCGACGGCTTTCGACAAATATATACAAATAGGTATAATGGTCATTCTATTATGACATTCAAGTAATATTTGAAATCAAAAAAAATATCGTTACATGAGAAAAAAATTGTAAAACATATAGCCCGAATTTCTGCAAGCAAGGAACTCTAAAAACTAAGACAAAAAACTCAGTTCAAAGTTTTTTTGGTTTTCTTTATGATTTGAGAAATAAGTTAGAAACTACAGCGGAAAACACAAAAACGCCTTGCACTGAATACCGAATGTTTCGTTGAAATGAGTGAGGAGAATACTATAAACAAGAAATTACAGGAAAAAACATGAAAGGGAAGTTGAGAGCTAGCCCACATCGTCTACTCAACGATTAGTTTGAGAACTTATGAAAACCTTCAAAAACGGAATGAATGTTGGAGCCTTTTTATGAATCAATTATTCAAAACACGCTCTGAGACGGTGCATACGACAAGACTTGAAGGGAGGCCGACGCAATTGAAATAATTAGAAGTGGTGGTGAGTTCTGGAGTGGCGGGTCGCCTCGCGTGTCATGAATCGCGTTCAAATTGGCGCGTCTCGCCTCGTAATCAGTCGCGGCTTCACGCTCTCTTGCTCAGAAACACCAGCCGGATGTCCGAACAACGTTCCTTCGTCTCTTAGTTTGTCTTGGTACGAGTTTCAAGACAATGACTAGGTAGACTGCCTAATAATCTGTTGCTTTTTCAGACCTAACGCCTTGTCTCCCAAAACTCTTTTCCGTAATAACTTACGAAGCCTCTTCGAACTATTTTTCTCCTTCAAAGGTGTTTTCGACACCCAGATCTATGAAGAGAAAACAAACGCAGTGAAAAAACAGTTCCCGCCTTTGATGAGTTGGAAAGTAATAAATCCATCTAAAAACCCAAAGAGCGGACGCTTAATTACATATGAGCACTATGTGGACACACTGAAAATAAACATTAATCGTGAAGAAAAAGACCGGATATCCACGGAAAGGTGCCAATTAGAAAAGGTACTAGTTGTAAAAAAGCTTGTAATTTTTCCCAAAAGCTAGAAAAAAAAGCAGAGAGATTTAGCTCTTTCTCTTTCGACAACGCCTCCACCCGGAAACGAAGGCGGCACATGGTTCGATTAATGAGCCGACAAGTTTTGATACTAGATTTGCAAAAATTTTCAAAATAATGATTGTTAAAAAATGAAGACGTCAACCACGTAAACTTTTGAAACTACTTCCAATCACTCTCATGAAAAGCAAGATGTCATTTACAAAAAAGACTGTGAGGATGTTAACTTCGAAATAACAATTAATTCTTGTGAACAAAGGAAACATATATTTTTACACTTAGTGATTGTATAATTTGAAGAGCTGTTAAGAAAAGTGGCTCAATCCCTATAACAACGGATTAGAAAGTAGGCTCAAAGTTTCAGAAACGCTCACTTTTTTACACCATGGGAAAAAGAAGAAAAAAATATTCGGAAAACTACAAATGTTGTCTAGCTTTTCTTATATATCTTCATGCGTGAAATCGGTTAGAATTCAGCCTCCCTGACTCTTTCCTTCTCTATTTCCAAAAGAACTCCAATTGAAAGTTTATTCGAGATCATAAAATCGAGATACTTAAGTGAGTAATTACTAGGAGGCAATAGGAGATCTGAGGCGTGGCCTCCGCGTTATACATGAGAATGAATGGTAAAGTTAGTTTAAAGTCTTCCAGACCGATGTGAGACCGGTAGAGAGCGCTTGACGACCTTCGGCTTGAGCTGGACGAGCTGCTCAGTCAACGGCTGCTCCCGCACTTGCACTGCCACGTTTCTCCGCGGCGAAGTTGACGACAGCGGTTTTCCTGAAGCTTCTTCCTTCTGTTTGAAAGCCTGAGGTGACGCACGTCTAGAATCTCTCTCGCTGTCTTTCTCCGCTAGTCGCCGTAACCCAACCAAAGGATTTTCGCTCGGAGGTGATGGGATTCCCGCGTCATCGTCTGGAAAAAGTTCAAAATAAATCGTATTTTCTTCGCTTGGAAACCATTGCCCACGCGTTGGAACATTTTCTGGTAGTTCTGGGCGAGTTCTCTGCGAACCTGACCCTTGACTTGTGCGCGAATCATGGCGAAATTCGACTCGTAATGATTAACCTAAAAATCGTATGCATTGAGTGCTTTAGGCTAGTAAAACTTTATCCTGCTCTTCTTTCAGTTTGATGGAAAGTTGTTTTATTTCTCTGTCCAGGTCCTGTTTGATCTGGAGCCACAAAGACTCCTTCTCACGGAAAGAGCGAGCCATTTCTTCAAGATGTTCTTCTTTGGACAGGTGAACGTCCTGCAGTCTTCGCTGCAACTCCTGTCGATAGGAGTTCTGAAGGAAAAACTTTGTCGAAGGCAGGGACAGTGAGAAAAACTGGATCGAGAAAAAAAAAATCTTTTTTAAACTTTTTCCTGCGTGTATAACGATAAATTTTATTTGCGCAAAACGTCCCCATTTTAAAGAAATGTGAATTCCAATTTCTAGTGGAATGAATTTTCAAAGTGCAAAAAATGTTCATCTTTCAAAATTTTTGTCGTATGTTTCTCAATTTTTTTATCATCCTAAGAGTTATCTATTCTTAGGGAATAGTCGAATATTGCCAAAAGCGTTGCCTCAATGAGGGATAATGATTACAAGTGTGTTCCCTTTAAAATGGTTTTGATCACTTTTTGAATTTAACATCAGCAAGTTTTATTTTGAAAGCTCTTTTGGATAGGGTTTTCATCCTCGAAGTACCGTTAGAACGTCGATTTCTTCTTTGTGCCGCAGATCTCGTTCTCTCTTCAGGCCATCCTCTTCTATAATCACAGTCCTCAGCCGCTGAACCTCGTTTTCCCGTTTCAAAGAGTTTTCGCGGCTCTCGCTCAGCTCCGACTTAAGCTTCTCGACTGCTTTTTGAACTTGTGTCATCTCTTCTGTCGCGTTTTTATATTTTTCTATAAATGAAAAAATTCTTTGGTTCGTATTTGGTTGATATGGTGTTCTATCATCAGAAAAATGAATAAAAAATTATTTGCCGATCGGTCACCAAATAGCATCGGAAACGAACCTGTTAACTCTTGGAGTTTCGCTTGCAATTGGTCGTTTTGAAATTTCAGTTCATCTTTCGTCTGAACTCTCAAAGTGAGACTGACAAGAAAGCCTGAACAAACCTTTGTCAAGCTAGAGATATGCTCCAGCTGACGGGCTTGTTCCGTTTTGGAATCGGCCAATTGGCTCTGGAGACTTTCTTTCTTCGCTGTTAAATCGCTTAACTTCTAAATATCTCTTATTTTTTCGTTTTCTGACAACGCCGCTAGATAACCTGTTCAGCTTCGGAGTTTTTCAACATGAGGTCAGACTCTACTTTTTGAAAATCGAGCAGAACTTCTTGGATGGCACCCTCCATCTTCAAGCAACACTTATTAGGAATCAGACAGCATTTCTCGACATACCTTGTCGAAAACTTCGCGCTGAGAACGGGAGACGCGCCCCTCAGCTAAATTCAGACGCTCGGAGAGGTTCTGACACTTGCGGTTCAAGAAATTCAAATCGCGTTGAGTGCTCTCTTCTTTTTCCAGCTGTCTCCTGACAAACTCGAGCAGTTCTGCCGTCGACAGGTTTTCGCAGAATTTCATCTTTTCGTTCAACGTTTTCTCCCAGCCATTCTCATAGCAATCCACCGTCGCGTTCAGTTTCCGTAGTCTATTCCAAGAGTCGGTTAGTTTCCCAAATATGTTAGTGAGGCGATTGGCATGTCTGTAATTCATAAACTTGATATTATGTTTCATGTCGAAAATTCAATTTGTCAAAGTATAATCAAAGAACGAACGGTCGAAACTTTGAAGTTTCGAAGTATGATCGATGAACGATCGAAATTGCAGCAATTTGCCTTTGCGACTAAATGGTTTCCAACCGAACGATATTGTGAAAAGTTCAAAAAAAAAAAAGACAGCGAGCATAACGTTCACTTCAAAAGCCTATCAGTAGATTTTATGCCGTGTTCAATTTTTCCGCGAAATGCAAAATACCCGTTAGAGAAAGGAAAAGATCACTAAATTTTGGAGAGTCAGAGATCATTTTGCATTTCGCGGAATCAAATTGAACACGGCATTATGAAACGACAGTTCTACTTTCCGTTCAACTGGACACCGATTGCCGGTCAATCCTTCTACGGAAAAAAAATTCTTAGTCTTGTTTAATTCATGTCTCCTTTTCCTTTTTCGTTCGAATGAGTTTTGAGCGAAAATATCACCGAACGTTAATTTTTTCTAATTCTGACCCCTGAAGGGCGCTTTGAAAAAAAGTCTCCGTTCTAAGGTACTAACCAAAAGTTCATTTCTATGAGAAATTCAATCGGAGAACGATAGTTCATTCAGATGATCCATCTGATTCAAACTTCCACCAAACAGTAGTTTTTTATCATTTCATTCCATTTCATTCCATTTTTCAAATAGTCAAATACGATCAGCGGTAATCTCGGAGTGCTCTATTTGACAAGTCGAAATTCCGTTTATATTTTCCACTTTGACGCGTCGAATTTTCGACATTTCGTTTAGCAAATTCTTTACAAAAAAATTTTCGTTCTCTCAAAGTTGTGCCAAGTAGTAAGGAGACTTTTATTGGTAGAACTGTCCAAGAAAAGAAAGATACCTTGTGGAAGACAGCTCTCCGAGGTTTCGAACGCTGTTGTCCACCAAGAAATTCCTGGAAAATTCCGTTGTTTACAGGGTACCAAGAAAGGGCTCACGGGTTGGCGGAGAACAGATTCGGGAATGGACGTCGACCCTCGGCGGCGGAAAACTCGGCGGAACTTGAGGCCTCGGACCCTCGCGGGGTCTCGTCCATCGTCAAGTCTTCCATGCGATTGAATCTGTCACCTGATGAAAATATTTGCAAAAGCTCTAAAACATCAGTTTCCTACAAGGCATAAGTACAAGGAAAACTCCTGAAACTCTACTTCAAATCAATGAAAAGTATGAAAATTTTATTAAATATCAAACAGCGGATCACAGTTGGATTATCACAGTACGCATAAATTCACAACAACGGGAAAAAAGATCTCAACCAGTGGATAATGGAAAAATCGCCTGCACCTACCATATGCAAAACTATCCATGAAATAGAACTGAACATGTTTGATGAAAGAAAGGTGATGTTAAAATGATATGACTAGAACCGCGAGCCATCGTAGTACACGTATGAAAAACAGGAAATTTGAAGATATGTGCAAGAACGAAAATAAAGCAAAAGTCTATGTAAGAAGGAAATCTGATTTGATCCACGAGCTCGAAAAAAATCATTTGGAGTTGTGCCAAGGTCCGCCGCCCATGGGGAACATGATGATGGAGGCTCGGAGGTAGCTGATGTCAGGCAGCTGGTCGTGGAGAGCGCGCGCGTCCAGAGACAGCTCCGCCGTCCCTCGGTGTGGCTTCTTCGCTCCGCCACTCGTCGAGAGGATCGTTTCCAACACAGATCTGCAACTTCATGTATTTTGAAAAAAAAAAAAACCGCCCAAACTACTTTTAAAAATCTAAACAGAGTTTCAACGTCTAGAAACCGGTTCAAAAAATTCATTTACTGAAAAAACTTCTTGTGAAAGACAAGATCAAGAACCCTCATGATATGCACGTCCTTTTGTTTTAGATGGACTAGGCGCAGAAAAGCGAGGCAAAGGACCTTAAGATCATTCTTTCATTTCTGCCGACTACAAGTTTTAGTTCTTTAAAGGCGGTTGTTCGATATCAAATTTAGTTCACCACCTGGTCCGTTACATCTCTTTTAAGCTTGAGAATAAAGACTTGCTCGTAACTACTTTTTTTAAACTATGGGTTTCTCCGATAAAATTTTAAAAGAATAAACATTCGATTTCCCTTCTCGATTCAGTTGTAAAAAACCTGTTGCTCTCTGGAGTAAGTTGGGCAGTGGTAGAAGAAGAGCCCAAGCCGAAGTCGTCGAGATCTTTCTGCAAGGTACTCGAACTTTCAAGACCTCCAGTCGAATTGGCCGAAAGGAAGTCGATGTCCATGATCGCCGAAGATTTCCCTGCAAGATTTCTATGAAAGTCCTTCTTTCTCCTCGAACCTGCGCCTTTGAGAGGATTGGTCAGACCCGAAGTGTCCCAGTCGAAATCTACGACAGGGACCGACGATTCATAGGTTTCGGTTCCGTTTTGAGATGAACTCTTCGCAAAACTTTCATCCGATTGCGGGCTCTTCGAGCTTCAATTTGTTTCTTTTTGATCGAAGCCAAAAACAACAGAAATACCCAGAAGGGGCAGCAAAGAACGTTGGGATAAGAGAAGTTGTAGGTAAAACGGAATTTAGTGTTGAAGTATGAACCTCCTTCAAAAAAAGTTTTTTTTTAAAATAGTAAATAGATTTGAAAAAAACTGACCGGATCGATTCTGAGGTGCCCCAAGACCCGGTGAGAAAGCTGCGAGTGTTTCCAGTCGTGTTTGAGAGCGCAAGCTTCTTCCACGATTCGAAGAGAAAGCCAAAGTCTGGCGAACCTATTAAATTTTGATGAATTTTATTCACTCGAATAAAAAAGGAACATCTCGAAGATGCTAACATTATATTTTGCTGATACCGTCCGAGAGTTATTTAGAACATTTGATGAATAATAATTTTATTATTTATCGCCTGAGATGAGTGATGAGTGAGGATCGACCAAAATTTGCGCAGGAACGAGGAGATTTGATAAAATTTAAAAATAAAAAAAAGGATTTGATTTTTCGATCTTTTTTTCAACGTCTAAAAACTGTTTTTTTGCTTCCCATTTTAAAGTCGTATGTTTTTTTTTCTAACATCATCCGACGTATGTAACGAACAAAATGGGAAAAAAAAGGAGATGAAAGCGATAAACTTGGAGAATGACTGGACGGGCATAATAAAAGCGAATAAATCAACTCGGAAAGAAGAATTATATTTTAAAAAGAAACCTTCGAAATTCTCCATCAAGCTCTTCGCTCAGTTTTCCGCTGTTCAAGAAATCTACGATGTTCAAAGCCTGAAAGATAGAGAAGTCAAGTTTTTTGATATTAAAAAGAGACGTCAGATGAAGAAGAGATCTCGCCGAGGTCGACGACGTCGCCGAAGCCGCCGTCCCAGAATCCATCGTCGTCGAAGGACTCGTCGAGGTCGACGACGTGCGAATCGTCGTCTTCTGGCGGCGTCGAGGCTGACACGAAATCCGCCGCCCAGTCATCCGCATCAGCTGCAAGTTGTCCTTCTGTCATATAATGAACCTACAAGGGAAGTCATTTTACTTTGCGGTTTGGAATTTTCTACAAATTTGCTTAAACACCCTCTGAAGGTCCAGATAAAAACCCTCATTATCGCTACCTGCGTAAATTTCTAGTTCTTGAGAAATGATTTTTCAAAGTTGCGAAAAATGGGTTTTAGGCCTAAATTTTCGACCTTCAAAATCAATTATCTCAAAAAATAGACTCTGGCGCGGGTTGCAACTTTGATGGATCTTCATATAAACCTTCAGAGATTGTTTGAGCAAATTTTTTGGTAATTCCAAGTCCCAGTTGAAATGACCTCCTTGTGGGGTCTAATTATGTGTTGTGTTGAACGCAAACTTTAAAAATTAATATCTCAGAAACAAGAAGTTTGTGCAGGTAGCGACTATGAGGGATCTTCATCTGGACATTCAGAGTGTTCTAGCAAATTTGTAGAAAAATCCACACCGCAAAGTAAAATGACTTCCCGTGTTAGTGAAATAGCAACAACTGCTTTTTAGGCGTAATTTTACAAGATATATGTCTGAAAAAAAACAACGAAAATCCCTCAATGAAATTAACTACATTTTTGACTTCTTAAATTGAATTCTGCCAAAAAAATTTGTTTGAGAATACAAACACCTAGACACTATAGTCGATGTGCCACAAGTTGAAATTTCATGGAACGACACTCCGCTGTTTCGATTTTGTGCGGTAGCGCGCATCTGGCGAAATTGCCAACTTCGGCCACGCTAATTTTTTTTTTGGTTTTCATTCTAATTTCGATCGTTTTTTTATTGTTTTATTTCTTTAAAATGTAATATTATCGTTGAAAAGGATTGCGTTGTGCAAATGTAAAAGAAAGAACACAGTAAATTTCATGATGTTTCTCGAAAAAAGCGATTAAAAAAAAGTTTGAAAAACTTCATGTATTCTTCAATCGCTTTGATATTGTTTTTCTCGTTTCTCAAAAAAAGTTTTCAAAGACTTACCAAAAGGATTTGCGGGTGAAATAGGCCGTAAACGCCACAATATTCTACAATAGTTTCTGTGTTTTTTTAAAGCCATGTTTTAATGTTTTCATCGTTTTTTTTTCTGTTTGCAGTCGTTAATTGTTTTTTTCAGAAAGTGAGCGCCTTATAAAATGAAGATGTGTACTTCCATGAGCACATGCACCATAATTTGAAGAAAGGTTTTCGTTCCTTTTTTTTAAATGGAGCTTTAGATAAATCGTATTGCTGAACTATGCGTCAGGAATGGGGCGTGAACAGTGGGCACATGGAATAGTGGAAACGATGTGCTGAACGAAATGTCCAGAAAACTAATAATTTTTCCTTTGAACTTATGTATCTGTTTTTTAAATAAAAAAATTCGTCAATGTAGAAACATTCAATTTTTTTAAAAAAATCATTCACTGTGTATTTTATTTCTGATTGGGATATTTTTTTACATGATTTGAAATGAAAAAAAGAAATGTCGATAAAGGCTCAATGAAGGTAAAATAACGGAATATATTGAAGAAAACCAAAGACCATCTCTTGAAAAAAACTTTCAAATATTATGAACGCATTTTTTTCGCTTAAAATTCGAAAAATTACTCTACTTTATTTTTTTATCAATGAAACAGTCTATCCTCTAGAAAAAGATAATTATGATTTTTGGCGCAAAGAAAACTATTAAAAACATAATTAAAATAATGAAAATTTCGAATAAAAAAAATGGAAAGCGCGACCGAAATTCGCAAAGGCAAGGCGCTTTCACGGCCACGGCCACCCAACGGAGTGTCGTTCCATGAAATTTCAAGTCGTGGCACATCGACTATACTTACAAATGAAGTTTGAAACAAAAATTTAAAAAAACTATCGAATTTTGATGTAATTCTAACCATTTGCCTTCTCGCTGCTTTCTTCAAAGACTCCCCAATCTTCCGAAACTGGTTCATGCGGTGCCGAATCGAAGTCGCCCCAGTCGTCGTCTTCTTCAGCCAAATTTGCCTATAAACGTAATTTCTGAACGTAGCAAAGTCTTGACTGCAGTTACATGCGATTCAGCCGTTTTGGAGTCGTCCAAATGATTCTCTTCTTGTGTGCACTTCTGTAATAAGAAGCAAAATCAAATTTCAGTCGATTCTAGCGCGGTTTTTATCGAAAACAGCCTAAACCTGAGATCGCGATGAGTCTTCATCTTCACTCAAAGGCTCTGCCTTTTCTTGCACCATTCCATTCATTGTTTCAAAACTAATATCCTCTTTTTGAACGATAATTTCTATCACCTCCTCCTAAAAATCAAGACATGGTATATCTACACTAAACCAGATACCTTTTCTTTCGGCAGCTCGTTGTCAAAGCTGGGTTCGACTTCGCCTTCATCGAGAGAATTCGCTCCGAACTCATGATTGCCGCCGTGAATATCATCCGCCACGCCTTCAAAAGGCGGCGGCGGACTCAATTCCATTAAGCTGAAATTCCTCTTCATGAAAAGTCGAAAAACGATTTTAAGGAGAACGTGCAACAACAACGACGACTAAGAAGAATGCGCGCGGCAGAGGCGTCGAGAACCGGTTTTTCAACAAAAAACTGCCAAAAGGTATTCACTGCGAGAAGAGCGCTCGTGAAGCTCATATAACATGAAGAACTTCAATTATACTTCAAATCTAAACAGTGTGTTAAAAGTTATATGGATCGCTACTGAACTCTTTTTGCCGCTCCGTTCCCTAGCAACCGATAATTTTCTAGCAATGGTTGATAATATAACATCAAAGAGTTACTTCATTCGGAAAAAAATATATCAAGTATAAACGTATGCTTTCAGAATTTGTACTTCGAAAGATTTTTTTCGACAGCGCACTCCAATTTCTGGAACCTCTTAAATTTTTTTGATGGTTGATTAATATTTTTTTAGATGGATTCAACGGATGTTCTCAATATATTGACTAATATTTGAAAAAACATAAATGAAGTTTTTTTATTTTTGTTTTTAAGTTTCTAGTTTTTCATTTAAAAAAAGTGTCGCATAAAAAGCTAAACAAAAATTTTTTTCTTTCCAACAAAATATAAAAAAATACACGTGAAATATTTGAATTGCAATAAGAAAACATGAACAATCAGTAATATACTTCAAAATAAACAATTGCAAACATATCAAAAAAATGCAAGTTTTTAATCGGAAAAAAATATTTTTCTGTTTGATAGACATGATTAAAAGAAAAGGGATGAGAAAGTTTATGGCGTGTTCATTGGAGAAACGAAACATGCTTCGAAACGAAAAATCGTGTTCATTGGCGCGCCAAAGTTGCTTCAAAACAGTACTAATTTTTGTTTTAAAGCAATTTTTTCGCGTTTCGGAACAATTTTCGTTTTGTCCGATGAACACGCCATTACCTCTCTCGAGAAAAAATAAACGCTTTGGAAAATGCCATTCGGACGATTACTGTGTTGCACTTGCAGAAGAGTTGTGCGAAGGGTGCATGTACCTTTTAGAGCTACGCGGGGTCAATGCTGACGTCCGCGAGATTTGAATGATATATTTTTGCTGATAATTTTTCATGTCGGGTTAAAAGTGACTCTGCGAAATTCAAAATAGCCGTCAGAGAAAGAAAACGATAATTTAATTTTGAAGAGTCAGAGACCATTTTGCATTTCGCGTTAAACATTACATCAAATAAACTATTTTCAAATGTAGAAAGTTTGTTTTTCCGTTTTCCTTTTACTTTTTCAACATTTTAGAGTCGAATTTTGCTCGTTCAAAACTCGAAATATATATATACGTCGTTTCCGCATTCTTGAATCGCGTTTTGCCTGGGACTTTCCGTTTTTTTTTCCCTGGTGTATATTATCATTATATATATTTATATATATCAACATAATAACTGTTTATTCAAGCAATTTTTACAAAAAAATTGTTGTATTAACTCTCCTACTTTTTCTTCATTTTGTTCTCTGATTTCGTTCTCAATGTAACCACTTAAGTAAATTTTTTCAATTAGTTCGAAGGGTTTTCTTTTCAGGGTGAGCCAATGTGGCACGAAGAGCTACTATCAATACCTAACTTTTTAGCCGCTGGCTTTTTTCTTAGTCTTTTCGCTGTCAGCTCTCTTTTTTTGTAAGTCTCAATTATTTAAAGAATAGGTCCATTTTTTTCGTTTATTTTTAAATTTAGACTATCATATGCTACACCATGGGTTGGCCGCAAACGGAAAGAGTTCGTGGGCTCTCAACCCATTTATCGCTCGTCTCCGAAGCAAAAGTTTGTATTTCTTTCTTCTTAAACTGGTTCTTCTCAGCTTTCACAACCTTCTGAATGAAGATCCTTCTGTTGGTAGACGGTACACACCGTCTGAAGTATACTTGTCTGTGGTTATTCCAGCAATGAATGAAAAGGTCTGTTGGGTCAACGATTAACTCGTTTTTAAATGTTTGTTCATTCAGGAACGACTACCCGTAATGCTCACAGACTGTTTTGGATATTTGAATGAACGCAAGTCGAAAGAATCCAAGTTCACTTATGAGGTATTGTGAACCTGAGTGAATTTCCTTAGCTAACTTGAAGGTAATTATTGTTGACGACGGAAGTAATGATGGCACAGCGGACTTGGGTGTTCAGTGGAGGGCCAATTACCCAGGAATAATCAAAGTTTTGAAGCTTGAAAAGAATTACGGGAAAGGTGACTCATTGAAAATTTTCAATAACCGAACTTGATTAGGCGGTGCTGTTCGAATGGGAACTTTGCATTCTCGTGGACAGATGATTCTTTTCGCCGACGCAGATGGCGCGACGACGTTCGAAGACTACGAGAAACTCGAGAAGGAGATGAAGCTTTGCGGAGGAGGCGAACCTTTCGACGAGTCTTTTCCTATCGTTGTCGTCGGCTCGAGGTACGCGTAAGCTTGAAAAAAAAAGGGAAGAAAGGAAAAAAGTTCTAACAATAACAAAAAAAAATAAACACTTAAAGTTAGCTGATATTTGGAGAAAGGATTATGAAGTAGACTCATAGACGACAGTTTTTTTTTTTTCATTAAAAAACATTGCAAACGATGCTTTCGTAACTAGATAAAGCTGTATCGAGGGACGTTTTGCGACTCGGGAAAATGAATAAAATAATCAATTACAGTAAAAAAAAAAGATAGAGGCGTATCATACACGTAATTTAGCAAGGTGTCGCCGGTTTTAATTTCGTTGAAGTTTTTGTAGGCGCAGTAGTTCAGTGTGCCTCAGAGAGGCAAAGAGGATTCGATATAATTTTTAAATTGCTCAAATGTTCTGTCAGCGCGATGCAAGAAAGACTATTGGATTTTCCAACAGTTTGGTACTGATTAGGAAAAAAGGACGAAAAGTCAAAATTTGGCTGTCAGTAAATGTACTCTGAGATTTTAGTTATATGATAGGGTTTGAAAAAACTATTAATTTTGAGGCTCAGCTTTGTAGCATCTTTGCATTACTCTCATCGGTTTCGATTTCATCAGGGCTCATCTCGAAGCACAATCCCGAGTCGAGAGATCTGTTTTTCGGACGATTCTGATGCACGGATTCCACTCTCTCGTTTACCTGTTCGCTGTCAAAACAATCAGCGACACGCAATGCGGATTTAAACTTTTCTCCAGGTCATCCGCTGCGAGGGTGAGTTGCTCCTTTCTTTTCAGTAATGATCGTCTGTTCGATGTAGATCTTCCCCGTTCTGCACATCGAACGCTGGGCTTTTGATGTTGAGCTGCTCTATTTATGCGAGAAGTGGAAAATCCCAGTTCAAGAGGTCGGCTATTCATTCAATTGAAAATATACTACTCGGGAACATGAGCTATTAACAGATGACATAGCACAAAGAAGCAGTCAGTGGGAAGTGCACAAGAAAACTTTAAAAGTTTCAAAATAATACTTTTAAACATTTTTTGAGAAACCAAGAACCTTTTTTTTCGTGTAACATTATGATCTCAAGTTGTAGTTTCCGAACGAGAAAAAGCATGATATGAAAGTTTTAGAGCATTTTTCGCAATTTTCTTGGGTTTTTCCATTATGCTCTTTCGGATTCGGCAGATATAATCTCTCCTTTTTGAGCAATACATTCCACTTCAAATGATCATTCAGAGAAATAATTTGACTTATCATATCTATTTTAATTCAGGTCAGCGTTAGATGGAGGGAGATCGACGGATCCAAAATCACTCCAGTGATCTCTTGGCTTCAGATGGGGCGTGACCTCCTCCTGATTTGGTTCAGATACACGGTAATTATTCAAATTTATTTTAAAATAAATCAATATTTTAAGGTCGGGCTGTGGACAGATCGGCAGCCAGAATAAATTTTCATTTTGGTATCAAACATTTTTGTTGTTATTCTTTCAGTAGATAGCTTTACATACAAGAAAATGTACAGTTTCTGTGATATCTTGTTTTTTTTCCACACTTTGCGGTTTTCATATTTTGCTTAACGGGCATTTTTAAATTATTTATTTGATTCTCTGTGAATGAGTTGTTGATGTTAATGAATTTTTGGGATTATCGTTCAGAATTTCATTCATTTGCGTTATAGAAAGCGCTGCGCATATTTGAGACACGATATTCATTTGAAGTGTTAGAAATGCAAAAAATTTATGTTTTTGAAACAAACGAAATAATGTAGAAGCGCTGAACTCAGTACATTCCTAGTTCATAACGCATTTCCCGGAATCAGTATTTTTAGAACAAAATTTTCTTCCCAAACCTTGAAATTTCAGCGGAAAACTTTCAAGTTTCTTTTCATCAATTCAACGAAGCCCCAAAAGTATCATGAAACGCTGAGAAGAAAGTTCTAAAGTTTGGGTGCGAAAAGTTGCGTTCATCCACACGGTTACACAGCGTTCCAAAGCGGTTAGCAACACTGCCAAAAAAAGTTTGAGCCTACAATTACCTAGACACTACTTATAATATTATACATCAAGTGTGAAAATGCTACGCCTCAGTGCCTAACACGGAAAGTGTGTGAATTGGGTACTGAGAAGTAGCCCGTCGAGAATGTACGGAAATAACTTAAAAACTTATTTGACCAAAATTTCTACTTTTGTTTTTAAAAACTCATACTTGGGATTGCCTACCACAGAAGTTTGAACCATATGTGCGATGCTCACCTCACACACTTTCCTCGTGAGCTCAATATTTGAGTTTGCGCTCAGAGAGAAGGAGAATTGCTAATTTTGTCAAGTACATTAATATTCGGTATAGTTTTTCTGAAATTTTTAGGACAGAATGGTTTTTCCCTCAAAGAGAAAATCGACCGCCTCTGCGTCGTCTGTTACAGTACCATCTAATGAAATAGAGATGAAGGAAGAGTTTGTTTTGAATGTGAGAATTCCCCTGAATTGTTAGCCAACAGAAATTTACTCAGACATATGACGAAAGCACGGATTATGTGCCGCTAATCGACGGAAAACCTTTCGACGTCGATGAATACTGCAAGAATTTGAAGGTCTGGAGAGTTGCGATCTCCATTTATCATAAAATGATTTCAGTTGGAGATAGTCAACGAGAGCGAAGACAAAATGACTTTGGAGTTCGATTTATTGTGTGTTGAGGCGCCGATCGCCAACGCACTGCGCCGAATTCTCATTGCTGAGGTGAAAAGCCTCGTCTTTTTCTTGTTAGTTTATTGTTCAGGTGCCCACAATGGCTTTCGAGAAAATCTATCTGTACCAGAACACCAGCGTCATACAGGTATCAGAAAAAGTTTAACAATATCATAATGAAGAGCACGGATAAAGTCCCTAAGGACCTCAGAAGAAGCTTTTGGAAAAAAAGACCCCTTTCTTTTTCATAAATGATCCTTTTTGGGAGAAAAACAGGCGGAAATAAGTGAGGAAAAAAGAGATTCATAGAAACTTTTGACATTTTCTTAGGTACTCAAAAAGGGGCTCTAGAATCTTCGCCATTAGGCCGTTTGGACTTTGCCCTTTAAAAAAGGCGGAAACTCGGCCTCAGTTTCAAGTTATCCTTCAAAATATTTTTTTCTGAACTAATTTATCTGATTTGATTTTTAAACGAAGTTTTAGAGTCAATTTCTTCTTTTAAAGCTCTACTAAAGATAGGAGAATCGAGAACTGAACATAGATTTTTTTTTTGCAGGATGAAGTGCTGTGCCATCGACTAGGATTGCTTCCGCTCAAAGTTGATCCCAGAAAGTTTCTGCCTCCGTTGGAAAAAGTCCGAAACCGTTGTATTACAATTCAAAAAGCTCATTTCTCCAGGTTGTTGGCGTGAACGAAAACGGCGTCGATTGTGAAGAGGAACCGGAAGCCGATCCCCGGAGAAACGTCGTTTTTAAGTTTCACGTGAGTCACTCATTTGTTTGAGTTTTTACGAGCATTTCTCTTGAAGAAATGGTTCCTTTACGTTCTTCATTTCTGTTCTATAGGTGACGTGCACGAAAAACAGAAATGCGGCATCCACGGCGACGGATCCCAAGCAGTTGTATCACAACAGTTCTGTCTACTCAAGATCCTTCATTTGGCAGCCAGTAGGAACTCAGGTTTTTGGTTTCCGAAGAGGCCTTATGCAATTTCGGGGTTGAGGAGAAAGAGTTCGCGAAGAACAAGCCCCGCATCGTGCACGACGAGATTCTCGTGGCGAAACTGCGGCCGGGGCAGGAGATCGAAGCGAGTTGCCACGCCGTCAAAGGAATCGGCCGCGACCATGCCAAGTTCTCTCCAGTCGCCACTGCCTCATATCGGTTACTCATTTGTTCCTTTCATCAAGAAATACTTCAAATTCTTTGGTATAAAAAATCAAACTGCGGAAATCGAACCGCCAAAAGATGGACCTTTAAGAAAATGGGGTTTTTCTGAAGAGAAATCTCTTGAAACTCAGTCTTTGATTTGAAGATACAGGTCCCAATGAGGCTTTGCGTGACATTGAACTTTTCAAAAGTTCAACCTTTATTTTCTCAATTCGAAAATTTTCCCACCTGAAAAGGTTTCTTCCTTGTTTTACTTCTCATAATACACATCTATCTTTTTCGAGAAGAAACTAGTGAAGACCCGTTTTTATCGAAAAAGCTATGATAAAACAAAATATGGACACTTCATGCGCTATAAGCCATTTGGTCGTTTCAAACAACGTGATCTTTTCAATAAGTCACGTAAATTAAAAATCAAAATAATAGGCTTCCTAATAGAACATTTAATCTCTTTCTCTTTTTGCGCAATATATTTCGAATGAACTCTACGACGCGTTTTAAAAGTGTAGTTAACGGTCGGAAAACGATAATTAAAACTTTTTAAATTTTCATATACACTAAATTGGTTCGACTGAGATAGCAAAATGTTCGAAGGTTGCTCCCCACAATTCGGATTCTGCGGGAAGTGAGTGGAGAAGCAGCACATCGACTGAAAGACTGTTTCAGCGAAGGAGTTATCGAAGTCGTCAAAAAAGGAGGTTCTCCATTCAGGACAATGTGTTTGAACCCTCTCGTTCTAAGGCAAGGAGGTGGCGGTAGTGAAGGACGCCCGAAGGGACACCTGCAGTCGAAACGTCTTCAGACACGAGGATCTAGCCAGCGCTGTCCAGCTTGGCAAAAATAAACAGCACTTCATTTGTAAATTTTTTTCTCAAAATCCGATCGGTAAAGAGAGTTTTCAGTCAGTATCGAGTCGACTGGTGCTCTGAAAGCCGAAGAGCTTGTAGAAGAAGCGTGCAAAGTGATGGAAACCAAGTGTCAGTCGCTGAGGAAACAGGTCGAGGCTCTCATGTCCTGATCCCATTTGTTTTGTCATTGTTGTTATATTTTTACCAGCTTGTTGAGCTTTTTGTTATCTTCATTGTTACAGAATAAATATATCTCACTTGTTACTTTTATTTTTCTTCAAAGTTTAATTCTATTCAATTACCTGAAGAACTTTCCAATAAATAGTTGATTTCAAAAAAATTGAGGCATATGAGGTTGTGAGGCGGAGTATTTAGCTCTCGAGCCGGTCAATCATGGGTTTTCCCCATGATACAAGTTTTTCTTGATCGCCGCGCGGCAGGTGAGTTCCCCTTTGTGTTTTTTTTTCGAAATATTATATATACAAAAGCGAATATATCGCTATACTGACAAAGGAGGTCATTTTACTTTGCGGTTTGAAGTTTCACACAAATTTGCTCAAACCCTACGAATGTCTAGATGAAAATACCTCATAATCGCGACAAAACTTCTAAGTTTTGAGATATGATTTTTCAAAGTTCAGAAACATACGTTTTAAGGCTAAAGTTATCTATTTTATAAGTTGAGTATATTTTCAATTTTTCTTTGAAGGTTCATGTGTAACTTGTTGACTTTGAATTTATTTTTCTCCAAAACTAGGAAGTTTGGTACATTTCCAATTTCACCGTTCGATTCGCAATGAAAAACTCTACAAAGTACTGCTTTTTTTTAACTGAATAACCGTTTTTTACTGCCCCTATGCCTTTAAATAGGTGTTGAGATGACTTTTCTATGATAGAAAAAAAATTTCGTACTTCTTCTCAGATTTTTCTGTTTTATTGTAAATCATTGTACTCTGGCAGGTGTCGAAACCGATAGCCGACGCGGTGATTCGCTACGGGAAGGACCACCCATTGTTTCGCAACAAACTTCTCATTCCAATTGGAAGAGGTTTTTCACGTTTCTTCTTTTATATGGGAGTCACGTCTTTTGCGGATATCCAAAACCCCCCTGGGAACTTTTCGCCACGCGCTTTTCTCCACTGTTAACCTTTGCGAAATGTCTGTCTCCATTGTGAGATGCGCCTCTGGAAAACTTCGTCTTTATATACGAGAAGGGAGTGAAAAGAATATACATTAGAAAAGCGAAGAATGACAGAAAAAATTGTTGTCTTAGGATATAAAAAAAACTTCTCAAAAAATTCGTTTATTTTGTATGAGGCCATTTCCAAAGTGACAAGGCGACTCTTGGAGAAAAATTACCATTTTATTTATTTTTTACTTCCAAACGCGGCATGAGATATGTGACAAAGATAGTTCAGTTCAATTGGATAAAAAAACATTCCTGAAAGAAAACATGTATTATCAAGATACTATTTCACGTTGAGCAATACAGGGTTGGTTCGAATGACGACTCGGATGAGAATGAAGGGACTTGGGCTCGGCGAGCCGGTGGGGACAGTTCAGATCTCCGAAGCGGCGGCTCTCGAGCAGGTCCTCCATCTTCTTTTCGTCTTCTAAATATCCTCTTAGGCCTCCGACTTTGTACAGCAACTCGTCCTGTTCTCATATTCCGTGGGGGTCTTTGCCGGCTACTACTTCTACACAAAACTCACTTCGCCGGAAACGCTGAAAATTGAAGATTTCGAGAAGTATCGCGAACAACAGGAGCAAGTATGTTCATCCTTTGATTCTATTCATGAACATCCAGCTGCAGTAAGTAATAATTTCAAAATTTTTGAAGTTTTATTAATCTCATCTTATACGTGTTCAAAGTGTTTATCATTCCTTGTTAATGATTTTAGGCGGTCAAAGAACTCCGGTTGCAGCTGGAGATGCTTGAACAACGGTTAGCGGCCCAAAACAAGGTATTTTTTTCAATAAAAAGAAAGATAAACATCTACGTTTCAGAGATCATTCTTTTCGATTGGATCGTCCTCCCAATCAGAGACGAAGCCCAAGACTGATCCTCCAGTGACCACTTCAGTAGTCACTCCTGCAGCAGCAGAATCTCCTGTCACCCAGCCGAAGAAGGGAAGTTCGCGGTTCCAAAGAATTTCCTCGCTTCCGATTGACGACGCCGCTCGAATTATCCTCGACGGTGAGTAATTGTCGTTCCTAACTCTCATGCTTCTTTTCCTTGCAATTTCTCTTCTTATCCGGGTAGTTACATCTATTTCGACTGCATTTAGAACTTTTTTTTCTTATGCTCTCTTCTCAACTAGTTCTCGGAAAACCTGGGTCTCCTGTTGTTTAAACCTCTGTGTTTTCATCATTTTCTGTTTCTGTTTGTTTGTTCTTTTGGTTTGATAGGTTTTTTCGGACTTAAATAAAACAATCAAAATTATAAAGATTGCTGTATCTCTAACCATTTGGTAATGGTGATTGAAATACAGAGGAGGAGTATTTGGTTGTGCGTTCGGGCTCATCGATAGGCATCGAGAAGGCGTCGACCCACGCGAGACGCGGATTCCCACTCCGGTTCCGGCCGCCGCCTCGGAAGCCACCGACGTCGGTTCTTCGTTGCTTCGAAGACGCCCTAGACGCCGTCCGTCGTCGTCCAACTTCTTAGTCTTGTCTTCATAATAGCATGTCATGTAGGAAATTTCGATTGATTGTGTATCTTCTTCGCATCATAGCTCACTTAGTTCACTATTTATAAAGCCCTACTAGTTGGCCATAGCTTTTTCATTTTATATCTGCTCACTTTGAATTTGAGATACGTTTGTTCCCTAATAGCCTGTCATGTTGAACAATGTGAAAGAGTTTTCACTAAGGAAACTTTTATAACTCTTACTGTCATTTTTCAACTCAGCGACAGTTTAGCTGCGAGTCTTATTTTAAAAAAAAGTCAAATTTGAACAGATTCAAACTTTGTTCCTTATCAAACCTGTTTTTCTCATCTTTTTGAGCTTGCATTTCGGCCTCTCAAAGTGCCATAATTAGCGTGTCCATTTTCACTTACATGTGTTTTTAATCATGCCGGATGAGTTGTTCGATTCTAGTCCAATTGTTTGTTCAAAGGTCTTGTCACGGCTGCTTCTCCTCTGTTCTTTCCGCATCCACAGTAGTCAAAAGGCGACCATTTTGAAAGGAGTTGATGAGACGGATCGTATTTTTAACGAGTATTGTTTAGGCGCGTGGAGGGCGGAGCAACGATAAAATTGTTGAGGAGCTGCTCACCGAGGCGGGACCTTGACTGTACACATCTCTTGTTATTATTTGTACTTTTTTCTCGTTTTAGGATTTTGCTTCATTTGGAAACGAATTATTTCGTCAATAAAAACCAAAGGCCACGTCTTTTTGAATATCGCATCACATGTACGAAGTTGATCAGATTTCTAGTCTATTTAGAGCTAAGTTTGTGGCGCTAGGGACATTGAACACAGATCTGATTGGCTTGGCAGGCGGAGCGAAAAATGCGATTTAGGGCTCGCCTTGCCTTGTTTTGTCCTTTCCCGCGAATCGTCGGTTGCAGGAATCGCTGAATTTTTCACTTCTGACCCATTCATGCTGAGAGCTTCCTTTGTAAGCATCAGTCTGGGGATGAGCTTCTGTCCTTTTGTCTGCATCGATGCTTTTTCTTTCTTTTTCAGTTTTACTACGAACACCTGCTCGCCTAGTTCCAATCGATTTCTTTAGAGTTGGAATATTCTAATCTGTTTCCAGCTGATTCGTGACATTTAATAGTAGGCGCGGTATTCTTCACCATTTTTTCCGAGTTTTTTTTCACTTTTTTCTCTTCCCAATTATTATTTGTGCGAATTTCTAAATCTCGTTTCCTGTATTTATATCCATTCCGTAGGCAACTTGGTTGAGCTCTAAAAAGCTACCATCAAAAAGTTAAAAGTTCTAGATGAAATTTTTGATTCATTTATCGTTGAACTTGGTAGGGGCTGGTCAAATAATCTCCGCAAAAGTTGTATTGCAAGGTGCCAAGTACAATTTCAGGATATGATCGAGATCAATACTTGTTCAAACTGTTGGTTTGGATTATTCAAGAATTGAAAATAGAGAAAAAAAAGATGTAGAAGACGAGGTAGAAAAAAAAAATGTATTGAGAGACTGACTGTTCAGCAAGAAGAATTTTCTGACTTTTGATAAAGCCGGAAGAACGTCAGAGTTTGAGGAGCACCCGACCATGGCGGAGCAGAAGAAGAGACGAAAAAGCGGAAAATGCGTCACTTGTGCCGTTCGGCCCATCCACGCAACAAGTTCCTCGCGGAAGAGCCGCTTCCGACGTTTGTTTTTGTCTTCGTTCCCTCCGGTCTTCTGGTACCCGATTGCAGACAAATCGCTTCGAAGCTCATCTCTTTTTTCTGAGAATCCATTCAGTTCATAACTTGCTTGGCTTAGTGAAAACTCAGATTGTCTGCGGAAAACATACTAAACTTCTTTTTGTGAGATTTATGAGCGGCTCGACGGCATTTGGCTTACCTCGATTGATATTCTCAAATTACGAATATATCTCTCGCAGTGGGAATTTCTCGCGCTCCAAAAGCCACGATTTGGATTTCAACGGCCGTTCCGCTCATTTTTTTTTCGTCCTCTATCTTGAGAAGATAAATGGCCGCTTTTGAAATCCCATCCTGGTACTTTTGCGCTTGGCTGAGCTTTCGGCTCGAAACTCTGGAGAGATTCTCGCCGTTGAAGATTTAAACAGCCCCTGTCGTGTTCGTCGATGGCCAAACTCCTGGTTACGTTTCACACGTCAGCTACTATTTTCCCATTGTTTTCCTGCTTGCCACAAAAATTGTTCTTTTTTTTTATTTCAGTGCTAAAAAGATTGCTAGGAAGCGCCAAATCACAGAGATTTTCTTTCGGTCTTCAAAAAGTTTGCTCTTTTTTCATACCGGCAAGAAATTCGCGAAGCGATGATCAATGTTTTCGCTTCTCTATTATCAAAGTCTTTGATTCAAAGAAATTTTTTTATATTTTGGAACATGTTTCACCAGCAGGGATCTTTTTATCCAAACAATTTTTCTGTATTTGAACTGTGTCTTTTTCTGTTCACTTCAAAATTTGCCAAAGTTTGAAAATTTTAATTTTGAACACTCATATCTCGTTTAGTTCATTTGAAATGATTTCTCTATTTTTTTTCGAAATTGTCAGACTTACAATTTGTAAAAAGTTTTTGAATTTGGCATTTTTTTTCCCCCCCAGAAACAACCCCAAACGAGGGGGAGTATTAAACGATTTAGTCAGATTCACTCAGATGTCTCAAAAAAAAACTTAGGCTTTTCGTTTCTAGGCCTTTCTTAAAACCGAAATGTGATTTTAGAAGATGTGCCAACAGCACTTCGTAGTTTGGAAACGGCGAAAGTTTGACCAAGTTTCGTAGCGGGAAACCATTGAATTTACAATTGTCACGCGTATATTACTCGGAGATGTCATGCACAGCGGCTTCCCGAGGCTTTAGCAATAGGACGTGTTGAGATGACGTGGGCGAGAAGACGTCTTCTGTGGCGCTTATGGACGATTTGTTCAGCGGCGGAAGCGTCTCGAGGGAGTTGCTCACTGCCGACTCCAACCGCATTAATCTCCCCTCGCTGCCTCCTCGGCCCTCTTGATTCCGGCTGATTCCAGATGATCACATCATTCCTCCGATCCTCACAACCTCCGAACAGCTTCTTCTTGGAAATTCTCGCGCCGATTCCGTTTATTTTCCCTTCTTGAGAAAGCTCGCTTTTTTCAGTGTGTGAAAGATTAAAAAAAGAAAATCTTGTCTTTGATGAACTATTTTTCTTTTTCTAGGAAGACGTTGGTTATACACGTTTATATTTTAACATTGATCCGTAATGAGATTTCGTCTCAACTTGAAGTTTTTTGCGTAAAACAACTGCAAACCATCGTCTTGTGTGTTTTTGAATCAATTGACATCTTGGTCTGAAACATTTTCAATAAGAAACCGGACTGGAATTCTCTCTCTCAAAACTTTCCAGAGCCCCTTGTAGGCTGGCAGAATCCACTAGCCTCAATCATAAATGGACTTCAACTTGGAAATTCGATAATCGTAATTTTTTCAACAAGAGCTTCATATTATCACAGAATGTATTCACTTCGAAAAGACTTCCTGGGATTTTTAGCTCGCTCTCCTCAACGTTTTTTCATGTTTCTTTAACTCGTTGTCACTGAACTCGCCTTACTCAAATGCAAAATTGCAGGGCAGAATGGACAATTACCTCGTGAAAACGCTGGCCTTACTTCTCGTTTTTCTGCAAATCGGTCAGTTTTTGTGACGCCGAGGAATTAGATTTGTTCGGTTTTGACGTCAAGAGCTGGAGGAGAAGCTCTGCAACGTGGATCTTCATTTGCAAGCCCTTCAATCTAATTTCGGCCGTTTTCAGCCTCGTGCATCTTCGCCGCCCAGATCCGCGTTCAGAGCGACGACGACACGTCGCAAAGGTGGGGGAGCATCTCTAACAAAGAGATCTGACACCTAAAAGGCACAGATTTTCGATCCGAATATCAGGTTGAACATCTTATACTAGTCAGTTCAAGCTTATTTCGGATGGCGTTTTCCCTTGAGTCCCAAAACCCTTCTCTTCGAGGCGCGCGCTCAATCACTGTGCATGCGCCTTTAATACCCGTAATGTTTTCGCGTTTGGAATGGTTGGACACGTACAGCCTGTACAGGTTGCGAAACATTCGTTCTGAGCCTCTCAATCAAAAAAAAAAAACTCGAACAAGCTGCTATACGTCAGTTGAGCTGAACACCGGAGTCTGACTGCAACGCGACCGCGTCGACAGAACTATGATTTATGATGATAATTTATTTTGAACTTTCGGTCTTTCCCAGAGTTTTTTTTTTTGTTAAGAAAGTGATTTTTTAATGGAACTCGATTACTTTGATGAGTTTCAAAAAAGTTTTCCTTCTCAAAAGGACAATCTCTTTCTCAAAATTTCTCACAGACAACCTCAGAAATTCCCGGTAACTTATTACCTTTTCAGAGTTTCGATATTTATAGGCTGTTCATATTTTGAATGTCAAGTACAATGACGTCATTCGAAAACGCTCTGTGGATGGCTCGCTCTCTGATTGGTTTATCGGGTCATTAGGGGCGGAGCTTTAGAAGCGACTTGACAATCAAAATCTGAACAGACTATAACTAACCGCCTATCATGCCCAGTCGAAAAATTTTGGAAAAGAGAAAAAAAAAACAGGAAATTTTAATGGATCGAAAACGGGATTTTTTCGACGAAAATTTTTTGTGGAACATTCGTTTTTACTGAAATATAAACTGAAGTAGACAATTATCTTTTTTGAAACTCGGAATATAACAGAGTTTTCCCACCATAACTTTATCACAAATGAGACCGAACTTTTTATTATCGAAGAAATCTTAACTTTTCCGTGCTCTATCACAAATTCAAGATGAAGAAATGACATGATCATATATAGTTTGCTTCTGATCTGTTGATAAAAAAGTGGAATATTCTGAAAAACCAAACAGCATCTACAGGCAACTACTTATGAAGAGAGGCGGCGCCCGAGCCTTCTACGGGTTGAGCGGTCCTGCGAATTCCAAAAGGCTTTCCGGTCCGTTTTTATGTACCTTTTTTTCAACTTGCAAAAGGGAGTTCCCACGTGCTTTGTACATGCGAAAAATGAATGAAAAATTCCTCACGCTGCCATGATTTCAGATTTAATTTTGAGTATAATTTAGAAAACTTCGAGGCGAAAAAAATGTAAATGTGAAAAGTGATTACAATTTTCAAAAAAAAATTCATTATTTATAATTTAATCGAATTAAGTTGCGGGAGATAAATGAATTGAAGAACATAACATTGGGAACGGCTAACCGCCTCGATAATTTGAAGTTAAAAGTAGTTTCAATTTCAAAACTATCTTTTTTAACCACCACGGTGAAACTTTGTGAGTCGATAATGCAGAAGATGTATTCGAACTTCAGTTTTGAAGTCGGTTATGATGTTGAAAATATTTTGATTAAGGGAATGATTTGAGATATGCTACGACGTTTCAATGAAGAAAAAAACCAGAAAAATTTAGGATTTTTTTATCAAATTTTTTTACGGAAAAAAACCTTCATTAAAAAGTTTTTTTATATAATATTTCCTATGTGAAAAAAGTTGTTTTTCAGGGGCTTCGCCATATTTTTTCCACGAAAAACGAGGCGGCGGACGTAGTTTTGGACCGGCACAGGATGATTTTCTTTCAAGGTTCGTTAGTAGTAAAGACCTCTTTGGTTCGAAAATTATTTTTTGTTTTGTTATATTGCAAAAACCTAATTTTTTCACTCTGCAAATGTTTTTTACGGCTAATGATGTTTGAAATGAAGGTGGGAGAAGCGAGGCGGAGGACGCGCTTTTTCCGGTAACTGGCGTCCTCAGCTCTACGACGGGTATGGCTTTTTCAAATATTTCAATTCTCTCCGAAGGTAAAAATTTTGAATCTAAGTGATAAGGGGTTATTGTAAACACGAACTAGGAAGGTTACTTTGATTATTTTATCGGTGGTCTGCATTCAAGTTCAGTTCTGGGCGGTTTTCAAATCTCGGTACTTGAAAACTTGGTTTTTCACATTCTCTCTAAACGTTTTCCCGAAGCTCGTAGGAAATTCAATGCGGAGCCGCCTAATGTCTGGACTACGTAACAAGATCTAGGCCGTTGGGGAAAGGCTATTTTTTGGTCGGCAGCAGAAAATAACAATGGAATAAATAGATTTGCTTCTTAATTTTTGGAAGGAAGTATCTTCTCACAAAATCGACCAAAAGAGGTTTTGCGAGAGCATTGTATTGATAAACTTGTTCTCGAGGGAATTGCAAGTTTTGCAAGTCAAAAGAAAAAATTAAAAAAGGCCTTCTCTAGAAAAATCATTTATTAAAAAAATTTCGAAATTTGTCTATCAATTATAAGCTTTGTTCGAATTATCAATCGATGATTTCCAAACCGAGACGTTCTCAAACCTATATCTTTTTTTGATGTTAAAATTTTTTTTGAAATTTTTGAAAAAAACTTGTGATCGCAGCGTCAGACCTTTTTCTTTTTGAACACTCTTCGTTAAACTAGGCCGTTATTATTTCCTTGAACCATAGCTAACATGTCAACCGTCCTCCCTCATTTCTAATTTCAGTATGATTTTTTTCCTTTTTATCTAATGTATCAAAGGTTAGTACTGCTTTAATCAAGTCCGAATTAGCCCAAGAATCTAAAAAAGTTATTTTCTTCGAGGGGATTTTTCGATCGTGGTCTTAGAAAAAAAAATTCAAATTGTGGTATCTTGGTTTTTTTTTTCAGATCGGAAACTGGGTAAGGTTGTTTAATTTCTTTTTTCAAACTTGTCAAAATCATGTGATTTAGTATGTTTCGCCCGAATTGAAGGGCGATATGGATATATTATAGTCTGTTCAGATTTCAAATGTCAGATTTCAAATGTCCTCGCTGAAGCTCCGCCCCCTAATGGCGCGATAAGCCAATCAGAGAGCGAGCCATCCACAGAGCGTTTTCAAATGACGTCATTCTACTTGACATTCAAAATCTGAACAGACTATAGCAAGGGTGAAGCTAAACCACAAAAAAAGTTACCAAAAACTGTCGAAAGAACATGAAAAACGTGACTCGCGTTTGACCACGATTTTCCCGCCAAAAGCCGCGTCGCGTACGCAACGCTACACTCTTGCCATTTCTCCTTTCAAGTCGGTAAGAATTGACTTACCGAAAACTTGACTCATCGATTAAAGCTCCCCGAAGGTCTGAAAAAGAAGGAAACAAGAACTTGGGAATGACCGCGATTTCGGGTAGATCTCACTTGATGTAAATGAGGACGTTTCTTCATTCCTGTCTTTCAGATACTACGAGACGCCGTACTATCGGAAGCGGTCGTCCCTGCCGCTGTGGGCCTACCTCGAGAACCGCGACCAACAGTTCTTCTGATCCTCTTTCCCTCCGTACTTGTCTTCATCTTGGCAATAATAAACGCGTTTTGTTGACGGATTGAGAGGCTTTCTGGGATTTCGTGATAAATGGCCGTTTCGGCTTCTAATGCACCCTTCATGGACATATTTACCGTAGCCTCTGGCCTTTCGCGGCTTTTGAAAGCTTTTTAATGTCCCTGTTCCAGTCTATTTGCTTCCTTGTTCATAAATCGTATTCTTGTTGGAGATTAATTGTTCGATAGTTCACATACTTTCCTCAGGAAACAAAAGATCACGTCCTCTACTTTTAGATGAGTATCTATTTACAAAGATTGAACCCCTAAAACCAAGCGTGGTCTGATCGAAAAGAGTTTATAAAAAACTGTAAATAAACTATCGTTCTTGCGAATGTTCTTATTTCTAGGAGCGATTCACTTTTTGAACCAGAACAGACAACAAACAAAAAGAATTCAACTTGGTTTTTTTTTTCTTGGCTAAGCTTCTTTTTTTCATTCAGCTTTTTAAAAGAACACTTTATGAAATCATTAAAAATGAAGAAACTGATAGATTTTTTTCCCCACAAAATTCCCCACAAAATATGAAAAATTTATTAGCAGAGTAATTCTCAACTCACCTTTTTCGGAATTATAGGGACAAGCGCTGAGAAATTCAACCAAAAAAATCTTCATAAAGAGAAAAAGAAAGACAATTTCTGACTAGGAACGTTTTTTATTTTAAAATTTCTCGCAATAGATCTCGTTTTTGAGCTAGGACACTTCAAAAGCCCGAAATAGCGCTTTTTTGGCCTTATTATCGTATTTTGCACACTTTGAAGCTCCATAACTTGAAAAAAGATCTATTGCGAGAATTTTTTTCTTGTTTTGCAATCAGGGGGTCCTAAAGTACACTTCAGCAAAGTTTCAGCAAAAGTTCAACCGTGGGGTAAAAAACGTTCCCTAGTGAGGATGAAACACGTCTAATCCTTTTGTTTTGGAAGAATTGAAACAACACAGGAATCCTATATTGATCATTTATCACAAAAATGATTTTATTTTTTTCATTCTTCTTTTCAATTTTTGGTAAGGTTGCGCATAATCTCTCCTTCGTTGCATTTGAATCTCACTTCAATTTTCTTCCAGACGTTCTTTGTCGAATCACTTTCATTCAGAAAAGTATGAAAAACTTTTCAGCTCACTAAAGTCAGGATATCAAAATTCAATAATGAATAAGTTCTTCTTTCTTACTTTCCTGCTGGGTTTTGGGGTCTTCAGAAGCGTGAAGAAGTAAGAGTCCAGAAGATTCCCATCTAATGCCGAGGACTTAGGGAAACCCTCCCCAAAACTCGCATATTCCATCAAATTATTGACTTTCTTTTGCCTTTTCGGCTTTAACAATGTTTATTTCGAAGTTCAAGACTCCTTCGAAGTTTAACACGTTGATAATTTCATGACTACTTGCCCAAAAGGACCACGCCAAAAGACTGATTTTTAAACTTCTTTTTGTTCCGGTGTTTATCCTATTTTTTATTCAGTAGAAGATTCCGTGTAAAATCTTCACTCGAAGTGGTCGCTCTCATTCTGAGGCTTCCACCTAGAGCACGGTCTCCGTGCTCGAGCACAAGATCCGCTATCTGAGCTCGTCAAGACGCAACTGGATGGACTACGCGCAGAAGAACGAGGCGAAGGACCGTAAGACCATGCTTTCCACTCTTTCGACTACACGTTTGGACTTCTAGTTCGCCAAAGGCGGTTGTTCGTTATAGCTTTGAAAGTTCTTGTTCACCGCCTAGTCGATTACATCAGACTATAACAACAAAATGAATGATTTGGTTTGATTTGATAAACTTTTTATTCAGTGGAAGATAAACTTTTTATTTAATAGGAGATAAACACCAAATTTTTTTTTCCAATAAGCGACGCTACAAAGCTTCACCGAATTCTTAGGCGTAAAAATCGAATATGTCTGTCATTAGTAGTTCAAACTTTGAAAACTATCCAGATTTTTTTCGAATGAACTTATGTCATCCGCTTTAACGCACACCTAGCACTTCTCTCGTTGATCGATACTAAGCTTTTGATCGCGGAACGAATGAATGAATACTTTTCCACATTTTATTTTACAATTATCCTAGGGACACGGTCAAATAAAACAAAGTTCTGATGACCATAATTTTTTAATCTCGAGCGAGAAACTCAAAATTTTCCTGCTCATTTTCTGATAACAAAAAAGGATGAGTCGCTGTTTGGGACAAACCGCAGACTTTGTGGGGCCGCAAATCCGCCATTCATTCTGCCAATTATTTACCTCTGAGATTTATACTAGGCCAAGACCAACAAACTGCCTGGAAACCATTGTTCCCATATCTTCATTTATTCATAAGACTACCTACGCATTCGCCTCACTCATTTCTCATCCATTTTCCTTCGCTCTCGCGTCTCCATTAATTTCATCTAATTTATGAAAGACTTACCGTAAGACAGTGAAAAGAAAGACTTGGGATACTCGAAGAAAACAAGAAAGAGAAGACGGATTTTCTGCCCAAAAAGTCACTGAGGGTGAGTCCCTTCACTCCTGCTTAACCCCCAGAAAATGCGCAGTTTCATCCAACACGGAGCCGTTTTGAATAATCGGATAGTTTTTGGTCTCCACAGGAAACTCGTGGCGTGTGGCGACATCTCGACGGATTCCAAGGGGCGGCGCGATTTTTGTCCAAACTTTCGCAATTATCAGCTCCTTTCCATGTTTTACGAGGAGGCGCCAGAAGCGTCCGATCCGATTCTGGCACGAAATTGGCGTCGGTCTGCTCTTGTTCTATTCTGTTTTTCCCGTATATAACCGGTTGTGTTTGATTAATTTTCTTTGGTCTCGAGTTCATGATTTTGAGGTACGAGCAATAATAAAATTCCGACACGCACTGTTCGGCGTACGAACCCTGGGACAAAAAAAAAACTTCGCGTCTTTTTTAATAATCAAACCTTCATATAGGACTAAAAGCGTAGCCAACAGGAAGGGCCATTCTAGCTCACACTTAAGAATAGGAGTTTTCGGTTAGGTTGCTCAAAATCATTTTGTTGGGAAAATATATTGTCGCTACCCGCTCAAACTTTAGCAGCTGCTCAAACTTTTAGTTGTGGAGACATGGAGTTTGCAAGATTATCACTATGAACAAAACAATTAATAATTCCAAACTTCATTCATACCCCTGAACAAAAAGTTTTACCGGAGAGTATAGGCCATTCCGCGCTAGCTTGTCACGTTTTTCTTTCCGCCAAAAGGCCAGGTCAAATTTAACCAACTTTCGCTTCAAGACCTTTGTTTCTTGCCGTTATAAAAGCAGAAGTTTGATCTAATTTGGTATACGGTCTTTTTGGCGGGAAGAAAAACGTGACAAGCTGGCGCGGAATAGGCTATATTCCTTTTACTCTATAAAAATTGGATCAAAAAGAAAGTTGTAGTAAAAAAACACTGATCTCTCTCGGTAGGTCTTTCCGCGCCCTTTTTTTCTTTGTTTTCCAGGAACTTCTCCATTTTTTTTGTTCCTATTTTTGTGCTAATACCTTTCAGTTTGAGACGATTTTTCGCAGACACCATTGTGTATGCATATTATTTTTACTAAATTCTGTCGTCCTATAAGGCATTCAGCAAGCGCGTGAAAGAATCTTTGAACGCGCCAAGACAAAAGTGATCTTTTTCGAGGGAAAAGATCAAAACTGAAAATCGTTTCAGTTAGGTCAGGGCCGAGAAGTCGGAAAGCTTCAAAAGTTTAACTGAAAAATAGAAAAAAAAATTAATATTTTGTGGCATCATTTAATTCGTTTCAAATAGAAATTCGCTGTCGGGCTCATGATGTGAACGAGCACCAGTTCGGAAAATGTTCAGGTAAACTTGGAATCAGATTTATATTGTGAGAATGTTAATCTATTATTCTTTTTTACAGGCGCTGATTTTTGGAAAGCAGGGCCGATAAGGAACACAAAAAGGCCGTATTTCCTCACAGAACAGCATACGAAATGAGTTTGGAAACATTCTGATGCTCGAAAACGTCCAAAAACAAACCGCCTGAGGCGGATTTTCGTTTTCAGAGTATCCGGGACATTATTTCTTTTATTGAAACCCTTCTTAAACTCATAAGTTTCGCTTCCAACCATCTTGCCCCTTCTCGCAGAACTTCTTGGTTCACTATACTTCTCACTTTCTTCACAATTAATTGAAACATTGGCGATCTGTCCCTATGGACTAGAATTGCAACTGGCATTTCGCGACACCCTCGTCATTTTACGACCGTAACGAGTTCAATGACGAGTTTCATCAAACTTTGAGAGCAGCCAAGTTTTGCTTGCTCTCAAAAGCATTTTGCGGCAAGGTTTTGAAGCCTCGCTAAGTGCTTTTGGTCGTTTCTTTTTCACCTTCCGTTACTGAGAGCCGTTTATTGTACGCTTTCTAGAAAATAAAAGGTCGTCTGAAAAACTTTCATTTCTCATAGGTTGCTATTAGATCAAGTGCAAAAAAAGCGGGATAAATCATAAAGAGAGCGGAACATTTTGAACCTTTTTTCGCAAAATATCTTGAAAGTCTCCTGAAGCACTCTCTGATGGTCCATATGATTATCCTGAAAGCTTCAATTGGCGAAAATTTCCTTATTTCCCGAAAGAGAAGGCCTCAAAGTATTCCCATTCAAGCGGCGCCCAATGATTTTCTTTGAACTCAAGACGTTTTTAGATAGTTTTTTAGACGAAACCTTCAATAAACAAAAAGTATTTTCTTCGTGAGATCCCGAAGATAGATGATCTTATCAAAAACATCAGTATGTATCTGTCTGACTTTTCAAAACTAACGAAATTCTAAAAACTCATTGGCAACTCGATTTTTAACAACATCTTTTCTTAAGTTCAATCCTTGTCCAGCCTCTTTTTTTGTTTAAAATCGTAAAAGGAGAAAAAGAAGAGATGAGCGACGGGATTTAACCTCGAGAGTCTTGAATGGCCATCTTCTGCGTCATCCTAGTCGATCTTTCGAGTCGTCCTGCTCCCCTTTCAACGAAAGTTTGAGCTTGATTTTCTCAAATTCTAAATTTCAAGACAAAACATATTTCTGACAAAACGAGAAAAATTTCTTTCAAAGAACTATAGGAAAATCGTGGGGGAAAGATGAATAAAACCACAAAGTGAAATCACTGGAAAAAAATAACGTGTAGCACTTGTGAATTCAGTCGTTTCGTCCCTCCCACGCGTTTCTAGGCATAGAAACCTCTCCCGTGGGGGTCTCCTACAACCCCTAAAAACTTTTTCTTCCTTTTAGAAAAACTTTTGAATTTTTTATATCTTTTATTTCATAAGCGCATCCGTCACTATCTCGGAAAAGGGCAGGATCACTTCTTTACACTAATTTCTTGTTGTCAAAACGTCACTCTTGAAATTCTGTTTTTCTGAGAGTCCACTATATGGATATACAAATCTCAGAATAGAGCGAGTCTGCTCCTCGGAAAACCACTCAACGTAGCTCCAAATGACGCAAGAAAAACTACCGTCCCCTTTAGCTCCGCCTACTTACCGCCGAATCCGGCTCTCGGAGCCGCTCCTTTTGTTTTCTTTTCTTTTCAACTGCCTCGTTCTGCCTTAGTGATTCACCTCAGGAAGTGTTTCGAAGCCAGAAAGTCCAAACAAGAACGCCTGCATTTTTAACTGGATATCTCTTTACCTTGCTCAGGTTCCTGGAGCCTCTTTCGTTTTTCTTTGCTCTCAAGATCAGAAAAGCAGCTTCGTCATTATGAGCTGGAACTTTTCTATATAACCTTTTTCAGTCATTCACCGTCACTTGGCTACTAAGAATTGTATTTCAGGGTCAAAAAATGTGTCGGAAATCGTCCGTGTTATGTTTCTTCGCCGCAATTTACTGCGCCCTAGCCCTCCCAAGTAAACCTTTTGAAGCTCGATATAGCGGGAATCCTCTCCGACACTTTGTCGGTAGCTCTTTTAACAAGAAACCTCTGTTTTCTGAAAACTCTTTTTCAAAGTTTATCTAGTTGGTAAATACTTTCTAAGGAAGACTCATTTACGGGGTAGTTGTAGATCATGCGAATCTTCTCAAATAACCACAAAAACGAGAATTGAACATTAAAATAATTTGGAACTTTTTCTGACTTTCAAAACGTTTATGAAAAGGTTTTGGTCAAAATAAGAAAAAGCTGTTATTTGTATGTGAGTTTTAGTCACTGATACAGTGAACGAAGAGGCTATTAAACGGAGCGACTTTTCGCGGGACATCCTGAGTTTCGGCAAACGAGGAGGACCCATCGATGAGCTGTACGACCGGCAGATGATGTCCTTTGGAAAGCGGCAACCTTCTGTGAGTTGAGAACTTCTGATTGCATTTTTTGGAATGCTTCCAAAGCAGATTCCAAATAATCATATCAGAAGCTTTGTTTTGAATAACTTTCTGATATTGTCTAACAGGAAACACACGGAAATAGAGGCGCCTGAAAGGAAAAACACATTTCATCGAAGATATCTGAGAAAACTGTGAAGATTTTCGTTTGACAACAAAAGCTAGTCTATCCAGTTTCGAAAGATCAAAGTTTTCGAATTTCAAGCCTCAAGAATCGAATCAAGACATTCTCAAACTTTTTATATGTTTTATTATAAACTCAAGGAATCATTGAATATTTCTGAAGATTATTTGCAAACCACATTCTGTATGTTTGAAACATAAAAAACATTTATTCAAGTCAATTCATTCAGTTTGACCGCGAGATGATGTCATTTGGAAAGCGTTCAAACGGACTCGAACGGGAGATGATGTCATTCGGAAAACGCGCTCCGCAGGTGAGCAAAATGTCTCTCACTGGGAAACCCAAGGCTTTCAGTTCGACCGCGACATCATGTCTTTCGGGAAGCGTGCGCAGATGAGCTTCGAGCGACCAGTTCTGCCTTTCGGAAAACGCGACTTCGACCGCGAGATCATGTCCTTCGGTCGGAAGTGAGGAGCTGCAGCTCCTGGAGTCGTAACTTGCCTTCGCTCTCATGTCCGGTTTTTGCGCTCACCCTCTCCCCAGTCAAAGTCCTAACAATCGCTTACTCTTCGCTCTTCATGCCAATAAAACTTGAATAGTTTTTGATTTGAAATATTCACCCTCCGCTCACATACGGAGTCTATATAGTAATGTGTTGGCAAAACTCAAAATGGCCGTGTGAAAGGTAGAAAGATATCTAAACTTCGGAAAATCAGATCACTTTGCGCAAATTAAATCGCAAAGTTCAAATTTGAACACGGCATGAGACATCGTTATTTGAAGTTTAGCACAGTGGGAGACATTCTGAACTTTTCAGTAATCGTATGCCAAGAGCTCAAAAACCAGAAGAGACACGTGTATAGAAACTTCCAGGAGGTTCATCCAACACAGTTTCGAGAATATTTAAAATAACTTATGTATTTTAAAAGGAATCTTTTGTCGGAAAAAGAAACTTCCGTCTGTTTTTTTTTTGTTTTTCTCAACTTGAACATTTTCTCTGTAGAAACTTTTGAAGTTCATTCATATTTTTTTTATTTTTTCAGAAAAAAACTTCTTTTTTTTCGAACTAAACTTGTGCAGGATTTTGAAAAAGAGAGAGCCAAAAATGGAACGTTAATAAATGACGTGAGAATGAAGATATTTCGAAATATGTGGGTAATGATGACAAGCCTGCTCGGTTTGCCTTTTTTACTACTGGGATGCTCAAAAAAGGAGAAGTCGGAAGTCAAGACGAAAACGGCGAAGACGTCCGAGACTGCGAAGACGAACAAGACTCGAAATGCAGCAAAGTCGAGAAATTCTGTGAAGGTTGCTCTGCCGGACGCCAGCTGCTTGGGCGCCGACCAGACAAGCTCAGGTTTCATCTTTGAAGCCGTTCAATCAGGATTCTTCTCAAAGTATTCTCAATTTGATTCTGATAGTTTTTGTTAAGTTCCCTGCAAGCAAAAAATGTCTGCGCCGCCTCCGCCGCCAGCTCCGAAAAAACAGAAGCAGGCTCCGTTTCTTAAAAAAATCCAAGGTAGTATCGATAAAACGTTGGAAGTATGGTTTATAACAAGAAAATGAGCGAAATTCTCCGAGAGCTTTTGGAGAAGCTGTTCCGAAGGAGCAGCCGACGCAGCCCTGCTCCATGATCTCGACACGGCCGAAGTCGGAGCCGAAGGAAGGTCAAGGCTACGCTCTCCTAGCAGAAGCTGGAACCCAGGAGTTGGATGCCGTCCAAAACAGCGACAACACTTGCGACGACGCGCCTTCCATCAAAGTCTTGCGAATCGTGCAACTTTCAACCTGAGCACTTTTTAGACGAACCGGGATAATGGTTCGCGTAGCGAAGTAGAAGAAACCTCCAGGAAAGCTGGGATCGTCTAGGCTTCCGTCTTTGAATTTTCATCAATCCCCTGTTTTTGTTTCAAATCTTTGGTCCCTACAATTCATTTATTGTTTCTTATCGAGTTGCTTGAGAAGGAAAATGAAATTAGCCGCTTTTTTCGAATGATCTGGTATTTCTGACAAACTGTAGCCAATTCGAAGCGGGACCGCCTCGTCGGAATCACTTATTTTGGCCTCCACGATGACGGAATGCGTCTTCATGGACATTGAGGCCGATTGTGAACCACTCGGAAGGCTCGTCTTTCAGGTATTTCGGTCTCACTCATGAATCAAGATAATCTTAATTATTCGGAAGAGCCTCAGGAGCAGAACGTGTTTCAGAATTTCTTTTCTTCGCTCACTGTAGAATCAAACACTTTCCTGTGGTTTACCATTGAAAATAAGATGGATGTTCATCGCTTATTTCGAATTTAGGCTCAGAAATGGCTTCGAAGTTCTGAAAAATAATTCACAGATTCTGAAAATGAGCATTTTTCCAGAACCAGATTAAAAAAAATCTTTTTTTTTCTATTTTTGGTACGGTTTTCAGTCTTTCTGATCGTCGAGCTGAGTTTTGGACGTAATAAATTGTAATTTTATTTTTCGAAAATCAGAGAAAATATTCGGTCTCGTGAAACAATAGACTGAGCTGTGTTTTTATGAAACGTCTATAGAGATTAGTCGGAAAAACAATAAAATCTCATTGAAAGATGGACCAGGAGAACCAATGTATAACTTCCAGCTGAACACGGACAAGTGTCCCAAAACTTGTGAGAACTTCCGACTTCTTTGCACAGGACAGAATGGAAAAGGCTTCGAAGGCTGCCTTTTCTATCGCGTCATTCCCGGATTCTGTGCCTGTGTAGGTCTTCTTTCCTCCATTTGATGTTGGAACCGTTCATAACAGCAGATTGCAGCCTGGAAATGCCATTCAGACTTGTGGAAATAGATCAGAAAAAACGTCTTCGAATGAGCTTTTGCAAGTAGAAACATTTTTTGGAGTCAGGGGACTTCGAAACGCAAAACGCCGATCGGAGCGGCGGCCACAGCGCCTTCGAGTCCAAGTACTTCGCCGACGAAAACTTCCACGTTCTGCACAATAAGCGGTTTTTTCATGTCAAAAAAAGCCGTTCCAAGCTGTATTATAGCGGCATTCTGGGTATGGACAACTACGGCTGGCCAAATACCAACAGCAGCCGATTTTACATCACTTTCGATGAAACGCCCTGGTAATAATTTCTTGTTTGAGAAAGCGCTTGAAGATATTCACCACGACTGGAAGTCAGGTCAAGGACTGTATATTTTGAGGATGAACAACTTCCACGTGGCATTCGGGGAGCTCGTTGAAGGATTCGACGTACTCGACAAGATTGAGAAGCTTGGCGTTCTCGAAGGTTCGGCTTCGAATCAAAATTATTTTTTTAAATCCTAAGTGTCTTTCATGTTCTTTTTAAGTTACGTTAACAGAATCGGTAACAGAAGGGTTTTTTCAATTTCAAGTGTTCCTTTTTATAAAGGTTTTCCAATATTTCAGTTTAGTGTGTGCCAGTATCGCAACACGAGAAAAAACATGTCTTCGAATCAGAATTACGACTGTAATTCTTGGATTTCGAAAAAAAAAATCTTTAAGAAATCTGCATGGCTGAAATCAGAAAGAACCTGAATGTAGTCTGATGTTTGCTGAGCAATCGACCTGATACCGTCTTGTTCGACAGAGTTTTTGTCTGCCTTGAATCTGATAGAGGCTAAGGGTTAAATAGGTGACAGAAACTCAGAAATGAATCAAAAAAGCGCAACTTTTTCGTTGCCAGAACTGTATCAGAGGATCAACGACGGTTTGCAGGAAACGGACCTCAGAAGGGACGGACGCTGAAGTCGTTGCGCATCGTCAAGTGCGGCAGAGTGCATCAGACAATCGAATGACGGCGTCTCGCAATCAAATTCACTCGTCTATGCGCTTTCGTCACTTTTTGATGATTTCTCTCTTGTTTTATATCATTGACGTTACCTACCGCGTCGTTCAGACCTCCTTCTATGCCGTTCGAACCTTATCTGAAGATAAACCCTAAACAGAACATTTTTGAAAAATCTTCAAATTGCATTTATTTGAACAAAAAAGCCCAAAATCTGAGAATGAAAAAAGGACGTGCCTTTGAAGGGGAACTAAAAAAGAAATGGAGGAACTAATTGGGGCTCAAAGGCCAAAAGGGACAAAAAGAAGATGTTCCCACGGTCGCGGCCAACTCAGAAAACTTTCTGTTTTCTCGCTCTTCTCGCTTCTTTCCATGCTTGTCGGTTCCGCGTCGTATCCAGCATTACTTCTTTTTCCAAGTTTGACAGTTTGATGAGAGAAAAATCATGAAAGTTCCAAACTCTCTGCGGCTTTTCGTTTTACCTTGGACCCAGCAGTTGCCGTTTGAAATGAATAGCTTTTTGTTTCCAGGTTTTGTCGTTTTGTCAACGGCAAGGTTCACTTTGAGTCACCTCTAAAAAATATTCTTATACTGATTCAAAAAATCTAAAATTTGTGTTGACACATTATTTTTAATACAGTACGAATTCATCTGAGATTTTGAGGTTTTTTTTTTCAAATTCCTTGTATTCTAATTTTAAAAAAAAGTGTAATCTTTTTTCGAACAGGACTTTTTGAAGAAACTTCAATTGACCCAAAAATGAGGCTTTTTCGTTTTCTAGCTTCTCTCTAAGTTGTTGCGCTTTGCGGCAAAGATGCGTAGATTTTCTATCTCTTTTTGCAAACTTGATAATTAGAAAGAAGTGCCTTTGCCGCTTTTCAACAAATCTCGAATCTTTCCTTTTTTCAAGTAATTACGGGGCGATTTCACTTCACCATCTAGGAGCCAAAAATTAAATCCAGCCATTTTTCTTAACCTCTATGCAGAAAGAAAGAAAGACTACTTCTACTTATAAAGTATCCCTTAATAATCATCCCCCTAGAGGAAGAAAGACCGAGCTACGCTCAAAAAGACCTTTTCCAAATTTGCTTGCCTTTCAAAAAGTAAGAACGATTGATCTGGTCAGTGACCCGTGGGCGGAAAGCAAAACAAATCAAGGCGGGCGTTTTTTGAGTGAAGTTGAGCGATAGATGTCTCGAGTTGCTCCGAGTATCGTGTTGAGCGAGCGCAAGTCTCCTAAAAACAACCTGATTCTCATCTTTTCGACCACCATCTTCCTTTCTTCTCGTTCACTACAGTTCACAAGGCTGTCAAGGAGCTTCTGTCTTTTTTGATACGTTCAAAAAGGCTTTTTCCAATCAGAACTGGAGCTTCTGAAACATATAACAATAAAAAGAAATTTTTTTAATTGTTCTTTTGAAATGCAATTTCTCGTTTTCGAGTTCTAAAAAAACTGGTGATGTGAAAAAAGTTTGATAATTTCGAACTGTATTATCTGTTGACGCTTCCAGACGCGAATTTCCGACTTCATCCAGTCTCTTTTTCTTTTCAAAGTGTATTTTTTCAAAATTTGTCTACCTGTGTTCCTCGTCTATGATATTGTTTAAATTTTCCATTTTAAAATAACTTAAGAATCTGTCTTTCTCAATATTTTCTTTTAAAAATTAGGAAAAACGTATGATGCCTTTTTCACACAAAGAAGATTTTGAATAAGTCAAAAGAAGAAAGGAAATTCTACTGCTGGGATGCGGAGAAACCCAAAGAAGAGTAGAAAACGACGCGGAGATCAGGCGGAAGCCGGCCGCAAGTCGCATGAAAACGCCGGAGGCCAAATCCAGACGTCGCTCTTGGGCTGAATTTCTCGTACTATGCTTTCTTTCAATTAACTCAGTTCCCTTACCACAGAGGCCATCCACAAACAGCCCAAGTCTTCAGTTCGATTTTTCTTTCATTAATAACTTCTGAAGACTTTTTTCGTAAATTCATCTTTGACGACGGTAAAAAGCTTGTTTCATGTAATTAATGTCAATATTACTGAGAAAAACTCTAAAACCTGAGATCGAGTTAATATTCTGTTTTTTTTATTTCAATTTTCTTGCAGTTTCAATTCAGACTAGTGATGAATGATAAAAGTTATTTTTTTCTCTGTAAAACGCATCTTAGTTTTTCAGAACAGAAATCCAAGAACAGATCAAAAATTCAACTACGGTAGTTTCCTCGAGAGTTGAACATTTTGGGGGCTTTTGAGTGTTTTGACTCGACGGCCCTTCAGCCTTTTTCCGCCAGAAAATCAGTTTTCCTGTTTGTCCAGAGACGTTCTCTGGCGACTTTCGGAGTAGACACCTCTGTTTGGAGACTCGCGTCATGGCCGGCGACGATTTCGTCGCGAGTAATTTGGCTCATGTGCGTTTGGCGGTTGAAAGCTCATTACCAGTAATGAAAGTTCGGAGCCGAGTGACAGCTCCGATGTGCCGAGGCGTCCTTTATCGTCCAGCCCAGAACGTTCGTCGGAATCTCGTTGTCACTAGATTTCCAGCAAACATCGTCAATTCGAAATTTGTTCCACCTATGCCAAAACCTAGTGCTCCAGTGCGCTTCCCACAATCACGCGCGTTTCAGAACCAACAGCCACTTGTATTTATTTTTTTTGACGTTCAATTAAATTCGTTTTTTTTTTTTGGATAAATGAAATAAAAAGCAGCATAACTACATAACCTTTTTTCCAACCATCATGGACATTTTATTTATTTATTTTTTTGATCACAGTTTCTAAGTATTCGTGTAGTTCATACATAGAAATTCAGCAAAAAAGTAAGTAGATCTCCTTAAATAATAAAAAAAAGTTGTAAAAAGAAATTATAAAGCGAAGTTGTATGAATTGTCTTTTCTGGAATAAAAAAACAGTTCTATTTCTACTTTTCTGTGCAACTACTGGCTTTAACTGTGAACCGTTACCTTTCAAAAAAAGTCACTCTCCAAATATATTTCTATTTCAATTAGGTTTTTTTATTTATTCGTTCTTTACCATAACTTATTTTTTTAACTTTTTAAAAAGTATGCCTACCAAAAGATTAAAAGAAAAACATGAAAAACTTTCAGGAGGATAAAAGCGAAAATTCGAATGCCTAAATAAATATAGCCTTTTTTTTACCGATAATCTTTTTCGCTTTTTTCCCGATAAAAGTCAAAAAATTCTAAATGACGCTTTATACCATAGACTAAATGTTACTCGAGTTCTTTTCTTACTTGAAAAAAGGCTGAAATCTCTGGTTCCTTTTCGATCAAGCACTTTCAAAATTTGGCCGATTGAAATGGACTCCTTCTAGGTGCAGCCTTTAATTTTCTATGACCTCGTCTCTCGGAGAAAAGAGGGCGCGAAATTGCGAGACTGTTGTAGAGGACACTGGTGTAAAACTGCTAGGCTGGAAGTCCTTGGAGACGCTTTCCTGGATCATGCCTTTTTCCGGAGCGCTTGAATTATTCATGACTTCTGGGTCCACAAATAAGCGGCCTATTTACCTAGGTTCCTATTAGTCTGGCCTCACCGTTTAGCTCATTTTCTCTATGCGCGCGGATGATTGAGTGAACCCAAAATTGGATTGGTTTCTCCTTTCTGGCCGAGCTGACGAAATAAAAAAAAAACTGAAGGAACGCTTTCTCGTCGTGACATATTATACCCTGGGGTATTTGCTGAAAGAATTTTGTCGTTAGAAAATTGTGCAAAGTTTGTCGCCATAACTCTTTCTTTTTGCTATTTTCTTTTTCGCTGAGATATCACTAAGAATAACTGCCGAGATAAACGCGAGACACTGGCGGTACATTGACGAGCTCGCAAACATCTCGCATTTTTTCTCGCGCCGGTCTCGCATTTTTCTGGGCGCCAGCTCGCACTTTTCTAGGCGCGAGCTCGCATTTCTCTCGCTATTTGAAAATTTCCGAAATGCAAGATAAATGCGAGATGGCGCCGAGAAAAATGCGAGGTCGCGCCGAGAGAAATGCGGGATCGCGCCTAGAAAAAAGCGACATTTTTGCGAGTTAGTCAATGTACCGCCACCGAGCTCGCGTTTATCTCGTCAGTTATTCTTAGTGATCTTCTCAAATTTACTTTTTTTTTAAATTCAAATTGAAAGGTGGCAATAATATCTAGTTCGATCAACCAGACTTCTGGGCTTGAGGAAAGGTTCCGGACTATGTTTTAAAAAGTCTCGATTTCTGATCTGAGGAATTTTTTCACTCTCTATCTATCTCGCCTATCTACATATTGTTTTCCATCGTCTCGATGACCAAAAGCGAGTAAAAAGAAGATGATTTGCATACGCGAAGAGATTGTTGTCCCTCTGACCGACCCCCAGAGCATAATCCCCAAAGTCCTTAGGAGCGCTCAGATGGAGGAGCCGCAGTAGCCGTGGATGGCGTGCGAGATGGGATGGGTGCCGTGGACAGGCGCCGTCTGGGTCGTCGACTTCGTCGCTGCCGTCAACGCCGCCTACGCCCACATCCATCCGTACGTCGCCGTCGTCCTTTGCCTTGCCGGTTAGTCCTTGCTCGTTGCAAAACAGAAGCTTCTGAGAGCCCGAACCGCGGTGTTTGAGGTACGGTGATGAACGCCGTGACGGTGGTGGTCCTGACGCGACCTTCGATGAGGTCGGCCGTCAACAGTTTGCTGTGCGCGATCGCCGTCTGCGACATCCTCGTCATGAGCAGCGTTCTCGTCTTCGTCACGCATTTCCTCATTCTCGCCGGGTTTAGGTGCTTTCCTCTTGGTCGGGATAGTCGACCCAGCAGTTGGATCTAACCGGTTGAAGGAAGCATTTTCAGATGTCAGCCGAGTGACTACAGCCGTTTCTGGGCATTTTTCCTCTTCTCTCATGCTCAAGCCACTGTGATCTTCCACGCAACCAGCATTTGGCTTACGGTAGTCATTTTTCATTTGTCATTTTTTCAAAAATCTAATGCCAGGTACTCCTGGCGCAGATTCGTGTGTTCTCTATCCGAAGAGCGACGACCCTGGGCAGCGAGCTCGTGTCGACCAAAGCGACGATTGCGATCGCGGCGGCGACGCTTCTCGTCGTCGTTGCTCTCAACGTGCCCAACTTTCTCACTTTCGAGGTCAGCCTGAAAACGGACTCTCTGTAAGAAGATTCCACAGATAATGGAGATCGAGGCGACGACTTGGTTGCCTTGTCTAGCCAATCAGTCTTCGTTAGACTCGAATGAAATGGTCTACCTCGTGAGGCCCTCCGAGCACTGCGGACTACTCAAAGCAAGTTTTTACTCTGAAGTTACCGATGTTTTGCTTTTCGAAATATGGGGTTTAAGATAGCGTTCTGGACAAACGGGGTTCTGTTCAAAGTGGTGCCTTGCGTTCTTCTGACGTTCTCCATCATCGCACTTGTTAACATTATCCGCGACGTTTCCAACCGGAAAAAGATGCTTGCACAGGTACGAGACTAAAGAACCCAGTTGAAAACAAAAAAACGAAATCAAAATATCCGATCAATTGAAATTGGAAAAAAAGAAAAAAAAAATTTTTTCGCTTTATTGATAGGAACCGTAAGCTTCCGATATTCTTTTTTCAAGTCGCGATAGAAGAAGAAAAAAAAAATACTGGTTGCGATTTACACGAATTGAAAATCAGAACGGATTATTCACGGGAGTGTACAAAAAAAATTACAGTGGAGTCAAGGGTGGATTCAAATCTAAATTTAGGGTCCGCAAGCCATTTCTTCAAAACGATCCAAAAAATATGTTTTTTACACTGTTCGATAGAGGAGACTGTCCATTTTCATAATCCGTTCAGTTTTAGAAAAAAGCTTCACTAAGAAAAAAGTTATGGCCAAAAACTAGCGCGCGCGGCGTACAACTGGAGGCAAAATCTCACGGTTTACCCGCTGCCGCACGCTTTCTTTTTAAATGTTTTTACGCATTTCTGAACCGTTTTCGAATCGGTTTTCTGTTTTGAGAGGTTGTCCGAACTGAGCCTCATGTTTTGGTATGAATCTTTTGTACAATCCTCATAAGAATTTTTGACAAAATATCAAAAAACTACTTAGAAAAAAGGTCAGAAGGAATTTTTAGCTTATTTTTCGTTTTTCTAATCTGAAAAATTATTATCATTCGATTTGGAAGAAAGAAAAAATGAAAAAGAATGTTATTTCGAAATAAAACAGGAAAAAGTGCAATTTGACGCCGAAAAACGGCTCCTGCAACATTTAAAATGGCGCATCGGTGTGTTTGACGCAAGCACAGCTACGAATGCTTGCACGAATTCTTCCAAAATTTCAAAAAAAATTGCCATTTTTTCGAGGTTTTCAAAGCCGTTCTTTTTTTCGCGTCGTTAGATTTTTTTCATAATTTTTTCATAGATAGAGTTTTGAACGCTTAATAACATAAGCAAAAATATAGACGCGATCCTATTCTCTCATGCGACAACGAGGCAGACGAAAAAAAGGAGGTTTTGGTAAAAACTCAAATATAATTTGATTCGCTGTCCCAATAATTATTTTTCATTCTGAATTTTTTTATTTTTTTGAACACATTGTGAGTTTTTTTAAATCAAATAAAAAGTATACCATGTCGCTGAAATTTTTTTCGCATTTCAGCTTCAAAGTTTGGTGTCACTTTACAAGCTTCGATTTTTTTCGCGTCGTTAAATTTTTTTAAATTTTTTTATTCAAAAAAATAAAGAAAGTGTTAATGTATAACATACTTAAAATTTAGAAGCGTTCCTCACTTGGTTTTTCTGAAACGCGACGATTTTTGTGAAACTTGTCAGTTTTTTTCGTGTTAAATCTTACTTTTTTTCGCTTATTTTTTTGAATAATACATAGTTTAAAAAAATTTTTTTCAGTCTTGTAGAGCGTTGTCGATTACATAGTTTAACAAAAAAACAGTTTATTTTTAAAGTGGGACTTTAGCTAGTATAAACGCCTCAAAACCGTTTCTGCAACAAAAAAATTGTCATTTTGGTGGCGTGAAGGGGCGGGGCTTTGCGCCCCCTATCTAAATTTGTCTCAATGTTCATCAAAACCATCGTTTTCAAAGTTCGGTATAATTTTTAATGCAAAAATAGAGTAACTCTCGTTCATGGTTCATTTTACAAAAAAAAAACGGGAACTCTTGTTAAAGGTTATGAACAAGAAGCGGATGCCGCGCGACCACACGACGCCGATGCTCGTCGCCGTGCTGTCGATTTTCCTCTTTGCAGAGTTGCCGCAGGGGCTGCTCCACGTGCTCAACGCCGTCTTCTCCAAGGAGACTTTCTACGATAGGGCACGGCAGTATCTGTCTATAAAATACAAACAGTTCTGCCCTGCAGATCTATCAGCAGTTGGGCGACGTGATGGATGTCCTCTCTCTACTCAACTCCGCCGTCAACTTCATCATCTACTGTGCCATGAGCCGGAAGTTTCGCTCCGTCTTCGTTCAAATCTTCCTCTCCTGTCTTCCTGAGAGACTCTACAGGTTTATGAAACAAACAAATCGAAATAAAGAAATGTTTTCTAGGAAATACATAACGGACTGGAACGCAGTGGTTGAGTACGATTTTTCGAACAGGAAACCCTCAGCTCTGACAACCGACATGACCAAAACGGAGCAGGTACTAAGTTTTGCCCAAAACACGGTTTGCTTCACAGCCGGTTTTCTTAAACAAACTTGGTGTTTACTAAATTCGATGAAATGAACTTCTCAAACTTTTTATAACTGAATGGATAACACAAGTCGCTGAAATAATTATTATCCATAATCTATACTCTGAACTTATATTCTTTTATTCTATTACTTTATAAATATTTTCGATTTGGCAGTTGGCTCTGACTTCACATCGCGTTTCGGCGACGTCGATGCTTATAACGCCGACGTCTCGGAATGAACACGGAAAAATGTACTCTGGGAACTTGCTCACAACTGGTTATGCTCGTATCGGAACAGCCTTTAATGATTTTCACAGGAGGCAGAAGCCAACGGGTGTCCTTCGAAGCTAATCCAAAGCAGTTTGGTGCACGCCGAAGTCTTGAAATTCACCAGTTGCAGTTTACAGTACCTCCTCCAAAGGTGAATGAAGCGAATAGTGAGGGAATCGAGGAGTGAAAATTTTTTAGAAAAGATCGCAAATTATTAGAAAAAGCTAGACAAAAAAAAAGAACTTTCTGAAAGTTAGCTTACGCCGATACACCAGATAACTCAGTAAAAAGGAGGCTGGCCCAAATTTAAGAGCAAAAATGTGTTAGAAAGTATTGTGATAAAACTTGAAAGGCAGTCAAAAAGAATCCGCTCATGAATATTCCATATTTCAAAATCAAAAAAAAAAATCAAAATGCTTCTTCAATGTCTAAAAACTTTTCAAATCTTGCGAGCAATCAAAAATAAGTTAAGAATCTCAAAATTCAGCCATTTCTTTCAATCGCTATCACGCGTTCACCTATCGGGAACTTTGTTTACATTTCTCCTACTTAAAAAAATTCGCATTCGAGTAATTTTCCAGACTCAGAGGCCGCCGGCCTTCCAGCGCTTCTTGCAAATCTGGCGACGCGGCGAAAGTCCCGAGAGCAGTCCTTGCCGACGGATCAACCTCCTGCAGTGTGAAACCAGTACGTCTCATTATTAACCACATCGTCACACAACAATGGAACAACTGCACTTGACAGTAACTTTGGTCTATTTTTCGGGTACATTTTTTTTTGCACATATCACCTATCGAATAAATTCAGCCAACCAATGTTCACAAGGTTTATAACAGAAAGAGCTATTTTGTCAGGCATACATCAAGAAGTAGGAACACCGTATTTGTTAGGTTAAAATCAACCGGCAAACAGATGGGCGAAACAAAACCGTCACCGAGAGCTGAGCCTAGCTTTTCTCAGAGAAACTTCAATATACATGAGTGGAGCGAGATCGAGTTGCATAAAATAACAGTAAAGCGTCTGAAAAGGATGAAAAGAAACAAGAACTCTAAACCTCAGCCATTTCTTGTCCGGCTGAAGAGGTGCCACTTCCGATGGCGGAGGCGGCCGACGTCGCCATCGGAGAGACTGTCGACAACGTCACTCGTTTGCCCTTCATCACGTCGAACACATCGCGACGGAATTTGGACAAGTTCTGCGTGAAGATGTCCTTGTTCTTCACGCTCAGGGATCGGTCGACGCCCGTCATCAACTGCGAGAACGCCTCAAAATCCAAAACTTTATAGTTAATTTTTCAATCCAGAAAAATATCCGAAAACAAAAAAAAACTACTTTTGAAATTCAAGCCTTCAGTAAATCCCTAGAAGTTCTAGTATGTAAATTTAGGGAAACATTGAGACTACTTTTTCTATCCACTTGAAAATCTTTAAGTTTTTGTGCTTTTTGTGCAAATACATGGAACAAAATGAGGTCATTTCAATTTTCTGATGGGAAGTAAAAGACCCACAAGTTCGAATTGTTGTTGACGTTCGAAAGGATGTTGAGCAGTGAGTTCAGTCTTCAAGTTGGTGAACACATCCTCCTGTTGAGAAAAAACTGGATCGACTGGGAGAAAAGAAGGCTGACCTGGACAAGGATGAGGCCGAGCAGCGGCCGCGAAAGACTCCATTGACATTTGACCTCGCCGAACATCAACATCGACATCATCGTTTGCAAAATCTGCAAGCCTTTGTCTCAGCGCAAGGCAGTCGGAGACCAACGTCGGCTGTGATTTCAGGATGAGCCTTGACTGCCAAAAGAAGACTTTCGCCCTCCGGCTCGACTCCCGCCTTCGGCATCGGGGTGTTAGGTCGCGTCAGACGCCGGTACATGTAGTTGAGGATCGTGTCCAGCGTCGAGCAGGACGAAGTGATAACCACGGCGTCTGCAAACAGGAATCGCTCTTCAATTCTTCCCCCCTTCTGTATTTCATTCGACCCTAACATATCTAGCAAGGATCCTAATTCCGACATCGATTTTCTGATGCGTTGATCTTCTACAAAACTGATGAAGCTAATTCTTCTACACATTAATGTATCGGCAGATAAGCAAGTTCAAAAAACGCACCAAGAGACGTGATTCCGTTGTGGATAGATCGTAGAATGGCACAAACAACGTCCACAGAAAGGTTAGTCAAAAAAGGCATGTTATCTTGGGTGACGTGTTCCAGAAGATTGTAGTAGTTCTGCGCGATTTTCGTATAGTTCTGAAAATATTGAAATTACAAGGATACCAAAAAAAAAAAACAACCTGAAGCTCAGCCTCCGGAATAAGCATGAAGAACTTGACAAACATCCCAAGAACATCTTGCAAGCACGTATCACCATATAACCGGAAAACGCCTGAAATTCGAGGTTAACATTCTCAGTCTCAATAATGTTCCAAAAATTAAGCAACGACTTCGAACGAATATTGATGAGGATGGAATTGATATAAATTAACGCGTAGTCGTTTTGTGTCATAAAAATTGACGGCTGTGATGGCGATCCATAGTAAGAATTTTTCTTTTTGGAATAATTCGAAAGACTTCCAGACCTATCAGCAATTACCGCGATAATTTCATTTGAAGAGAGTAAAAACGGAAAATAGGAAAAAAGGAATATTTATAAAAAATTCGGAGGAGAAGGAGTAATGAAAAGGATACGGTCAATCGTTATTCTCTGATCAGAAGAACAAAATATATTTGTGATAAAGTGATTCCAATTTCTGTCACTCCTTGATATGAGAAATTTGTTTAAATTGTTCGAATAATGTTTTCAGATTGAATTTTTATCATTTCGTTTTTGATGAGCTTGATTAGTTTTAATGTGATTATAATGCTATGGGAAGGAGTTCAAGCAATCCGCTTTTCGTGTGTATTGAATCCACAATAAAATATTTGAGACATTCCAAGTAACTCAACTCTTCTTCTATTTCGAAACCATCCGCCTTCCATTTATCTTTAATATTCACTTACCTTCTTTCAATATGGACTAATATCCGTGAATTATTTACGGCCCGATTCCACTCAATAATCTTTTGCATACTTTTAGGACTTGATTTCTGGTTCATTTGTCACTGGAAGAAAACGAACCAAACGGAACATAGCTGCCGATGAGGGCACTCTTGAGGACGAGGAAAACGACGCCGATATTCTTGTATCTCTCTTTGTACATACATTCCTTGGGAACGTCCGGCAGCGACAGAAGGTTGTTGCCTGCAACAATCAAGGCTTTCATAACTCAAGATTATCTCGAAAGAAAAGAAACAGAATCTAGACTCATACTTCAATTTCTAAGGAATTTTTGTATCCTTCACTCCTTCCTTAAAAACGTTTTCGTCTTCTCAAATTGCTAGTTTATCTTATCCTCAAAATTAAAATCATTTAAAATTTCAAGCGGTTGTATAGAAACGTCTTTCATTTGATTATAAATTACCGTAAACGCAAATGATCTTGGAGATTTCGCGGAAGAGCAGCACAGCCGAGCAACTGCTCATCTCGAACTTGAGCCTCTGCTGGCGGTTCTGGGCGAGCTCCGACAAAAGCCGCATCACGGGGGTGGTCACGTCCGAGGAGTTCGACCACTTTCCGACGGAGAAGAGTAAAATGTTGAAAACGTCGGGATACCTAAGCAAAAAAGTCATTTGCGTTTCGGGAAATCTCAAACATCCAATCGAAAAGAACTTGGAAGATGGATTTCGTTGTGGCAGCTACGGCGATTCCTCGGATGTCACGACACAATCCAACAATTATGCGCTGAAATGAATTTATGAGATAGTTTTGGTTTGCTTTGTCATATCGAGACATGCAAAACTGAAAATTTATCTTTGAGTTTAATCCGAATGAATAATCTTATCTGCCGTGTTTACTTCAAAGTTATCTCCTTTTTTAGGTATACTTCAAAATATTTTCTTCATCGTTTTGGTTAGGATTTTTCACTTCGTCGTGTAGGAAGAAAGTCGTCTTTCAGCTCAGGTAGAAAAAAATCGTTGCTGAAGGAATAAAGTGCAGGTTTGTGAATTTTGCGTTTTTTTTATAAGCGAAATAATTTGCGCCTTTAATAACCTCACCGGTGAGAGTTTTTTAATTAAAGTGAAAACTTAAAAGGATTATTTTATGGGAGGACTATTCGATAAATCGATGTGGCTAAAGACTAATGTTAAAATGTTTCTCAACGAAATTGTAGAGGTCTCCATTGTTGAATGAATCGGTGCAAAGTATTTTTCTCTTAGCAAAAAGTAAAGGTAAACTTTGAGCTGTTCCTCTTCGACGGCAGGGCTGTTGGTGGAAATTGTGTCGCAAATGGCCTTCACAGTTTCTGAACAAAAAAAAAAACAGTTTCCGTTGTCTCTGGGAGTTCAACCAACCACTGAGAGGTCGAATGAAACTGACGAAAACTTCGTCGTCGTCCGAGAGATCTGTCGTCAGAAGGCGCATCAGTGCTTCGTAAAAAACAGTTCTTTGTTTCATAGTCGTGTAATCGATTGTTGGGCCGAGGAAAACAAAGTGCTCGACCTCAAAAGTTGACCAGTCAGTTTATTTCGAGCCATTCTAATCTTGATTAGTCATTTCGAAAAGTTGTAACCCTTCGACACTAAAACGCGGCCTTTTTTTTTGAAAAAAACATTCCAAAAAGTTTTAATGGCCTCCTCCTATTTGCTTCATGTTGTCTCCGTTAACTTTTGAGTTTCCCAGAAATTCTCTTACTTCATTTTTCCGTGAGACTGTAAACTGTGACTTATTTTCATTATTTACTATATGTGTGCAAGTTCTTAACAATTTCCTATAAGATTTGGTACCGTATGGTTGTTCAGAAGAAGTTGAACTTCAGGAAGACGGAAAAGCTTCCGAACGGCGCTGTATCCGAGAGACAGATCTTTCAGTAGAGAAAGAGAAAGGTCGAGGATATCCGCCTGCGTTGGCCAATACTTCAAGTTGGTCAAACTGAAAGATTAATTCGTTAAAAATTTCTTTTATCCTTATTTTCGACCGTCAAAAAATTCTTTGATGTTAAATTCATGGATAGCTAGTTTTTTGGTTCTCTTAGTTATACTGAATATCGGCCAACGGACCATGTTCGATTTATAATTAAACTACGGCTCAATCAAAATTCTTGAAAGGCTCCCCCATTCTCTAGTTTCATGCCGTTTTCATGGAGAGAATTGAATCGGAAATTTCAAGAAACTTGAATGAAGAAAAAGATGTTTATTGTAAAAAAACTTTAATAGAATTATGAAAAATTTTTGAAAAATTGATTTATAATTATTCTACAATGTATACAAGAATTGATACGGTCAAGTTAAGAGAGGAAACTTGAAAAAATACATTTTCTGAATGATGACTCCAAGCATATCGGTTTCTTCTGAAATGCCGCACTGGGACTGCAATTTGTCGTAAACGGAGCTCGTGCGAGTGATCTGCAGCAATTTTTTTCTCTGAAGAAAGTAAAAAAGTCCTACTTGGTCCATAATGTAGGCCCGTCGAAACTGCTCGAGCATGTGGATGAAAGAGACTTCTAGCCTCAAATTCCCGTTTCCGGGATTCCTCCCAGGACTCTGCGGATATTGGAGCCTGTTGTCGTTGTAACGCATCGCGGTAATACATCTACAACAACCCAAATAGAAAAATTATGCCGTCGCCCACATCAGTTTCTTGTCCATCGGCTCAAGGAACTGATGTGAAGCGAAAATCAACCTTTTTCTTTCCCAATTTTCACCGCTTTGCAAAAAATACTAAGGTCCTTGATTTTGAATTCCCTTCACCTTCGCGAAGATTTTGTTATTTACATAACTTGAATATTGTACGCGAAAATGCGTAAATATTTGAATTCTGAGCTTCGCCTCAAGACCAATCCAGTAAAAAACTCAAAACAAGGAGTTCTAGCAGATACAATTCAACTGGCACATAGTTGCTTTCCTCGAGTTCAGGAGATCTGTGTTAAGAAAATAATTTTAGCAGGTTCAGAAATATTTTTAGTTCAAAAAGTATGAGTGCGAAGTCAATCAAACTTCCGGCAGGCTCTGACAAAAGTTCCAAGATTGAAAAACGTTTCGAAATGCTTCGAGTGTTCTAGAATCGAGAATTTGCTCAAAATAGAACCTGGCGATCATGTCGCCGTCCATTTTGTCGTGCGCGTCGTTTCCGGAGCCAGAAGTTTTGCCGAAGACGGCGGTTCCGATGAGCGTGATCAACCAGACGAGTCGTCCCTCCGCGATTCGCACCGACAAATCCTGAGATTTCTTCTCTCACAAACGACAGGACTCCAAATCGACTACCGAGGGACTGCCGCTGGTCCAGATTTTGGCATTTTCATCGAAATGCCTCGCCAGAAGCTGACACGTTTTTTCGTATTCACAACGACAGATAGTCGCCAGGTGTTCCATCAGCTGCAACGTTGACCCTTGATCTTCCAGAGGGTCTTCCGCCGATTCTCTTAACAAAATCTTATCATTCGACAAAAACATCAACTTTTCACTAATAAAAACAAAACTTTTTTTCATAAATCACTCAACGGTATCAAGGATATTCATTCACACAGACTCATAAGTCAACAAGTTTTCTTTAAAAAAAATTAACCAAGGAAATAGAACTTAATTACTAGGTAAAATTGAGAACTATGAATATTTCTGCTTTTCTCAGTTCTTGTTTTTGGTGAAGCATTCACAGTATCTCACAACTACAATCCGTAGCTAACAATCATAATTTCATTGTTATTTTCTCAGCGTAACTTTTTCTCACTAGGACATCGAAGGATTATTTTTTTTGAAATGTGCTAGTTATTTTGGATCTATTTTTCTTTTTGAAAAGTGCATGCCACGTTCCGAACCGCATTTCTGACATAACCCGTTTCTTGACAAAGGCGAAAACGCGGAACAAAATTCTCACAAAAGAGTCAAAAAATGCAGAAAGTACCTGACAACTTTCTCGACGTGCTGCAGACGACTCTCGATGAAGGCCGCCGTTATTTCGGGACAATAGACGTTGAGCAAATGATCGTCGTTGTTGCGGACGTAGGGAACCGAGGTGACCATCCGCTGCCAGAAAGTCAGCAAGAAGTACGTGCTGTTCGCGGAGAACTCGAACAAAAAATCCATCATCTGCAACAGAAGCCGTGGTCGAGGAAGATCGCCATGCTCACCCGCAGGCTTTCCACCGTGAACTCGGCGAGCAGTCGGAGCATTTGCGCGTAGCACGGCACGTTGATGAGCTCACAGAGCTGGTAATTCGTCTTCAACCGAGCGACGAGCCGGCAAAACTCATGGAACGCCTTCTGGAGAAATATTTCTCAAGGTTACACCCAGGTCGCCTATTCACTTGATTTGTGAGCTTTGCAGGGTTCTGAATCACGCTCACGACGCCTTCCACTAACTTTTGCACGTAAGATTGTCGTTCCGACCCATTGAACAAAGTTCTTCTGACACTCGCCAATTGAGCAAGAATGCTGAGGACCTGGAAAAGCAGCCTTGTGAAATCAAGTTTCGTGAAGTGAGCCAGTTCGGAAATGACAATCATTTTTATAGAAGAAATGTTTCCATAATGCTCTCAAACAAACATCAAATTAAATTTCTGGACAAAAAGCCAGGAAATAAATTTCTGAAATAAGAAGAACAGCTAGATATTTTATTTTAGAAATATTCGAATGACGGCTCATTTTCCCGAAAATTTCCATATCTCGATTGATTTTGTGAACAAAAAGGGGTTTCATTTACTCTTCACTCTAAACTCTTTAAAAATCCGCCAGAATTTTATTTGATCAACCAGATGAAGATTCTGAAAATGTCCTTCCGCATAAATTCCTAGTTTTCGAGATAAGTTCTTCAAAGTCTGGGAAAAAAATATCGAAGACCCCTTTGAGTCCATGAAAAAAATTTTTTTCAAGCTGAAAATTTAAAAAAATTTACTGAACTCATCAGGAAATGTTCTGGCCATTTTTTTGAAAAAAATTCCAGTAAAAAGTATAAAAAAACTTTTTCTTGTCGAAAGAAACCAACTTTTTTTCACTGGATTCTGTCGGCAAATTGTGGTACATCTTGAAAAAAAGATCAACTACTTTTCCGTCGGTGAACGCTGAAATATTCGAGATTTCAGCAGAAACTTTCCAAAATCGTCACATTCTCTCCAGGTGGTGGGAATCTGGACGTTGCAGTTGTCGTCGCTCGTTTCATCGGCGAGGCTTCCGATGTAGTCGAACACCAAACAACTCAGGCACAAGTCGATCACGTTGTTCGTCAACGTCAACTGCCAGGATTTCCAAGTTTTGTAATTAATTTCAGATTTGAAAGACCTCAAGTCCGGTCGGAGTCTCCTCTCCGATTTCCTTTACAAAATTTATGGTCAATGAAAATATATCGTACAGGAAAGAATCTCGAAATTGCGCCAAGCTCTTCCGATGCTTGTTAACTGAATCCATACCGGCGCTCTGAACTGACGTGAAACTAGATCCAAAGTTAAATCTCACCGAGTTCATGTCAGTGACTAACACGGTCAAAATCTGAACCGCCAAAATGCTTTCAGCTGTGTTTTTCTGAGAAAAAAAAAGTGTTCTTCGGATTGAATCAACGAAACTCACGTTATCTATAGACCTGATGAGCCACTTCACTGGGTCCCTGAAAGGATAGGAAGTCTCGTTTCCAGAATCTGGCGACGAAGGCGAGGGCGTGTATGTCCATTCTTGTTTCGTCAGCCTTGAGAACAACTGGGAGAGCGACGTCACCAGGAAAGGCGGAAACGACGGCGCACCTCTTCCAAGGAGATCAATCACGAAAGCAGCTGAAAACAGCGTGAGTAACGACAACCTAAAGTGTATTCTCACTGAGCTCCAGCTTCTGGTCAGGAGAGACGTTCGTTTTTGCGCTAAGCACTTTCATCAACGTCGTGCTGGCAACCAGAGGCCCGTAAGGGTACTGAAAAACGCTTCTTTTCATATATCCTTTGTTACGAACACTCATTTTTGAGCTTTCGGAGCCGAATTCGGCTTTTTCCAAAAAAAAAAAAGTAACATACTTCGCCCTGGGAGAGAAGAAGCATACATCGGCGGATGCATTCGGGCGACTCAGAAAGTTCGGCGAGATTTTGCTCAGCCTGTTGTCGAACTGAAGGCTCCGTACTTTCATATAAATTTTTACACAGGGCGTTGAGCGCCTAAACTATGAATAAGCCCTAAAAAAAAAATTCAAAACAACCTGCAGCTCGTCCATGTTGAACTGAAAGAAGAATGAAAAACGCTGAAAAAAACTCTAATTCCAGAAGAAAGAAAAGTTTTGGGACACGATTAAAACAAGGGTTCGACACCACTGTGAAGTCAGAGTTCGAATTGAAACTTTGCATGGACAGGAAATGTTGCTCTAATGCGATTTTGGCAAAATTTTTCCATTCTATATCGAAGCCATTCGAAGCTGAGAAAAAAGCCGCTTCTGACATAGAGTAAAAGAAAACTATTCAGAAAAAATGCCGATCGAACATCTTTATTTCAAGTTCCGGATCAACTATCGGTGAACACATGTCAAGGAATGTCGAATACAGCGATGCAGAGAGGTTCATTTTCAAAATAATTTAAAATTTTTTTTTTATTCGGCGTGTTTTTTTAAGAAACGGATCATGGCTCGAAACAAAGATCTGTGTTCATTGGCACCCTAAAAACGGGCACCCTCGAAACTAAAATACGAGAAGTTTTCAAATTTATGAAGTTTAGAGCAAAAGAGTACTTCAGAAACTGAATGAGCTCGCTTCGTGAATGAACATTTCGAAAAAGATGGTGAAATTTTTCTCGGGTTTTTTTTTCGGCTCCATTATTAATACCGTGTTTTCATGGCCAAGTTCAATGCCGTGTTCAAAGTAAAAATTTTTTATCGCAGAGAAAAAAGCGCACGCATGAATATTCTCTACGTTTTTTTTCAGCGCCATTTGCGGAAGAGTCGTGAAATAAATTGTTTTTTGTTCACCATAGATGTAGGAACTAAAACAAGTACAGTACCTCATATCTCTAAAAAAAAAATTCATCAATTTTCTTTCAAAAACTTGTTTAAAAAATATATTAATCGAATAAAGTGTGGAAATTTTGCAGTGGTTCGCTCGTCCATTCGCCCAGTCGCTTATTCGTAACTGCCAATGAACGGCAATGTTCCTTGATTTTCGCCCCTAATTATGACGTCTCTCTTTTCGGAATTGAACGCTTTCATCCTTTTGATTCTCGAAAATGGGGGAAAGTTATTAATTTTCTAAAAGGTATGGATGTCAAAATTTTGCATTTTTAAATTTACTTCTTGAAGAATGGGGTCTTGTGTCTGACAACAGCCTGATCAGCCCGATAGAAGCGACTAGGGACGACCTGCTGATCGCCCACGATAAACAGTATGATCGTTTCATTGCTTCCGTGCAGTTTCTTGGATAGGTACTTGGACGGTCTCCGAAGTCCTTGCAGAGTGGCTGCCGTTTCGGAAGTATGTTTCGCATCGTGCATCCCCATGTTCATTTTGGACCGTTGCTTTTTGAAACCGATGCGGTTGTAGAGTCAGAATTCAAAAATTTCATTTCGGTTTTAAGGCTTCAAACTGGAGGCACAGTAGCCGCTTGTCGAATGGCGTTAGATAATGGATGGTCGATAAACGTCGGCGGCGGATTTCATCACGCTTCTCGTCAGTTTTCCGTTCAAGCAGATTCTCTCACTAGGGAACGTTTTTTACCCCCCGATTGAACTTTCGCTGAAACTTTGCTGAAGTGTACTTTAGGACTCCCTGATTCCAGAACAGAAAGAAAATTTCTCGCAATAGTTCTCGTTTTCGAGTTATGGAGCTTCAAAGTCCGCAAAATACGCAAATTAGGCCAAAAAAGCGCTATTTCGGGCTTTTGAAGCTCCATAACTCGAAAACGAGAACTATTGCGAGAAATTTTTTTTCTGTTTTGGAATCAGGGGGTCCTAAAGTACACTTCAGCAAATTTTCAGCGAAAGTTCAATCGGGGGGTAAAAAACGTTCCCTGGTCAGGAGGTTTAGTATTCTTTACCTTCTGCTTTCCAGGTTCCAGTGGAGGCGGTTTTTGCGCCTACGCAGACATATCTCTTGCGATTCGTATTCTACTCGGTCATCAACTTGTCCACAAAGTTCTAATCTTAGATGTGGACGCCCATCAGGTGTTTACATCAATTCTCTTCAGAAAAAACAGCTTTCTGGTCAGAACTTCATGAAAATAACAATTATAAAGGGAAATGGATACGAACAAGACTTCGCTGAAGACTCCGAGGTTTACATCATCGACGTCTTCAACCCGAACGTATATCCTCGCGATCGCCCAGCCCGTCAATTCATCAACCGCGCCGTGTACGTCGATTCCCACACCACCGACTCGACGTATATGAGGTGACTTGTGTGACTTTCGAGTGAGAATAACTGTAAACAAAGACTGATGCGAGAAGAGGTTCGGCTTTTCTTCACTTCGTTTCACTGCGACCTCCTGGTGTATAACGCAGGAACCGACTGTCTGGCAGGAGATCCCCTCGGAGGCTTGCGTCTCTCTCCACAAGTCAGAGCTTATGTTAGACATGTTTTGTGACATGTCTTCTTCTTTAGTGCATAATAGACCGAGACGAATTTGTTTTTCGGGCGGCGCGTGACTCGGCGACTCCAATCGCGATGCTCACTAGTGGCGGTTACCAGAGCTCTAATGCGGCTCTGATTGCTGCCTCGATAAGGAATTTGCACGAAAAACGACTGATTCACCTTTTCAAATAATCCAAATTCCCTTGGTAATCCGATAGACGTTATCAAAATATGTCTTTCCACTTTTTCTGATAAATTTTTAGGGTTTTCCACTTTTTTGGAGTGTTCTGTCGAAAGAGGAAATTTCGCTCGCCTTTGAACAAAATCAGCTGCGACACTTCTGCCGATGCTTTTTTGAAATCAAAAAATTTTCACCTTTTACAGTTGCAACACAAGCGAATGAAAATGAGTTTATGAAAGAACTGGGCGAAAACGAAAGAAAACCCGTAGAGAAAGACGAAAGCACTCGGAGTGGTCGACCAGTGAAAAACCGAGATCAGAGAGGATGGCCGGCGGCGAAGTGGGCCAAAGAGACGGTCCGCTGCGTCCTCGGCAGCACCGAATGGCATCCAACGGTGACGGACTGCGTGCTGCGTGTGTACCGCCATTGGCCGGTAGCCAGGTCACAAGACACTCTTCTCAACACTGCTACCTGCAAGGATATCATTCAGGAAGCAGTCGAAAAATCCAAGAAGTTCAAGTCTTTTCTAATAGAGAAAAAGTCTCGGACCGATTGAGAGAGCTACCACTTCAAGTGAAGAAAATACACGGAATGAAGAAAATACACGGAAGGCAAAGAATTCGGCGCTCTTCTATGTTTCAAAAGAAAAGTTCGGCTTTCTTTTGAACAAGCGCTGAAAGCGAATAAAAAACTGAAAATTCCAGAGAAAATATTCTGTTGGGGATATTTTCATTTCAAGTCCCAATACAACCAGAATCAAGTGTTTGAAGAAGTCCAAACCTGTCGAATGATCGGGACACAGAAGGCGCCAGAAGAGCCGCGACTTTTTCTACAGAGACATGTCGACTCAGAAATCATTTTCGGCTCGCGAGTCTCTTCGTAGTTCACCCTGAGAGAAGCCACGCTTTGAACTCTTGACTCTTTGGACTTACTTGGCCTCCCAGGGACATAGCGCTCGTTGCATTACCGATGCTTCTCCTTCTGCGCGAGGCGATCTGCCAAAACAGCATAAATCACTCAAAAGAAAAACTAGAGAAAAAAAATTTGAAAAAATCTGGACATGAAAGTATTTCAAAAAACTTACTTTTCTTTTAAACTTCGACGGAAAGTTACCAGTTTTGCTTGGGACCACCGAATGTCAGGAAAAAGAAAAGAAAAACTCACTTGGAGCAGATGGGCGGCTCACGGAGAAGCGGAGCCCAGTCTTCGACGGCTTCCTCGACGACGTTTCCTTCGAGAGACTCTCGCATCCAGGCCGCCAACTCGTCCTTCTGCAACTACTGATATGATCCGACGGCGACTGGCACGCCCTTCTAAAGGGCAAAAAAAAGACCTTGCGTCGCACTTCGAACACCCTCTAAAAAAAAAACCAAAAATCGCCACCCACGCCGTTCGCCACCATCTATCCTAACTTTTCGCACGTTTTTTTTTTGCCGTTGATTCGATTGAATCCAGTTTCAAATACTGTTGGGATGAATTCTTGAAAAAATGTTAGAATTAAAATAAAAAGTCTAAATCAGAAATTGAATAGTGGCTTTTTTAAAACTTTTTCATAAAAAATGATAAAACCAATTTGCAAGGAAAGCCATTTCACCCAAAAAATCAAATTTTTCTTAGCCTTCGGAAAAAAATTTTTGAGAGTACCTTTTTACTTCAAAAACTGGAATTTCAGCGAAATGCAACTTCGAGAACTGTCTTTTCGCATATCAGAGGTTCTGAGTAGTGTTTCATTTCATTTTTTTCAACTTTTCAGGAAAACAAATGAAAGCCAAAAAACGTTGTTTGAGGAATTAAAGGACAAAACGTACAAGATTGGGAGGCTCGCGGCAGTGTCGGAGAGCCTTGGGATGTCGTTTGGCAGCGGTGGCCGGCGGCAGGGCGAAAAGCAGGCAAACGAGTGCCCGCGAGATCATGGCCGGCGGCGAAATTCAAATGAACGTCGGTTGCGACATCTCACACCTGACCTAGTGACCGACCTTAAAAAGGGGTGGCCGCCGAGAAACCCGCAACTGTACCAAATTCTCTTGTTTCCCTCTTGCTTCAGCGCATAATCGACGTTTATGAACTTTTTCATTAATGATTGACTCACAGTTGAGAGCTTTTTCCGCCGTGTGACTGTGACAGAAGGGACTTTTCGCATCTTTGTAAATTTCTCACGGAGCAACAAACAAAGTGGTAACTAGCGATGAACTGCAGTTTGCTAAACTTCCTTCTTCAAATATCAATTTTGAGTTTTTCGTTTCTCTCGAGCTGTCATGCTGCTCTTCTTTCAGCTCAATCCTGAAAACTTCTCATTTTTGAGAACCGCTAAAATAAGATATAGGAAGTTTATTTTTCGGAAAACAATTTGTCACAACTTTTTATCAAATCACCGCCATTCAAAAGAAAAAAAACTTGCTCCAAAATGAAACATCTCCTTATTAAATATCCAGAACAAAGGAGTGTTTTGAAGGGAAAATGAGGACAAGCAGGAGATAAGAAGAGACGGAGACGCAAAAGTACGGAAGGAAAGCCATTGTGAACCCAGACGATTCCATCAGCGGGCCGAATGTCAGAGTACTGAACCACTTGTTCATTTCCAAAATGGGGTGATTACCTGAGAGTTGCCAGAAGCCACATGAAGCAGCGGGACCGGCTCGAGACCTTCACATCCGAAGAGTCGAACTGTTCTTCAAAAATAATGCTGCCTATGGAAATTTCGAGTCAACTACCACAAAGCATGCAGAGAGCCGTGTTGCAAGGCACAGAAAACAAGACAGGTAAGAGAAACAGCAAAAACTCCATCGCCAGTCTCTTATGCTGAAATCTTCGAAACTTTGCTACTTTTTCCAATTATTCTACTATTATTTGAGGGTTTTTTCAAGATTGAAATGAACCTGAAACGGCAGAAATGGATAGGAAGACGTGACGAGAATGAAGAACTGTGCAGTTAGAGACAAATAGTATCCTCCCAACACCAGAGCGCGTCTGAGAAGCTTTCCGGCAGTGAAAATACGGATCATTACCGTTTGTTGATGAATGCAGTGGAAAGGAAAATTGGGAGCAACTGGAAGAGGGGAAACGCCAGTGAAAGAGTCGTCGACGTGGTCCTCGATGAGCCGAAGTAATCGAAAAGAGTACGGCAGTAGGTCTGCATCAGTGGCACTCCGATCGACTAAATTGCAGTTTTCGAATTTCTCATCAAATTTACACTCTGTCAGCACTCGAATCTACAGAATGTTCATATCCTGATGACAATGATCAAATCAAAAAACCGAGGTGCCAGAGTTACTTCAGAGCTAACGTTTTTACCATGCCAAATAGTCACCGGAAAAACAAAAAAAATTACTATTCGTTCACTTTTTTCTTAAACCTCCGAAAACGGTTCAAAAACTGGTCGTAGGATGTGACAAAATTAATACAGTTTTTGGCTAGGCATCCATATAATCAAAGTAATCTCGGTACTGCTTTTTTTTTTAGCGCAAAAACTAAAATAAATAGACTGTCACCTCCTCTCCTTTATTTAGTTTTTATATTTCAGAAGAAAAAAAAACTGACAACGTTGAGGAGCATCAGAACGGACACAAAAGCATATGGATGACGGGAACGGACGATTTCCAGTTGTTCAGTTTGCGAAACGCTCAGCGTCTCTTCCGTGGCCGACGAAGCGTACTCGCTCGGTCTAGCCGCCAGGTAAGTTATTCCTCAAAAAAGCGCAGAATATCTTATTAAAAATCGGTCCAAGTAGAAAAATCCGTCTTTCGAGGTCATTTAAACATAATCAAAGCCTGCGGGAATACTTTCACAATCTCAAATTTTGAGTTCAGTTTCTAGCGCAATGACGCAGTCAATCGAGAAATCTTCGAACTCTATTTTCTTTGACGGTATTATGTGAACTTCTTCTTCAATGACTGGGTTAAAGTTTCACCAGAAGCTGCCGAGAACAATGCAGCGAGTGTGGAAGTCGAAACGTAGCCACGGAAAAGCGGCAGACAATTGGCGAAAAAAGTTCCAACGGAGAAAGCAGCGGCGAGGAAAAGGAAGTTCGAAGGTCGCAGTCGAGTTGGAACCGAAAGTCGCAGGACGACCGGCGCGCAGACGAAGCCGGCTCCGGCGCCGCATCCCATCAAGAAGCGACCGACAACTGAGGAGTTCTTGGAGAGGTTAAGGTTGCCAGAGGTGCAGACCTTGTGTGGGGAGCACTGGAAAGCAGGAGATGAGCGCTCCGAAGATAAGAGACACCGCGCAACGATCGAGGACAGCGTGAAGACAAACTTCGTTCCACAGTGATAGGAAAAGTGTCGAAATGAATTTACCTCAAAACATTTAAAAATATTAAACTGTTTATGTAAATATTTAAAACTCCCCATCACTTTTGTTTTACTTTTTTTTTTGTTAGTTTTGTTTCTAATTTAAAACCAAGTAAAAAAGGTGACATTCTGAGGGTTAAAAGTTAAGGTCAATATCAATGACGGACGATCGGAAAATGAAGGATGTTTTCATTTGTTCTTTATTTTCGAAAGTTTTCTATGAAAAGCTCGAAAGAAAAAACTCGAATGAATCGTTTGAAACCTAGCGGAAAAGAAGAAGAAACGACGGCAAACTGTACGGCGGAAAGTCCTTGGGGATCGACGGAACTTTGTTGAAAAATCTGGAGTGAGGAGACGAGCGAAAGGACGACAGCGAGGCGCATGGCACGACTGAATCTGCGACGCGCTCTGCATTTGACGTGTTCTTCAAGCAACCGAAAATTCAGAAAAAAATTTATACAACGATTCGAAAAATAGGGAGCGAGAAGTTCGCAATTTACATTGATCGGTAAGATGCATGCGAAAAAAAAAATTGAAAATTTGTTTAAAGTGGACAGAAAAAAAGCTACGTAAAGTACTTTCAGGTCCGTATCTTCACTTTGGGCTCTCAAAAAAACCACAAACACATGTCTCCGAAATGAATATCCAGAAGAGCATAGTTCAATCGAGTAAAAAAAAACATTGAAAACTATCATTGGAAGACGTTCAAGGTGAGGGAGAAATCCAAGTATCCTTACACAGGCAATGAATCGCTTGCGATAAGTGCAAACAGAAGGCAAAAGGAAGATAAGACATGAGTTCCTAAGAGTTGCTATTTTGGGGAGAAAATTCTTATGAGAAAAAGGTGGAATAGTATATTTATAATTCAATAATTCATCTCAGACGATTACTTTTTTTCCATCCGTTTTAGTCGTGCTTGATTCCCTTTGAAGACAAAAACTGAAAAAAAAAATGGTGAAAAAACATTTAAAAGAAGACATTCCTTAGCCAGATATATGCGGAAAGCGGTTTGATTTTACTATTCGCAATCTCCTCTTCCGAAGCATAAATCGGCTAGATCCCGCCCCAGCCTTTGTGCGCAAAAAAAATTTAAAAATGTACTCAAGTAGGATTATTATCATCTGATTACATCCCGTCGACTGGTCGGTCTCATTGCCGCTCTCTCATGGGATAATATTCCGGTGCCCGTCGGCCCTGGACAAGCTTGGCGCCGTACTGTTCCAATATGGTGAAGCAGTTTATTCGCTGGAACTACCAACTAGAGTTCTCAAAATGACCAATTGAAAAGGATGAAATTTTTCAAAAACGAAAAATTTTCTTTTTGACATTTCAAACGAATGTCGTTTTTGAAACATCAACCAAAATTGATCACTTTCATTCTTTTCATTTTGTGACTTTTCAAATAATGAATGAAAAATGAATGGTCATTTTCTAAACAATCATATTCTGACTAGTAAATAAATGTTCGCCTTAATGACCCAAATTTTCAAAAAGTGAAAAAGTAAATGTTTACTTTTTTTGGCCGAAATTTTTTTAAAATAAATTTCAAATGTTTACTTTTTTTGGCCGAAATTTTTCAAAATAAAATTTAAATGTTTACTTTTTTTGACCAAATTTTTTTCAAAGTGAAATTTAAATGTTTACTTCTTTGACCAAAAATTTTTCAAAATGAAATTTAAATGTTTACTTTTTTTGGCCAAAATTTTTTTCGAAAAAAATAAGAAATTGTTCATTTTTTTCAAATGCTCAGTTATGAAATTTAACCAAAATGAAATTTTTAACAAACGGTTCATGTGAAATTTAACTAATTTGTCGAATTCATCAAATGTTCGGAAAATGTTTGGTTGACCGTTCGTCCAAACATTTACTTTTGAGAACTCTACTACCAACCGGCCCACATTATTTCCCAACACTAGCTGTCACGCCGGGACTTATTGGACAACGATTGTGGACCGTAACCCGCGCCGACGACTAACTCTTCGATTATATCATGATTAAGCAGAGGTTTTTTCTACATCTTACTCTGAAGACTGAATAAATTGAATAAATTGAATGGAGTTGAAATGAAGTAGGCCGCACTTTTCGGGGGTTAGTCCGCACCGCGGGGTGAGATCTAGCCGACGTATGTTCCGAAGCTTGCAAAAGAAAATTGAGATTTAAAAAAAAAAAAAGCTGCGAGTAACTGTGGGAAAAACGTTGCATAGTGAAGACTCAAAGCTCAATTTTCTTTTTTCTAACAGTGACACTGCTTCGTTTTCAGATTCCCATGTTCTTGGAAAGACGCCAAGAAGGTGACTAACTTGGTCGAGGAGGCTGCGCGTGATGTGTACTGGTCCCGAGTTGGCGGCCGGAGTTCTGGGGTTGGCGTTGAGCTGCATCATGAGCCACTCGATGCTCAGACCGTCCTCTTTGCAGTAGTCTTCTCGCGCCACAGCCCCATCCACCACTTCTGCAACATCATTTCTTTATTCGGCCTTCGACTCGGCAACAACCTTGTATGACCGACTGCATAGCTTTTTGCCAGTCTTCTTCGGCTTTCGCCTTCTCAGGAATGATTCCTGGAGCCGAGGGAAAACAGACGACGATCATAGTCATGTTGTCCCGAGATCCCTTCGTTAGACATGCATCCAGAACCTGAAAACATGGTCATTTTGAACATCTACAGATTTTAGAAAAATTACAAGTGGCTAAAAGTAGTAAGAGTCCCATTGAAATCGAGAAATTGAAAACCAAATTTTTTTTTTCCAAGGAGTTAGAAAAAAAAACAAGATTTCTTCTATTTGGAAGATAATTGAAATCTTGGAAAACTCACATATATCTTACTGACTAGGAAATTTTTTTTACCCACTGCTTCAGCTTTTGATGAAACTTTGTTGAGGTGTACTTAAGGACCTCTGATTATACACTGCGACGCATAATTATAGACCCACCCCAATTTTTCCGATTTTGAGGAAGATTAAAAAACTTTCAGCCACCAAATTTTTTTTGTGATAAACCTTGTTGATAAGGAACATAATCATATCATAATTATCAATCACCCAGTTGAAAAGTTTTTCAAGATACGAGAAAATCTGATTTTTGACCGACGCAGAATTATAGACCCACCCCAGAGTTTTCCGAGTTTCCGTTTCCGGCAACACGTTTTTCCTGTTTTTTTCAGTGGTATATAAGAGAAAAAGTCCTCGTGTATCACTATGAACCATAATGCCTAAATCTACTCAAGTTGATAATACCGAAAAAGCGGTAATCGATGCTCTACTCAACAACGGCTTGTCCCATCGGGAAATCGCTCGTCAAACGGGTCACTCAAGACGAACTATTGACCGTTATGCAAGGAATTCGCAAGAATACGGCACAGCAATACATTCTGGACGGCACAGGCTGCTATCGGTTCAAGCTGAACGAGACGTCTGTCGAAAAGCATCAAACTCTACGAAGTCCGCCAACCAAATCAGATCCGAAATTCCTGAAAACGTCTCGAAGGACACCATCTTATGAACAATTCATCGGTCCTGTCGACTTGTGAATACTCCAATGAAGGCAGCACCTCGTCTACAGCAACGCCATAAGAATGAACGGCTCCAGTTTGCACGCTCCAACATGGCCACGGAATGGAATGAGGTATCAATTTTTCTATCACATTATGATTCCCAATTTTTCTGTTCAGATCATCTTTAGCGACGAGAAGAATTACAACCTTGATGGGCCAGATGGGTACGCTCACTACTGGAGAGCTTTGAGGAAAGATCCGATGTACTTCTCCAAGAGAAACTTCGGCGGCGGCAGCCTCATGGTCGGGGCGGCTTTCTGCGGCAACGGCACGGTAGCTCTTTCTTTTATTGGGACCAGAACGAATTCGCAAGACTACCAGCAACTGCTTGCCCAGCATCTCCTGCCCTATCTCCGTCGCCGACGACGTGCTAATATGATTTACCAACAAGACAATGCATCTGTTCACGCGAGCAACTCCACATTGGCTTGGTTTGCGGCCAATAACGTGGTTCTTCTGGACTGGCCCGCGTTCAGTCCTGACCTCAACCCTGTAGAGAATTCATGGTCAATCCTTGTACGAAGGTTCTACGCGAATGCCAAGCAGTATACAACGGTCAACGATCTGAAAAGAGCGATTCGTGCCGAGTGGGATGGTTTGGACAAGTCACTGCTGCAATCACTCGTTGGCAGCATGCCGAACAGGATTTTCGAAGTCGCTCAGAAACAAGGAGGCATCACACATTATTAATTAATTTTTTTGTTATACTTCGTTGACTTTGTGAAATGAATTTTTGTTCATTACTTGTAGTGGGTCTATAATTCTGCGTCGGTCAAAAAAATCAGATTTTTCTCGTATCTTGAAAAAAACTTTTTCAACTGGGTGATTGATAATTATGATATGATTATGTTCCTTAACAACAAGGTTTATCACAAAAAAAATTTGGTGGCTGAAAGTTTTTTAATCTTCCTCAAAATCGGAAAAATTGGGGTGGGTCTATAATTATGCGTCGCAGTGTATAACAAGAAAAAAAAATTGATTCGTTTCCGAGTTGTGAAGCTTCAAAGTTCGCACACTAAATCAGTGAATAACGACCAGAGGGGATTCTCGAGTACGCCCCTCAAATCCAGTTGGCTGCGTGATGTAGTGGCTACTGCCTTGCACTGCGGTGACTATGGTCAGGGTTCGAGTCCTTTTGAAGAACTTCATTTTTACCAAAACGTTTCCTGGTAAGATACTTATGAAGCTGCCGTTATTTTGTTTTATTTTCAAACGCTCATTGTTTATTGATGTGCTTGAGCCTATACCATTTTTTTCCCCCCGAAAACATGAAAACACTAGCTCAAAAAAGTAATAATAAACTTCTGACAATAAATTCGACAAAACTACGGCAGCTTCATAAGAATCTTACCAGGAAAATTTTTGGCAGAATGAAATTCTACAAAAAAACTCGAACCCTGACCAAAACCACCGCAGTGCATGGCGCTAGCCACTACACTTCGCAGCCAACTGGGTTTCAGGGCGCGTACTCGAGCAAAATCCCCTCTTCTCCTTTATGATTGATTTAGCGGGCGAACTTCGTAGCTCCCTAAATCGAAAACAAGATCTATTGCGAGAACTTTTTTCTAGTGGAATAAGGATCCCTTGAAGTACACCTCAACAAATTTTGATCGAAAGTTCAACCGGGGGTAAAAAAAAAAAGTTCCCTAGTGAGTAGAACTTTTACTGTTAGATAAAGAGTCGACTAGTAACGCGCCACTATCCTAATTATTTACTCTGATCTGGAAAAAAAAATCGAACCTCATTACAAACTAGCTTGAGGTCGGTGTGGACGTTGAGTCTTCCGCGCACGAAATTGGCCAACTCATCGTTTTCCATCACGTCGTAGACGCCGTCGCAGGCAAGCACCATGAACTCGTCTTTCTCCTGAAATCGAAGTACAAAGAAAGCCCGAGTAAGCTCACGTGGTTGCGCTTGAGAACGTAGACGTCTGGTTCCGGCGAAACCAACTGTTGCACGGCAGGCAGTCCTGGCACGTTTTTGTACTCGAAATCGCCAAATGCTCTGAAAGGCAGAACGATTGAAAACCGTTGAACTAAATTTCAATCGCAATCAGAAAATGTTCTCATAAATCATTATAAAACGCAGTTGGGAAGACTGTAAAACTGTTAAACGAAGCGTTATTTATTTATTTCATTTTTTTCTTCACACGGTTCTACTTGTCAAAATGCTATATTTCTTTTCTTTTTTCTTGATTGCTCGAAACTCTCACGAGTGTTTTTCGTGCAGTTAACATAAGTCTAAAAAACTTTGTGAATTATAGTTTCTCCTGAATGTAAGTCTTCATCCCTAAATAGGGCGCAGGCTAAGCCTGCGCCTAAACAGAAGGAATCTTATACAAAAAGGAAAATCCGTTGAAATTCTGAGCAAAATCCCTTTTTTCTCCTATATTTATTCACTCTTTTCAAACAAGAAAATCGATTCTCCCGTCTCATAAATTTCATTCACGGAATCCAGTTTCTTTGAAAAATAATTTAATTTTTTTTTCAAATAATTTTGAGTGATACCTGCTGACGGCAAGACTACCGTTTATTCTCTGGATCATCACCGAGCCGCCCGCTTCTTCGATCCTCTGCCTTTCCTTGTCGTTGTAAGGCTGGAAAAATACAATTCATCCAAATCGCAACAATTACAAAGGGGCTGATTTTGAAAAATAACAAAGATGAGGTAAATAAAAAACAAAAAAGAAACCTTGTGATCCTCGGTTCCGAACGCTGGCTCTTGTGAACGGGATAATACTGCTCGGGAATCTCCTGCAATAAAAAGAACCATTACAAAAAGCTTATTTTTCAAAGTTTCATTGAACTTCAGTTCAACACATTTGAAGAACGTCAGAGCGATACCGAGATTAGCGATGATGATGTGAGTTGGTGTGAGAATAGCACAAACAGCCGTGGATCCGCTTCGATTCTGAAAAAAAAGACTTTGAAAACAGTTTTTGTGAGCGGAAAGAACACATTCCTGTTAGTTCAGAACAACACTTCCGACATTTAAAAATTATACCTCCGATGGGTAAATGATGTCAATAAGTTCCAGCATTGTAATTTGGCCATCAAAAAAGAATTGTAGGAAAGCTCCTTTCAAAAACAAAAAGCTATTTTTTTGTCAAAATAATGTGTCACCTTTTTTTCTCCTTATTTACTTTATGTTCTTATAACTTGATGGAATTTTTATTCTATTAGGTTTGAAATGAAATTCATAAACTCTACAGTTCATGTGAGAAATGATGGTAGGAAGGAATTTTGGTTCCCCGAATATTCGGGAGCGTTAATTGTGCATACACCAATCTTGGGGGCTCGAATCTTTGAAAATTTGAATCTTTGAAAACGATTCTTGGGAATATTCACCTTTTTTTTGAATTTCCATCTTTTCTTTCCTTCATTTTTTTTTCTTTGTCGTTCTATTGTGAGGATGTCGTGTTTCGACCACAAATGAAGACTGTGATATTGTTTTTAACTAACTTTTTTTCAAATAATGCGTCTTTCTCGCATACACTTTGTCAAAGATTCACTGCAGAACGGCTACCACATTTTCATTCACTCTGTATACATTCTCCATCAATTTCCGTTTTCAAAAAAATTGGAAAAACTATAAAAAATCAGAAAAGAAGTGAATATTCCCAAGAATCGTTTTCAAAAATTCAATTTTCAAAGATTCGAGCATCCAAGATTGGTGTATGCACAATTAACGCTCACAAATATTCGTGGACCCAAAATTCCTTCTACCATCTGAGAAATCTGTTCAATTGGAGAGAAAAAAAAAATCAGATTTTCGACTAAAAATCAAATGTTTAATCCAGAGAAATCGCGAAAATATGATTAAATTATCATTTTTTCTTTTAGCGTTACTTTATATAAACTTGAGAAACTTGAACGTTTATCAGAGAAATTTCAATATCGAACTGGGCCCCATTTTCGTTAATCTCACTCAAAAATCCCATGCTCCTACAACTGACCGTGTCGAGTTTCTGGCGGATTCTCTCATCCAAAGACAAAAATCCGTGTTTGATGCCTTCTTCCATCAGTTTCAGACATTCGTCACTCAAGACGCCGTTGTTGGACTTCAAAGACGCAGTAACCTATACAAAAGCAATCATTTTCTGCGAGAGTCGAAGAAGGGAAACTTTTTCGAACTGCTCCGTGTCGATGAGCGTCTGAAGAATGTTTTGAGCAGCGTCGTCGGCGGCCAAAGACCCTGCATGGCCGTCAAAAACGGCAAAAAAAGACCACTCTTTGTAAGGCTCTCGGTCGGCCATAGAAACCTCAAAAGTATATATTAACCACCTAGTTTTATCTCATTTTTACCTCAACGACATGGGCATCTTCCATATCCACACGCCATCCTTGCATGCTCGACATGGCGTATTTCAAACCCTAATTTTTTTTTTATTTTGTTTCTAATAGCGAAAACATTGGTAGAGCTATTTTATTAAAAATATTAAGCTCAAAAATTTTTATTATTACCACAAAAAAAAAACTTTGAAAAATTCCAGAAGGCTAGAGAAAGTCAATAACGTTGATCGAGAAACTACTGAAAACTTGTTACAAAAAAAAAACAGAAAATATTTGTTGTAGAGTTGAGAAATTCTGAGCTCGATCTTCAGAAACGTAAAATTTCGTTGAAAGAAGTTTCCAAGAGAAAACACTCACATTTCCTTGGCCGTCAGTGTTGGTCTTGACCGTTTTGGGTTTATCCAGAAAAGCACCCATACTGTAAGCGTCGGAACACTGGACGAGACCTTCTCGGGTTATGCGCCAAGTACGAAGCGAGGAGTTCGCCGGTACAACTGGTAGTGGCTCTGTGGGAACATATAAACGCTTTTAAACGTATTTGACCTCGCGAAAAAAAAAATTAGTGGATTTCTTCGTACGGGAACATCAAAGGAACCTAAATTCAAAGCCAATTGATGCAGTACTAATTAACCTCGCTTCTTTATTTTTTTTTTTTAGAATGTCTCGTGAGAAGAATAAAAAAAAAAGCAAAGCTGCGTAAATGAGCCAACAATAAAGCAACATTGATTTTCTACTTGTGATCTACATGAATTTACAAGATTCCAATTTTCGAAACAAAAGTCAGAGCTTTGAAAAGGAAATGACTCGTCAAACCTTGAAAAATATGAACAAAGGGATACCGTCACTGAAGCGCGGCTGAAGAATGGAGGAGACTGTAGGAAGACGAGTCGACGACGTCACGGCGGTCGACGGAGAGAACTCTTCTGGCTGAGAATCCACAACTGACGCTGAGATTTGCGATTTAGCAGGTTGAGCTGGGCCTATACAAGACATCTCCCATCTCTGAAACACCGGGCGCCGGAATAAGCATGCAAGGTTGCGAGAAGGAACGTGAAGAAGGCTAATCAAAAACGTGAGGTGAGCTTATGAGAAACTATCCACAATTTGACCTCAATCATCAAAAGACTGTTGTAAATCCTTTCTATTATCAATAGAATACTACTTTGATAATCACAATATTAACATCAAAAAAATTACTAGTAAACCACAGAGAATTTTTTTATGATGTCGTATAATCTTTAAAGATATATCACATATTTCTGATTACCATGTTTTGAACGTTGACTTTCCATGAAAAAGAGGAAAATTCTTGAAAAAGGCTAGCAAAAAATTGCTGCTTTGATTATTGGTGCCTTTTCGGATCATTAATAAATCGCTAAGGCTCATATTTGTGAAAAAAAAAGTATGAGTGTTTGATAACTTATCTGAACTGTAAATGAATTAACAAGAACAATACGAAAAGAAAGCGTTGCTTAAGAAAAAAGTTTAGTTCGTAATTACAATTATCTATCTGTACATGACACTTAAGTAAAACTAATAAACAACTTAATTTTTTACGGCGAGCTGCCAAATAGAGAAATACGAACGAAGGTTTGAAAAAGTAACTCGATTTTATGTCCTGTATTTTCGGAAGCGTTAATACCAAGCAAGAGAAACATTTTCTATCAAAATTGAGGCATGGTGCGAATTGACGCGGAGAAAAAATAGAGCGCGCTTATCTCAACGACATACTCGATAATGGTCGAGTAGAAGCTAATTGATTTTCACTTTCCTCTTGGCGGACCATTTTTTATTAAATACGAAAAAAAAGAAACAAAAACCGAAAGACCTATTCCAACAGAAAATACAAAATAAGTGAAAAGAAGAATTTAAATAATATGAAATCAAGTTTTCTTTATGAGTTCATTTGTACTTGCGAGGAAAAATCGATCCTAGTAGTAAACATATCGAAACTCTGGACGTACACCTGTTTTCTTGGGCCAGCAGTTGGATGCAATACATTTCAAAAGAGAATCAATGTCACGTGCCAAACAAATGACATCATCGAGAAAAAGGTCTATGCGTTTTTATTTTTGTACCCATACGAAATAGCAGCTAATAAAATGGCCTGAGCTTTTTTTTTCCTAATAAATTTAAAACGTTTGAAAACTTAATTTTTAAAACTCTACTAGCTTTAGATTCCGTCCAAATTATTTAATTTCAAAAATAAAAAAACTAATTTTTTTCACAATTCAGAAAAAAAGGAGTTTTTTTCACCAAGACTGTGAAAATTGCATACTTCAAAAATATCATTATTACTTTAATACTTTTTTTAAATTATTAAGACACAAAGTCAATTAAACATTTTATTCTTCGCTCAAAAATATCAACAGTATTAAAGTTCTTGAGAAGGGAAAGAAGCATTGAAAAAGAACTATTTTTTTTTCTCTATTTCAAAAAAACTTTTGAAAAAGATATTAAAAATGATTTTTGACTTTGTGGAAGAGGGTATTCGAAAATAGTACTGCGAACGATAAATGAACGGCTAATTAAGTGACGAAACTTAAAAGAGCAATATAATGTTGCATAACTTTCAAGTTTTTTTTCCTATTGGTTAATTTTTGATGGGAAAAGTATAAATAAAGGACAAGTTGTAGTATGGTTGAAAAAAAAAAATAAAAGTTAAGCAACAGTATGGTACGAGTAAAATACATAGTGGTACAGATTAAATACGCCTAGATGACATAGATTTCAATTTCCAAATGCTTTTTCACTCTAGTATAAAATAAATTAAAAAGCAAAAATGTCATGAAAAAAGTAGCTCAAATATTTACAATACTGTGTCCATGGTTAATTTGACACGCGGAAAATAGAGAATTAGAGACCGACTGTGGGAATGCTTAGTATACTTAAATGACCTTCAACTAAATTCGCCGCCGCTTTTCCTCAAATGAATTTGCAAGAGAGGCAAAAATATTTTGTTTTCGTAGCAGGATTTCAGAGCTCATGAAGTGCGTTCATAATAAGACGCCAATCTACATCCGTTCGCGCAACTCAGGTGCATAAGCGCTTTTTTCCGGGAATCTTGATATATAATGGCGTGTTCATCGGACAAAACGAAAATTGTTCCGAAACGCGAAAAAATTGCTTCAAAACGAAAATGAGTACTGTTTTGAAGCAACTTTGGCGCGCCAATGAACACGATTTTTCGTTTCGAAGCATGTTTCGTTTCTCCAATGAACACGCCATAATATCCATTTTTTTTTAACAGAGCGTGTTTTAAAACGCAACGCAACAAAATGTCTTGAAAACAGAATTGATTGTTTAAAACCAGCTCTAAGGTGCGAATGTGCACTTTTCTCATCTGATACACTTCGTTTCTACATTTAACACGCCATTATGACCCTCACGTCATTTTCGACTTTCAAATATTTAAAATTTTGAAACTTTAGCAGGAAGCTTTTTTTCTAAAGAAAAATTACTTAAAAAAATTTTTTTCTTGTTGAATTCAATGGAATAAATATCACGTCAAGTGCAATTTTTTTGTTATTTTTTTATTTTTTTAAGGAGGTATTTTTTTAAAATCACAAACATAGGCAAACCAAGAAAGGGGATTGCGATACCCTCTGAGGTATATCGCAGGCTCTGAAGTCTCACGATGGTACCTCGAGGATACCTCTGAGGATTTCGAGCGAAATGAGAGGGGCTTGAGAGAGACTCTAAAGTACCTCCAAGATGGCTCAGATAGAGCAAAAAGGTATGCTGAAGGTCTCACGATGGACATATTATATGGGGTCTTTACGATCCATTTTGAGAGATATCTTTGTGGACACATTATGGTACTTTCTCGATTCGCCTGTGAACCAAAAGGAATAGCGTTTCCCAATTCGAACCTAGTAATAAATAGTTAGGGAAATCCTAATGTTTAATAATTTTTCTCACTTATAATGTTATATATGAAACGTGAGTTCTACGGTGGTCGTTTATTCCTTTATATGTTAAAAGCTGAATTCTCGAAAGAGTAGACAAATTTTCAGACAGACTTTTCCAAATTAAGTTTCTTTTCCTCTTTAGTCTGAAGACCTTAGATTCATATAAGGAGAACATCGAATCTTGATATCATTACTCATAAAAAGGAAGGTTTTGATGTGAAGAGACGATAATTGACGGATGCTGCGGATTTGAAGCAATTTTTAGAAGCAAAAAAGATGCATTCAATTGTCGAACTTTTTACTGAATTTTTTTGTGATAAAGCTTCTATTTCTGTAAAATGTATTATTTATATCGAGGATAGCTGGAGAATCAATAGTGTTCGAAAATTGGTTAAACATTTTTTTTTTCTTCAACCTGACTGAGATCCTCACTGTTCTTCAAATTAACGGCACGTTGTTCATTGTTCATTGTTTCATACCGGAAGCGAGTGAATATCGTACTTAAAAAACGATAATAGCCTGAAAAAAGAGGAAATTTTTTTTTGCTTCGAGGCATGTTTATAGCTGATTCACGGCTGGCTTGAGCCATCGAAAAAAGGGTCCTGACACGATAATGCACGAGACAGCGCCTGGCTCGTGGAGAGCGCAGACAGGACACGCCCCCTTAACGTCCCAAGTTAGCCGTGAATCAGCTATACAGTGTGCAGTAGAGTTCACCAAACCGATCGTTCGACCAAACGTTCAACCAATATTTTCATGACATGTTACCAAAAATATGATTGATTAACATTTCTTGCTGCCGAACGATTAACATGTCTCATGATTATGATCTCTCGTTTTTTCGACATGTCAACATTTCATTTAAATGAGAGATCATTTTGAATCGATCGTTCAGTTTTCGATTGATCGAAATATTTTATTGAAAATATTGGTCGAAATAATGATTGATCGAAATGTTGTTTTGAAAATATTGGTCGAAATATCGATATATCAAATTTTCGTATTGAAAATTTTGTCAAAAAAATGATTGATCGAAATTTTTTATTGGAAATTTGGTCGAAAAAATGATTGATCGAAATTAATTTTTGTTAAAAAGTATGTTTAAAACTACTGCTTAAAAAAACCGCTTCTCTTTCAAATGTTCATCATAATTTCTTTTTTTGATTTTTTTGTAATGGAATATCATCATCGTTTTTTTCTGTTTCTCTGTGTTCACTGGTACTAAAAAGCAAAAAAAATTTCTACAATGCTATATAGACTATAACAAATAAGTTCAAGAAAAAAATGCAAAACTTTAATTTGTCGGAAAAAAATTAAATATTTTTCACCTTTTTTTACTAGTACTCCGGAAACCTGCCCCTTGTGAGCGATCTGTTTTGAAAAATCGATCGCTCGGAATTTCGATCGATCAAAATTTTATGCTCAAAATATTGGTCAAAAAAATGATTGATCGAAATGTTGTTTTGTTAATATTGGTTGAAAAAATGATCGATCGAAATGTTGTATTGAAAATATTGGTCAGAAAAATGATTGATCGAAATGTTGTATTGAAAATATTGGTCGAAAAAATGATTGATCGAAATTTTGTTTTGAAAATATTGGTCGAAATATCGATATATCAAAACGTTGAAATCCAATGATTGATCATTAATGTAAGAGATCAAAAACTGATCTAATAAACGATCTCTCAAAAAATGACATGTTAAAATTTGGTTGAACAGTGACATGTCAATAGTTTGATCAATTTAAATGGTTGAATGATCGGTTTGGTGAACTCTAGTGTGCAGCATAATTGCTGTGTCGCAATTATGCTTCAACATAATTCACTAAATGAATCTGTTTACATATTCCTAACGATAGAAGTATTTCAAAAGAATTTTTTTCTTCTTTTTGGGTCCAGCATTGTGCGAATAGAATGGAAATAACTATGCTTCCAGACAATTCTCACAGCCCGATATTTTATTGCATAACTGATCATGAAAAACTTCTGCAAAACATTTGAAAAAATATTTATTTTATTGGTCAACGAATGAACGGAGAAAACTGGCGCAACCGTGCCAATCCCAGACTGAGCAGCTGCGCCGAAACGGCAGCGAAATCAGGATGAGATTTGCACGGCGACGACGGACGATTCGACTTCAGAAGACGAAGAAGGAGCGACGTCGTCGGGACGAATGCGCGGAGCCGAGTGAGGCGACGGGCGGCGTGAACGATGCCACGTCATGCATGCAATGCGTTAGACAAATACCACTTTCCTTATTCACGGGGCCGTGTACGACGAGTGTTAGGATTAGACACCATTCCTGTGATAATACAGCACAAATCGATTTCTTCGATGACGCGCCAGGTCCTGAGAGTTGAAAACTGAAAAATGACACGTCGAATGGGGCTTATCTGCAGTAAGCCCAAAAAACTGAACTGCTGATAAAGGAGGAGGTCTGGTTGAATTCTTCACGATGAAATCTTTGTCAATGGGTCCAAAAACTTCTACACATTGATAACTCAACCATAGCAGTGGGTTCGAACAGAAACTTTGTGAAGAAATCTTCAAATTACGTCATTTCCGCATTTGGAATATGATAACCACTGTAGAAAAACATTTTTCCTCGCCAAAACATTTTACAGCATTGTCATATTTTTTGAAAATTAGTCAGCGAGAAAATTTTCCTCTAGCAAATCTATAAAAATGTTCAATGTGACTATTTTTCATTTTATTTTTTTTTTCTATCAATTCAGCCGTACTCATTTGTATTTTTTGTTAAAAGTAAGCTCAATAAGGTTCAGATGAATCAGTGAAAAAAAATGTCCTGCAGAAACCGAGAGAATCTCGGTTATCTTGAGCAGAAGGCGGATCTTTTTCCCGAACGGAACAAGAGCTGAGTGAACGATTTCTCTGCAAAGAGCCTTATGAAGATGGATCGTGGAAGTGCGAAAAGGATTGTGTTACATATAATACGCGGCTCTCAAAGGACTCGTTCTGTCCGATGAATTCGGACGTCAGCGGCGGCTGCCCTGTGAAATCTTCGAAGGCAAGGTTGGTCCTTTTGCGACAAATGAGAAGATTTCGCTCGAGCGTGTAATGGATATCGGGAAATCTTAGAAGCATGTCCAGCGCAGATAGGCAAAGTAAACTTGTAACAAAATCCGGAGGGTTTTGGACAAAGTCAACTTTGGCATTCGGGAGTCGAGTCCGACTTCCCGTCGTCAGAATTCCCTCGCGCCGGAGAAACGCGTCAATCGCGGCGGCACTGCCGCGGCGCAATCAGCTTCTGATGCCCAGGAAACGGAGGTCCGAAGACATGGATTGTCGTCCGCTGGCTCAGCTCGAGGAGCCTGAGGACGACCTGCAGCCGACCCTCGACCGCTTCGCCGAAGACACTTCCATGCTCGGCTTTCGTTATCTTCACACACGATACAAAACGTGGTTCCGGTGAGTCTCATGTACACAAAAACGTCTGATTTCAGACAATTCTCGAGAATCAATATAGAAGAGGCGTGAAAATGAGTTAAGGAGTCTACTTTCAAGTTTATAAGCATTTCTCATTAAAAATTTTCTCCTTTGAATTAAAAAAAAAAATTAACCTGGATGTCAAATTTTAACGCGGTATCAAAAAGATTTATATGGTAGAAAAAAAGAGGCGAGTGCCGCAATACTGCGTGAAAAGAACCATCTGTGCTTTTATGAAAGAAATTTCAGAAGTTTCTTGTTTTTTTTTTCTTTGCATTTTCAGCGCTGAGTGATATCAAAAACGAGGTGCGATTGAGAAAATGACTCAGAAGTTTGATGTTGATAGGTAGTTTTCGTATTTATTATGTTTTTTTTTTGAAGTTGTCTTGAAATACTTTTCAAACTTTCATCATTTTCTCCTGCTTTTAGGGTTCTCTGGGCTCTGGTGCTTTTTTTCTTCATAGGTCTGACACTCTATCAAGTCGGAGAACGCATAACCTACTATTTCATAAGGTGAACGTTGAAGTCAGAAAATGAAGAACAAGTTGTTTTGAGAAACCCGCTGACGACACGGCGGAGCTACGAAACGTTGCCAAAGATGTATTTTCCCACAGTCGGTGTCTGTAATAAAATGCAACTCAAGTTTTTTTTTCCAAAGATGTTTTGGCAAATGCTGAGTTTTCAGGGCGTCAGCAGTGGCTGCGCGAGATTCGGACCTTCTCAAAGCGCTCTGTTTGGTACACGAAAACAACGGCTCCGTTTAGAAATGTTTCTTTCGTAGAGCTCAAAAGTTTTTTCAGGTCACCAAAAACAGAACAAACTTGAAGTACCTAAACAATTTCGATGCAGTCGACTTAATGGACATTTACCGCCATGGATTCCAAACTGCCGACGACTTATTTGTCAGGTGGAATCAAAAACTCCATTTCTATGTCGGATCCATCTGAAAGAAAATGAAAAAAAAAACTTTTGTGATTAAATTTTGGGTCTTTTTTAAAGTGCTTGCCAGATAAAACAAAAGACAAGTACAAAAAGTGGGCTGCAAACCTTTACGACAATCTTAATAGCTTGAAAATAAGTACTTCAAAGAAAATTAAAAGGCGCAATGAATAGATTCGAATAAAATAGTAATAGATCCTTAATTGAAATCGTGTGACGTATCCCAATATGACTTACTAGGGAACCACGCGAACTCGTAATCGCGGATCGAGTTCAAACTTTAGTGGTTTATAGACCCAAGTATACTTGAAAATACTCAGAACAAGAGAGAATATCTGCTAAAAGATAGAAAACTGAGAAAATTTTGTCGAAAATGTGCAGATTAGGCTTGAAAATTCTCATAATACTGCTTTTTACCTTATTTTATATTTTAATACAGTCGCCTTGAATGATCCGGCTATGATAAACTTTAAAAAACTTTTTTCAAGCCAAAAGGAGGAGGAAAGCAAAAATTTGATTATTTTCAAGTCTAAACTGTTCATTTTCAAAAATCTTTTTCTTAGAAGCCTATGGGGTTTAGCAGATGATCTCTCCTGTTTTCAAGTACTCTTACCCGGGTCTACAAGCCACCGAAGTTTCAATTTGAAACACGTACCCGAGTCCGAGTAGTTCCCCAGTTAGGCATTAAAATTTAATCAAATTTCTGAAGAATCTTGGATCTGATTGATTTTTTCTTTAAGAAAGGAATGAAGTTGGTTTAGCTGCGAGTTCGGGAAAAGTGGCTCGTGTCAAGACGACATCCGGCCAATGCTGACGCCGAACGGACTGTGCTTCGCAGTGTCGCCAAACAAAACAGTTCTGCGACCCGGTCCTGAAGCGACCTTGTCTCTGCTGCTCAATCTAGAGGTTCACGAAATCATTCCTGGAATGGCCATCGAACCAGGCGTCATCTTCTCCATCTACGACGGTCAAGACTCTTTATCGCACTTCACAGAAGGGATCCACCTCGAGGCCGGCAAAGTCGTCACCATCCCTGTCAATGAAGTTCGCAAGGTACGAAACTGTCTCTTACTTTCGAGACCTGTATTCAGCTCCAACGATACGAAGGCAACTGCGGGACGTCGAGGATGGACTCGTTCTCTGAAAAAGAGTACTCCAAGGCGGCCTGTGAGTGGACACGCAGCGTACGGCAGATCGAGAAGCTCTGCCACTGCAGGCCAATGATCAATCCCGTCTTTCGAGGCTACATGAGCGGCGGTGTGAGTTCTAGTCATTTCTCAGCCAAACTCCTTCTTTAAAAGGCTCAATTTCCGATTCAAAGAACATTCAACCAAACCGAATATTATTCCAAAGGATCAACCATCTGAACCCACTAATGATTATTTTTTGTTTTGAATCAGTTATTTTTCTCAAAGAAAATTTTTAGAAAATTGAAATTGAGCTTATAATTGGTGGAACTCGGAAATATTTTTGTGTAGACAACTTTTTTAATCGAGTATCTACAGTTTAATAACCTTTCAAAAAAAATGAGAGCGACCACGCCGAGTGAAGATTTTATTAAAATACTTGGAAATACTATTTTTGGTTCAAAAAAAGGCTGTGAATGTTTCATCGATTAGAAAATTTGAAACGTTTGAAACTTTTATTCAGTCTTCAGAGAAGATTCTCTGCTGAATCATGGAATAAATGAAGAGTTTTTTGTCGTTTCGCAAAACTTTCGTTGATCGGCGCGTAGAGCATCTCGTCTTTCTTGTGATAGTAGTAGACGATTTTCGAGCGTTCCGACGATGAACTGCTTCTCCATGTAGGAACAGCACGGCGCCCAGCTTGTGCAGGGCTGACGGGCGTCGGATTAAATCTCAGACGAGAGCGGGAATGAAGAACGACCACTCGGGTAGTAGAAATGAGATAACAATAATCCATCAATTAGAAATTATTTTAAATTCAGCATGTCAGCAATTCGAACGCAACTCCACCTAGAAAGTCAAAGAAACGTCTTCCGATGTGCACGTTGAGACAAGAGCTGGAATGCGTCCAGGAACACATGGTAAGTTGCTCGAACGTTTGATCGGATTCCGATTCTCACAGCTGACCATCGGAGCACATGTCGACGAAAAAACTTGTCCAGAAGACTGCGAAGACATTTCTTTCTCTTCCATCGTTTTTGGTGGAAAACTCGTGAGTCTTAGAAGTTGCCAAAGTAATTACATTTTGGAGAAACAAGAGAGCTTGAAAATAACTCCCACAGTTTTTTCCCCCATTCTACTTTCACATTGAGGTTCATTCGGAAATACTATCTCTGCTGCCGAGCGACTGGGAAGAGACCAAGGAGAAGCGACTTGCCAAGTACCAGGTGATTCCCTGAAAAATATTGGGGATCTTAGTTTCCTTAGAAAGCCCTCGAAGTGATTCCGAACGACAGGATTCCCGTCGTGAGAAACGTGCAACAACTGGCCTTGGAACTGCAGGAATTCGTCTCCGAAGCCACTCAAGTCAGAATTATCAAAGTCAATCTTTACTCTAAAAATTCAGATTTTCGACCAGAAGGGAGATGCTCCTTCGTCGACAGTTGCCTGCATGGCGCCTAATGGACGATCATTCGAAGCCTTTCTCAATCAAATAAATGCTCAGGAGTCTTTTTGGGAACGAATTACGGCGTAATTACACTTATTTATTATCTTTAATTGCTTGGTCCAATTTTTTTTTTTCGTACGTCAACGCATTCTCTTCATTTGTTTGTGTACGAACAGAGTGAGGAAAAAAAAGAAGTCGAGCCAAATTTTTTTTAATAACTGACGAATGAGATGAGGCACAAAGCAAAAACTCGGTTCTCAGCTCGTCAAGGCGCAACTGAATGGACGGAGAAGAAAGAAACGAAGGATCGTAAGATCCTGTTTTCAACTTGATCGACTACACACTCTAGTTCGCCAGAGGCGGTTGTTCGATATGGCTTCGAAAGTTCTTGCTCACCGCCTAGTCGGTTACATTTATGAATAAGCAAAATATTCACTGAAAAATCGGAGCTTATAATCGCACGCATATCAAAGAAAAAACTTCAGTTGGAACTTTTGCAGATTTAACTTCTTTTTTTTTGCTTACTTACCAAACGTTTTCTAAAGGAAAACTCTGCAGATACGTGCAGAGGTCGCTGGCTAGAGAACTCAACAGCACGACTCTGTGCATCGGAATCCGACTCGACGACGACGGTTCCATTGACGAGAACTTCCCTTCTCAAGTCAACACCTCCTTGGTAGGCCAACACCTTCTCTCAAGCTTTCTAACCTGTCAGTTAACTCTCGTCTTCATATTCAGGATATTTTCAACGTTAACCACATTCGGTTTAGAAGAACGAGAGATGAAAAAAAAAAAATTAAGTGAAAGATTGTAAAAATTTTTGAAAACGCGCAAATTTTCCGCATTGAGCCATATTCAACTAATTCTTTACATATACGTATGTCTATAAAAATTGTTGGACTAAACTCAGAAACTTGGTCTTCAATCTTCTCAAAAATTTCATATAGAAAGGTAGAAATACTAGTGAATCAGCTACACACTAAGAATAACTGCCGAGATAAATGCGAGACACTGGCGGTACATTGACGAGCTCGCAAACATCTCGCATTTTTTCTCGCGCCGGTCTCGCATTTTTCTGGGCGCCAGCTCGCACTTTTCTGGGCGCGAGCTCGCTTTTCTCTCGCAATTTGAAAATTTCCGAAATGCAAGATAAATGCGAGATGGCGCCGAGAAAAATGCGAGGTCGCGCCGAGAGAAATGCGGGATCGCGCCTAGAAAAAAGCGACATTTTTGCGAGTTAGTCAATGTACCGCCACCGAGCTCGCGTTTATCTCGTCAGTTATTCTTAGTGCAGTCAACACGTATACTTTCCGTCATACCACATATTGCACATGATCTCGATTTCGTATTCCAAAAACTAAGAGCAATCCCTATTTTATTGCTGCTTTTTGTAGGCTTCATTAGCCTTGCTGCATCTGAGTGAGATCGAAAACGCCCTACAAACTCCTAGCTTCAACTACGGGCTCAAGATGATGCGGGAGAACACCAGGAAAATCGTCCTGACGATGGGTGGGCTAGGCTCAAGACGAAGAACCGTCGATTGCAGCGCTGCCGTTGATTCGCGACATGCGCGACTGCGTCAAGAAGATGTACGACAACGAAGAAAGAGTCGGAGAAATCGCTCAGGATTGTCGTCTCGTGGGTCTTGTTCTTTCAGAATTTTATACAATCAAACTTTTCGATTTTTCGCGAGCGCTACTCGCCTTTCCTTGACGCATCGCTTTTCTACACAACCTTAAACTTTCAAAATTTCATTTTTTCTAATTACTTCGTAAGTTTTTTTTTTTTGAGCCGGTAAACAACTTGACGCAGGATGAAATTCGAAAAATAACAACACGTATCAGCCAACTCAGAAACCGGGTGAAGATGGTCAATTGGCACAACCACAACATCAACTTGAAGGAGTTCGAGAGCCTCTACAGGTGCAGCTCCTGAAATTCAATAGAAACCATTTATAATGCAGAGAAGGTGCCAAAGACCATAGCGAAATCGAAGAAACTCTGAAGCTACGAAAACTGATAGTTGCTGACATTGCAGAAGCAGTTTAAAAGTGGTTTAGATTCTCTCAGCAGTTCGATCCTAAGGTAGAACCACTGAAGAAGTCGCTGGCGGCAGCTTTAGAAGCTCGCGGGCGATTTCTGTCCAAGGCCGGAATGGAAAACAACGTTTCGCGCATTGAACCGATTCGCCAGAGCGTCCAGTGCCTCAAGGAAATGATTCGGAAAATTCCTTCTCTCAAAGTTCTGTGACCTTTTTTTTGAAAACCTAAACAGGATTTATAGAAAAGCCGTTTTATACGTGGCGAATGGCTTTCGAGACTGAGAAGCCAAGTACTTCTCGCCCAGTCCTACTCAGCGACACCTCAATACGACGAGTAAGTTTTGGATGAGAGCTCATTTCAACTATTTTTAGGGTTAACCTTCTCCATATCAAGTTCTATTTCGCTCATTTCAAGCAGGAGACGATTGCACAAGAACGCTCATACAACATGTTCTTGTTACTAGGTTCTACTAGCTCTTTAAGATGAAGGAACAAAAATGTTTCAGCCGAGATCGGAGGAACAATTGGACTTTATGTTGGCGCTACTTTACTCACCGTTGCGGAGACGGTCGTTTTCTTTTTTGAGAGAAAAACGAGAAACTATTTGTTGAAAAAGAATTATGTTTGAATAAGGAAGAAAGAAATCATAAGTCTGAAGATGTCGACAAAGGAAACAAGAAACTGTCGAAGAAGATTTTGTGCCATCAAAAAATTATATGTCAGCATCCGGAAAAAAAAGTGTAACTTTCATTTTCAATTTTGAGACCGCAGTTCATATAGAAAACTAAAAAAAAAGCAACAAACCCTGCGACGCGCAAGTTTAAACATGTACAAAGAAAAATAGAAGAATATTACAAATGCTGCCTTTGGCCTTAGAGAGAAATGTTTATCAGATGAATATATACAAAAAATATGAAAACGAAGAGTCAAAAATTGTTCAAGATGTGCTTATCAACATGATTTTGGTCGTCATCTAGCGTTGTGATGAGCAAAAGTGAGAAAAAAATGGCAAAAGCTGAGGTTATGTGCCACATATCGTGACTATCGTAGAAGTTCAAGAAAATGCATTCCTGATTTAGCGCTCGACTGCGTGCCGGCGAAAGCTGAAAAGAAAAATGAAACAAGAAGAGAGGCGAGTTAAAAACCGTCCAGTCGGTTTCGTCGTGAACAAAGAAAGATACGGCGAGAGCCCAGAAAAATATTCCCAATGCTCCCATCGAGTAGGAAAATCTCGAAATATTCTCTTTGAAAACCACTTTCTTCATCCATATGTAATAGGCAATATAAATGACAGCGTTAAGAAGGCAGCAAAATGTCGAAATCTCAAGATAAACTCTTATCGCAGTATTGAATCTTCCGACAAACCTGATTCAGGTGGATTGCATTCACAAAAATGGCGTAGTTTATAACAAGAAGAGCATTCAGAACCACCGTCGACAAGGCCCAAGCAGCGCTCCCAATCTGGGAGACAGCCGCGATTCCTGTTTAAATTCATCTTCGTTGTACTCTCGCAATATTACTATGAACCAAAACTTTGTAAATTATTGACGAGATCTGCTCCCTTAAGGACGAGACAATCAACTACCACGTACCTTTATTTTCGAGGAGCTTCCTTCGGACAGCTGTACCAACTAGAGTCATTTGGAAACACGCTAAAAGATATCTTGTCCAGAACCAATGATCGCCAAGCTGAAGAAAAAGATAAGGCACATTAGGCTAGGAAAAAATAATTCACTTTCAAAACTCAATTTCTAAACTTTCCAAAGAGAAACTAATCATGAGCAAAAATTTAGACAAAATAAACAGAAGACTTTTTTTTTAACATTTACTATAACTTACCTATAACTTTGAAATTATTCGAAATTTATTATTTTGATAACTAGATCCCGAAATGTTTCAAATACTCATGTATTTCTATTCACAGTACGAGTTTCGATCTTTCAAACTGAGGTTGATCACATAAAATATTTCCTCTTTTATCAGAAGCACTTTTTAATACCAACCGAAACAACGAAATGAAGCACGAGGAACAAAACAACGATGAAATTGGCGTGGGCAGCCGAATGAATCTGTTTCCTCACGTACCACTGCCTCAAAACAATGAGAGAGCACAAGATTTCGATGAAGGGTGTGTCTGAAAAGGTTCAGGTCAATTATTGAAGGCCTTACCATGATTCATATCGCCGTGTTTAAAGTAATTTTAGCGAAACTCAAAGATATCTCAGACTCTCCAAAATTTAGCTATCTTTTCACTCTCTGACGACTATTTCGGATATCGCGGAATCAATTTGAACACGGCTCAATTTTTTCGGTTATTCTCATCCTTAAACAGGGATGGCGCCTTTCTTGATCAACGACAGTTTCGCGAACGACAAACAACTCTTCATTTAATTCATGATTCAACAGAGAACGTTCAGTAATGAATTTGCGTTTATCCATGCTTCCTAATGCCGTTTTCAATTTGATTCCGCGAAATGCAAAATACCCGTTAGAGAAAGGAAAAGATCACTAAATTTTGGAGAGTCAGAGATAATTTTGGATTTCGCGGAATCAAATTGAACACGGCATAATGATATTTTAACAGTTTTGAACATCAAAAGCATTGAAAACTCCGTGAATATAGTCTGTTCAGATTTTGAATGTCAATCAGCTAACTCCACCCCCAAGGCTACAATATCTTTCGCGTCAATGTTTTATCTACAGATGACGATGGCCCTTTAATAAGGCTGCATTTTTGACTTCTTTTTCTATCTTTTAGATCAAAAAAGATCAAAATTAGTCCCGCGCGTTAAAACATCGACGCGAAAAGGTACCCTCTCAGCAGGGGCGGAGTTAGCTGCTCGACATTTAAAATCTGAACAGACTACAGTAATTTTTCTTTTTTTTTGCCGCTGAAAATCGTTCAACTTATTCTTTTACAGTGTTTATTTTTGCTGGTCCTCATCTTTGGACATTGTTCTATCATTTCCAATAATGAAAAACCAACATTACTGTGTTTTAGTGCAAAAAAAAAAAAATTAACAAGAAACTTTTTCTCTAATTTTTTTACTGGTCTTTGAGAGCGCGCCCCACCCTTGCAACGCCCACCTTTTTCGCGACCTCGACCAAATTTTCTACAGAGAATTGAAATCGCGAAACGCGCGCTTTAATGGCTGTATCTTCGTTCAGAGTCGATCTTTTTCCAAGATCTCTTTTTTTTAAAGCTGTCAGGACTATGGGCTACACGGCCATATGAAAATCATTGAAGTCTAATGGTGTCTAGAAAACTGCCTGCGGTCCCTATGGGGCAACCTCGAAGGGGAGCAAAGGAGAGACTGAATCTATCAGTGGTTTACGTAAAGGAGACTTCCCTCCTGCTAGCATGCCTAGTGGCGAAACAGGAAGTGCATTCAGTAAAACGTGGGACCTAACCAAAAACACACCTCAAAAATATCGGAAACTTAGTTACCAACCTAATATAATGAAAATTCACAACAAGTTTTCTAGAAGCTTTCAAATTCTCACAACTTTTTCTTTTCTATTTTTCTATTTGTGCTATGAGGCTGGCTTTAAAGAGTCCAATAGTAGAAAGTTCACAAAAACCACGTAGGTGAGGGGGCGGCATAGCTCAGCTGGCATAACTCATTTCTAACGTCCGCGAGGTCGTAGGTTCGAGTTCCCCCAAGGTCGACCAAGCCTTTCATCCCTCCGGGGTAGATAAAATTGGAAGCTGCATGCAGCAAAAGACTCAATCTCTGCCATCGGCCTTTGGAAAGCCGGCACCGTACTTCTTCCTACGACCTCTCTTGTACCTGATGTTCTACGAGCCAAATTCACAACTTCTCTGCCTAAGCCACAGCTCCTGCCGTCGTTTAAAAACACAGTTAAATCAATGAAAGTCGATGGCACATGTATTCTTACATTGAAGATGCAATAAACAAACGTAGGTGAGCTGTGTAAAGAGTTCAATTTCCCTTTTTTCTGAATTTTTTAAAACTTTCCTTATCATTTTCTTACTCGTACGAACTCGTGCTATGAGGGTTCAAAAACTGAATGAAAATTTTCAATTTAGCTTTCCAATTACTTTTCGACTTCCCCAGACCATAAAAACATTCGCAAACGCACCAAACTGATAAGCAATGCTGTTTGGACAAATATGGTAAACGGCGCTGGCGACAGCTTGCATCACAAGGTAAACTCCGATGGTCACGTCGAGGCCGGTCGAAGAGTAAACGCCGGAAGATTTCTTCAGACCGAGAAAATGATAAAAACTACTCTGAAGAACTCACAGAGTATCTGTCTTTTCGCAGAAGAACGACCAGTATGAACTGACAGCCACAGAGAGCGTAGCCGACGTTGCTGTATATGTGATTGAACGAGGCGAACTCTCCTAGAGGACGGGCACAAGCAAAGTTGTGGAAACACATTTCATCGCGGTTCGCCAACGGCGAGTTGTGCCACTGAAAGCCTTCAAGTAGCCTGAATCGTCGGCTTTCCAGTAATGGATCACAGTGCAGTTCAAGTTTCGGAAAATTTTTAACAGCCTTAGTAGTCTCCTATTTTTTGGTCATTGTTAAATTCCATAAGCGGAATCTGAAAGACGCTCACTTCAAAGAAATAGTTCAGTTTGCATTGTTTTCAGAACGCTGTCGGAATTAACTAGCAAGCTGATCTTTTTAGACAGATTAGGGGTTTTCTCAGGGCTTCTAAAGAAAGAAAAAAAATCCCATTACGCTTCCTTTTCGAGCCATATCATCAGCTCTTCTGTATCATTATTGCTGACTATCCCTTTTCTCACCTTTCTTGATCCTTGAGAATCCTAGCAAAATGGAAGCCTCGTTACAGGGATCTTTTACGAGTTTTAAACGGTCTTTCTCCTTATTTTCTACCCTTTCATGGCCTAACGGATGTTGTCTGACGGTTCTTTGTTCAATATTTTTCGGTCACCTATTCCTGAAAAAGGATCTCCAACCAACTTTATAGATAAGTACATTAATATCTGAAGAGTTAAAAAAAGGTGAAATTAAGTGGGACATTCGGAAAGAATCAGTGATTTATAGTAAAAAAAATTTTGAAAAGCTAAATTTAGCTGAAAATATTGTGGAACTGCCTTTTGCGTCAGACTTGGGCTAAAAATTGGAAAATAGAGCGCCAACCCAAACATAAATCCCTCAAATCAAACCTTGTAATACTCCGTAGCCGTGTGCAAAAAAATAGGAAATAAAAGTGCGATTGGATAATAATTGACTTGGCGCTCGCGGAAAATTCCCGTTAGAATAGGAAAAAGACTTGATTCTACGGGAGGAAGTTCTGAAAAGCGATCGGAATCGAATGAAAGAGGAAAGATTGAAACCTTGAGGTCTATCGTGCTGATCGGACTGGTGGACTTCCGACGTTTCGTCCCGTCGCGGTGTTGGAGACACGTCATGTGAAAAAGTTAAAACTGGTGTTTCTCCGGAGTCTAGCGTTGAGTTAGGAGAGTCATTTAGGTGGATCAAATTTTCGTCATCTACCTGAGCCTCTGAAATTGGATTTGTAACCGCGAATAGCTTACCGCAACGCGCTTCCGCCCACGCTCCTCGCGAAACTTTCTGGAATACCATACTCAAAATTATTGCATAACAGACAGATTCTCTTTTTAAAGCTTTAAAAACCGAGTGCCTTGCGCATTTCTTTCTTTCAACATCAAAATACCAAGTCAAACTTCATGAAAATCCACATGAAGCAGCTCAGAAACGGCAAAAAGAAAGAGATAGGAGTCGCTACAGTGGCCAGCCAGAAGTTTTCTGAGTTCGGGGCAAAGAATGAGATAGTTATTTGTTTGTTCTTGGCCAATTCGCCTAAAATATTTCACTTTGAAACAGCCTCTAAATATATTTTTACGCGAATCTGAAAAATTGCCACAGTCGCTGTCGTCCGCATTGACAAAAACAAAGACATCTACAGCTGGGTGGTTGGACACCTGAAGAACAAGAAGTTGAGTGCGAAAGGGATGAAAAAAAAATGAAAAAAACTTCTTCTTTGGAAAAATACAAATCAGCTCTTTGAGTGAATGAGAGAATTCGATTCGTGGTGACTTTCTGCACAAGCGATGTACTGTACAAATTGGTCTGAAACTGGTAGAACTTAGTGAATCGGGATATATTTTCCGACCTCAGGACCAATCGAAACAAGACTGGCGCAGATTTTATCTGGACTGCTTACGCGAACCATGAACGACGGCAAGTCTGAGAAGAGATTTTCAAGAAAATATCTGACCAGTCTATTTTTGCGGCCGTCTTCCAATCACTATAAGGGGGTACTTTGGAAAATTTAGCCCTCTGGCAGTTCTGATCTCTCGAATTTTTCTCAAATTTTGAAATTTGAAAATTCTAAGGCGTTCTCGTAACATTCTTGCAAAATTTCTTTCCGCGAAAAAGCATAAATTCGAAATTCAGTTTAGCCATCACTGCCCCTTCTCAGAAATCTGTGGACCTCTCTACTTTCAAATGACTTTTTTTCAATATTTTTCTTCCTCAAAATTTTTTTTAAACAGTTTTTTTCTGGTTTATTTTTTTTTGTTGACATCGATATTGAGCTATTTGTATATGAATCAGAGAAATTGATAAAATTTTCAAAAAGAAATTTTTTGTCAGCCGTTTTTCTCGACTGTCCTAATTAGAAAACAAGAATTTCCTACCAGTTACGTTGATTCGAAAAGCTAATGGCTTCACATGATTCACCGTCTGACTAGCCAAAGTTCTGCTTGAAATTTTCGTTGACAACCTTCAAAATACTTCTATGAAATGAAAAAATAAAGTTACCTACTTAACAAAATACTGTGACCTGTCGTACCGTTTCAAATGCATTCGAAACGGGATCTCTTGATTGATTCTCGACATGATTGATATTACAAGAAATTGATCAACTGAAAACCAACAATAATGATTGAAGGAAAGAAAGAAGACCTGATTTGCTTTTTTTCGTTATCCGGAAATCTTCAGGCAGAAGAGGTTTCAATATCCGGCCATCTTGAAATACTCGGAGGCCACTTCTTAAAAAAATTAAAGTTCGATATTTCTAATTCAAAATGAACCTGAGTAACAATGGAAGTGATAATGTTACACTGTCTCGACCGTTACTGACGGCGGCTTCAAAAAAAGAGTCATTTCCAAAACTGGAAAGCTTCTTCGGTGCTTCAATTTCAAAGAATATTCGGAAAAGATCGAGCTGAAAGGTGTGAAAGTTAGTTGAAAGTTACGTCCCTGACAAAAAAAAGCTGAAATCTCTGAAAAGAAAGAATTTTTTGACTGTTGAATAGACGAGGTCGTTTCGAAGAATTTCCAAGAAAGCGCCATTTTTTTAATCTCCTTTTTTTGTGAATCTTCGTCGCAAAACTGATAAAATGAGCAAATTTTTTTATCACACAAAACATCATTGATCATGATAGGGTGATTCACATCCTTCAAAATTGAAAAAAAAAAGAATAATAAGTCTTCTTCTCCCTACGCCTTTGTACCGCTTGAGCGGCGTCGGCGCCCCAAGTCGATTACCCGAGGTCCTACCCTGATATCAGAGATAATCATTGAACTGGCTCGAGTGACCTGCCCGTCCCAGTGTGTGACGGCTGGGGATTTGGATGTCGTGGTTTTTCCCACTAACAACATTTCTTAAACCCCTGAGTTGGGTCGAGACGGGGGTCTAACTTGTGATCCTGTAGATCGTAAGCAGACACACAACCTGTTGCGCTACGGCGCACCCCGGAAATAGAATAATGAGTAATAAGATAAAAATGAGAGCTAGCCCTTGGTGGGTCTATAATCATAACGCGCAGCGTACAAAGCCTCTTTTCAGATACTCCATACGAACTCCAGCTTTTTAAAAAAAATTCTTGTTTTTTGGTACCCTTAAGTAATTGAATTCTACGAGTTTGATTCAATGGGTATATTAACTATACCCATTAAATTTTTAATATGAGACATTGAGAAAAAAAAAGAACATGAAAAGTGTTAATGAAAAAACTCAAAAAACAAACTTACCGCATCCGATATATTCAATTTTATGTAGTAGATATTCACACTTTGTGGGAGAAGAGTGTCATTTTTGAGCGATTCGTTTGTGAGTTCAAGAATTTTGAATGGTAATTTTTCGGCATCGTGAGAATTGTTGTTTGATGAACGAGCTAAAGCTGACCTGGAAATTATTGAAAAAATAGTGTTATCTGATGAAGAGGGAATTTATTTTTTTAATTTTATTTTCCTAACTATTCATTTGTAATTTCAAAATGAAAAAAAATTTTAGGCAAAACCCATTAGTAGTCTAATTTTGTTTGCACCACACTATAATTTCACACACAAACACGTATGTACACGTGATTTTCAAACTGCACTTATTAAAAGCAAAAAAATATTTACCCTGAAAGTAGTAGGGTAATAATTGCACGATGTAACAGCTGCAGCATAAAGAAGCAATCTGAATAATCCAATATGTATGGAAAGCACTGTCACAAAATGTCTTTTGTCAATTCAACGCGCAAATTCTCAAAAAAAAAACCCATATTCTTCCTTTTCCGAACTTTTTAAACTTTTTCTAGACATATATTACTAACAGAAGATCGAAAAGTCTCCGGACTCTGGCAAAGACGATGAAGTTAGCCTTCGATGAATCATACTTTGATAAGAAACAAGAAACAAGAAAAGGAAAAATCAACATATAAAGGAAACCTTATCATAAACATTTTATGTTAAAAGTAGGTCGAAAATGTTTGTGAAAGATAGAAATAAGCTCCCACAGCTTTTTTTTCCTCAAGGTTTTATAATATATGAACGATTCAATTCAAAAGAAACCATTAATTTAATGCAAAAACATAGTGCCTTCCGCGCGAGACGGTCACGTTCGAAATAAATAAACAGCAATAAAGCATTTTGCTTTACAAAACTGTAAAAAAGACCGAAAATACCGAAGGTCTTGTGACCACGCATGTTTGAGACAGTATCTCCAACAAAAGTTGCGGTGCACCCCGCGTCGAACCGGCCATCGGGGTGCACCCCTCGTTGAACTCAGCGCGATTGGGTGCACCCCGCGTTGAACTTTTCGGTGCACCCCTGCACAGTGTTTCAAAACGGGCGAGCGCAGGCGAAAACAAGATGGTACGACAAAATCTCAAGTCCGCAAATCTCCAGGACTGTAATCTTGTGTACGCAGATCTAAAGTCCCATAATCTTGGAGACCAAAATCTTGGAGACCAAAATCTTGGAAACCACAATCTTGGAAAGTAAAAATCAACGCTTTTGCGAATAGATTTTATCAAAAATTGTATTCGGTGATCCAAACAAGAGAATATAAGTAGATAAAGTGCAATAAAGAAGACTAAAAAGGGAGATTTTTGCTTTCCAAGATTGTGGTTTCCAAGATTTTGGTCTCCAAGATTTTGGTTTCCAAGATTATGGGACTTTAGATCTGCGTACACAAGATTACGGTCCTCGAGATTTGCGGACTTGAGATTTTGTCGTACCATCGAAAACACTAAGAATAACTGACGAGATAAACGCGAGCTCGGTGGCGGTACATTGACTAACTCGCAAAAATGTCGCTTTTTTCTAGGCGCGATCCCGCATTTCTCTCGGCGCGACCTCGCATTTTTCTCGGCGCCATCTCGCATTTATCTTGCATTTCGGAAATTTTCAAATTGCGAGAGAAAAGCGAGCTCGCGCCTAGAAAAGTGCGAGCTGGCGCCCAGAAAAATGCGAGACCGGCGCGAGAAAAAAAGCGAGATGTTTGCGAGCTCGTCAATGTACCGCCAGTGTCTCGCATTTATCTCGGCAGTTATTCTTAGTGAACAATGGTCGTCTCAATGGAGCGAAAACGCGAGTTCCTTCTAACGCAACGCGGTGCGGCGCGTGTCAAACTCTCAAAATTTAATTCAATTTAAATATAGTTTTTTCTCTTTTTCTCGCGTATTTTTTTAGATTTTTGGATCGTTTTACTTTCTGTTGGGTAATATAACCGTGTTGGATGCGTTTGAAAGGTACTCGAGGTAATTATTGATCGAGAAGGTCCCGAAATTTCGACTAAAAATGACATTTTTGACGAGTAACTTTTTTTGCAGAAGCTACTTGGTTCATGTTTTTTTGTTTTTAAAATGCTCAGAATGAGATTTTTTTAAAATAAACGCCCAGAGCTTTTTTTCAAAAATTTTTTTCGACGTTTTACAAAAACATATGTTGTCTAAAAATGACTTTTTTTGATTTATAAATTTTTTTGTGCCGAAGCGAATTGATTCTTTTTTTCGTTTCAGAATATCCAGAATGCGTTTTGTGAGGGAACCGTCATCGGTTTTTTCTTTCAAAAAATTTTTCACGCGACGAATTGTCCTGGAAAAAAGGCATTTCGTGTGATAAATCTTTTGGCAAAAGCGATTCCGTTCATATTCAATTTTCAATAGGTTCATTGTGCGTTGAAATATATTAAAATGTTGTGTCCGCGGTAGCCCAAAGTCGAAGTTGAATGAGCAGGTTTATTCGTAGAATGAAGAAGTGTGAAAGAGGTAAAAGGGCCGCCTTATATACCCATCTCACGTAGAGATAAGAGTATTTATTAAAGAGACGTGATATTCCAACATAAAACTACTATATAAGTTCAAGAAGGCCTTGAAAAACACTATTCAACGCTATGTTTTCATCCAGTAAATGCACAAAAATCGGCTCCTAATGTCGCGCCACTATTGCGATCAGCCGCGCCCCCATTGCATACAGCCACGCCCTATGACCACATCTGCCGCCTGTTTGGGAACACTGTGCCTGGTTACACTGCGGGGTGTATCGGAAAGTTCAACGCGGGGTGCACCGCAACTTTTGTTAGAGCTCCTGTTGGCCAGTAGCACCCGCGGACAGAGCTGCTGAAAATAATGAAAAACATATATGTTTTCATTTGTTTATAAGTATACAAGTCCACGATGGCAATCATTCGAGAAACAAAAAAAAATCGTAAAAGAGTTGCAAAGTAACAGTTTATCCTCTTTTCCTTATTTTACCACGCACGGCGTTCCAAAAGGGAACCTCGCAGTGGAGAAAAATGAGGCCGAAAGTAGCGCGCCTCAATTGCAGAAAACTCGGCGTGGTTTAGTTTTGTATTGGGAATTCAAAACCTTATTACTTTTTACATGTTCGTTTCTTAATGTTACTTATGTGTTTATATTGTTCGTCAGCTCTGGCTTCATATAGTCTGTTCAGATTTTAAATGTCAAGCAGCTAACTCCGCCCCTGCTGAGAGGGTACCTTTTCGCGTCGATGTTTTAACGCGCGGGACTAATTTTGATCTTTTTTGATCTAAAAGATAGAAAAAGAAGTCAAAAATGCAGCCTTATTAAAGGGCCATCGTCATCTGTAGATAAAACATTGACGCGAAAGATATTGTAGCCTTGGGGGTGGAGTTAGCTGATTGACATTCAAAATCTGAACAGACTATATAAATTGGTTGTATCATGTCGCTCCTTGGCCATTTACCGCTTTAGTTGAGGAAAAACGAAAAATGTTAATGCGCGGGTTTTAAATTTTTATGCCATGTATGTATTTGACGTCTTCCTGCTTGATTTCTGTGCAGAATGTGTTTTTCTACAACCTCAAATTGTTCAAAAAAATCTTTATCGGCAAAAAAATAATTTTTTTAAACTGAATTTCATGAAATCTTGTCAAGTTTTTGGGTGTTCCGCGCGAAAGACTAAAAACTTTGTGGTATGTCGGTCAATCTTTTATTCTGATAGCTAAAAATGTTCACACAGGTTCATTTAAAAGAACTTGGTTTATTAGAATATTGGAAATTTTTTTAGAGAACACCTGTGAAGATCGCAGAACTACGTAAAAATATATGTTTTTCCTTCTATATACTTTCGATTTGATTTTTGTAAAATCTTCTCAACAATATTAATTGATTTATTTTTGTTATACGTTTTCCTATCATTCTTTTACATTCTAAACAATGAATACCTTAGGCTTGTAACTGAAAATTTTTCGTAAAACCGATTTGAAGGCTGAAAAGCAATTATACAGATAATTCCCAGTGAAACTTCATCGAATTGCTTCTTTATGATTTGAAAGCTTTCACCTCGATGGACATCATGAAAATCACAAAAAAATACTCTAAATCCAATCGAAACTTCTCGGAAAAAGTCAAAAACGATCTTTTAAGAAATTGTGAATTTTCAAAAAAAAAATTCTGTTGCGCAAGTACGCTCCAGCGAACGCAAGGGCGCGGTAAAATGACACGCCCCATGGATGGTAGGACGAAAAATTTGATCCGCAAAAATACGTCGCGTGAAAATTGCGACCACATAACCTATGAGCCACGAAAATTTTATGCCATGTTCAAAGTAATTTCCGCGAAATGCAAAATGGTCTCTGACCCTCCAAAATTAAGTTATCTTTCTCTTTCTCTGACGGCTATTTTGAATTTCGCGAAATCACTTTGAACACGGCACTAAGCCTTCAAAATTTTTTCGTAAAATTTTAAAATTGCTCAGATGATGACTTTTTGAATTTCTTTCTTTTCCTTTTTTTCAATTTTTTTCCCTTTATTCTTGATATTGATTAATTCCAGAGCTAGAGCCACTGTTTTTCGGTAGGTTTCTAGAATTTTTCAATCATTATCATCAATAAGAAGTCTGTCATTTTTTTGTTATTAACATGGAAAAACGTATTTAGTTGACAGATTTTGAACTTTAATGATTTATGGCACAAATTAATTGGGAAAACAGAAGAAAAAGAGTTAAAACTCGAAATTAGGTTTCAAAACGTTATCAAATCCTGGGATCGCCGGGATAACTCAACGCAGAAAGGAGAATCAGTACTAGAGCAGAAGTTGGAAGAAGACCAGAACAAAGAAAAACAGAAAATACAGAAATTAAAAGCCTTATATGCAAGTAATTTCTAATTTAAATGGACAAAATTTTAAAGGCTTAAAATTTTCGTGGCTCATAAGTTATGTGGTCGCAATTTTCACGCGACGTATTTTTGCGGATCAAATTTTTCGTCCTACCATCGCCCCATGGGCTCGCTTTCGCGCAGGCTTGTACAAGCACAATTGTGCGAGGGCCGGCCCGTCGCCCTCCCGGCCCCCGACCATTTCGTAAGCCCGGCCCGCAATTTTTTTCTAGTCGGAAATCAAGTTTTTTTACGACAAAAATTACGTTTTTGGTCATTTTTTCACTAATAGTTTAACAAAGACTATGATTTCAGAAGTAAAAGCCACATTTCGGTGAAAATGTTTTTAAATAAAACTTTAAATTTTTATTGAAGCTCGGCCCGGCCCGGGCCCACGCGGGCTTTTTTCCTGAAAATGAAGCCCAAAGCCCGGCCTGACGCACAAGCCTGCTTTCGAGTTCCCTTTTGGAACCTGTTCCAAACATGCTCAACAGTTGTTTTTCAACCGTTCAACTAATTCAACCGATCAACAGTTGGAAAAAGTTTTTGGGTTAAAATTTGAATATTCAACCGTTCAACTGTTGAAATAAGTCGTTCAAAGTTAAAATAAGAAAAAAACTGAATAGTTTCTTCCAATGTTCGCTGTTGTGCAGGCGTAAAGGACTCCAAGGCAGACGTACCGCGCTCAGCAGGATCTCTGAACAGTGGAGGAACTTTGCACCGTGTTGTGTACCGTGCTTTATTCAGTGCGAAGGGTGTCAGAAGCGGTTGACCTATTTCTGTTAAATTGGCATGCCAGCGCGCAGTTCCTTCGACAATCGGTTGAATTCTATACATTGTCGAAGTGCTATAGAACTGTAGATTATGTTGCCAACAAGTTTACGTGCTCTCTAAACTGAGGCACGCGCGCTGACCTGCCGTTTCTTTTTAGACAAGTGCGCAGGTCTACCGTTATTATTCTGAGAAATACACCGCGCAAAGTGTTCGGCACCGTTCACAGATTCTGCATTTTTCATCATTTTTTTTTTTCAAAAGTTGAGCAATTCCAACCGCTTAACCGTTAGAGATATAGTCTGTTCAGATTTTGAATGTCAAGTCGTCGCTCAAGCTCCGCCCCTATTGGTGCGATAAACCAATCAGAGAGTGAGCCATCCACAGAGTGTTTTTGAATGACGTCATTGCACTTGACATTAAAAATCTGAACAGACTATAAGTTCAAGTAACAGTACAAAGAAAGATCGCATTATCTATTTCGAGGCATTTCAAAAGGATACGTTCAGGATCAATATCATTTGTTTGTCTTTTTTTCAAATAAACAATAAAAAAAAATTTAGAGAGTAAAAATTCAGAAAGCTTGAAATTTCTTTTGAAGCTTGCTCAAATGTAAATTCGCGGAGTTGAACAACTTGAAAGAGCCACTGAAGGGTACTCTGCATCTCCAGTGCGTTTCGATAACTTCATCGAAGAAAGTGATGCGTTTTTATGCAATTTTTCTTTATGTGAACGTAATTTCTATATATATGATGCTCTGTTTAAAGTAACTCTGAGAAATTCAAAAATTTCTGGAAAGTCAGAGCTAATTTTGAACTTTGCGGAAATTACTTTGAACAATGCATACACATGAAGAGAAGATGTATATTCCATAATGTGCCAAAATCTTGATGCGATGAAGTACAAAAAACTTAAATATTTTTTTTAGCGGGATTTTCGTTCTTTGATTCAAAATCGTCAGTTTTAGCGGGCCCCGCCCCCCTGAACATCTAACGTTTGTTGTTAGTGACGTCACCGCTCCTTGCGTATATATAGTCAGTCGCTCGTCTTTCACTGGCGCATTCGGTGAGTCGCTTTTGTCTGAAACAATGGGATTTCCTTGGGTAAAATGTTCGCTTTTTCAAGCTTTCTTGCTCAGGAACTTGATAAAAAAAGAATCTGGTTGTTACCCTCTGTAAGAATTGACTTTATCGGCCAAACTAAAAGGTATTTCCTATTTATCCCAAATATTTATTCTAAAAAGTATTGAAGTATACGTTCACAAAGAAAATTTAGGCTTGGATACAAAATGTCTGCGTCTGGTAGTAATACCATTGTAAGTTATGGTTCAACTGAAATTAAAGAAAATAGGAATTTTAGGCGGATATATACCGATCTGTCATAAGCGATGTAATAAATCAAGTGAAAGAAGCTTTTTTGGACGAAAACGTCGATGTCGATATCCTTTCGCAGCTGAAAAAGGTTCTTTTATCCACGTCAAAGATAGATATGTTATCAGTATATGTAGGAATGGGAAGACAAAGTGAATTCGAGTGGTTGCGTCGAGTTGGAAGCTCCTTTGCGTCCACAACACGTCGCCCCTCCGCCGATGCGAGTTGTCAACCAAATTCCGCAGACAACTCGAATGTCAATTCCAACAACCGCACGTCTACAGCCTGTCCAACAGCAAGTGTGTCCTTCATCAGTGGAAGTCATGAAAACTAATGCTAGTAGTCACATTGATTTTTTTTTTAAATAGCGCACTCAAAATCAAAACATTTAAATTTTGAATCCGCACTGCTTTCGCCTGCCGCGTTCAAAGCTATAACGACACACGCGACGGAACAGTTTTTCTGGTTAAACGGCTCGGGCCTAAACGCGGCTACCGGGCAGCTACTTTGAAATGAATCGGAGCTAGCCTTCCAGTGGTCTTTTATTCAGAACCAGTGTTTTTTGTTAACCAAAACTTTGTTAGCTAATTCTAGAAAAAGAAAGCTACTCCGTAGCAATCGCAAATGTCAGGCAGGATAGCGATAACCACCAGATGTATACTCGGTAGTATCCAAATACTAGAGATAGTACCCGACAGCTAATGAACGACCACTGATTAGTTAACGCCGGTTCATTTTTGAAATAACGACCCGGCACTTGTATTCTCCTACTTTTTATTGAAAATAGCATCAAAGAATAAAGAGAAAAAATTTCAATAGTTTGAAAATTTTGTTTATTTAATTTTTTTGAGAATCTTATGCAAGAGCAACGGCTTCAAATGCAGTACACACAGCCACCGCAGCAGCAACAACAACAAATGGGTTCATTTCAGGTGACTCGAAACCTACTCACATTATTTCAACCAGTATGCTTCTAGAAAGGATATCGTCAATATATTATCCTATATTTCCTATGGTTAAACGATGGATTTCAGATACAGCAACATATCGCTCCGCAGCAGATGAATCAGATTCGAATGTTGTCTCAAATTCCGGGTCAGCAGTACGTCATCGCCAACTCCAACGGTCAACCTATTCATGGACAAGTTATGATTGTTCAAAATGTAAATGGTAAGGTTTCTATTTTTGTTCGTCATTTTTTTCTTTTTCGACAAACTCATGGAAACATTGAAAATTTTTTGAAAGTCTTATTTATGTTATGTTTGTAGGACAACATGTTCCGGTGACGATTGGGCCTAACGGAGTGATCCAGCAGCAGCCACAGCGTATTATTCAACAGTCTCAACTTTCACATCAAAATATTCACCAGTTGGACGGCAATGGAGATGTTTCTGAGCAGGTTGTTTGATTAAAATCTACAGGCTAACTGAATTTTTCAGACTCCGGTTCCTCTCAAAAAATCGGCTAGAAGGGCCCAGAAAAAAGCGAAAGGTATTGAATATTCTTCGTTTTTCTTCCAATAACATCTTTAAGACGAAGAAGCTGTGAAAGTTTTGAGCGGGTTGTTGAAATGCGTTCAATTGGACGGCGGCGGTGGCGGGATGTCGGATTCATCCAGTGAAGACGAAGACGTACACTTTTTCTCCATAACTTAAAGCTCTTTATTTCGTACAATAATCTTCATTCAAGTTAAAATCAATGAAAAAAAAAATGAGATAAGAAAAAAAAAAACTCGACGGATGAGAGGGACTTGCAAGGATGGTTCCTTAGTTTACACACTGAAATTTTCTCCGATAGTAGGCCTAAACATTTTTGGATGTACGAGCGGAAAATTTTTAAACTCGAAGTTCGCACGATTTCCTATTTTTATTAAAGTAAAAGTTTATGACAGACAAATTTCGAAAGGTTTTTACGGTTTTTTTTTTGATGTTGAGAGCTTTTTTTTTTAGCGAAATGAGATGCACTGGTTCTAAAACTTTCGTTTGCTGCGTCAAAAAGTATTATAAACGTTCTAAGTGGAGTCAGAGTGCCAAGTAGATTGAACTCTTTCCCACCGAAGATAAAACGGATCGCATTTCTGTGGGGTTTTCATAATTTTTTTTCCTCTGGAACCAACATATCGCCCTGAAAAGGTTAAAATGAGCGAAAAAAGTTAATTTGAAGATAGAAGAAGAAGACGATCCACTCCGACGCATCGCGGACCGCATAGGAGACGGTGAAGTTGAAGACGGAGATCAAATTGCCGAGGAAGATCCACTCAACTCCGACGACGATCAGTCCGACGACGAGGACTTGTCAATTCTTTTCGACGCCGAAAATGTTGTCATGTGTCAGTTCGAGAAGGTTCTTATCTCTATGATTATTTATCTTATAAAGTTTTCTCTGCAGGTGAACCGCGCGAGAACCAAGTGGAGGTTCCAGCTGAAGGATGGCATAATGCACATTGACAACAAAGATTACTGTTTCCAAAAATGTAGTGGCGAAGCCGAATGGTGAGAAGAACGCCGCTGAATGCAATTTTTGAAAACTGTTTCCATTGCTTTCCAATTTTTCTTCATTCTTCTGTCGATGTTGGGTCATTTGCTAGTTACGTCTAGAGGTACCGAGCATTCTCCTTGAATGTTTTTTCCTTGAATTCATTGAATATTTTTTATTTGTTTTACTTCATTCATCCGTTTATTTCACTTGTCATGAATAATAAAAATATATTTATGTTGAAACACACGTTTCGCTGTAGCTTTCCTTCAATATCTGTGAAATTGGATTTGTTCTTTCAATTAGAATATCAAGATTTAACAAAAGAGCATTACTCACATCTTGCTAACTTTTGAAGTTCATGTGGAAGATAAAGTACAAGTTTTCTGGTCATTCTGAGAGTATTAGGTTTTATTTTATAGTACCACTCACTCAAAGATCGGTTGCCTGACTTTCTGCTTTCAAAAAAAAAAAATGGCCCTGGTTTCAACGGATGGAATGAGAAAAATGCGAGACTTTCTAGTAGGAAAAGGCTTGGTGATTTCGATACGGAAGATCGACGAAAAGTTTGTCCTGATCACGGGTATCTGTCGGTAAGCTTCGGAATATTTTTTTTGAGCTTTCTCTAAAAAGTCGAGGGTGCAAAGTAAAAGCCTTGAGGTCTGGAACTACGACGCGACTGGTGGTCGACGTGCGGTCGCGCTTCGCTCGAGAGCTTTTCCGATGCTCGCAGCTGGCGGAGCTGCAGTCGCGGAGCCAGCGAGAGTCGCACTCTTTGAAAACTCCTCACATCGTCGAGCTTCCGAGCGACCATCCCTCTGAGCATCCGCACGTCTTCTATCGCGTCACTCAGGTGGCTCTTCCTGTCTCTTATTGTCTTTAGTTGTGCGTTCCAGCCGCGCGTGATTCCTCTGCCGTTTACAAAAACTCAGCGGCCACGTGCAGAAAACCCTCGTCGGCGTGGAATTTCGCATCTCCTGGGGGATGTCGACATCTACTGCTGTCAGGTATAGTATGTTCAGATTTTCAATTTCAAGTCATTGCTCAAACTCCGCCCTTTAAGTGTAGATCAAACCAATCAGAGAGCGAGCCGTCCACAGAGCGTTGTTGGGGGCGGAGTTTGCTTCTTAATATTCAAAATCTGGACAGACTAGAAGACTCCGAGCAGAGGGTGTTTTCATTTCTGATTATTTCTATCAATTATCATCAACAATTTTCAAAGCTGTTCATCAAAATTTGGTACAATTTTTTAATTAAATGATGCAATTTTGTGGAGTCGAGCCGTTAAAATTGTTCAGTGTTACAGGTGTGCTACAAACACTTCGACCGCAAGTGGAACAAGGAGCGACACGAGCGCAAATGTATGCTCACATCCATCGACTACCGCTGCCCCGTCTGCTCCGAGATTTACAAGCGCTGCGACCATTTCGCAGTGAGTGATTCGAAACATGGTTCTTATATTCCCTTTTCCGGAAGTTTTGTGAAATTCAAAAGTTTATGAAAAAATGAAAGGCTTGATGAAGAGACTCTTTTCGCTGCCTCTCTGCGGCCTTTTTTGAGCCTCTCCCTTTTAGCGGTCATTGTCCATCATTCCGACTTTTCCTGAAATCTGAGTCGAGGCTATCCAGAATAGAAAATCGATTTCGTAAAATGGTTTTTGTATCAATAGAAGAGGATATAATTTTGACATTCTCTCACTTTCTGAATACTTTTTTAGCGACACGTCAAAACGCATACAAATTCAAAAGAAGCTGTCCTCGCACTGACGACCCCCGTGAAAGGTTTTTTTTCTTGAAACATCCGAATGCCGTTTTTTTTTTTTGCTTGTCCATAACATTTTTAACTTCCTGTAACATCAATTGAAAAATGCAAGGTTTTTTTTTCAGATGGTTCTCTAAAGGACGATGATCTCAACAAGCTTTTTCACGTCCCGTACAACTTTCCAACTGTCCTCTGACTACGATGAAGTGAGTTTTTGCATTAACGAATACATAAACTCGTATTCCACCCGTTTTTTTTTTTCTGCGTAACAAACAAACAGAAAAACGTTGTCAATATTCAAGGAGACAAAATGTTTCTAAAGGCGTCGCCTGGAGACGTCCTTTTCGTCAGAGACTCTTTTCACAAATCCTCTGCTTCGGAGGAAAATTCTCTATTTCCTTCGGATTTCCGATTTTTTCTCTTTGATGATCTCGACGTTTTCCAAGTCGTTTTTCTTGATTTTTATCGAACTCAACTTTGTTGTTACTGTCGTTTCAGTCTGCACATCAACTACGATTCGTATGTTTTCTCATATTCACATTTCTCATAAAAAAATAAAAAAATAAATGTATATTCAGCTGACGATTTTAATGCAAATAGCTTCATGTGAATTAAAGCGGCTTGAGAAACTAAAGAACATTTTATCCGTTTTATGAGATTTATGAGAGGGCAGAGGTAATTTTAATGACTATTAAAATAAAAATAAAATAGCTATAAAGAAAAAGTAACATTTCCACCTTTTTCTTCAGCTCTCTTCATAAAATGAGATTTATTTAGCCACTTCTCTATCAAGTCTCTCGCAATTTGAGATTGGAGAAGCTGGAAATGGTGAGAAGTTTTGTTTCTATCAAAACGTATCGTTTTCAGATGTTTATGCGCATTATTTATCTGCTAACAGTGTCTCTTTCAACTATAGCAGTTATTCAACGTACCGGAGCTATGGATTGGTTCGTTTTCTGATGTGAAGAAATATTTTCGAGGGAATTCAAATTTTTTGGTGTATAAAAACTTTTCGACTTGATGAGAATTTAGACTGAGTTTTTTTTTCAAATAAATTTTACATTAAAAAAATTGCAAATTTCGTGATTTTCGGTGATTTCAGACGTCATTGGGAGTGGCTTCGTCGTCCACAGAATGTCCTTCCGATTGCTTAGTCAATTTGACAGCTTTGTATCGAACTTCGAATGAATCCTGTTGGTTTTTTGTTTTCCAAAACTTATGGAAATCATAGATCGTTTCTTAAAAAAAGAAATATAAATTGAAACGTGTTTTCTGGAAGAACTGAAAATTTTCATTTGAAAGATATCCTACGAAAATGAAAGTATAAGAAGATATATAAACCCTCAGACAGAGTCAGAAAAAACAATTTCAAATTTTTCCTGATGAACTTTTGGCTGGCACAGTGAGCATCGTGATGGCGCGACCAGTGGACACGGCGCTCTACCCAGACTACTCCAGTCTCAATCTTCCAACCATCTTCTGCGCCTCAGTTTCGACGAGCTGTGGCGCCACTGTGCCTCTTTTCCTCTACTATTCTCCACAGTTCGACGGTGAGCGATAAGTATCTTTCATCACGAAATCACAATCTAACGCCAATGTTCTTGTGTTCTTTTGTTCCAGATTATTATGCCGACACGCAAAAAAGGCCAAATATGAGTGATTCGTACACAACATCCCTTCTGGGCCAACCATTGTGTTACTTGTGGAAAGAAAAGTGAATCGACTTTGTTCAAAACTTATTAGCACTTGATTCCAAGTTCTACTACGACAACGACGACCACCACAACCACTACCACTACTACCACGACGACCACAACCACGCTAATTGACATCGACTTGGACTCCAACGTGACAACGACAACGACGGTTGGAGATGCATCTGATTTCATTTTTCACTTTCTTTTCAGACGACAATATCACCTTCTAACGCAACAACCACCACTGTAAGAACCTTTCTGAGGCGTCGTATCGTGAAAAATATCTTTTCAAAAACCAAGGATCTAATAGCATTGAAATTCGTAAACTTCAATTTTTACGTGGATCGAGATTGAATATTCAGTAAGGGACCGAATTATTTAATTAGAGAATTTTAAATTTTTTTTCTCTTTGAAGGAATCTCGAAAAAATTTCACTGAAAGGTTTTTTTTTCATTAAATCTGAATTTTCTTCTTCGAAAAATGGGAGTTGATCTTTCTTCATAACTGAAACATCGCCATGCCATGTTGCGAAGAATAGAGGCATTTCTGATCGAGCGTGATTTTTTTTAACATGAGGCTTTTTTGATTCAAATAAGTTAAATTCAGACGGCTACAACCCTGTCGAATGTTACAACTACATCATCTATGAACTCAAACTCCACAAACACGGAAGACTCCAATGACTCAACCAACGGTAGTCCACTATTTTTGCTTTGAATATACTTCAAAAATAAACATAGGGTCATCATGGAAACGTCGATGGAAGACGTATAAATGGATTGTTATCGCCTCTGGGGTTCTTCTTATTGCTGCTATCATTGCCTGCTGTGTAAGCGATGCTTGATTAAACCTTTTTTGAATGAAAAAGTTTCGAATTTGAAGATTGGGTGGTTGACATGCTGTTTCTTGGGCGCGATGAGTGGAAGCGCCGTCTCGCCTAAACTGGCAGGACCTCCGCCTGCGTACAGCACTTCTGAACCGCCGATGCTGCCTCCGGCGCCAGTTCAGGCCCCTGGAGTCCAACCATTTTTCGCCGGACTTCCACCGACTTCCGCCGGAGTCCCTTATTAACTGTTAAACTGTTTTATTGAACAATTTCTTTATTTCTATATATTGATGTAACATGATAAAAAATGTACACGTAACCCCGCATAGTGGTATTTTGATACATTTCTACACCAACTATTTTGCTTTTTTGAGACTAGGTCAACACGAATTCACGTGGGGGAAAAGAAGCGCTAGAAAAGGCACAAGGAATGTTTGAAGATATTATTTTCGATCATTACTGATTCGATCAATGTTCCTGGGATAATTTTTGCTAATTTCTGCGAGCGTAAAATGATCAAATAGAAAATGAAAAATTGTACATCGTTCCTCAATGAAAGTACTTCAAATCTTTTATTTAGTTCACTAATCTGATAACTAAGATTCTCGCTTTTCAAATTGTGAGAAGTGAACATTTTTTTTTCAATGAGTTTTAAATTCCTACGCAAAAAATAAGGATACTTTCCTGATAAAACTAAAATAACCCGAAAATAGAAAAAAAAAAAAATCACAAGTGAAGGCCTTCAAGGGGTATCACAGGCGGGAGTTTGACGGGAATCAATGGTGGTGGCGGTGCGTGAATTTCTGGAGGATCGCTGAGCAGCGAGTAGGTGCTTCCCGCGGTACTGAAACACAGACTTTCAGGATGAAGATCTAGACACGATTCGTGATGATTACCGCTATACATTTGATTAAAAGGCGTGTTAAACGTATATACACTAAATTTGTCGTCTCAGCATCATCCAAACTTTCTAATCTGATATACGCTTATATTTTTACAAGACTTTTTTCCCTTCTTTTTTTTTACAATTCAATTCAATTCAATTCAATTTATTCAGACATCAGAGAAATCAGAAAGGCTCTGCTGAATCATGGTAGATTTGAAGAGCTCCTTGTTGTTGCGCGCAACGGTCGACCAATTCTCCCCAAGAACGCTTCGGAAGTCATCTCGCCAACGTGCTCGTGGTCGTCCAACAGATCTTTTCTTCTCCCACGGCCGCCATTCTACGATCTTCTTTGCCCACGTTTCTTCTCCCGTCACGATTTTCTTTGCGAAGAACCATTTTCTTCTTGTTGCAACCATTCGAGCATCACGCATCTTCAACCTTTCGTGGAGCCAACTGTTTGATCTTCTATCTATTAGAGTCACACCAAGCATTCTTCTCATCATCTTTTAAAAAATTTACTGGTGAATCTACCATTGCACGAGATCTTCTTGTCTATTCCTCCACGACTCAAATGATGTATAGCTGTATAATGTATTTTCTCAAATTCTAGATCCAAGTGAACTCGTTAGGGTTCACGCTGATCTGTCAATAAATTATTATTATTATTATCTTCCTCTGCGCTGTGGCTATCATGTTCATCTCTGTTTTCTTGAGGGTCCAGACTTCTGATCTGTATAAGAGAACAGGTTCTATACAAGCTTGATATATTTTGACTTTGTTCTTGAGAGGTGTTGTTTTCTTCGTCAGATTTTTTTTACAAAGTGTTTCTTTTTCCTATATTTTTTCAGAATTTCACCTAACAACAAAATGATTCTTAGAAGCGACCGTTGTGAATTTATTGAAAAAAAAAATGTAATTTTTGAACATTCATCGCTTTTCGAAAATGACGAGTGAACTGTAGATTACAGTTGAAAGAAGTCAGGCGGTGATTTTTGCAAACTCAAGCTGAACGACAAACCTGACGCCAGTGCTGTTCGGAGTGCCACTTTTGTTGAAATTCAACGTAGAGGGCCTGGAGAACTCCTTTTTCAGTTGTGACTGAAAACTTTTCTGTCCATTCCAAAGCATAAAGTATGAATGCGCACCGGACAGTGGATATATTGTGGGTTGCTGAGAGTTCGGCCGTTGACCCTGGCTGGCATATCTGTATAAGGAGCGTTGCGGATCTCGTTCCTCGCGCTTGAAATCGACAAAGGAGCTTCGGCTCTTTCGAGACTGTAATATGGACTATCGGGGCTCAGGCCACCGCCATAAATAGGCCGTGGCGGACGTCCGTCCACCATCTCGTAGTGTGTCACTTCCGGCGACGGCGGAATCCTTCTAGAGAGGAACTGAAATTCTTTGCTTTTATTCAGATCCATGAATGTAGCAGATATGGTTATATGATGTATCAGGCATTCATTATTGTGGAATTTTTGATCTTGATTCTTCATCACGGATTTTACCAAGAAGATAAATTTTCATTGCGCTTTAAAAATTTTTGAAGTTTCTCAAATTCACTCTGATGTGCCAGCTGAATGTCCTGTAAGTCTCAAACGAGCAGTTTTTAACGATTTTTCATGAATATGATCAATATGATGTCTTCGGGAAAAAATTTTGCTGCAAGATATTAAGTTTTCATTTTGTACGTGAAACAGGGAATTGGTGTATTTTGAGAAATTGCTAAAATGGAAAGTAAAACGACCATCCTCGTTATATAAAAACGTTTAAAAACAATAAACGAAAAACGAATTTTGAAAAATTTTCTAATTTTATTCAAGCTTTGTAACTTTGATTGATGCTCACATTATTGAGATGTTTAGATCTTTCGTACGCCATTGAGGCCTGGTTAGCGGACTTGGGGACCAGCAACTCATAGCTGAAGTTGTCGGTTGACGCGGAACACGGGTACTTCGAGACTGATGGAGAGCCTGAAACGTTTCATAAATAAAAATCTCAAAACCAGAATACAGATGAAGTAAAGGCACTGGGGGCCAAAAGCACGAATGTCCTTTCTTAGAAAAAAACGGACATTTCAACGAGAAAGGGAAACCTGAAGATAATCAATTTATATTTAAGAATTCCTCGAAACCGTTATATTACTTGGGACTGGTAAGCTTCGAAGAGAGAAACATTTTGGGTTCGAAAAACCTCTATATATATGTATGAATATTATTCTTGGTCTTCTTAAACATAATTATCATGCACTAGAAACAACTTTTATTGCAAGTTTCTCACCAAAAGGCCACTCGGGAGTGTCTGGAGATGCAGGGAATGGCTGGTCTAACTCTATTGGCGACTTTTTCTGAGGCATCGGCGCCAGTTTTGACGGTCTCTTCACGATTTCGCCGTCATAACTGTAAAGAATAATTTGAAGAGCAACTTCCAAAAAACTTATAAAAAACGAACTATTCACCTGTTGTAACTTGAGAGCATCGGAGGACGAGTCAAACCGTCCGAGGGAGAAACTTTGTGTCCTCTATAACAAAAAAAAAAGAAGAAATTTTCAAGTTTCAAAAATTTTTGTCACCTCGGCAAAGAAGATTCTTCAAAGTTAGAACAATCACTAGATGAAATAGCTCTTCCTCGTTTTGCGACCTGAACGAAACCATGAGCGAGAAATCTTAGCCAGCTTTGAGCCGTTTTTTCATGAAGAAATATATATACATAAAAAAATAGAAAAATATATATAAAAAGAAATGTAGTTTCTAGGTCTTTTTCGAACGAAGCCTATAAGGCCGTCAGGAGCGCACGCTTGCCAAGTTTTCTTGTTCAGAAGCACCTCGAGAAATCCAACCGCAGCTGGGCCGCGAGTGTGTTGCCCTAGAGGAATAGGCAGTCTCGAGGAAGAGCTCGCTCGGGAGCTCACCGAGCCCCGGGAACTCTCTTCCTCCTCTTTCGAGTCCCGTCGGTTGCTCTTCTAAACCTCGGAAGTTGATCACAACTGAAGTCCTCCTCAAACCTTTGGGTGAAACTTAGAGAGCATTTTTGCGAAAGTCTTGTAGCCTCGCTCTTGTCGCTGCGGCGAAGTCAGATCCTCGGCTGAATCAACTGAAACTTTAAGCCTTTGCTCAAAAGCTGGGAAAGCAAAACTTAAATGGAATAGGTGCTCGTCAAAATTAATTCAGTTAGTTCCGCTATGTAATATTTAAAAAAAAACACCCTTATTTGAAAGCTATTTCCAGAAACTATCCAAAAAACCAGTATTCAGTTCTTTCAAATCAAATTTTTTTTATAAAAAACGCAGGACTCATTCACACGGGCTTTTTCAGTACTGAAAAACTATTTTTTGAATCCCAAAACAACGGCAAATTGTTTACGAGCTCAAATGAAAGATGTACGAAGCTCCGAGAAGAAATGAGCTTGACGGGTGTCTTTGCGCCTTATTCCCTGTATGAGGAAAGAAAGGCAGAGTTATAGGAAAGAAGACGACACAACACGTACTTTTGGCGAAATTGCAAGCGTCGTGGCCGTCGCCACTGGTGGTGGGAGTGACGTCGCCGGCGATCACGTTGGATATGCTAGGTCGCGACTTTTTGCGGAACGCGTCTTGGCGTCGCAATGAGCTGTTGCCGGACTGTCCCCCGTTGATAACGTCGAAGAGGGCGTGCAGGTTCGGACTGCTTGCCGACAACGTGCTTTTGATCGTGGAGCTCGCGGAGTCGCTATTGCGACGCGGCAAAGTGCCACCGGTTAGGTCACCTGTAAAGTACCGACGAAGCTACAGATCATGCAGATTTTCCGAAAACACTGAACTACAAAAAACCAGCACTAAAGCAGAAAATCTGCAAGAACACGTTATTCATAACAATATTTACTGAAGAAAATATTTTTCTTTATATTTTGAAGCTTATTATTTAGTTCATCATTTTGAAAAATAAAATTCTGTAGCCATTTTTTTTTCAAATATATTCCACAATATTTCTCTACATTTCAAAAAAAAATTCACAGCGCTCGTGAAAAAAAAAGAATTAAAAAATCACTTACAATGCAACTGCACATTGACGTCGCTGCCTTCAGCTTTTTGGAAAGAAACCAAATGTTGAACGCCTCAAATTATCCATATTCTCCTATTCAACCGTTCACCAACCTGCCACCGGTCCGATGTCTGACTTTTGCAGCTTGTTCTTCCGTTTTCTCGCCTTTGCCTCAGGCCGCGGATCCACCTGCCGACGTTCGTAGAACGTCTTGATGAGTTTTTGAAGCCTAAAAAGGACCTTAGATGGTTAAATGATACACTGGAAATAGTCATGGTCTACTGCTCTCTAAATTCTCGCCTCTTTTCGAAAATTATTTCTCATCATACTCTAATTGAGCGCTATTTTATTTCTTGGCTTCCTATCGTTATTTCAAAGTCTGAGATATTTATGCGACAAACTGAATTTAAAGATAGAGAAAACAAAAGGATTTCAGAGGTCCAAATAAAGGCTACACAAAGATTTGGAGAGAGAAGAATTAAAACGAAGTCGTCGACTCTTTTTCCGCCTCTTCGAAGAGAGAAGAAAACATACTCGTTTTGTTGATCCGTAGAGCATTTCGTGTAGATTCGCTCGATATCTCGTTCGATGACTGATTGGACGCGTCGCAATTGTTCTTCCAGAGCATTCTGCAAGAAGAATCTTCGAATAGAAACTCGCCAACACAAAACCGATATTTTACTATCCATCGTGTCTTTTTTGTATTCTTCGAAGAAATGCACAATTTCTTTGAAAGAAGGCCTCAGTTCAGGTTCAATCTGAACAAAATAATGAATTCCTGATTTTTTTTTTCGTGTGAATTGAAGAGATTTTTTATTGGATGAGTTACACTAGGAATTTCTTTTTCAGTCAAAAATAACTAACCTCCCAGCATCTTTGCATGATGGATTTCCACTTTTCAGGCCAATCTTCAGCTAAAGCCAAACGCTGACCTTTCATCGAAACCTGAGCACCGAAAAAATTTCAAAACCTTCTAACAAAAAAAAAACCTGAAAAGCTATGACAATGGGCAAAACTCCGTGGAAAGGCTCCTGCTTGGAAAGAAGTTCCCAAAGAAGCACTCCGAAGCTCCAGACGTCGGAAGCCTCAGAGAAAAGAGCGTCTCTGAAGGCCTCCGGGGCCAGCCACGCGTAGGTTCCCGCGATGCTTTGTCTGCAGTCATAGAACCACATTTCGTTCGTATTTTCCAGTTTAATCCAATCGATTTCAGAATGGAATTTCAGCATGAGTCTGGGGAAATTTCGAAAAGTTGGTGAATGGATTAGGTTGGAATTTTTAATAATGGAAAATCTGAAGAATTTTCACTGTGTGGCAAAAAATAAAAAGAAGCACCTTGCCCCTATGTCGGTAGTAATCTTTCGAGTTCCGCCAAAGTCAGTTATTTTGAGAGTCAGCAGGTGTAGCGGACATAGTTTGCAATTAGAGCACCATTCCGGACTCTGAACGCAAGACGGAACAATAAAAAGTTGTGCTGAAATCCAACCTGATTGCGGTCTCCCTTGAGACAAGTGCAGACTTCTTCCACAACGAGAACTAAAATCATAAAGAGTTGGAAAAATCAGGAAAAGTAGATTTCGTTGAGATTTATACTATCAAAAGGAATCCGGACGAATTTTATGCAATGTAAATGAAAAAATTCTCACTGTTATCTGCCTTCAGATCTCTATGGACGTATCCTTGAGAAATCAAGTATTCCATGCCCGAAGCTATTTGCGTTGTCCAATTGATCAAAACTCGCATTGAAATCATGTTTTCTGCTGGATAACTCTTATATAGATTCCGTAGGGAGTTTCCTAGAGAAAAAAAACGAACAAATAGCTAGAAAGTCGAAAAATTCGAAGAAACCTTCACAAAGTTCGAGCATCAAGCCGACGTAGGGCTGTTCGAGACAGACTCCGAGGAGTCGCACAATGTTGGGATGGCACAAGCCGTTCAACATCATCGCTTCCCTCTTGATCACTTCATCTGTGACAAATAGTTTGCAATAGCATTCGATAACATGCGACTAACAAGAAAATGCTGGATCCCGCATAGAAGCATCCGTGAATCTTTTTAAAGCAGCTTTCTAAATTTCCGAGTTATTGAAATAAACACTTTCTTACAAAATACGTCCTTGAAAATTTGAATAAAAACTAAACTAACCTTCCCTTCGCATCGGACTTTGTGAACAGTTGCAGTGGAACCGCTTCCAATTTTACAATGCTCCAGAGTAGCCGTAGTATAAGTGATAAAATTCGCTGCAAAAACTTTCAACTCGGATTCAGCTCCTAGAAAAAAACGATGAAAAAATGGTAAGCATGTAAAGAAAAACCTAACAAATTGACGTAGTTAGAAGGGAAAAGCCCGATCTTGCCATTCAATTCTCCTATGAACCATCCTTCTTCGCTTCTGTGATATACTAGCTGTTTTGACGGACAAGTAGAGAACAAACGTTTCAGTAGATATCAGTCGTATCGTCGCCCCCAAAGTCAAAGTGAGTTCATCCTCTTTCCGCGCAATATACTCATAGGCAGCGATGTATATCTGAAATGAAATTGAATTTAAAAAACAGTTTAATATGACCCTATCGAATCGTAACCCACAAAACTAAAAAGTTAAGACCTGTGGAAAAATTTAGTTTTTACCGTTGAGCACACTATGAAATAAGAAAACCATTAAAAAAATGAGTTTGCTTGATTGATTAAAGAGCGATAGTTAATTGAATAAAGAGATGAAAATATTTAGCCAATTAGCCGATAAAAGACTAATTCCATGTCCAAATTATATTCGCTAAATTCTGAACATCGACAAAGAAGGAAAAAAAGATAACCGAATTTCGAGTGTCAGAACTAACTTTCAATTTTGCGAAACGTTTAAACGCGTTTCCACTTAAGTTCCAAAATACTTTGGAAAACAAGCGTAAGCCGAAAAATTAGTCTTTTATTCTCATTTTGCGCGTCGCTTTTAATGCATCAAGTGCACTGCGTGAACAACTGCAGACCGCAATTTTTTTTTCCTGATTGGCCTTTTTACGTATTTTTTTTAATTTCAATGACCCGTGGAAAAAGAAGATTCTAAAAAATCGCTTTTGATGGAATTTAAAAGGTATTACGGTGAATGAGGTATGACCGAGTACGGTACTCTGAAGCTAGGCACCCATTTATAAAATTTACTGCTGTATATATATAGTTTAAAAAAATCACCAAGCTTGTCGTAGTCCCATCAACTCTTTTTGGAAACTATGCTTTCGGATCTAGCCCGGAAAAACTACTCCTGAAACGATTTTTTTCGCGATTATATGTGGCATCATGCAAGTCAAACCTGTACTGTTTTCCAAATGTGTCGTATGGGTTGTGGATTCGGGTCTTTCATCGTTATCAGAAGAGAGAATCAAATGATTTTTGCTTCTATCTAAGAAGAAAAAATAAGAGAATTGTTCTCATTTACATTTTTCAACGAACCTACTATTAAAGGCGGTGCTAAGTTGACATATGGTTGATAGTCGTCATTCATCGACAGGATCCCTTCGGTTTTTTTACCCTTAATTCAGTTCTTTTAACTTCGTTCAACACAGATCTTGCTTTCAACGACTTTAAGATCTACTGAGACTTGTTTGATGGCCATATTCAGCCTCACAAGAAAAAGAAAAAAATAATTTTTAAAATTGTTAACAGTCTGATGAAAAAAACAAGTTGGCGAGTCCAGAACACGAATTTGCAATCACAACTGTTGTTCTGCATGATGCAACTCAACAATTGTTAGAGGACATCAAAATTTAGATATCCAAGAAGTAAATGATGGAAAAAAAAGTACAATTATATATACACTGCGATAGAGGTTCGAGATGTGCGAGAACACTCGCCATAGAACAGTCGCGAAGGCTGGCGTCTCCTTTCTGAGAGTTCTCTCTTCCTGTCTGACTGACTGGGTTTTCCAAAGCCAACACGCCTCGTCGTTCCCTCTAACTCGCCAACGAAAGTCTGTTTCTCTCTTCTACTTCACTATTCTACCTGTCTCGGAGTTCCAGCGCACTGCACTATTCTATCTGTTTTTCTTTTCTTCTTTACCTTTCCAGGAACACCCCACACCTATCAAAATTGAAAAAAGGCTCTTTGTGCTTACTTTAAAATGAAAAAAGTGCTCAAAATGTTCGAATAGACCAAAGAGATTTCTTTGGTTTATAATTCTGGCTGAAGCTTTATTGCATGTTCGAGTTATTTCCCGTATTATTCACTTCTTGAATTTTATTTCGCTTCAAGTAAAAAAGTCCTCGCCGATTCGACAACTCTACTCGATCCAATTACACAACGCTGCACTGTTACGGTTATTAAAGTTGCAAATGACTCGGTGTAGAAGCAAATAATATAAGGGTAGAGACCTTCAGCAATATTCGAAAGCTCTCTTTTCAGTTCTACACACAAATAAAACGAATAACTTTAGTTTAAGAAAAATATTGAAAATGAGCCGAGATACGTATCTCGCTGTAGCGATTTTAGTGGGAAAATATAAAATATAGTTAAGAAAAATTTTAAAAATATATTCGAAGCAACTTTCAGAGCGAGTCCAAAGTACTTTTGTGCTTTCCGACACAGTTTTTGTTTCGAAAAAAATGAAACAAGGGGTGGTTGGTGTTTTTCTGAGCTCAGCTGAGCAAAATATTCTTGACCAGATCGTAATCATAATTTTTTTCGCCGTGGGAGCTTTTGCCGTCACTGAATATGGGAATGGTTTTTTTATTTAGAGACTTTTTTTCAGATTTTCACTCATCACCGGTATACTAAGATTACAATTAGATTTTATAATTAGATTCCGACAATGGCGGTTGGGCGTGTCTGAATCCGAGAATAAAAAAACATAAGATTTGAACACTTCATGTGAAATAAATACAAAAAAAAACTATGCACAGTGGCCAATCGAGTTTGAGTTGAAATCGGGGTACAAAAAGGCGAAGAAGAGACGAGAAGCGACCTCTCCGAGAACGACCGCCCCGCAGAGAAAAACGTTGAACGTCATGAAAATGAGCATTAGACAATAAGCGAGTAGCAACTGCAGGGCCTGCAGGACGGCATCCGTCAGTTCAAAGACGCGGAACTGCGGTCTCAAGCTGAAAGACCACGTTTTCCCACAAAAAACGCGATTTGACTTACCTAAGACGCGACTCAACAGGTGGCGGTGTTTGTCGAAGTTCGTACTGAACCCTTCGATAGCCACGGAAGAATCGTGCCGTCTCCATCACTAGCGCAAGAAAAACCACTGCCAAGCAAGACAGCGCCATGTCTTAATTCACCATGAGAACTTTCGAAGCGCAGGTAGTTTCAGTTACCCGTAGAGAAAAAAACTAAACATCACAAAAAAATTTCATGAAAGTCCTAAACACTTCTTTTTTTCTGAAAACGAGTCCCGAGAAAAAAATGTTTTTTTCTTTGAGTTTTTTTATGTTAACATGATTTTTTTCTATTATTTTTTTCTACCACTTTAGAGAAAAGTTTTTTTATTAGTGATCCCTTTTTAACTTTTTTTTTTCCCATCACGAAAACTTCACACTCCGCATAGCCAATTCGGAAAGACTTGTATAAATTTAACTGGTCTTTTTCTACTATCAAAAGAAATAGAAATTTAAAAAGAAGGTGCAGGAAATACAATCTCGTAATTTCTTGCGGAGAGGGGAAAAATTTGGAAAAAAAATACAACGGAATGTATGACGTTTTTTTTGGTCAAGCAAGAACTTTGGCATTGTATTCCGCGAACCTCGGTACACGGCTGTTACTCCACGTCTCATCTTTTTTTATGTTTTTTTCTATTTATTCATCCACACCTAACGCTGATTTGGTAGTCCAAATATCGAAGAGAATGGTCTCAGCTGATGAGAAATGGAAAGACATGGCGTGCATCATCATAGAATGCTCAGAAGGAGTCGATGGTCCTGCAAAAGCTATGTAATCCATCACTTCAAGCTATTTATAATTTTTTTTTAAATAATTTTTCCGAGAACTATAATTTTGTTTCATTTCCAGTCAGAGTTAATAAAATGGATTTGTGAATGAGAAGACGAAGAAAAAAAAAATGAAAAGAGGATACCGATGTGTCCGTGGTGGTGATCCATCGTATGGGACATCCTTCAGTTCAGCAGTTCAGAGGTTCTGAAGGTTCTTTTACAAGATTGGTACGAAATTGAAGAGAAAGTGGATCCAAGTGAAGTTTTCAGAGAAAGGAGAGAAGACGGCGACCGGTTTTATCTCACTTCTCAGGTTCACAGAATCGAATTGCTTCCGATTTTATTTTTTCGATCCTCGACGTTGTACTGCCGTGGACCTCTTCAGTAGGAACAATATATTTATCTTACAGCGAAACTGTTTTTCAAGCGGGAAATAATTGAAAAATTGTTAAAAGTGCCGAAAAAACATACTTAAACATATGAAAAAGCCCCAGTTAAAAAAAAAGTAGATTTGTACAAAACGCTGTGATTGATGAAAAGGAAGAAAAACCGTCTAATGGAAGGAAAGGCGAGCGGTCGATGGTATGAATTGGAAGAATTCCCCGTCCGAAACAAATAAACATTTGACCCGTCATTGCCTCCTGCACTTTTTGCTTTCCGCTTCTTTCCTCAATCGAGTAAAACATTTTGCTTCTAGAAAGATAGACAGAGGGAAGAAATATTTTATTGAGAAGAAAAAAGCTCATTTTCAACTTTTATCAACAGATTCCGTATAAAGTCTTCACTCGAAGTGATCGCTCTCCTTTCGAGGTTTCCGCCTGGAGCACGGTCTTCGAGCTCCAGTACGAGATTTTTTTCATCCTTCTGAGCTCCTCAAGGCGCAACTGGATGGACAGAAGAACGAGGCGAAGGGCCGTAAGACCAGGCTAGGCTTTCAACTTGACGACACCAAAGATTGTGAACGACACACACGATCATATAGGATTCGAGACTTCTAAGCTGTGATTTTTCTTTTCATTTTTTTTTATACCGAATCGGATCAAATTTGACCAGATTCGCTTCAAGGTCTTCGGTTTTTGCTTATTTGTTTCTGTTTCAAGAGCAGAATTGAAACAAAAAAAGCTGTTTTTAGAGTAGCCTGTTTTCTTCTGTTCTTTAAAAACGTGACTGAAGTTTGTCAAAGTTGATCTAATTTGGTATACGGATTTTTAACGGGAAGGAAAATGTGGCTGGCGGGGTAATCTAGTTTGAGTGGTCCCTCGGAGGAATTGTGCTTTCAGTGATCCTCGGAGGTACCATTTATGATTTCCATCAACGATTCATCCTTTGGTCAAGTACCTCTTCCTTTTGAAAAAAAAAAATCATTTTCCAACAAGCTTCTTATTTTTTTTAACATTCCAATAAAAATTTTATAAAGAAACCCTTTTTTTTTAAATAGTTAATGAGACTGAACAAGTTTTTTTTTTTAACATTGTGAGCGATCTAAATAGAAACACATGCATTTTCGGAAAACCACTTTGGCACTTGAGGAGCGGCTGAGTGGTCCCTATAGGGGCAACCTTAAGATCCCTTGAAGGTTCACCTCTACGGGGCCACAAAAGCTAGCAAAAATGGCCTCTCCGGGGGTAGTGAGTGGTCTAGGAGAGCGTACTATACTCTAAGCCTTAGAGTATAGTACGCTCTCCTAGAGTCTAAGGGTGTCTGCTATAAGTCCCTATACCAGATCCATATACTTTTTTTAAGCTAAAAATATTTTCTTCCAAGCATGATAAAAAAAATTAAAATACTGCTGTCCGAACCATTTAGGCCTTAGCAGTCAGACCCTATACGTATATATATATACTCTTATAAGGATCATATCAATTTAAACCTTCAAAGGAGCACTATTTTGTCTTACTCTGGCCAGGCTTGTGCGTCAGGCTGGGCGGCCCGGGCTTTGGGCCTCATTTTCAGGAAAAAAAGCCCGCGTGGGCTCAGGGCCGGCCTTCAAAAAAATATTTAAAATTTCATTTTAAAAAAATTTTTCACCGAAATGTGACTTTTTGCTTCTGAAAACATAGTTTTTGTTGAACTTTAAGAGAAAAAAATGAGCAAAAAAACGTAATTTTTGTCGTAAAAAAAACTTGATATCCGATTAGAAAAAAATTGCGCTATTCGGGCCGGGCGGGCCATTTTTTCTTGAGGCCCGCTAGGGCCGGGCCGGGCTTACGAAATGGTCGGGGGGCCGGGAGGGTGACGGGCCGGCCCTCGCACAAGCCTGACTCTGGCGTTCTCAATCAGAGTAAATTTGAACCACGAACAGTGCTTCTGTAAGCAGGCTTGTGCGAAGGCCGGCCCGTCAGCTTCTCGGCCCCCCGGCGACTTCCCAAGCCAGACCCTAAGATGAAAGGCATAGCCTATGCCTTTCATCGTGCCGCATAGGGGCAGTAAAAAACTGGGTTTCAGGTGAAAGCAGTATCTTGTGTAGTTTTTCTTTGCGAATCGAACGGTGTACTCAAAAACATTACAGATGTCACTACTTTTGAAGAAAGACGCAATTTTTTCCCGCCTTCTAGTTTAAAAAATGCTTAGGATCGGTGCTCGGACAACTGATTACAGTAGACGCGATGTTGCGGACGTCTCATTAGACTCGCATTTTGTGAGAAATAACCGGATATCTGCTTCAAATCAAGGGTTCCTTCTCTGAAAAAAATTTAGTTAAACAAAAAACAAACACCGATAATAAAGGAAACAGAAAATATCGCTATCCCAATCGAAACCTGTGTAAAATCGAGTACAGGACAAAAGCGCCGATTCCAAGAGCGCCGTTCAAATTTAGCGCCAGTCCGCAATGCGCCGTCGCGTGTATGCGCCGTGTATGCAGACGCCGCTTTCTTTTGCGCCGAGTCCGTTTGCGCCGAATCGTTTTGCGCCGTTATTTCAAACTTTTATTTATTCGCTCTTTTTCTATTATTTTTCAATAATTGTTTACTACACATTCATATACGACTCGAATAACTTTCGCGCCATCTGTTAATGTGGACCTTTCTGCCGCATTTTCGAAAAAACTCGAACTATTGTTTCAAGAAAATGAGTTCAACGTTACGAAAAACGATTTTCTGCTGTTTCACGTCTGCTAGAATTGAAACTTTGCCTTACCTAACGCAGAAAATTTGCAATCACAAAAAAATCACTCAATATGTCGTTTAAAGCAATAATTTTTTATCCATTCTCTTTTTCCTTACGTTTTTCTGTATTTTTTTCGAAATCAGAAAAGCATATTTGCTTTTTTTATTTTTTTACTTTGAAAAGAAAAAAAGGGGAAAAAAATATTTTACCTGGACCAAAGTGGACCTAAAACTCATCATTAACGGATGGCGCGAAAATTATTCGAGTCGTATATGAATGTGTAGTGAACAATTATTAATAAATAATATAAAAAGAGCGAATAAATAAAAGTTTGAAATAACGGCGCAAAACGATTCGGCGCAAACGGACTCGGCGCAAAAGAAAGCGGCGTCTGCATACACGGCGCATACACGCGACGGCGCATTGCGGACTGGAGCTAAATTTGAACGGCGCTCTTGGAATCGGCGCTTTTGTCCTATACTCGTAAAATCATCATTTTTCACCAGAGAGCAATTTTTCGAGAAAAATTGCCAATTTAACATTTATAGATGGTTTTTGTGACAAAAAGAACTTTGGTGACAACAGAAAAAATTGAAATTTTAAAGAAACGAAGAAAAAAGCGAAAAATCCGAAAAATGGTGATACATGTTCTCCATAGAGCAACTTTACTGCAAAACGCTCTTTTTGCGGGAACTCAAGCTTTCCTCTCTCCAACTTTGAATTATTTTTTTCTCCGAAACTAGAAAGTTTGGTACGTTTCCAAGTTCACCGTTTCATTCGCAATGAAAAACTCTACAAAGTACTGCTTTGAAACTGAAACACCGTTTTTTTTCTGCCCCTATGCCTTTAAGGAAAGCCACAAATGTTCAGTAGGGTTTTTCTTAAAAACTAAAAGAGAATTGTGAAGAGAACTGTTCTAGCTAGTAGGAAACAGAAATTACCTTTGACTTTTCATTTTTCATTAAAATTTATTTTTATTTTAACTTTCATCCAATAGTACTTCTCTACTTGTTAAATAATTTTTTTCTGTTGATATTTATATGAAAAAAAAGAACTAAAACACTTTTTTTCAAAAATTATATTGTCCTTTACTCGAAGATAATTTCAACTTCAAATTGATTAAGTAGTTCTTTCAGGAATTTCGAGAAGACAACAACTTTTCAAAGATGGCGTCAGCCACTAGATACCAAGAGTTGATGAAGCCTCGACAAAGAATCAAACACAATGGATTTCTTTTTGTGATACCAGATCACAAATTTTCGGTGTTTCCCCGCTGTAAAGGATTAAACGTTTTTTTTTTATTTTTTGAGGTACCTCAATTTCGATGTTGTGGTGGAGTTCACGGATCGCCATTGACAAAGCAAAATTGCGGCACGAGTGAATATGACGGGCTCGATGCTATCACAGGAGGGGTGAGCTTTATTCTGTTTTGATGAACACTGTTGTAAGCTTCATTCTGTTTTGAGGAACACTGTTGTAATTTTCAGTTGGATGTTATCTCTTGTGAGGGTTCGAAGGAAGTAGCTCAAACAAGACCATCCCTTATTTCAACAAAGGTTTTCATAATCGGCGATCCGTCTGAACGTTTTCATAAAGGTTCCAATTTCTGAAGCACGGCCTGTTATTCAGTCAGTACCCTCAACGAGTTACAATGGGGACAACAATAGTCTCACGAAACGTTACTTGACATCTTCAAGTGCAAGATACTCGAAATCTTTTGAAGATTTAGGTTTAGTTCTAACAGTTTTTTCTTGACCACTTTATTTCAGAGGATTACTTCTCCGATGAAAACCTTGAGGCTGAAATCTTGACGAATGATAGAGCGCGCAAAGACTGTGTAGATGATTTTGAAGAGGTGCCGAATTTTCGGTTTTATCATTTTTTGTGTATAGGATTTCGACGACGAAATCGTAGTTCTACCCAAAAAACAAGGAGGAAAAATTGTAGAAAGTCATCTTTTTGACCCAGCTGCAGAGTTCGATGAGGTTATTATCAATTCCTTTTGAGCATAATTTTTGTTTTGAGGACGACCGCAAATCCGAAGACAGCTTCTTCGATGAAGAAATAATTTTGCAGGTTTTTCCTACTTATGCAGTGTCAATCGTCGCACTTTTTTATTCAGAGCAACCCAGCTGAAAAAAGCGAAGCATCTGAAAGCTCCACTTCAGTAGGTGGACGGCACGGTTTTCTAAATTTTTTTTATTTTCCTAAAGTCCAATGTCCTACAGATATGCATGGGCAATTCCGCGGTTTCCTGCAAGACAACAGCGCGGAATTCGAAGACGAACGTTTTTTCCCCTACTTTTCATGAATGGTTTTTTTTTAGAAAGCTTATTGGGAGACTTTCGACGCGACGAATTGTACAAAACACTCAAAGCGAAATTCGGGTTCAACAGCTTTAGACATCGTCAAAAGAATGCAATCGTTTCAATCTTGCTGAATAATGATGCCTTCGTGCTGATGCCAACAGGTTATTGCAGGCTCAATATGTTTTTTTCACGTTGTTTTAGGCGCTGGAAAAAGTTTGTGTTATCAATTGCCGGCGGTTTTATCGAAAGGCGTGACAGTTGTTGTCTCACCTTTACGTTCTTTGATTGAAGATCAGCGCTCCAAAATGAAAGAGCTGGATGTAAAAGCTGAGAAGAGAACTTTTCTAAACGATTTTGTTAAGATTCCATGCGAAGCTCTCACTTCAGAACTCTCTTCTGCAGATCAAGAGGCCATTTATCAACGATTGATGAGTCCCGAACCCGACATTAAACTTTTATACGTCACGCCTGAAAAGGTCTGCTTTTTTAAAAGTTATTTGAGATGTTTTCTAGATCAGTGCATCGGGTCGGCTGAGCTCGGCTTTTAGTAGCTTGCACAGACGCGGTCTTCTGGCTCGGTTTGTCATAGACGAAGCCCACTGCGTCTCTCAGTGGGGACACGACTTCAGACCAGATTACACGAAGCTGAAAAGTCTTCGTTCAACCTACGCCTCTCCAAAGGTCAGAGATCCTGCTCTCCTCAAAAGTTCACTATCTCGATTCTCAAACCTATTCTAAAAAGAATTTTTCTCTATTCAGGTTCCTATCATCGCCCTTACAGCTACAGCGACACCAAAGATCGTGACCGATACACGTGATCATATAGGAATTGAGACTTCTAAGCTGTGATTTTTATTTTCATTTTTTGTATAACTTAAGCAACTAATTTTCAAGATTCATCAGCAGTTTTGTACGAGACAATTTGAAATATGACCTTCTGCCAAAGGCTTCACGATCCGTGGTGAAAGTAGTCGAGAAGATGAAGCAGCTTTACCCTGGGAAATCAGGAATTATATACTGCCTTTCAAGGTTTTCTTCAAACGCCTCAGTTATGATTAACCTTTGGTCTCAGAAAAGAGTGTGAAACAGTCGCAAATATGCTAACGAAAGCAGGCATGTCTGCGGAAGTCTACCACGCCGGCCTGAACGACAAAACGCGCGTTAATGTGCAGCACCGATGGCTTGCCAACCGCGTCGACGTCATCTGCGCCACGATCGCCTTCGGCATGGGGATCGACAAACCTGACGTCCGTTTCGTCATCCACTTCAGGTGAGCTCACGCGTCGGGCTGATATTCACCGTTTGAAAAAGATAATTGAGCTTTTTAAATAAAAAAATAAGAAAAAAAAGAATCCCTGACTTACAAAAAGGTGGAACATGAATTTTTTGGTGGAAAAATTGTATTTTTTTGAATTTCGGCTTTGGTTTTTTTGTGTTTATTAGAACTTCGATAAATTGAAAATTGAGAAAGCTTTGAAAAAATCGATTTACTTGACAAAAAGTTATTATTAAAAATTAGCCTGCCGAAGTCGATCGAAGGGTACTACCAGGAAACTGGACGAGCAGGACGGGACGGACTTCCCTCCTACTGTCTGATGCTGTATTCTTACCAAGATTCGATCCGTCTACGTCGCATGATCGAAGGTTTTTTTGAAGTCGCTAATTCAGACTCACAATTTACTATAGACACACAGAGCACGTCGGGGATCCGGATGATGCATTTGCAAAATATTTACCAAGTTGTTTCATACTGCGAGAATGTGTCAGTTTGCAGACGGAAGATGCTCGTTGAACACTTTGGAGAAGTGCCTTTTGTCTCAAAATGTCTCATAATCAAAAATTGTCTTTAGGTCTACGATGAGCAGACCTGCCGGACTAGCAAAACTCCATGCGATGTCTGCGAGAAACGCAAGAAAAATCCATCGGCTTTCCGCGTTTTCGACGTCAGTCATGAAGCGAAACTGATATTGAAAGAACTGCAGAGAATGCAGAAAGTTACCTTGCGGTATTTTGAGATTCCTCGGGATTTTCTTTCCATTCGGCATTTTGCAGGTATCTTGCTGAATTGTATCGAGGGCAATTAGTCAAAAAGACTGCCGAAAAAGCAATGAGCATGGGCCACAAGTCATTGCCCTTCTTTGGCCGCGGCGCCGGTATGACGGAACAAGACTCTCTTCGTTTTCTGCGGAGACTGGTGAGTCGCAGAACCACCTCTAGCTGATCCTGCGCGTGGCGCAACGCCTAAACGCGTGAATCTCACTAGGAGTGTCCCGTGTTCGAAACCTATGGGGGGCGAATCCATGTTTGAAGTCCTCGTTCGGAACGTTCCGACTGAGTACTAGCGATGCATGGGACATGGGAATGTTGAATAGGTTACAGTGTATATCAATTGCTATACACTGATTACGATTCGGACGGACATTTCTTTTAAAAAGGTCTTTCTAAAATCCTGCAAATTTTCTTTCAAATTTTTATTTGTGTACATTGAAAACTTCCAACTTGAAGGTAGTGGAAGGATACATTTTCGAGCGCCTCTATGCGATTCCACAGCAAGCTGGAGTCGTAGCTTATGCAGAAGTCACTGAAACTGGAAAACAATTTGCAGCTGGAGCTCCAGCTAAGGTAAGATCTTCAAATCTCAAATATTATCTTCCAATTGTTTAACAGGTGTACCTTCATATTGTTACTTGTGAAAAACGTCGAAAGAACGACTCTGTCGAACTTTCGAACATCAATGCTGTTTCGGAAGCACAGGCTCTGAAGGACAAGTGAGAGAAGATTTTTTGAAAAGAGATTTATCAATTTCAGGTATATGTTCAAACACGGCGATGTGTTCGCTAAGTGTTTGAGAGAGCTTACCGACCTGATGACGCAAATGGCCGAGAGCACTGGACTTCCTGGTCCCTATTCTATTGTTTCTCGTGAAGGTCTCGAACAGGTAATTTTGCCGTCTGTCTCTTTTCGAATATATGATGTTTAAAAGTCGAGATTGGATACTTAATGTCTCTTGGAAACAATAAGACAAACAGCCAAAAAATGTTTTTGGTTAGAAACATGGTGTTTAAAAGGAAATTCAACCAACTTTCAGCGAACTCTCAAAGTCTTGCTTTTCAGAAGCGAACAAAATTGTTCTGCGCCCTTTTTGTTGTGGTTTGGTTCTACAGTAAAAGCGAGTTTTTTCCATTTTCGAAGTTTTTGCCCTTTTTAGCGTCCAACTCCGCGTTTTTCTCTCAGTTTGTTTATGAATTATATCGAAACATATTTCAACTACAGGAAAAAGTCGAATCACATCAGTCATCCGTTATATTTTTTAAGCTAAAAAGCCGAGTGGAAATTTAAAAAAAAAAGATGGAATTTCCGAAATGTCAAGCACACGAAGTGAATACTTCAGAATGAGGCACCTCCTTACAGTACTTTTCGCAAATGAAAAAAAAAACCTCGTTTTTATCATAGCACCTGTTGCGTTCAAAGTAATTTCGGCGATTTCAAAGTAGGCGCGTTATTTGTTTAAAAAAATGATTTCGGGAAATGGGCAGAATTGGTATTCCGGGAAGGTGCAGAAAAATGAGTCTTACAACAATATATCGTTACACATGCATTTTTAAGGTGACTTTTACGCGCGAATTTGAAATTTTTGTAGAAAATCCCAAATAATTCCAAAATTTTGAGTTCGCGCGTAGAAGTTACAGTAGAAATGCATATCTTGCGATATATCGTTTTCGGACTCATTTCTTCCGTGCCTTTCCGGATTTCCCTATTTGCCTATTTTCCCGGAATCATTTTAAACGAAAAACGCGTTTGAAACCGCCGAAATTGCTTTGAACATGGCATGTGATATAAAATAGAATGAGACTTTGTAGAAAATGATTTTCGAGCTTTGACGAGATCGAAAATATAAGTGGTATTTTTTTTTTTAGATTGCTGCGTTGCTTCCGAGAACAAATTCAGAACTTTTGAAAGCGGATTCCATGACGGCCATCAAGGCTGGAAAGTATGGCCAAGTTATTATGGAGACATTGAAGCCTTTCTGGATACAAGTCGATGGTATTTGTCTTTCTGTATAGTTATAGGTGAAAAATTACAGAAAGAGAAGAAGACGAAATGCGTCAACAATTGGAAAAACTGAAAAATGGAGAACTTGTGCTCGGTGGCTTCGCCGAAATGCCTAAACCAGATTCGGGTGTTGCTTTATCTGGTAAATCCCCTACTTAAGATAAGCCCAACTTTTTGTTTCAGGTGCAATAACCGCGTTCCGACCGCATTTCATAACTGGAAGAGGCAGAGGAGCAAGAGCAAAGCGCACTGCTTCGGGACCGTAAAAACAATTATATTCCGTTAGAAAAAAAACATCCATTTCTAGGAAGAGTGGGAGTGGAGGGCGACCGCCAAAAAAACCGCGGCTGCAGGCCAGGACTTCGTCCAACCGTGGAAAACGTGGAGCTGCCGCCCTCAAAAATCCTCGTACCCTCAACAAAATGCTATTTCCGGCTTCTCTTTTATAGCATTCGTGACCAACGTAGTCGAATTGGCCGTATTTTGGTACATAAAGCACTCTTAGATCACTTTTCATACCTCATGTGTCATAAACCTTTTTTTGTATTCTTCGTTAACATTTTTAAAAAAATGTATATATATATATATATATATATATATATATATATATTGGGAATTTAGAAGAAACAAAAAAAGAAATAGCAATGTAACGTAAAAATTTTAAGGCGGCCGGCCTTGAGGAGAACTAAAAGTAGCGCGTCTTTGAACGTCCAAGCTCTAAATATGTTATGATTTTTTTCTTCAAATTTTTTTAGCATTTCTTGTGAACCGCTAAAGTAATTTCTTGTGAAATAAAAATAGTTTATTAAAACTTAAAAGCAGTAATCACTCTTTGATTTTTTTTTTCTTGGCTTTTTTTGATGCCTCACGTATATTACAATTTACTCCAATTTTGGAGCAATCTCAGGACGTCGACATATACGCACTAACACTTTTGATGCCGTGTTAAAATAATTGTCGGTTTTAAAATGGACGTTTTATTCGTTTTGAATGATTCCGCGAATACGCTAAATTAACAGTTTCTCAGGCACTGGTGGGGGACGCGCCGAGATTCGGGCTCTTGTTTTAGCCTTTTGAGTGGAAAAACCTTTTTCAAATAGTTTTTTGGTATTTTTATAATACGTATTAGTATGCATGCTCACTTTTAAAACAGCATTCGAGCACATTTGTGCGAGTTTTTGAAGAACCCTATTTAAATTGAAAAAAAGGTATAGCTGATTCACGGCTGCCTTGAGCCATCGAAAAAATGGTCCTGGCACAATAATGCACGAGACAGCGCCTGGCTCGTGGATAGCGCAGACAGGACACGCCCCTAGCGTACCAAGCTGGCCGTGAATCAGCTATATAATGTTGAGTGTTATGCGTCAAATGTTGGGTTAAACTGAGCATAATGATGAGAAGAAACTCATAAAAGTGAAGAATTTATGAGCTTGCATGGACAAAAAAGGCAAAAAAAAATAAGCCACCTGAAGCGCACGCGCCACGAGTGTCTGAGCTGAAAGCAATTGGAAAAGTGGGGTTATAAAACAATATAACGAAAACGAAAAACGATTCGAATTTTAAGGATTTTAAGGAGAATTATTTTTGTGGAAATCGTCATCCTTTTTTATGCATACGAACTATTATATATATATATATATATATTGTATGAGTATATACATATAGTTAGACCGTGGTTTCTCGTGTAATGTTTCAAAATCATTAACATCAACAATTGAAGAGAACCAAATGGTGTGCCATCGCATTATGCGCATTCTTGAATTTAATTTTTTGCCATTGCGCCTTTAAAAAGAGTCCTGAAACGAAATTCAGTTTGGGTGGGAGCCGTGTTTGAAATTTTGAAAAAAAATATCTATTTCTATTCCTTGTGATTTTATTATGGCGCGTTATATTAGAAAAATAAAATTTTTGTGTTCAAGGTTATTCGGCGAAGTGTAAAAAGTGTGTTGAAGAATAAAGAAACAACTAGATTTTTGAGGGTCACAGAAAATTTATAGTTCCGCGAAATTACTTTGAACACGGCATATAAAATTAACCAAAATTGTTTATGTCTCCAGTTATTTCCGTTTTCGAAGTAATTTTTGCGAATTGCAAAATTATCTTTGATTCTTCAAAATCTTGTTGTTTTACCCTCTCTGACGGTTGTTTTAAATTTCGCAAAATCACTTTGAACATGAAATATTCATTCAACATGTTTTTCGAATGAAAAGCTCCAGAATTTACATTTTTCTGGTATTTGGTCAGTATTTATCTTTAGATTTTTCATTCCGCTCACTGAAAATAGTTAAGTTGATTCCTTGCGTCGCTCATATGATCATATCTTCTATGACTCAAAGTGATTCCGGCGAAAAGTCAAAAAGACAACAAAGTTTTGAATAGTCAGATAATTTAAAAATAATAGAAATTTACAGTTTTTTGAATTGTGCTCTTAATCTAGGACCTCTTGTAAATTGTAAATTGCGCTTTTCGATTTGTTTGAGATATTGATAGTTTTAAATATTGGATCGGTAGTTAAAATCCAGTGATATGAAAAAGTCAATTTTAAATAAAACATTCTGAATTACGTTATATCATTATTAAAATTTATGTTTTTTTTCGCAATGATTTTTTTCAGGTAAAAAAATGAGTGATGAAAACATGGAAGTGTCTCATTCTACTGGTGAAAAGCCTGCTCCTGCTGAGATGACCAGCAAGGATTACTACTTCGATTCTTATGCGCACTTTGGAATTCACGAGGTTTTACTTTTTCAGAAATTTAAATAGGGTTTGTGAAGCATATTTTGAAAATTCCATTTTCGCCTTCTTCTTTATAAATAATACGTTTGGAGAGATATCGCAAATAATTTGTTCTTTTATTCAAATTCACAGTTAGCTTTTTTTTTCAGTATTTTTTGGGGTAAATTTTTTTTTTAATGGCCGGTCGTATTACGGTAGTTTGGATAGGTTTTTCAATAATAAAAAGAAATCTTGTGTATCTTTTGTGACGTAACTTACCTTGTAACTTCGAGAAATAGGTCCTTAACAAATTGCAAAAAAAAGAAAAAAAATTTCCTGGCTCCAAAACTGACGGCCGCCGGCCGCCGTAGTACTGTCTCAAACATGCGTGCGAAACGAGTCTCTTTGCAGGAAATGTTGAAAGATGAAGTTCGCACAGTAACGTACCGAAACTCCATCTACCATAACCGTCATTTGTTCAAAGACAAAATAGTGATGGATGTTGGATCTGGAACGGGTATTTTATCGATGTTTGCGGCCAAAGCCGGAGCAAAAAAAGTTTTCGCTGTGAGTTATTCGATCAATTTTACTTAACAAATTGAAGTAATATTTATAGATGGAGTTTTCCAACATGGCTCTACAGTCCAGACAAATCATCAAAGACAATAACTTGGATCACATTATCAAAGTTATCCAAGCGAAAGTTGAAGATGTTACGGAGTTACCTGGTGGCGTTGAAAAGGTATGCTTATTGTGAATTAGTATTATCTTAGTTCTAATATGATAGAGTTGGTAATGCAATTCAGTTACAGTGAGTTTTAAGAGCGTTATGTTTGAATTAACATTAGATCTGATCTCAGGCACTAGGAGTGCTTGCTGTGCGAGCGAGTACTTTCAAAGAAATACTTTGGAGGCGCTAAGTAATCTTCATATAGCTTTTACCTTTGAAGCCTCGTGACCGTGATATGAATAAATATACAGCGAGTTTTTGAAAATTTTTGTAGCCTGTTTTTAGCGGGTGAGAAATCAAGCTTATTGTAGGTCGACATCATTATCTCAGAATGGATGGGTTACTGTCTCTTCTATGAGTCAATGCTGAACACCGTTTTATTCGCCCGTGATAAGTGGCTCGCTCCTAACGGCATGCTCTTCCCTGACAAAGCCAAGCTGTTTTTGTGCGCTATCGAAGATCGGCAATACAAAGAAGACAAAATCCATTGGTAAAATTTTTAATTTTATTAAAGAAAAGTTTTCATCAGGTGGGACAATGTCTATGGTTTCAACATGTCGGCCATCAGAAAGGTGGCTGTTACTGAACCACTCGTTGATGTCGTAGATAATGCTCAAGTCGTCACTAACAATTGCCTTCTCAAGGAGGTTCTTAAAATAATAATTTCGCGCTAGCAAATTAATAGTAAATTTTTTCAGGTCGATCTTTACACTGTCAAGGTTGAAGACTTGACGTTCACATCGAACTTCCAATTGTCGTGTGCACGAAACGATTACGTACAAGTATTTTTTCAACCGACTTCAAATTCATAAAAGTTTTGTAACAGGCACTCGTAACCTTTTTCACTGTCGAGTTTTCGAAGTGTCATAAAAGAACAGGATTTTCGACCGGTCCTGACGTGCAGTATACTCACTGGAAACAAACTGTCTTCTATCTCATGGTTTTTAAATAAGAATCTTCTTACAATTAAATTTGTTTTACAGGACGCATTGACAGTTAAAAAGGGAGAACAGATTCAGGGTGTTTTCGATGTTGCTCCGAATAAGAGAAATCAGCGAGATCTAGACTTTAACATCAAGGTGAGCCATTCAGATGTGTTGAGAATTATGGCTATTTTAAGGTTAAATTTCATGGAGAAGTTTGCGATTTGGAAGAAGAAAACACATACACAATGCATTGATCTTGTGCGGCTTGAAAATTGTTGATTATTTTGATATGCAATTGTTTTCATTTACCTGCTTGTTTCCATGTTGAATTTTGTTGCTTTCAGTTCTTGGTTGTACAACCTTTAAAATTTGTGCACTCACCTAAATAATTGTTGATTTTCCCGTTGATAAATCCGATGATCTGTCGTTTTGGTACCTTTATAAGCGGTTGATTTCCACTAGAGTTATATCTTTATGTACATGAAAGCACACAATGCATTGAAAACATGACTCAGATGTACCCGAGCAGCGGGGCAACTTTTAGCGGAGTTCCGGCTGGGAATCGAGAAGGAGTACAGATAATTTTGGAACCTGCAGATGATTGGAAAATACAAGAGATAGGATTTGACGGCGTTGAGAGATATATAAGGTACATTTCAATCCACGCACAGCTACGCTGATTTCTAAAGGCGCATTTTTGAGAAAAACGAGAAAATTTATAGAGCGTGGCGAAAGTTGCGTTGTTGATGATTTTTTCTAAAGGCATGTGCATCAGGGAAGCGAAACATGTTCCAAAAAGCAAAAGAGTGTTCACGGAGCTTCGAATTTGCTTTGACACAGTACTAATTTTTGTTTTTGAGCAATGTCGAGCGTAACGATCAGCTGCTTCCCTATTTAGGAACAGAACTCTCATTGATTAGGCGCAAACTTGTTCTGCGCCATTTGAGTTTTTATTTTAGGCCATTCGCCTACACTGATCACGTTGCAAAGCTAGCTCGGCAAGTGGAATGGTCGAAAGTTGTTGGATCCGTTGCACAATACGACAATCCGAGTCTTGTGGAAGATGAGAAACCCGCTGAAAATGTTTATGAATAACAATATCGAGTACTGTATATGTTTAGGAAGAATTGACGGAACTGAACAAAAAACTGGGGAAACCCGAAGAGCGAGAGATTCCTGAGGCTGGACCCTGGCATCTCGTCGCGAAAAACCTCCAGTTAGCCGCCCATCATCATTTCCAATGTCCATCGGTCGTGTTTCTAGCGAATCTCTGCAGCAGCTCAATATTCTTCTCGATAACATGTCCATAATGCGCTCTACTGACTACATGAAGCCTCTGACGGTGTTGGACCCGGCCTCGCAGGAATCCGGCCCAGAACAACTGGCTGTGATGAAGGCGACGCAGTGGATCTGGAAGCGACGTGTAAGCGTCTTCGAACTATAACTCAGCTATTTTTCTTTCGTTTCCAGGCCTTGCACGAGGCGTCGGCTGTTCTGGACAAGGCCAACACTCAGCGGAACCGTGCCGCTGTCCACATGGGTCTTTCCGACGACTACGTCTCACACGTTCAAAGGAGCCGATTTTTCGAGTTTGTGACTTATTTTTTCATTGAAAGATAATTGGGGAAATACGTCAGAAAACTTTTTTTTTTTCTATTTTTTAGGAGTACGCGAAAGTTAAAAGTTTCAATGAAAGGAAGGCGATTTGAAAGCTTGTTTATCATCATGAAAATTATTTTCTATTTTGTAAATTGTCCTCAGCGAAGTTCTGGTTTTGGTTTTCGCGTCTCCGGCAATGTTATGAATAATTTTTCAAAAGTCTGGTGGAATCTCTTCTCACGCTCATATCGAATTATGTTTTGAGTTAGAATTTCAACCAACTTTTTCATCTCTCTTCACTTGTTTCCACGAAACTTACGAGCGGAATTTATTCAGCGAACTGAAAGAGATGAGAGACGTCTGGAGAGTTCGAAAAACTGCGGATCACATCTATGGCGACCTTGGCTATCATATATGTGAGTGTTACTTATGAGAAAAAGAAAAAAAGATACTTAGACGATTTTTTTGAAGATCAGTAAAAAAATTATGTTGTTTTTCATCCAACTTTGCGGTTTCTAATTGCTCTCTATGGTTCCAAAAAGATTTTTTTTTTTGAAAAAGTTTCACTCTGGTGTTTTCACCTCAAAATAATTTTTTAAAATCGTTTTCTTCACCTCAAAATTATTTTTTTAAAATTAGTAATTCAAATTATACAGCAAAATCATAGCACAACTTCACAGGTTTGAATGAGTTTGCAAATGATCAGTGAAATTTTTTCACTATCTAAGGAGCTAAGTTTGTGTCGTATAGGAAAACTAGAAAGAATCATAAACCACTAAAGTAAGTAAGAAAGCTTCATTAAATATGTCTTAAAGAGCATAATTTTGAATTTATGAGCGCATTTATTCATAGCACTTCAAGATATTTTAATATCCAAAATTTTTTGTATGAGATTTTCTTGTAAAGATGTTTAATTTCGGCCTCAATTTTTGGGAATCTAAGCCTCTCGCGTTCGCACGCACATATCCAATACGTTTAGTTGGAGCAAAATACGAACCTGGCGCCCTTTTTGACATCACGAGACGAGCTATACCTTCTACTGTAGAAGGACTGAACGAGAAATCTGTTCTGGAGGTTTTCTTTCACGAATTTTGATGTTCCTATGGAGGAGGTTTAGGTTTCCGTTCCAAAAGATCTCACGCGTCGTGCAACTTTGTCAGTTACTATCGTTAAAGGTAAAAAAAAATAGCCTGCGATAAACTTTTTGAATTTCAAATTTTTGTTTAATGCAGACGATGTGACTTCCGAAACTCTTTATGGAAGTTTGGACGACGCAAGATTCGAGTATATGAACATTGATCCCGAAGCCGTAAGTGTTTTTCTTCGTCTAAATTGATTTGGATAATTTTGACTTTCAAAAGTTTTCATCTTGTTCATTTCGAAACATAACAGAAATGTAAATATGGAAGAAGGTTTTAATGATATTTTGTGAAAGATGTTTCTGGGGACAGAAAATCTTAAACTTTGTTCCGTTTCTTTTTTTTTCTAAGCGTTCAGTTAATCGAACATTTCTGTCAAGAAGAAAAAGCAAAACTGTCTTTCTTGAGAGTTTGTATGAGTTTTGGCGGAGAACAACTGTAGTTTCACAGGCAAATCCAGAAAGGCAATCTTGAGACCCTCTAAGGTATATCGCAAGGTCTGAAGTTTAGTATACCGCTGAGAGCTTTGAGCAAAAAAAAAATGGACTTGATATATACTCTCAAGGACCTCCGATATATCTCAGATAGAGCTAAAGGGTATGCTGGAGGTCTCACATAGTAAATTTCTTAAAAAATCAAATTTTGAAAGTCGTATTTGAGTTTATGTGAGAACTTACTTGCTCTATATTAATCAATTTTTTCCCGAAAGTAAGGCCTTTTCCAGGTAAAAGACATTCATTGGAAACATTCTTTGAAATGGGCGCAGAATACATTGATTTGCCGCGACACTTTCTACGAGGTTTGCCGCATTTTTCTTTCTCGTAAGATCAAACATCGACAGTTGTGCAGCGACGCCGTGAAACTGCGAAGTCGTTTGTCGATCGTTCGCGACAATGTTCTGTTGATTGCTCTGTTTGAGGACTACTTGCTACGTGTCGAACTCAAATATCATCCATTCAAGGTAATTGTCCTCTGATTCCCGGATGAAACTTGGGAGATTGGAGGAAGGCGAGTTGCCGATGGAGGGCGACGTCTTCTTGACGAGGGTGCTGCGCAACCTGATCGTGTCGCAGGAGTGCACGCGGTGGCTTCGGCCGCAGATGTTCGTCCCGCTTCCGATCACAAATCTGCCTGAAGACCTCGACTGTAGGGGTTCCAAGGCTTATACGCAGGCTGAGGTTCGTCACACCCAATTTTTTGTTGAGTATCTAGGTTATGCTTGGTGATAAAAGAGTTTCGGATTTGCATCCTGGCTTCTTATCAATCAGTCTTTTATTTAGTTTCTTCAGTCAAAGTTTAATCGACTAGGCAGCCAGGCGAATACACTTTTCATAATTTTTTGAATTTCCTACTTTGGTTCGCGAGGTTTTTCAGTATTTCTGATAGTAGATATAGCAGATCGACGTTAATTTTCGGTTATTTGAAAGCCAAGCTGAAAAGTTGGATTGTGCCTTCCGTAGAGAATATTCTACCGTCAGACGAACTGACATAACTTTTTTCCCGTTTTTTTTTATGTTACAAACTTTCGAAACCTTATCTGAGTTTTACTTCTTGAACTTCTTTAAATTTCTTGAAAATCACGCTCACTTTTCTTTCTTATCGAGAACAGCTATAGAAGAGGGGAACGAACTTTTTCACGTTTGAATAATAGTATTTTTAATATCACTGATGCCGTGTTCAAAGGTATTTCCGCGAAATGCAAAAATATCTCTGACTCTCCGAAAATTCAGTGTTCTTTTTCTTTCTCTGACGGTTATTTTGAATTTCGCTCAATCATTTGAATCACACACCATCAAAAAACGGCATGAGTTTCCAGTTTTCAAGTTTGGTGATACAAATATAAGAAATAAAATCATAATCAAAATCGATGAGGAAAGTTCCAAATCTAACTAAAATCGAACCTCACTATTTCAGTTTTATTAGATTTTAGCTCTCTACCGACCAGTCAATAAAGTTCCCTGGTTGAAGTCTCCGAGTTGTTTCATTTTCCTGAAATAATATTTTTTCAGATCGAGGATAGATCAGTGAAGCCGAAGTTGACGCTGGAAACTTTGATAGACATAGCAGGACACTATAAATTAGTGCAAATGGCGTTGAAAGTGATCGAGACGTACTCTCTGGGCATCGGCGACGACGTCTACCTCCAACATCGCTGGTCAGGGGTCGGCTTCACTCGATCGCAGCTTGTCATCACCTTTATCACCAAGGACACCGATGTGCTCGCCAAGTTTGTCGCTTCCCTCTCTCTCCGTTTATTTTTGCTTTCAGCAAATCGTACAACTTCATTATCATCACTCACAATAATATCAGTGTATATACCAAAGAAAACCAGAAAGTCGACTGTAACAGGGACGCGAAGCAGCTCGAATATTGTCTGAAACATTTGGTGAGGCTTTTTTGGGGTAGAGTTCAGAACTAAATAACGGACAAAAGATCTATGATTGTTTGATTTAACGTTTGATTTACTTTATGAAACCTGCTACTCGGAGGAGTTTTGGATACTTCTACACTGCTGCACTTTTTATGCCCTGAATCGGCTTTTGGTTGAGGCATGCGTCCACTCACTCACCTCCATTGTGAGCATCGCGAAAACGGCTTGGCAGAGTCGCTGTCAGGTTATGGCCTCCAACGTCAACGCCACCAATTCTCGTCACATGCCATCGCCCACACTAGTGCTAGTCAACTCCAGCGCCAACAGGTTCAGCAACATTTTTTCCTTTCTTTGAATTCTTTTGATTTAAGAGTTGTAATGATCATTCTACATATCGATGCTCTACCGGAAATCAAAGTAGCTGAGCTAATCGGTAGAGAGGTACGAACTCTTTTTTTGAATGTTTGTTTCTTAAAAAAATAGTTAATGATCTTTCTAAAATATTTCATTTGTTTTCAGATATTTACAAAAGTCAATGAAAGAAATTGACTTTATGTTGTTAAAGTGTACCATTTCGGCTTTTGAAGTTGTAAATAATTTTTTCCTGAATTAGTTGAATTTAAACTCATTTTTAATGGATTTTAATATCTCTTGAAATATGGGTAATGCGGATTAGAAAGGTTATTTTCGTAGCTTAATTTTTTTTTTCTATAGTCCCCGGCTTTTCTAGATTTCGGGCGGGACACAGTATCAAACTCCCATTTATATTTCACCTAATGCTCATTAGAAAAGTCTGTGATCAAAAGAAATAGCGATAACCGAACGCTCGCTCGTTTTCTTGAAAAAACAGTCAAAATTCGCCTGAAGTTAGTTTTATTGCAGTCTGAGTCGCTGAACGGTGTCAAATGGACGGCTCTCGATTTCAACAAAATGTCGGGCTCGACGATTTGCCGAAAAATTGATATTTTGATGGCCTTCACGAAAAGCGATGAAGGCCGCAAGCCTCCTAGTTGAATATTCTCTATTTTTTCACTCTGTTTTCACACATATCATTTTAACTTGTCAGCCCACGTCTCATACTCTACGGTTCATCGATCTGTTCGAATAAATTCTATCATCATAAGTCAAATCTTCACCATTTCTTGTGAATATAACGTTTCAGGTCTCCTATTAAACTGTAAGTCATTTTGAGTTAAATAAATTATTTTTATTGGATGTTCAATTTTTTTTGACTCTGAGTTTCTTCCCTAATAATATCTACAATTATTTTTTTTTCTCCATTTTTGTTTCACTTTCAAAACTTGTTGCCTTGCAGAATGAAATACATACTTATCACTGTGCCGGACGCGCTGCCATTGGATATGATCCGAGCATCAATGGTATATATTTTTTTCAAACAAAATAATGAAGAGAAAAATTATGATTAATCTTCATATTTCTCAATGAAAAGTGAATCACGGCGATTTTTAATCAAGTTTTTGGTCGGAAACGCGTCAAAAAAACAAGAATTTTTTTCAAATTTAATTTGTTGATTTCAATTATATGCTCCTTCAACATCTATTATGGCTCCTGTGTTCCTTATTCCGAAATTTTTCAGCAAACGATCAACCACTTGACTTATCACGTTTCTCCAGAACCCGAAGACATAATCAATTTGCTGAAGACTATGCCCAGCCGGAAACACAACCAGGTTGCGATTTCCTTTCACTGTGATCTATTCGAAACTCAGCTTCTTAACCAATCCGGTAATGTTTTCAACACACGAAATGTTTTCTTTTCACTTGCGTAGCGTTGTGTATTTCTGAATCTAATCGAGCGCCGGCTATTTTATCTGAAATTTTTTTTTCTAAATTGCACTACCTGCCAGGAAGTTCAATTTAGCGTAAGGTCTTCAATTTTCAAGAATGTTGCTTAAATATTATCTATCAATTTGGAAAGAGACTTGAATTTGCATAGCCGTTATTTGCACGATTTTAGTTTTGAAGATAAAAAATAACTCAGAGGGTTAACCATTTATAAAAATTAAATGCTTCTTCATTTCTTTATCTCTAATAATAAATTTCCTCTGCTAGTAATTATGCGTATTCGATTTTAAGTCCCTTAGAGATTGCATAAGCACGTTTGTAGAAAGTATTTATATATACGTTTAAAACAATTTCGCTTTAAGAACTAGGTGGTTTTTGACCTTCACGCGACTGAGCCATTTTTCTCGCGGTTAGAGAACGGGAAGAGAACCACGTTTCAAGTCGCTAGTTGTTCAGAGAAGTCTGCTCACTCGAGAAAGAGCGCCGAAGAAGTCGATTCTCGCTCGGACCCCGACTCACAGCCACATAAACCGAGCGACCGTCAATCCTGAAATCAGTTTGTCTGTTCAAGGTTTGCAGTCTTTTCTTCAAATCACCATGAAACTTGGAAGTGCAGAGTCACGGAAGCGAAAGATGGAAAAGGTGGATATCGATGGTTGGTTGTTTTTTTCTAGTTCAAATTAGTGGGGTTTTGTAGATTTCAACGTTGATGAAACAGTGGAGAAGCATCGTTTGCGGCGGATGGCAACAGTCGAAGTGACGAAATCTGAAGATCAGTGGACCATTCACCCACCCGCTGCCGCCGGGGAAGAAGCTTCGTCTTCTGCCGAAGGCGGCCTCTTAGCGCCAAGCAAGGAACTTTTCTCCTACATCATCGAAATATGTCAGGTTCTCTTTTTTTCAGTCCTTTCTTTTAGCTTATAAAGGAGGGTTAAGAATTGAATGAGAAGCGTACCATTCTTAGATACAGTTCTTCTCTTTTTGAAAGTTTCATTTTTCCTACACAGTTGAGAGTTCTGATTATGAAAGTTTGCGTATACAGATTTAGTTATTTAGTTTTTGATCATCTAATTGAAACATTTCTGATGATCCAATCTAGGTTTGCCATTTCGAATGCAATGAACCGGACGTGACGACTCGCATTGAAAAGGTCCGCCAACACGTGTACAAGCACGTATCTTTCTTCAGGTCTTTTTCACTCTTTTTAAACGTAGTTCGAAAGTTTTCAGGTACACCTGCGTCACGTGCAGCAACAAGTTCATGAGCGTCCACGAGGCGACTGCTCATTTTCGACGATTTCATCCTGGAAGTGCCGTCGAGTTGAGCGACGACTGGTACGTTTTCTTGTTTTATTACAGACTTATGCCGTGTTCGAAGTAATTTCCGCGAAATTCGAAATCATTTCTGACTCTCCAAAATTTAGTTATCTTTTTCATCGTCTGACGACTACTTTGAGTTTTGTGGAATCACTTTGAACAGGGTTTGAATCTCAACGGTATAAATTCAAAAAAAAAAGCCGCTCAATGATTTTGCTACAACAATGAAAAGTCTGGCTTCACTGCGTCTTATTTTCTCACACTGACGATATCATATAAACTCGAAATTAGCGCGTAAACACGAGTGTCACCAAAAAAGAAAAGACCGCAGTGGAAAGAGACTTTTAAAAATGTATTTGAGAAAACAAGGTTTACTTTGGAAGGGAGGAAAACGACGTAGAGAAACTGCGGAAGTTGGCTCGCCATTGCTTTCCGTACGTTTTCGAGAAGTTCAACGGATTGGAGACGTCAGAAGCGACGCCTTCCGAAGATTCCATAATGACGACCGACGAACGAGCTTTCCCGCCAATTCGTTTTAACTATTGTGTACCGCGAGACTCTTCAAACAACACCTTCTAGGCTTTTCGATGTTTCTTTGAAATCTGTAAATTGTATTTCTACGGTTTCTTTCAAAAATTAAACGTCACTATTGAATCATATTACCGCCTCCGTAGATATCCCTGTAAAATTCACGGGTCTATCTGTGCGCTTCGTCTAGTAGAAAAAAAGATTTAATAAAAAGTCTAAAAATTCTTTTCTTAGGCTTCAGAAGGAAATATATTATCGAGAAAAGAGCATCTCTTCTGGGATTCTTTTTTTCTCCATATCACTCACTAAAGCGGCAGAAATTCATTTTTTTCTTTTTGTTTTTTTCAGAAAAAATGGTTTTTGTTTCTCACGAAATTCTCTAAAAAAATTTTTTTTAAACTTTTTGGTATACATCTTTCGAAAAAAACAAAAAAAGAAGGTAACGAGTACATTGCATGAATTAATACTGAAAAATAACCCGTAAAAGTATTGAGGAGGACCTATAACGTGGAACAAAATATCAAATAACAATTATGCTGTTTGGAAATCGAACTTTTGTCCAGAGTTACAGTAGATGGCACGTATACGTTCTTTAGCTGGGAGGAAGTTGGACTGAAGAGAAAGTGTTGAGTAATAGAACTCGAGAGCCCGTTGGTAGTCTCCCTGAACCGAGAACGATTATTATAAGATTAGCTTGAATTCACAATGGAAGCGTAGATATTGGCGAGAGTGAAGTGAATCGCGACAAGAGTCGGCGATGTCGTCAGCGCTGCGCCGGCGGCGATGAGCGCCGAGTTGAGAAGACCCGCCTGGTGGCAGATGTTTGCCAGCGAAACCTAAAACTTGGGAGTTTTTGTTAATCTGTACTTCAGTTCATTAAAAAAAAAATTCGAAGCGTTGTTATTTGAAGCCGCGAGAAGCTTTTCAGACGATTGTTATACTTCCCGTCGAGCACATTTTCTGTACCTTTAAACACACAGAAAGGGCTACTTGATTGGTTATATCATCACGCTGCTTTTTGGATGACAAAAATTGACGGAAGATAGTGAAAAAATTGATATTTATGGGGACTGACCAGAGCGACGTCACGCATTTGAGGAGGGGCAGAGTGAAGAGCGCATCGGAGACAATTCATCGCGTTCTCGGCGTCTCCGGAAACTCTCCAGTACAACGAAGACAGGACACACAGAAGCCAGTTGACTCTCTTCCCATCTGAATTTTGGGTTTCGATCTGAAGTTCTCAACTTGAACTCACTGGAACCAGCGCCACTGGCGAGCAACGCCGTGTGAAGACGTGCAGCTACGTGTTCGATCGAGTCTCGCTCGTTACCAAGGGATTTCAGAGCCTGTTTTCAGAAAACATAATAAAAGTTGAAAATCAAAACAAGATATAGCCTATTCCGCGCCAGCTTGTCACGTTTTTCTTTCCGCCAAAAGACCGTATACCAAATTAGATAAAATTTCAGATTTTATAACGGCTAGAAACAAAGGTCTTGAAGCGAAAGTTGGTTAAATTTGACCTGGCCTTTTGGCGGAACGAAAAACGTGACAAGCTAGCGCGGAATGGCCTATATTCGTGTTTTGTTCTGCTAAAGATTTATTTTTAGATTAAAATGTTTTGCAAAAGAGCAGTGAAAAAATTGGAGTTGCGTTTATTATAAAAACTATTATTTCTGAAATTATTAACGATTGATAAATAGAAAACTTTCATTATAAATTTGTCAGGTTTGAAGAAAAAAAGTGCTCTGATAATGTAGGTAAACCTCAGGATTCTTAGGAGAGAGAGTTCAAATTCTCATCATCGCACAGGATTCGAACTCGCGACCCGTCTGGTCATAGAGGCGCTCACAGGCACTACGCCATGCATTCTCTGCAGGCGAGAGGCCGCAACACACGCTATTACCCTCGCACAGAGAAAAAGAAACACTATCTTAGCGAAGTCCAAAGCTTCCAAAAAAGAGGCTAAAAGAATGTTGGGTCGAAAAGAACTATGTTCAGAAAACCATCTCAAAAAAAGGCATATTCGAAGTGAAAACCTTTTTTTTCGTAATTATTCCGTCGACTTGAACACCTCCAACTTTTATGAATTGAGAAAGAATGTATATTCAAAATCCGATTTTTCGGAGAAAAGTTAGTTGAGATATACTAGTAAAAATCATTTCAACAAAGTTAACTTTGAAACAAAAAAAAATGGAGGTTTGTATAAAATTAATTTTCTCACGCCAAAGTTTATATTTGCGAATCAAGAGGTTGATTGAAAATAAAAAATATCCCACAGTAAACTTTTCGCAAACAGCTATTTTCAATTATCTAGAAAAAAAAGCATACGTCAGTAAGCGCCTTCTCAGGTTTGTAGAAGAGGAACTGGTCACTGAGGGCGAACGCCGGAATGTGGTCGAGGCCGAGGATTGGCGAATTCTCGTATTTGTCTGCAGAAACAGTTGGACTTCAGAGTCAGAGGGGGCAACCTATGAAGGGGCAGACCGGCTGCAAGGAAGCGATTCCTGGAATCGGACCTCGCAAATCCACGTACTTCTCGATGTCTTCGCCTTTCGCCGTAACTGACACCCAAGTCGAAGGCGCGTTGTCGAACAAAACCTCCAACTTAACTTCGAAATTTAGTATACGAAAAAAGGAGAAAAAAAACTGTCGAAGAAAAGCGAGCACGAGCAAATCTTTCTCCCTTGTCTTTCGGAAACGACAAACAAAATTAATTGGGACTCAACCTTGCTGACGCCGTTGCAGGAGTTGGTGTTGACTCTGGGCGGAGGGAAGACAGCGACTCCACGACGGATCTGATGGGTCGACGGAGACGGGAGATGCGACGGAGCCTTCGCGTCGTAGTTCAACATGAGCGTCTTCTCGCGAATCCAAAGGAAAGACAGCGGCTTCTATCAACGGCCAGGCAAATGCGGACTTCGGAAAAAGCGGGCCTACCGGAGGCACGACGGCCAGATCCGAATCCACCTCTTCTTCCCACTCGTCGACGTCGCTCTCCACGTGCTGCACTTCGTAGCGCATCTCGCTCTTGGCGTTCATCCACCTGAATGGCAGGTTTTCTGAGCCATCGACCCCAAGAAGGAAACCATTCTGCGGGCCGTTGGGCGAAAAACGACTGAGTTCCTCCGTAGTCCAGAGGCAGTTCCTTGCTTTCCACTGTCTGAATGCTGTCTGCGTCGTCGATCCAGTATGACAAGTCGTCTTTTCGCGAAACTGAAAAGACAAAAACTTTGAAACTTTCCTGTAGGAAAGATAACTTTTTTCAACTACATATTTTGAAGCGAACTTTTTGAGATGAAATGAAATTTTTAAAAAAAGAAAATTTCTCAAAAAAATTTAGTATATTTAAATAAACTATGGGGAAGGATTTTGTGAACTCCAAAATGTTCTCTCTGACAATTAACTTTCCAATATGCAAAAAGATAAAAAAAGAAGAAAAATGTGCTTGAATTTTGAAGCTACAGAAATCTGATAGTGTTTGAGGACGTCGTATTTTTTTAAACATGATTCATGTTACAACTTTCGATTTTTTTTTTCTAAATCATAAACTGATTTTTCTTTTGAAAGTTGAAAGCGCTTTTTTTGAACTTTGTGAATAAAAAAATAAAGCAAAAGAGCCTCTTAAAGGAGCAAAATATTGATTAACGTCAAGTTGGTTCTAAAATATTAAAAAACTGTGGCGAAGCTTCAAAATGTCACTTCTGACAAAAAACTTTTAGGCAAGAGAAAAAAAAATTACCGGTGTTGAAAACGGGCAAGAAAGGCGAAACGATGTTGGCGTAGTCGGAAGTTTTCTTGCTGACTCCCTGAAACTGATATCTTGAACAGAAAAAATGGCGGAAAGGACTGTGTAGACGCCGTTGCAGCGGTGGTAGACGAGTCTGCCGTGCTGAACCAGTTTGGCGTCGGTTTCGATGACGTAGCACTGCTCAGGAGCGTTTTCCCGTGGCTGAACTTCCCATTGATTGTGGTGCCTAATAAGCGACAAACTCGAATGCAAACGGCGTTCTGGACGAGTGGAGAGCAGCACACGGTGGGGTACTTGGAAGAAATGGCGGGTTTCGTCGACTGAAAAACAGGTTGAAACCCGCTTTCGTTTCATTTATTCTAAGTCATCTGCATCATACGAAACTTGAATGTGCAACCGTCAATTGAATAATTGTTTTTTTTTTCCATTGTCTACCAAAACTGTTGGAGTTCAAATTGGATTTCATGAAATTTGACGCAAAAAGTCTCTGGTTCCTACCATTCCACTGCAAGCGACTTTGAGCAAGTCTTCAGCGATGACTTCGTCGTCTGGGTTCTTATCCATGGCATCCTGAATCCTCCTTTCACCAAGCTTTATTCAAATCAAAATCTAATTTCAGTCATCTCGATGTCGGTAAAATAACTTTCATCAACTTTTTCATTACTATTACTGACAATAAATATGAAGCTTCGTCCAAAGTCTACTCGAAGATAGCTGTCTAGTTCGTTCATGGCTAGGCTGTCAGGGTTTCCAGAAGCTATGATATTTTTGTCAGATCCCACCTTTAAGTGTTGAATTGCCTTGTCGACGTCGTGCATGAGCAACTTCATGCGGCCTTGGACGTAGTAAAACAAGGGCTGAAAAAACTAGGCTTGAGGAGAGGAGTCGGCCTCGAAACCGACGTCTCGATAGGGAAATGGAGAGAACTGCTTTTGGAGGAACTCGTGGGAGTCCGCCACCGACCTCGTGGCTCGCAAGAAGACTTGAGACATTTGCACCAGGGCTATGTATGATTCGGTCGGCTGCAAAGATTCGTCCCTGTTTTTTTCACTCTCGAGAGAGCTTCCCCTCACACTTTCCCTGACCGCCTGAGAGAGACATCTGATGGCCTGGTAGGCGTTGCCTTGGACGCGCCAATAGAGTCCTGCGAGGTTGTAGGCGACCCACTGCGGTCCGATTTTCTACAAAGTCCCAGCATGTGGATCAAGCTCAGAAGGTACTTACATAGTTTATCAGAGTCCAGATTCGACCGCCCATCTCGTATTCGTCAATGATTCTATCGGCCAAGCGCACCAGTACCGTTTTCAAGCTAAAAAGAAAATTCCAGAGTCAAACAAGAAAAATAACCTCTTCTCCGCGACTGTTGGGTCACTTCGGTCCATTTCCTTGTCGTAAACCCTATTCAAGCTTTCAAACTGAAAAAAAGTAGTTTACTCCATTTTTGCAAGAAAATAGTGAATATTTCACCCGTTTGAAAGCCTCAAGAGTGACGTCTTCGACAGAGTCGCATCGAGGTTCGAACCAAGGGAGAGGCAATTCCTCATTGGCTTCGAGGCCGATGAACTTGGTGACAAACTCAGAGACTCTAGGAGAGATTTTTCACACTTTTCAGAAAAACGAAGGTTTACATGTAGCCACGATGTTCGGGAGATATGAAAACTTGCGGGAACGTCTCAAGACGGAACGGATCCGACCTGGAGACGACCGCCTGGCAGTCGACGCTGTTGGGCCAATCCACGCGACGCCACGGCCTTTCGCGGTCTTTTTCCAGCCTGAACACAGTTTGCTCAAAAAACATTTTGAAAATAAAAAAAAGCCTCTTTCCACATTAACTCCGGTCACTGAAGCGAAAAATAGAGTTCAAAAAAGGCTACCCACATCTGAATGATGCGAAAAGAATATGATTCTCTGAAAAACAAGCTCTTCAAGTTTTTTTTTTCTCGAAAAGAGCTTCTGCTGTAGTTCCAAGAGTTCTTTTGCATTTAAAAAGGTCTCATTTCAAAGTAAATCACTTCATCTTGACAAAATAATTGTAAAAGCGCCATTTAATATCTCACTCTTTGGGGTATTTGCGTGGCATCTGCGGCACTTTCAGCGTTTGGGCCCTCAGAGCCTCGAGTTTTTTCTCGTAGACTTTGTTGCGAGGAAAAACGTCGGCCACTCTCCAGGAAGACTCGTTCTGCTGCAAAGAAGGACTAATCCGAGAGACGACACAAGTTCTGACCGGCGGCCGGCCGACCAGAGTCTGTTTCCGTTGTTCCACCATCGACTCCTCGTAGGCCTTTTCCGAAGTCGCCTAGATCTCCAATTTCATACATTAAGAGGGGCAAAAAACCTCGCAAACGACAAAGGTAGCCAGGTTCTCGCGTCGTTTAGTTTGCGGGAAACGGTTTATGTAAGCCATCTTGCAAATCCGACCTCAAAACAGTAATTGTGAATATTTGTGACCCCATCAGCTCAGAAATACGCAATTAACTCAAACCGTGAAACTTTTCCATTCGCATTCCGTAATTATGTCCAAGAAAGATTATACCTTTCTGGACGAAAAAAAGTTGTCTATGTTTTTTCAAGGACAGTGTCACTAACTTATTGGAGAGGAACAACTAGAAATGCAATGAAGTATACAAAGACATTCGAAGGAAAATAGCTAACGAGGATTGTAGCCGTATTTGATACTTTCGTAGAACATTTTTTGGACGCGATGAAGGCCGTGGCTCGCTGCCAACTTCAGCATCCTCACTTCTACATCTTTCTGAAAGTTCCGCAGAATGACAGGAGACTGAGAGCTCGCACCTGTTTGGTATAGACTTCGTTGAACCTGTTCTTCTCTTGCACCAGTTTGTCGAGGTTCTCCTGAGAGAAAAAGAAGAAATTATGCAGGGGAAAAGCTGAACCTTCTGGTGCTCGAGCGCGTAAGTGAGCTTTATGTGACAAGAGAGGAGTGCCGATTTCTCGGTCGTCGCTTCTTTGGCCGCCTGCAGCGCTTCGCCGTCCTTGCCCCTAGCTTGCAGTTGCTGAAACGAAATTTCCAGCCCGGGTTGGAGTGAATATCAACATCAGAAAAATGTACCTTCTCAAGTGTTGTTAAAATAGGAAGATACACAATTCTGGGTTTTAAACACGAAAGATTCGTTCAAAGATCACTTCTAAAACCTAAGGCCATTTCAGTTCGAGCTTATAGACAACATACAGTGCTGAAAAAGTTTTTAATTTGCTAGAGAGACTTCAAGATCTTCGTAAAACACATCAAAAAAAAAATTGAATATATTTCCGGGTATAAAAAAGACAAAAAAATAAAATGACACTGTTTTTTTGAAGTTTTTTTCTGGAATAAAAAGTTTTTCATGAGAGTTCTTACTAACTACTTTCAAAAAACGAAATCAAAAAAAAAAGTTTTTTTCGTGCGTTTTTCCGTTAATAGTGTGAGAGCTACATCAAATATCGTCTTGAGCGAGAGATCATTAAATAAAAAACTTTTGTTTCAACTTCACCGTCACAGGTTGGAAAAAAGACGGCCATAACTCTTTGATCGCTGATCAACGAAAAGTCGATTCAAGACGAAAATGGCAATATAGAAATCGAACTTGGATAAGCTGCAAAGCCTTGGCGTAGTCTTGAAGCGCCGGCGCGAACATGCTGCTTCGTTCCTCTTCGCTCAGTTTCGAAAGGGCGGCTTCATCTCGGAAGCCTTTCCGAGAGCCGTCTTCTGGACCTGGACCTCCACTTCCTCATCTCAGAGCTCTTCGGATCTCACCTGTTAGCACAGAAGCGTCTCCAGCTGCTCCCAGAGCCATGGCTCTGTAGCACTTTGGTGACGCCTTTTCGTCTCGAAAATACTAAAATATCTTTGAAAGATGAAGAAAGGGAAGGGAGACCTCGAAAATAACTTGTGCAACGTCGGCGAATCCGACGCGTGTGAGCAGGGTTCCTGTGGCGAGGGTTATGGCTTCTTTGCCGAATTCGGAGAAGAACCTCGAGTGTTCTACACGGCGTGGCTTGTGTCTGGAAGAACGACAGTTTGAAAAGAGATCTCATTCTTCGGAAAGACGGCTACTCACAAATCTGCCAATGACGGTTCAAATCAATTTCTTTTTTTTAAATTGTCTATTTAAACGGATCTGGGAAACCACGAAAAAAAGTTAATTGCTCTGAATTTTCTATCGTTTAGCTTTCCCCGTTCCAGTTGATATCTTTCAATTTGAAAGCTAACCAAAAAGGAAAAAATTATGTCAAACTGGAAATCACATGAAATGGACTCCGGAGCGGTAGCAGTCGAGGGCTTCGGAAAGTCTTCCCAGCGACCTCCAGTAAGCCGCCGCCGCCATGTGCAGGTAAGGGTTGTTGGAAACTCTCTGGACGGATTCTCATATTCTCACGCTATATCCAAAAGGGGATAGCTGTACCTCATCGTGATGAGACAGCATGCTCGCCAAAGCCACGGCAAACGGCTTCGGATCTTTTGGATCGAACTTCAAAAATTGGGGGAAAAATCGCTGAAGTATGTGTGCGTAAGCAGGATCCGGCGACTCGTTCTGCGGTTTGATCTTCAGCACCGAAAAGTCCTGAAGGAACAGTTTCAGCAGAATGTGAGAAGAAGGACAGACGATGTGATAGGCGCCTTTCATCCGCATCGCGTCGAACCAGTACTGACAGCGCGGCGGCCGTTTCTCGTTGTCTGGCGGCGTGTCGAAGTACTCCTTCAGGAAAGTTGTGTACCTGGAAAGTTGGAATCAGAAGAAACGATTCGAGTCGAACGGACCCTCGGTAGGTTTCGTGAAACTCGGGACACAGTTCTGCCGAGTAAGACGTGTGGAAACTCTGGGGCTCGAGAGGGATTCCATGCGAATTTCTGAAATTCGCCCCAAGCTTTCAATTTATAGCTTTGATTGAACTCACAGACAGCTTTGTTCGCTTATTCGGAAGGTTGCTTCAAAATTTGGATCGTCCATTTTCTCGCGACTCGATATTTTTCTCTGAACTGAACAATGAAAACTGAACAATGGGGCAAGGCGACCATTGCCTGCTGCAGTTGGGTGTAGCTCTCCCCGTAGTCGCGCACATTCTCCATCTGTCGTACAAAGTCGACGAGTGCCCCAGGAACCGCCAGAGCGTACGGCGTGTCAAACTGAGACGGCTTTTGTAAATGAACATCTCCAGCTCAGTTCGATGAGGTTTTTGAAGGATCTACATGGAAGCCACAAGGCTTGGAGTGTTCTTCCACTTTGGTTTCTGGTAGCTGCGGCATTGGAAAACGAGTAAAAAAATATCTCACGACGGCCTCGATCTTCTTCTCGTCGTCGCTGATCCGCCAATGATACGTCGCCAGGACGACGTCGTTGGCCATTATCAAAAAGAGGTAGGCCCAGGCGAGAAGTTTAACCCGATGCATTCTGAAAAAAAACATTCGAAATATCTCTGAGAAATAACTTTGAAGAATGTTGACCATTTTTGATACTCTCTGACACGCTTTTTTTCAAATCCTGAAGAAATTTTATTGAAAAAAATGTATAACTTATCTATACATATAAAAATATATATATATAGGAACGTCTCAAAGTTTCCGTGCCAAAGTTTTTATATATATACAAAAAGAATAGAAAACTATAATTGAACTTTAATACCAATGAATTATTTGTGTTGTAAAAAAATAAAGCTGCTTCTTTCTTAAACAAATAAATATATAAATGCCCAAAAATGTTTTAAAAGAAGAGGACACGTTTTCTAACTACGAAAAACGAATTATTTTCTTTCTCTGGGTCTCTTCAGTAGAGAGACTGTCCGATGGGTCGATCGCCATTTACGGAGATGCATCTCTTCCTTCCTCTCACCGTTCTCTTTGAAACGCTTTTCAAGAACTCAAAAGATTCCCTTTTTTCAGGAATAAAATCCAGCTAAGGAGCGTAGATTAAGTTGTATAGTCTGTTCAGATTTTGTAAGTCAAGCAGCAATCTTCGCCCCCAACAACGCTCTGTAGATGGCTCGCTCTTTGATTTGTTTGATCTACGCATAAGGGGCGGAGTTTGAGCGGTGACTTTCCATTCAAGATCTGAATAGACAATATTCATCAGATATTCAGGTCTTCCTATCACTTAAAAAAAAGTGCGTGAATCATAACTCTAGTTTTTTTTTATCTTTTGGATCATCATTCAAGTTGACACAGCCCTATTATTTTTCGAATTGATATCAACGTTCCGAACGAGAAAAATACTTCAAATGGGTATGATTCAATACATAAAGTTTTATGAATATTCAGATCATCACCTTGCAAAAAGTTCATGAATAATGAGACAAAACTCGTGACGACGATAATTTTTTGAGAAAAAAAAGAAGACCAATAAATTACCAATGGAAAAAGAAGAAAAGAAAAAATAAAAATAAAGATTCAAAAAAGCTAAAATGGGTCAAATGAAATACAAGCGAAGAGAAAGTGATCACATGCCGAATTTTTGATACAGTTACTGGGAAAGCTAATTTTGGAGAAGCGATTCATAGAATCATTCTAACTGTGCGAGATGCACAAAAAATGTAAAAGGCCGCAAAAAGTGTTATAACCGGTGTTGTCTTCGTTGATAAAAACACGAAAAAAGACGCGATGATAAATAATGATTATAAAAATAATACATAAGGAAAAGTTGAGAGATAGAGTCCGTTAGAAACAAAAAATGGCAAAAGGATGATGTACCTAATAGCCTACGCATTCATCAATTCACTTAGTGCATAATTAAATCTATCTAAAATTGGAATAGAATAAATTTGAATGTCAAAAAAATTTTTCAAGAATAAATTAAAAGCAAGCAAGAGAAGCAAGAGTACAGAAAAATAGTGTAGTTGAGCATCCTGAGAGGTATTTTCGTTATTTTGACTGGGGAAATCCGGAACGCAGAAAAAAATGTCGTCTCGACTACGAAGGTCGGCTGAAAAGAAAAAAACGATTATTAATTAAATATTCAGAAAAAAGAATAAACTTCATGCATATAAATTTCAGAAATGTTCAGTTTTCGAGAGCTAACTTTTCGGTTCTGAACTTTAAGCAGAACAATAACAAAGATGTCACTACTCTGGAGCAGAAATATTAACGATGTCCGCAATTACTATTTCTGATAAACTAAAACTTGTGATAAAAAATTGAGAACGTAGGATTTCGAAAGGTATTTCAACAAAAAAAAAACACCCACGTTATGAGACGCCGCATAGCGGAAGCGAGATCACTTTGGTTGACCTATAAATCGATTATTCAGAACTGAAATCGTTATCTTGGAAATCGAATTTATTGAAAAATAAAGTTCATGAGGCCCGTTGAACACGGCTCAATGAAGAAATCTTGAAAAGAATTTTGAAAAATTTGCTCCGAACACTTCCCAAATTAGATTGTATTTTTCACTCGAAAACGCGGTTTAAGTTTGAAAGCTTAAATTAGTTTAAAGTATGCAAATATGCATTTTTTTTTCACGGATACACGAGGCAAGCTAATAGATTTAAGGAAAGTAATAATATTAATAGTTAGTTTTAGGAACTGATTTCGAAAACTGCCTTCAGACGTTCGTTGGAAAGAAAGTTTCAAAAAAGTTATTGTGGATCGAAAATTTGCCAATCACTCTTTTATTGAAAAATTTTCCTCGGTTGAAAAGTCAGATTAATTAGAAGCATATAATTTGGCATTGTTTTCAAAGTGAAAAAAAATCTATTGAACTTAACTTGAGTAGAAGCTATCCTCCCTACACAAGTTCTGAATTTATGTGAACCTGTGGATATGCTATCCGTTTGACGATCTCCTCGACGAGTTGGTTGCAGAGACCAGGCGAGGCGGATTCGGCCTCTCGCAACGCGCTTCGCAAGGAGTCGAGTGCAGCCGACGCGTGCCGGGTTCGCGCCAACTGCTCCAACGCCGGCAGCAGACTGTAGTCGAGGGCGCCCTGAAGTCGCAGACGAGGTTCGCGACGACGTCAACTCGCGTACCTTTCTTTGAGGCGGCGCTGGACTCGCGTCACGGTTCGGCTGCTGTCCGAATCTCACGGGACTTCCATAGGCGCCAGTTCTTCCCCCAGATCCATTGTCCGCTTGTCTGGTTTGAGCCGAAAACTGTAAATCAGCTCTAAAATGGCAGAAACTCTGCAAAAAAAATTTCAAAAAAGGTTTAATTGATATTTTCGATAAGAATGAGAGCGAAAATTATTATACAAATATTTCGAGCCAAATTTGGGATAGTTCATTCAAATGCACATGACGCTACTCCACCGGATGAGGGTTAATATTGGAGATTGAATAGACGAAAGTAGACCGAACCTCGTTCTCAAAGCTTCGTCCTCCACTTCCATACTGCCTGCTAGAAGTAACGCCGACGCCATTTTCGTAACTCAGCGCAGCCGAATCCGCAACTCTCGCGCTGGCCGCACGACCGCGGTCGAGAGATCTGTCCACAGTCGAGTTTGAGGATGACGGCGGCGAATTTCGAAGACCAGAAGTCGTGTTTTGGACTTTGGCAAGCGTAGAATTCTAAACTTCGACCTGTTTCCCTAGGTCTACTCGAACCTAACTGCCAGTTTTCAGAGAAGAAATAAAAACTCACGAGACTACCCGTCGGACTTCCAAGAGTAATGGTTGTAGCACCACCATTTTGAGGACCTCCGTTAGTCGAGAAAGTGCTGCGACTTCCTGAGGATCCCTGAGAAGAGCCGGACGACGAAGAAGCGAGGGAGGTGTTTCGGAGATGTTCAGCGACGGCTGAGATGCCAGGAGAGCCCTAAAAGACGATTATTTGATTGATCCGAAGACTGAGGACAAACCTTGACGATGGTGCCACCAGGACTAAGGCTGTCGGCCCTGGACCGTGGCGTCACGTTAGAGACTGGTGGCCTTGCTCGTTCAGTCCGAGGCCTGACCGTGTTCTCAATCTTTTCGCCGCGGACTGTCGGGTAGTCCCAATTGGTGGCGCCGCCGCCGTCCGAGTCTTCGTCCAAGTCGCTGTCGCTCGAAACTCCCGTCCGCGCTCTTTAAACCGATCGAGTTTCAGAAAAAATAGTTCAAAATATTTTTCTGTGAACAGAAGAGGAAGATTATTTTTATATTCACGTAGAAACACACATTAAAAAAATTATAGACAAGCGATTCAAACAACTCAAAACTACAAAAAAAAATTTTTCAAAAGGGACTTTTTTTTTAGAAAAGTTTTGAAAAGCTTTTTTGCAATAAACCAAAATTCATCTAATTGTATTATGTTTTCAATTAGATTGAACTTATTCATAAGCACGATTTTTTTTTTCTTTTAAAAATATTCTGCTCAAAAAAGAATGGAAACCTGTATTCAGCGGCGCGTTCGATGAGTTCAATCAAAATGCTGTTTTTCTTGGCTCGTTTGATGAAAGGGTGTTTCAGAAGGGTGCTGGCAGTAGGTCTCTGAACGGCGGAATCAGATTGATTATGTGGCCGGAATTACGTTTTCTGGATCTTTGTTCAGACACAACTCGACAAACTCCTTGAACGGCTTCGACCATTGGGGCCCCGTCAACGTCGGCGGCGGATTCTTGGGGATGAGGAAGAGGACGCGCATGGGATGGAGGTCACTGTGTGGCGGCTCCCCGTTCGCCAGTTCGATCGCTGTAATCCCCAACGACCAGATATCCGCCTGAAAACTCAGCTCCATCTCGAGAAACCCTTTATTGTTGAAAAAATAGACTTGTCACAAAACAATCTTTCAGAAACGGAAACTCTATTTCCTCAGTTCCTTCTTTAGTTCTCTGGGGCTGTTTCCAAATAGTTTTTTCTCCAAGAAGCTTTTTCAAAATTTAAACAAAAACATCAAAAAGTTTCGATTGCCCTGATGTCCTTCAACATTCGAATTGCGATACAGCATGGAAAAAAAGAAGAAATGAGAAAAAAAACGCATTATTTGTATGTAGGAGAACTGTATGAAAATCTCGCAATAACAAAGAAAACTAGCGGAAGCAACACGGGGAAAAATTCCGGACCTTGTAGTCGTAGCTGGCCTGTTTGATCAGCTCCGGCGCCATCCAGAAAGGCGATCCGACGAAAGTAATTCGTTTTTTGACCGTCTCTGTGAGCTGTCCAGCCACGCCGAAGTCGGCCACTTTCACGTCTCCGTGTTCGCTGACCAGCACATTCGCCGCTGAAAAGAGGGGAAAGTTGGTGGACATTGGATAGTAACACTGAGAAGGAGCAGCAAATGGGAAAACTGTTCGTTTAGTTATTTATTTACTCGGAAATTATCCTCATTTAATTGAATGCTCGGTAAACGTCTCACAAAACAAGGGAAATATGATGAGTTCTGAAGTGCACATTGAACCGATCTTTCGATTTCAAGCACTCTATTTTCGTAACATCGGGATGGTATGGCGATGCTGCAGGGGAGGAAAAAAACTTTTTTTTGTTGTTTACGGCACAAACCCATGAAATCTGTCTTTTACCAGCCGTTTCCGAGTGAAAAGCAGAATATAGAATGTAGAAGACATTATAGCAACTATGAACGTTGCAATTGCTAGATTCAATAAACTAATTTTTTTAAAAGAACATTAAAACTTGTATTTTTCTTTTGTATTAAAACTCGTCACTAAGGACTGAATCCAGTTTTCCGCAAATCCCTAATTGCAACTCATTCAAAATTAGATAAAATCAAAATTAAATTTAACAGCCCATCTCATGTTCTGACAAACCAATTCAAAACAGCTCGATACAAAAACCAAATCACGCTGAAAACGTCCGGTGGAGACAACACTTAATAGCAAATCAAGTCGTTTCAGACCAAGGAAAAAGGGTAAATGACGAAAAGTTGCTCAAGAAAGAGAAGCGAAGCCAAAAGGGAAAGGAAGACTGAAGATAGAGCGACTCGACGGACAGCGTTCACCTCGAGACTGTAGTTCCCGAGGATCACCTCCGGCGCCATGAAAAATGGCGTCCCCACGAAAGTATTCGCTTTTTGCGCCGTTTCCAGGCATTTCGCTACGCCGTAATCACAGATTTTCACCGCCGCCGTATTTGGGTGTAGCAAAATATTGGCACCTGAATAGAGTTCAACCGTAAAAACGTAGGATTTCCCTTATTAACTTGTGTGAAATGAAGAAAATGGATTTATGAGCGAGATTTGGACATAAAGATGAAAAACGTGCAAAAAAGTTATTAAAAAAAGAAAAAGAAGAAAAAAAAAACTTTTGAAGAGTGGGCATTGACTATCTATAGATTTTTAAATTTTATTTCAAATCTTGCTTATTTCGGAAAACTAAAATGAGGGAATTCGCTTTTTTTTTTTTGAAAAAAATACAAACGATAAATATACCAAAACTCCCTTCCATGAAAGAAAAATCAACTTTAAGTACTGTATTCTTATTATAAACTCAATAGAAGTTTCAAATAGAAAGAAAGATACTTAAAAGCTATTGAAAGCTTCGGAAACCTATTTCAGGAAAAAAACAACAACTTCAGCCCCGTTTTTTGGAGTCGATTCAACAAAAACATTTCGATCCAGAAAAAGTAGTATCATCGCCGTCAAGTACTTTCGCAGACCATCGAGAAAGTTTTTTGAAATGTACTGGAAAACTCCAAGAAGATATTCAATGTTCAAGTGAGTATAAGAAAAAAGTTTTTCGCGCGAACAAAGGAGGTTACATTAGTGGGATTTTCGGACCTTCTGAAAGTTTGTTCAAACTTTGTCCGACGTTTAGGATTTATATTGCTTATGTCTGCGCAAATTTCTCGTTTTCTACATGGAAATTCTGAAGTTTCATAGCTCTGGACTTCTAGTGCTAAATGCAAAATTCGAAAATTTATATCTCTAACGCGAAAAGTTTGCGCAAACTGCGACTATATGGAATATTTCTCTAAGCCTTTGGAAGGATTCGGGCAAATACGTTAAAAAAAATCCTGAAATTCACACTAAAATGACCATAATGGCACAAGACACGCAATTGATTCAAAAACCTTTGATATCGCGGTGAATTTTCCTCTCGCCGTGAAGATATTCGAGGCCTTTCAGGATTTCTCTGATTATGACCGCGATGTGGCTTTCGTCCAACTTCCCGCTCTGCAATATTTTCGTCATAATAAATTTTCTGTTCTATTGAACTTTCCTATTTTCTTTTCTCTTAATTTTTATATCATTTAGCAGGAGACTTTAAAAATTGAAAAAAAAAAGTTTTTATCGGGTTACTTATTTTCGAGATGGTTCTCACTGGAAATGAACTGATGAACAGTTTGCAAGGAAAACCTTTATATGATACTTGAAGTGCGTTATAAAAAAACAGAAAACTTCAATAAAAAAACCGTCAATCGAATCTAATTCACCTCTAGATAGAAATTCTCAAAAACAAATTTAAGATTTTTATTATTTTTTTCTAATCGGTCAAGGTCAACGTGACTTATTTCTTTTTAGCACAAAATATCATGAATTTTTCCGGTCTTTCTTATATGAGAATAATCGGCTCCCATTTGCGTCGCAAGAAAAGATTTACTTATTACTTGGCGGAACAGCAAAAACAAAAATTTCAATAGTCAGAGGCCAAAAAAAAAACCTTAGTCAGGTCGAGCGCGGATCCTCCGCCTAAGTATTCCATAATGATCCATAACTTTGATCCCTGAAACAATTTGGAGTGCTTTAAACAAGAGGATTTTTCAACCTTTAAGTAACTGCCGAAATACTTGGTCACATATGGAGAGTCGCATTGGCTGAGAACCTGAATGAAAAAAGTTAAGAGCCGTCGGGAAACACCAGAAAAACAAGAAAAAGTGGGAAGATAAGTTTGAAATCGAATAGTTATAATTTCTCGAAAAATTCGAAAACCTAAAAAAATTTATCACGATCCCTTTAAGACTAACGAGACTAAAACCTTGAAAAACTGATGTTTAAAATAATTAGAACTGTTATAGTATACTATATGTATACTATAGTATACTATAATAATAAAACCCATTGATTTTTGAACCCGAAAAAACGTGTATAGAACCTGTATTTCTTGTTGGATGTCTTCGATTTCGTCCTCAGCTTGCTCGAGGTCGATGATCTTGATGGCGACGACCTGAAATTCTGAGATGAAATGAATGGAGGAGAGGGAGATTCGCCTGTCCCGTCGTGTTGTCGATGCCTTTGTAGACCTCGCCGAAAGAGCCGCGGCCTATCCGCTCTTGCTTCGTGAAAAGATTTTCCGGATCCAGCTTCTGAAAAAACACCAATTTTTTTCTAACATCAAAAAGTTCAAAAAGGATACATTTCACGTCGTTTGAAAAAAAGGCACACGATTCAAAGTGACGTGGCAAAGCTTTTAACTTCAGGTTTTCTAAAATTTGAATGAAGATCGACTCGACTCTGGCTTCATTTTGAGATTAATCTAGGTTTAAAAAAAAAAAATGCAACAAACGAAATCACATCCGCTGAAATTGTAAAAAAAAACATGGAAAAATATGTAATGAGGGTACTTTTTTTTTCTTCAGCAATCGGCATGAACGAATTTATTTCAATTTAAATTCATCAAATATTTTTTTAGGATTTATATGACTCAAAAAGCAATAAAAAGCAGCCCGTATCTTTAGTAGCAAAAACCGTCCAAACTAGCAGAGCAGTGAAATCAATCGATACGCTCGCCTAGTCATAAAAGGAGTGTTTTGAACGTGGGAGACGGTTTGATTCGGCTATCAGAAAATATATGAGAGATGACTTTGACCTCAAAGACAGAAACAAATGATACAACGGGCCGAAAAAGGTCGAAAGCCTGACAACGGTTTTCTTTGCTTTCCGATCTTTCCTTCTCGCTGCACATTCCCGCCAGCTACAATACAAACACGGGATGAAGGACGCGAGAGGACCCGAGAAAGGTTCAGAGAACAGTAATTATGAAAACCGCCGTGATTTTTCGATAAGTTCTTGATTTACTCTCACATTAGTATCCCTCAAAGATTACAAGAGTGAAAAGGTCTCTCTGATCATCTCCAGAGAATGATGTGGGACTATATAACGTTTTCTCTATGTCACACTAATTATTCTGATATTTAAAGAGCTTTATATTAGGAATAGACTCGAATGTGGAGAGCGTGGAGAGAAGCAAAAGATTTGAGCAAACAGTAAGTGCCGACGGTGGAAAGAATCGGTGTTCCTCTTCTCGCAGCCATCAAAACAGCGCCCTCTTTCTCCACGCGACAAAAACTCACGCCCAACAGTTCATGGCTATCGACTTTTGGAAATTCCTCACATCAAATCTCCGATTAGTGAAAGCTTCTAAAAAAAAAGCTTCTATATCGAGGCTAACGGAAATTTATTTCTTTCTTGAAAATAATACCGCTAAAAGTTGACTAAAGAAATGTTCTGCTTTTTCATCTTCTGTCAGTTAAAAAAAAACAAAAACTTTCTTTGGAAATACAGGACTCATTGTGAAATCAAATAAATGAAACAAAACTCACTCCCTCAATGAGCACCGAAGTCAGTTCCATAGTTAGACAGCGTCGACAAGAAGAGATTGTAGGAAATAAAAAAATACTCAGAAAGGTGGCATTAAAGGAAGTTAAATTAACTGCCGCAGGCTCACTTGAGCAGACCAGCGGCGGTAGAAAAACTTCTTGAAGCAATCGAAATCAAACTCTCGGAAACTTTTCAGAGGATTTAGTCTGAACCCGGGAAGGTGGATTAAAAATTTTAGATTGAAACGCGTCAACTTCAAATGAAAAATTCGCACGACGCTCCAGTTTACGAAACTAACATTGGCAAGAAGGGCAAGAAAGCCGAAAATTTCATGGAAAGCAAAAATCGGCTAAAGTCTTTTTAAAAGTTGTTTTCCTTTTTTATTAAGGATCTCACAGAAAAGTAACTTATTAAGGAAAAATTTTCTACAAAAAGAGGTTTTTGAAAAGCAAGAACGTCTCGGAAGAGTTTGATTAGCACACAACCTGAGTCAAAAATGATGATGACGCGCACAATAAACAGGCAAAAGTCAAACACTCATATATTTTTCTGTCATAAATTCTCCGTTCAGACACAATCTGAAGAAAAAATTTGAGCAATTAGAAAAGAAAAAGAGAGGAGTTTGCAAAAGCATGACTCCCTTCAAGTTTTTTTATTCTTGAAATAAAGAAAAGAAAAAATGCGTTCATTTAGAAGTAAAAAAAAGGTGAAATTTTAAGAGCTATTTAAATCAATTAATTGTTGAAAGTCGAAAAAAAAAAAGATATTTATCCCCGAAATAGAGAAAGGTTGTAAAAAAGAAACTCGGTGAAAATGAAAAACTTAGTTTAAAAAAAGACGCACACAGACTCACCCTCGTCGAAAATTTGAGCATATTGAACTGTAGGTCAAAACAAGTGGGATGAAGTTGTGAAGAAAAGAGTGGCGGCGACGGTTTCGCTCAAAACGAATGCGGTCGGATTAACATAGGCAAAATACGAAGAGCGAAAGAACCACCAAACGACAGATAAAATGCGAGTTGGGACCGCAGAACTCGGCTTAGTTGAAGTTTTGGGCTTCGAAAGAATACTTAATGCAGAAGGCGATACAGCGAGGTGAGGACAGGTGGATCGATTTCTGTGGCAAGACTGGAACGAAGCCGAAAAAGGGGTGCGAGCAATACAGAGGCGCAGGACATTGTCGCGTTCCGCTGCTCAAGTCCACAAACAGAGCGAGCCTCTGACAGCCACCAACACATCTTTTACAGGTGTCCATTGCCTTCAGAGCAGTACTTCAAACCCTGGGTAAGTATTCACAACTGTGCGGCAATCAAACTTTTTGACGACTTTTTTTTTTCGTTTTTTTCTTAATGAACTACAACTTTCGGAAAACTCTGAGTATATACAAATTTTCGAAAAAAAAAATCCATTTCAAACTGTCGACAAATGCTTTAGCTTTTTAACTTTTTGGAGCATTCTCAATTTTAAGTTGAATGCGGGAATAAAGAATGAATCATTTTCCGATCACCAGCTGATAGCCTAAAGTTCAAAAAACAAAAAATTTTTGTTAAGTTTCAGTTCAATCTTGTCTTCATTAAAAATAGTAATAATTGAAAAGAAAAAAAATACCTATGCCGCGTTCAAAGTGATTTCGCGAAATTCAAAATGATCGGAGAACTGCCTGACTAATCTCAAAAAGATAAAGATGGAGGAAAGAAAAATATAAAACAAAACTACATGACTCATACCCAAAACAAATTAATTAGAAAAATTAGCAAACTCACATCTTTCTGTTGCGAGATGACATTGCTTTTAGCAGGAAAAGTGTTGTTTTCGGACGTTTTTGGTAAAGGAGAAACTCCCAAAGCGTTCAGCAACGTTTCCTCGTCCACGGTGGACGCGTCGATTTCGCTCATGGTAGTGTTGTACATTCCCTGTATGCCTCTGCCAAAGTTGGTCGGCCGAAAGCCTTGGTCGAAGCTGCGCAGTTCCAACTCGCTGTCGTTCTCATAGTTGGCCTTCATAAATGTGACATCGTCCTCGTTCGGCTTGACGGTTATCATCACCGTAGGGCCAAAGCTTCGTTCATCAACGGATTTGGAGCGCCGCAGATCGGGAGACGAAGGCAAAGCACGAGGTCTAGGGATGGGCACGACGACCGCTTGCGGAGGATCAGCTGACCCATTGTACTCGCGGATCGAGTAGCCAACTTGAGAAGAAGGGAAATCCGCCATAGAGGTGTTGTGGCGCTCTAGCCGCGGCCTCATGCTCAACTGGATCGGCCGTTGCTGATCAAATCTGGAGATGGCCGACTGTACGGAGGTGTTTCTGGATATTGTATCTGTGAATCGATCGTCGCGCAGCATCTGAACTCTCTTTCTGTATTCAAATTGCTCACGGCAACAAAGAAAAAAAAGACGAGCCAAAGTAAACGTCGATAAAAGCAAGCATATGAGGAGAAAGTGCTCGCCGTGGTGAATGAATCAGCGATTCGATGATAGCCCCCGCCTTTTTTCGATAACGGCAACGAAATAGGAAAGATGAACGAGATGGGAGGAAAGAAGACTCACGTCGCTGTTGATGGAATTTTTAGGCGTTCTTAACGATGGACTCGGCAAATATTAATCTCCTGAGAGGACACGATCACACGAATACGGAAAATAAACAAATCTATATGATACTTTCCATATCAAACCAAACAGACACCAACATCAAAAAGAAACGACGTGCCAATTTTTTTAAATATTAAAAAAAGGAATAGTTGAAATAATCTGACTAGGTGAATGCCTCATTTGTAAATCGCGAATAATAATGTTATGGCCTTACAAAGATGAGATTACTTGAGTGAAGAGAAATATCTGATAAATAAATTCCATAGGAAGCCAAAAGAACATCTGTCAAAATGTTCCGAAAAAGCTGAAACATTACTTTTCATCGAAATTTTCAAATTGAAAAGAACTATCCTGCTTGATCAGATTATGAGCATCACGAGAAAATGTCACAAAAAATCCATAAAAGGTTTGCTTTTTTCGCAGTTTCGATCATTTTTTTTTTCTCGTTACCCTGCATCCGATAACTACTCTTGTTTTGATTATTTACTTCAAAATCATTTCCCAAAAAAATTTTGGAGCACTTTTGCAATTTAAACCGCCGAAAAATTTTCTGTAAGGAAAAAAACATTTTCATGTACTCTATTGCTTTCTATGAATTGTTTTTTTCCTTTTTTTCGAACTTTTCTCTTGAAGAAGTTCTTTTTAAAACAGGAGAATGACTCGCATAATCTAAACAAATGAAAAAAACTACAGTAATGTTGAGTAACATGAAGAAAGGTGAACGTAGTTATTTCCGAAAGAGCGTGGTGGATCTCAATCGAAGTCCTCTACACCCTAGGCGCTATTTTCTCCGAAAGGCGGCTCTTGACGTTCCCAAGTGAGTGCGACGTCTCTTGACACTTTGTGTTTATGGACCGCCGCCCTATCACAATGTACTAAGCCAAAGTTTTGCCGATTCATTCGCGTTCAGCCTTTTTTGCCGTTAGAGTTGACCTATCGAGCAAGATGAAATGCAAATAGAAATCTGAGAGCCGTTTTTGAAATTGATTTTAGAGTTCATTGAAAACTTCATTCTATCAGATGTACCATATCATTGAAAATACCTACGTATACTTTTTCACTTCAACTTATCTACAAAATTTTTCGACGTTTTAAAAAAATTAACTCACAGAGCGTACTATTTGACTCTATAAAGAAGTAATCTGCTTAGACATAAAATAAGCCAAAACGCAAGTTGAGCACGAGCCAGTACAGAAAGTGAAAATCGAGAAGGTCTTTCTCCCGCGCCGATTGTTACCGCCAAGCATTCGGCCGCTGCTTTACCGAGGTAAACAAATAATGTAATTCAAAACATAATCATGATTTTTTACACTTATTCGCGACAATAACCGTCAATTGAAAAGAAAAGAGAGACTTTTGGAGGAAAATTACCAAGTTGCAACTGAACAACGTATTTAGAAAGGATAAAGTGGGTAAGGTCCTCGACGATCCAAAAATTACTCCGGTTCTTCAATGGTAGAGAATACGAGTTCTTTAGAAAAAGCGAGTGTGAGACTTGAATTATCGTCCCCATTTTTTTTTCCTCCCGATGTATTCTAGTTAGAAGATACGTCGCGAAAACAGGCAGAATTTGATATTGATCATTTCTCCAACTAATAAAGAAGACATTCAACAAAAAAAATCAAAAGTCAAGAAGGTTGGCTAGCAGGTAGATGGCATCCCGGCGGCCGCGAAGTGCGAGGCAAAACAATAAGTAATCGCCAGTGTCAACAAGTACTAATGCTGTCTTCCACTTCACCCGATTTCTAGTTCAAATCAAATCTCTCATTTTAATGAAAGACTTTTATCGTCACCGACTGATTGCTGTTTTAAAGTATTTCAATCATATCAAAAAAAGAAACCTAAGTTCTTGTTTTGATAAAAGCCAATTTTCTTGGAGATCCTTACAGAAAAATTAGTGACGACTGTTCGAAAAAAATTCAAACCTTGCTCTAAAAAAAAAAATTTAAAATGAAAAATCTCCCAAAAGATCTTCTGTGATTTGGAAAAAAAATTATTTATTATAACTAACCGTTTCAATGCAGACTACTGCACCTACCGACATTCGTCCTTCCTGTTAATTGACCCTGAAAAATGCAGATTAAAATGATTAAAAATACAACACGGAAAAAAAGTTGTATAAAACATTTCTCATTTGTAAAATTACAAAAAAACCTTTAAAAAGTCAAAGTAACTAATTTTGATAAACATGAGATTAACAGTCTAATTTTTTTGACTGAAAGTATAAACTGAATATGTATATTTTAGATGTGCTAAGGCGGCCGGTCAATATTACGCCTTCAGTTCGTCAGAGCCACGAAAATTACCGTAATACGACCGGAGCCTTGAACAAAGTTGCGAAATACAGAAGCTGGACTATAAAAGTAGTCAATAATCAATTGATTGAAGAAGAAATGAGAGAGCGGCAATGAAATAGGTGAGTTGAATATTATCAATCCAGATTTTTTTATAAAATAAAAAAATAATTCAACAAGCGAACAGACATATGATGAGAAAAAAAAAAGTTATGATATAAAACAGAATATGATGGGACATATAGGGTTAAAAAAAAAAAAAAGAGAAAACGCGTTTTATATCGCTGTTTTTATCGGCTGAGTTTTTAAAAAAAACCGCGTTCACTGCCAAAGTCGGAAGTGCGGAAAACGGGTGCAAAAAGGGAGTGACTGCAAAATGACCGCTAAAAGGGTCCCTTTTTACGGCGTTTATTGAGCCTTTCATTTTTGGTGGGCTAAAAAGAGTCATAAAAGGGCGAAAAAAGGGTGAGGCCGCAAAAAGGGTGAAGAAAGGGTGAGGGTGCAAAAGGGTTCTGAAAGTTTCTGCTATTGATTTTTTTACGATTTTTATTACTGTAGCATATTTTTGGTTCATATACAGTCACTTTTAAAGACTAGTCTTGATTTAAAAAAAAAAATTTATTTAACAAAAGGGTCCAAAAAGGGCGGATGAAGGCCGATGAAAGGACGCAAAAAGGCAGTAAAAAGGAAACCTTTGCCACCCGTTTAGGAACAATTAATGGAAACAGACGGATCCGTAACGGACTCCCAAAGGGCCCGTGAAGGGTCCTTCCGACTTTGCCTATGGTTTACTCGGACTTTGGTAACGCGAAACGGACGCGAATCGGACAGGGCATTTCTAGTGACCACTTTAGTACATAGGTAAAACGGAAAAGTTCCTTTGAGGATCCTTAAAGGATCCTGAGAGGGAGATAGAAAGCTTCCTCTAAAAGCTCCTAAAATGATGTAAAAAAGCTTTTGAGCGCCTTTTTCATAGCCCCGAGGTAGCATCAACTCGGGCAAAACTGAAAAGCTCCCCAAAAGCTTTTCTCAAAAAAAGACCTTGAAAGAATCCCCAGCAGATCTTTTTTACATCATTTCAGTTCTTTTTTGCATCTTTTTCACATCCTCTGACAAAAAGGATGCTGGAAAGCAACTAAAAAGATCCGAGGGGATTCAAAAAGGATCCTCTGAGGCTATGAAAAAGGTGCTCAAAAGCTTTTTTGCATCATTTTAGGAGCTTTTAGAGGAAGCTTTTTATCTCCCTCTCAGGATCCTTTAAGGATCCTCAAAGGAACTTTTCAGTTTTACCTATGAACGCGCATTTCTAGCGATCACTTTAGTAGCATCAGCGCTCTTAAGTGATCCCTGGAAATTTCCAGAAACGTCCGGAGTGCGTCCGTTCCGAGTCCCCCGAGGTTTAGACTTGAGCATCAGGCCGGGGTTATGACCCTCATTTTTGAGAAACAGCTTGGGCGGGCTCGGGCCAGGCGGTTTCAAAGAAAATTTTAATTTAATCAAAAAAATTTCACCGAAAAATTATTTTTACTTTTTGAATCAGTTTCTATCAACTCTATGTTAAAAAATGAGCGAAAACATCGGTTTTCTCGTTAAAGAAGCTCGATATTCTTATTGAAGAAATTGTGAGCTTTTAAGCATTTTTTGCTTGAGGCCTCCCCAAGACCGGGCCGGCCCTCGTACAAGCCTGCCGATTTCTGAGTGCTCGGACTTTGATAACTCGGGCGTGTCGGGACATTTTTAGTGACCATTTCAGTAGCTTCGGCACTCTTAACTGACCCTAGAATTGTCCAGAAACGTCCGGAGCACGTTCTTTTAGTGTGGGTCCAGGCTTGCGCGTCGGGCCGGGCGGCCCGGGCTTTGGGCCTCATTTTCAGGATAAAGCCCGCGTGGGCTCGGGCCGGGCGGGCCATTTTTTCTTCAGGCCCCGCTAAGGCCGGGCCGGGCTTACGAAATGGTCGGGGGGCCGGGAGGGTGACGAGCCGGCCCTCGCACAAGCCTGTGTGGGTCGAAAATTGATTGCTATAGAGCACAGTTGCGTTTTAGATTTATTTTTTCCTTTTATTTTCGTGGTTTTATTTGCATTTTCGGTTCCTGGCTTTTCTGTTTTTTGTTTACCTTTGCAAGATTGCAAGATTTATGCAAGAGTTAACAGCTTTAATAAAATATTTTCAATATTTTACTTTCCAATCATCGGCATGAAACCGTAGGAAATCATTTGATTAAGCTAATGATTTCACGGACAAATTTAATTTTTTTTTTCACCTTTTGAAAATCATAAATTTTATAAAATGAGGTGTCAAAACAGCTCATTTTTACAATTCGCTGTTGTTTCTGCGGTTATGGGAACAAAAGCGCAAGGTTTTATTCTAATAAATTCATGCATGATTCCGTTTTCGTATTGGATGATTGTAGGAGGATCGAAGAAAGCCTCGAAAAACAAGTTTTTTTTCTAATTGTTAAAAATTAATAACAGATATCATTAAGAATATCAAGCAAAGAAAATGAAGAGGTTTGCTGGTAATCGGATGATAAGTGAACATCGTGAGGTAAGGTTGACCGAATGTACAAAGGAGAAGCTCAGCCGGAGAGAGGAACCGTCGTACACATACAGAAAGAGACGAAGGTGCCCTTGGGCGACGAACCGTGAATTTCGACTTTGAAAATACTTTGGAATCCTTAGTTTCAGACATCGGTTACGAGAAGATATAATCGGCTCTTTCGGAATGGCCGATGCCATGTCATTCATTAATCGCCGACGTTCCGTCTTTCGATATGAAGTCGCCGGAAGTAGCAGCAGATTAAAGGTGACAAAGAAAGTTTTTCCCTTTTCGGTTAGTCATCAAATGGAAAGTAGTCTCTTTCTCAACTTAATTCACTAAAAGAGAGTGAACTCGCGTTCCAAGTGTATCAGAAACTTATTTTGTCGCAGAAAATCCAAGTTATTAGTTGAGAAAGTTTAAAGCAGGATTCCGATTGCTCTTTGTTCTTTTGAACTTAAAATTTCAACCGGTAGCGCTTTGGCGATCTCAGCGTTGAAAGTCGTGGAGCAACAGTCTACGAATCTCGGTTAAAAATTGGAAAGAAGTACTGCAGAAAGCGGAAAATTCACAAGGCATCAATGAAAACGTTAACTTGAGTTCAATTTTAGCGCGAATCGATAATGATGGTACGATTAATAAAGCTGAATGTAAACCGAGCTCTGAGAATAAATGCACGAGGAGAGCTGAACAACCTTCGATATATCTTGACATCTCCTGTAAGTCTTCAGATAGTTGAGAAACCTCTTCACAAGATTGTTCAAGACTGACCTCTCGCTTGATGTTCTGCTTCGTAAATACCCGAAAATGGACAACGGCTCGATTTCACATATTCTCCTGGAGACGTTCACTTGCCTCAAAGAACTGCATTCGGTGGGCTCAACTCAGATCTTTTCAGACTTGCTTGAGGAGAAGATGAGTCATCGATCACACCGTGATTCCTCCACTTTTCACATGAGAAGGAGTGTAATCTATGCAATAAATTGGAAAATGATTTTCCGCCATTTTCCTGAAACTCGAAAATGACTATAATTAGTCTTTTTTTACACTTTTTTTCTTTTTTTTTAAGACCAACCCTTCTTTTTGAAATCTGATTGCATCAAATAAAGTCGAAATCAATGAATTTCTAACGAGTTTCAAATCTTCTCTATTTCGAGGAAAATGGCGCAAAATCTTTCTTCCCTTTATTGCCTCCGGTTTAGAGCAGATTTATTTCTGTTGCTGTATTTATAGTTTTTTTAAGTTTTGAGTTTGCTGTGCAGTTCCGGTGAAACGCGAGCAGTCCTGCGGCGCATATCGACCAACGGCTTGATTCAAATTTTTCATATTTTTTCGTGTAAATTGTGTGAGACTGCGTCGAGTTTCTCAACTTTTTCCACGCCTGTTCAGCCCTTTTGAAAGCTATACGTCGCGAGCTTATGTACCGGCCAGACTGTTGTGGCCATCTTTTCTAGAGAAACTAAATCGATTGTCTTTATTTTCTCATCATCACGCGAAGCCTTGTTACTTGAGGTTAATAGCAAAAGAAGAGAGAAAGTTGAAGAATGCAATTTGTCCAAATCTCCGCAGAATCCGGCAGGGCTGCAGGGAGATATCAATTGATAAACGAAATACGTTTTCGGAGCCAAAAGTTTTCCATCTCGAATGTCTAACAGTATCACTTAAGACGCGTTGCGCGCATTTCGATGTGCAGCCTTCCTCCTTCGCATTGAAAAAAGACGACAAAAAGACTTTTCTCTTCGTGAAGTTGGGGTTTGCCGTTCAACTGAGCAAAGAAAGCAGGTGAAGACTTGAAAAAAAAATTGAAAGTTTACAGCTCGGAGGAAGAAAAAAAAAATCTTGCAGCCGACCTACGACGACTTATGAAGGCGGTAATCGGCGGTACGCATCGCGCAGAGCCCACACAGATCAACTGCGGGGACGGGCCGATGATTTCGAGTCTTTCGCCTTTATGGCCTACGAGATAGTCCACATGGTTTTGTTTCGAACTAGTTCTAGGGTCCATGGGAGTTTTTGGAGCTCGCATAAAGTAAATATTGTTTTTTTTTTCATCTTAATTTTCTCTTTAAAAGCTCAAATCGAATCTTTAGTTATAGTTTCTTGTTCACAATTCCGAAAACACTCGAGATCCGATGAAGTATCAGAGGTCAGACGTTTCTCCGGTGAATTTTTACTAAATTAGTGGTGAGAAAAAAATTAATTTTTTTAAAGTGAATTCTGTGAGATGTTATGTTATATTTCTTTTCACGTCAGCTTTTTTCTATGTGAGAATATAATGTTCGATTTCGACAGAAAGAAACTTCAGGAGAAGTTGCCTTGGTGGAAAGAAGCGGACGACCGTATGGTGCAGTATATGAAGTGGACCTTCATAAGAACTTTGGACACCAAAAAAGACGATTCATGTCGCATAGTTAGTTCCTGCTCGGATTCATACAATTTCCGAAAAATAAGAACCCTATTTGACCTTTCTTCAGGTGGCCGTGATTGCCGAAAACGCTTATTCCTGCTCGAGAACAAACTCGGACAAAATCGAAGCAGCGATAATGGACGTCCTGGCGGTTGGAATGAGTCCTTGTTCTGCTCACCTTCTCAGGTATTTGCAGCATTGGGCCATGAAACACAAAGGCGAACCTCTGGCCTGGGAGAAATGAATCGAGATTCGATGGATTTTTCCGGAGAAACCTTCTGCATTTGCATCTCTCACGAAAACCTCGCGTCTTTTTATGCGATTATTCACCTGGATACAACATGAATTCTTTTTCGCAGCAATTTATTCATGAGACGGACAAAAAATCCAGCATAGGTTTCAAGAAGGTATCGGCTGTGAAAAGCAAAAGATTTTTAAAAGATCTTTGCGCTGTGGATCTTTTCAAATTGGGGAGCTCTATTTCATTAATTTTTTCAAGATTTTTGAATCATCCATTTTCTAAAAAATTTCCGTTCTGGTTCGCGCAGAAAAAATAGCAGTATTAAATAATTTTCTTTGATATTGTTTTGATGTTATCCACCAGAAAAAAACGAAAAATTTATCAGAAAAACCTAGAGGAAGTCCTGAAAGTGGAGAAAAAAAACTTGCTAGAACCCTATAAGCACTGGGAACTAATTTTTTGTTTAGAATTTCAAAGTCGCTTTGAAATTCAACCATGAAAAAGTTCAGAATATACACCTTATGAAATTTCTTCACGTTCCATAATTACCTCCAAATCGCTTCAAATCTCTCAATACGAGCAATTTCCAACACAGCCGTTTTCAACCTCTCCTTTCTTCATAATTTTCTTATTATTTGATTTCTTCAAACTACTGAATTCATCTTGTACGTAGATAATTTGGAATTGCGCTCAGTTGTCTAGCCGAAGTTCAAAGTTCAAAACCTTTTCGGATTGAAGTAATTGGGAGAAGGGCTAACGATGGGTCTCTTTTTAAGTTCATTTTTTGAGTCCCGAAACGTTTCTTTTTAATTTTCAATCGAAACAAGAAGTTATTGATTTATGGAGTACACACGATTAACGAAACTGTATGCAAATAGAAAATTTTCAACTATTTTTATTACTGATTCTCAACTTCGAGGCTGCCAAGCAAATATTCGATGTCCGAACGACAGCGTTCGATTTTCGGTGATTGTTAATATTTATCACGGAGGACTTTTTTGATCACGCTGTATTGCGCAACGAATGAACGCGTCCAAACTTGTTTGTCGCGACGCGCAGAAAAAGAAGAAGAAGAAAAAAGCTTGTCACGTCGTGACGAATGTAAGGATTGAGTAGTTTTTTGTGGATTTGGAGCTTCGGTAAAGCAGTCGTTCTTTGTTGAAAAGGGCTTTTTTCAGTGCGGCGGAAAAAAAAACGAACCACTGTGAATTTTAATAGTTACAATCATGGATTTGGAAGGATATCCTGTTGCGCTGAATTTGCGTTTCCACGGAGTACCCCATGAAGCGGTCAAAAAACGGCGTCTCAACTGTTATGTGAGCGTCCGGCGACGCCCTGGGGTGGCAAGAAGCCCATTCTGAAACGGATAGCCAGCAGAGTTCGGGACAAGTGAAAGTAATATAACGGAGGGCTGATTGATTCGGCGCCGCTTTCTCCCTATCGCACTTTCCTCCGCAAACTAGAGCGAGTTGTGGCATTAAGACGTTAAAAAACTTGGTAAGTCGGAGACGCCAATGTTCCTTTTTTGCCGAAAAATAAGAATCGTGGTGGGCCCAAAGAGGCGATCGCTATGGATTGGTCGATTGCATCGGCGTTAAAGAAAACATTCTTGGAAAACTGAAAAGCCGCTATTTTGATAGGGTCAGGGGGGAAATCATGTTTTTACATACAAAGGAGAAGCTTGTTGTTTTTAGTAGAATAAAAGTAAGAAGTTTTTCAGAGAAGCCAATGAAGAAAATCTTTTTTCGACCCAGAGGTGGAGGATTGGGAAGGCAGCCCTCGGCTTGGCGGCCAAGCCAGGCCATTTAGCCAAGCGATAGAAATGAGTCATTGACTTACTATTGAAAAAGTAATTTCTGCCTTTGGGCGTTAATGGCAGGCAGCCACTTCTGCTTTATACAATAATGTTAATATAATCGAATTTTTTTTTGTTTGGCATCTAATGATAGAATAATACGGTAAAATCTTAGATTTTTCGGCTTTTTTCGGTATATAATTAAAAGTACCATTTTGAAATTACGTAAATCTATTGGTTTCGATTTCCCAAACTTCGTTTCATAAAACTCTGACAAGTATGAGAAACTTTTTCAAACCAATATGAAGGTTCTTCGGAGTTCATTTCTTTCATTAAACTGGTGTACGTGTATTGGTTGTACCTTCGAGTCGAAGGGAGACGGAAAAGCAGCGAAAGACGGTGATCAGGACCAGACTGGAGCCTGGAGCCAGACCGAGTCCCTGGATGACGTCTGTCGATTTCTCCTCCTTCGCCTATCCGATACAGTCCCTGCCGCCTTCGGATCGACGTTGTCGCCGAGGCCACGCCCCTCGCGCTTCATTCTCTCATGGAGACGTCTGCTTCCTAATCTTTTGTATTCGGCTTACATAATTCAGTACTGTTGATACTGCCTATAAACGTTTCCTTTTTTTTTTCTCGTCAGCCATGAGGCTCTTCGCTGCCTCCATACTATTTTTCGCTGTCGTTCAAGCGGTTCGTTCAATTTTTTTTTTGAAATCAATTTCGTTTTTATCGATTATTATTTTTTTCATCAAATATGTTTTGATTAATTTCGATAGTCCACTTTCAACCGCTTAAAAATTTTCTCATCTCTCCGCTCTTTTGGCTTTTTTTTCCTTTTTTTTTTACCTTTTCTCCATTTTTTGAGCCTGTAAGTCTTTCAATAACTCCGGTCGGTTACATGTTCATAATTTTTTTCAGGACGACTTTTCTCATGATTTTTGCAGAAGAAAATTGGTCAAATTTCTATTTTTCTTCAGGAGAAGCCAATGCTTGAAAAAACGTTTCGAATATTTGTTCTTACAGTTCTTAGTCGTAGAATAACTTGAAATAAATAAGAAAATTGGTGAAAACGATCAATATCGCGGCGACACAGGGAAATAGCTAGCGCGAGGCCAATAAGTGTGCAAAACGAGAAGGTTTAAGTTTCGGAGGAGGGGAAAGTCTGCGAATAATGTGGGTGCGGACGGTGGAGATTCGAGATGAAATCTCAGAATGAAGTGGTTGACGCCACGAAAAAACAGAATCGATTTGCAGCAGAAGCTGAACGATGGCGACGTGCAGACGCCCTACGGAGACGCGCCCTATTCGCATCGTCGGCTCTTCGGGATACGAAGACTTAGGGTCTGCTCTTTTCTTATTGTTTTTTTTTTCTTTCCTCTCTTTTTCATCTTGAGTTATTGATCCAAAACGAATAGGGAGCTGGCTGTTCGAGATTAGTTTGTGTGATTATTTTATAAATGTTTTAATTTCAGCCGAATCATGAGTACAGATATACTCTATTCACCGCTAGCTTGAGCAAAAATATTGCAGAGACTAGTTTCTGCCATAGACTTCTTCCTTTTGCATACAGTTTCCTCAATCGTCTAAATACCCTCATTGAGTATTTTCTCAGGCCAGCGCTGAATAATCAAGATTTTTTTTTCCTGGTTTCATAGTTTGAAAGGCTCTAGAATATTCATTCAAGCCAAAGCTCTATAGAAGCTTTTCTCACTTTGTTTTCCAGGTTCTGAGGCCGCTGCTGACCTCAGACTCGCCACAGCGCGTTGAACCGTCGTCGCGTCGGAGGCAACAGCCTCGGTTTGTCGACAGCTCCGAAGAGCTCAGTGTTCGTTTTTTTTTTCGAATATATATTAGATCCGGGATTTGAAAATAGCGTGGTTGAAGAGCTGTGAGGTTTTGAATGGGAAATGTCTCTGCCATTGTGTGGCGGTGGTCAGCGAGATGTCGTCGTGGCCCTCGATCTGGCTGCCAGCCTCTGAGACGCGAAAACTTGTTCCGCGCGTCACGCCAGTTCCATGACTCAATCGCTTCCTTCAGGGACCTTCCCGTGTCCCTCGATGAGTTGCCAGCAAAACAGCCCCAAGGATTTGTTCCACATTAAGCCGTCTTAAAGTAGAGAATAAGGATCCAAGTTTCATTTTTCCTTTCGAATGAGATTCATGTGATTCTGTACAGTGTCTTTTGAAAAAAAGCAGTGGCTTTTCTGAAATAAGAAAAGGTTGGTAGATGGAAAAAGAAGTTAGAAGTTATACAAGATTTTCTAATTGTATAGTAAAACACACTTTTTTCAATTGAAAGCTTTTTTAATGACTTTTTATTTGTAAGTTTGTTTGAACTCTATGCTAATGTCATTTTTGAAAGCAGATTGGTTATCATATTTTTAAAAAGACGAAAAAAACAAAAATAAATATTTCGGTTCTCAGATAATTTTTTTCAATTATTTATGAGCATATAATATATAATGACGTCAAAATTGTTTCTGTTTCATGTTCAGAAGATGATTGTCGTCTTAATTCGCCATCTCTCAAATCGGGAGAATTTGTGATTTATTGTTTTTTTTTATTGGACGGAAATTCAAAATTTGCTTTGAAACAAGCTCGCCGACTGGTTTCCAACTTGTTTGCAATGCGTGACCTCCTGGTCAACCGTTGCAAAAAGTTTGACAAAAGGACTGTTTCGGAGAAAAAATGTTTGTCACATGCACTTTCCGCTTTTAATGGGCTCATATTTCAAATAGTAAGACTATCTACGGATTTTTAGTGTAAATTTGAGAGCGCAAGGTTAAAATGAAGTTATTTATTTATTTTTTAGAATGTGGAAGTTTCACAGGTCTGGTCATTTCTGACGAATAAAGGGGTGAAAAATTTTTTAGCGGTGCAAGAATTGCGTTTGAAATCCATCAGATCTTGCTAAAACCCCTTCTTGTATTCTCGTCTGAACTTCCCTGCGAAATTTCGAGTAGAGCCGTGTCGATCGCGTTATTTTCCAATCAAGCGTCGTTTTCCATTAAGACGAGCAGAGCTTTCATTCTTCGTAGAAGAAAGCGAGATTCGGCGGTGAAAGAGAACACTACCGCGGCATTAAAAGCTCGAAAGAGGTCACTGATACGACGCTTCTGCGCATTCTGATCAATCCATCGAGCGTGAGTTGCAATCCGCGTGGGTCGCGGTTGATTCGACTGATTGCGTCGTTCAACGGTCTCTCAAGATATTTCACGAAATCTTTAGACGGCATATCCAAAAAAAGTTTCAAAATCTTGTTCAAAGGGCCAGTTATGTATAGAAGTTCAATTGCATATCAACAGCAGAAGATTTGTTAAGTTCGGTTATTTTCACTGAACAGGGAGTTTTCTCATTTCATAGTGGGTTTTATCGAATGAGACTTTCCTCACCATGTGTCTCTTTCCGCTGTTTGTAAAACTCTGCTCGAAATTTTTTCAAAGTTCTCTCAAAAAATCTAGAAATGATGAAACTTTAATTTCTTGTTCATCCAGTTACTGTAAATCACTGAAATTTCTCGAAAATTTTAGTTCGATATTGTTTTCTGAAGAATTCTGTTTTAGAAAGACACTGCAAATGTGGTGAAATGTTCGGTTTCGACGGACAGCAGAGCCATCGATAGTGCAAAATTTTTTTGCATTCTTTTCTTTCTAGATATTTTTTCCATTTTTAGGTGATCAAAGTTTTTTCGAAAACCTACGATTTTTCTAAAAATTATCTAGCTTCAAGTTGTCATGGCTAACCTGCTAGTTCACATGGGTAGCTTTTCACTTCTTCAAAAAAAAGATTTGAGGAACTTTATGAGAAACTTGAGGGTCGTCATCATGAAAATGTATATGAAATAGTATATGAAAAGTTATATGAACAAGACCAGAAAAGGAAAAAAAGAGAAAGTGTTTTTGTTGAGATTGTGTGATAAAATATTAAATTTTTTTTCATTTGATTTTTTTACGAGTCTTTTCTTTCAATAGACGATGCTCAATGAAGTTCAAATCAAACAAAGATAAATTGCAGAGCTTCGTGCCGAGAGCCCAGGTGCCTCGAGCTCAGGTGCCGCCGTTGTTGGTGCCTCCTTCACAACCGATCCAAGGCGGATCAGTTTCTTCCGAAGCCGTCGAAAGTTCTGCGGAGGATGAAGTGCGATCCACTCGCGTCATTCTGCAGAATCCTCTTCAACTCAGCGCCCACATGGACGAGAAGCGCCGGAAACGCATCGAGGTAAGAGATTTATTTTTTAGAAGTTGAAAAAATGTCTGCTTTTAAATCGTATCGTTTCATAAAAAATATATTTCCTAAAACTGCAGGCGAGATGGCGGCGTCTTGGAATCAATTTCGACAGAATCAGCAATCGAAATGACAGCCCCGATTATCCGCACCACAAGGCTGTGAGTTTGAAAATGCTTCTCTGTTTAGTTTTTTCCGGAACCTAACTAGCCTTCTCAGGTAACCGAAATAGAGAGGACGATGCCAGCCGCAATTCAACAGTTGAACATCCCTACTGAGGTTTCTTTTCATTTGTGACTCAAACATCCGCAGTTTAATAGAGTCCGTCAAAAATCTTCTACCGCGAAGTGAGACCAAGACCTCGTGTCCAAGGGCCGATTCTGCGAGTGCTCAGTCCTCCGGAAGGTTCGCTTCTGTCCCTTCCTTTTCCCCGATAATGCTTTCCTAACCGGTCTGAACTCACTCAGCTAACCGCTTCGGTTTCTGGATTCTAGAATTCAGAACGGGTGCCGCTTCCCGCTGATCTGCCGCCGCAGGGAGACTACCATTCGAGACCGAAACCAACTTTCAAGGGTATCAAGTTCACGCAAGAGAAGCTGAGCGTGCGTCCGCGGCTACGCATCCGCCGCCCCGGTTCGCTACTTTCCTTCTACTTTCCTATCGCTTCCGCTTCTCTTTCTTTGATTTCTTTGATTTGTTTGGTTTTTCGTTTGCGGGTGACGGCGTGTTGGGAGAGTGCAAACTCGGGTTGTTGCAGGAGCTCCGTTGCCGCCCATCGAAGACTTTGACCCCAACCTCACTCCATTTATGAACAACGCGCGCACCAAATATGGCTACGGGCCACCGAAACCACTTCCTGACGGTATGCTTTTTCGAAATTTTCATAATTTGAGAGTTTGAGTCTCATTCTCATTATATTCGAGCTTATAGACAATGAAAGACTATTCTGAAAAAAACAAACAAAAAAAAACCCATCTTGTTAATGATTCTTTCTTTGAAATACGTAATGAGAGAATTTTCAAAGTATTATGTTGTTTCATCATCTTCTTCCTACTTCTTCCTACGCCTTTGTACCGCTTGAGCGGCGTCGGCGCCCCAAGTCGATTAGCCGAGGTCCTATCCTGATATCAGTGGACTGGCTCCAGTGACATATCCGTCCTTGTCTGTGACGGCTGGGGATTATGAAGCTGTGGTTTCCCACTACCAACATTTCTTAAACCCCTTGGTTGGGTCGGGGATCGAACTTGTGACCCTGTGGACCGTAGACAGGCACACAACCTGTTGCGCTACGGCGCGCCCCTATGTTGTTTCATCATATTGTTGAAAAAAAAAAAACAAATCTTGAACAATTAAAAAAGGCGATGACCAATATCTGTTTCTGCCTGAAAAAGTGGTTTTTATGACAAATTATTCCACTATAACCACAGAAAAAGTCAAATTGAAAGACAAAAAGTGAGTTTTTTGAACTATGACAAGGAACTCTGTCCAAAGGATATAATCTATGCATACTCACTTACCTGAAATTCCAGCCAACTACGGTATTAACGAACTCTTCTTACCGAACTCCATATAATTATGTATCGGCCTCACGTGAATTGAAAAGAATTTAGATCCGTTCGATTTTTACCAGATGTTTTCCATCCCCTATGGACAAAAACAAGTTTATTACTGTCTCACTCGCCGTTAACTAGTTTGATTTTGTGTGCTTGGAATCGAGTTTTTTTTTGTGCAATATGCTCGTTTCTTCTAAAATAGTGCAGAAATCATCATAAATCTCATGAGAAAATCCGATGAATGTTTATTCGCATGTGAGAAAGTTTTCAGAGTTACCGACAGTACCTACCACGACGACAACGATAGCAACTACCACTGTCACAACGACCACACCATCCACAACGACTACAGCTGCCCCGACGACTACGGCAGAGGCAGAAACTGGAGCTCCCCTCGTGGATACCGAAGAATCTTCTCCTATCACAGAGTCCGAAAACTCAGGGGCGGGAGACTCCGGTTCGAGAGCCAATGAGGACTGGAACCAAGTTGTTTTTTAGGCGCTGGTTTTGGATTCGGACCATCTGAACTACCGCCAGAGTTTGCGAACGTCGGTTTCGGTGTAGGCGGAGGACCCAGCGGCTTCAGCTTCAATGTGCCCGCCGAAGAAATGAACAAGGTGCAGGCGGAGACGACGACCACAGCAGCTCCTGAGACGACGACGCCGCGACAACGCTTCAAACAGAGGTTCCGTTCCCCGTTTCCCAAAACGTTTGTATTTCGTAATTTATAGGAAACAACCCAATCCAGATTTCGACAAGAACGAACCGGTTGTTATACCTCAAAATTCTGGCCTACGAGCTGTAGCCCCCCCTAAGGAGTTTGGCGACGCTGGAGGATTCGGAAGCGGTGGATTTGGAGGCGGCGGAGGCAGCATCGGCGGAGGCTCCGGATTCACTGGATTCGGAGGAGGAGGAGGCGGCGGAGATCCCGACTTTGGAGGAGGCAATCCAGCAGCGACAGGGGAAGGTGAGAATGAAAAATCTAGCGAAGATGAGTCCTAATTTCTCAGGAGGAGAAGACTTGTTCACCGGAGATTCTGCGTTAGTACCGTCAAAAGGACCGACTGGAGATGGCTACGGACCCCCAGTGTTCCCTGGAGGAGCTGCTCCGCCGGCTGTACCTGCTGTTGGACTTGGAGGAGATGCCGCGGGCAAGAATCCCTACGGCGCTGTTGTCGAAGTCACCGAGAATCCGCGAACAACGGTTAGTTTTGTCACATTTTTGAAACATTGGAGATCAGGTTAAACCTTCGGCTCTACTCAACGTTTTGAACAAAGCTGACCTTGGGTTCAACCAGGCTATAGATCATTTCGAACACGGAACGCCTGTCGAGACGGCTGCCATCGACATTCTCGAAGGTCAGTGTGTTCGAATTCAAAGAGTTTCCAGCTCATGAAGACAACGCATTCAAAGAAGATTTACGTGTTTACCAAGATTTTCTAGTGGCGCTCGGCTCGCAGAAACTCGACTCACAGGCCAAACTTCTGGGACACGTCGACAGGACCATCGGACTGGACAACTTGCAGCGGATACAGCGTTGGGCCAACACAGCTGGAGCTTTAGAAGTCTTCAAGGAGCAGGTAGTTCTTTCCCAAAGAGGAACAGAATGAGGAAGTTAGGATTTCAGTTCTTGAAGTTCGCAAAGAACTTCCAGCCGCCGCCAGACCTGCTGCCAACTGTCCCCCCGCAGCTCGAGTACCTTTTCAAGACCTCGGGTCGGTAGAATCTTGTTCGTCATTCCATTCCGCTAGACACTTACTCTCACTCTCAGGAGCTTTCAGCACCTGATTAAAACGGGCAGAATATTTATTTTGGTTGACTCGAGTTTCTAAACGTTGCAGCAGGTTACAAATCTCTCAATCAGATCTTGCAGATTTTCTAACTTTATATGAATGCCTTTATTTATTTATTTATTATTTTCTATCTTTATCTATTATTCTGTTAACTTGTTTGTTCGTGTTCATGAAACAAGACTTGGTGTTTCTATGTACAATCATCTGCTCATTCCGATTGCCATGCCTCCTTTTGAATGTATTCTCTGTTTTTATTACTTCCCTCACATCCACAGCAAAATAAAATTTGCAGCATATTAATTGAATGAAAGAGCTGTGTAATTGCACGATGAATGGGACTATGAGAAATAAGAAAGTGAGAAATTTTAGCGTTGGAGCGACAAGTATGGACTTTGAAGAGACCTGGAATTGTTAGGAACGTTGGGAAACTTGGTTATATGTACGGCTGGTTTTAAAAAAAACAAGTGTGAAGAGCGACCTCACAGAGGCTTACGCAGGATTGATGATAATAATAGCTTTGGTTTGCGAAAGATGACCCAGGAAGAAAAGCGGAAAGGTCTAACACATTTTGACTAGGCGAAAGCAAAAGATTCATTCGTCCTCCAAAAGAACCGCCGTCGTTTTCTGTGCGTTTTCGATTTGCGAGAGCAAATTCTCCAGCCGCCGTTTCACCCGTTTCTGATCGTCGGCCGTGCATTCGATTATCTCAAATTAATGAAAAAAATTTGTTCAGATATTCTAGGGAATAAAAAGAAGAAGCTCATAATTAAAAATTTTTTTCGATGTTTTTTTATTAGCAAAAAGTCAGTTTTTTTCTGTTAAAAAAATTATCTTTCTGGCAATCAGTCGCCTTCCAAAAACCTGCCCGCCCCTTTAGAAATTGAAGATTTCTCAAATTACGATATGGGGAAACTCCGCAGTTCGATGCGCGCAACCGAAGGTATATAATTCGACGCCATATGATTATTTATTGCCTCAGGCACTGACGGCGCGTGTTTGTTGCCAAAAGTGCGCATGCGCGCCGCCTGCTGCGCGCACGCGCGGGGTGTCTCTCTTGTTTTTTTAGCTTTTTAACTAATTGAAAATTTATGAATTTAATATTTTTCATGTCTGTTCATCTCTTAACATTGCTCTGCACTAGTTTATAACAATTAGATTGCACAAAAATGTGAAATATCAAAGTTTCACTTGGCAACTTTTTTTCATAAATTTGTTCGAAAGTGCTCGGAACAACTTTAAAACGTGAGCAGGGGCACTGGGTAATATCAAAAAAATATAAAAAATATATTTCAAAACCTTATTTCAGGGGAAAAAGGCGAAAAAAAGAACCAGTACCCCCGCGCGTGCGCGCACCAGTGCCTGAGTGTTTATTTTTTAAAATTGAAAATTTTTTCAACTAGTTTTTTTTTAAAATTTTTTTTTTGAAATTATTTCGTCACTATTTTCTGTCAAGTTTTTGTTTAGGATTTTTTTTTGTAATTGTTTCTGTTTGTGTTTCTTTTCTGTTTCCAAGCTTTGTGTCCCTTTTTTTCAAATACAAAAAGTTTCATTGTTTTTCATTAAATATTGCAATGAAAACTTTCAAGATCAAAATCCCATAAATTATTAAATTACATGGACAAAGATGATAAACTTACAACTTTCAGGAAGTTTGCATTGATGGCACCACTTGTTTCTTCGCTTGAACAGGCATTCAGGTACGTTTGCAGCATCTTCAAAAATCTTTTTCCATTTATTATAATTTAGTCATGAAATTTTCAAGTGTTAAATTATCATAAAAGTCTTTATTACACACTGAGAATACCGAAAAAAATAATTTTTTTCCTCTTCTAGTCATAAGAGTTTTTTAGTCGAGTTTTCGGAATTTCCGGAAAACTGGCTAGAGGTCTTTTTAAAAAAAGTTTTCGGTGTATATCTTCAGTTTATTGATTTGCACAACGTCCTGTTCTACGAGATCTATATCCTCAGAGATAGCTTTTTTTGAACGGCGTTCAAAAAACTTAAGCTTGCTCTTCTCGAGAATTGCAAGTTGCGTACAATGCGAAAAAAAACTCGATTTCGAAAATCTATTTTTTTTAATGTTTTTTTTTCTTTCATGAATTATTTCAACAATTTCATTCATGCTCTGAATTTGAAAAATGTACAAAAATGAAATTACCAATGAATCTCCAGTATATAAACTTTTTTGTGTCAAAATGAATGTGACCTGTTTGGCAGCAGGTGCATTGTCGGTCATTTGATTCGTGAACTCGTCGATCATCTGTGTCGCGTTTTCCAACGCTTTTTTCTGCTCTTCGTTTCTGGGCGTTTCGATGACTACCTGAAGATAGGTTTTGCTTGCGAAAGGTCTCTGAATACCTACCTGGACGCTGTTCGTTCGCTTCGTGAGTCTATCCGTCACTGCCACGATTTCCTCGCGATCACCTTCAAAGAGGAAAGTTCATAAAGGATATTCAACCACCACACGAAGAATTAATAAGTTGATCATGTTCAGCCCAGTGATCGTGTTAGTAGAGTATCAAAAAGAATGAAAACAAGCATAATTCTATGTTAGAAATGCCCAAAATGTTTTTGCGCGTGTTATTAATATGAAAATCCTCTATTTATGAGGGAATAGCATTTTTTCGATTTCAAGGTGCTGTTTTTCATGGAAAGAACAAAACGGACACTCTGCGAGACGGAGCATGTAGCTGTGGACGCTGATCTCAGTGAGGGCACGAAGGATCTGCTCCTTCTCGATTTCGAGCTGGTTGGCCGTCTTGCGCAGAAGCTCGACCTGCTGCTCGATCTTGTCGAGGGCCACGATGGTCTTCGCGTTAAAGTCCACCACGCTCTGGTTGCGCATTAACCGACGTCGACGCGATGCCCCGTCTTGTTTCTCTGCTCCTTCTTCCTGAAGACATTCCCTCTCAGTAATTTAGGTGGCGCAGAGTGTTCGGCGGCCCAAGTAAAAACGCGAAACGCTCTCCAACAAAACAAAAAAAAACCTTCTGAGCATTTTGGGAGTCAATGTCCAGTTTTTGGAATTCCCCCTCAGTGCTGTGGCTTGCAGAAACGGCTTGAGGCTGCTCTGACTCCTGTTTAGCCTCTTGCTCAGGCTCCGCTCGCTTGGACTGCTCTGGCGCGGGTAAGGGGATAACCGGAGGTCTCTCTGGCTCCTCGACTTGCGACTGTCGAGATACTGGTCGACTCCGCTGCACAGGGACGTTGATCAAGTTGGACGAGAAGTTGGGTTCGTTCGTCGCCGTCGAAGAAGTGACGACGAAGCCGCCGTCCGCAGCAGAAGACGTCGAATTCGAGCGACTGTGTTGAGGGGCCGCCGGAGAGTGCTGAGTGCTCTGCGGCTGTGTGCTCGGCCGTCCGAGGATCTTGATTGGGATATTCTGAAATTGTAGATCTTCAGATCAGTGCTTGAAATCAATTACTTGACCAATCGAAATCTCTGCAGCTTTGTAAAAAGTTCCTTGAGTTATTCTTTCAACTATCTTTTTCTTACTGATAGATTTTTATCTCGAAGTATGCATTAAAAATGCTTGAAAAAGTTATATTTACAGAATTCGCCGCTTACTGAGACAATATTCAATGAGGGTCTTCACGAGCAAACAGCGTGCGAAAAAAAGAGGTTCAGACAAATCTTGGGTATGTCAAAAAAAAACTTTTTCAATTTTTCAAACTGACGTATGGTTACTACGACAACATGAAAATCGTGAAATATTCTTGTGAAAAAAATAAAGTTTGAATTCATTTTCTAACAACGAGGTGAAAGCTCGAATCAACTCTTCTGTTTGCATTATTCGTAAAAAAATCTATTTCAAAAAGAAAATAAGGTGAATAATGAAATTGAGCAAATTCTCATAACATTTCTGTTTAAAAAAACTTTTTTTTTCGTAAATGGTAAACTTTCGCAACACGAATTTCCAACATATGGGTCAAAAATGAGTTGAGAACATAAACTATCTCAAATTGAAATATATTTAAAAGAAGGATATTCAACTTACATTCTCAAGATTCGTTAGAAAATCTATGGCCCATAGACTATGGGTGATAAAAAGTTTTGACTCCAATTCGAAAATCGAAAATTTCAGGAACTCAGCTCCAAAAATGTCATGAACTCAGCTTCATTTCAGAGCTATTACTATCGAAGAATAAGAGAAATTCATTGAATGGATGCAAGTTCAAATCGCCGAATTTCCCTTGTCTAAATCACACATTTTTCTCTATTCATCTCGATAAGAGGCGAAAAAATTGAGATTTTTGTGAAAGACTAATTATAATAATAATAATTTATTCATCCACAAGGGGAAAAGAAGAAATAAGTTGAGAAACGGTTTTAGGTCACCCTCACGAGTGACTTCACCTCTATTTTCGGAGACATAATTTGGGCAGGGTAGTTGGAAGATTGGCGAAAAATAAGGCTAACTAAAGATATTCTCTATGACTTTTTTTTTCTCCAAACTCAGTGAATGGAGTTTAACTCAAGAACTGAAAGTAGTAAAGTGCAGAGAAAGACTCACCACGACGACCATGCCGAGAACAGTAGAGGCGGTTTAATCAATTGGGGGACGAGTCGCGGTGTCCTTGGGGCGTCTGCGCCTCTCGACAGACGGCCGACAGGCACCCTGATAGCCGCAAAAAACGACGCTCTGCAAAAAGGTTCTCTCAACCGCCATTCATCGCCTCCGGCAATCGATTTTCAGACCCGGACAACTGATTTTTATTCATTTTTTTTGGGTCCACTAGTCTAAAAGAGAACAGCGTATGCGAGGAGTTTCCATTTTTCTTTGTATAATTTTCTTCACTTTTTCAAATTTCAGTGATGGCGTAATTTCTAACGTACACTATATAGGGATCAAAGATTTTTTCGCGCAAGTGCTCAGGAAAAATGTTACTTAAAATATGTAGCGATTAAAATCCGTTACCAAAGTCCGAAACTGCAAGTTTTCGGCAATTTGAGAAGAATTTAAATTGATAATTGGCTTTTTTCTCAGAGACAAGAGAGAACAGTATATTTTTACCGGAATTTTCAGAGTTTTTAAAAAAAGAAAGTTCAAGAAAATTTAGTGATCAAATTGCGGGCATCAAAATTTTTCCGATTTTTTTTCTTCAAGTTATTAATTTCCAAGTTCATTTCAGGTGAAAAATATTAGACAATCGGAAAAAAACAAATAAAATATATTGAATGTCTCATGTGAAGGAATATCGAATTCCCGAATTCCATTGCCTTTTTGAATTCAGTGTTATCAGTGTAAAGGAATGTGAATAATGACGAGAGATAACAACATAACGGAGAAGTGATTCACACCGAAATCAATTAATAAATGGGTGAGAACTCTTTGGAAAGCAACCCAAATTGTCCATTTATCTCGTGAAATGATCAAGAAAAGAGAAAGGAATCAGGAAAGACGGTGTGAAACCTCAGATCGGGGGCAAAAGAAGGAAGAAAAAGACAGACGGCCGCCCCGAACTTTAAACAAATTGATTTTTTCGTTCTCCTCAAAATTTCGCTGCTTATCGGAACGTGTTGACAGCAGCATTTCAACAAAACAAACATGTTCGCATTGCGATTCGAGTTCTGCAGACCTCTTGGCTTCATAGTTTTTATTGAAGGTGATCGATGAAAGAAAGACAAGGAAACCGAAAAAAAAAATTTATTACCAGAGTTGCTATAATTTAAATAGGTGAGCGGCTGTAGTTTCATAAACCATAGCGAAGGAGAAAATTTCTAAACGACAATTTATTTCAATTTTTTTTTTGAAAAAAAAGGAACTTATTAGTGCATTCTTGCTGGAAAGTACTCAGAAAAGTAAGTTTGAGCAGATCTTCCGAGATCCTCTCGGCAACGACCGGCGCGTTTCTGAAAACATCTTCTTTTTTTTGAGGGTTCCTCCGTTCAAAAAATCCCCTCCGGAAATGTATCAAAGAAAGAAAGCTAACGTTTGTCTGAGTAGAGACCTCATGACAAAGTTCCAGAAGTTCTGACGTTCGACGTCTGTTTTAGGCTTTGAAACCGTTAGCGTCACCTGAAACTGTTCAAAAATGATGCGAAAAAGACATGTGCATCTTTTTGTCATTTCGTTTTCTAATTGCCAAAATTGCACAGCTAACTCCGTTTATTTCGAGACTGTAAAATCTTTCTACAAGACTTTTTTTTTACATTTGAAGTTCAAGCGAAAGCCGATACTTTTTTTTAAATCTGCATTTTTTTCTTGTGTAACAGGCTTTGAAGCTTTAAGATTTCATCAAAGTCTTATAGCCAGTAAAAAAAATGATTTCGAGCTAATAAACCCCCATTTTGAAGTTTTTTATTCTGTGTAAAACCGCTTTCTTAGATTTTCAGGAAAATTCCTACATATTGAAAAGCTTTTTTTCAAAGTGGAAACGAAAATTAACTTGAATCCCCGCGCAAAAAGCATTTTTATCCTTTTGAGCCACCAATATTTGACTCAGAAACGGGGCTTTTCTTCCGGTTTTTCTTGAGACTCTTCATTTTTCGTATATTATTTTGGCGTCTTCATCAGCAGGCTTGTGCGTCAGGCTGGGCGAAACCGGGCCGACTGTTTTTGCTCGAGTTCCCGCTAAGGCCCGGAGCCGAAAAGGTGAATCGCCGGCCTTCGCACAAGCCTACGAAAAGGTCTAGAAAAAATTTAAAATCACGATCAATGACATCAAAATCTTACAACTCATATTTTACATATTTTACTCATCTCTTCGAATTTTTTTTCAGCAAAAACCTGACAGGCTGCAAACTGGTTTATCCTTTTCTCGGTGCTTAAAACTTGATTGAAATCGTGGTAACGCACGGATTCGTCGAGGTAAAGAGCGTCTGAAGACAGAAGATTTTTGTTTATTGAAGCCAACGAACCGATGTGGTCGACACCGAGGACGATGGAAAGCAGTGTCAAGTCGTCGAGAAGCGGCCTTTCTCGGTGCACCATCAGACTGAACTTTGCCGGAACAACTCTGATCAGTCCTTTTGGGTCTGTTCCTTCTTGAGGGTCCAATTTGACGATTTCGCACTCTGGTCGCACTTCCTATCGAAATTTTCCGTACTTGTACATTTCGGACTTGTGAAGATACTGCTCGTTATCTAGGATCGTGGGCAACCCGCAGGCAACCAGCTGACCATCAAATTTTTTCTTATTAAGAAACTCGATTCATCATAAATGGAAAATCTAAGAAATTTGAAATGTGAAAAACGTTTTCTCCGACAAAAGAAATCCTCGGCATTTCTAAAACCTGAAAGACTCTTGGTCATCTTGCCTGCCAGCAAATCCCGAGTTGTTATAGAATACGCTTGCTGGAAGATGGGATACCTTGATGCGATGTTCTAGGGAGAAACCGACGCCGTTGGTGACGAAGACGAGGACGCACTGGTGGTCAGGCATCAACATGTTCGGATGTGGCGGAAGTTGGCCCCCGGACCGCGGCGTCTGCATCAGAAAAGCCGCGCGGCCGTCCTCCGCCTCGATCCGTTCGAACCAAGGCATCCAAAACTTGCCTGTGCATTGAGCCACCATTTGTGGCAACAGTTGATAGAGCTGTAAGTGAAATGCATTCCTTCAACGCAAAGAAACAATCAGACTGAGAAAGGACCTTGTCGGCTTGTCTGTGGTACTTGTTAACGATGCGGAAGACGCAATCGAATCCATTTGGTATTGCGGGGAAAATGCGTTTGTCAACCTGCAGAAAGAGCCCTATCGGCTTGATTTTTTATTCATTGAATGAAGCAACCTCTTTTCATTTTGAACTATTTAAAAGTTGGAAGAAGGAGCCATTTGATATTTCTCCCGATTGTTAGGTGATCATTTGAAAAAAAAAAAACCTTGACAAAGGGTAGTCGCAAATAGACGTAAAATAGCAAAAATCCGAGAACAGAGTAGGCAAGAAAGATGAATCGCATAATGTTCAACACGTATATCTTTATTGTCCATCTCAAATTCCTTTTTTTCGGACCGTTCTCCCAAAGTTGTTCATATTACTGGCCTATAAAGAAGCGAATACATATAGGTGTGGAAAACGAACATAAAACCTACGTTTTACGACATTCCAACGCGTGTGTTTTGTATTGACGTTAGCGTTCAGGTATTTTAGGTTGAGTCCACAAATGGAATGGCTTTTTGGAATTTTTTTTTTGCTGGACTGTAAGCGATGCTTCTTTTGGAAAGTTGAAGAAAGTTAAAAAAGACTAGTTCAGTTACTGAGACTCTTCAGAAGCGCAGGTGCAAGTTCCAAAGAGATTGAAAAGGCTTCACATTCTTTCGGCTAGTCAGATTTGCGACGAGAATAGTCGAATCTTTGCTATCAGAAATCGAAAAAAACGTACAGTACAAAATCCTACTCCAACTCGATTCGACTGTTCTACGAAAAAACATCAGCTTTTTCACGCCCGATCAGGCTTGTGTGAGGGCCGGCCCGTCAGACTATCGGCCTTCGACGTTTTTTCAAGCCCGGCCCGGCCTGAAAGAGGCCTCAAGCAAAAATGGCAGGCACGGCCCGAAAAGCTAAAAATTTTCTTCAAGTCCAATATCAAGTTTTTTCTTACGAGAAACGTGTTTTTTCTGCATTTTATTCACTTCGGAATTTAACTAAAACTAAGATTAAAAATGATCTTTCGGAGAAATTGTTTCAATGAAGTTTAAATTTTTTGAAGCCTGGCCTGACCCAAGTCCGTGTATGCTTTTTCTCAAAAATGGAACCCAAGGCGTGGGCCGGGCCGGCCCGAGTCGGGCCGCCCGATCTGACACGCAAGCCTGTTTCTGACGACAGTTGCTCACTCTGATAAACTCAGTAAATCCTAGGCAACATGCCCTGACAATTCAGTTCCTCAACAGTGGTAGTTGAGAGAGGAAGTTTTTTCGCAGTGGTTATGTCATGGAGACGGCAGCAACTTGTTAACTGCTATCACCACCTTCGGGAACGCGCGAACATGTGAGTCGGAAACGAGTTTGGCGACTGATGGCGCCGGCGACTTTTAACCCTACAAGGGCAATCCGACGTGAGTAGAAGGCGTGCGTTAACAATGGAAACGGACAGGTTGCGGGGTCGAAGAACTCAAACAAAACAACGCCGCCAGCGACAATAACCGCCCAGTCCCGCAGTTTTTCCCATTTGCCACGATTGCAGATTTATCTGCGAGGTCCATCCTTACGTAGAATAGTCTCTTTTTTTAGTGGAATCTTTCGCTACCAACTACAACTTCCAAACAGCTGTTTTGTTCATGGGCATGCCCGAAAATTGAGACGTCAATGATTAATCTCACTTCACTTCCGTTGTCTCGATTTCTCATTCAACTTCGCGTGATACTGGTCCAAAAATCATTCAATTTTTTGCTATTGTTTTGATCATTCCGCAATATTCCTGAATAATCGAACGAATAGGTTGGTTGCTCGCCAAATGGTAGTTAAACAAGTTTTTCTCTGCATCATAACAAGCCGCTTTTTTTTTACCGTGTTCTGTCCTAGTTTTTGGATCAAAAAAGGTTTTCTCTAGAATTTTTTTTTTGTTAAATTTTTAGTAAAAAGTGTAGAGTTCATTTATAGGAGCAATAAAAATCAGTAAATTATGATCTGAATCAGCAAGAGTATGATTTACCTGCCAAGTTAACGATTCATATTATTTTTCCACCCAACCTCGCAATAACCACAACTTTTGAAACTAAACCAGGTGTTTCACTGATTTCAATCAATTGGTCTGGAAATAACCTTTTGAGCTAACAGAAAAATGTTTCCATTGCTCGTTTCAAGTCGGAAAATTCTCCTGCCGACACGAAATTCCAAATAAAACCGAACAAAAAAAAGTTGTCAAAAGATTAGTTTTAGAAGCAAAACTTGCATAAAAAGCTCTGTAGTCCCTAACTTGAGTTACTAACTCGGAACGAAAGTTTCACTTTGAGGAAAAATTTTACAATAAAGTGTTCGAAAAAATGTTATTCTAGACTTTTTTTTTTCATGAAACTTCAACTTTTTTTTTGGAAGCATCAACAGTCGGAAAGGCGAATCTACCCAAAATGTAAAGTTATTTTCTCTTTTTATAAAAGTTTATTTTCAAATCATTTCCTCTAAAGCTCAAAAGAAGCATAGACCTTCCGATCACTCAGACTATTCACGATTCTCGTGCCACGCGAGTTTTGATCGACGCAACTCGTGTCAATCGTAGCGTGAGTCGTGAAATGGGAAAATCCTTCCGCCTGCGACCGGATAGATCGGATAATTGCCTATGTGCCTAAATCGATTATTGGTCTACAGTAATCTTTCTGTCTCATTGGAACACCCCAATGTATGTTTTTCAACCACTTCTCGCTTCGATATTAGTTCTTGTTTGTGTGAGGCAACGTCGAAGAAGTAACAATGTTAAGAGGATTTGAGAACAAAAAAGCCTTCAGATAGTCTGTTTAACAAAATCAAGAGCAAAGTGGAGGTACTAATAACATTTTTCGTCTCTTGGAACTCCACTTTTGTCATAGAAAAGCTCTAAATACATTTTTTTTTTTTTGAAGCTTCCGCATATGAGTCTAATTATCAACACAGTGATAATTTTTTTTTATAAAAGTTTCATTTCTAGTTGAATTTTCATAAAATTTTCCTTCGTGGTCATTACGTTACACAGCAAGCAAGAAATCCCGCCTTTTTTGAATTCTTTACTGGTTAAGGGAAAGAGATCTTTTATTTACTCATGACATTCTCTTCTTTTTCTCACAATAAGCGATAACTAGACGATAAATTCCAACTGACAATGAAATAAACCTAAGAAAAGCAGAAACCAGTGAGGCGGCCGGTTTTCCGTTTCTTTTTCCGTCTTCTCCTCTCCTAGTTTCAATATTTGAACGCCACCCCCACGTGCTGCCAACTGTGTATAAATAGTACTCTAATCGAGAATTTTTCAAACTTTCAATCTTTTTCGTGTCTTTCTAGGATATCAGGTATTGCAGGAGGATGAACACAAGGGTCGGCGACGTGGAAAGTCCGCGGCGTGGCAGCCCGAGCGAGGTCTTCAGCCGCGACATCGACCGTATCCACAAGGACGGACACCACAAAAAAACCAGGTCTCACCTTTTTCTAAGTTGTCTGAACAAAATACTTGAAAAGTGTTACTTTTTACAGCAAAGAGTACACGATGATATGAAAAAGATTTGAGATTTTTTTATTTGATATTTGATAAGAAAGACTTTATTTGAGCTTTGCGAGCGGAGTTACTAATTTTTTTGTTGTGAGAAAAAAAGGAAGAAATTGAGATTCATTTACATTTTTTTAAATCGAAAAAAAGCATCATTTCTTGCACTTATTGTTTTTTTAGTAAGTAAAAAAATTAGTGAATACATTTCATCTCGACAATGAGTACTAGCAAAAAAAGATATTAAAAAAATTGGGGTGCTGTTCGATTTTGTTTGTCTTTTCCCTGTTGACCATTTGACACGAAAAATCGGTCAAAGGCTTCATCGATCCCCAGTTCGGCCAAATGCGTATCCATATCGAGTCTCTCGAAGGCCTGACTTCTTCGGAAACTCTTAAACAGTCTAAATTATCTTCATTAAGACGTCGTCTAACTCATCGCTTCGCTATTTTCTTTAGAATCCGAAGGTTAAATTTTCTTCCTTTATTCAATTTTTTTCAACGATTTCAAAATGGATCATGGTCGTTGGAAAATAAAAGTATTCCCAAAGTTCCTGCTGTACAAACAAATTTCGGTTTTCCCTCAAAGCTTCTTTTTGTTTGCGGGTGTCATTGAAACTGTAAACTATCTCACTCTCCGTAATCAAACTTAAAAGTATTGGAATTCAAGGAAATCCAGTTGTTACATTGGTTACAATTAATCTGAGCGATGGCAGCGCCCATCCGGAATAAATCCGCTTTTCTGGCACGACGCCCACTTTCTATAAATCCGTAATCAATTGATAAAGTCTCGTTTTGCCTTGCACTTTTCCTCATTTTCCCACTGATGAGCCTCCAGTCGAAGTGAGTTAATTTTAAGGTAGTTTCATAGGAAGTAACTGAGACTCGTTTCTCAAAAAGTATTCCGTTCTCCCAAGAACTTTGCAGCGCTGTAAAAACAAGCCGTCACGGTTTTTTTTTTCTGATTTATTGTTCTTCGTATTTTATGGCGGCCTATCGCCATGAGAAGAATTGCTAGGATGACAATGTTCAAAGTTTTTGTGAGAAAAGTGAACGCTCCCCTTTCGTTTTCTGCAGAGTCAGCAAAAAGTGTCCCATTAACTAGGTGAGTTGTAGATCATTTTTATTAATTCGCCACGGCTTCGGAAGTGTCTGCGTTCTCTTTTCCCTCATCATCGAGGCCAAAATGAAAACAGAATAAAGAACGTCGAGAGAAAAGAGATCTCAGATTAATCATACTTTTTACTTTGAAGTTTCAGCGAATAGGTATGTTATAAATGAGAAACCATCATCAAACTACTTTGTATTTAGCTTCGAAAAACTTCAGTTGGATTTTTTTTCGTTTTTCGGAAAAAAAAACAATGGATTTGGGTTGAGATGGGCGCGAACGATGGCCATCGTGTGCGCAGTCCTGGCGACGGTGTTCCTCCTCTCGACCGTCGCTTTGGCCATCGTCGTCGGCATCAAGTACAGTCAAGACGACAAACAGAAGGAATCTACGGTTGGTTCATTTTTTCTGACAATTTATCTCAGTGGAATCGGAAAATCATTCAGCAAAAGGTAGTTAACGAGCCATTTGAACCGTCTGCAGAACCGACAATGTCACCTGTATCGGTAAACTGAAACGTTGTTTCTAAAAAAAATTTGTGTTGGCTTTTGTGATTGTTTGAGTGTTTTATCTCGGTTCGAACATGATTGCAAATGTTACAGGAGCCGAGACAAAATAGCCACTTCGACTGGCCGGCACCATCCGGAAGTCTTTTCGCGCATTACAAGAAGGCGGCGGTCGCTTCAGACCACGGCCTGTGCTCGGAGATCGGAAGGTGCGTTCTGTAGATGACCACGGACGGAAGGACGTTCAGAGATGTGCTCATCGACGGAGGCAACGCCGTCGATTCGATGATCGCCACGCTTCTCTGCATCGGAACTGTCAATCCTCAGTCTTCGGGCATCGGCGGAGGCTTCCTCATGACTCTCTACAACTCGTTCGTTTTTTTTTCGTGGGAATTTTAGAATTTAACAATCTAAGTTTTCATTCGATTTCAGTCTTCCTCAGTTTGTCAAAAAAAGACATGATTGGCTCTTTGAAACAAAAAAAAGCTTGGGTTTGAAAAAAAAAAGAAGAAAATAAATAAAAAGAATGTCTGGTTCTGAACGATAAGTGATGATTGTAGGTCAACAGGCCTCTGTCAGTCGATCAACGCCCGCGAATCGGCTCCTTCTGGAGCCACCGAAACTATGTTCGTGGCAAATCCTTCGGAAAGCGTCGTAGGTTGTACTTCCGTCGTTTCTTCCGCCGCAAAGCAAAAAACTCAGGATACAAGTCCATCGCAACGCCTGGGGAAGTGCATGGCTATTGGACAGTGTTCAACAAGTTTGGTTCTGGCAAAGTGACGTGGCGCCGTCTGTTTGAACCGTCGATCTCGTTGGCTCACAGCGGCTTCCCAGTTTCTTCCAACCTCGCGATGGTCCTAGCGGACAAAGAGAAACTTATTCGCGAAGACCCCAACATGAAGTAGTCCAAGGAACTCTTCCAGTGCGAACTTGGCCTTTTGCAGAGATATATTTGTCAACCCGAGGACCAATCGCGTATACGAAGAAGGCGACATACTGAAGCGACATCGCCTCGCCAACACCTACAGTCTGCTCGCCAATGCTACGGATCCCGTCGAGTTGTTCTACAAAGGCGGTGTCGCTCAGACGATTGCAGGAGAAATTACGGACAACGGCACGTGTTTCTTTTTCTGATTTTCTTCTGCCCCGGTGTTTGTTTGTTCTGCTCTAATATTGACGGTTCAAGCGAGCACTAATGGACTAGAAAAAGTAGGCAAAAATAAGTTTTCTTTAAGAAATATTTCATTTTCCGAAGGTTGATTTTTTGAGGTGGTTTGGTGAACGAGTCGGACTTGGCTGCCTACGAAACTCTGATAGAAGACTCGCCGCTGATCAGCGGACACCTGCCTGGAGATTTGGAGATGTGCGGACCTCCGCCGCCTTCTTCTTTCGTCATAACCCAGGCAATCGTTAACATAATGGCCCGTATGTTTCCTTGTTCTGCCCTTTGATAGCCCTGGTTCCTTTAGAATTTTACAAAGACGGAAAAGTTGACCTCGACGATCCGCTCGTCTACCACAGGCTCATCGAAGCCGAGAAGTTTGCGTACGGTCAGAGAACCAAACTCGGCGATCCTCGTTACGTCGAAACTTCCAAGCAACTTGTCGAAGAGATGATGTCTGCGTTAGTGGGCGCGATAATGGTCTAGAAAAGGGCTTCTTCTCAGGGAATACGCCAAGAAGATTGCGCAAAAAATTGCCGATGTCGCCCAGCCAATCGAATTCTACGGCTCCGATATGACTGGAATGGTGCGTTCAAAATTCCAATTGTAGTTATATTTTCTTTCAGTCGGAGGACAAATTATTTACGGTAAGAAACACTTGTTCCGTTATTTTTGAAACGTTGTGTTGTCCGTTTTGCATGGAGACTGTACCACGAAGTAAATCTGATTTCTTGCACATCTCCGTATTTTCACTGGAAAACTTTTTTTTACCTTTTTAAGGATGATTTTACAGGCTCCGGACCATGGTACCTCGCATGTGACCATAATCGACGCTCAAGGCAACGCCGTTTCCACGACTTCAACCATCAACCAAATGTCATTTCTCGTCCCATTGTCAATCCTCAATCTTGATTTTGCAGTTTTGGCGCAGTAAGAGCCTCACCGACCCTGGGCATAGTTTGGAATGACCAAATGGACGACTTTTCTTCTCCCGGGCTCAAAAACTCGTTCGGCTACGCGCCGTCTGAAACAAACTTCATTGCGCCGGGAAAACGTCCCATGAGCAGCATGAGTCCGATGATCATCTACAACAAGAACGAGAACCGCGTGGAGATGGTGGTCGGCGCTTCTGGCGGTTCCTACATCATTTCCTCGACCGCCCAGACCGTCGTCCGCTCTCTGCTCTTCAACCAGACAGTCAAGGTCTGTGATGTAGAAAAACTGGATCACAGAAAGTTTTCAATTGAAAAAGTACGTTCAAACTTTTTCTTCTCGATTCTTAAAAAAAAAAAAAGTGACTGGGAAGGTCTCCTCGCTGTGATTTGCTGCATCAAGTTCCCGACGAAACTGTGCAGCCCATAAGAATTTATATTTTGTTTGCTCCAAAAACAGTTTAAGCAAGCGGTGGACTCTCCGCGCTTCCACAACCAATACTTGCCCGAGGCCACAGAATGTGAAGAAGCCGTACCAATCGTGAGTCGACTTCTGTGTGACCCAAAAATGTAGATGGCCTTGCAGGAATTGCGGAAAGTCCTTGTCGAGCAGTACAAACAGAACTTCACAATGGTACCCAAGCAGAAATCAGTGGTCCAAGCACTTCAATCCGAAGAAGGTCTATCTGGGCTTTTCTTCGTTTTTCACTACGTTTTCCAGGATTTATCAATGGCAACAGCGATTTCCGGAGGGCAACCGCTACCTATCCAGCCGGTTACTAGCCCTTTACGACCCTCACCTTCCCTTAAAACCTCGATCTCATTCCTCCTACACCTTATTTGTATCTACCAGACATATTGTATGTATTGCACCCGAGTAGCTTTAAAAGTTTAAATCTGCAATTTCCAAATAGTTACATTAACGTCAGAAACGATACGAAAAAAGCGCGCCTTTGGTCACAACTTTTTTGTAAGGAATTCATTTATACTGAAAGTTTCTGACGCTGTTTTTTTTCTATAAGCTGAATTTTTATTAGTTTAAAAATAAAAGTCATCACAATTCCAGAAGTTTTCAAAAAGATTGAATACCTTAAAAGAAAGTTGTGACCGACATCCATTTTTTCGTATCTTTTCTGACGGAACTGTATCTGAATCCCCACATTAACTTTATTCACATTCCTCGATGCAGGTTCACAGAAGATTGTCGTTCGATTCAGAAAATATTTTTTTTATCTGATAACCATCTAGTCACACTCCTGGTAAGTTTTTATTTTCATATTTAAAAAAAAAGCGAAAATAAACATTTTGATATAAACTTTTCATGCTGCTGGTTTCTCCTCAATCTTCTTTTCGCGTTTTTCGCCGGGAAATTCCAGCTGAAAATGTCTTTTATTTTTTTGTTTGGGAACCTGTGAAATCATTTGTAGGGCATTTTGGTGGCCTATACATTAATTGCTGTTTTTGAATGCCGCGTTCAAAGTTTGATTGAGAAATGGAACGCGGAAAATCAGAATGAAGAGATCACAGAATACTCGGCAGCACTACGGTGAACTCTCGGGTCTCGATTCACGCGTTTCCTCCGTTTGAAAAATGGCTTCGAACGCGGCAAAAAAAGTTCTGATAGCTATGAATATTCAATGCCAGTAGTTTTGCAATCAAGTTTCGCTCTCGCACTCTAAATTGATGTAGTAAAAGAGTAAATCAAATTGATTACGTGACTTTTGAGCTCTTCTAGTGCGGTAGCTCCAAAACGAGAGACTCACTTGAAATTACGACAACTATCAAGGGAGCCCACCTGAATGTTAAGCTTGCCAATGTCGTATGTTTTCTTCGCCTTAGCGCCTTGACTGACATAATCGGTAGGAACGATGTAGTGGAAGCGGCGGAAACCAGTCTGAAAGAAAGAAGCAGAGCCTAGACTTCATCTTCAGACGCACCTTCTCGAGCTTTTTCGGGTCATCGTCGCAGTGGTGGAAGACGGCAACGACTGGTGCCATGTCGGTCTCGTTGAGAGGAAAGCCGTTGGTGTTGCCTTCGAGGTGGAACATGCCGCCCGGACCAGTGTACTTCTCGTCCACCACTTGAGATACTTCTGCAAATCTCAATTCGGTTATGAAAAGCCCTAAACCAACCATCTTTCTTTGGCGGAGTGACGCGGAAAAGACGGACACGGACGTTCTCCGCAGGCTTTCCTCCGCAGACGAGGGTTCCCTTGACGCCGACTGCCTTCTTTCCGGCGATCGCGGCGTCTGCGGCCACGACGAGCAGAGCTAGCAGCACGGTAATTGTTCGCATTTTCAAAGAGTTTGGGGTGTTTTTGGCCACGGAGACTGCCGGCGACAGGCTGTCCTAACCGTATTGATAAACAACGCCTCCAATTGATTACTGCGAGCGCTCGACAGGGTTTATCAATGTGTTTTCGATACTTGACAGTCGTGTTTCGACAGAAGACTTGCGCAAACTCTCTTTTGTTTCCGTAATGAGAAAATTTCAAAACAAGAGCAGCCCTTACATGAAACTGAAAAAAAAACATGAAAACGAAAAAGAAGTATTATAGAACTTTATTAATCTGCACAAAATCGAGGCTGCAGAACGAAAAAACCTAACTAGGGAGCGTTTTTTTGAACCTTCAAAGGCCGCAAAATACGCAAATTGGGCCGAAAATGCGCTGTTTCAAGCTTTTGAAGCGTACTACTCGAAAAGAAGATCTATTGCGGGAAGTTTTTTACTTGTTCTGCAATCAGGAGGTCCTAAAATACACTTAAGCAAAGGTCGAGGAGCAAGTCGGCCGCCGCACGAAGGACACAGCTCCTGAAAAATGACGGCGTGCGGCAGTCACAAGTCGAACTTGTCGCGTTTCTGGGTCAGGGATGAACAACAGCTTTTGGGACAACTGCGGCCGCTACCGTCAATACGACAGTTCAATTGGTGGGATCTTTTACATAGAAGAATCAGGATCAGGTAATAAAAGTATAGCGAGCGTATAAATAAATATGGATCAGGACGCTATAATAATATGTTCATCGTCATACTTTACTCACATTACTTTGATGGTTCGTCTTCGCTGATGACCTTCTTACTAGAGTATAATCTTCCCTAGTCAGCGCTAACCACGTCCTCCATGCGTCCCGGTCTCTGGCGACGATCATCCAAGACGTCCATGACGGCTGATGTTCTTCTCGAAGTTTCAAAATGATTCTAGAAAATATTAGAAAATTTGGACAGAAAAAACTAGTCTCCTTCTGTGACCTTGAAAATTGTTTTATAGTCTTAGTTTTTTGAGGTGTCTATCTTTGAACGTTGATCTGTTTCACTTAATACCTTTTCAATATTTTCGAAAATCATCATTTTCTTCTTCGCGATATATGCCTAGAAAAAGACTTTTATGTTGCTAAAACAAAAAACGTTTGCTACACTTTCCGAGCCTTAACTTTGCCTAACCAGGGAACGTTTTTTACCCCCCGGTTGAACTTTTGCTGAAACTTTGCTGAAGTGTACTTTGAGACCCCCTGATTGCAGATCAAGAAGAAAATTTCTCGCAATAGATCTTGTTTCCGAGTTATGGAGCTTCAAAGTGTGCAAAATACGCTAATTAGGCCAAAAAAGCGCTATTTCGGGCTTTTGAAGCTCCATAACTCGAAAACGAGATCTATTGCGAGAAATTTTCTTCCTGTTCTGGAATCAGGGGGTCCTAAAGTACACTTCGGCAAAGTTTCAGCAAAAGTTCAACCGGGGGGTAAAAAACGTTCCCTAATAAGAATGATCTGCCGAAGCCCATAGATATTATTAGGAGGTTCAAGTGAAGATCGGAACGTGTCACCCTCATGACAATGCGGACCAAAAAAGCGGAAAGACGCGCTCCATACCGAGGAAACACAATCCCGCCGCCTCATTTGTTATGTCTAATCCATTTCCCACCTTTCTTCCAGCAGCCAACACGGCTCTTCTAAGCTTTTTACTTTTTCAACTTTTTCTCTTTTATCCATTTTGGCCCATATGACAAATTTCACGAAAAAAAAGGCCGTTCTCCAAGGGAATCAAATAAAGAACAAAACAAATTTTTTGTAGAAATTTACCAGTTTCAAACTGGAAAATTCGACCTCGGAAAAATTTTCTAGCTCTTTTTTTATTTCTTCTTAAACCGTCTTGGAACACCTTTTCGGAATTGTATAAGTGAGCGCTCAGAATCGCCATTAGGAATTATCCGTGAATATAAAAAAAAAACAATTGCAAACCCAATGAGTTAATTTGATTATACGAAGCTTTTTGATATGTGAATAAGCGAAAATAACAAACACATTTTTTTAATTTCGATAAAAAAAATGTTCAAGCATTTCATTCTTTCACGAGTTATTTTATTATTCACAATCCTTTGTTACAAAAAAACTGAGAATCATTCGGTTTAACTATTTTTCTCAGCTGGGCGTCGTTGTTCAAGATTAGGGATTTACGACGCAAAAACAAGTTGTTCAAAATCTTCAATTTGGCTTTCGAAGGCTTCAAATCTTGGGCAGGACCCAAGTTTGATTTTTTTCAGGCGGTAAGTCTATTTAAAAACCTCCGCTTTTTTTTTTGAATGATAAGTTCAAAACTAGGACAGGATTAAAAAAAGTATATATAGTTTTATTTTTTGAAAAAATTTATATATTAAACTCTCAAAGGAAAATGAAAACTTCTGTCACCTTTTTAGGAACTCAAAAAGAAGCTTTAGGCTCTTCTTTTCAAGGCCTTTTTGAGGTCGTTTGAACTTTGCCTGTGCCTGTGAGTGGGCGGTCTTGACGGACCTGATATTACTGTAGAACATACGAGTGCAGGATCATGTGGGACGAATGCACGCCCTTCTGCCGTCAGCAAAAGAAGAGTCCAAACGAACGGACCGAAGACGTCAGACTCATCAGGAGCGCCGCTGATGCGCGACGCCTACCCCCACAAATCCAATTTATTCGCGACGCCTCGTCGTCCTCTCTGTTTGCCCTTCGCCAATTACCTCGAGAACCCCTCCTTGTAATTCCTGGCGTCGTCCAAACATTGTATCTTCTTTTTTAAAACCAGAGCAACATCCTTTTATCGAAAAATCTCTTTTCTCCTTAAACATGGACGGCATGAAAATAAAGGATTCATGAAAAATTTCTATCAGCAAATTATGTTTGAAACGTTCAATTTTTGCAATTCACGACGTCTGCGGCATAGTTGTTTCACTCTTCAACGTTTCATTAAGGCAACTTCAACCATACAATCTGCTTTTGTCTTCTTTCAATGCTTACTACATCAAATCTACTTTGAGACTGCGGACAACTGAATATATTATTTTATAATGCTACGAAACAGTGCATGAAGTAGAAGCGGGTTTGAAACGCCAAAAATGGAGTGCGAAGGCCGCCGATTCTTCACAGAAAAGCCTTTCCTAAGACTTTCAAACTGCGAGTTTGCTCCACCGGAACAAAACCTCCCGAGAAAAACACCTAAAACTGATTGGCGAGCTTCTCGGCAAGGTTCTTCCCTTCCTATCTTCCGGATAACTCTCTTTCTTACATTTTTCTCCTTTTCACCTCTGTTCCTACAAAATTGGCTTATTTTTTAACTTTTGCTTGTTATGGTTTTGCTCTGAATATTGGAAATATGTTTTTCTCCAATAAACTTCCCTCGTGGGATGGCTGTTTTATATATTTTTTCCATATATCCGCTGTTATTAGATTTCCTGGGAGGCACTTTCAGACGCGCAAGTTATACGAAAACTGCAATGAGGTTTTCCGCCTGTGAGCTTTAAAATTTGAGCTCGAATCTTTTATTGTTTCAAAAGAAGCTTTTATTCCACTAATATATTTTGGAATCTTTGTACTTTCGGAAGGAAAGTTCCGACAAAGTCGTGGTGAGAGGACGAGAGATGATGTCGTAGGCGATAAGTTAGGAAGTGTGGTGGATTGCGACAATGCCTGCGGCACTTAGGCTTTCAGAGGTTGTTGTGGCTTCCGGCACTCGACGTTTGTTTTGTGACCAAGAAGCTGCATGGAATTGCAGAAAGAAAAACGCAATTTCTTCCCGATCCGACACAAGGAGATTAGTTTCAAATGGTCCCAAATGGTTTCTTTCGAATGAATCCGCCCATCCCATGATAGAATGTTTACCGAGTTTCATTGCGATTTTTTGTTGGGAAAACAGTTGGGGCGTTACTTGCTCTCCACTCCATGGACGTCAGGCTAAAAATTGGAAATTTTCATTTGACTTCAATTAAAACTTTTCTCTGGTCCTTTCAAATGTTTCCATGGTAACTCTGAATGTGTTTCAAATTTTCCAACCATCATTTTGAGCTTGACGAGAATAAAAATCAAGTGCTTTTTTCTCTTTTTTTGTAGGAAAATTTTTTATAAATTCTCATAGAATTGTATAAACCGAAATTGCTGAAAACTGTGCTTCATAGAGTTTGAAGATGGCAGCTCTGAATATATCATAATCGTTAACACTTCCTTTTGAATGAGATTAATCAGTTCCTCGCTCGCTTCAAAAATGTATTCTTCCTCGGTGTCTGAACCGAGTTTAAACTCATCAAAAGGCGATGCCGAATTATGGCGCAAATTAAGAAAGAGAGTCTAATAGAGTCACGTCGTTTCAAGTAATCAAGCTTTGAAATTTGAGAGCCGAATAATTATTTTCAATTATCAGTCAAGGTTCGAATGATGAGGGATCATTTTTCATGGTAGGGAGTCTTCTCAAACCACCATCAGGTTCAAAGGAAATGACTCTTTTCAATTGAAAAGTTTAATAAAATGTATTATTTGAGAATATAATTCAGTCATTTCCAATATGCTACTTCAGGATGGCGTAAAGTTGAAATATTGGTCTCGAGCTTACAAGTTTCTCAAAGAAGGGGCGTGGCAAGGCGCAGAGCTGTTGGAAGGACCGCCTTTCGGGTCATTTGTTTCGATCACTGGGTCCACCTGTTTAGTCCCTTTTTCAAACCATTTTTCATTTCACGTTTTTAATTTATGTAGAATCGGACTTATCTCATTTCTACATTTTAAGAGGCTGTATTCATTTTTCGAGTTTTTCTTTTTAAAGACGTTTACAACCATTTGGAACATCACTTTGAAGCTGAAAATTCAGAAGATTTCAGGCCTACTGCTCCCAAAAGTTTGAAACAATGTTCGACGTTGTTCAGAGGCCATGAAGGCTTGCCACGTCTTCTTCCTTTTGTTGTGCGCCGAGGCCATCCAGGTTCGAAACTTTGCGTTTTTTTTTCAATTGCCTTTTCATGTACAATGACCTGAATCACGTTCTCAAAATTGCTCAATTCTCCCAACTTTATTATTGAGTTAAATGTTCGCTTCTCGTGAGATCTAATGGAAGCTGATTTATTTGAATATAAAATAATTTTTTCTTGTGCAAAAAAGGATTATTTTTTGCCACAAACTTCTTGGGTTGGCAAAGAACAGAGTTTTGTTGAGAACACAGGGTGACCACCCAACAAGTGAAACGGTGATTCAATTTCCCGAAAATTTCCGAAAAATTGTAAACCTCTTTCCCATGTTTGTTCTCTGCTCTTTTAATGTTAGAAAGCCTGAGAAAAGTTTCTCAATTTTTTTAAGAATCTTTTTTTGCGGTCGTCGCTAAAATTAAATTCCTTTTCCGAGAAAGTTGTAGTCTTTCCAGTCAATCATCGCTGTTCGAACCTTTCCAAAGAAAGACAAACTATCAGAAGAACTTTGGTGGGCGCTTATACTCGAAAAAAAAGCTGCAGGAAGAAGATCCAGATGCGAATGAACATCTGGAACCAAGTTATGGCATTTCAAAACTCTGCTCAACGACTAGAATAAACTGTCCTTTTTCAAACCTCGTAAATATCTAGCGGGTTTTTTTTGTTCATTTTGTCAGCAGTGGAGTCTTTTACTCGTTTCCTGGCTTTTCTATTGCCATCAACTTTTTCAAAGTTTCTCTGTCCTTTCGAACCGCCGCATCTTCACTAAGCCTTGAGAGGCTCTGAATTTTTTTCAAGTTCAAAATCGTCAACAAGGCCATGTTCTGTTCAACTTTTTTTTTGCTGTAGTGTTCAAAGACTCATTTGTCAGGTATCTAGACGAAGAGACCGAAAATTAGGCTTTGAACCCTATCAGGAACCTTTTCCTTCTACTGGCCTTGAATGGAATTTCAAACAGGCATTTGTATTCTGCTTGATATATGTTTTTGAAACTTGAACTATTTACTTCTTTTTTTCGTATTTTAAAATTCTTTAAAATTAAACTATGAGATTGACCGAAGAGGATTCTCAGGGTTTTTTCATCTTTTTAAAATTTTACTTTATTCGCGCATTTCAATAGATTATCTCTGTACAAAAGTTCTTCATTGAATCGGCAACAAAAACTATTTTCGAAGCGAAAATTGTGAGTTTCAATCAAAAAGGGAGTATTCATTTCAAAAATCTTTCAATGAGGCAGTGCGGCTTGAGATAGGAAATCTTTTTGAAGCGGTTTTCGAGAGAAAGTTACAAAAGAAGTATAGGCAAGAGCGAAGCGACGAAAATGTCCGGAGAATTCGTGGCCGGAGAGCAAGATTCTCAGCACCATAATGGCCAACTACACGCGAGCCCTGCCCGATGCCGAGGACAGCGTTCAGGTCAACGTCGAGATCCATGTCCAGGTTTTCCTTTCGAGATTGTTTCTTGTTTAGCTGGGGAAGAAGGTTTTCACCTGACCCATTTTTTTTATTTTGAATACTGGACTTGAGTTTTAAGGATCCTTGTACTCTTGGGGTCTATCAAAAAACGTTCCTCTGGGATTCTCGCCCTTTTTCGGGCAGTTTTTTTGTTTTAATAAAAGAACGTCAACAAAACTTCGTAATTTGTTATCTCGGATTGGAAGATTGGCGTCTCTAAATCATCAATGATTTTTCTTCAATCATCATTTTTGAACGTAATACAATTTCATGCCTTTTAAAAAAAAAATACAAAAAAGAGGCTTTTTTCATGGAGTTTGAAGACGGAGTAAAGAGTCGGAATAAACGAAGATTTCTCGAAACTCTCTTGCAACTACTGCGTGAAAGCCATTTTGTACATGGACCGAAACTTGCTCGTTTGAGAATGTGGGGATGAGACTTCAGCCACCGGATGAGCTCTTTTTGCCGCTTCCGCACATTTCATAATTTCTCTTTTTGCCGCCAACTCTCTCAAATATTCCAACGCCTTTCCAAAATCTAAAAGAGTACGGACGTCGGCCAAAATATCAATTCTCTCAACGTGTTGTTGATTTCGCACATTGAATATCAAAAGCGATTAGCAAACCACCCGCCAACTTAATATCAATAGTAACCCATTCGTTTTTTTCTCAAAATAAAAGGTAGCGGTGAACGAAAATAATTCATGAAGGTTAAGCTCTCTGTGTGTGATATTTGAAAAAAAAAAAACAAATAAATGCCTATGAAAAGAGAAAGGAAAAAAGAGCTCGAAAAAGTCAAAGATCGACGCGTCCAATTACGATTTTTCTGGTTGATTAGCTTTGCTCACAGAGCGACGCACCAAAAAGAAGCTGTTGCAGGATATGGGGAGCCTGAACGAGATCACGTCGGACTTCCAGATAGACGTGCTGTTCACGCAGCTGTGGCACGACTCGGCCTTGTCTTTCGCCCATCTTCCAGCCTGCAAAAGGCCTGTGGCGACGTCCTTTCCCACCTGAAAATCCCTTTTCAGGAACATCACGATGGAATCGCGTCTTCTGCCCAAGATTTGGTCTCCCAACACTTGTCTCATCAATTCCAAACACACCTACACGCACTCCTCGCCAGGAGAAAACGTCATGGTCATTTTGTACGAGGTTCGTTTCAACAAAGTATCTTCTGTATATTAAAGCCTTTCGAAGGGAAAGATTTGGGAAAGAGGCATAAACTTATATAAAAGTTACGATACGGGGAGCCTTTTCAACGTTGATTTTATTTATGAAGACTTTCAAAGTCCCTTTATATATCATCACCTTGAAAATAGAACTAATTGAATATGCTCAATAAAAAAATTTGAATTAAAATCGCTTTTACAGGAGGTCCGATATTTTTGATAATAAAATCTTTGCCTTAAACGAGCGTGAAAAGCTTTGGAATTTGACCTGTGGAGGTTTTTTTAAATTTTCGGTTCAGACGAAATGGTTTTTTCCCGTGTGCCTCAAAACAAATTGTCTCAAAATTTTTCGTCTTTATGAATCCTTTTCTCTGCTGGGCTGATTTGAGTTTCGAAGCCTGGGAACCTCGAGCAAATCCTTGTCTGAGAAAGCCACAGAAAGCCGCGGCCAAGTACTTGGACGTGCAAATGTTTTCAATAATTTATCAGACTTGTCCCTAGTTATTCTAAAACTTGTGTGAATGAATAGACAAGACGCGCTGATTTCCGATGTGTGCGCACTTACCTAAATTAACGTCGGCCGACGGCTTTCTGCAGCGTCTCGCCAGATCTCAGAAACATCCCTCGGATGGCACCAAAAGGGTCTCACGGAACTTTATCTAGACGTGTAGAAAATGTTAAGACTTGTCATTTTGAAGGAGATGTTTGAGCGATGAAAATTTTCGAAATGTTTTTGCGACATTTTGAAGGGCACTCCTTCATAAGGAAGTTCCTATTGCAACAAGAACGTCAAACGCATAAATGCAGACAAGTGACGAGAAGCGAGCGACAGCTCATCTATTCTTTTTATTCTCTCTTCGCAACTTCTCTTCTTCTGAAATGCAAAAGCTGAATCTTGGTCCAGTATAATACTAGTCCAACCAATTGGTCATCTCCATTGGGGTTTTGGGTCAGAAGTTCAACTTTGTTTTCACTGCGAAAAAACTTTCAATTTTTCATAGCATCCCGTTTTTTTAGGATCCAATTGATATCCAAGAGTTTACTAAAAAAAAAAGTGATTCGAGCTTGTTTCAGAACGGAACAGTCTGGATCAACCACCGTCTTTCGGTCAAGTCTCCGTGCAATTTAGACTTGCGGCAGTTCCCTTTCGACGTCCAATCTTGCATCCTTGTCTTCGAGTCGTACAGCCACAACTCGGAAGAAGCGAGTTTACGTTTTTGTTTCGCATTCGTATCTTTCCAAGGGAGGTAGTTTTTGCTTCCAATGTTATATGGAAAGTCGCTCAAAAACTCGTATATTTACTGGATGATTGACTTTAGAGGAAGGTCTGCCAAAAAAGGGATGTACTCATCAAAAATTAAGATCAATCGAGATCAATCCGTCCCATCATGCTCCACATTTCTCCCGAGCTTTCATTGAGCTACTTGTTAGGTCGAGCTGCAATGGATGGAGGACGCTGTGACGCTAATGAAGCCAATCCAACTGCCCGACTTCGACATGGTGCACTATTCGACCAAAAAAGAGACGCTCTTCTACCCCAACGGGTACTGGGACCAGTTGCAGGTCTGACCGTGAAATCTCTCTTTTTCAACCTTTTTTCTTGAAGGTGACGTTCACGTTCAAGCGCCGCTACGGCTTCTACATCATCCAGGCCTACGTGCCGACTTACCTGACCATAATTGTTTCTTGGGTCTCCTTCTGCATGGAGCCGAAGGCGTTACCGGCCAGGACCACCGTCGGAATCTCCTCGCTTCTTGCGCTCACTTTCCAAGCGAGTCTTTTTGAGTGGACTTTCTTTTTTTTTCATCCTGTTCAAACTGAGGAAATTTATGAAAGATATTCACAAAACGGACACTTGAGAATGATGAAATAGTTGAAATAGCTTTTTTTTTGTTCGATCATTTGCCTACCTCTGCAAGTTTTGGGTTCAATTTCTACCGTATTCAGAAAAAAAAATGAAAAAAAAAACCGAAGAATGTTACAGTTTGGAAACATTCTGAAGAACCTACCGAGAGTCTCTTACGTGAAAGCGATGGACGTTTGGATGCTCGGATGCATCAGTTTCGTCTTCGGGACCATGGTTGAGCTCGCTTTCGTCTGCTACATTTCCCGTTGCCAGAATAGCGTGCGCAAGTAACGTTAACGTTACCTTTAAACGATTGATTTGACTCTCTCAGTGCTGAACGTAGAAGAGAAAGATTGCGGTCTTCCCAGGTTTGGGCGAACGGATCGTGCCGAAGTCGAGGCAACAACGGCTACGTCGGCAACGGTTTGAATCCGTGAATGGAAAAAGAAATGCGTTTCGAGCTGTGCCAAAATGACCATATGAGATTCTTTCAAACTTTTTAGTTGTGACTAATGAAAAAATTGGAATGATTGATTAGCTGAATGCTTTTTGTAAAATACAAATTTTAGATGTCACTGTAGTACTAGCGGTGAATGAACTAGTACATGACCTAAAAGATTGAAAGACTGTTGGGAACAATTATATCAGTTTCCGATTGCAGGATCCATAATTTCCCACTACACGCCAGCAGGCAACGGCCACCGCAACGACACGCCGATGATTGGACACAGACCTTCGCTTTCTCGAGGCCCTCCGTCGCCGCTCAACCTCCAGATGACGACTTTCGATTCGGAGATCCCTCTTACCTTTGACCAGGTAGTCAATTTTCAGGATTTTCTGCTACAAAACTCCTAATGACTTTAGCTGCCTGAAACTGACAGACCGCTTGTGGAGCAGGTAAAACCAAATTAGAAACCATGTAATGGTGTTTTTTTTTGTCTTTACCTTTGTCCGATGTTTATTCCCATCTTTGTCTGCTGAACGAGATAGAAACGAGGATGTTCGTCCAACAGCGTATCCCGCAAAAGCTCACCATTTTGAACTTCAAAATGCATTGTAAAGTAACAGAATGTTCGATCGAGAATTTAAAAATTTCCCATGTGTATGAAAACTTTCATGAGGTAAAAGAATGTTAAAAGAATTATAGAACGGGAACTTCTGCGGTTTGCACCAACATCCTACGTTCCTCCATAGTGACTACGAAAGAGATCTGACCGTGTTCTCTTTTTTCAGTACTGCCGATCGTCGTCGCCGCCTCCGCCGACTTCTGGATGCCTGGCGCGCTTCCATCCGGAGGCCATCGACAAGTTCAGCATCGTCGCCTTTCCTCTCGCCTTCACCATGTTCAATGTAAGGGTGAACCTTCGCTCCGACGCACGCCTTCTTTTCAGCTCGTTTATTGGTGGCACTACCTGTCCCAGACTTTCGACCACAACTACCTCACGCCGCCTTCCCACTGACGGCTTCGCAACATGATTGAACTTTTGATCTCATTAGCACTGGTATTCTTTTCGTGTTTTTTGTTTCACAGGGTTTTTTTTTGCGTCTTTTGTTAGGGAATTTTTTTCGACTTTTTGATAACTTTGTTCAGATAAAAAAGCAATTTTTTCGTTCAATAATTTTCCCATCAGACCTTTCAAACTTCAAAATTCTAGTCTTGTACAGTTATTATGAATGATTTTATTCAATTTCAAAGCATTATATTTACACATGATATGACAGCAAAAACTTGACTGAGATCAGGTGGCGTCTTCCAACATTTATAACGCTACCAACTTTAGTAAAATCATGATTCCCGCCGAAACCAGTCCTGCAAGAAGAAGAAGATCATAAAGTCTTCTACTGAGCCCAACTGAAGAAGAACCGAAAGAAAAAAGATGAAACGAACCAGCGACTGGAAGAGTGACCACCCAGGACAGGACAATGCTCCGGAATATGCCCCATTTGACGCCTTCGCCGGAGCGAATGCTTCCGACGGCCACCACGGAGCCGACCTCAACCAAAGAACTCAAGGCGTCGTTTTTGCGGCGGTTACCAGGCAATGCGTGGTGCTGATAGGGAGGCCTAGTTTGCTGGCGAGAAGCCCAGTCATGGCCGCGCCAAACTCGATGCAGAATCCACTGGCCGGATTGATTTCCGACATTTTCGTGCCGACAGTCCGGATGACATGGTGACCCAGAAGCCACAGTCCCACGCAAATTGCGAAAACTCCGTACAGAACGACGTAGATTGGCACCTGAGCTGGTAGCTGCTTTTTATACATTTTTTTCATTATAAAAATTTCTTGAAATAAAGAACTTTTTGATATAGTGTGAAATTGTGAAAGGTAGGCTGTTAGAGACATTTTTTTAGAACAAAAAAAGCAAAGCTTAAACAAATAGTTGACTCAAATTTTTTTGATCTGAAACTAAACAAATATATGGTCTCAACATGAATCTAGTTTTCATTTTGTAGGAAAACCGTTTCTTATTTTCAACTCTCCTAATAGTTTTAATGTCTACTGACTTTTTAACAACTACTACCGCTGCCGAAAAGCTTTATTTACCCATCGGCGACAAAAAACAAATAGCGTATCAACTCTACGAATATCCTGATAATTGCTTTTCGCCTTATAATCGCATTACACAATGTTTGTTGCGGCGGCGGTCGTTTCAAGCGAAATTTGAACTAACGTCTTCGGTCCCGTAGACTGATTTAGTCCGGTAAATAGAGATCAGCGAGGCCAGAGGAGCGACAGCGTTACTGAAGCAAGTTTTTGTCTAGAAGAATTGGCATGGTTGGTTTACCAGACGTCATTGGCACCGTGGGCGAACCCAGCGAAACAAGCAGTGAATATCTGAAAATTGCCATCTGAAAAAGATCCGAATGTGTGGAAATACTTGAATAGTTCCGAAAAGCTTGGTTGTTTTTTCGTCGACGGGTCTATTTTTGTCGGGCATCAACCACAGCCAGAATCTTTGGGCAGCTTGAATCAAAACTCTTTCGATGAACCAGCGGGTCTAACGAACCAGAAAGCGTAGATCCGCTATCGATCTGCGACTCCAAATCTCCTTTTTTGGTCAGTTCTAGGTCCAAAGGAATTTTCGAGATCTCTGGCTCTTCCTCTGGTGTCGATGGTTGTGTTGTTGATTCTGAAGAATCTCCACTGACGCGCCTCTTCATAACGCTACCTTGAATTTTCCTGAGAATTCGTGGACGTAAGACGAAATGAGCGAAGAACGCAGCCAGGACTCCGACCCCCAGAGAAATGCAGATGATAGCCCACCATGGCAGGTGGTTGAGATACAAAACTGAAAGCCAGAAGTGAACTACAGTTCGATCAAAAGAAACTTACGCGGAGATCCATCCCACGTGACCATTGCCGTGTTAAAAGTCAGACAAACGAAGTAGAATGCCGGCAGGACTCTCAGTCCGGCCTTCACCGAGTCCGACTGAAGTTGGTTATTGAAACTGCATCATCGAAAAGCCTTCTTCCTACTTGTCTGAGCACTAAATGGTCGACGACAATGTAGAGAACGGTAGAAATGAAACCAGAAAGTAGAGGTGAAACAAACCAGGAAATCACTGGAATTTCTACTTCTTCAACAACAAAAGAGCGAGAATTCTTACCGATACGGACAATCTCCGACCAGTTTATGCCAGCCAAACCACGCAACACAATCGAAAAGCCGACAGTGGCGCCGACGATGGAATGCGTCGTCGACACGGGCATGTGCAGGACTGTGGCGATCATTAGCCAGGTGGCACAGCCTCCGAGGATCGCCACCTGACCGAGGAACAACTCTTCCGGCTGGTCCTCGTACTCTTTCACTTCAATGACACCGCCTCGCATTGTCCCTATCACTTTCCAGCCTAGATTTCGAATCAATGCACATGCACGCTTAAGAAGCTCATCTTACCAACGAGAACTGACCCAAGGGTCTCGAATATAGACGCTAGTATGTAAGCTTGGATGATTGTGACGACGCCGCTGCCTAAAAGGAAGCGCTTGCGGAAAACTGGCTGGTCGAGTCCTACCGACAGAAGTTCCGAACGCGTTGGAGACGTCGTTGGCGCCCATGCCCGCACCGAGAAGGAAGGCGAGGATGATGCCGAGGATGAGGGCCCACAGGACGGCATGGCGGTCGAAGTCCTGCACGACAGACCCCACCGTCGAAGCCACGTCCAACAATGTGTCCATGACTCGACTTTTGAACAGAATCTCAAAAGATCGTTCGAAAGGAGAATTATTAATAAATATTAGCTATAACAACGTTCAAAAAAAAAATTGACGATTATGGAAACAGGAGATGAAAAAATCCCTTTTAGAACTTTTTTTGCAACATGAAAAATCGAGAACTTATTGAATGGAAAAAATAAGAGCCAACAAAAAGTTCAAGCTTTTTTTTTTGTGAGACACACAGTTATTTTTTTTTTCGATGGAAGGGAGTTAAACCGAAAAAAGATTCTAGGAGAACAGAACCAAATTCTCGTCTATCTTCATGCTAGTTTCGTTCCGTTACATCACTGTAGAGTTTTTTTTTCAAGAAGAGCTACGAATTCCCTTCACAATTCGAAAAAAAAAAATCAAACTTTTTTTTTAAAACTTTTTTTCAGGCCATCGAACAAAAAAGAGTTAAAATCGTCATGCATGAGAATCTTTGAAAGAAAACGTGAAGAAAGACAAAGACTGTGGCGATGACTCGCTTTTATAGGAGCAAGAGGCGGGGCTTCAAGAGCGTCCATGGTAATTTCGAGGCTACTTTGGTAGTTTTTCATGGAAAAAAACCCAGATTCAGAGAAAATCCAGCTGATATTCGAGTCTTCAAAACATGCAATTGAGCCAACTAAAAGTACATTTTCACCTATTTTTATAGCTATTCCACCCATTCTTTCGCCTGCAGCTCGTATTTCATTGAAAATTGAAAAGACGGCTAATTATCTGAATATATATAATTGTTGTAACATCATCTGCACTATCTTCAAACTTATAAAGATCTTTCTTCATTATAACTTCTTCAAAAAAATAATTATCAAACTATTTCTTATTTTTTTCGTTGAGTTCTTCAGAATATTTGTCAATTATCTGATACTTGTTTCAGTGTTTAAGTTATAGAAAAATATCGGCAGAGTCAAGTAAAAGTATCTTCTAAGTTAAAATTGAAAAAAATAATCATCCCTATTTGCTACTTCATAGACTGACATACGACAAAAAAATCTTTAGTCGGTTTTTAGGGGTGAAAAAAGTTTTTCTGAGATCTAATGTAGAGCCAAATTAAGGTTTTTTTCGAATATAGTTTGGTGGGCACAGCGGACTTAGTCCTATTTTATTACTTCGAAGTCGTTAATTTATTGTGGACTCATAAAATTTTAGCTATTTCTGTAGGAAAAAAACTATTTCCGACTGAGCCTCCCAGAAAGAACAGTCGTTATCAGTTTGGAGTTGACCGGTCGTCGCTTCATATCACAGTAACCTAGGAAGGCTTACGAGCTCTTGGGTTTCCATAGGTCGAATTTTCACCGAAACTCAAACTTTCTCAATGAGGTGAGACGCTTAGGAATGTTCGCCCTGACCATAAAATTTTGATTTTCTTTTCTTTTCAAAAGATTGTATGAACATGTTTGCTTGTGAACATGTTTGAACATGTTGATGTACATGTTTGCTTACAAGTTGATAAGTGATAAACATCTAAAAACTTCACCTAACAGGTGTCTAAACGTGTCCGCAGAAGATCCGAAATAAAGAAAAGCAGCATCTCCAGGCCAACGTACGCAACAGTCTGTTTAATGGAGCGTCAATTTTCTCAGAATGAAACAATAACTCGCGTTTCTTTTTCAGATTCCCTGCGAATAAATCAATTCTTTCAAACGTGGGAATTTCAAGATTAAAAAGACGAACTTTTTTTCGATATTTTTTTAGTCCAAAAAAATGAGTGTAAGTTTTTTTCTCATTCAATAAAAAAAAGTCAACGTCAGCCTCCTTCGTTGAATATCAATTGTAACATTTTCAGAAGTTTTCCCTTTTCTTTCAGTCTTTAAGACTCCAATAAGAAACAAAACTATCGGACACACCAAGCAGAAAAGAAATTAGTTGCAAAGGAACATGAAGAAAAGCGAAAAATGTTGATTTGTTTATATTCTGAAAATAAGAAGGAACGTGAGAGATGACCCTGGTAAAATGATAGTGAGCAAGGCGTCATAGACGATATTTATGCTCACACCTAATTAGCAACACGCGGCAGCCAATTTTGTTGATTAAAGTCCTAATCAAACAGTGAGAGGGCGTATCTCTTTCAGAGCTCTGCTGTACGATTGGCGGAAACGATTCCAGCTTCTGATACATAGAACTGGAGGAATGGACGATGTATCTCATAGACGAATGAAACAAAGAGAGTTTGTCAAATCCTCTTACTTTGACCGCAGAGGGAAGGTTGGATGAGTTACAGGGGAGCCGAAACGATCTTGACTCAATACCGTTTCAAGATTCTTGAGAACTTTCCCCTGTGGTTCGTCATATCCAGTCTTCGAATTCCTTGGTCTCACTTCCTAATTAGAATTTCGATTTCGAGCCGACCTTGACTTATTTTTGTTTTTTATTAGACTATCATCGCGATAAACAAACTGATATGAACTAATGATGTGTTTTCGTGTCAAAAAACATATTTTGGGTCTACTTTCAGATAGGTAAGTTGCGCGGCTCTAGAAGAAGTTATTTCGATAACTACTAAAAACAAAATCTTCAAGATTTTGATATTTTGATAAACACTTTGATCTTCTGATTCACATTGGTTACAGACCTTGTTTACAAAGCAAAGCTCTCAGAGACCAAAACGCGATCAGAGCCAAACGAAACCTATTTCCGAGCATTTTTCGACTTGAAATGTATGCTTCCCACATCATCGCTTCGTATAGTTCATTAACCGCTAGCTTTATTTATATAGTCCGTTTGCCGTGACTTCGCAGTTTTCGAATGTCTGCGTCTCTCTGTTCCCTCACCGGCGAGGTCAGAGAAATATGAAAACATCACGGCCACATGAGAGCGTCGCCGAGAGACGAAGAGGGCGCAGAGAAGTGTTGCCCTTTCAAGTCGCGAAAAACGGACTATAGAACATCCGCATATGGAACTTTTCCACGTCCAAAATATTTATTTGGGGTCTATTAAGAAGTCTCAAATAATTGAATAATAAGAGGGATGCCAATCAAAATTTTCCCAAAAAACGAAGCAGAGTCTACAACAAGCCCTGTTAAAAAAGTTTGAGAAAATAGAGAGAATTAAAAAAAACGGCGATCAGTAGTTTTTAATCAACGTCTAGATATCTGAAAGCCCTATCCGAACTGTATTTAAAATTGTTCAATTTCAAGGTGTCTTTCACGCAGACGTAAGTTTCTTAATCGTTTAGTGAATGCTCATGTAGAGTTAGAGTTTCATCTTTCCCGATTTAAGAAACCGATAACGCCCCTCATCTGGTGAGCTCATGAGGTTTCAATTGAATTAAGCCACTCAAGCCGAAAATTGCTTCTTCGAAAGTGCGCGCCAACGCGAACGCCGACGCTTTCATCCTTTTTTGGCCAAATTGGACAGCGTTTCTTCCAATTTTTTTTTTCACAACGTCTTCTATATGAAGTTAATCTGAAGATCGATCTTGATGAGTAGCTTAATTGCCCCTGGAGATGGGAAAAGCTCTTTCAGAACTTTTTCAATTTTTGTTCGTTTTGTGCTACTGATTTCAATCACTTTCTTCCAAATAAAGAGATGAAGTAATGATATAGTTTAAACGATGTATTCATACTCTCCCCCAGCTACGTTTTTGTGCTAGAAATCCAAATAAGGCAGTCTCTAGATAACTTCTTTTGGCTGTTGTCTTGAAGCTTTATTTTAAGACTTATCAACCATCGAGAATCCTTTCACCAATATTTCTGATAAAACTTTCATAGGCTAATCGAGAAAGGGTATCGCGATACCCTCTGAGGTATATCGATTGTACCTCGAGTATACCTCTGAGGGCTTTGAGTGAAATAAAATAGACTTGAGATATACTCTCAGGACCTCCGATATATCTCAGATAGAGCTAAAAGGTATGCTGGAGGTCTCACGATGGACACATCATGGGGCCTTCATGATCCATTTTGAGAGGTATCTTTGTGGACACATTATGGTCTCCTCCTGATTTTCGCCTGGGTTTAAAGTTGAATCAGCTGAAGTTGAAATGCTTCAAAAACTTTCAAAATGTTATTTTTTCAGATTTTTTTAATTGGCTTTTCATCTGTTTTCGACAATTGTTTTTGAGGGTAATGCTCCACTTCTTCTTCTCCTACTTACTCTTTAAGGATCCTTCGTACCGCTTGAGCTTTGTCGACGTCCCAAGTCGATGGGACAAGTTTTCACCCTGATATCAGTGTTATTTAGTGGACAGGCTCTAGTGACATACCCGTCCTTGTATGTAACAGCTTAGGATTATTAAATTGTTCTTTCCTATTACCAAAATGTCTGAACCCCTTGGTTGCGTTGATGCGGGGATCGAACTTGTAACCCTTTGGTCGGGCCTGTGTCGCTACTGCTCCCCGCAGTGTTCTCCTCCACTACTTCCTCTATTCGAATGCTTCTTTTTCCAATTTTGATACACGTCAAATATATTGCTTTTTGCAGACAGAACTAACGGGTGGACAACTACGGCATGGCGGGCGCTAACATGTACCGCGTCGGCGGTCTGTTTTTTTTTTTCGTACATTCTTGCGGAATCTGCCTCTGACGATGAATTTTTCAGACTTCGTCTACTTCGAAGAGTCTTCCGACGCACCTTATCAAATAAGACGAATTGAAGAACTCAATAAGGTAATTTTTGCCGGTTGCAGATTTCTCAATCTAGTTTTTTCTTCTTGCAGACACAGTCGGGAGTGGAAGCGCGCGTTGTGCTTTATCACAGACGTCGCGATATCTCCCCAGCTCTTCTCAAAATTTCCGATCAGGCCGTCAGGAGATTTGATAACTGTTCGTTTTTTTTATCAAAGTTTGAAAAATCCACGTAATAATTTGATAAGTTTTTAAACAGAATTACCCGAATATGTCGAAATAGTTCAACCTTCTCCACTTTTTATCCCTCTTTTTCCCACATTTTTCTTATTTTCTTCTCAGCGCTATATAATTTATTTCAGATTATGAAGTCGACAAGAAGAAACCAGAAAACTTTAGCGACGCATCTGGCTTTATATTAAGTGAACCAAACGGATCCGAGACGAAGCCAGAAGGTACTATTTGGGACTCATCCCGTCGTCTAGCGAGTAAATGATTCAGAAGACGAGAAGGAGGGAGAAAAAGCGGAAGAAGCGACTGAAGAAAGCACGAAAAAGGCTGACTGGGGCAACGGCGGGCTTCCTCTCGGGGCAGAGAACATCGGCGAAGAAGCGCGGTTTCGTCTCCGGTATCCTCCGAATATCCTTCAGCTCTACTTCCCGCTTTAGGCAACACGAGCTTTTCTTGTCGCGCCAAGTAGAAATCATGCCTGCTTCGCAGATTCGCGGAAAATGCCGCGTCATGCTGCTCAGCGAGGCCGAGGACGTCGACAGTTACACGTCTGATGTCAGTTGTTCAAAATTGTGTTCTTGAAGGGAACTGGAGTATTCAGTTTTATGAAACTATGGAAGCCTTTTTTTGGGACAGAAAATGAATTTATCAAATTTCCAATAAGTGTGTTGAAAAGTTTCTATGAAGTCCAGTTTGTGATCTCAATTTTTTTTTTCAAGTCAAGAGAAGTTGTAGGATTTTCAAACTTAAGTTGAGGCCGAAAAAATATTGAGCTTTTCTTTTTTCTCCTATGATTTTTTTTAAAGTTTTCGTCACACGAAAAATAGTCGCGGCCAGTTTTTGCTCCAGCAAACTTGTAGAAACGTACATTCAAAGAACACAGGTTGAAAAGTTTTTTTGTTTTTCTGATAAAGTTCACAGCCGAAAATCGAGTAAGGAATCGGTAAAAAAAGCAGATTTCAGCTTAAGTTGGATATTAAAGCGAAAAGCCACCCTGGAAACAAAAAAAAAAGTTAAAGACTCAGTTTTTCGCAGAACAATTGCTAATTCCTAAGAGTTTCCAGGACCTCTTTTTCTATTCGCTGGTTTACGACCCGAATCACATGACTTTGTTGGCGGACAAGGGCGCGATCCGTGTTGGCGACAAGTTCCAGGCTGTCGTAGAAAATGACGACGAGAATGACGAGGCCATGGCATCTCAAACGAAGAACGATGTCCCTGAAATGGAAATAGATGAGGACGAGGACAACGAGAACGGGTTCGTCCAGAGACTTTCCATTTCACAAATTTTTCGGAGTCCCTCACTTTTGCTCTTTTCGAAATATCTCAGTCAAAAAAGTAAACGGGGATTATATTCAATTTTTACCAATTATAAAACAAAAAAGTTCAATCTCACATATCGGTATCGACAAACAGATCTGGTCCTTGAAGGTTGAAAATCGATGAGGAAGAAGACGTGAAGCCAAAAACGTCGTCCGAAAAAAAAAGTGCCGAAGAAGAAGAAGATCGAGATGTTCTAGTGTTCAAATCGGACAATGGCCTCACGGATCGCGACATCGATCAGTTCATTATCCTCGCAAGGTTATTTACGTTTTTAGAAATGGCGATATCGCGAACTTCTTGGCGCAAATATTCCACTAACATATCTTTTTTTTTTTTAATTTTCATGTTTCTCAGTTTCAAAGAAAGAACCTTATTTCAGGTTAGGTGCAAAATCTTAGAGCATTAATAACGAAATGAGTAGTTTTAGCTGTTTCGGTGCATATTGAACTTTGAAAGTAAGTTTTTTTATTGAAATGTTTTCAAATTTTGTTACTTAAAGTTTTTTTTTCCTCTTTTTCTTTTCATTTCATCTGGAAAAAAAACTGTTTGAGAAATGAGCAAGCTTTCGCGAAAAAGTTATCTGCTGGGGTTTCTTTGGAATTATCTCATTTCTACCACCCGAGTGGTCGGTCTTCATTTCCGCTCTCTCCTGAGATTTAATCCGACGCCCGTCAGCCCTGGACAAGCTGGGCGCCGTACTGTTCCTACATGGAGAAGCAGTGATCGTCGGAAACGCTCGAAAACCGTCTACTACAATCACAAGAAAAGCGAGATGCTCTACGCGCCGTCTACGCTTGATCAACGACAGTTTCGCAAACCGACGAACAACTCTTCAACTATTCCATGATTCAGCAGAGTACCTTCTCTGAAGACTGAATAAAAGTTTCAAAATTTCTTTGAATATATCTTTGGTGTAAAGAATTTCGAAAATTAGTAAAAACTAACCTCAGCAGAAAACTTGAATTTTGTTCAAAGGTAGACCTTGTTCCATTTGGCCCCTCTCAGTTGCATTGATTCGAGCTAACTTTTGGTGTTTTCCGAGCAGAACTTTCCGAAGTAGAGACGCTTCAGGTCTGTGGGCGTCTTCGCGCGGTCGATGGACGTGTCCTCCTCGGCGAAGCTTCCGTCGCTGCACATGACAGTGGCGTGTGCCTCGCGCGACATCACGTTGCTGCACGCGATCGCGCTCCTCCACCAGGCCGACTACGACTTCGGTCGCGCCGTCAAGTTCCTCGTGCCGCCGCCCAACCGACAGCTTTATCCTCTCGACATCGACAAGGCGACCGGCTCCCGCACCACCAGCCTCGGCGGTCCTTTGCTCTGTCGCGACCAGATGGAGGAGTGGTCAGCGCCTGAGGCGAATCTCTTCGAGGAAGCCTTGGACAAGTACGGCAAGGACTTCAACGACATTCGCGCTGATTATGTTCGTTTTCTCTCTTTTTCAGTTAGACGTTTCATTTAATCAAGTATGCTAGCGATAATGCCCGTAAAAGGGTGAGTTTTGAAATTAAAAAAAAAAGATTGTTTTTGACAGCATTTCCGAGCAGTAAATGAGAACGATTAAAGACATTAGAGGGAGCTCCAATTGGATCTAACTTTGATATTTGACAGCGGTCATTCATTTAGAATCAAATGGGTTTGGGAAGCTTTTTTTTTGATTCGGAAAAAAAATGATGAAATTAGTCATTGAAGTACAAAGTAAGGTTTTTTTTGGACAGCGTGCTCTGATTACCTTCCCGTGACCTAAACATGAATTTTGAGTTGCCTTGGAAATCGATGCGCGACATCGTCGAGTACTATTACCAGTACAAGGCTTCCAATCGCTACGCTGACCACAAAAAGAAAAAACAAGCGGACGCCGACAGCAAGCTCAAACAGGTGAATTTCTTTCCTCCGAGGAAGTTCATCGAGTTCTCCGTTTGCAGGTGTACATCCCGAGCTTCTCGAAGCCTTCTCCCAACATTATAGGCCAACTCAATCAGTCTATAAATACAGTGAAGAGCTCGGTTTCCTGTGAGAATTGCAAGGTTTGAATGTCAATCATAGCTTCTTTTCTTTTTTTTTGGTTTTTATCATTTTACTTTCACTTGAGTTCTTCTCTCCACATTACCGAGGTGGTTAAGTTAAGGTAATCTTTGGTTATGAAATTAGGTTTGAACGTCTTTTTCCGAGTTTAAAGGTTACTGTTTTCTAGTGAATTGAGAAAGCTTTTCCTTTTTAATATGCTTTTTCGTTTTCGAAGTGTTTCATCCTCTTCAAATAACTGTCTCATGCATCTGCCCCCTAAAATCGAGTTTCAAACCAATTTTCGAAAAATAATCCTCATCAATGAGCTTTTTCGGGCTGTCTAGATTTGTTTTGCTCAGACGACAGAGTCGACCAACTGGTACTCGTGGGGTCCTTCGTCGGCCCAGCTGCGTCTTTGTCAATCTTGCTGGGTGTCGTGGAAAAAGAACGGCGGACTCCAGAGAAAACACGAACACGGTAATTTTTTTCCCGCCTCACAAACCAGTAGCAAAAATTTTTTCAGATTTGTACGACAAAAGTATTGCCAAGACTATCAACAACGGAGCTGCAGCTTCGGAGTCTCGTCCAGCTCCTCCACTCATTTCGGTTTCATCTTTTTGAAACTTTTTTTGAAGAAAAACAGAACTAATCTCGTTTGAATCCTGATTATTTTTCTTTTTCTTTTTCTCTTTAATTCACTTTGGATGAGTTTGAAGTTTCCTCAACTAAAAGTTGTAGGTTAACTCGTGCGAAATTTTTAGCCGTTTTCACAATTGAAAGACGTCCTTAAATTAGTTGATATTATACTTTTTTCACTTTCATTTGCTTAATTTTATCTCAAAATTTCACTTACAGCTCCATGAGCACGCACTATTTTTCAAATTAAATGTACTGCTTCTCTCTCAGTTTTTTTTATCTGGATGAGAGTGTGTGGTTTGAGATGAAGCCGATAGCGTCGAACGTGGCCCAAGTGGTGGCCCAACTTCCGGCCAACCATCCGCTGGTCCTCGCTTCGCGCCAGCAGCAAGCCGCCCAGAAAGCCTCGTCTAGCTTCAGTTTTGCCGCCATCGCTGGCCTCACTCCTCAAGCTCTCGCCAAGGTATTCATAAGCTCTGTCATAAACCGAGATTCGCTCAAAGTTCAGTTTGAAGCCGATTTTCAATGTGGGCTGTAGGGTTTCCGTATTACAATTGAAAGAAGTTGAATTTTGAATTAAATATCATTGTGGAAAACTGGCAAACTGAATAAAAACTATTAAAAATTACAAAATTACAGTTTTTAAAATTGGAACTTTCAGTAGCGTTCGTGCGTCAGAAGTTAAAATTGATGAGCGAGACAAATTGAATTTGAAAAAAAAAAAACGAACGCACGGAAAGGAGACTTTCAAATGCCTAGTATTCTGAAAAATTCGGAGTGTGGAAAAAAATCATTCGATAATTCCAGTGAAAAAGTTTAAAAATTTTTTTAATGTGATAAATTCTAGGAATAACTTGGAATAGAAGGAAAAAGGAAACATTTGGGAAGATTTCAATAACTTTCGGATTTACAGCTGCAACAGGCAGGCGGACGGCCCGGCGTCCTCTTCTACACGACCGTCTGGCGTCGTGCCATCAGAAGAGCCTTGCCGCGAAACGTGCTCAACATCCGACGGCTGTCGCGACGTCCGTTCCTCTCCATCGACAACGATGCCATCGCTCGAGCTAGTTAGTTTACTGGCTCATTCTACCTGAGCATCTTACTCTCTTTCAGCTGCAACCCTCGACAAAACGACGCTCCTCACAACAGCTAAGGGCCTTCAGATGTCGAATTTCAACGACGCCAAGTTCATCCAGGGGCTCTACCAAATGCAATGTGTCAGTACCTCCGTCAAATCGTCTTGGTTAGAAAGCTATCTTCCAGGCATTTTCCGCCCAAAGCATGAAGCGATCGTCGACGACTCTCGGAGCTCATCCCGGTGAGCCGCACTCAAAGCAACAAAAGGTTCGTTGTGTTCAGTTTCTTCTCTCTGTGTTAATGTCTAAGCGTGTTCTGTTTTACTGGGAACAGTCCTAACGCAGGCTGAAATGAAACTGATGATTTTTCGTGTTTTTTGGTTGATTTTTTTGTTTTTTTATACAGTTCATTAACACATTTTCATTTATACACAAACTACCATTGTATCATTGCAATAATAATGTTTTCCCCAAGTCTTTGAAAATGTTATCATTTGTGCGCTTAGCTGTACTAAAGTCAGTCCTAGCATGCGTCTCGCGTTTTCTCATCGCTTTGGTCCTGACTAATCCTCGCTGACTGTGCTTCTCTCTGAAAAGTGTGCTTTGCAAGACGGAGAAACTGGTCTGGTGAATGGTATTTCCAGCAAGCGGGAGCCAAATTGGTCTTGAAAACTCGCATCCCTCCGTCGACGTTCAAAACGCCGATCGGCGTTAGCACGCCTGTCGTCGGCTCCCTTCATCTCGGCAACTCGGCGGCACAGCATCAGTTGTTCACCAACATGGCGTTGCCGATTGCAACGGCGGCCGCCAAGATGAACGCGCCGCAGTCGCGGATCGACGACGGTGTCACGCCTTCCGACGGTTCTCTTCTGATGTCGGCCACAACTTCACAGAACAATGTCGAGAGCCGCAAGATTCCTGTACCAAGTCATCCCCCCAGTGACTCAAAATGGTCCTACATTTCTGAAGATGTGTTCTTGTATCTTGGTGGCCGCCGTTTGAAGTAAGAACTGAGATTATTCACTTCACGAAATAGACGATCAAATTCTTTGATATATTAAATTACATTTCTTCAAGAGTTTCACGAGCCTTTAGTTTTGAAATAAGGACCTTTCAGAGTGAGCTCTTCTTGACTTTTTTTCAGCAGAAAAGCGTCCGTTTCATAAGAAAAATTTAGAAATTTATTCAAGTTCATTTTTTTTCAGGATCATGGCCACAGTTCAAAAATTCAAGTTCAGAGGAAAGAGGCTTTTCAGCCAGAAAACTAAAGAAGCTGCCCAAAGTGGAAAAAAGAGCTGGTCCATCAAAGTAGAACCGCAAAATCTTCAGCTTTAATTTTTCCAGCCCAGTAGTTATAGTCATTTCGCCTGGACTGTAAGAAAACTGTTTATTCGAGATTTCACCTCCATGATTTTATTTGAATGAGAATTATGTTTCAGAGCTAGGCGCAACGAGTTGCTGCCTCGCGAAAGCCCCATCCGTCGCGCCGCCCGTCGACCAACTCGTCGCTGGCCTTTTATGGATGAGATTCTACCTTTAATTGAATCATGTTTCAATCCGGCCGCCCTAAATTATTTAAGATGAATTGTCCTTTTTGTTTTTCCAATGAGAAGTTTCATTTTCCACTCTAATCTTTGAAATCGTCACACCATGTATTTAAAATTTCAATACTCATGTTTGTTTGTTGATTGTATAGCAATTCGATTTACTGCAAAACAGTGCTGGAAAATTCCATTTGATCTATCAACGTCGCATATGTTATTCTTGTTATGTGTGCTCTCATGTGCTTTTTTTTCTCTCATGTCAATTACATTTTTTTTATAATTTCTTACTTTGTAAGCGTATTTTCAAGCAAAATGAATCTTGATATGAAGACTTTAAACCAAAATACAAAAAATTATTGACTCAACTCTTTTTTTGTATCTGTAATTAGAGTTGAGTATATCTCAATTTGAAGAAAAAGGAAAATTTAGATTGTTGATATATTTGATTAACCTAACTTACTTGAATATTCTAACATTCTTTTTTTTTTAATTCCCTTAATATGAACATATCCCCTGGTTGAAGTTACGAAAAGTAGAACCTTATTGATAGACCAAACATTTGGATTTTTCTTCATACGGAAAAATCTCTTCAGTTTCTTTTTTAGGTCTTGTAAAAAGTTTCCCTCACCACTCTGTCCTTTTTTCATTCTCGTGTCTCATCAAAATTTTTCAATGTCTTCAACATTTTTCTTGCGCTTTGATTTTTTAATAATAATATGAATAGTTTTTCGGGCGTTACTGAAGCGAAAACACCCGCGGCAACGTGCCGCAGGCGGTAGCCGAGTAGCAAGCGTAACAGTGTTGGGATATCTCGTGCAGACTGCCTTGATGTTCTGAAAGACCATGGTTTTTTGATGCCTCGAAACGTGTCAGGGAGGAAAATAGTGATAAAGAAACCTTGTATGGATTAACGCGTGCTTCAGTGGACTTCTTGATCGAGCAGGCTGGAGGGCGACGCCATCTTCCCTTCCGCAGGCTGCACCTTGGCGATCTCTTCCATCACCGGCACAGGTCCGCTGCGAAATGGAATATCTAGAATACCAGTGAGAAGAAAGTTCTAACCTCGAGGGGGCGGGACCAGTGTTATGTGGGAAGATACGGACTGGCGGCTCATTCGGAGAGTTGTCGTTGCTGGCGAAGGCGGCGAAGCGTTGGGTTCCGATGCAGGCGGCCAGGGTAGGAATCATCAGAGAGATGGCCAGAAGCACGGCTCCCGACGCGAACAGACAGAATCCTACAAATTTGTCTTTTCGTTCGGAGAGTCTCTCAACTCTGCTAACAAGGAAAAAGAAAGTAGAGAAATCTAGGAACGGAATTAATCATAATAGGTGTAAGTCTTTTTTCCCTTGATGATAGCAAAAAAAAAAATTCTGGTTGAGGTTTAGTCGAGTGCAAAAATTTTCTGTTATCTGAGTTATATGGAGCTTTTGAATTTTGAGATGTTAAGGGAAATAAGTAAGGACAACTCTGTTTTCAATTATCGGCTCACTCGTCGATTATCGGCTCACATTGGTCAATTATCGGCTCACATTGGTAAGATAAACAGTTTTAAACTTGAAAATGTTCATTAAAGTGTGAAAAAAATACATTTCAATTATGCCTTCAAGACCTTCCGAGGGAGATTGCTTCTTCACGGTTTTCAATCCCACTCGAAAAGAAGCCTTGCTCTTCGAAAAAATGTATAATCATCCAGGACATTTTAAACCCTACAATTGCGCTCCAGCAACATCTCATCAATGATTCACCTCTCTCCAAAATGCTTTTGAAACTCTAGAAAGAAGTTTGTTAGAGTGTAATTTTGTGGATATCTAAACGAGCCGCGCATTAGGTTTCCGGCAAACCTGAAGTTTTCCAGTAGCGCATCGGGTCTTGGAGCATCAGTTTAAGTTTATCCGTTGGCATGTAGAGTCCTCCTTGTTCGTCCTATAACAAGGCAGAGATCAAAAAAGTGCGAAATTATCAACAACTGATATGGACTTTTATCTCATTTCATCCCGTCGTCTAGTCGGTCTCATTGCCACTCACTCATGGGATAATATTCTGGTGCCCGTCGGCCCTGGACAAGCTGGACGCTGTACTGTTCCAACATGGTGAAGCAGTTTATTCGCTGGTACTACCAACGGGCCCACATTATTCCCCAACGCTAGCTGTCACTCCGGGACTTATTGGACAAAGATTGTGGACCGTAACCCGCGCCGAGACTAACTCTTCGATTATACCATGATTCAGCAGAGATTTTTTCTACATCTTACTCTGAAGACTAAATAAATTGAGATTGATATGGACTTTCTCCAAAACTCTTTTTCCAACTCAACATTACAAGTTCCAAAAATTTTCAGAAAGGCTGCTATAATGTTCTCAGACTTTCAAGAATTTACAAAAAAATTTCAGGACCTTACATTTGCAACAAAGAATTTAAGTTCGAAAAAGAAAGAATACGGTGGTCACTTTTAATAAGAATAACTTAGTACTTGAAGTTCGAAACAACAATTAACAGTCCAGACTACCCAAGATTTTAGTTAAAATGCAAATATAATTACAGGGTGGCTCAAAATTACCCGCACAAAAGTTTGACGCTATACAGCAAGGCGAAAACGCAATTCTGTTGCTCGTAATACATAAAATTTTGATTAATTGTATGTTTTTTACTATTTTGCCAAAATTCAGATCAATCGGTTCTGTTTTCGGTAAATGGCACCACTAAATCCACATCGCTCTTCGATTCTGCACCTTTTCAAAGCAAGATTCGCTCCGGTTGACATCATTAAACGGCTCGCAGTCCCAAGTAGAACCGTCTATGACTTGATTTTTCGTTTCCAAAAGCTCAGCAAGTTCTTGGATAGATGTGAGAGAGCAAGAAAAGCAACAGTCGTCACTCCAGATCGGATCAAAGCTGAGAAAGAGAGAACCAGAAGAAATCCACTCCGGAGCATCAGAAAGATGGCGAAAGATATGAAAATTAGTCGAAGTTTGATGGAAAGGATCCTCAAAGACAAGCTGAAGCTCATCTGTTACCATGTAAGAAAAGCAGCCATTCTCTCGGAAGCTACAACCAAGAAACGGCTCGAAAGATCAATAAAGCTCCTTCAGCGCGTGCGCTGAAGGACACTTGGTTACAGTGTTCTCTGACGAGAAGCTGATCAGGGTACAGGCCGAATTCAACCCTCAAAATCATCGAGTACTTGCTAAGACGTCTGACGAAGCTTTTGGCAACGGAAGGACCATTCATCGCTCGATGAATGGTCCTTCCGTTGTCTCACCCCGCTAGTGTGATGGTTTTCGGAGCAGAGTCTGCTGATCGCAAGACACCATTGCTATTTGTCGATCAAGAAGTAAAAATCAACAAGGAAGTCTACATTTCGGAGATTTTGGAGAAGACACTTCTTCCCTGGACTCAGAAGGACTTCAATAGACGTCACTGGATGCTCCAAGAAGACGGTGCTCCAGCACACGCAGCCAAGTTGTCGCAACAGTGGTCCGAGACCCATTTGCCTGCGTTCATCCCGAAGGACTAACGGCCACCGTTTTCACCAGACCTCAAACCTTTGGACTACTCCTTCTGGGGTTTTGCAAAACAAGGTCAACGTCAAACCCCACTCGAGTATCGAGGCCCTGAAGAAGACCCTGGTCTAGGAATGAGACACTTTGTCGCCAGATTACCTGCGTGCAACCATCGTCGCGTACCCTCGGCGTCTTCGTGCTGTCATCGCAAAGAGAGGAAGTCAAATGGAACAGGATTAGCTTATAATTGTTGTTATGATCATGAATAAACTTTTTGTTGATTCCCATGGTTTTCTGACTTTTAGTTTTTTTTATATAGCACTTATAGCTTGTGCGGGTAATTTTGAGCCACCCTGTAGAAGTACTTGAGAAACAGATTTTAAGAAGCTATCTGCAATTTTCGTATCATTTTTTAAAATTTGCAAAACTTCTTTAGTTACCAGTTCTATCGCTAAATAGAAAACGGAAGAAACTGAAACTTAAAGATGAGGGAATAAATGAAAATGATGAATCATTTCGAGAGATCATTCAAGTTTTTACAACTTGAATGTCTTCGAACTCTCTCACTCAAAAAGTTGACTGACGCTCATCCCTGATGGCTACGAACCTGGAAGATGATGAACTTGGAGATGGTCTGCTCGATCTCCTCGTGGGGCCATGTGTAGCCGACGACGATCGCGACGGCTCCACTCATCAACAACAGAAGGCCGACCACCGTGCAGACGCGGCACACGAACAGCCCTCGACGTTGTGCTGGCGGCGGCGGCAACAGGTACCTGATCATCTCCGTCTCACGTCTTCTCAACTCCACCAACCAGGTTCCGTTTTGCTCGACGTCTTCGGTGGTGGGCGTGACATAGAACTGATGCAGGTAGTTGCGGATGCCGAAGCCCTTCGGCTCGCTCACCTGCATCTTCATTTTCCTCCCGGTCATTTCATCTTTGACGAATAAAGGCATTTTCGCTTGGTTAGTTTAACAAACAAAACGGATGGGCAAAAAATAATTTCAAAATACGAAACATTTCACGAAAATAAATAGTGCCATTCGACTACATAGAAATAGTTTCCTTTTTTCAAGCCTCTTTTCGAGAATAATCTGTTGTCTATTTCTAACAAGGAGTTCATTTTCAAATGAATTGTTCTTCTTTTCTTTTTATCGTTAACAGAATAATTTGAGCCAGCGAGGTTCTTTGAGACGAAGTGAACGAACCTCATCGACAAGAGCGGTAGGCTTTCCCTGCGGAGAAAGCTTCTCCTTCTTGTTGTTGCTACCCAACCGGAACCCCGTCATTCCATAGAAGGGGCTGAAAATCGTCGTCGTAAAACTCAAAGAATGTGGTGAAAACCCTTGAGACGAACCAAATTAAATTTTTTTTTTCGAACTTCTGAACTGTTTTGGAAAAAGATGAAAAGAGCAATACTTCCATGAGAAAAAAAACATTGCAAGAGTTTAGAAGATGGCGTTGTTTGAAAATCGAAAACCAAAACAAATTTGAAGTTTTAGGAGAAAATAGAACGAAAAAAAATCAATTGAAAAAGCTATCACATTTTCATGTGAGGAACAGATAGACTTAGTTCAAAATGTTGAAGCTGCCTTATATTGGACTTGTTAGGTAGAGAGCGGTTTTCTTCCTGGAGCAACGTGGAAAAAAATTAAAGTTTTCTGAGGATTTTGAAATGCAGGAAACACTGAATAATGAAAAATGAATTGAAGATGACTCCAAACAACTAAACTTCTGATAATTGAGCTGCTCACCTAATCTTAGACCTACCCGCATGAAAAAAAAAGAGCCGAGGGCGGCGCGGCGGCTCCGCGAGCCCGATCGATGTGCACTCGGCTCCTGGAAACGTCAAAACAAGCGCTTTCAATCTATATAGCCTACATTCCTCATTAATCCACTCATCCTGATAGTGAGGGAAAGAAAAACTCTCTTTTCCCAGGTAAAATTGAAACTTGGAAAAATAAGTTCTTGGTATTATCATCACTGGAAAACGGAGGCTTTCTTTTTTCAATTCATGCGACTTCAGTGAGATGACTCAAACAAACGTTGAGGACAACAGATTTTTATCAAAATTTAACAACGTGAATCAACCATATAACAAGGGAATAGGCCTAAAAAATCAACAAATGTGTGGTCTAATCATTATTAACAAGAAGGACGCCAGTTTTGAAGAGTAACTGCAAAGCTGCAACAACACTCTTTCGAGGGACATCCTGTTAAGCCAAAAACTTAGGCGAACACCAATAAAATCAAAACCTTTGTCTTCTTCGCATTTAAGATCTTGTCTATGGTGCGCCACTCCGGATAGGCGTTGGCGAGCAGAGCAAAGACAGGCTCAGACTGAAAATCAGGTCGTTATCGGGCCAGGAACGGGAAGATCTTACATTGATAGGGTATTCGACGACGCTTTCAGAACGACCTTCGAAGACGCGTGAGTTGGAGACGCGATGCGCGATGAAGCACTTTTCTTCGGACTCGAAAATCAGCCTGCAACATTATAAATGACGCTACGGAGAGAGACTGGAAGTAAATAATATATAATTTCTCGAATTGTTAGGCGCAGACTTGTTCTGCGCCATTTGGGTTTTAATTTCCTCTCTTTCGGTTAAAAATGAAAAAAAAAGCTTCAAAACTCAATCATAGAAATTCACTAAAAAAGCATGAGCTAGTTTTTGTTCATATAGTTTTCATTTTTTTAAGTTCAGTTTAGATAGCTTTCGACTAGATCTTCTCGATCTCCACACCCTACAAGTCTAATAATCAGTCATGCAACTCTTTCTGAACGAGTAGAACAAATCATGAGAGCTATTCGAATGGAATGTAATATGTTTCTTTTTGATTGGAAAAGGGGCTGTTGAGCGAAAGAGAAAGGGACCTCTGAGTGTGTCTCCGCAACAGTCGGACTTGAGTCTTGGCGCTGAACTCGACCAAATCTTCGTCAAGGAGATTCAGTCCAGACCCCACCACGCTGTATTTCTTCTCTTCTACAAAAATTTGTCAAATGAAACGGACAATGGAGATAGACCCTCGGTCAAACGCGGCGGCAGCGCTTGTTTGAAAAAGTCCTTGGCCATGGAGTCAAGTCCGCTCTCCAGCAAGTGCTTAGACACAAAGTTGCGGAACATACTCAGGTGACGATCCACTGGAACAGCGAATCTGCAGAAAAACACATCGATTGCAATGTCGATTTAAAAAAACGGACTTTTCATAGAAGTTATCCACGAGAGGATAGTTCAGATTAGCGACGCCGCTCATGTCAAGATATCCAACCGGTAGACCTCTTCTTATTTTCGGACGAGAAGCAGCGAAAGCCGTCAAAACATCCGGAATCTTCAAGACTTCGTTAGAAAAAAAAGTCCTGAGAGCAACTTACAAATTTCTCAAACATGTCGGCAAACGACCAACGACGGCCGGTCGAAACAGTAACGTGTAGAGAATGAACGTCGTCAGCAGCCCGAGCCTGAATAACATATTCGGAGATAGTCAACAGAAACCCAAACTTGGTGGATGAATCCACGTGGGATGTACAAGAAATCGCCGGCTTCTATCCATCCTTCATACACAGGCTTCCTTCCTTTCATGTCCTCCTCTGTGAAGTTTCCTGAACGTCTTGCTCATCTTCTCATTAACAGCTTCAAGAATTAACTATTCACTGTTTTTCAATCCTTTTTTTTTCGCTTTCACAGACTTATTGTTTTATTCTATTTTTCCCATCTTGGAAACTTTTAATACTTGACTGTTTGAAATTCAAGCTTTTTTTTGGATGAAACAGAAAACATAAGAAAAAAATTTTCATTTCAAGCTACCCTCTTACGTGATGTTTGCATAAATTTTTCATCGGAAACTTTTAAAAACCCCCTTTTTTTCAGCGTTCAAGTTTTTAAAACAATGACACACCACTGGATTCGAGCGGCAATTCGTCGGAAAGATCTTCGGGAGCCCAGATTCGCCAGTACTTCTTGCCTTCGATCTGCAGAAGAAAAGCGTCGATTTCATCCCAATGCGGTGCGAATCCGGAACTTCCGGCCGGTGTCAAGTACCTAAATGTAACTCGAACATTGGGTCTAATCATCGTTTCCACAGACGTGTTCGCTCCAACAAAACATCCGAACATCTCTTGCAACACTTCACACAAATACCAAAGTCGGTCGTCGAAAGCTTGCGGGTTCACCAACTGGATAGATCTTTTCAGCTGTAAACTTTGATTCAGGAAGTCTGCGATATTTAGTTTTTCTATGACACTGAAGAAATGATGCTAATTTCACGGAAAACCAACCGCCAAATGCTGCTTCACTTCATGTGGATAAACGCGGCCTTCGCCGTTCATAGTTTTTCGAACGCCTTCGTTGTAATCCGCAACATTTATGTTAGTAGTGTACTCCAAATGATTCTGGCAACCAATTTTTCTGTTTTCAAAATTTTTTTAAAAAGCACCTCTTCCAAAAGTTTTACAAGTCGCTGTGTGGAGAAAAGGTTACCATAGTAGTGAGGACTACTCCGCTTGATCATCAGAGTGCAATATTGGAAGAACTGGCTGGAAAAGAATGAATAAGGGAAGATCTGAGGGTAGAAAAGAAACTCGAAGAATGTTTGGACGTCGCACGAGTGAATGAGCCAGGCAAAGGCGCGATTAGCCATCACAACCGAATTTTCGTCATGGAATGGTGAACCGTCAAAGTCCAACTTGCCCAAATTTTTCAAAGAAGCCACTTTTTTTGATGATGCTTTAGAGTTCTTTTCTTTCGGGATCTGGAAATGAAGAGGCTTCTAAAAGTAACTGACATGAGAAAAACAAGGTATTTTCAATATTCATAGGGTTGAAATAGGTCTACTAGAAACTATTCCCTTTTTTTAGAAAATAAAAAAATTTGTTCGAAAAAAATCATTTTTCTCCTTTCTACGCCTTTGTACCGCTTGAACGGCGTCGGCGCATCAAGTCGATCATCCGAAGTCCTATCCCGATATCAGTGATAATCAGCGGGCTGGCTCGAGTGACTTATCCGTTCCTGTGTGTGACGACTGTGGGTTTTGAAGTCGTGGTTTCGCACTACCAAAATTTCTTAAACGGGTTGGGTCGACGCGGGGGTCGAACTTGTGACCCTGTGGACCGTAGGCAGACACACAACCTGTTGCGCTACGGCGCGCATCTTTTTTTTCGTCGTCAGTTACATTTTCATTTTTCAAATAAACTTCAAAACAAAGTTACACATCTACTTGAGAGTGAAAGCGGCGAACGCCGGATACTTTTTTTGTTCCTATTGAATTTCGAAAATGTGAGGTCTCGCTCTACCATTTTCATGAGATGCATTAGATCAAATATATTTTATACATTGACATTTTTCCCTCATGTTTTAATTATAGTCTGTTCGGATTTTAAATGTCCACCAAATAACTCCGCCCTTGCCGCCACAGTATCTTTTCGCGTCGATTTTTTATCGCGCGGGACTTTTGATCTTGTTTGTTCTAAAAGATAGGAAAAGAAGTCAAAAAAGGCAGTCATATTAAAGGTTCATCGTCATCTTGAGATCAAACATTGATGCGAAAGATATTGTAGCCTTGGGGGCGGAGTAAGCTGCTTGACATTGAACAGACTATAAAATTTCTTTTTTTTTACCCATCTTCTGTTATGAGGGTTATTGATTTACCTGAAGAACAACACTTTCTCGACGGAAACCCCCAGTGAAAGTCTCTTCGTCGGAAGATGCATCTTGGTCGCTCACTTCGGATTCTTCGTCGTCAATTTCTTCATCAGAAACTTCTTCGCCTTCTGAACTTTTTTGAAAGTCACCAAGGAACCGGGAGAAGAGAACCTTCGTCTTCGGAAATCTCTTCACCGTCTACGTCCACCACTTCTTGAATGTCTTCCGGATTTAACACGAACCCATTATTCATGTCGGACATTTCAAAATCCTCCTGAAACTTTTCAAATGCATAAATGCAGCCCGTTTCCAACCTCTTCCTCTTCTTCCTCCTCATCGAAAGAGTCTTCTTCATCCAATTCTAAAAAAAAAGAAGTAGTTTCAAAACAGGGCGACTAAAACCTTCAAATTCCTCCTCATCCAACTCATCGTCGCTCTCCAAGCCAATCATTTCGTCAACTTTTACTTCAATATAAATTCAGTTACTCTTCAAACGGGAGTTCAACGAACGGCTAGTCGGCTTGGAAGTCAGCATAGTTAGCGTGTCATCGGGCTCTTCTACGTAGAAACTGCGAGAATCCAAGCTATCAGCTTCTTCTTTTGAAATAAACGTTTTTTTTACAAATGTCATATAAAAAATGAACCTTCTTGGAGTCTTTTTCCATTGAGCTTCGACATTTTCGCAGATTTTCCGCGAGCTGAAAACCGAGATAACCATCCATATTGACTTCGCAACTGACCCATTCTCTTTTCAGCCTTTTCTTCTTGATGTTTTTCGAGGTTCGCTTGGCTGGAACTTCTCTTGTTGCCTACTCTTTGAAGAGTAGTCGTTGTGGAGTTCATCAAAACGTGTGAAACACCTAGTCCGTCACTTGAACGCTTTTTCTTCCCTTTGAACTGCAACTCATTTTTTTTTCAAAAAAATTCAAAACCCCGGTTTTTAACTACGATTTTTTTTTGCGAAATCTCTGACAAAAATCTAACGCACTGAGAAATTTTTACTTTTTAAAGTTAAACTTTTGAAAAAGCCTCGAAAGATGAGTTTTTTGGAATTGTATTTTCTTTGCTTTTCTTTTGTCTTCGAAAAAAATTCGAACTACATGCGAAGATTTTACCTTTTCATAATTTTTGACTTTGTTTTGCACGACGTTGCTGCTCTTGAAATGTACTGCGTCTGAAAGTTTCAAACAGAAGTCGTCAAGCAATTTTTTTTTTTTGTGAAACTCACGTGCGCTCTCAGCAGTTCCGTTTTCAATCGCTGACCACTTGTCCACAACTTTCTCAATCTCCAGCGTTTCAGCGATAGAATCTTTAGCTATCAAATGTTTTTTGAAGCCTTTTTTTCCCATCTGTGTTGAAAATTCATACATCAATCATCATTTCTCCGCTTTGAATTTTTTAAGTGCAAGTTGCACCATCAAATCAACAGAAGAAGGCTTGTGAGCCGCACTTTTCAAAATATTGAGGATTTGAAGGGAACACAAAGCCAAGATAACACATCAGAGACTTCGATTGACACGATTTATTCAAATAAGATTGCGGTATAGTAGTTGTACACGGAAAATAACTTAAAACCACGGGTGAATGAGAGCCAAAACACACATTACAAGTAAAGTTCTTCGGGTGCACCTTCTTTTTTACGATACAGGACATTTTCTTTGGATTTCTTGAAGTCCTCCATCGTCACACGCATTCTCCGCTCTCGGAGCGCCAAAAGACCGGCTTCGGTGCACATGGCCTGCAACTTTGTTTCAAGAAAAGTTATTCCCTGTTATCACCTTGATGTCAGCACCACTGAGCTCATCTTTGGCTGTGATGAAGTCTTCAAGATTGACATCATCTCCCAGTGTCATACGTGAAGTATGGATCTTCAAAGAGAGTGGATTAAACCAGAAAATTATAATTTAAAAGCAACCTGGAAAATTCGGCGTTTAGTTTTCTCATCTGGCAGAGGGAATTCAATTTTCCTGTCGATTCGACCAGGGCGGATCAAGGCAGGATCAAGCGACTCGATTCTGTTCGTCGCCATGAGAACCTAAACCGATTATTAAAAGTTCAGCAAAAAAAATTACCTTGACATCTCCACGAGAATCGAAACCGTCGAGTTGATTCAAAAGTTCAAGCATGGTACGCTGAATTTCGCGTTCGCCGCCAGAGTTGGAATCGTAGCGTTTAGTTCCGACGGCATCAATTTCGTCTATGAAGACTATTGACTGAATCATTGAAGTTTATCCAAAAAATAAAGAAAAAACGCTTTCACCGGTGCATTTTCTTCCGCAACACGGAAAAGCTCGCGAACCATCTTCGGACCATCACCCAGGTATTTTTGGATCAACTCGGAGCCAACGATACGGAGGAAAGTGGCGGAAGTTTGATTAGCGACGGCTTTGGCTAATAGAGTTTTACCGGTGCCCGGGCAACCATAGAGAATGACGCCTAAAAATTCTCTACAAAATAAGAACTATCAAAACACACCTTTTGGAGGTTTGATTCCCATTTCCTCGTAGTATTCCGGATGGGTGAGTGGGAGTTCGACTGACTCTTTGATTTCTTGAATTTGTTGGTCGAGGCCACCTACATCGGCGTAAGTCTCCTGAAACACGCAACGTTATATATATATATATATAACGTTTATTCTGAAACCACTCAAAAAGTTGTGAGAACAGTGAAACGCTCAAGGGAAGTGTAATTTGGAATATCTCAAAGCTATTTCGATTGAGGAAAGATAGAGCTTTGAAAATAAATTCAATCGTCAAAAACGAAGTACCTGTGGAGCTTTTTCCAATTTCATAACAGACACCATAGGGTCAGTGTCGTCCGCCAAAACGCCAATGACAGCGTGGTTCTTGAATAGAATATTCGAAAATGGAAAAGAAAATACAGCCGAAAAACCTTGTGATTCAGAAGAACAGAGCAGCCCGGCTCAAGCTGTTCTTTATCCACAAAAGACATGATGTTGACGTAGTGCTCACTACCAACATTCTGAAAAAAAAAATAATAAATGTTAACTTTACAAAGCTCGTTTCGAAAAACTTTTCAGGCTTTAATAAACACCTTTTCTTCCAACATGTCTAAAAATCACGAAAAACCAGAAGGCGTGCTAAAAGAAACGTATTTATGAATAACATACGGTTGAAACAATAGCATGTTGATCATCGATGATCTCTTCGAGAGATCCAACGGCCATCGGAGTTCCTCTGAGCTCGTCGACTCGAGCTCTTTCTTCCTCCTGACGCTCCTCTTGTGGCTTGAGACGTTCCTGGTTTTGAATGAACTCCTGCTCCATAAGCAAGTAATCCTTGATGCGTTCGCTTTTGAGCATTTTCAGACGGCAGCGTGCGTGAGGAGTAACTGGGGAGAGAATTTTTTGATTTAAAAAAATGTGTGAGAAACTTACTTGCAGGTAACTTGCTAGCCACATCAGGCCCTCGGCTTCCCTTCTTCTTCTTACCGATTCGAGACGGTATCGGGGCTTCATACTTCTGAAAAAAAAATATTCCAAGATTTAAACTGAATGAAGTTCGAAAAAAAAAGTCACCTTCTTTTTTTCTTTATCGGCGTCGCCGCCTCCTCTTTCGTTATTCTTTCCGAATCCAGACTGCTGTTGACCCATAATAAGGCCTCTTAAAGTGATGATTTTTATGCATGGTAATGTAAAAAAAAAAACGCATGAAAATTTGTTAATCGTCCGATATAATACTTTAAAAATTTCTTTGAGCAAATGAATAAACACCTCCCAGCTAGAGAAGTAAATCAGTTCAAACGGGAAGAAAACAAAAGAGAACAAAAAAAAATGATGATATTCCGAAATCCCTATTTACGTGCAGTTTCGCAATAGAGCACACTAGCTTTCTCAACCACCCTCTTCCATCAAAGGGAGTCCAAAAAAGAAATTCAGCATCGATTTCTTTCTTTTTTTTTACGTGTTTTTGATGTATTTAATGTCGTTTTTGTGAATGCGTATGAATAAGCTCGGAAACGAGGCATAATAGCCACGCCTGTTCAAGGCCGCCAACCGTATTACGGTAGTTTAGATAGGTTTTCCGGTAATAAGATAAAACTTGTGTACTTCATGTGACGTAACTTATCTTGTAACTACGAGGAAAAGATCCTTAACAAGTTGCAAAAACAAAAAAAAAATCTCCTGGCCTCGAAATTGACTTCGTCGTATTGACCGGTCCCTCTAGCACTGTCTTAAACATACTTAATTTTTAATCGCCGGGAAAAACTAGCGAGAAATTTTTTTCCTTCAAAAATTAATTCGAGTTTCTGGTTACTTCTATTCCTGTTTTTTTGTAAAAACACATTTTTTTTCAGAGAGAAAAAAATGATGCAGTATATGTTACTTTTTAGTCGGCAAGGTAAGTTGCGCCTACAGAAATGGTACACAGCTTTTTCAGATAAGGTTGGTTTTTTATGAATATTTTAAACCGTATTCACATATTTTTTTAGCAAAAGAAGAAGATTTGTCGCGAGCTCATAACTCAAATCCTTGCTAGGAAACCGAAGATGTGTGCTTTCCTCGAATATAAAGATACTAAAGTGGTATACAAAAGGTAGGTGTCTATCGCGAACCCTTTCTGTATGAAAAAGTTTCGAAAACTTTGGAAAAGTCGATTCTTTATTCAAGCCAATTCGAAAAAGATGTTCTTTCTTAAAAATTTCGTAGACTGAAGCAAGCATTTTTTAAAGTTAATCGAAAGTTCCCAGGTATGCTTCGCTGTATTTCTGCTGCGCAGTTGAAGAGAACGACAATGAACTGATCACTCTCGAAGTGATCCACCGATATGTCGAACTCCTCGACAAGTACTTCGGAAGCGTATGTTCCGATCCAAGTTTAAGTAGCTCTTGTTCATCAGGTCTGCGAACTCGATATTATTTTCAACTTCGAAAAGGCTTACTTCATTCTTGACGAATTCCTTTTGGCTGGTGAGATACAGGTGAAGAGTTAGGTTTTTCATTATAAAAAAACTAGATGATTTCTATGAATCAGGGAACATCGGAACGTTTAATCAATTAAAATTGTGCTCGAGTGAAATCAAATAAAAAAATTTTCAGACTAACTTTAAATTGGTTCGTTTTTTTCAAATTTTTAGACCTACTATATATATATAGGAATTTTTGCACGGGACCTACTTTTTTTCAGTCGTCCAATCGTTTCTCTCTTTGTTCATAAACTTGTAATAGCATAGCAAGAAACTTTGAAAAGAATACATTGCTTTCTTATTATTGGAATTATGTTGCAGGAAACCAGTAAAAAGCAAGTTTTAAAAGCGATCGCTGCTCAAGACTTAATTCAAGAGGTTTTATATTACTGAAAAAGCCATTCATTTGATATGCGTTTCAGGAAGAAACACCTCAAGGTTTCTTTGAAGACCACGGTCTCGGCTAACTGACAGTGTAACTTTTTTTTCTGCTGGGCGTTTGATTAATAATGTTTAAATAAATATTAACACATTTGATTCATTATTTCCCGCAGTTTTCTCGAAAGATATCAAAAAGGTGAGCATTGGAAGGTGAGGCTGTTGTGCGCGATAGTTGTAATGGCTAACCTTGAGTTGTCATTAGCATCCTACACATTGAGCCGCTCGTCATTGTCCGGGGAGGCTGGCCGCAGGTCTGCGCCTCAATATTCTCATCTAATTTAGATAACTTTTTTTCACCGTTTGACATTTTTCTAATTACTTTTTCTTTTTATCATATTTGCTGATATGTTTAAGTAAACCTCTCCGAGCCTTTCATTGTTGATGGATGTTTCCGAATTCATAGAGTTGTAGATTGTAGATTAACTTGAAGAATTGACAGCATGGAGAAGCTCGTATACGTACTTTTTTTTGTTGGTTTTCTATTTTTTAATAGTATCATATTTGAATATTCATATTGCAGATGACTTTCGAACATTGAAAGTTGGAATTTTTGTCTTTTTGATTTTTTTTTTCCTGAGTAGGGATTTCACTTCGATGAGAGGCAGATTTTGACCCAATAGCTTATTGCTCTTTATCTCTGTACATCACAATAAATCGTTTCAGAAAATGCGCTCTCGATCCGAAAGATCAAATTTTAACGTTCTTCTCGGACATTGGTATAGTCTGTTCAGATTTTGAATGTCAAGTTCAATGACGTCATTCAAAAACACTCTGTGGATGGCTCGCTCTCTGATTGGTTTATCGCACCATTATGGGTGTGACTTGAGCGACGACTTGACATTCAAAATCTGAACAGACTATAACGCGAACCGGACGTTTTTTGGCAGTTCTAGGGATCTCTTATGCCGTGTTCAAAGTAATTTCCGCGAAATGCAAAATGATCTCTGACTCTCCAAAACTTAGTTATATTTTTCTTACTCTGGCGGCAATTTTGGATTTCGCGAAATCACTTTGAACACGGCATTAAGAGTTCTGAGGCTACTAAAGTGGTTACTAGGAATGCGCCGACACGTCCGATTCGCGTCCCGTTCGCGTTACCAAGGTCGGAGTTTAGAACCTGTTTAATAAACTCAAAAAAATTTGAATCTAATTCCCTGGCTGGAAATTTTCTTTGGTTTCAAAAATAAATTCAGAAGGTCCCTTATCAAAAATTCAAGGGTAATCACTTGCACTTCATATAAAGCTTTCTCAAATTAGCCATTACCGAAAAGTTTCGCAGACAAGTCTATATACTCTTCACAAACTTATGAATGCGTTTCTCTCGTTTTCGTCGTTTTCACACTTATTCAAAGTTTCAAATCTCAGGATGTCTTCCTCGAACTCTGACTCCTTGTCGACCGTTCATTATGCAAAACCGGTCATCATTCGTAAAGCCTCGATGTTTTCAAAGGCGTCAATTTCGGTTTCTCAGGATTCGAGCGAAAAGAACCGTTGTTTATCCTTTTTTTTTAAATTATTGAAAATAAAGAGTTTAGAAAATACTGGCATTGTTTATCCAAGACTTTTAATAAAAGATCCCGGTTCTCCGCAGCATAGTCAATCCACAAGAAGTGATGCTTACGCAGTACCTCACGCTTCCTCAGTTAGTTTTTTTTTCTTCTGTTATTTTTGAAGAATTTTCCAAAATATTTTTAAATTTTATGGTCTATTCAAATTCCTTTCTATGATGTTTGACACGCTTCAAAAAATATAGTCTGTTCAGATTTTGAATGTCAAGCAGCTAACTCCACCCCCAAGGCTACAATATTTTTCGCGTCAATGTTTTATCTACATATGCCAATGGCCCTTTAATAAGGCTGCTTTTTTGACCTCTTTTTCTATTTTTTAGATCGAAAAAGATCAAAATTAGTCCCGCGCGATGAAACATCGACGCGAAAAGGTACCGTCTCAGCAGGGGCGGAGTTAGCTGGTTGACATTCAAAATCTGAACAGACTATATCATGCAGCTTTCAGTTGAGAATATATATTGCAAGATTTCTGCGCGTTAAAACACGCCATCAATGATTTTCGACTGTCAGAAAAAAACAATGATAAAGATTGACTCACCGTTCTCCAATAAAATAAAGTTCATTCACAAAAATATAGACATGACATTTTTTTCTTTTGTTTTAAGCTGGAGAAAATCATTGGTCTCCGAACAAAACATACTTCAGGCCAAATTATCATTCTCCCAACTGAAATACGAGAATATAAAACACCGTTGTAAGATGATTGAAGAGGAAAATCAACGACTTCTGCGGTTTCAGTCGGATGTCGTCAACGACGCAAATAGGAGGGTCGAGGTTTATTTTTATTATTTTTTTTATTTCAATACATTTGTTGTCTTGTATTTTTTCATTCATTTGAAGTTTTGGATAGCAATGATTTTCGCAACTCAAATATCTTTCGGCGAGATCCAAAATAAGGCGTGTTTGTATTGCTCTTCTTCCCGTATCCCAATGATTGCCGGCGGAAGCCACTTTTCGCCTTTTATTCCCCGCCGTCTTAAAACTATCCTGCTTTCCATGTTCTCTTTACTTGGCTCAGCTTCTAAAATCGAGGTGAATGCAGTGGTTTTCAAAGTTTTCACTCAATTAGTCCTGCCAACAAAACGTAAGAACTTTAAGATGCACGTCAACGAAATTCGCATGCTGAAAGAAGAAAACAAGAAACTTCTGAAGGCAAATAAGGTTTTATCTGTTCTCTTCTTCAATTTTCAAGTAGTTGAAAGGAGTTGCGCGATCTTTGTTGCTTTCTCGATGATGATCGTCAAAAAACCAGGCGGTTGGCTCGTGAATGGCAAAAATTCGGCCGCTTCACCAGTAATTTGATGAAGCAGGTTAGTTTGGATAGGTTCAAGATATTGAAAAACCGAGGTTCAGGAAGTGCAGACCTATCAACAAAAACAAAACGAGCTCGAAGAAAGATGTGCTGTAAGAGGTCGGGAGAACGAGGAGCTCAAGCAGCTGTGTCTGTACTTGGATGAGCAGCGTCAGCTTCTCGCCAATCAGTTTAATCAGTGTCACCGAGACGACGACAGAAGCGAGGATTTAGGTAAATTATTACTGCTGTTCGCGATGAACTGGTGAATTTCAGGCTGCGGGAGCAGTGAGAGAAGTGTCACTTTCGAAGAAGAAAACTGCAGTTTCAATAAAACAAAAGTATGTCAGCTTTATCATTCACCCTGCGCTAAAGTTTGGCAGATTTTAAAAATATTTCAGGAAGATGCTATTCGCCTTCTTTCGAAACGAATGAGTTTGCCGTCGACATCGTCCATAACGGAGGAAGGGCTGGCACCTAAGAAGGATTCGACATTAATCATTAGCTATATCCAATCATTGGAGAATCGCATCAAGAACCTTGAAAGTCTACAGAACAATGTTGGCAACGCAGGGTTTTTGCGGCTGATTAGCAGGAAATTTCAGGAGTCTTTCTGGAACTCGGAGTCCAACATCGGCTCCGATAGCGATGAGAAAACTGTCATCGAAAGATGGGACGAGGAGAATACAAGCAACGGGAACTCCACGACGCGGAAGTCAACTATCCAGAATATGTTCACGTCAACAACCAGTTGGATTTTCTTGACTACGTCGAAGAATTAGCGTTCCAGGTACAATGACGTCATCAGGAACAACGTACGGGAGCTCAGAAACGGATGGCGAAAGCGCCGTCTTTGTGATGGGCGATGAGATCGGTGAGTCACACAGGAGTAATCAAATTGAGGTAATTCAGATTTCGGTTCGCTGGAAGTGCGTGCACTTTCTCGCATCGACGAGGAAAAGTCTGAAATGGCAAATTCTCGGGACAAGACCGAAGAGAACGTGGTAGAGAAGAGCGGAGAGATGCCACCAGCTATCGCTCCCATCAGTCGAAGCTTGGTACGAATATCTCTGTTTCTGAAAAGCTCACTATCAAAAAAAAATTTTTGAAAGTTTTGCGCTTCAGCTTTCAATCGCCCACTTTTCGATGAAATCTCCATCCACTTCGACAGAAAAAGACAGCCTAACGAGGTCCGCCTCCGAAACTTTCAACTCGTGGACTTCTGCTCCAAGAAGTTTCTTTTAGTTTGAAAGTTTATTATTTCTTTGCCACAGGTTCTATCAGATGCTCGTCTGTTGGGGATGAAAATGAATTTCCCGAAAATTGACAAACTGGTCAAACATGCCAATCATTTTGACAATTTCTTGCAATTCACGATCTGAAATAAAATTTTCTGATGCATTGCAAGAATCCAATAACATACAGTAAATATCGTTTATCTGACAGAGAAAATCTAGAATTCGATCCCATGTTTTTTGCAAAGTTCCTCGCTAATTTCCCACACACGGTTTTGTTGTTTTACGTCAGTTGCGTCTGCGAAAAGCTTATTGACTTTCTTAAAAAGTTTCAATTGAAACTGATATTGGGATACAGAACCTACTTTTCCTTTGTGGTCGAAGTATCCGCCATTTATACTGTCAAGGTCTAGACTCATAACACAATGGATGGAAGCAACTGAGCCTTCCCGCACTGGTGCGCCCGAGAAACCGCCGTTTCTTTACGATAGAGATTTTTTTTCCAATCGAAAAAAAGCATTCTAACCGAAGAAGTTTGGTTTCGATAACCCCTGGCTCCAAATTATTGACTGTGATCCCTGGCGGAGCTTCTCGGGCCAACTTGAGACCAACTGAAGCGCAAAGAATGAATTTAAACTTCTTCTTTCATCGAATACCCATGAAATTCATCAGTTTCGTTCGCGAGTATTGCACATATTTTTCGTAATCTTCTTTGGCTTCAACGTCATCGAGGTTTAGGGAGTGCCTATAACCTTTTTTTAAATATAAAAATCACTAGGGAACGTTCTTTATCTTCCGATAGAACTTTTGATGAAACTTTGCTGAAGTTTACTTCAGTAAAATGTAAAACGTTCTCTAGTCAGTATATTTTTTTAAAAATACTAACCATTCGTAACATATTGTTGAAACAAAAAAATTATTCTGGCCGGCTTATTCTTTTCGAGCAGCGCGAGAAGTTTTCGCGCCAAAATGAATGGAGCCAAATGGTTAACCTGAATTCTTATTTCTATCAAGAATCATTTTCTGGGTGCCAGAAAACCGTTGCCAAGTTCAAACTGGAGTTTATTGGTCGTACTCATTTAGTATGTACAACGCGGAAATACACGTTCTATAAAGATTTCGGTTTCGACAACGAGAGCATGGCTAGCGAGACTAAAAACACAGCTCCTGTACAAATCGACGGCGTAAAAGTAAGCTGTCAGCTCTCAATAAAAATTTGAAGAAGTATGGGCGGCAAATTATATTCAAGGTATGCCATTTCTATTTCTCAAATATTTTTGGCAAATTTCGTGAGAAAATAGCCAAAGGCGCTCCTGAAGACGTTCGTCCATGGCATCGGATCCTCCTCTGCAACGACGCCTGCGTTATTTTTGCTTTTATGTCGACTTTCACCTCATTTGTTTTCCATTGGGGTCGAGGTACTTGCCGGAGACTTTGGTGAGCAGCGGACTCTCAAGAAGCTGTGCCAGGTTGACCGCCTGTCTGCAGATCGACAACAATGACATAGAACTCGAAAGTGCGGATGTCGTCCTTCTGGAAAGCACAATTTGACTGGACAGCACCTCCGATGTTTTTTTTTTGAAAATGTTTGCTTACAATTTTCCATTGTTGTTCGGCTCCTGTTCTTTTCCCAATTCCACGATGTTCACTGTGAGAGACTTCCCAGAAATGTTCATTCTGAAAAATTTTGTTTTAGAAAATCTCATCATTGAATTTAATATAGCAAAGTTTACAAGATCTTATAATCTTTTTTTGTGTTTTTTTTCTTGTTTAGAAAATCAAACCTGCGATGCAAAGCGTAGACGAACAGGTGACACATGAGTTTTGAGCGAGAGTACTGCAGGTACTTCTCATAATCTTTCTCAGCCATCAAGTCCGACCAATCAAGAGAGAGCCTCAACGAATAGCACTAATGCCTTATCCTCAATCTTTTTGCCATCATATCTTTGAAAATGGAAAACTATACAAAACACATTGCGAAACTTCTTTTACAGGGTGGCTCAAAATTACCCGCACAAAAGTTTGACGCGATATAGAAAGGCGATCGACGCAATTCTGGCCGCGTATTACTTAAAATTTTGATTAACTGTATGTTTTTTACCATTCTGCCAAAATTCAGATCAATCGGTTCTGTTTTCGGTAAATGGCACCACTAAATCCACATCGCTCTTCGATTCTGCACCTTTTCAAAGCAAGTCCGGTTGACATCATTAAACGGCTCGGAGTCCCAAGTAGAACCGTCTATGACTCGATTTCTCGTTTCAAAAAGCTCGGCACGTTCTTGGGTAGATGTGGGAGAAGAAGAAAAGCAACAGTCGTCACTCCAGATCGGATCAAAGCTGTGAAAGAGAGAACCAGAAGAAATTCAGTCCGGAGCATCAGAAAGATGGCGAAAGATATGAAAATTAGTCGAAGTTCGATGGAAAGGATCCTCAAAGACAAGCTGAAGCTCACCTGTTATCATGTAAGAAAAGCAGCCATTTTCTCGAAAGCTACAACCAAGAAACGGCTTGAAATATCAATAAAGCTCCGTTAGCGCACGCGCACTGAAGGACACTTGGTTACAGTGTTCTCTGACGAGAAGCTGTTCACGGTACAGGCCGAACTCAACCCTCAAAATCATCGAGTACTTGCTAAGACGTCTGATGAAGCTTTTGGCAACGGATGGACCATTCATCAAGCCTCTCACCCCGCTAGTGTGATGGTTTTCGGAGCAGTGTCTGCTGATGGCAAAACACCATTGGTATTTGTCGATCAAGAAGTAAAAATCAACAAGGAAGTCTACATTTCGGAGATTTTGAAGAAGACACTTCTCCCCTGGACTCAGAAGGACTTCAATAGACGTCACTGGATGCTCCAAGAAGACGGTGCTCCAGCACACGCAGCCAAGTTGTCGCAACAGTGGTCCGAGACCCATTTGCCTGCGTTCATCCCGAAGGACTAACGGCCACCGTTTTCACCAGACCTCAATCCTTTGGACTACTCCTTCTGGGGTTTTGCAAAACAAGGTCAACGTCAAACCCCACTCGAGTATCGAGGCCCTGAAGAAGATTCTGGTCTAGGAATGAGACACTTTGTCGCCAGATTACCTGCGTGCAACCATCGACGCGTACCCTAGACGTCTTCGTGCTGTCATCGGAAAGAGAAGAGATCGGATGGAACACGAGTAGTTTATAATTGCTGTTATGATCATGAATAAACTTTTTGTTGATTCCCATGGTTTTCTGACTTTTAGTTTTTTTTATATAGCACTTATAGCTTGTGCGGGTAATTTTGAGCCACCCTGTACAGCTGCTCATCATATTAAAACAGCTCCTTATTAAATTTGTCTAACGAATAAGTAGACTCGAAAAACGAAAGGTTAGTCGCATTCCGACAGTCGTTTTGAAAACCCACCACGTGTGCAGGACGCTACCGACGACGACGATGCACCCGTTATTGGCCACCATGGCTTCCAGCAACAAGTTGCAGAGTAAGAAATGCGAGAAGTAGTTTACCTAACATTTTCGATAGAATACGATCAAAAAAAAGAACCACAACATACAACAGCAAAACAATTTTAGAGACTACTCCAGCTCAAATCAAGTATGATCATTTGGCAACGGAATTCGAGGGCCCATGCACGTCAACCGAAAGTTCCTCTTCAATCAACACAGTTCAAAGCACTTTCTATAGTTCAGGCCATCCGAAGACTAACCTGCAAGGTGAGTTCGAGTCCGTCGGCCGTTTCCACACGCCTTGGATTTAAAACACCGGCGTTGCACAACAAAATATTCAGGCCTGGAAACCTTTGCTCCACTTCTTGCGCCATCGAGGCCACCTAAATTCAATTCATTAGGATAATAGGTGATCAATTCATTGATCTTGAAGAAATAATTGTTTTAGAGCATCTTATTTTCTGTGAGAAAAAGTTCATATAATGAAAAAGCCTCAGGTACTCAGTATCTAGGACAGCGATATTCCATGTTTTTTTAAATTAAATTTAAAAAAATATTTATTTTTCTCCTTTTTTTCTTTTTTTGTTTGACCGTTTTTCCTTGAGACTTTGAATCTCAACGGACCACAGAAAACGGAACATCATTGAGGACGGAAAGAAAAACAAAAATCCCACGGGACCCGTGCAAGAATAACGACGCTATCGTTTCTCTATTTCTCCACTTTTTTTTACCTCTTTCATGACCGACAAGTCAGCCACGACATAGTCGACGTTCGTCTTGTTACCATTTTCTCGTGTTATGAACTCTCTTGTAGCCTGAAATTTGGTTATTGATTTTCAATTGATTGTTGAAATATGAGTAAACCTATAAATTCGAACATACTTCGTTGGAACAATTAGACTTTTACTACAGTCTGGGGAAAAAATTGATATTCAAAAAAAAGACATCGCGGTTTTTTTCTTTTTGGAATCGACTTTTAACCTCCAGGCCAAACTTTCTGTTTTTTTTTTTGTTCCTTTCCTTTTTCCAGATTCTTCTCAAGTTCATTTCATGTGTTTTCTGAGCCGAAACTTCGTGGGTCGATTATAATAACTGGTGCATATTGAACACCAACAGGATATGAATATCAAACTAACAGACTCGCCTCGCACTTTTCGGCGCTTCGGCCATGAAGGACGACGAAGTTGTCCGGGTGTGCGGCGAGGTCGAGGGCTGTTTGTCGGCCGATTCCGTCAGTGGAGCCTGTTATCAGAATCGTCCGCTTGTACATCTTCTGCAGCTTTTTCGCTCTATTCAAAAGATAATAACAGCGTCAAACAACGACGATGACCACTCATCGTTCCCAATTAAACAGAAATATATCGCAGCAATTTTAGGGGTATTTGGAGGTTTTTGAAAATAAAATTTCGAGTATTTAAAAGAAAAGTCGATTAAAACTTCGATCATCACAAAAAAATGGAGAGAAAAAAATATGACAGGGTGTTGTTTCTAAAAGTTCGTCAGAGCTACGAGATAAAAAAAGTTTTTTTGAACAAAGATTAGCAACTTCCGAGAAAGGAAGAGGAAAATTGAAAAGAGGAAATGAAAGTTTGTCTGGCCAGCGGACGAAATAATTGAATTCCTCTCAGAGCAAAAAAAAATCAGAATTGTCAAAAAAAAAATCAGAAAAGAAGAGAAATTGTTAAAAAATAAATTTTCACTCACAAACTATAATTTTTCTTACATTGTTATGCGCAGAAATGGAAGCGAAAATTTTTCAGATACGGAAGCAATAATAAATTCTTCTACATTTTTAACGATTGAATTTATTTCGAGAAACGCCAATCGAAAACCAACTTCGACAATGAATTCTGTGACTAGTGCTTAGTGGTCACTTGGTGCGATCAAGCTGGAGGATTTAAAAGCCCGCTCAAGTTTGTTCTTTCTTTTAATCCCAAAGCGGAAGGTCTGCTGCTTTTGAGAAATGGGCTCACCGGAAAAAAAATTAACGTCCAGCTCTTTCGTTTTTCTTCGTTTCTCTACTTTTTTTCGTGTGATCTTTTATTCGGATCTCGTAAAACTGAACTAAATTGACTCATCAGAGTTGAAAGTACCCACTTCATTGAAAATTTAAAACTTCGATTTTTCCAGTACTATCCTGGTCTAGAAGATGTGATTAAAACGATAAAAAACTTTGGAAGGAGTTAATAATGATTTTGGTTCGCTAAATTATACGGATTTGGAGGTAAAATATGTGAAATCGTTGCGATGAATATTTGAAATATCTTTTCATCTTTTTAATAATTGTTACTGATTAGAAATTTGATGGAAACAAAATTGGTTTAACAAGCTAGAGAATATGAGACTAAAAGAAAGGAACGCGACAAGCAGAATCCAGAGACATAGCATTGAAAATTGAAGACTCCTCTTGTGGGAGAAGGGGTCGGCCGCCAAGGGAAAATGATCCGTCCGGAGTCTGAGCACTCACAAAAAAAAAGAGAAAATAAAAGAAGCAGAAGGAGCGAGTAAAGCCTAAGAATCGATGTTGCAGCCCGGCTGTTTTTGACACTTTGCCAACAAGTGGCGCCTTTCTTCGATTTGTTGGTCCTCACAAAAAAGGCAACCGGAAGAGCCTTACGTCTGAAAGGAAATTATGGGCGGCGAGATTGTTCCACACTGACTCTCAACCAAAATCTTGACGTTAGAAAGCTTTAAAAAATAAAGTAATTTATTCTATGAAATAAATAAACACTTTCAAGCACCCTTTCGATATATATATATATATAAATTGAGGTTTCAAGTACCATAAAAAAACAAATTTATATTGAATGTTAACAAAGATTTAAAAAAACAATAGAAACAAGCTTGAGAACGAAATTCCTACGCTAATTTATCAAAAAACCGATAATGAAATATATATACTATTAAAATAAATATAAAAAAACAAAAAAACTCCAAACTGTTAAACTACAGATATTTTTTTGAAACAATCAAATTGGAACGATTTTGGTGTCAATCTACATCTTAACCAAAGTGAACCAGGTGTTAAAATCTCCATTTTCGTTCCATAGACTTCTAGGACAAAGAAAACGAGAAAAAATTGAAGCGAAAAAAGAAGCGAAAATAAAACTTTATGAAAGATGGGTTTTTTGAAAACGCCCGCGAGGCCACTTTGTCTGCGTTGCAAAAATTTTGTAGATTTAAGTTTTCAAATAGAATTCGTGTCTCCTAACCTTTTTTTTTGAACTAACCAGGGAACGTTTTTTACCCCCCGGTTAAACTTTTGCTGACACTTTGCTGAAGTGTATTTTAGGACCCCTGATTGCAGATCAAGAAAAAAATGTCTCGCAATAGATCTCGTTTTCAAGTTATGGAGCTTTAACGTATAAATTACTATTATTAAAAAAAAAGAAGAAAAAAAAACGTGTGCAAAATACGCAAATTAGGCCAGAAAGGGCTATTTCGAGCTTTTGAAGTGTCCTAACTCAAAAACGAGATCTATTGCAAGAAATTTTCTTTCTGTTCTAGAATCAGGAGGTCCTAAAGTACACTTCAGCAAAGTTTCAGCAAAATTTCAAACAGGGGGTAGAGAACGTTCCCTAGTAAGACGGCCAAACTATGTCACAAAATCTGAAAAAAATCGAAAAATTATTTTTTTGTTCAGCACATTCCAGCCACAAAATGTAATTAACCGCTCAGGAACCAAAGTTGGTTTTTTTAGTTAATAACCACTCGGCATGCCGGCAGCTACGTTGCTCAGATTCGCCTTTGTTGATATGTACATGTACAAATTGATTCGGCAAAAATCAAAATAACTGTCTGAGACTTAAAAAAAGATAACTAAATTCCGGAGATTTAGATTGAATGAGATATTTACTAAGTAAAAAAAAGTTATAACGGAAAAAGTTCCTTTTTAGGACCCGCAGAAGAAGCTCAAATTTTTTACTACAAGCTCCAAAAAAATGATGGAAAAAAAGAAGTCTTTGAGTTCCTTTTCCATATTGAGTTTCGTTTTCATAACTCTATAAGATTTTAATTTGCTTCTAGCATCTTTTTATTGAAGAAAGTGGAATAAAAAGAGCTGTTGTTAATGCCGTGTTCAAAGTGATTCCGCGAAATTCAAAATAGCCGTCAGAGAAAGAGAAAGATAACTAAATTTTGGAGGGTCAGAGACCATTTTGCATTTCGCGGAAATTACTTTGAACACGGCATAATGCTTTCGCCGTAATGAAAGTGGTTCCGCGAAATTCAAATTAGCCGTCAAAGAGTGAAAAAGATAACTGAAAATTGGATAGTTAGAGATAGTTTCGTATTTTGTGGAAATTACTTTGAACACGGCATATACGAAACTCTTATTTTCAAAGAACCTTTGTATAGGAGCTTTTCCGTTTAGCTCAAGAAGTTCCCGTTCAAAAAGAATTTTTTTTAAATGAAATATTGCGATGGCGCGCATTAGCCTAAGAAGAGCATGCGGCGAATTGCATTTCCACGGGCGGTGATCCCTACGCCCCACGTTGTATTTTTCATCTAAAATTTTAAATTAATGGCGTGTTCATCGGACAAATCGAAAATTGCTTCGAAACGCAAGAAAATTGCTCCAAAACAAAAGTTAGTACTGTTTTGGAGCAACTTTGGCGCGCCGATGAACACGATTTTTCGTTTTGCAGCATGTTCCGTTTCTCCGATGAACACGCCATAATGCGGTGTTTGAAGTGACTCCGCGAAATACAAGATAGCCGTCAGAAATAAAAAAAGTTCTCAAAATTTTGTCAGATACCATTTTGCATTTCGCGGAAAATACTTTGAACACGACATAATTTTCAATGCAGTAAACTCGAAATGACGTGTTCGAAGTATATGACGTAGCACGCACGGCACACTGGTATTTTCATAAAAAAATTATCGAGCGCAGCTTTTTTTATTTTTCAATTTTTCTTCATTTTTACTTTTATCTCATGTTTCAGTAATTGAAATTTATTTCGAGTTGTGGCTTTTTTTACATTTTCAACTATTCCTTTGTTCGCATTTCAAGTGAAATTAAGATAGCGGAAAGAATGAATACGAATAAAAAACGGATAAATAATAATTTATTTCTAACGAAAATGAAAACTTGTGTACTTTTTGTAAAGTAACTTATCTTGTAACCTCGATAAACTCGTCCTTAACGAACTGGAAAAAAAGTCCCTGGTTCCGAAACTGGTGGCGCGATGCTGACCAGCCGCTGTAACACTTTCTTAAGCATGCGTGCTGTGCTCTTTTTTTTTGAAAGTTCAAGTTTTGCTTCAAATTAACGATTTTCAGCATGTCTGGAGCTGCTAAACGGGTGGCAACGTCGAGCATCAACTGGGCAAAATTAGGTTTATTCCAATATTCTCGATTATTTTCTGGTTTTGTTATTTAGGAGAGCGCCTTATTCCGGAGCATGCTGGAGAGCTTTCGCGTATCAAGGGAGTCAGTGGTACTTTCCAGTCTGCGGTCAGCCAACTCCCGGCAGATCTTCCCAAGGTTCGCAGTCTCGAAATAACGAATTGATTGACCCAAAGTTAAGCAGGGTTCTGAGCGAGCGATTGCTATTTACCCCGTCGCCGTAAATCAGTTGTTAATTTTGAAATTTTGCATGTTTTTGATAAGTAGATATAAAAAAGTAATTTTTCGAAGCGATTTTTCTTCCACCATGAGCAGAATTTTTTAAATTGCGGAACTGATGTTTCAAACCTTTTTTTCATTTTTTTTTTAAATTCAAGTTCAAATCGTTCTGGAAAACTAACATTCAGTAGAACTGCACAAATAAAACTATAGCTTTTCCACTTCATCCCTTCAATATTCTGAAAAAAAAAATTTATCTTTAATTTCAATTATGCTCCAGGTCGATTTCGCTGCTTTGAAGAAAGAGCTTCCTGCACACGCAGCTGTTCTTGATTCCCTTCAGAAGCAGTTCGAGTCAATCAAAATTCCGTACGGAGAGATTCCTGCTGAATATGCCAAGGTGACTTTGATTAATGGGTGCAAGTTTTCAAAAAGAATCGATTCAGGAAATTGAACAATGGACTGAGTACAACAATGCCCGAATTAAGCTCCATGAGCTCAAGGTCGCAGATGGTCTGACAGAGGCCAAGAAGGTGAGTGGTTTTTTTTTTCAACGTACTTTCATTTTTGCTCTCTATTTTTCATAAGAAAACTCCATTCGTCATCAGATTCATTTCTTATACGAATAAATAATCACTAAGTTTTTTTTTAGCGAAAATGATTTCCTAATAAAGTGCGGGACATCATTTTTTTTCATTCATCATTTACTCAATACGAATAATAATACAGTTCAAGGACCAAAATGACATCTAGCAGAACCAATTTTCAAAGAGGGGCATGTAAAAATTGAAAACAGAAGCAAAAATTTTGAAAATTAGAGGATATTTTAAAAAAGACGGCGAAAAGATGGGGGTTTCGAATCGCATAGGATTATTAGATAGATCAAACACAACATTGGAAAGTGAGTTCCTTCTTTCTATCATGACAAAAACAGGCAGTATAGGGAATTGGAGCCTTCCTTGTAGATCTTCAAAGTAGGCACAAAGGGGGATGGGAAACTTGTAAGTAATGCTAAAAGAGAAAAAGAAAGAATGTTAAGTTTATCGAAAATAAATAATGTGCAAAAAATCCCGGTTGTAGTGGACCAGGAAACTCATCCCTCAGTGTTTCGTAAATGAAGCTATTTTGGTCTGAAAAACATCATTCAGTGCTTCCTTTCTGCCATCTAGGGCTAATACTCGTCTCTCTTTGTCATTGAGAGTCATCTGTGAAATAAGGATGTGACATTAAACACATTTACTATCTTTTGGAAACATAAGTATAATGAAGTCCATTTTACTACGCGATAGGCAATAGGGATTTTTCTGAGAGTTGGCCGGAACACTCCTTTATTTACCAAAAGAAGGTTCTGAAAGTCTCAAACTGCAAAACTTCCTTGTTTTTGAGAAATATAGGCTCAAAGTTTAAAAATATCTATTTAAAAAGATTTTGAAGGATTTCTTCGAATTTAAGATGTCATTTTTGGAAGTTTAGAAAATTGTGCAAGTTGAAACTTTCAGAATTTTCGGGTTTATCAGATAGTTTTCTGGCCAATTTTCAGGGAATTCCCAACCTTAAAATAAAATTATCTACCTTCTGATTAAGTCGCGGAACGGTTTCTGACATTACTACTTTTTCTGATTCATGTTTTGATACTTTTTTTTAACACCAAACGGATCTTTTTTTTTACAAAAATGCTGAAAGAAAAATCTCGCTGAATCTTGATTCGCAAAACAAATTCTACGAAAAAGTCAACGGGAATTCGAGAAGTTCTCATTCAAATAAATCCTCCTCATCGCTGAATTTTGCAAGTTCTTTTTACAAGAATGATGTTTCAGGTTGAAGAAAAATGGGCCAAGGCTCCTCCCGTCGAACATTTCGATCGTCAGCACTTTGCCGAATATTTCCCTTCGCACTTCTACGACCTGCGCTACGAAAACAGGTATTTCTTTTTTCAACCAGTTACTCACGATTCGGTATAGGTATTTTTTTGTTGCTAAACACAAGGAAGACTCGATTAAAATATTCTTTCCTGACCTTCCACCCTTCGACTAGTAATCGGATTATTAAAGTGGTTATCTGTGCAAGTTTCTGAGTTATCAAATTCTCAAACTATGCGTTCAATACATAATCATTCCTGGAATTAGTGTTCTGCAAATTCAGGTGAATATGTCTCAAAAACTGGAGGCTTGCGCCGATTTCCACTTAGAAATTTCGGACTTGCGTCATAATCCATAGAACAACGGTTGAAAAAATCATAAACATTTTAAAAGTTTACTGAGGAGTGGTGTGACCTTTTTTTATATTGAACCCTTCTTGAAAAAAAAATCCTAAATAATTTTCTTCAGAATCCCTGATCCTTGCAACATCGGATTGAACGAAACGCCAGAAATCGAAGCCCGATTCAAGGACTACAAGGTATGCTAACTTTTCCATTCGCACTACGTTCTCAATTCAAAAATGTTTACAGGTTTTGCGCCGTGCTGATAAGGTCGACGACCATTAACGCAACAATATCAAGCCGTTCCGCGCTCGTTAGCATCCAGTTTTCCACATTTCGTTGATTTTACGAATGTCTGTTGTTTAATCCAATTATTTGATCATTTTATAGCGATCGTAGCCTTTTCTTTTTGGAAATGAATAAATTTGTGAAGATTTTTTCGTATTATGGTTGCTTATGTCGAAATTTACCCAATCCTATCTTTTAAATGAAATTACGGGATTTTTTTCTTTCAATAGGTCAATAATTTTTAATACCGGATGAACTGCATTTTCGTTCTGATCAAGGTAATCAGAAATAGCAAGTTTGAAGTAGTTTTTTTTTTTCAAATGTTTGGAACTTTTTTCATGATTTGAATAATTTTCTATTCATTCAATCAGGTGAAGTTGGCTTAGAGGTGATTGAGTGTAAGTTGGAAAAAATATTTCTGGCCTGCGGCAAGGATGATTTGTCTTTTCAACATGCATTCATGTCATTCAAGATATATCGATCGAGTCCGATCTTTTACGAGGGTTAAGTCTGAAGAAAAAATGTTCCTCTTTACGAAGCTAGGCTTCATTATCAATTCTCTTTGAAGTTTCTGATTTTTAGTTCCTCCCAGAATTCCTATAAAATTTTGAGAAAGCGCTAGGCATTTATCAAGTCGATGAGCTGAAGAAAGAAAATTTTTTTTTGAAAGTAAAATTGAGTGAAATATAAAGGTAAGTAAATTATTTTTAACTTTTCCACTTTAATTCTTTTGTCTTTATCTACTTATTTCTGTCACAAAATCCCTTCATTTAAAAATATTATTTCACATAACAACACACTAAAAACTTTATCTGGTTCATAGATGGCGGCGGGAAAAACCGTTGAAATTGAGAAGAAGTTCCAAATTTTTTCATGATTGATTGATTCAAAGATGGCACTATCAAGCTTAATCCATCTCAACTTTTTACAAACAATATAATCTCTCCATTCCATAGTTTCTTTGAGATAATAGGACGAGAATTATTCAAAAAGACGACGTTGTAAACAAATTCATCTCGTTTTGAAAACGTGAAGAAATCGATGCAAAAGACCAACAAACAAGTCCGCGTGACATGTCGTTTGTTTGTTGTTTTCGTCCGTTTTTCTCTCCGCGTCCTCTATTTTCTTCTTTTTCTACGGTTCATGATGTTTCAGTGGCGCCCTTTTCGAGACTTCCTTGGCGTTTTTGGCTCATATTCACGTGAAAATGGATGAGGTTCTCGTTTATTTTCCATCCTGCAAATTGATTTCCTTTTAGGTTCGCCGCCGTAAAGCGTCTGTGGAGTCGAAAGAAAGCCAAGTTAGTGGAAAACTTCGATCTTCAAATTGAAATAATTTTTTTCGAAGCGCTTGCATTAAATGCCATTTTTTGTTCACATAAAATTCGAAATATTCACAATTTTTTTTTGTGTTTTCACATTTTGCTCCTAAAAAGATCGTTTTTTTTAATGCGAAAGGCTTCCCAGAAATGCTTCAATATTGTTAAATGACTCGGTCACGGCATTCCTAATAGGGTGAGGGAAGGTGAGCGAGGCGTTAAAGTTTTTGAATTTACAAAAAAGGTAAGTGCGGACTCCGAATAAAATTACGTCACAAGTTACACTTTCAACGTTAATAACGTGAAAATGAAGAATACCGTACTCCCCATTTGGCTGCGTACTCGAGATTTGAATTTTCGCGCCAAAATTTACTCCCCACCCTGTTTGGGAATGCCGTGTTGGTGCAACAGAAATAATATCCCGGTGGTCTGTGAATACGATATCCTGCTATTTTGGAAATATCTCATAATCATTATGCGGAATAGAACTGCCCCAAAAATTCAAGTTATCCTTATTTGGACTCATGAAACAAGGGGTTGCAGGAGAGCAGCTGGTCGTCAGTGGGCACGAATGCACAGACGAACCAGACGAAAAGGAAGTTCTCATTTGCCCAGCAGCGACAGCTCGAAGACAAAAAGGGGTGAGAGACTTCTGGAAAAGTCGGGTATCGCTTACTTCAGTAGTGGTTCAGTCCCTGCGAGAGGCAAGTGCACAGAGCCCAGGACTCGCTCTTTTCGCAGAGTTCCGGCTGGACCAACTTCCGTGGATTCTTCAACCTCTCCATTCTTCTTCTGGTGAGAATCGGTGCCTTCTTGTTGTTTTTGGTTAGAAAAATACCTCAAATTCTATTCAAAACAACGGGTATCAAGAAACTGAACGAAAGAATGAAAAGAAGGCATTTGAGCTTCGTAATTGGAGAAGATATGAAGTTTATGTTAGTTATTTCAGTTAGTAAGTTTTGAAATCTTGAGCGATAAGCTGCATTCGAATCCGAATGAAGTGTTTTTTTCTTTCAAGTACGTTTAGAGAATTGATACCAATTTTTGCTTCATTTATTTTCCAAGTTCAATGATTTCAGGTGATATCAAATGGCAGAGTTGCGCTGGAGAACGTCATCAAGTACGGGATCCTGATCAGTCCTCTGCAGTGGATCTCTCTCCTTTTCAAGGACATTTCGTTCTGGAACTGGCCCAATTTGGCTCTTCTCATTGCTTCCAACGTCACTATCATCACAATATTTTTTTCTGAGCTCATCATTTGTAATATCCATCTTTTTCCTTTGAGAATAACTTTTATTTCAGCCTATGGCTGGTTAGGCAATCGATTCGCAGGAGTGTTCTACACCTTTTTGATAGCGACTCATCTTTCGGTGCCAGCCATTTTCACGCTGTTAGCTCCCGTAAGTGACTGATTGAACCTGAAGAATCTCCAACCAGACATCAGGCGCAAAATCCGATATTCGCAGTGGCCGCCATGAGCATTTTCGTGATAGAAGCCCTCAAGATGGTCTCATATGTGCATGTCAACTACTGGGCGAGGTGTGCCCACGAAGAAATGGCCCAGGCGAAACAAAAGCACAAACATTTGCCTGGCGGAGAAGACGGCAAATGCACTGCCCTTCATCCGGATCTTAAAGACGAGGTCAGTCTCTGAAAATCGAAAAAAAAATATTGAAATACTTTTCGGATTTTGGGAGTATGGTCACTCCAGATTTTAAAGTCAGTTCGAAACTCTCTTCGAAACGGTTTTTCGCTACCCGATCTTCATAAAGTTTTCTTATGACTTTTCAAAAAAACTTTGAAAATTTTTGATTTTTTGCATACGAAATCCCATAAAGCCCACGGTTTCTCATAGAAATTCGAGGTTAAGCTCTCCCTGTACGAAATGGCTCGTCTCTACCCCTCGACTTTGACACTCTCCAACTTGTACTACTTCATGTTGGCGCCAACTCTCTGCTACGAACTCAAGTTCCCGCGAACGCACAGAATCCGCAAGCATTTCTTGCTCAAACGCATCGTAGAGGTTCTCCTCGTCTGTCTTCCGTGTGAAACTCCGTTTTTAGGTCGTGTTCCTCGGTTTTCTCATCGCCGCTCTCATACAGCAGTGGATGGTGCCGACGGTTCACAACAGTATGGGGCCTCTCAGTGAAATGGAGTTCACCAGGTGGTTATCCAGTTTTTCTTTTCGGTCGTTCTCAAAGGCACAAAGCGCAGATACTATTTAGCGAGAATTTGTCGATCCGAAGTTACGGTAACTCCTGGTTTTTTTTTTCGATTTTTTTTTTGAGAAGTTTTTTGAGCTATTCCAACCATATTAATATCAGAGAAACTCAAAGAAAGGGTACTTATAAGTGAAAAAATAGCGTCGAAATTTCTGTTATTTTCATCTAATCAACACAGAAAATTAATATTAACCCCTTCACCAAGCTGTCTCGAGTTCGTTTGCAATTTATCAAAGCAAAAAAGGCGAATTATGCAATCCGTAATCGATCTTTAGAAAAAAAAACTGATTACAGGAAACATAGAAATGAATTCAGTCGAAGATTTTTATGAAGCTTTTCGCCTGGACAGGTGCTTGGAACGCTTACTCAAATTGGCTGTGCCTAACCACGTCATCTGGCTCATTTTCTTCTACTCGACCTTCCATTCTCTCTTAAACTTAATCGCGGAAGTACTTCGTTTTGCCGATCGCGAGTTCTACAGGTAAAGCTACTCTTTCTTGGATTTCTTGAAGTCGAGGGGGCTACTTCAGGGATTTTTGGAATGCTGAGACAGTTTCCTACTTTTGGAAAACGTGGAATATTCCAGTACATCGTTGGGCACTGCGTCATATTTACATGCCAATGACTAGAAATAACTGGAGGTTTGTTCTTTTTTTGTGATTCTCTTTTTTATTAGCCCTCAGTGATATAGCAAGTTCGTCATCTGCTTCAACTTCCTCTAGATCCCATGCATGCCAATATTTGGTATTTAGGACTTGCGTTTCGTCAAAAACGGCCGAACCAAGGCTATTAGTTTATTAACTCATGTTTTTTTATCTCTTCATATATATATATATATATGTCACCATATCGGAAGTTGAACTAACAGCTAAATTCTGATCGAAATTTGGCTCATCTCGTGGATTTAACCTTGGATAAGTTTTCAGTTTTAAGAGACCTTCAAGCCACACTGTTCCACACGATCAGTAGCGTTATAGATTACAGAAGCCCGTAAAGTCAGAAATTTCCAGCCAAAAAACTTTCTTGTAGGGAAATTTTGTATTTTTTTCTCTCTTTTTGAAGGATGAAAGAATTACAGCAAGAGCAGCGCAGTCTTTGCGGTTTTCTTCGTTTCGGCCTTCTTCCACGAATACTTGGTTCGTTCCTGAATCGCTCCTCAAAACTCTGTTTCCAGGTCTCGGTGCCTCTGCAAATGTTCCGGATCTGGGCTTTGATGGGAATGCTGGCTCAAGTTCCTCTCTCCTTCGTCACAGACAGAATTGTGAAAGGCGGCCGAGCAGGTTCATTTTCCTGGCCTTTCGAAAACTGAGTCTAGAAAAGAACTCAGAAAAAAAAATGGATAAAAAGTTAGTCTGATATTGTGCGCCTTAGTCGCAAATATGTGTTTTATTAAACTTTTCTGATTTTCCTGAGCCTCTTTCACCCTTTTTTATCAAAAAGACTTCTTCCAGAAGAGTCGAGGCTTGTAGCCATTGGTTTTTATAAAATTTTAACAGTTTTCACCTCTAACAGGCATTCTAGAGACTCGGAAATAATGTAAAAAGTTTTTATAGAGATCCTCATTATTTTATTTAATTTTTTTCACTTTCAAGTGATAACTAATCTTTCTTCCCGCGCTCTAAAAGAAACCATGTATCGCTCTTCTTTGAGGGAACGTCGTCGTTTGGCTTTCGCTGATTGTTGGCCAGCCGCTGGCGATTCTGATGTACGTGCACGATTGGTACATCATCCACCACCCTCAACTCATTACCGAAAACTCCATCTACGAGTTCTGAGTCTTATTTTTTCACAGTGACCCTTTTTGACCCTTTTTGTGGTGTCAGTGGCTACCGTTCATCATAGGAATGTATACTATGGTTTTTCAATTAATTTTATTTTTCAAGTTTTTCAGATTCATCGAATAGGTCTTCTTGTCTTTCTTCATTTTTCTTTGTCAAATTGCCATAACTCTGCTCAAATTTATTCTGCGATATATTGTCAACATTAACTGGTAGTTTTTATATATTCTATCGAATTTTTGTATTGAGAGGAGAGAGAGAGATATTCCTATTATTTAAATTATGTATTGAGATAAACATCTCTTCTTTTCCGTTCATTTCCTATTCTTTTCGATATACCGTACGGTCGGTCATACTTATGTCGATCTAAAAATTCGGTCTCGAAGGAAAAATTTGCTTTTTCAGGAAAAAAAAAAATGAAAGTTCTCATTTTCGACCGCGAACATAACTTCACCCGTTGGTACGTGTACTGGATCCCAAAGACGCGCACTCTCGGTCAGATTTTTTTTTTGCCCTAACAAATTTTCATTCACAACCGCTTACTTCGAAATTTATTACTCACGCCTTAAAAATCACTCTAATTTCGCTATATTGCACCGTGTATAGCAAAATAGAGTTGCGGAGCTGAAGTGTATTTTGAAGTTCTTACAAACTTTTTGAAAAAGAAAAAAAAAGTTTTATTATCTACGCCAGTCGTAAGAATTTTAGTGCCCTTACACGTAAATGAGTCCCTCAAATGCAAAACCGCGTATAAATGAGTAAAATCTCCGCTGGTCTCGTCAAGAAATGCATAGAGTACTGTAAGCCAAGATGGCATCAGAAAAGTTGAAATTAAACTATGGAGTTTTTCGAACTTGTAAGAAAATTAAGTATGTCCCTTTTTTACATTTATAAAAGTAATTTCTATTTTCTATTGAAGCTTTTCAATTTTTTCTTTAAATTACCTAAACTTGGAAGTTAGGGAAAAGCCTTAGAAACCTCTAGAACTTTTTGAAATATACATGGGATAGTCTCGGTGCGACCTGAAAAAGGGGAGAAAACTTGGCAAAACCGTGAAAACTTGGCTGTCGCCAGTCATGCTCATCCGATGTATGATTTGAAACCGGCATTGTTTTTTTTAACTTCAACTTTCGCCGTTCATTTTTTTTTTTTCGCTGAAAATAATGGAGAAAGAGCTCCGCGAAAAGGCCGAGATGTAGTAAGGTCAAGGTACAACCTTGCAAGCTGCAAAGCTGTACTTTGTGCTCACTGTGTGCACGTTGCTCATGGCGGTGCTCAGGAGTGACCGACGGGGGCAGCACCTATTACGAGCGGACCTGCACCATCGAGGACCGCATGCGCTTGCTCAACTCCTCGAAGACGCTGCTCGACGACAAGTGGAGGTTGGTGGCCTCCTACTGTCTTGGCAGCTCTTTCGAGTCTTTTACCAATTCAACCATTCGGAAATTTTATTTCAGCAGTTGGATATGAGTGAAGAATTTTTCATCGAGCAAAACTTAAAAAAATAAATTAAACTGCAATAAATTATAAATGTTTCTCAATGATTACTAAATTTTTGGCTTCGCGCTATTATTTGCTGGAACTTGAGAGGAATCTGCTCAAACTTTAAAAAAACGTTTGAGCAGGTTCCATAAAAAAAAGTGGGGGTGATTCATAATAACAGAGGTGGAGGATGGCTGCCCACTGGCTGCCCTGCCTGCCAAGCCATAAACGCCCAAAAGCAGAGATGACTTTTTCAATAGTAAGTCAATGAATCGTTTCTATCGCTTGGCCCAATGGCTTGGCTTGGCCGCCAAGCCAAGGGCTGCCTTCTCAATCTTCCACCTCTGCATAATAATATCTTTGGTGAAATATTTTTTTACATAAATTTTTCTCCGAGGTAGAATGGACACTAGAGTTCGTTTGATTTTTTTGATTTAAGATTTTTAAAAAAATTTATAGCGTTTTTTTGGGTTTTTAAACCCAAAAAGTAAAAAGCCTTAAAAGGCCCTTTCTGTGAGAAAAAAATATTTTTGTTCTCATAGTTTTAATTACTTCCAAACCATATGAATAAACGTCGTTTTTGTTGGTTGTGAGGACTGTGCAGAACAGAAAATGAAGCTTGAGATTATCTCTTTTTGTGACTCGACAAGTTGGTTTTAGCGACGTGTTCGACCAGGCGGGTATGAAGATCGAGGAAATCAGCGAAAAAGAGCTGACTGTCTCGTTCGCCTGTCTGCAGCAGATCACTCTTGTCCTCAACGAGAACAAGGAGGTCGCAAAGCCACTCTTCTCTTTGCTTTTCGAAGATCGCCAGGTAACTCGACGAGTCGCACAGGATGTCATCAACTTCTTCTCAGGCTCTCATCTCGGACCTCTCCGATAATCGCAAGCGCACTCGCACAAGGTCTCTCACTGAAGAAGGCGCCAAGATAAAAAAGGTTCTCCGTAAATATTGATATAGAAGATTTTCTGATTATAAAAACAAATAATTTTCATAAGTTCACCGAAAAAAGTAGTTTTTTTAACAAGCTGAAAACATTGAAAGGAGTTGAAACTGTATATTGCGCTTGAAGAACTTTCGAACATCCGCAACTGAACTGAAATCAATTTTTAGCTGGCCCCGGTCAAGAAACGCGTCGGAAAGGCTAAATCCAAAGTCTCCGACGGGCCCAAGTTTGAAGATTCGGATTAAAGCCAATTGCAAGAAAACTAAAATAATAACTCGATTTCGGCATTTTGGTAGCTCATCGGCCGTCTGACTTGTTAATTAGACTTGCATTGTTGACACTTTCTGTTTTCACGTCCATTGTTTTTCACTTGTAAAATAATTCCTCGTTTCCTGTGAAATAACCTCACAATTTTTTTCAGCGTCTCATTTTTCTCGAAGCATTTCTTAATGCGCATTAAAAGTAATTTTGCGAAATAAGACTCATCTCTTTCATAACTCTCAAATTTTTTCGTTATTTTCTCAATACCTGATGGTCATTTTAAATCGCCTAAATTACTTTGAACGCGACATAACTCAACACATCATTTTTTTTTTTGCACTGCCTTCTGTTAAATGTCTCTCAGGCTTGGCGGGGAGTAGACGGTCGCTCTTCTTCGCACTAGTGATCACTTGAATAGGAGAGAAGATTTCGTTTACCTTCCGCGAGATCTGAGTAATTCTTAAGATTCTCAGTGATTTTTATTTCTTGTTCCATTACTACTAACCTTAATGTACTATGACGAATCAATTTTCATTTCCTGTAAGTAATTGCCTACATTTTGTAAAGTTCAAAAGTTCCAGTTGACCGTCCATTATGTTTTGCTTTTAAAAAAATTGTTGATTTCATTTTGATCCGTTGGGGTTGTTTTTTATGATTTTTTTTTTTGCACGCTTTTCACAACTTTTCCCTGTAGTGGACGACGACGGATCCTCGCACGAAGAAGTGTTGCGGTTGTGTCTTTCTTCTTATGAAGTTTTGGTTTAATGCATTGGACGATATATTACATGAAGTAGCAACCTAGGAGCTGAAAAAATCCGGAAGAAATCATTAAATTGAAGAGCAGTTGATCAAACACTGCGTCGTACGACACGATCGTGCGAAGATCCTACGTCGATTTTTCAAAATGACGAATGTTGAAAAGGAGTTTTTCATTTTGTTTACTTATCCTACTGATTTACCTATATCTGCATAAAAACAATAAACACTTTTATGGGATTTGCCAGAAACCTATAAAGAAGGAATTTTTTTTGATTTTTTTTTTGAATCTCCAGTTGAAAAGTATTTATTTTTTGTTCTGTAGAAAACACTTCTTCATTTTTTGGTATTCATCAGTGTTATTTTCCCATGGGAAAAACAGTTTTGGAAAGTGTAATAATTGCAATGGCCTTTCTGTTCAAACGAGACGATTTTTCAGATGCAAGACCGTTGGATTGAAATGAATAGGTAACCGTGAAACGAAAGAGAATGGACAGGGTGCCGTCGGAATGCGAGAGGCGGAGCTTCAGGTACTTTGACTTCTGACCGACAGCCGATATCAGCTGTCTGCGACTATTTCCAGATACACTCCTATCAATCTTTTTCTTATCTCTCACCTATCGGACTCCGCCCAAAGTTCTGCTTCCCTTGGTAAAACTTCACAGAAGAAATTAGTCGAGATTTTCTGCGATCTAATACTTTCATCAGACAATTTTACCCCAAATGTTTTGGGATGCGCTTTTGAAGCGATTCTTTTCATCAGAACTTTGAAGATTTGATTCCGAACTTGAAACATCCTGATTCCATTCTTATAAGACAGGGCGTCTTCTGTTTCCCGAAGTTTTAAATTCTAATGTGTTTAGAATCAATAAATTTTTCACAATATTTTTCCAACTTGTATAGTTCATTATTTTTGGGCCTACTTCATCATTTCCCAATATCAATCGTTCTTGGACATTTTTTAAAAGGTCTCTTTCGAATAAACCACGTCGTACATTTCATTTCGCTTTTTTGTCTGCTGAGATTCTCTAGATTATTAGACTTTGTTCGACCTTCTATCGTTCGATAAAGTTGAAATAGATTACTTATTGAGACTTATCAAAGTGGTCGCTCAGTTGATTATCTTGATGTCTTGATGGACACCTTCCTTTTTCCTCTGATGGCAGGTGTCATCTCTAACTACTTTCCATGTACCAAAAGTTTTCTTAAAGCTCATATTGTCGGGATAAAATACCTCTTCATAACCATTTGAGCATCTACTGAGCAGTTGGTAAATCAATTGTAAACATTTTTTATTGAGTTTCTTACCTATATTTTTGAAAAAAATAATTCTCTATCTTTCTCAGAATAACATTGCTTCAATAAAAAACTCAGTTTATTTGTCTGTAACATTTTTTGTCTTTCAGATGCTGGATTTATGGAACTTCGTGCTCAATTTTTATACGACAAGCTTCCTTTTCGTCTACTTGACGACATCACTCTTGATTCTGAAAAAACGAAGTTGGGGTGAGTCAAAAAGCCGCCAAGTCTGTTCTTCAACTGGCGCGACGTTTGTCGCACGATTGGAGTGGGGTGATATCTGAGAAAAGAAGTGCACGAGGGAACGCCAAGCATGAACCCCACGTGCGGAGGGGCAAGTGGTCACCAAAAGAGCCTCTGTTCATCCTTCCAAAATAATAGCAAACTTCGCGTTTGTCTGAATCACAACGGCATTATTGTGACGAAAAAAACATTTCTTGGTCAGTGCGAAAAGTCACAAAAATATAAGATCATCAGAACAAATAAACAAAAACTGTTTTGTTTCGAATTAATCTGATGTTCGAAGCAACACCGTTAGAGGAACATGGAATGATTATTCTTGAGAAGTTTTCATGACGATTTGCAGGGATCTTTCCGGAGGTTACTCTAGGCTGGCTGGAGCTTCTGCTCGACAGATTGGCGTCGGACGAGATTGCCGCAGTCCCTTCCTTCGGCAAAAAACATTTGACCCCGAAACTCGTCGAACAAGGTAATAATTCCTCCAAGAGTTCTTTCTCAGATCCGACTTCAGAACGCGACGCTTCTCCGTTTGAGATGTCCGCCACGTTGCTCACCTGCGGAATCGAAGCCATTTTGCAGGTAAAACTCATAAAAATTGAAAAAAAGAACACTCTTTGACTTTTTTGAATCCTAATGAGTTTTTAGTTCCTTAGTTTCACACAAGGATTACTGAACTGTTTTATTGGGATCGCTCTACTTTCCTTGTTTGCCACATTTGTTTTAAATTTATGAAATTGAGGACGACTTAAGCCGTGGATTCACTGAAGCCGAAAAGAGAGGCTACTCGTTACTCGAGATGCCGAAGAACGCCAGAAATCAGAAGACTCTGACGACGATGTACTCAGCGCTGTTCCTCTTCCGCTGGACGTTTCTTCTGCCGCTGCGCGTCGCCTTCATGATAACTGCGGTCGTCTTTCTTTCCATGTCCTCTGTATTTTGCATTTTTGTCGGCGCTTCCCAGAGACAAGGTCGGTTACACGAAGTGCCGTCCGCGTCAAGAATCCACTTGATATTTCAGTTCGGTATTGCGGCGTTGTTTTCGCTCGATTTTTCAACGTGGCCACGGGGCTCGTCGTCAGATCTCACGACAAACATCACCGACCTGCTTCTTCAGGTTTTATCCAACATCCTTGAAACCAACTGGAAAATTCAATTGCAATTGGAATGGCTCGATCAAATCGAGATTCGAGCTGTAGAACGTCAAGTAGCGGCGACTTTTCGAGCCATTCCTTTTGCTGCATTCAACGGTTTGACAATTGAAACAGCTCCTTTTTCCAGGGATCGTTGTTTCTAACCACCTCAGCTTGAATGACGTCATGACTTTGTACTCAGACGTGCCACTCGACAGCAAAGGTTTCTTTTAGACTATCTCAGCTTTTCCATTCGAATTTGAAGGGTACGCCGTGACAGCCCAGTCTCACGGTGGCTTCGTGACAGTGCTGCAGAAGTACGGCTCCTACCTGACGCCGGTGCTGCTCATCGACCGCGAGAACAAAGCCGACCGGACAGGCCTCCGTGACGCCATTCTTCGCTACGCGACGCAGAAAGACGCAACGCCGCCGCTCGTCTTCCCTGAGGGATTCTGCGTCAACAACGACGTCGTCCTACAGTTCCGCAAGTCGGCCTTCGTGGACGGAATCACTTTCCATCCCATCGCCATGAAGCAAAATCCGAGGTTGATAATTTTCAGCAATGAAATTTTTCCAATAAAGTATATCTAAATATTAAAATTATCTTCTTTTCCACTAAATACTGATCTCATAACTTCGAAAGGAGACTAGCTTTTGAAAAGTCCGAGATAGCCTCCCCGTTTCATGGAAAAAAGGTTAGAGCTCAAAAAATCGTCTGCGCATCATATTTTCTTGAATCTTTTTTGAATCGTTGAACGTTTTGACCGTTTTTGAATGAGTTTTTGAATCGTTGAACGTTTTGAAAGTTTTTGAAAGAATTTTGTAATCGTTTTTAAAGTCCAAAACAGAAAGTTTCTGAATCAAAAAGGTCAGTTTACTATGCGAATGCGATTTTTCTGAGAATTAGCCGGAACACCCCTCAATGTACGGAAAGTAGAGCCAGAAAGCCTCATTCTACAAAACTTCTGAGTTTTCAAGAAATAACTACCCAATTTAGCCTATTTCAACAACGAGAAAGATAATTTTCGAGGGCTTTCTCTGGTTTTAGGTTTTCTTTCTCAAAAACTAGGAAGTTTTGCGGGTTGAATTCTTCAGGCTTCAGTATATCAAGGGGTGTTCAGGCTAGTTTTCCGAAGGGAAAAACTACTGCAAAAAATAAGGACCAACTTGATTTTTAAAAAAACCAATGTATACAGTTTCTTTTTAATTATGAATTTTGGAAACTCCGTTTGTCGTTCTCAGTTTCCATACCCTGTTTGGCCTTTTTCGAACCTTTTTCTCTCCAGGCGGTGATGCATAGCTATGAATATTTCAAATAAAAAAAAAATCTTGTAATAACGCAAATTTTTCTGTGCTTGACAACTTTCGCTTTTTCAGATTCGGCGACTCATTTTGGCGCGAAGACACGTACCTACCGTATCTTTTGCGATGCATGACTTCTCTGGCCTTGCAAATCGACATAGTATATCTGCCGACAATGCACAAAATCCCTTCTGGTGAGATCTTCCAACTCTTTCGGTCTAAGAAGACACGCTTTGTTTCTTTTCCATCCGGCTGTTTTTGCGCGGCTAACTTTCTAAGGCATTGTTTATCTGATGAGAGCCGCGCGAGTCGCCGTCGCCCGGTTGAAAGGCTCCAGATGTGAGTTGACCCCGTAAGCATTGTTGACAACAAAAAAAAAAGAATTCTGTTGTCGATTTACTCGGCCGCAGCCGGATCGCAGCCATTCAAAAACCGTGTAAGATTGCGTGGGAAAGCAAAATGCCGACATTCAAAGCGGGAGACTGCGAGAGCGTGGCTCGTCCTGTTGCACTTTTCGCGTCTCCAAAGTGCCCTTTACCAGTCATGCCGTTTTCGGTGACGCACCAGCCAAACGGCTATCTCTGCAAAACTGACCGCCTAACTTTTTCAAATGTTTCAACGATAGCTATTACGGGAAATAATCTATTGATATAGCCACTTTTCATTATTTAATTTGAAATTTCTTCTTTTTCTCTTCTTTATTATTTGCGTTTTTACAATTAAAAAGAAACGGTTAGATTCCGCCAACATAAAATACGACAAAAGGAGTTTTCAGATAGTTTAATTTTTCGGAGACTCGAATCAGCGCTTTTCTGATCATTAGAAATGAATATCACCAACTGCCTTTTATCAATTCGAAGTAGAGTATATCTTCAAGTTTTCAAAGGAAGCAAAAAAGAGCGTTTGATCGTTGAGATGATTGACTTCACTAACAACGACAAACAAAATGCGAGAGAGAAAGTTGGTTTCAGAAGACGAGGCTGAGTTCGCACGTCGCGTGCAGACGACCATCGCAGGAGCCATCGGGCGCGACGCTCTTCCCTACGGTGGTCACTTGAAGAAGCCGTCTCAGCGACATCGGCATCTTATGCAGCTGCAGGCCGCCATCGCCGCCAACTTCCTCGATTCCATCGAGTAGATCAGTATATCTCGCCTTCTCCGTTTCTCTCTTTTTTTTTGGCTCTTTTCATTCTATAACCCCGATCAGGGATGTGCTAAGAGATTTTTTGAGAAACATATATTCCCTTGAAGCCGGCGGAATTTCGATGAATAAGAGGTGAAATGAATGATCAGGGATCTTATTTATCAAAACGTTGCATCGCACGATTTGATATAATAATTTTATTTCAATCAAACTTTCGATCGCCGGCAGTAGTTCCCTCAATCAATTTTCGATTGCAGCACATCCCTAACCCGATTAGCCTAGCTTCTTTGATATTTTCCAATTGCTGTTAAACAGCTTTCAAAATTGTTAGTGAAAAGAATTTCTAGTTTTATAGCTTTTGAAACAAATGTTTTGGTTTTCTTCGCAATTGATCTTGAACAATGACAGTTTCTGTGCGAAGCTTCTGCTTGGAAATCGGCAGATTTGTTCTTAGATTCTTGGAGGTTTCTTTGCGTGCGAAACGTTTCCTGGCTGCCACCGAAGCGCCTGTACATTCGTCGTCTGTCTCTTCACTCTCCGTCATTTGCCTTTGTCGCCGGGTGGTCTTTTTTGCTCGTAGTTTCTTTTTGCTTCTTCTACATCTTCCCAGTTCAGATTTTAATTCGAATATTTTTTTTGAACTGACCCAGCGCTTTCCTTTCTATGCAAACGGGTTACTCGCCGGTTCACAACTTTTTTGAATAAATTTTTCAAACTGTTCACTTATTCTCGCAATGCTTCTTTTAAAAAACGACAGAAGTTTATTTTGTTCTGAAATCAAGCTCTTAACAAACTTGCCCAGATACTTTTATAATAGTGAAACTCTGAGAACAGTATTGACTTACAAATTCGAATATATTCAGACCTGAAAGGGGAAAAGAGCTTTTTTGGCGCTCGTGGTTACGGTCCGTGTAGAAAGTTTTCAAACTAAAGGCTTTTCAATCAACTTTTCTCCTATCAGCAGAAAACTATCAGAATCACAAACTTTGCTCTTGGGAGAAATTTAAAAACTCACAGCTGTGAAGGTGTCGTTCCATTTTGAGAGAATTCGACCACCTTTCTTTTCTTTCTTCAAAAAGAAATCGAGTCCTCATTTTTTCGGATGCTCTGAAGATAAAAGTGTACAGTGGCTTGCAAGTGGTTATCGATTGTTCTGTAAGGCGCTGACCGCAGGGCGAAAGCCACCGCTTTTTTTTGTTTCATGAAACTCGGTGAAGGCGCGCCTTGGCACGAGACCAGCATTGACCGGCTCCTATCCTCAGGTCACGCCCACGTCTCATCGCTATACTCATCCATTTTTTCCTGTCTTTTTCCCTGTCGTCTTTTCTCTGGTAACAAAAAAAAATACTGACGCTTCTTGTCCAGCATTGATGTGGGATAGAAATCAACCAGCGCTTCGAAACTATTGTTTGTTTTTCAATTAGCTCTTACATCGTAGAAAAGATCATTTGCAGAAAATTTTGAATTAAAAACCTTTGAAATGACTCTTTTTTCAGAGTTTCTGAGCTCTTTTGTACTTTTGAACTAAAGAAACAATTGAGAGTTGAAAACGAACTTCAATAATCGGAAAAAATAGAGTCAAATTAATGAAGCTTCATTCATTTTTTCCTTCTTTTTCATCAAGCTCTTATCAGCTAAAAATTTTGCGATAATCAAGAGTATCTGGGAATGACTTAAGTGTAAAAATCAACAAAAATGGGAAAGTTCATTTAATTTCGAATGGTCTTTCCAAGTTCAATTCAAAAAGTTTCTTCATTAAACAAATTAGAAAATAACGTGCGATTTTTCTCTATTCGGGGATTCGATCGTGAACCTCATCTTCGATAAGATATTAACACTGGTTCGAAAACTTTTGTATCTTGTTCTTTGAAATGAATCGAAGAATTTTAAATAACAAAGAACGACCGAAATCACACAACAGATTTTATCAATTCCAACATATTCCTTCTTCTTTTCATTACAGAAAAATGTCCAACTACAATTACTATCAGCAAAATTGGGCATACAATTACGAATTCCAACAATTCGCGACCAGCTTTCCGACCTCATCGAACGCTGTTCCTCAGGTTAGCCGTCATCTTTTACATTGACCAGAATAAGCCTTGCTCTGAAAAAATTTCTCAGCCGTAACTTTCAGTCTTTATTAAGTCTTTATTCAGTTATCGTTTCAAAGAAATCGTCTTAACTCAGATAGGCTTGGTTTTCGAAAATATTTTCTCCTTACAACTCAAAAGAGCATTCCATCCTTTTTCTGCGAGCTGCAAACACCTTTCGTGTGCAGATGGCTTCCAGAAAACAGTACTCTAGCATGTCTCCAATATATTTCTAGGTCTGACTCATTTTGCTCAGCTTTCCATGAAATGCCAACATTCAAATGTCCTATCAATTTTGAGAATTTTCATCTAGAGCACATTTATAAATTGCGACCTTACTAAAAAAAAAGTTTAAATTTGATTTTCGACAGCTCAGTATTAGTGAGAAGTATTAACTGCTTGAAGTCTCTGTTAGTTTATAATAATAATAATAATTTATTGACAGTTTAGTTGATAATTCACGTTATGGCCCGTCTATTATTTCTCTATAAGAAGTTTCTGAAAGTTGTCCGGTGATTTGAGTAGAAGTGCGGACGGGAAAAATCACTTTTAACTCGATAAAATAGAAGGAAAGGATATAAGGATATAAGTAAGGCTAGTATAAATGTTGACCTAACTCAAATTTAAATAAGACGAGAGTTTAAGCTGAAAGTTAAGCGCTTTTCGAACAGGGGTTTGCTCTGAACGGCAGAGTCACTTATTGATTGAAAAAAGTGGATTACAGAACTACCACTACTGCTACCAGCCGCCCAACTTCTATTGGCAAACTCCATATTACGGAGATCAAGTTGCCCACCCGGTGATGGCTGCAAACCAGGAAGAAATTGTGGAGCTTCAGCCTCCACAAACTTTTTATCAACAGCCTCCAATTAACTTTTCTCCGCCTCAAGAGCTCATCCGCAAATATCGAGGTAAATATCGAGGTTCGAAACCAGAAAATGTCTTTTTATCAAGTTTTTGAGCGATTCGTTGGCAAGAGATTTCTTTAAATTTATAATGGAAAAATATTTTTCTCATGTTCATTTTTCACTTGAAATCACCGAAGCGGTGGGGTACTGATATGAAAAATTTGCAGAGGCCTTTTTGGGATTCGATCTCGTCCTGATCATATTTGACCTGTTGGACGAAGGCGTCGGAGGCGTCAGATGGAACAACGAATCCGAGTTCCAAGTGTTGAATATCAACATTTTCCAAAAAGTGATTAGTGAACGAATCAAGCATAGAGTGAGATGAATTGTCTGGAACAATTCAAATAATCAATTTGCAGATCAATTATAGAACAATTGATACCTTCCTACGAGAGATGCACCAAATTTCTACGGGAGAATACTTTCTGAGAAAAGAGAAATTCCGGTGCTACAAACTGCATGATCAGTGAGTCAAAGGTTCAAGTTTCATCAGCTGAAAAGGGAATTCAGAAGAGCGGCACGGCCGAAAGTCTACAAAAAAAATAAAGAAAGCCTCGATTTTGCAGTCAAATGCATAAACGAGCCCGGATACCACTCGAGGCCGAACATGATGGGTGAGAATAGAGTTCAATACAAGTCTTTATCGAACTTTTACATTAGTCAAAATCGAAGCAGCCGATGACGGTTACGAAGCGAACTCTCACCAACCTCAAGCAGGTCTGTTTATCTTTTCAAACTCCACCTAGGTACACTTTTCGAAGTATTGTGCAAAAATTTATTGAAGCAAAAAGTTCGATTTCTGGGCTTTTTTTCAGAACTGTATTCACATGTGCAAGCTGTGAATCTTTTTTGCCTCCTATTCATAAAGCCCGGAAAAAAAAACCAAATAAATAGTTTCTCGACAAAAGCGGACCAAGTTAAATTAGACTAAATGGAATTTTTCCGTCGAACTTATGTAAAAGTTTAAAAAAAGATGCTTTTGAATCAATTTTTGAAGATTTTTGAATTTTTTTACTGTCTAAGGCTTTTTCTCGCTAACCGAAATTGTTTTTTTCGCATTTCTGAGGGCTGAACTGTTGGATTGTAAAAAGCTTTGAGTAAAAGTCATCTATAAATGAAAACTTGCACAAATTGAGATGTAATGGTTGTTTCTATCTCATGGTGTCAAGTGAACATGTGTTCTTGAGAGACGAACGCCCGAGGAAGTTCGCTCCAACTATTGTTACAACATCACTCTGTCGTAGCGCACTTTTGGAATGCGCCACGAAATAAAGGCTTCAATGTCGAGTCCCGCTTGATACTGAAACGAAATCAGAATCATGACGAGGAACATCATTTGCCATTAAAAGACCAAAAACAAAAAATCAAAAACAAAAACAAAAAACAAATTTTTAAAAGCGCCGTTCCTAGTTTTTTGTTCAATCTCACGCCGTTGGGAGCAACGTTTGTTAACAATGTTTCTTCCGATGCGATAATTATCTATTTCGAAGAAAATTCTGCTCGAGAATCAGCGAGAAGAAAAAGAAGAATTGCAGGACAAACGCAGCCTGAAGCCGTGGAAGACAGGAAGATCGGCTCTCTGATGATGCCGGGCGGCTGGGCGATCCAACCGCCCTACAATTTCCAGTAAACATCCGTTCGACTTCCCACATAGTCTGATCTTCGCCAAATCTACTGTTATGGATTCTTTGACAGTTCAGATTTCACTTTGGTCTTAAAAGGTGCCGCGATTAGATGTGACTTGCTTTAAAAAATTGCTCTTCGTCATTACTTCCATTACCTTTTTGTACCTTTCTTCCCCTGAGATCTTTCTTTCTTCAAAGTCTATTCCTTTCGTATGGTAGTTGTTTTTTAGAAATTGAAAGACTTTGAAGAGAACTTTTTGATTATTTTTTTAAACATTTATAACTGTTATACTTCCAAAAGTTCTCATAGCTTCGTATGAAAATCGTTATGACGGTTTTTGTTCTTTCCATCCAAATATTTCTCTTTTTGAAATGATCGCTTCGCAACGAACTTTTTTCGTCTGTTTTTTTTTCTCCGGTAATATTTACAAATCAGGTGATCCCTCCAAAGTCTTGCCACGTGCCTTGAAGATTCGCGGGAAGATCTCAAAATTTTTTTTACAAAGGTTATGATGTTGATCTCCCTTTACTACGAGATAAACTTTCTTCACTTTTATGATCCACAAAACTTTGAAATTCACACAGGGTTTTTGCCAAATTACCCTAATAAGAAAGATCTGAAAAAAGTCTAAGGATCTGTCAGAGAGTTTTTTCAAAACGACAAGGATGATTTATTACCCAATAAATCTGATAAAGTAAAAAAAAGTATGAAAAATACTTTCCAAAATAAATTAATTCAGATCGAAAGATGAATTTTCAGCGGTGAAAAGCAATTTTGATATACTCGGCGCGAAGAGCAAAGACAGTGAAATATTTCGAAAAAAAATTTGTTGACGACATTTTCGAATGGAGAATGGAGGTTGAAATTTTTCTTCGTCTCGATTCTGCAGATCATTGACTTTCCGAGCTCATTCCATATAGGGACTGATGTATGAACTATTTTGTGAGAAAATTTTAATACCGTAAAGTTGTGAAACAGGAATCAAGTGAAAATTGTCGGGCTGATTATGGAACCTTCCAGAAATGAACGGTCATCCGATTTTCAGAAGGTCCGTAAGGACAGAGCGACCGTTGGCCAGTCGTCGGAAGTCTCTGAAAACTTCGACAGACTTCTTGTTTTGGTGGCTCATGCGGTATTATCCGAGTGGAGGCAAGTGGAGCGCAGAAGCCAGTGGATAAACGGCGGCGCCGATTTGCCGTCATTCAGCCGCCGCCGTCTGCCCCAGATTCGCCTTGACTCCCTCCTCAATTCGCCCGCAAGTCCAACAGACCACAGGCTCTTGTCTTTTGTAGCCGTCTCGTTCATTTTGTTCTTTTTTACATCCGATGGCTGATTTTACTCAAGATGAGGCAGGTGGGGTTAAAAACCAAAGAAAAAAGTCTGCTCACACACTTTTTGATGCACTGACCTAGTAAACAGAAGCTCTAAAGTTTCTCTCGATGACATTTTAGCTTTGAAAAAATGGAAGTCTTAATTCTCAGAACGATTTTTCGACTGTGAGGGTTGGTCTACCAGTTCGAGAGTGTTATCACAAAAATAAGCAAGCTACCCGTTAAACTTCACAAATTAGTCAAAATGAGTTATTTCAGAAGTTTTTTCTCGGATCTTATTTCACTTTTTCTGTTTCTTTTTCCAACAGAATTGTGTATAAGGCAATTTTCATGAGAATTTTTCATAATTAAGGTTTGTAAAGTCCAGAACTCTTGAACGATCCTCTTTCCTCCGTTAGATAAACTCAGTGAGAGTTGTGAAAATGACAACTAGCTCAAGTTCATATTTTTTGAGAACTTATTTATCCTTTTTTTCCTTTCCAAGGATATTCCAAAGTAAAAGCAAGGTGAGTTTCTTTCTGAGGGTTTCCGATAAAGCTTCCGTTAGATTCTAAAAAATTCAACGAATTGGACAATTAGTTCAATCGCGTATCATTCTGACATTTTTGTTGATTTCTGATTGAAGAAATGTATATCAATCGAAAAAAACATGGCGCGGATCTGGGGCCGAAAATCCCGCTTCCAGTCGTTTTTCTTCTTTCCTTCCTCTCCGCACCATAAAGCGCTTGCCGCTTTGCAAAACCCACATTTTCCTTTGCGAACGTAACTTTTAATACTCGAAATGCTTTTTTCCTGCAGCTGAAACTGAACTATCTCCATCTCAAGGGCTCTGTACAAAACGCATTTATATGAAATCGAACTTTATAAATCTAAGAAAAGTCTTTGTTTTCAATCCATTATTATTTTTCTTCTTCTTCCCAGTTTCCTAACTTCACGAGCCTCACTCGAACCGTCCTCAACCCGAATTCTGAAGAAGAAAAAAAAATGTTGAGCAGAAGTCATATTACCGTGCCACTCATGCGACATGAAACGCTCATCTTCAATCACCCAACTCGTCATTCAGAATTTTCGGTCAAGTGGCCGTCCGACTTCGGTGTCTTTTTGAGGTCAAAGCATCTGCGAAACTATATCAGTTCTGAACGTTCTTTTCCAGTCTTGTCTTCCTCAAATACTTGCCATTTTTCTTCTCAATTATTTTACTCGCACCCATTTTCCTTCGAAAAAAATTTCCGACGCTTGATAAATCTCTCTTTTTCAGATTTGAACCCTATAGTTTTAATTTTTTCAGTTTTAAACTTCTTGATTCCGATAGCCCTGATTCCTAACGGAGAAGGGCAAAATACCAGATCTGGAAAGCTGAGATGCGCGTTTGGGTGCTGGCAGTTCTGCTGGCGGCCCAAGCGGCCCGAGCACATCCAAGTGACCGCAGCAAGTGTTCACTGGAGTGTTACGCCCTCTGCATGCAGTCAGGCACGGTTAGTTGTTCTTCAGAGGTGTTTTCTGCTTGTTTCGGGCTTTAATGAGCACTTGGATTCCTTTTTTGAGCACTGACATTTCGTACAGCTAGGGTTTTCCTTGAAAAATCTCAGAAGTTACAAAGTTTTTATAGAATCAACAGTATAATCGGTAATAGGTGCGTATAATTAGATTGAAAGCTCGTTTTTGCCTACCGCGCTAAGCGTATAAAAGGACAATGGCCCCAGGTTTTTTAAGTCTTGGACGAAGCTCGCATTTCGTTTTGCGTAAGCTAATTGTCTTCTCAGACTAGCCGAAAAATAGAAAGTTGATTCGTAAACTAGCCATCAATCCAGAGAAAAAGTTTTGCAGCCCAAGGCCGCGACATGCAACTGTCCGTCCGAGAAGAACGCCCTTAATTGCTCTTCCGTCGACGCTGCCCTCCTTCGCGGTTCGCTTTCGCTCTAAAAGACTCACCTGATTTCCTGAAACTGAGTATGTTCAGCGCCGACGTCGGATCCGACGGACGCCGCCTCGACGGAGTACATCGACGCTCACACGATTCGCGCCCGCATCACTCCGCATCCTGCCGCGTTCGCCTACATCTTCGAGTACTCCACGATCAGCACGATGCCTGATCTTTGGCATTTCGCCGTTAGTTTTCTGTCTTCAAGTAGACGAAACTCCTAGGACGGTTCATATTCTCAAATATTTATAGTCAATTTTTTCCGACTCGAAAGACGAGAAAGGTAGATTGGGGAGGGTGAAGCATTCCGTCTGCGAGGCGACTTTCGGCGGAGATCAAATGTAATCACGGAAAAATCTAGACAAAAATAACCCTTTCAAGTCGTGAAGGATTGACTATATCAGAAGTTTCATTCAGGACAAATACCAAAGACAAAAATCTCAAATTATTTTTCTAGTTCTTCGAAAACTTTATTTTCTAAAAAAATAATGAAAAGTTGATGTGCGTCGAAATTGAAAACTGCTGTTCTTTCACGCTTAGAAATGATCGTAAAAGACGCAATAAAATTTTTTTAACTTTTTAAAAGTTACAAAAATACTGAAAAAAACGAGAAAATCAGAAAAATAATAGCAACCACTACTTGAGGCATTGAACAGGAAAATATATCTCAAATTTGAAGGGGTTCCTGAAAAATTGATTTAAAATCGTATTCAGTTTTGAATAATGGTCTCTTTTTCGTACTAATTTATGAGAAAGTAGGTTAGAAAAAGAGCTGAGGCTTCTCATGTTTGTTCCGAAATCTGCAAAAAAAGGAGCGTGTGAAAAAGAAAAAAAATCTTTAAAATTTTTTTTAAATTCAAACTTTTAATTAAGACGAAACACTCTTGAAAATAATCGTTTCAAATTTTTCCCAACTAATTGGTTTCATGTCCAGGGAGCGTCTGAAAACTCCTCAATAACTTTTTCCGTGCTCGACTCGTGTCGCGATTATCAAATGAGGTATTGTCTCGCAACTTTCCTTTTTTGGCAGCCGAGAAACAAAAAGTCTTTCAGAACTATAGTAGTTCTACGGAGCTCAGACCCGAAAGAAATGTTCGAAATCATCCGTCCACAGCCGATTTCTGTTCAGCTGCCGCCGTTCGTCCTCACTAGTCAACAGGTTGGATTTCCATACTTTTTCGAAAGGAACTATGTCCCAGATCAAAGTCGAGACTCCGACGGCGACCAACGGCAGCCATGGCGCTATCAAGGCTTATATCCGCTGGTCCTTGCCGAGGTCTGTTCTGTCTCTTGATCATACTAGTTGTTTTAGGGGCTACTCAGACGGCGACATTTACGGATACGAGGCGCCGGCCTTGTATCCAATCCAGTGCAGCACGCCGGAGGACGAGCTCCCCCAGCCGAAAATAGTTCGTTCTCTTTCTATCGTTTTATACTTCACCCATATTATTTTCGTATGTTTGAAAAATGATGGCGACGACACTATTGGACTTACTGTAACTGAAATGAGGAAAATTGCCCTGCGTACGCTTGCAGCCAAATTCAAAGAACTGGTATAAGTTGCCCAGTCTGAGTCTCAGTTTCTTTGTGCCCTCCGTTCTTTCATCGCACATTTCTGAGAACATAGGATATAACAGGGATCATAGATTTTCTAATTAAAACTCTAAATAAGAAACTTTTCTAGACCGCACATATTTCCTCAACGCCTTCTCAAAAAGATAATAACGTAAAAACTATGACCAAGCTCATCAAAACAGTCATTGTCAAGAACGAGTTTAATCTTGTTTGAAGACCTTATTTGAAAGAATGGAGGCGTAACGAAGAAAGGACTTTCCAGAAATATTTTTCGAGTTAATGCGAGAAGAGTTATTCTGGGGTTGATTCGTCTCTCGAAGGTCATTTTTCGAAATGCAAAAAGATCTTTGGATGTCCCACGTTACAATACTTCGATTATCGATTGTCGGAAATCTCAACAAATTTGCGGAGCTCTTTTTCAGGGTTCTAATTAATAATGAATTGAGGAAATCGTGAGAAGCGGTGGAAGATTAGCAGTGACGTTGCCCTCGTCGGTGCTGGAAGCGAGATGTCGGATGTGGGTAGAGGTGCGGATGCTCCCCAGGTGACCTCCTCTATAGAAACCCACCCATGATCATCTTCAGATGCGTGAGACTCGAGCCTTTCAACATCCAGAAGAACATCGAGATCGACTGCGACAAGAACGAACTCGAAATCTGCAACAAAGGTGTCCCTACTTCTCTTCTTCGCTCATCTTGCCTTCCAGACCTCAATCCGATGTGCACAGACAAGATCGAAGTGAGCGGAGAACGAGGCAAGGCCAAAGTGTCTTGGCAGAGGCCCAAGCAATCGCCCGTCTACTATCATGTCCGCTACGGACCCGCTCAAATGAAGGTTAGTGCAGTGCACAGACGACTCCCACATCTTCCTTAGATTCATCTTTTTTCAATGTATCAGTAGTGGACAGCATTTCATTTGGTTGGATGACAATATCATTTGAATCAGAAATTTCAAAGTTTCAAAGTGTTATAAGAATAACTTCATGACAAAAATGTACATCTCAGAAAATGATTAAGGGAGCTCCTCCATTCGTCTCATGGCAGCTGGCCGCAAAACGGGAAGTCCGTATTGATGGAACTCTTTCAAGTTTCTCTCTCGACATTCCTGAAAATGAAGATTTTGGAGTTCAGGTGAGTTCCTTCGAGGAAACTATCACTCGAGAAACCTCCCAGGTCTGCGCGATTATGTCGAAAAAGCGAAAAAGGCCCAAATTCGGAGTCGTCAAAGTGGTGCCGTTTCTCTGCAGCAGCTGCTTCAACTCCCGTTAGTTCCGTTTTCTCTTCTCGCTATTGTCTTTCAATTAAGCGGCCGACACTGTCGGCCGATGCGGCGAGTGCGGCAGAATAGAAGGTTCGACGGTCCTAGAGAGCCGCTGGAGAGGACTTCCGTTGGCGACGACGGCAGCTGCAGAAATCCAGCCTCCGGTCTCTCCGGCAGCCCAGCCGACCGTGTTTGGCATCGAAACAGATCTGAACATTGCAGATAGCGCCCAGAGCGTTCCATTCATAGCGAAATCAGACACGGTCAGTCTTTGAGAAGACATTTCCGGCATGCATCTTTGTTTCAGCGACATTCTACTGATTCTCCAATCCAACTCAAGCGAGCCGAAGAGATCAACAGTGGCAAAGAAGAAGAAGAAGAAGAAGAAGAAGAAGTAGAGGTGGAGGAGGAAGTCGAAGTTTCTCTGAGCCCCGCAGAAATGTCTTCCTCTTCCACCACAACTGAAGCTCCGAGCACGACAACCTCAACGACTACTACAGAAGCAGCGAGCACGACGACAAGCACGGCAGAGACTTCAACGAAACCAACGACGACGAGCGTCACACCGAAGTCTGTGACGCGTGTTGTCAACGTGGAGGCCGAGTTGCACCCTCCTGGAACCGCTGTAAATGATAAGAACGTACGACGGAAAGAGTTGAACGAGGAAATAGAGAAGTCCGTCAAAAACTTGGAAGACGTTTTGAAAGAGACGGAGGATATGAACAGGTCAGTAATGAACAAAATTCTGTGGAGGCACTCAATTTGATCTCTAGGAACACGAATGACCTGACAGCTGTTGTTGATCCAGAGCTCTCGAACCTGACACATACAGCGTTGAGCGAAGAAGTGGAAAGAAAAATCGAAGAGGCCGCGCGCAAACTCCAAGACAAGGTTCCCTAGAAACGCAAAAAAGGGTTTATGAATGAAGGGCAGCTGACGTCGTTGGTCGCGACGTCTTCGGAAGTGCGTCTGCACGAACAGAGCAAGAAGTGTCTGCTGAGCAGCGGCGCCGTCTGCGAGTTCGGCTGCGTCGACCGCAAAAAGTGTCGGTGTCCCAACGAGAGCCACGTTCAGACCGCGGAAGGGACTTGCGTTAGGACGGACAGCCTTCCACGCACCGTCTGTCTTCCAAAAATGGAGATCAATGCCACTTGGGACGCGGTCACGGGGAATGTTTTGGCGAGTCGAGAGCTTTTGAATTGCTTATTCAAGATTTATTTTAGGTCAAAAGTCTGGAAACACTTTCTCAGCTACAAAAAGTCGCAGGGGTTGATAAAGTTTTTATCGAGTTCGGCAAGGTTGGTGCTTTAGTGAAAGATTTTGAAGAATGGATATGAAAAACTTTTGAAAATGGAGGTTTTGAGAATTTTTCTCAAGTAACGCTTCACAAGAAGCCTATAGTCTGTGTGCCACGACTTGGAATTTCACCAAACGACATTCCGCTGTGCCGCTGTGCGCCTTTGCTAACCTTGGTCGCGCTTTTAATTTTTTTCCTTTATTAAGGCACTCTACTTTCATGTGCTTTCACAGCAATAACAATTAATTGAAATCGTGACCTAGATTCGAAAGACGCTTCGCGAACGCACGCAGCGGAACAGCGGAATTTTGTTTGGTGAAATTCCAAGACGTGGCACACAGACTATAGAAACGGAAGAAAATCAGCGTTTGAGCTTTTTTCGTACCTTTAGGACGAACTATTTCCTAGTACCTTACTTATGGCGCTAGGCAAATGAATTCTTTTATTTTTGAGTACTAATACCTTCTAGGACTACCTGTCTCACAAGATTGAACCAGTTCTGCATTGTTCACTGCAGACACTTCCCTTGTTTTGGCCCCTTTAAAATCGTAGAAAGATTACTTTGATCCAGGTAGTGTGCGTTAAAGAGTTCCTGAGCACAGTTTTTTTCGAATCCTCAAACACGAAGTAAAGAATTATCTCCCTCGTTATACTTTCTTACCGATGGAGAATCAAAAAAAAAGCTACATAAAAAAAAAAACTGTTTACGGTTTATTATTATAATTAGCAAAAACGTCTCGAAACTAGAATGGTTTCAGCCTAATAAACTTCGAGTATATTCATACCTCATGAATTTGATCAGGTGAAAACGCCGACAAGTTCTACATCGTCGAGTTCTCCGCTAACATTCGCACAGACGCCTCCTCGCAGCAGAGTGGTAGTAGATATACAGGTCTGAGTACCATTTGAGCCTCTTCCATGCCGAGAACTCTCAGAGCTTGTCCAAGACGTCAGCTTTTTCGGAGAAGCCGTTCGTCTTCTTCGTCAACAGGTCGATTGACGTCGGCGAGGCCTACGGAATGCGCCTGTGCACTTTCAATTCTTCACAAGTCCCCGTTGGTGGACGGCCAATCTAAGGAAATTGACCGGCTTTTTAGCATCCGTATGAGGTGAACTGGGACTCCTCGCCGAGTGTAGTCGACATCGCGCAGCTGGATCGACTGTCTCCAGTCTCCTTCACCAACCGGCTACAGCTGTCAGAAGACACGACGGACGACTACTGGAGCACTGTGTTCATTGTGGCAAAAGTGGCTATTCTAGTGGTGTTGGTAGGAAGGAGCACTCTGACCGTGTCTGACTCGAGATTCTCAGGCCGTCGTCATGTTCATTCTCGTTTACCTCAACTGCACGAGGATAAAGGCGCTGTACGACCGCAAACGGACGCACTACTTCAGGCCGTACTTCGTCGAGCCGCCGATGCCGACGGCCAGCTGGAACGAGAGAAAACCACGGGATCACTCCAGAACTTATTATGAACCTCGATCTAGGATCATTTGACGGACCACATCTTCTGAAACCGAATAATTCGTATCTCCTCAAGTTTTGACTCACTCAAATTCAATAATTATTGAATCATCCACCTCTGATCTCGATAATCTTGGAACAAAAGCTTTTCTCTGCATCCGTTCTCAAATTATCATTATTGTGTAGGTTTCTCTTTCTTTCAAACTACAGCCTTTACACGTTGAAAAATTTTCATGTCCATAAGTTTCGCCGAATAATAAAAAAACATACAGGTTTTCGCTTTATCGCGGCAAAAATATTGTGCAGAGTGAAAAATAGAGCGGGAAGTATCAAATGAGAGTGATTTTGTCGTCGCTGACCATGGCGGCGTTGTCGTTCTCGAGCTGCTCGTAGCCAGCCACGAGTTCTTCTTCCGTGAAGGCATCCTCGCCGGCTTGATTCTGGATACCTGCAAAGTAGCTAATGAATGAAAAAAAGCTACATTTCCGACTATAGGATAGAAAAACGTACTCTCTGTGATAGTGGCCAAGTCAACCATCTGGTCTGTAGCGCCCAAGTCATCGAACGCCTTTCGGACGTACTTTCTCAGTTGCTTGTACCTGAGAGGACTCTAGTGGGTACAAAGTAAACAATCGACGAACCTGTCGACGCCGATGGCCGCAGGACCGGTCCGTTGTCGTTTGGCGGCAGGTTGCGAAGGACCAGCCTCGGACTCATCCATCGGCTCTCCCGTCGACTCCATCGTTTCATCCGCTGCTCTCCTTGAATTCATTTATTTCAGCTTTTAGCTGGGCTCCGAAAACATGAGATTAGCTTTTTATCTGGCAGCTTTTCAGAAAAATTTCTATAAAAAGCATCGACCTAGGAAAATTCAGAATACATTTTTTTTTTTGATTTCGAAAAAAAGTGCAGGGTTAAGGTCCCCAAATGGTCGAAGCAGTCCAAATTATCAAAAAAATAAGTTTTTTTGTCGGACAAAAAAATAAAAGCTGTCGTTGAAATTTCTCTTATTTTTATTGAGATTCAACTTAAATACGGTGAAATTAGATTTTTTTAAGAAAATTAAAAAAAAGATTGTTTCTAATGTTCACCTTTAAAATGATATAAAAAAGCTTCAATCTTAAAAATTTCCGAAATGACTACTCTCGAGCCTTCAGAACTTTTACAAAATCCTATCTGATCAACTTTAAAACCCGAAAGAAGAAGGCACCTGCGGACGCCGCGACGCCTCTGGGAGTTCTGGCTGCTGTCTTCAGTGACTGTCGACTCCTGGCTCATCTCCTCCTAAATCTCCGACTTCGAGTCTGATTCAGGATTGGATGTACCTCGTTGTCGCTGAGCTCGTGGTCGCTTTGATACCCAGTTTTCTTTTTCTCGTAGTCCATTCGGGCCTTGGGCTTCTCTTTGAAGCAGGCGTAATGCAGAAGGTTGTAGGCCTTCTCGGCGTCTTCTCTACTCACAGTCTTCGAGAACCGAACCTTCGCGATTGCCGTTGAGATGCGGATCAGAGTTTCCAACTGTCTTGCGGTCACCGGCATAGTCTGAAAACAATTGGCTCCTCTCCCAGTCCACAAACATCCTTCATAACGGCCTGGCCTTGACATCTTATTGTGATCAATGGGAACTTTTTTGAAAGTGTTTTGAACAGTCTTCAGGCTTATCACAACAACATTCCGGCAAAAATTGAGTTTTTTTCAATTTCAAAAAGTTAATGATGATTATTGCATTAAAATATAGGTCGATCTACATAAAAAAAAAAGAACATACTCGTTCTTGATCAGTCTTTGAAACGTCGAAAGATCTGATTTCGGCGTAAACTTCGGAAATGAATTCTGAAGCCTCGTCGGTCAACTTGGGCGTGATGTTCTTGGCGAGATGGATGTATTTACGCATGAAGTCAATAGTCAGGATTTCGCGTCTTAAAAGCCAAGATTTCGAAAAAAGAACTGAAGCCAGAACAAACGTCTCATCGCCCGCCCACGACGTGTTCTCCTCGTAGATGCGACGGGTTTTCTTCGCCTCCAGGTTGAAGGTGCTCACCGTTTCGACACCGCTTCCCATCGGCAAAACCGTTCCGTCGGCCTCTCCGGGCGTCCGGAAAGTCTGTAGAGAAAGGACGTGGCTCGCCACTTCGCCGTCTCGCTCCGCGTCGTGCTGTATCACATGTCAACCTCATCACACATCTTCTTTTTGGAAATTGATTCGATCGATTCAGAAATTCTTTCCTATATTTGAAAAACGCCTTATTTTTGACAAAAAAATTTTTTTCACTCACTTTACTGAAAGTTTTCGAAATTTTGACATAAAAAGTTTCGAAACAGGAAAATCGAGACGTCCGATAGCCTTATATTGGATATCGTGCTGTATTCAACGTAAGATTTATCTTGTTTTAAAGCCCTTAGAAGAAATATATGAAAAAAAAAACCTCGTCAAGAAGAACGAAAATGAGATCGAAACGAGACAGAAGGGAATCCTGCATGCCGATGTTGTCCATGGGCGACTTGAAAGGGTCGTACCTAGAGTCCAAACGCGACTTAGTTTCGGTGAACGAAGCGATCGAGGAACCTTCCGTAGACAGGATTCGCAGCCGCGAGAACAGAGCAACGAGCGTTGAGCCTCGCGTGGATCCCGGCCTTCGAGATGGTGACGCGGCCCTGCTCCATGACTTCGTGGATGGCGGTACGGTCGATGTCCGACATCTGAAGGCCTAGTCATCACAGAAGCGACTCTTCGTCTCGGACCTTGTCGAACTCGTCGATGCAGACGACGCCACGGTCGGCGAGCACCATGGCTCCGGCCTCGAGACGTCGTTCGCCGCTCTCAGGGTCAGTCGTCACGGCCGCCGTCAAGCCTACGCCTGAAGATCCGCGACCAGTCGTAGTGATCGCTCGTGGCGCCATCCGCAAAACGTATCTGAATGTTATTTTTCTTGAGAACTTCTGTTTCGCCCATTTCATCCAATGCTCTTCACCATATAACCTAAGACTACCTCGAGAAAAAAAATATTCAGAAAGAGCTACCGATGTTAAGTGTATGCACAGGGCAGAAACGGATTGTGAACGCGCATACATCAGGTTAGAGAACAAGGCTAGAGTGGAAACATCAGAAGAACCGTCTCTTCTTTTTCCATGTTCTAAAACTTACTATATGCGCGCATACCGATGAGGGTTTACCAGTCGTTCCCCCTTATCAAACCCCCAAAAGCACAGATGGTAGAACTTTTGACAATATTTTTCACTACAGATGACGCATCCTTTTGGCAAAGTTGCGCCTCAAATTTTCGATCTGAACACAGCTGGATCACCTATTTCTTGTTGTACATGTTGTTTCCCCGTTTTAGCAAAACTGAGATTCCATAGGCTCAAAATAAATGAGTTTGTTTGGAGCACACCCGTTGAGACACCAGGAAATCATGAAAGCTTTACGCCTTGCGTCACAACGACTCTTTGACGCGATGAAGATAATAAGAAGCCTTCGAAACGTAAAGATGAACATTTTTCAAAATTCTGTAGTATTATCATTTGATGCTTAACATTTCCATTTTTTAGTGGCGAAACCATTGAAAGAATGAGAACTATGCAGCCTTTTCGAACAGAAAAAAACTGAATATGATACCTGAGAAGCTGCGATTTGGCGACTGAAGGATCTCCGATGAGCAGGACATTGATGTCGCCTCGAAGTCGACTGCCGTTGTCCAGAATCTTCTCCATGCCTCCGAGAAGAAGACACAACAAAGCCTTCTTAACCTCCTCGTGGCCGAAAATCGACGGCGCCAGAGAGCGCGAAAGAAGTTCAAATGGCTAAAGAACGAAGAAATGAGGCGAAAATCCGAGAGTCTTACGTTTTTGCTTCGGCTGATCTTTCGAACATCTTTCACGTCCTGCGGCTCAAAGTTGGGGATGATCTCCTTGGAAAGAAGGTGGATGTTGTTGCAAATGACGATAGATCTGCAAACACTCAGAAATGAGCAAAATTCAAAAAAGCCACAGAAGAATCAGAGATTTCTTAAGAATAGTAGTTTGTGAACGTTTGCCTTAAATAGGAAGTGCTAAAGGTCGAGGTATTGAAATTTGATGAAACTTGGTATATAGGTACTTTCAGACACCCTGAATCCAAAGAATTTGAAACAAGTGCCTTTTTGTTTCTAGCCGAGTTATGGCGCCACAAATTTTGCACGCGAATAATGCATTGGATGGAATGAGGGAATGTGTTGCAGTGGCTGCGTTTTAGGGGGAATTTCTTTTTGCAAATGTTTTTCTTGGAGAAAAAGAGATTCGAACTTGCATCATACGTTCAACAACACAAGGTCGCTAGCCACTAAAGCAAGCCGCCTGCTGGCAGTTAAAGGCAGCCACTGCAACACATTCCCTCATTCCATCCAACCCATTTTTCGCGTGTAAAGTGGCGCCATAACTCGACTAGAACTAAAAAAGTGCACTTTTTTCAACTTCTTTGAATTCAGAGTGTCGAAAAGTACCTATATACCAAGTCTCATCTAATTCCAATACCTCGACCTACTACACTTCCCGTGTTAAAAGTTTTTGACAAAGGACCACCGGGCGTCGTTTTCATAAAACGAAAACGCGTCCAAATTTGTAAATAAGCGAAGAAACAGACCGGAAAGATCCTGAAGAGACGCCGTTCTGCTTGTTGGGCAGAACGCGGAAGATGCCGATGACGCGGACGCGGTCGCCCGGCTTGACGCGATCCGCGAGATCGAGGTCCGCCACGCAGTCCACCGATCGCGGCAACTGTCCTGCTGGAGCACACTCCGGCATTTCCTCAATCACAAACTTTTTCCCAAAAAAGTAAACCGTGATAGCCTGCTGTAAACACGCTATGAACGACTTTCTCTCAATTTTCATTTCTTTTAATTTGTGTTGCTTCCCAGAAATTCAACACTTACCTGGATGGAGAAAGTCTGATGATCCTTGTAAACACATTGTCCAAACTCCGTTTCTAGCGGATTCTTGTTCTCGTCCTTGAACACAAGAATTAAATACAAACAAAACTAAAAATTCACCTCAGTAGGATAGGCGTTGTTGGTAACCGCCGCGTCCAGCATTGTAAAATCAGCAAACTTTTTTTCCAGAAATTTCTTGGTCGCCGGACAATAATGAACGCTTGTCATTAGTTTCTGCTTGATAGACGAGCCTAGAAACGAGGAAATTTACTTGAAACACAAAAACACGAAGTCACATTTAGTAACGATTCCCTCGCAACAAACCATACTGCCTAAATACGTAGATTTGAGAGACCGCGGATTAACATGCCGTTCTCCGAATGTCCCTTCAAAACCTATGTGATAGCCTCTAAATCAAAAAGAGATATTAAAAGGAAGGTTCCGAATTCGTACGTCTTGGCTACACTTTCATTATCGACTCGGACTACGGCTTCCGTGAGAGCCGTTTGCAGACAAATGAGCTCCTGGACACTGTCCTTCAGGATTCTAAAACCCCTACTTTTTCCAAGGTCTTATTACAAACGAACCGATCGGCTCTGACGGGGTCTTTCATACGAATATCGTCAAGATTGACAATCAGCCTAGTTTCTCCCTCTGTGATCATTTTGACAATCTTCTGTCGGTATGGATTCGATTCAGCCTATCGCAAAAGTTTCACAAGCAAAAAGTACTTCATACCTGATCATCTAGAAAGTTGAGATATTCTTGTGTGATTCCTTGTTTGTTGTTGTCTGCCTCGCGATCGATCAGCATCCCACCGTTAGTAGTCATGTTAGTAAGTACACAAACTGGAAAAATTAGTTGAGCAAGAAAATGGTCTTCAAGAAATTTGAGAAAGAAATACAAATTTGTTGAAATACAAATTTGTCAAATACAAAGAAATACAAATTTGTCAAATTTGTACAAAAGCACGAACGAGAGCACAACCTTATACATTTCAAATTTACGAATGTTTCACAATTGATATATGATGATGGTAAACCAATAGAAGTCCCGCTGATGCTTTAAATAAAAGAGAAAGGTTTTTGAATCAAAGTGATCAAGAGCTATCTGAAATTGGCGCCAAAATTCTAAATTTGTGCAAACACAGAGTCTTGCTACTACACAGTCAAAGTTTTTCCGCGCAATTGAATTTTCTGGCATCACTAAGAATAACTGCCGAGATAAACGCGAGACACTGGCGGTACATTGACGAGCTCGCAAACATCTCGCATTTTTTCTCGCGCCGGTCTCGCATTTTTCTGGGCGCCAGCTCGCACTTTTCTAGGCGCGAGCTCGCATTTCTCTCGCTATTTGAAAATTTCCGAAATGCAAGATAAATGCGAGATGGCGCCGAGAAAAATGCGAGGTCGCGCCGAGAGAAATGCCACGGTGTTCCGCGCAATGAAAAAAAATGCGAAAATTTGGGTCCCAGCGGCATATTATCCGTGGCGCATTATTGCGCCCTTCTCATGGTTTCTGATGCAAAAAAATTGAATTTCTTCACTTTTTTTCATTGGTTTTTTTACTTTTTTTCTATTTCTTGCATTTATGTGATCCGCCTCTCTATGGGTACATCTTGTGAAGCTTTAAATTGCGCATTTTTTTCTAAACCGGTTTCAGATCTTTAACTATTTTTCTCAAAAGAGCTGAAGATTTTTTTCTAAAAAGTCCTAATTTTTTTCAAAAATTTTTGAAATCTGTTTCGCGACATGAAAATAATCACTCTATTTCGGAAACTATAGTTTTTTTAATTTAATCAGTTAATAATAAAAAGTTATTATCTAGTTCCTTTGACGTAGTTTAAAAACCGGTTTCGCGTAAATTAGAGGCAAATTGAATTTGCTGATGCAGTTTAATGATTTTTGATATATGAATCATCTAAATTATTTTTTTCTAGTTTTTTTGATGGTTTTTTTCGGATTTAAACAAAAAAATTTCGCCATACGAGGTTTTTTTCTAAAAATTTCTGCTTTCTATCCATTATTTGTTTTTTTCTGAAGCTAGGTTTTTCGAGGTATATAAAATGTTTTTTTCATTTGCTCCTCGAATTTTTCCTCATTTTAATATTTTTTTCGTATTTATAAATGCTTATTCAAAAGGAGCTGATTCATTTTTCATAATATTTTTTTGTTTTTTTATTTTGTAATCAGTAATTTAGAGTTTTTCCCTTTTCGAAATCGTTCCTAAATGTTTTTTTAACGTAAGTGAATGTTTTTTTCACATCATATTCTTCAAAATGACAAATTTCGAACATTTCAGGAGCTATTATCCTGAAATCGCAAATTCTAAAATTGAAAAAGTATTTTTGAGTATGCGATAGTGCGTCTCGGTGTGCTTACACCCTAAGCATCATAATTTACGAAAAGTCTTGACCTTGCGTAATAAAAAAAACACCGTGATGCGGGATCGCGCCTAGAAAAAAGCGACATTTTTGCGAGTTGGTCAATGTACCGCCACCGAGCTCGCGTTTATCTCGTCAGTTATTCTTAGTGATTTCTTGAATAATCTTGTTGAAGAAATATCCGGCTTGTAAATTTTTAAAATTAAAACGCCCTGATTTTAATTATCTGAAATCTCACTGAAATCACTGAGGCTTCAAAACGTTTCAGAGTTCAACTTTCATTTTTCAAGAAGTGCTTTCCTTTCATTGCTACTGTCTCGCGTTGCTTCTTTCCGAAATTTGTTTTCAAAATTTTTGATTTTTTGAAAAAACAAAAAACACGGAATTAGTACAGTCGATATACTACATTCACAGCTAGCTCGAGAAAAAGAAAATACTAAGGCCTCCCAATATTTTTTGTTAATATATTCTCTTTCAAGATATTCGAACCAGAGGCCGTTTGTTCGAATATAGCTGATTCACGGCTGGCTTGAGCCATCAAAAAAAAAGAGGCCTGAAAGGGATCCCAAGTTTAAAAAAAAATCCAAAAAGGCGTCTATAGGCGAATCGAGAAAGGGTATCGCGAAACCCTGAGTAATATCGCAGGCTCTGAAGTCTCAAGATGGTACCTCGAGGATACCTCCGTTCCATTTTGAGAGATATATTTGTGGACAAATTATGGTACCCTTTCGATTCGCCTGTGTCCCAAGTTAGCCATGAATCGGCTATATCTTGAGACTAACCGCACGGTGAATGAATATATCCACATAAGAGTTCTCAAAACCAAACGTTTGAACGAACGTTCGACCAAACATTTTTCGAACAAATGTTGAAACAAAACTTTTGGTTAAAGTTTGAAATGAACGTTTCGTTCAAAAAGTCATTTTATTAAAGTTCGCTTTTGAACGTTCATTTTTCATTTTCAAAAAGTCCGTTCAAAAAATGAACGTTCATCTTTCATTTTCAAAAAGTTCGTCCGAAAAATAAACGTTTATTTTTCATTTTAAAAAAAGTTTTAAAAAAAGTTCGTTCAAAAAAATGAACGTTCATTTTTTCATTTTCAAAAGTTCGTTCAAAAAGTGATCGTTCAATTTTTCATTTTCGAAAAAAATTCGTTTTTCTCTCGAAGAACTTTCATTTTTTAAAATCAAAGAATAGGGAAATAGTCAAGCTTTGTGAGAATTTCGCGCATTCCACATACTCACGTCTATGACTATATCGGAACAGTGATTCTTCCTCATCAACATATATGTCATGCCGTTTTTGATAACTGTGAGAACCTCCATTGAATTTCAAGTTCATTGCTACAGAAGCCGTAAGGCAAAATTCTCTACCCAAACATTGGGATTGAGATTTCAAATCAACTGTAGGAAATTAGACGAACATAAAATTTGCGTATTTGTTCCGACCAATACAAAAACTGCGAAAATTTGTGCATGAGATGATATGACTAGTTGACTAGAAAGTTTCGAAAAAGACTAGGAGCATAACAATCTGGCAAGAATGTGAACCGAAAAAAAAAAATGAAGTTTGCACAATTCTATGGCTATCAGCGACCGGAACCGAAATAATATCATATTAATATGTTTGAAAAAATTGGAATGGGAATGTAAAGCAAATTAGGGAAGACAGTAAAAGCATATTAAAGCCTGAAAACCAGGATAAGAAGAAGAAGGAAGAAAACCATTATTCCAATAGTTTAAGAACTTTCCTATGATTACATAGATACAAGCTTGAACCGCCAAGGAAAACGCTGCATCAAAAGGTAAAAAGAATATTCTGGATGGGTCAAGCGTGGGGGATAATTTCAGCCTTTGTAAGGGTGCAAACTTATTGTCCTTGACTCCATGGAATTGTCGAGCAGGCAAGATCGTAACCAAATGGAAATGAGAAAGGTGAACCAATATTCAGATAAAAAACTATGCTTCTAGTGGAAGTTGTATTTTGGACTTTATCGGTATTTACAAAAAAGGAATGTTTTTGTGAGATGACAGTATAATTTTGACGTGGAAAATACCTATCTGGGCGTAAGCAAAAAAAAATTAAAGAAAGAGAACGGAAATGTTCGTTGTGAGAAGACGAGGCGAGCAATATATGTAAAAGAAAAAAGTCAGAATGATAAAAAAAAAATGAAATAAATAACTCTGAATGAAACACAGAAATATGAAAATAAGTGTAAGAGAAAAAAGAAAAACGAATGAACATGGACACCGTGGACAGGAAAGATTGTACCTCTCGGTAATTAAGGAACTAAAAGACTTTCTGAATACCGAAGTTAAAAAGACAAGAAAATGAGAAAATTGGATTTGAAGACAAAAAAACTAGTAGGTGAAGTGAGGATTGACGAAGGAGAAGCCACGGAACTCGTCCTGGTTGATGCTGCGGACGACTGAAGGATCTGTAGGGGTGAGGACAGGCTCTTCTTTTGTGAAGTCAGAGTCGAAGTTGTTGGCATCGCGTTTTGATTTCTGCAACGAGCAGGAACACTTGAGAAAAGTACAGGACGACCTACGATTTTGGGTTTGAAAGGCGGCTTGACTTGGCGAGCTTCAAGGGCGTCCCAGTCGATTTCTCGGAAAAATGGATGTGCACGGATTGCGTCTTCTCCTCCTTGCGAAGTCACGCAACCTAACCGTTTCGAGGGATTCTTCGTCATAAACTGAAACAGTCCTATGGCCCTTCAAGAAGATTTTCACATCATAACACACGTCATTTTTAACATAATCAATTAATAGTTTGCTAGTCTAAAATCGTTTTAAAAAGGGGTAATCAGAATCTCTCAAAAGACCCGATTGAGAGCCGAAAGACCCAAAAGACTCACCAAATTCTTTCAGACCACAGAACGACTCGTTTGAAACAGCGTTAAGTCATACATCGACTGGATCCCACCCCAGCCTTTTGCGCGCAAAAAAATTTGAAAATTTGCTGAGATAGGTTGCACTTTTCGGCCGCAACAAAAAAAAATCGGCCCCCGGGGTGGGAATGCCGAAGCACTAATACCGCGTTAAGAGTCCTATTTTCACATTCAATCTATTATCAACAGTTTTGAAAAAACTTACAGCTTTCAGAATATTTACAGCTTCTTTTGAGAGCCAAACAGGGTACAAGACGTCATCATTCAGAATTGCCTGTAAAAATTCTTTATTTTTCAACTGGATATGATTTTTTTATTTATATTTCAAGGGATGAATTGTTCATAAACATGCAACCATAAACGGGTATGTAGACTCATACTTTCCCTTTTACCTTTTTACAAAGAGCGGGAGAAAGTTCGCGTATCCAAATAAAAATATTTAAGATTGAAGATTTTGGGGACTCAGACTTTCCATGCAAGTTCCGATCGCCGAGGCTTATGTCCTCAGGTGGTGTAGATAGTATGATGCTAAGACATTTGGAAGGGATACCTCGAAGAGGTCGTCCTCGTTGTCGGCTTCGAAGGGCGGCTGGCCGGCCATCATCTCGTACATCAGCACTCCAAGGGCCCACCAGTCAACCGATACTCCATATTCAAGTTCTTGCAGGATCTCCGGTGCGATGTAATCCGGTGTTCCTGCAAAACATTGATCATGTATTCCTTCTTCAAAGGAGGCTTTTTAATAGTTTTCCGTTAACCGCGAAGAAAGATAAGAACCAACCACAGAAAGTGCTGGTGAGGTTGTCCTTGTTGATTCCCTCCTTGCACATTCCAAAGTCGGCCAGACGACAGTGGCCCTCGGCGTCGAGCAGAATGTTGTCCAGTTTCAAGTCCCTTCAAAAGAAGGCGTAAGAGAAAGTTTCTGAGAGGCGCAACCGATAAATGACGTCATTTCGATGCAAAAACTGCAGGGCGCACGTCACTTCGGCCGCGTAAAATCTGGCGCGTCCTTCGTCGAATTTGCGAGCCCGTTGGATTTGGAACATCAAATCGCCTCCGTTCACGTATTCCATCACAAAGAAGAGACGGTCCTGGAAGTGAAATTGACTTGAAATCTACTTCCAATTTAAACAATCACTGATTTTGTAGAATACAACACGCATTCCATCCCGAGTAACAGTTTGAAACGGAAAAAAAACTTCAAATTTTACATTTCTATAAGCCCGCACTTTACTTTCTCACTTTCCTATCCGAAATATTTCAACTATTTGAGCCAGAGGTTGAGGATTGAGATGGCAGCCATGCCATGCCATCTAGCCATTTCATAGAAATGATCCATAATTTCACGTCGTCTTTGGTCACTAGGTCAAGCGCGTAGCGATAAGCCTTGAACTAATTATTTTCAATTTTCGCACATTTAAATTTTTATTTCGCAAGTTTTGTTAACGTTCGTAACAGATTGCTACAGAAATTTCAGCAGGAAACTTTCCCTTTAACGCATTTTTAGTGAGGCACATTCACAATCTCAGAAGTCATATTTAGAAGCAAAGAATTACTTTTTTGGAATTTTCGAACGATAACCTTTTCCGTTGTGTACAAAAACTTGATACACTGCTCAAAAAGGCCATTTTGCCATAGAAATGACCATCGCGCCATTCTGACTTCTTGAAAAATACATTTCTACCTTGTGGGCGTTAATGGAAAGGCAGTCAGAGCGGCCTATCCATTAACGTCTTCCTCCACCTCTGAACTACTTCATTCAAGCGCCGTGAACACTTTTCTACCCTCTGCAGGGAGTTTCTTGGAGATGTAGGTGGAAATACTGACGGCGGTCTGGAAGCTGCTGTGGAGGGCGGTGAGGAACGGATGTTTGGCGGCGAGGCTGAGGATTCTCTTCTCGCACATGGTGCACTCGACGTCGTCGTCCTGCACGATCACGTCCTTCTTCAGAATCTTGATCGCGAACACCTCGTCGCTCCCCTTCCTCTCTGCCAACATCACCTGCAATCACTTCCATTCAACCTGTGGTACGAGACAGCCATGTGCCGTTGTTTTCAGGATGAGTTCATTTTGAAAAGAGCGCCAAGATTCCTTTTTTCATCAAGCTCGAAATGATCTCCAGAAAACTCGAAATAGATTCAAAGCAATTCTGAAACCCAAAAAGTGCCGCATGTACATCCTGGATCTTCGATAGATGCTTTTTGATAGCATAGTCTGAACAGGGATGTCTCTAGAAGCTAGTAGGTCGCCTTCAGCTTCACTATTAAAATTCAATCGTGAACCTATTAAGTTATTAATTCCTGCACGAAGAATTGAGAAAAAAAATGGCAAAAGGTGATGAATCTTCAAGAGTTAGGATAAAGCAGTTGAAAGGGACAAAAATAAAACTTACACGATACTTTCGAGCAAAAATATAATGGAAACGAGACTCTTTCGGAACGAATTATGCGAAGTGATAGTGGAAAACAAACTTTTCCAAAAGATCCCTTGCCAAGGACTTTCATGAAGGTGAAGTCGTTGATGGAAAGCGTGCCGGTGGGCTTGAGACCTCTGTTGGCGACTTGCGGCAGTCCGTCTTCCTCGGAGATTTGTTGCAAGTAACCTGAGGAGAGGTCAATCCAGAAGCCTCAGGTGCAACTCACCCGTCGAATCGGAGCTGATGGAGCAATTCGAGAGCTCCGTGCTCACGTCGGTCATTATCGACGGCTGAAAACAACACAGTTCAACTTCTCTGAACGTGATTTCCAACAAGGAAAGAAATCGAACAAACAGCAAGCTCGAGGTTTTTTGAAGGAACTCTTCGCGCTTTGCTCGATTTTGAGGGCTCAACCAGCGCAAACAAAACTTGCGCAAGAGAAACTTTGCAGAAAAAAAACAAGGATTTTTGTCAGAGATAACCTTTTTCTTGCTGCGAACGCTCATTTTGTCGCCTGTGAGTCCAAGTTGAGCAAGTTCGGCCGCCATTTGTTTGGCGTTGATCCCGCAGTTGTTCGCCACATTCCGTTGACATCTGCGAAAGGTTCTCGTTAAGTAAAGGTAACTCGAAAATCCAACTTCCTTCGGAAAGCTCCAGTTTTTTGCATTTTTTTTTCTAAAGAGAAGTACTCATTTTTAACTTCACCTTTATCTCACAAAAATGATAGTTTTCCTACATGATAGCACTTGCGCATTGAATTGATCGCTTCATACACTTTTTATGAGAAAATGCAAGTCCATCTCTTTTTGGAACTTCTCGCAAATAAATACACAAAAAAAAGCAAAGGTATTAGATGAAGATTTTACAAAATGTTATTTTTAAATCCGATCCGTTTTTTCTCAAGGAGCTGACTGCTTTTTCAGCTCTGGTATTTTTAATTTATGTTACCCCAGCACTGAAAAATTTCCAAGAATGCCAATAACTCTTTCAGTCGCCAAGAGACAAGTCTAGTTGTTGGGTAACAGAAAAATTATAAATTTCTGCGGGTTACCGAGAATTGCAGTTTTTGTTTTAGATTTCATCATAAATGATAACTAAAAATTCCGTGCATTTTTCAGAAAAAAAAGCAAGTTAGAATCTCGGTCAAAAAGTAAAAAAAAAAGGAACATGAAAGATATTTCTCTGGCTCTAAATTTCTCGAAAAGGACAAGACGAAACCAATGCAGTCGACTACCTCCAAAAAAAGAAGAAAAAAACAAACCTTTTATGGACATTGAGTTTGCAAACGGAGCACTGGAGGCCCTGATTGATGAGTCCGTAGAGCATCGACCCGCAATGATCGCAGAAGGTGGGTCTCTTGTAGGAGTGGACTGAGAACCGATGCGGCATATTTATGTTGAATCGTCCCATTCCAGTCTGAAGTTCTTTGAATCTGTGAAGCTAGCTAAAAGGCAAAATCAGATTATCAATATTCTCAACTATGCTTGTCTGTCTAGAAAATTCTAGAAAAGCCTTGAATTAGAACTTGAACCGAGAAACTTTGACAAAACAGCTTGGAAAAACAATATAGAATTATGCGCGTGAAATCGAAAACCTTCTGAAGTAAAAAACGTTCAATATATCTGAAAAGACAGCTGCAAAAATAGAATCGTAAGAAAAGCAAGCCGTCAATCAAGACTTCACTAAAAATCGTTTAGCGACGGTATAAGCTACACATTGCATATCTAAAACTGGAAAATATGAAAAAAAAAACTAATTCTTTGCTCGGCGACACATATTTCCAAATTGAAGCGATTAATCACCAATCAACTCTTTGAATATTGCAGTCAAACTCCTTTTTGAAGTGATTTTGATTGTTGTAACTCAATCCAAATTTTTTAGCACATTCTAAATCAGCCTCGGTGAATACGAGCTGACGAGAACTGTTCTGCGAGAAAGATTAAGAGACACACTTCGGCGACTTCTTTGCTGATTTCCTCGACGGCGTCGGCCTTGTTTCCCGGACATTTCCACACGACTTCTTCATGACATCGCTTATGCACCACTACTGTACAAACTGCAAAAATTCTATTGAAAAAAAAACCATCAATATATTCTCGAAACATTTCTTTCACATTTATCTACTTTCCAAAGGTTTCAGAGACAATAAAAACAGATGAAAATGGAAAAATCCGGATCCTAAAAAGTGACGGCCGAGAAAGCGACCCGTCGTTGGAAAAAAACTTTTTTTGAAGTGAGCTCTGAAGTTTTTGATAAAATTAAAATTGTAATCTTGTTATTAAGATCGCGATGGAGATCTGATCATTGAGTTTGAACGTTCGTGGTGTTAGGGTGATGTTTTATGGACATCATAATCATTTTCTTTAGAAAATTAAGTTGTCGAACTGATTGTCTGACATTTTGAATCTTTCTTCAACTTTCATTCACTCTTCTTCTATTTTACTTTTTTTTTCAATGTGTCCAAGAGTGGTTTGAATACGTTTAGAAGACACTGACTTTGGCATTGGTAGCCCTGCTTGCCGATGCCCCAGATGAACTCCTTGCAATGTGCGCAGAACGTCGGTTGCCGTAGGAAGAGTGCCATGAACTTGTGACCTGTCACCTGCACCCAAGAATATTGAGAACTCTCTAGAACCGGGAGGTCACCTCGTGGATTTTCCTTCGCATGGCGCCTCGACGAGCTCGATCGTTGAAGGCGTTGGTTCGTTCCTTGAACACCCTTTCTTTGTTGTGAGTGTGGACATCTGAAAAAAGTTTCTTGCGTTTTAAGCAAAAGGAACCGTTTCCGAAAAAGTTTGAAAGAAATTCATACCATTGCAAGAAACGAAAAACTATGGAATACAACCAACTATTTTCTTATCATTTGTTTTTTTTTAGATAAATAACGTTCTTTCTTATAGTTGCACAATGCAATTTTGAGCCAAAAGTTCAAGTATCTAAGAAAAATTTCTTGACAGGAAAAGAGAAACGACGTGCGAATTGCGCAGATTCAGACATTTTGCTGTTTTCATCCCAAGACAGCCGCGAATAAAGAGGAATTCCCTTCGAAACTCATACCATAAATTCCAATGGAAGTATCGAATTTGACTCAGAGCTCGCTAAAATTATCAAAGCGTCCCCTTTGAATATTTCAAATTAACCATTGCGGTCTGGCCAACTCACAACCACATTAAACTTTTGTCGAATACACTTAAGAATGGAGAGAGAAACGCGAAGAAAGAAGCTTTATAGATTTCTTCACCGACAGAAAAAAAAAAGTTCAAAGAAGCGGACCTGGAACGATAGACTTTTTCTTCGATCGCTTCTTGATCGACTGCGACATCTCTCCGTACACAAAACAGTCTAGACTCATTCTAAATGGCGTTTCTGAGAGTAACAGCTACAGAAAGACGACGAATGTTGCTCCTATCGATTGCTCGCATTCATAAATTGCGATTCGGGCCCGATAAGAGTCGCAAAACCAAGTATTTGGCAATAACTATTGGCTTCTTATCACCTCCAAACGGGTCAGAGTATCTACTTGCTGTGCTTCATAACCTCTCCGCCTGTTTCTGCATATGAAACTCCATTGTAGCAATCAAAAGGGCGCCTTGTTGATAGCCGTTTGCACGACCATTTATATCTACTACTTTCTTCTGATAACGGACAAAAAGAGCTACTATTCAAAGGTTGCTTTCGGTATTTCCTTGTTAACTTGATTGGGATTTCCATGAAGTCTCCAGTTCTCAGTAGTTTTCTGTTTTCAAACAAAAAAAAAAACGCAATGGATCTTTGAGAGAAGAGCTCCGCCACAAAGAACGTGCTCGCTTCCAAAGCTCAATCCTTGGGATCCAACGATTCTGGGTTATATTGACCCCGAAGTGACAACTCTACGATGTCACGAGCCTCAAGTGCAGCCCGAAGTCACGTATCTCGACGACAATGTCCGTGTGTGGAAGGAAATATAGCAAAAAACATGTGTTCAGGGATTTCTCCACATCAACCATTCGGAAGCAGTGAAAGTTGCGAAAAACGTCTCTTGTCGGTATAGAACATTCGACAAAAAACAAGGACAAGACAACGAACTCGAGTACACTGAGTGGACAGCGTTTGAAGTATTTCGTGAATATCACAAGCCAGAAGAAAAATTCGTGAATTTCAGAAGCCGACACGCATCAACGCGGAGTTTGTGGAAGTATCATGTGAAAGAACTAGTTTCATCAAAACGACCGTATACTCCAATAATCACAACCAACTGATTCCTCACAAAAGCGACTTTGAAAAAACTTTGCCCAGTGTTTTGATCATCGTCCTCGACTCTGTATCGCATTCAAATTTTGTCCGCACGTTGAAAAAAACCTTGGAAGTGATTCCTCTTTTAGGAAATGTAGTTGAGAACAATTACATTACAGGTTCTGAAAACCGAGTACAATTCTTTCATTTTCGACGGGATGAACAAAATTGGAGACCATTCCTTTTCCAACGCTGTGGCTTTCATGGCCGGTAAAGTTTGGATGTAATTTTCTTAAACCCATCATCAGGAAAGATGGCCGATCGGGAGTTCGGAGATGTTCTCAACTACTTTGACGATCACGCACTCATCTGGAAAGATTTCGCCAAAACTGTAGTTTGTCCTATTTTTCCTTTATAAAGCCTCAGTCAACAGGGCTATAAAACTTTCTACTCAGAAGACTATCCCGCATTCAATTTATTCAATTATTTATCCAAAGGCTTCAAAACTAAACCAGTAGACCACTACCTCAGGTAGTTGATCCAACAAAGAAAAAAAGCAGTTCCAAAATAGGCCTTTCTGGCTCAATATCTATGGGTCCTACGTTCACCGACGCAGTGCGAACCTCTGCTATGGAAATCAAGCAATGCATAGACTTCAATTGAGATATTTTTCCCAGTTTCTAAAAGCTTACCGAGGTTTTAGACGAACTAAATCCGATGAAAAATCAATTTGTTAAAGGGGAGCCTAAGTTTGGGATATCGTGGTTCACAGAACTGGGACATGACTACTTGAACCAAGTATCCGTCGGTGACGCAGATTTGGCCGAGTTCTTGGTCCAACACAAAGCCCAACTGACGGTTTTCAGCTTTCTGGATGAAACATCTTGTTTTCTCAGGATTCTTTCTTGATAGTGATGTCAGACCACGGTCACCGATTCGACGCCATCCGTCGGACTACTGTGGGTCGCCTGGAGGAACGAATGCCATTCTTCTCGCTTTCTGTCCCAAAAAGACTCCGCAATGAACATCTGGACAACGTTATAGCGAACAATACAAAGGAAATTCCCTGTCTCCACAATTGGTAATTCGGTGTTTCAGGTGCTCACAACGTTCTGGGACGTCTACGTAACTTTGAGAGAAATTTGCACTCTGGCCGATGAAGGAAAAATCGCTCAAATTGGCTCCCCAAGAAGCAAAGTGCAGCTACCGAGTTATTCAGATCGAGGACAAAGCCTTTTCGAACCAATTCCTGTAAGTTTTTAAAATTCGCTTTAAAGAGCAAATATTATTTAATCGAGTTTTAGGAGAGAAACTGCGAAGAAGCTGGTGTGCCAGACGAGTTCTGTGTTTGTGAGAAAGAATTTGACACCGATACTAACGATTCCAAGGTTCCCCATGATGAAACTTGCAATGATTTCGTCTGAACTGAACTAACAACATTATGAAAAAGAGTTTTAACTACAGATAAAGGATCTGGGGAACTCTTTGGTGCAGCATATCAACACCATCCTGGAAAGCTATAAAGACTGTGCAAAGCTTGAACTGAAACAAGTCCATTCTGCGACAATCTTCGAGAACGAAGAAGAAGAACGTCGGAGATATCGTTTGGCCGTTGAGGTTACTTCGTATTCAAGCTCTTTCCCCAATAAGAAAATCAGGTTTTACCGTCGAGAGGCATTTTCGAGGCTCTCATGCAGGTTTCCGAAGATGAGATCAAGGTGGTCGGAGATATCAACCGTATCAACAAGTACGGCAACCAGTCAATTTGTGTCGACCAGCAGTTCATCCGCAAGCTTTGTTATTGTCAGTAACTACGAAGTTTTTGAAAGCTTTGGTCTCAAAACCTACAAACAATAAATGATTTCGTTCTGACCTTCAACGGTTGTTCCATGGAGTTCAATGACGACGTGCAGTTGCCCGTGAGGTTCCAAATCTACCTGCAACAATTCAAACTAGTTATAAGAAGAGAAATATACATTAAGAAGAGAAAACCGAGAATAGAAAACAGTCAGAAAACAAGGAGTTTTTCGAATCTTTCCTTCTTGAAAAATATTGTAAAAAGACGAAAAGGTATTGACAAACATTTTTGAAAAGTGTCCATTTTAAAAAAAAAAACCGGAATAACTATGATAGCGTCACTATTATCATTTTGTAGTTCATGTCGTGAGCTATGGAAGCTGAGAGAAATCTTATGTCTGAGCCGGAAAAAGTCTCCCAGAAGTCGAAGGGACGAACCCAGATGTCGTTGGCAGTACCGATCTTGAGGTCGACGAGTGGTATCCGCGTGTTGGCGACAAAGTCGTCGGGAGGCATCACGCAGCTGTGGAACACGGAGAAGCCGACGGCTCTCCCTTGGTGCACATCGTTCTGAAAATCGCCGTCTAACCTAACAGGTATCGTTCGTCCTACCGCAATGAACTCCTCGTTCCATCTTGGCTCATTGGTCTTTGGCCTGACCTGCGTCTTTCCAACATGGTACTCGTCCCAGTCGACGTTCACGTACGAGTCGATCGCGGCCTGCAAAATTGGAATCCTTTTTTTTACGATTTCCTCTCAATGATGAGATTTTCTCTGCTGAGAGAAGTTACTATGAAGGGCGACATGAACGACAATGGTCCAGCCAAATAAATCAACTATCAGCTATCGCCAAAAATGTTTTATTATAAATAAATGATACATGATAAAGTGAGGAGTTGGTTCATTGATTTCTTCTTAAAGAACCGACTCCTCTGAAAAGAGACGTACAGTGGCGGCTTCGTTCTGACTGAAGCGACGCGACCACTCGGTAGGCCTGAGTTGCCGCGCCTCGACGACCCGTACGCGGAGCGTCCCTGTGAACAACATCACACTCGCATCGGAGCCTCCTGAAAATTCCATCTCGGGGCATTCTTTTCGATCAAGAAACACTCAAAAGGCGTACTAAAAACGGATAGAAGAAAAGTATGAGTGGAGAAAAATTCTTCGCTGCACTGCTACACCACCAAAAGAATAGGCCACAACCACCACCGTTTCATCAAATTGTATTCGGAAAAAAGAGCGAGAGAAAGCAAATATCATCCCCCAAGTAAACTCATATTTCGTTTATAAATGGCTTCATAACGGGTTTCGGTCCACGAGCAAAGCCCGAACGGCCTCAAAAAGATTTTAAAAAGAAGTTTCTGGAGCTCTTTTGTGATTACCTATAAAAGTGTGGGAAGTTTCACTGACTCTTCTTTTTTTTTTAACTTTTCTCTGTCTCCTTCTTTTCCTGAAAAGTCCTATTAGAAAAGGTCAAGAAAAAAAGAGCCTGGGTTCCTATTAAGACCTCCTGGCCTTTCCCGTGTCACTAAATCATCGAGAGTATTTCGTTATAATTTGGAATCTTTCAGACGAACTTTAATTGGAACAAATTTACTAAAGAAAAAAAGAAAAAGCACGAAAAGCTATGGAGAGAGAGCGACTCTCAACCGAACGTGTACCGACACGTATGGCCTTCTTTCAGGCTAATTCCATCTTTCCAGTAGTCACAGCAGGTGAATACAACGCCATTTATGAATTCGAGCATTTGAAAAACAATCAATAGGAGTTAGACACAAAATGAAGAGACGAAAGGAAAAGAAAGGTTGTAGCAAACAATCGCGCAGATTGTGAAGGTTCCGGAAATGCGACGCATGGCAACGCCGATAGAAAACGTCTCGCAACTCGTGAAGCTCGAGAAACCCGGCTCAGAACCACAAAAAGAGCAAAATGGAAAAATTTATAGCCGGCTTGCTACAAACTCTCTCGCAAAGGAGCTCTAAATCTTGGAAATTCGAATGAACATGTAAATTGCAGTGAGAGAAAAATTCATTAAGAATCAAGGAATACTTGACTCAAACCTGGATTCAAAATTATTCAGATAGAGCACGGCTAATCATAGTCCTTTCTCAGCATAAAACGTACTCCACATTCAGAAAAACCTTTGAGAAAGAGTCATATTTCATATTCAAAAGAAAATTATTTTCAATCATAAACCTAGTGATCCCTATTCTGAGAACTAATGAAAAGTGGGTAAAAAATTATACTCTAAAACTTCTCTCACTGTCGCTTTTTTCATCAAAAAAAAAATCCGATTTCGTACAAGCTATCTTGTGGTTAATTATTCGTAAAAATCCGAAAAAATTAACAGAAAATCGTTTTAAGAATGATCATAGAAAGCTATGCCGCAACGACAGTTCATAAATATTCAGCCTCAGTTAACACTAATGATTATTCAGTAACATGAAAATTCCAGCAACTAGAAAAAAAAACGAAAGAACAGCGAAAAGACAGTTAGATATGATCTTCAAAAAATAATAGATAATTACAAAAAATATTTTTCTCGCGAAGGAAATCAATGAGGATTTACGAAAAAGTCTAAGGCTATTGAGAACTGTAATTTAGTGAACTTTCCATGAATAAAAAAACATTGATTTTATTTTCCCCAAGTTGAACGACTCAAAAACGGCGTTGGGTTTTTTTAAAATCAATATAAGCTGAAAAAGGTTTTTTTCCCCAAAAAAATTAATAAAGGAAAAAAATAAATTCGAAAAATATATGTAGTGAGAATTATGGGAGGAAAGCCGGAAACACGCATTTCGGTGACCTAACGCGTTGCGGGATATCGATGAACTCTTCTGGCCGCTCGAGGGGCAAGCAGGGACACGCAACACAAATGAATTACAGCGCTTCGTGTGGAAAATTGTGCATTAATGCGTGAGTCTGAGCACCAACAGACCCACTCGTGAGACTCGTGAAGTTCGACGACAATTTAGCCGACAGGTACATCGATACCCAAGTCTGGAAGTTGAGTCGAAAGTGAGAATCAACTTAATTGGCGCTTCAGCATTTCCAATAAATTTTTCTTTTTGGAGGCTTACCGTACCAAAAATGACCAGAGTCACGCCAGGCAAAAACTTGGAAAAATAAAAAATTCCCGTTTATTTCAGTGTAAAAACTGATAGTCAAAACGTTTGCTCCGAAATGCGAATAGTAAAAAGAATAGTCAAGAATATACAAAAAAAGATTGAAAAAAAAACGTTTTTGTAAAGGGCTCTTGGCTCTGAAAACCTTTAGTTTCTCTTGTTGAAATAAACTACATCAGATAACTTTTGGGCGAAAAATCAGATATATGAACTTTTCTCAAGTTTTAGACTTTTTCAAAATGCTATAATTTACAGTACAACGTGTAAAAAGTTAGACCAATTTTATTTATTTTAGCACGATCTATTGCAAAATTTAGTATCTAAAGAAAAAAAGACGAAACAAGATTGATGGGTGGAAACGAAAAAAAGGGTTTGCAATTGTGAATTTCTACGAGAGTATACATCAAATGTGCTCCAAGGTTGGTTTCAAAAACTTTACACTCCAGGCCTTTGATAGCTTGGATTCGCCGTGACATGGCCTTTTCATTGGCAAAAATCGAAAAAGACCAAAAAAACGAGAGCTGAGAGAAACTTTTTCTTATATTTCAGGCGTTTGACCATTTCACAATAAAAACTGTTGTTAAAGACAAGTTTTTAAAGAATGGAAAAAAATAGGACGAATGTTTTGAAAAGACGCCAGAACACACATAGTCCAGACAACATTTGGGAGCGTTTTACACTCTCGATCTGACATCGAGTCGCTTTTGATAAATCTCGGCTAGGCAGGCGCATCATCTCGTTCGTTAGTTCCATGGATATTCGGCACAAAGCCCCAATTAAAGCCCAGAATGTGGCTGCCGCTGCAGCTATTAAGTCGCCCATACACCAAGCTCAATTTCTACTTCTTTTTTTTGCTGAACATAAGCGCGTAAGTAAAATTTAAAAACTGTGGTTTTGATGACGAGGCGCAAAAAATTAAGGGTAATGGAAAATACGGCCACCTTTTCAAGAATAAATGCTTTCGTGATTACTGAAGGAAAATGATTACAATGCAGAAAAAAGTAAAGAGTTTTCTTTTCCATAAAAAGCCCTACCGCAGTCCTGAATGGTGAAAAAGGAAAGAAACAGCGGCTGCAAAAAAGCAATTTGAAAAAGAATCGACCAAGCGTTATGGTATTTCAGAATAATCATCCATACAAAAAAAGCTCAATAGAGAAGCTAAAACGAGGGCATGAAAAAGGTGCTATGGAAGCATGACGGCTTTGGACCGATCAAAAAAAAAATGAAAGGAGGCAGATGGAAAGGTTGCGAGGCACCTCTGGGCTGCCGGCTTTAAAACTCGAGTGCAGCTTTATTCGCGGTTTACGTAACCTGCCTATCCTTTTCCGAGAAAAACAAGAAATTCTTTCAATAAGCAAATGTTTCTGCATTAAAAAGTCAATTTAAGAAGAGAATCGTGCAAGTCAAATTGAAGCTTTTGAGAACAGAGCACAGACTCAAGAAATCTCACTGAATGATTGTTTAACGGTAATCGACTCTACTGATAACGGCAAAAAAGCGGAACAGCTACACTACACTATAGGAAATGTTTTCTCATGTTAGAAACTTTTCTTCGAGCACTATTTTAGAAACATTTTCTAAATGTGTTTGCAAGATTATTTTTTTTCCTGAGACTAATCATTGAGAAAATTTCAAAAACAAAGCGTTCAACCTTTTTTTTATCCAACTCGGAAAAACGAGAAACTCGTGCCTTGTCCAACAAACTGGGTGTATGATGATTCCCTCGAGAAAATTCTTTAAGTCGAAGTTGGAACGAAAATTCAAACAGCATAGATTCGAAGCCTGCCTTTGAGTCACGACAAGTTCGTCATAACCTTAATCTAAAACTATCAAAGCTTTTGATAGATTTTTTTTAAACTTTTTCTATCAAACTAACTAATTTGAAGCTGTAGACATTTGAATCGAACCCCGAAGTCGATGGTTTTGCAGATTGAAGCAGTTTGAAGTTCAAGTTTTGCTTCAAATAATAACTAGGAATTCTATCAAAGCTGGTCAAATTTTTATGCAACTTTCTGTTATCTGACAGACTCATTTATGAAAAATGATTCAAAAATTTCTTTAAGATCAAAACTTTTCAGATTTTTCAAATTACGGCAACACCTTCTTGCCACTAAACTTCATTATAGTTCTTCCGTTTCGCGGAACAAAACTAATCAAAAATACAAGACGACAAGCCCTTATTCTTAGGGAAAAATGAGAAAATGGCCTAGAGAAAAAAAAAACTTATTTCCAAGCCGAAAAGAAAATTTCAAACATTTTAGACGTTATCATGGGAACTTTTCCGAAAAACCAACTAACCTATTATCTTCTGCAAACGAACTTCCCAAACGTATTGTCAAGACGAATTCTTGTCTGGTAAAGCTTTCCTGTGGGCAAAATTGCTTTTATTGGTTTAGTAATGGAAAATAGATAATATTGTTATAAATGGGGCTTAATGAACCAACTGACTTCGAAAATCTTTTGAACAAGTGAGAAAGAGAAAGGCAAATAACTATCAAAACAGCAGTCAAAGAAGAAAAGACACAGAGTCGGTTTGACAAGACGGACTCGGAAGCAAAAGACGATTCATGGGATGTGCAACGCCTACGCCGCGGCTCCCACTTCCATATAAGCTCAATCTGCAGGCCAAAGCGTTGCAGAAGCGCCGCCTAATCACTAAGACTGCCACCGTAAGCTGTAGTTGCAAAAAACTACACATATAATATTCATTTTCCCGGTTGGCCTTTCCAACAGCTCTAGTCTACGCCCCGTACAAAGTGCTGAAGGCAGCTGCAACTAGGCGCAAGGTGAAAATAGCCAAAAGGTTATTTTTTGTACTTGAGTTGGCAGTCGGACTGAAAACCGCATATTCAGGGAGCAGGAAGCAGTGAGAAGTGGCGGAGCAAGAAAAAGAGACGAATCGAAACGCGAGAGGGGCGAAAAGTCGGCCGAGCGGCGGAATGAAGTTGATAGCCTGGCCAAAACGAGTTATGAAAATCGCCTCTACGGCACTGAAATAGGCGGCGTTGCGTCCCAAACGCACCTTTCTCCGCTCTTTGACTTTTTGAGCAGACGGAAAGAGTTCTTCGCAAAGTCCTCTCAATCATTCGGTGTCGCTTATTCATGAGCAGCTCGGTTTGAAGCAGCTTTCATCAAGTTGAGATCGCAAAAACGCGGCTTGTGGGGAACGCAATGACCGCTCTCTACACCTAGAAGTCAAGCTGAATGAAAGCAAAAAGTCATTACGGGTCAGGATTCGGGAACTTAATCATATTTATTCCGTTTTCGATGGCCCCTGTTGTTACAACTTTTTTGGAAGAAAAAAAGGAGAAAAATAGGCGATTTTCTGAAAAAAAAAAAAGTTTGACAATGTTCAACCTACGGCGACTAAAAACACATTAGCTTCACTTTTAACATTGTCCTTTACAATCAATTTACTGACTGAATCCTGAATTTGCACAATAAAACTCTCATGATCGCCATTTTGGATCCAAAACAAAATTGAACAGGGTTGGATAAAAATCCTAGATATAACTCCAGAAAAATAAGACGAAAAGCAAGGAGAACGCAGAGACACGAAGCAGCAGCCGCGCTCACACTCACGCTCACTACTGCTCTGACGGGTGTCGTTCTCATCATTCGAGAATTCTTTGTGAGTATTCCCGAGTTCGGTCAGCCTTGCAAGAGTCATTCACACAGCGTCGATAACAATCAGATACTCAAAACAGAAGCGTCTTCCAGGTCCCAAAACGAAATGAAGTAATTTTACATTTCTTTTTTTTTTGAAGTAGATAAAAAATTCATGGACGAGACTTCTTACGCGATCCAAAAACTTCACACAGTACAAACCAAGGGAAAACTTGACACTTTGAATTTTTATATCATAAGTGTCTATATCCTATAACTGAAGAATATATCGCTCGCAAATATTATTCCAGACTTCGAAAGTTCGATCTATTTTCAGCAGAAATGACACCGATTCAAAAAAAAGGTTTTAACCTCGCTGCATTTTAAGCTTTCTAACAGCATCGCAAAAAAAAATCCATTTTTTTCTTGATTTTGCACTTTTTGGATCAAGGTCAAATTTTTTCAGATGAAGCTTCGTACCCTAGGGATTTTGTTCGAAAAACAATGATCAGTTCACTTCGAAAATTTCCGTTCCAAATGGACAAATAACTGTTTCGCGGAAAAAACAGGTTTATAAGGAGATCTCCGAAAGTTGCTATTTGCGCAAATTTTGATATATCTCTCCTCATGGAAACAAAAAAAAACTCAATTAATTAAGTGGCTTGAGTGCCTTTGGTCTTCATCTATACTTTCAATGAGTTTCCGGGAAAATCCATTGATAATTCCAAGTCATAGCTAAAACGAACATCTTTAGATCAAAATCATGGCTAAAGCAGGCAGTCAAAGAATATCTCACAGCTAAAAACCTCAAGCATTAGTGGAAAACGCAACATCTAACACAGTCTTTGTGTGGCCCAAGATCGATGATAAATGAAATTAGCGAGTGATTTTTTCAAATATGAAAGAAAAACGATAAAATCGGGACGACAGCCATCTGAAGATGAACGATGAGTGAGATTGAGCGCAGCGTGAGCTGCCCGGAAGAGGAACGCGCACGAACTCTCTCCATTTCTCTGTATCTCTTTTCTCTACTCCCTCTCTCTCCCTCTGTCTCTCCACGAATGCTTTAAAAGGAGCCATGTCGCGCTCCTCGCGGAGCGGCGCTTCATTGATTATTTGGAGCTCGAAAAGAAGCAACCAATTTGTGGTGGCGGCATTTGATTTCTGAGGAACTATCGCGGATCTGCTTTCCATAAGGACGTGCAAAGGGGCTCTTGAAAGCCCTTTCAGCCTCGAGTCCGTTCTGAGACTCTATCACACCTACAGAAAAGGAGCAAGTCATCGTCCATTCCGATATGCCCGTGTCTTTTGAAAATCTTTTCAAAATACTGTTAGTAATCCAAGCTCCTTTAAAAAAGTGATTTTTAAAAAGTTTCGTTTTTTCTGTTACTCGAGATAAACTCAGAGTACTGTAGTTCTATCGAACTTTGCTAATCAACGACCGTCTCCTCTAGTTTTAGGCTACATTCCCTCTATATTAAAGGCATAGGGGCAGTAAAAAACGATGTTTTAGTTCACAGCAGTAATTTATAGAGCTTTTTATTGCGAATCGAACGGTGAACTTGGAAAAGTACAGAAGTTCCTAGTTTTGAAGAAAAAAATATTCAAAGTCGGAAGGAGGAAATTTTGAGTTCCCGCCAAAAAGGGGGTTTTGCAGTAAAGTTGCTCTATGGACAACAGGCTTCGTCATCTTCCGGATTTTCGCTTTTTTCTTCGTTTCTTTCAAATTTCAATTTTTTCTGTTGTCACCAAAGTTCTTTTCGTCACAAAAGCTTTCTATTCATGTATAATTTGCAAACTTTGATCGCAAAAATGCTTCTTTGGTGAAAAATGACGATTTCACGCAGGTTCCTATGGGGATAGCGATATTTTGTGTTTTTTTCTTATCGGTGTGTGTTTTTTGTTTTCTTAATCGATTTTTCAGAGAAGAAACTCTTGATTTGAAGCAGATATCCAGTTATTTCTCACAAAATGCGAGTCTAATAAGACGTCCGCAACATCGCGTGCACGGCTACTGTAAACAATTGTCTGTATACCGATCCAAAGCTTTTTTCAAAAGTAAAGGCGGGAAAGTATAATCGCGTTTTTCTTCTAAAGTTGTCACATCTGTAATTTTTTCGAGTACACCATTCGATTCGCAAAGAAAAACTATGTAAGATACTGTTTTCACCTGAAACCCCATTTTTTACTGCCCCTATGCCTTTAAGAAACAGGCTCTTTTGTGTTTTTTCTTTGCCTAGGTTTTTTTTTATCTTCCCATCTCAGTCAAGCCATGGTCATCCAATAATTTTTTGGCTCTGTCAAGCTCTGATTTACCATCAGGTAACGAACAAACAGAGGCTATCATCATGTTCGAAAATAATCTCTCCTATAGCTCATTCCGCGCCAGCTTGTCACGTTTTTCTTCGCGCCGAAAGACCATATACCAAATTTGATCTAATTTGACCAGCTTCACGACCTTTGTTTTTCGCGTTCTTTTTATGCAGTTTGTAGAGTACCCCGCGAAGCGGTCATGTTTTTGAAGAACAACAGAAAAAAGGCCCACCTTAACCTCCAGACCTCCAGCAGACCTTTTTAGCTATATCTGAGCTATCTCGGAGGTTTTTGAGAATCGCCCTCAAGTCTATCTCATTTTGCTCAAAGTCCTCACTAGGGTATGGTCTCCCCTGAACATCGAGTTGAGAATTGAGACTATGTGGGTTTGATAGCCCTAGGTAAGAGTTCTCGGATTCAAAAATAAAATTCTGCTAAACCCCTCAGGCAACCGAGGAAAAGCTCGTCGAAATTTTTCCAGCGCGTATATACCTGCGCTCGGAGCCTTAGGCTAGCAACTGGCGGCGGGGTGTAGTGGTAGTGGTCTCCCGAAGCTTGTCAATATTGGGACCAGGGTTCGAATCCTTTTGGCGGATATCATTTTTGCCGACTTATAACTTCATCATTTTCTTATTTTTGAGAAATTTTTCAAAAAACTACACTAACAATTCTAGAAAATGACAATAAAAAAATTTACTGATTGCAAAAACTCATTATATTTTTTGAGCTCACAGGGCTAATTACAACTACTTGATCAAAAATTCCGTATTATTTCAAAACTGGCAGAAAAATAGTTTACCTGCTGAATTTTTAAATTTCGAATTTTTCGATCAGATTGTTTCCATTCGCCAGTGTACAGAAAAAATAGAAAAAAAGAGTTTTTGCAATAATTCTATTTTTTTTATTGCCATTTTCAAAAATTTTAGTGTAATTATTTGAAAAGTTTCTAAAAAATGTGAAAATGATGAAATTATAAGTCGGCAAAAATGATATCCGCCAAAAGGATTCGAACCCTGGTCACAATATTGTCAAGCTTCGGGAGACCACTACCACTACAACACGCCGCCAGTTGCTAACCGAAGGCTCCGAGCGCGGCCATATACGCGCTGTGAAAAATTTCGACGAGCTTTTCATCGGTTGCCTGAGGGGTTTAGCAGAATTTTATTTTTGAATCCGAGAACTCTTACCTAGGGCTATCAAACCCACATAGTCTCAATTCTCAACTCGATGTTCAGGGGAGACCATGGTGGTATGAAAAAAACACCAGCGAAAATTCAAACGGCGACTTTTCCGATTTTTTCATATCGCTAGAGAACTTTCCGACGGTCACTTTTCCGACGGATCCCTTTCCGACTTTTTTCCCTTATCTTTTTTTGGTTTTTAAAACATCTATTAACATTTTTTTTTTCCTATTTCTTTGTGTTTTAATCATCAACCAACTACCTACTTTATGTAGGAATATTTAAAACGAAGATTTTTATCGAGAAAAAAAGTCGGAAAAAGATTCGTCGGAAAGGTGGCCGTCGGAAAGTTCCCTAGCGATATGAAAAAATCGGAAAAGTCGCCGTTTGAATTTTCGCTGGTGTTTTTTTCATACCACCGAGACCATACCCTAGTCAGAGGTATACTCGAAGTACCATCGATAGACTCCAGATCCTGTGACCTCAGGGAGTATCGCGATACCCTTTCTCGATTCGCCCATGGCTAATCTAGTGCACCGAAAAGAATTTAAGATGATTCTCAGCAAATTAACACGCTGTCTCTGTAACTGTCAAAAACAACGGGTACAAAAATTTTATTTTTTGATTTTGATGAAACTTTATCCAGTGTGATAACCCATCATCAGAAATGCGGACGCAACTTTTTGAGCCATTTCCTCCTACTGTAGCCGGGTTACGGTAGACAGGTAGACACCTGCGTATCTAAGTATTGAAGAGTTATTACTAGCCAATTGATATATCAATCGATAGGTAATCAAATTTTAGCAACTTTTTTAGTACATACCATCTTGGGTTACTGTAGGAATTTCGAGTTACGGTAATTTTTGTGTTTGGAAAGTCGGTTTTTCGGTCACCCTGGTCGTGGGCATAGAATCGCATCGTAATTACTTATATGGAATATGTCTTGTAGTATGTTCTAAACAATGCCACAAAAAAAAGTTCGAATTTCTAAACCCGTCATCTCGAGATTTCACTCCGAACGCGCGCAACTTGGCACTTTGCGGCGAGAGTTGGTCGTGGTTGACGATTTTTCACGTTTTTCTTCTGTTAGATATTGGTGTAAAACTTTCTTAGATTATAACTACAGTATGTTTTGTAACATTCAAAGGGGTTTGAAGAGACCTATACGCTACATATTCGGCCGAAATTTCGTTTTGAACTCTATTTTGGCTTGAAAAAGCGCGATTCGCTCTGAAAAGATTGGTTTTTTAAAATTTCCGACAATCCCGCAGTTTCCAAAGCTATTAAATATGTAACTGACATCTTCTAGGTAACAATTGATATAGTTTTGTTCAACTTTTACCGAACCCGTCCAACCGAAATTTAGCTTTGAACTTACTATTGGCCTAAAAAAGCAATATTTGCTCTGAAAAAACCGATTTTTGAAAATTTCCAACTGTACCGCTGTTTCCAAAGCTATCAAATATGTAGCTGACATCTTCCAGGTAAACATTTATGAGACTTTGCTTGACTTTTATCGAACCCGTCTGGCCTAAAGCTGCTTTTGAACCCTATTTTGGCTTCGCCGGTGGGTCTGAGGCTGGATTTTTGAGCTTCGTAGCTATTTTCTCATCCGTACATCGCAAAAAGTAACGTTTTCATG